CCCTAAACCCTAAACCCTAAACCCTAAACCCTAAACCCTAAACCCTAAACCCTAAACCCTAAACCCTAAACCCTAAACCCTAAACCCTAAACCCTAAACCCTAAACCCTAAACCCTAAACCCTAAACCCTAAACCCTAAACCCTAAACCCTAAACCCTAAACCCTAAACCCTAAACCCTAAACCCTAAACCCTACGCATGAGGGAGGGAGGCGCTTCGGGAGAAGTGCCGTAACCGACCGACTAGCTAATACTTATTACACCTAAAGTCCTAGGTTCTCTGGGTCGTACTAAACCCGAAAAGTCACGATCATTCGCATCCTTCCTGTGCACCTTCACGACGCCCTACGGCCATCACTCGTCGACCAGCACGGCACCGCAGACTTCCCCCTCGACGCTCCGGACGGCTCCGGACTCTTGCGTCAAAGTGCCTTCTTCAGTGTTCGTGTTGGACGACAAACGACCAGTCGTAGTTTGTCCTCTGTGAAAATAATGGGACCCGAAGCCCTCCTCTTGCGTGACACACAGTCGATTTGAGTGGAAAGCCTGCGGAGGCGCCTTTATGCCGCAAGCTTTCTCACACAAATTTCTTCGTTGCCATCTCGAGCCGTGAAGTCTTTCCAAGATGGGTCCTCTGCTTTCCATGTCGAAGCGACAGTTCTGCAAGTAAACCCCCAAAATGTTCAGGTGTCTCGTCTGAATCGCCGCCAAAATTTTCCTCACTCTCCAGGCCGCTGTGCGCTCGTCTCTCACATAATGGCCAACGATTCTTCGAATGAAACTCAACGCTTCTCCACCTATCTCACCGTACCAACCAATTGCAAAAGGCACGAATTCGCTCGTCAAGCCGTCCAAGGGAACGAAGTTCGCCCATGCGGGCGAGTTTCTCTTCTTCTCTTCCGCGCTCTCAAGGTGGTCGTCAACTGCCAGAATGTTTGTGCCCTGGCGAGTGAGTGGCGCCTGGTTGGTGAGGTCGAACACAATCTTGACGTTGTCGTCGAAAGCGTTGTCGATGACCATGTCTGGTCAAAAAAAGCTTTTACAAATACCTGAGCCTGGAATTGAGCCCCCCTACGTTCCCGACATTCCGAAATAACAGCGATCCGCAAATGTTATGGGTTCTTTCCGGCGCGTCGACGTTTGGCGTCAGGTCGTTGGCCGAGGCCGTTACAGCGCAGCGCGCTAGACGCGTGGACGCGGCGTCCATGCGGTCGACGGCGAGGCGCGAGTGTCGTGGTGAGGACAGCGCGACGACGCGCGACGACGATGCACAAGCGCGCGGACTGGCGATGCTTGCAGACACGCGAAAGACGGCCGGCAGTAGTCGCGAAGCGCTACGTTCGAGCATCGTCGCGCGCTTCAGCGAGGATGAGAGCCTCATGGAAACTTTCGGGCCCGTGCTCTCGATTGTCGACGCGCTCGAACGGATGTACGAGGAATATTCCGTCACGTCAACGAGTGGGACGCTTAGGATCAGAGCGCTCGGCGCCTCGGACGCGTTCGAGCTCGCCCGCTGGCGCACGTTCGCCGCGCTCGCTGTGCTGCTCGAGAACTGCGAACGCGTCGAAGTCGAGTTCATCGGTCCGACTTTGCGACGCCTTTATCCAGGTGTGGTGTGTGAAGCGACGTCGACAGATGGTTCCGGGCGGCTGCGCATTCAGGCAATTCGTGGCTTGTATCCCGAAGTCAGCGATGTCGCGTCAGCGTCGGCATCTGAAGCAGCAGCTTACGACGTCGTCGTCGCGTTTAACGCGGGATTGCCAGTGGGCGGCGACTGGGCGCGCGCTATTGAGCGAATCGTCAGTGAGCACGTCGATGCGTTTGCAGCTAACGCACCATCGTTAGGAAACGTCGCGCCTCCTTTTTGGGTGAGCGATTACAACGAAGAAGCGATAGACATAGCCTTTGCGTTTCTTCGGCACGTCGTCCAACGTGTTCTCGAATCTCGAAACGTTGACTCGCGCGCCGAAGCTATTTATTTGGAGCCGTACTCGAACGCTGCATACCAGTCGCGTAAACGTATAAGTTCTTGTACGGTACCGACGCACGCGAATGCTTACGCGTGCGCGTTCGTCGGCTTGTCGCGATTAGAAGAATAGAACGTAGCAAACCATGTAGCTGACGCGACTTGAGTGGAGAAATTTGACTAAACGCTAGAGCTAAGGTTTATGGTTTGCGAACTCGAGCTCCAGCTGGCGCGCCTTGAGCCAGTCGGCGACGTCGTTGAAGCCTTCCACGAGAGCTAAACCCGCCGGATCGTATCCCTCCGCGTCGGGTTGGGCGTGGTCTCGCGTTAGACCCAGACTCGGCGTATCTAAGAGCCACTCGCACACGTCTCGATTTCCACGCTGTGCGGCTTTGTGTAAACAGCTATGACCGTTGGCGTTGATCAAATTGAAACGCACGCCGAGTGAGGCGAGATATTCGCAACACTCGACGCCACCGGCGCCCATGGCGGTCCAGCACGCGACGTTACAACCGTAATCGTTGCACGACTTGTAATCGCACTCGGCGCGTTCAACGAGCTGGCGCATGACGGCGAGATGACCTTGCCAACAAGCCCACGCGAAAGCGGTGGATCCGTCTTCAGTGGTGCTGTTCGGATCGACGCCGCGCGAAAGCAGATATTCCACCACCTCGACGTGGCCGTTTCGCGCCGCCCAGTGCAAGGCGCTTCGACCGGCGTACGAGCGCCGTCCGCTCTGGACGGAGGTTTGAGGATTCATACAGCATTTTTCGACGAGAAACTCGACGCACTCGACGTGCCCGGCGCCCGCGGCCCAAAGCAACGCGTTGGAACCGTGCTTATCGACGGCGTCCTTCGAGCGTGGATCCCATCCATCGCGCGAAACGAGCGAGCGTAAGAGATTCAAATCGCCTCGCCGCGCGGCTTCAAGTCCGGGCAAAGGCAGTGCTTTGACGCGCTTCGCCGCGATCAGGGCATCCATGACAGTGGCGTCGCCGCGGCGGGCCGCCGCCATCGCCTCGCGCAAATCGTCCTCCCGCGACGCTTTTTTCGTCTTATTATCCAAATACGCCGCGTCTCCGTTCGTGAGGTCCGACCTCGATCCCGAGGTCGACATCGCCACGAGCGCGTTTCGCTCTCTCTCCACCGCGTCCATGGCTTCCTGGTGTAAATCGTTATGCCTCGTCTTTCGATGCCACCACAAACCGCGTTCGCCGCCGGAGATAAATTTTCCGCATTTATCGCACATCGCCGATCCCGCGTCACGCAGCTCGGCATATCGCTCTAACGTGCATATGGTGATCATCCCGCTGTCACCGCCGTCGTGCACGCGCACGGCGGCGAAATGCTTTGACGCGAACGCGTTTGGTATGAGCTCCGTCGCCGCCGTGGCGAGCGATTTGGCCGTGTGTTCACGTTCGACGCCCATGGGCGAGACGCACGTCACCGTGGTGGACGCATAACGACCGCTCTGCGCGCGTAGGGCGTGAAACAGCGCGTTCGCGGCTCCGCATTCGACGTCGCCGCCGGGGAGCTTCTTCGACACCCGAACGAGACGACGTTCGTCGAGACTCGCGAGAACGTCGCGCGCCGTGCTCTCGATCTCCGTGAGCGCGTCGAGTAACACATTTTTGATATCCTCAAGCGGTGGCATCGCCGCACACACACGGTGTGCGCGACGATGTGACGATGTTGTCGCGCTTGGCGCGGGGACGACGAGAAGCGCGACTCGCGATGGCTTCACACTCGGTTTTGTCGACAATCTATCTCATCTATCGCACGTCACGTCTCGACTTTAACTTTCCCGTTCCCGTGACGGCGCTGCCATGCGCAAAATGATTGTAGGTTGCAATCTTTTGGTTTACGTCGGACGTCGCCACGGGCAAAAATCTCAAACGAATCCACTCCAAACTCGCCGATACCGTAAATTTTCAACTCGGGCTCGAGTCCGACTTCAAACTCGCCAGTTTCCAATAGAAACTTCGTGGACACCTCCACGATCGTCCGCATCCTCCCGGGGAACAAGCCGAGGCGCTTGATGATTTCGAACACGTCCTGCGAATCCGCCGCGAGCGCCGCGCTCGGCGTCGGGAATTTCGCGAAAAAGTTTGATATGCATTCGTGTTTGAGAGCACCGCTCGCGACGCGCGACATCAGAGCACACGCGATCAGCAACTGCCACGCGTCATGCGCGTAATACTCTTGCAACAATTGCATGGGTGACGGCGGCGGAGGCGTTCCTAATCGAGACATCGTCCACGCCTTCCAATCGCTCACAGAACGCGCGGACGGTACGCTGTCTCCCCAACGCGCCACGGCGTCGCGGCGCCACGCCTCGTCTTTCGCTGACTTTTCGACAAAAGAATTGGCAACGTCCGCACGCGTGGCGAGTAACTTTTCTCGCGCTTCTGCGAGCCATTCTCTCGACGTCGCCACGACGTCCTTTGCCAACTCGTCGTCGTCCAACTCGGCGTCGACGCTCGCGCGCTTCCTCGCCCGACCGTTTTCGTTTTCCTCGTCCTCATCGAGCAAGGCGTCGATGGTCGATCCATCGTACTCGGCCTTCACACCGACGACCCTGGACGACCGCCTCGTCGGCTCGCTCGGCTCTTCGCGCTTCACTCTTTTCCGTGACGTAGTGCTAATCTTCCGCGACGACATCTTGTTTCGAATGTCATCCGCGAGTGCGTTCACACCCAAGCGAGCCATGTACTCGCGGTTTCGCTGAACGTGCGCTAATCGCTGGCGCTCATACTCTGTGAGGTTCTCGTCCGGCATGGTCGCGCGCGTCGCGAGTCGCGCACTGAAGACTGTTGTGGGACACCTTAACGCCGAGTGGGGCGTCGTAGCGCCGAGTGAGCGCCGATCGCTCGCCGTGGACGCGCGAGCGTAAAAGACTAATGTGTGATGTGTGCTGACAACCGATGAACAATCTAGGCATGCTGCGCGACTACACGATGCGCTCGAGTTCCTTGGCGTAGAGCAACGTTTGATTTATCAGAGCGGCCGCCGGGATGTCCCTGGCGCTCGCTGGCGCGACTTCTTCGTTGAAAACCACGCCTCCGTTGGCGTCCATCGTCCAGTCACGCGCGTTTGCGTATTTTTCAAACTCTTGAGCGTTTGCGAATCCTAACAATTTCATCGCCTCTGCGCCCGTAAGCGAGCCGTACGCGCTCTCGGCGCAACTCGCAATTTCGTCTCGCACCGTGTTCATCAACATCGACATGAAATACTCGTAGCTCGGATCTGGTAGCGCGTTTTGTCGCTGCGCAATCTTGTTATACGCCCCCTCCATCAAAAACTGTTCGAGCTCCAACACCGCTTGCACGCGTTGATCTTTCAAGACGTCGTCGTCCGTCGTCTCAAGCTCGGCGTGAAACTCGGCGATGCGGTTCTGAACCAGCAACCGCAACAGGTTTAACCCGACGATGAGCGCCTCATTTTGCGAACGCTCGATGGGTTGCTTGCAAGGCGCGCGCTTGCAGGCGTCGTAAGCAGCTTTCGCCTGCGAGGCGTGTCGCTCAAAGCTCTCCTCGTCTCGCGTCGCCGCGCTGATCATGACCCCGTGTTCCGCCGCCTCGCGCCTCAGCCGGAGCTCGTCTTCTTCGTTTCCTACGAACGTCGTCGCCGCGTGCACTTTGAAATCGTCCAAACGTTCCAGCGCCGTGGCGTGATCGTTCGTCGCGATCGCAGCCTGGATTTGCTTGATTAAATCTTTGCCGTGCGCGACGGACGTCGACGACGACGTGGACGCTCTGCGCGTGCCCACCATGACGTGTCTGAGTATTAGTTGGTTCGTCTGCGACGACGCGTGCGCGCGCGTTGCGGTGTGACCACGCCGAGTTTGTGCGAGGAGACTGGGTTGACTTTTTTACTCTACGGCGAGCCGTCCGTCGTGAGAGAAAGCGTTTACATTAAAATAGCCATCTAATCAGCAACTACTCCGCGCTCGCGGACGGAGACTGCTCTTTCTTCAATCTCTTGATCGCTTCGGCGATGTTGATGCCACCAAGCGCGGCGGTCAGCGTCTGGGCGGCGAGCGCGGCGGCGTCGACGTCCTTCTTCGACAGGAATGGAGGCGGCTCTGTCTGCCCGGCGATCGTCACGCTGGTGAAGATCTCGCCTTCGCTCAAGCCGAGACGATCGTAAACTTCTTGAAGATCGTCCACGGTCATCGCGTCGTACATGAGGGGTAAATCAGCGACGCACTGAATCTTCTTCAGCGGCGCTAAATCTGGAGTGTTGGTGCACTGCATCAAATCGGCCCAGTAGTTGTTCGTCTTCAAATCCATCTCATGACGACTCAACAGCGTTAAACGCGCGCGATCGACCTCGCGTTGGCTCACGCGCTGCATCTGAAATCCACGCAACACGCGCACGCCGGCGTTGAGAGCTTCATCAATTTTTTCCGGCGTCGACGTCACCAACAACCTGTACGTCGTCGCGTCGTTGTTTTGTAATCCAAACGACATTGTAAAGTTGCAGTCGTACGTCAGACCCAACGCGTCGCGCACCGTTGTGAACAATCTACCACCGATAACTTCTGCGAGCATCATCCCCGCGCAATACGTCGCCAAAGAATTCGCGCGTCGCGCAGACTGCTGTGCGAATGGGTTCCCCTTCGCCGACGCCACCTCGTTCACGGGATCGCGCAAGGCTGCAATCTGTTCCGGCGTGTACGCGTCTTGATTGACAAAGCTCGGAATTTCAGAGTACAGACTCGTCATCGGCGCCCACATGGATGGCCCCGGTCCGGCGGCCACCGCGCACGCTCTTTCGTCGCTGTCCTTCAACCACAACCGCTGCGCGCGCACCGGATCATCCTTTGGCACCTCTTTCAATTTCAGCGGGGGCACTTGCGGCAACGGCGGCGCGGGCTTGGTCTGAATCGATCCCATAAACGCGAGAACCATTTCGTCGACTTCTTCGGGGATGATGTCGCCGACGATGTTGAGTTCCAAAGCCCCGCTCGCGAATTGAGCTTCGATCATGTCTCGAACGCCATCCAGCGTCAGCGCCTGGAGTGCCTCCTTGTTCGGGTCCATGATTCTTCGGTCTTCGTAAATCACGGCGTTGACGGTGTCATGCGTGAGCAACTCGATGTTCTTGTTCGTGTTAATCTGAAACATGCGGTAAATGTCCTTGACGCGCTCGAGCGCTTGCTCGTCCCACGTCGGCTTCGTCAGCGTGAGGTGCATGATCTCGAGAATAGTCCTCAAGCCTCCATCCGTGGCGAACGCGGAATCCAAAAACATGTACTCGACCTCGGGCTCGACGTCGTACACGAGCAAGTGTTGCATCGTCAAGAGCTCGATTTGCTTGCGCGACCATTCGCCGACGTCGCCAGCCTCTTGCACGGTGCGCAAACCGACCGCCGACGAACCGATTCCGCCGGGCCCGATGTTCGGGCTCTCAACCGAACGACCACCCGGGACGACGAGTCGTAAGAACGCGCTCCCAGGCTCGGCGTCGAGCACCTTGTAGTTGACGCGAATACCGTTACTCAGCGTGCGCTGGTACACGCCGGTCGGCTCGTGATACGTCGCCTCGGTAAACGTCGGCGCCGTTTGCTCGATGAGGGCGTTGATTTCGTCATCCGCAATCAACACCTCCGGCACAAAGATATCCTCGGGCTCTGTGATTTCACCGTAATCCGCCGCCAAAACTTGTTCTATGCGCTCGGGCGTGATATCGAACGGCACCGTCTCGCCGTCGACGTTCGTCATCGTCGCTGGGACGCACGCGACGATGGCGGTGCACTTACCGCTGTTCGGTTTGCGATTGTTCTCCACGCCGTACTCACCGATAAAACCTAAAAGCTCATCGCACGCGCCGTTGCACGCCTCGAGCGTGATGTAATCAGACATGCGCACCAAGGCCTCGTGACCCGCGACCTGGTCCATGACGACGTGTCCGCAGGCGTCCTGCTCCATGACAAAGTCGAGATTTTCGAGGCTCGGCACGCATCCCGCCTGCTGCGCGAGCTGTTCAGAATCTCTCAACATCGCCGCCTTAAAACGATCGAGCTCGCTCGGCGTCAATCCAAACTTTTGCAATCGTCGAGATTCCTCGACGGCGACTTGCAAGGCGAATTCGTACTCTCTCGGCTCGCACGTCACGGTGACGGTGCTGACGCAACACCCCTCTCTCGCGCTGTCGCTATGATCGAGTTCAATGCGTTTGTAATCCGCATTAGTTTCCGCGTATCTCGCCTGAATGCGGCTCTGCAACACCAACAACACAATGCGCTGCAAAATCGTCCGGTGCAAGTCGCCCATCTTTTCGAGCGGCTTGACGGCCAATTTTGAAAATATGTTGAAACTCGCGTTGGACAAGTGTTCGTGCTGGAACATGGACACTTTACCCTCGGGGGCGACGAAAGGCAAGAACGGGTCGTCTTTGCCCGACGCCTTCGCCTCGTCGTTCGAGCGTTGAATTTCGTCGAGCTCGTACGACGGCGCCCCGTACGCGTGCTTCACCGGAGGACGCACCGCGTGACGTTTGAGAGGAGACTCGGCTTCTTCCGCGCCTTCCGCGGGCGCCGCTTCGTCGAACGCGGCGGAAATCATACCCTCGACTTCGTCCACGGAGGCATCGAAGTCGCCCACGACGTAGAGCGTGGCGTTGGCTGGGAAATACCAGCGCGCGTGAAAGTCTCGCACCGCCTGCGCCGGCCACGCTTCCACCTGATCGAGCTTACCGATCGGAAATCGCGTGCCCAAGAGGTTGTCCCAGTGCAAATGCTCTAGAAGCTGACAGTCCACTCTGTACTCGATCGTGTTCATCATTTGAGCCTCGGCGAGCACGGCTTTCTTCTCCTTCGCCACGCGAGTGTCCAAGAGTTGCGGCGCAAACGCGACGTCGTAGAGAATGTCCAGCACGTTGGGCGGCATGTAATGTCCATCCTTGTTCGTCGTCGGTGCGTGGATGTGGAACACGGTGTGGTGGAAATCCGTGTACGCGTTCCCTCGCGTACCGCTCCCGAGCCACTGATCTCGTTTTCGAGAACCCAAAAACGTGACGTGCTCGACGAGGTGCGCCAGCCCTTGCTCGTCTTCGCGTTCGTCCACGGACCCGACGTGCATCTCCAAGTGCGCCTCAAATCTCCCCTCGGGAACTTTGTTCGGTAAGATGACGTACTTCAACCCATTCGCGAGCGTTCCTCGACGAATCTCTTCGTGCGGCGTCAAAGGCTCGTCCAGCATCGCCGTCGTCGCCGCGGGATCGGCGACGGATGACAGCGTCTGCATCGCGCGATCCCATCGCCCCGGCCCACCGTTCGTCGACGACGCGTTCGCGCGCACGACGCGCGCGCACCGTCGCCCTCGCGTCGCCCGTTTCGTCGTCGTCGCCGTCCGTCCACGCCGACGATGCGGCGTCACGATTCCTCGCGCGTTCGCGCTCGCGCGCCCGCTCGCGGAGACGCGCGACGCCATGTCGATCCGGCCGTGCGCGCGCGCGTTCGTCGGGTCGTCCGATCGTCGGGACCGTCGTCGTCGAAGCGCGCGCGACGCCGGCGCCGGGGTCACGCCGCGCACTGCGGAAGGGCGGACGATTGATTCGACGCCGCCCCTGGACCGCTGGACCCTGGGCGGGCGCGCGCGCGGGCGCGAGGGGGCTTGGCGCGCGGTCGATCGATCGATCGATCGGTCGATCGTTCGATCGATCGATCGATCGATCGACGTCCGTCGATCGACGCGCGATGGTTCGCGAAAAAACGAAATCGCCCTCGGCGACCGCGCGCCGGCACTTCGCGACGACGCGTGCGGCGAGCGATGTTTAGCGTGACGTGCGCGCCGTCGGCGACGACGACGACGTCGTGCGCCGTGAAGGCGACGGCGCGATCGCAAAGGGTGCGAACGATCGATCGACGCGACGCCGACGCGCGCGAACGCGTTCGAACGCTTCATCTGCGCGCTCGAGGTGCGCGATTTCGTCGACGCGATGCGGCGCGCGCGGAATCATCGCGAAGGCGCGTGTCGCGGCGCGATCGACCGGGCTCGACGCGAGACTGACGACGCGCGCGCGTGCGATCGGTGATTACGAAGGTTTTACTCTGGTCCGTGGTTCTCGTGCCCGGGCGAACGTCGGGGGCGTGGAACGACGCGGCGAGAGCGTACTACACGCGCGAGACGGTGCGTCAACGTTCGACGCGTTACGACATGGTTGGATTCCAGCAAATGATGCAATCTCTCGCCGAACGCAATCGACGAATCGCGCGCGAGCGCATCGAGTCACTCGTGAACGAGTTCAGAGTCGAGTCCGAGGCCGCGAGTCGTAAGTTCATCTCTCAAGCCGAACAAGATTACGAAACGTTCGCGCGCGCCGCCGGGCGCCAAGCCGCCGAGCGTTCGCGAGAGTCCAAAACCATCGCCTCTCGCGTCGAAGCCCTCACTCGCACTTGTTGGTTCGTGTATTCGTTGATTTCCGCGGTGGGAATTTTCTTTCTCGGTGCTGGGTTTAGCGTGATGCACGGGATGCACGGGTTGATGGACCCGATGCCGTCTGAAAACATACGTATTGGGATCGCGGTGTTGGGCGCGTCGGCGTTGTTGGAAGGATTTTCGTTAAAGGTGGCGTACGAGTCGTTGCGCGACAACGCCAAGGCGCAAGGAATGACGCTGAGGGAATTTATCAAATCTGGTAAAGATCCCACCAGCGTGGCCGTGCTCGCAGAAGATGCTGCCGCGGTGTTGGGTTGTGGCATCGCGGGTACGGCGCTCATCGCGTGCGAAGTGACGGGGAGTCCGATGTACGACGCGATGGGCTCGATTGCTGTCGGTGGCCTTCTTGGGGTGACGGCAATGTACCTCATCAACAGTAACCTCGTGCGCCGTGAAGGCGACGGCGCGATCGCAAAGGGTGCGAACGATCGATCGACGCGACGCCGACGCGCGCGAACGCGTTCGAACGGCGCCCGAGGACGACGACGGGGCGGTGTCCCCATCGGCGCCCCATCGGCGCCATCGGCGCGCCATCGAACGCGACGGATCGGGATGCGCGCGACGATGGGGACCGCGAGGCGTCGATGGCGACGATGGCGTCGACACCGACGGTCGCGAGGGATCACGCGCGCGCCGACGAGGGGAGACGTCGCGTCGACCTCGACGGCGCGCGACGGCGCGATCGGGGCGTGTTATCCAAAGCGACGCGCGAGACTGACGACGCGGTTTTCTGGAATTCTTCGCGCAGGTGCACGCCGCAGCGCAGCGACGAAGCGTCGTCGTGAATGCGGGCACGGGTAAATTTATCGTCGGCGGGAACTGGAAGTGCAACGGCACGGCGGAGTCCGTCAAGTCGCTCGTGAAGGAACTAAACTCTGGGAAAATCGACGCCGACGTTGACGTCTACGTCGCGCCTCCGTTCGTCTTCATTCCTCGAGTGCAAAAGGAGCTCAACAACAAAAACTACGCCGTCGCCGCGCAGAACTGTTGGGTCTCCGCGGGTGGGGCGTTCACGGGTGAGGTGAGCGCGGATATGCTCGCCGACGCCGACATTCCGTGGGTGATTCTCGGGCACAGCGAACGCCGCGCGCTCTGCGGCGAGACGAACGAGTTCGTCGGGGAGAAGACCAAATATGCCTTGAGCAAGGGATTGAAGGTTGCTTTGTGCATCGGTGAGACGTTGGAACAGCGCGAAGCGGGCACGACTCTGGATATTTGCCGCGCGCAACTCAAGGCGGTGAACGACGTCGTGACCGCGGCGGACTGGGAAAACATCGTCATCGCGTACGAGCCCGTTTGGGCGATCGGTACCGGCAAGGTCGCGACGCCGGACCAAGCGCAAGAAGTGCACGCGGGCATTCGCAAGTGGTGCGCGGATAATATTTCTCCGGCGATTGCGTCGAAGATTCGCATTCAGTACGGCGGCAGCGTCAACGCCGGCAACTGCGACGAATTAGCTCAGAAAGAGGACATTGACGGCTTTCTCGTCGGCGGCGCGTCTTTGATCGGCGAGGCTTTCGTGACGATTTGCAACAGCGCCAAGCACTCTAAGTGAGCGAAGCGAACGAAGAGTGCGTGAACCTATCCAATCCTATTCGAATTGTCGCCGCGTGCGGCGCGCGCGCGCACCCCTGAATTAGTAGACTCAATATATATTTCTCGAACGCGAGCGTTCGCGGAGACGAGGCAAAAGTGTAATGTTAACCGTTTACGTTGCGTTCTATTCAAATCAATCTATTCAAATCAACCCACTGCGTGGACCATCATCTATAATACGCCATGTGCCTCGTTTGGAAGTGACTCGCGGCGTCGATTTTCTTCGCCGTCGGGGCGGCGAGTTCCGCCGCCTCTCGCGCGCGGCGCTCGTCGCGATCGATGCGAAGCCACTTTTCAATGGTCGACAATAAATGTTTCGTGCCTTGAATTTCCGGAATGTCCACCTTGGCGCCGCCATACTTCAACTGCCCGTTGGACGTGAACGCGAGGTGCGTCATCCAATCCGCCATGCCATCGAAGATGTGCGTGGCGTACACGATGGTGGCCCCGCGCACCTCGCACTCTTCCTTGAAAAACTCCAACAAGTCAAGCCGACCGAGGATGTCCAAATCCACCGTGATTTCGTCGCACAGCAACACCTTGTACGGCTTCAAGAGTCCGAGACAAATCTGAACTCGACGTCGTTGTCCGTCGCTCAACGCCTTCATGGACCAGTCCAAATCCACATCCAGCAGCTTCACCAATCGTTCTCGCCTCGCCGGGTCCACGTCTGCGACGCCCTCGATCATTTTCCTCGCCGAAATGTCTCCTTGCAGGGGCACGTCCGCGCCCGCGCTTCCGATGTTGCGCCGCCACTGCGCGCCCAGGTAAGAAAGCTCGCCCCCGCACGTGAGCGCGATGTCGTGAAACGGCGGTCGTCCCAGCACGCGCACGACGTCTTCGTTCACCATGGTTTTACCCGCGATGACGTGCAGCGCCGTCGTCTTCCCCGCCCCGTTCGCGCCGGAAAGCAAGCACCTCGACCCCGGCGGCAGGCGCAGGCTCCAATCGCGCAGCACCGCGTCGCATCCCGGGTACGCGTACGTCAGCGCGTCGACGGCGACGGCGCACGACGGTTCGGGGGCATCGTCCAGGACGACGTCCACGACGCCGTGCATCGCGACCGTCTCGCGTCGCGGCGTCGCGGCGCCGTGTGCGGTGACGTCACGCGACGCACACTTTTTCATCGTGCGCATCGTGGTCCGTGTGGCGCGCGTGAGACTTTTGGATCACGATGCGCCGCTCGACGACGGATGCCGACGGCACGCGACGACGCGCGACGGCCGGGATGGCGACGCGCGCGATGTCGGCGCGCGCGCAAACGGTGGTGCGATGCGACGGCGCGCGAACGAGCGGACGTCGATCGCGGAGGGCGACGACGACGACCGCGAGAGGAGAACGATCGAGCGGCGCGGCGACGCCGACGGCGACGCGGATGACGACGCGAACGCGGGCGGTGGAGCCGGAGGCTCTGTTCGAGATCGCGAAAGTTGACGATAGCGTGTACGGTCCGGTGGTGTGCGTCGCGGCCGCGTTGTGGGTGGGATGGGTGTTTTACAACGGCTCGCGCGAGGTGAAGGCGATTTCCGAAGAGCTCGAAGCCAAAGGCTACGACGTCGGCTCGATTCAGCGCCTGAAGGAACTGAAATTCTTGAAGCGATTCGTCGACGGTGGCGATAAAGCCGAGATTCAAGAGGCGTTCGATAAGATTTGGTTCTCGCGCGCGAAAACCATCGCGGCGACTGGCGACATAATGCAAGTGAGGCGCATGACTGAGTACTGGCGCAAGCGCGGCGTCAAGGTCGAGCGGCTTTCGGATTTGGACGTCTTGCAGGACTGGATGGTGAAAAAGTACAACAAACAACAAAAGTAGTCAGTTTATTTAATATTCATCGCGCGCGCGCACGATTTCGCGCGCGCTCGGCGTCGCGTTCGATCGCCCGAAACCGTCCGCGCCCACCCGCGCACGATTTCGCGAGATTTCCGCGTGGCGGTCGTTCCCCTTGAAAATCGAGTGTGAACACTGACTCGCGCGCCGCACACCGCGACGCGCGCACCGCCCCGAACGACCGCGCGCGGAAGATGCTCGGATTGGGTCTCAAGATCGCCGGATTCGGCGTCGGGTACTGCTACCCGACGTACAGCGCGTTAAAGTTGCTCGACAGAAAAGTCATCGGCCCGGAAGATGTCACGCTCTGGTTGACGTACTTCATGATCGCGTTCACGCTCGCGATCGGCGAGGCGATCGGCGTCGTGGGATGGTGCGCGTGACGGCGATCGCGTGCGATGCGCCGTGCGAGCGCGCGCGGACGCGTCTTCCGCGCGCGCGACGCGACGACGGGGAAAGATCATAATCGCCGGCTCGACCGCGCGCAAGATCTCGCCAGGCGCGCCGAGGCGAGCGAATGGGGGGACGACGGATGACTGACGCACGGTGTGACGTTTCGCGCTTTCTACGACCAGGATTCCGGCGTACCGCATCATGAAGGTTTTATTCTGCGCGTGGATGGTGAATCCGCGCTTCAAGGGTGCCATCACGCTGTACAAGAAGGGCATTCAGCCGATTTTTCACCAGCTGTCGCCGTCCATCGACAAGCACGCCGAAAACTTGAAGAAGGGTGATTTTGCGGCGATTCAACAAGAGTTGGGCCCGCAATTCGCCAAGGTTCAAGAACTCGTGAAGAAGCACGGTCCGGAGGCGATTGAGCGCGCGATGAACTTGGCTGGCAAGGGTGACAAGAAGAACGCCGCGACGGCAGCCAACGGGACGAAGGCTGAATAAACGACGAAATGACCAGGCAGTGTTAGGAACAAACCTTTTAATCAACGACGATGTACTACGTGAAAATGAACAAAAACACGGATTCATAGATATTAGATAATACGTTCTTTCAAAATCATCGCGGTGACGGCGAGGAGACGCGTCCTTTCTTCCCCGCCCGGACTTCGCTCGAGAGGATTTCATCCAGACGCTCGATGTCTCGGGCGCTGCCGCAGTGGAAGGGCATTCGCGAGTGCGCGGTGGACGGAACGAAACTCAACACGCTATCGTTGGCGCCAGATATAGCCAGACCACCCGCGCGCTCTATTATGGCAGCCATGGGAAAGCATTCGTACACGGCGCGAAGCTTTCCTTGAGCGTTTGACGAACACGCCGGGTAATGAAACGTGCCGCCGTAGAGCAACGTGCGGTGCACGTCTGCGACCATGGAACCGATGTAGCGAAGAGATTTTGAGCTCGCGCACTCATCAATGTACGCTCGCGTGGCGTCGTCCCACTTTTTATAGTTCGCCTGGTTCACGCTGTACACGTTGCCGCTCTCGGGAATCCGAATATCGCGCTTCGTCAGCACGAACGCGTCGCGATCGGCGTCGTACGTAAACGCGCACACGCCGCCGTGAGCGTCCTCCGACATGAAGCTCAAAACGAGCACCATCGACGCGCCGTACAAAACGTAACCGACGGTAGACATGTCTCGTCCGGGACGCGCGTACACGTGCTCCGGCGATGATTCCGCGCCGACGTCGACGAGCCCGAAAATCGTCCCGACGCCGACGCCGCACTCGATGTTCGAGCTTCCATCCAAAGGATCGAAAACGACGGCGATTCGTCCGTCGACGTTCGCGGTGACGATATCTTCGCTCTCCTCGCTCGCGATCCACGCGCATCGCCCTCCCTGTATTAATTCTTTCACGCACACTTCGTGCGCGGCGTCGTCCAGCGCCGCTTGCTCTTCGCCGTGCACGTTGACGGCGCCGTTCTTCCCCTCGACGAACGCCTTGACGTCCTTCAACCCAGCGCGCCGCACGAATCCTCCTATGCGCACGCACGCCTTCGCCATGGATCGCACCACGCTCGCCTCATCCTCTGCGATCGCGCTCGACGCCGCGCCTTCGCTCGACGCCGCCCTCGCGGCGAGCGCGGCGTCCAAGTATCGCTCCAGCGTCGTCTCCCCGATTTCCAACGCTCCCCGCGTCATCTCGACCGACATCGAGCGTCGACCGATCGCGCGCGCGGGTTCGGTGTCACCGATGCGCGCGCCGCGCGCGCCCTTATCGTCGTCGTCGTCGTCGCGTCGACCGCTCGACACGAATCGCTCGCCGTGCCCAGCGCTTCGCGCGCGCGAATGCGCGACGCGCGCGCGCGCGTCCGGAGCGCCTCGTCGCCGCGAGCGCGCGGTGCGGTGGTGAAGGTGAAGGTGAATGCGCGTGCGGTGTGCGTGCGATAACGTCAATCGGGCGTGCGTCGCCGTCGTGTCGGTGTCCTCGGAGTGCGGTCGTCGTCCGTCGCAAGATTAAGATTGATTTCCAGGTGTTGGCCGCGCGCGTCGAAAATCGGATTTCCCCGACCGCGCGGTCGGCGATCGACGTCGACGCGACGTCACTTTCGAGACGACGACGACGACGATGGCGAGCGCGATGACGAGCACCTCTGCGTTCACCCCGACCACGGCGGGGCTGAAGGCGCGGCGCGCGAACAAAAACTTCTCGCGATCGACCGTTCGCGTGGTGCGCGCGAGGCGAGGCGAAGCGACGACGGACGACGACGGCGCGAACGACGATGCGATCGGGGAAGGATAAAGAAGCCCGCGCGAACGGTCGAGCCGGCCGAGGATCGCGGAGGGAGGCCGCGAGGACACGGGCGAAGACTGACGATCACCGTTACCACGATTTCCGACTCGCAGCAAGCGCGCAAGCCGTTGGTCGGGTACGAAGCGCCGGACTTCAGCGCCGAAGCCGTCTTCGACCAAGAGTTCCAAGACATCAAGCTCAGCGATTACCGAGGCAAGTACGTGGTGTTGTTCTTCTACCCGCTCGATTTCACCTTTGTGTGCCCGACGGAAATCACCGCGTTCTCTGATCGTTACGAAGAGTTCGCCAAGCTCAACACCGAAGTTCTCGGCTGCAGCGTCGACTCCAAGTTTTCCCACTTGGCGTGGTTGCAAACGGACCGCAACGACGGCGGTCTCGGCGACTTGGCGTACCCGCTCGTGAGCGACCTTAAGCGCGAAATCACCGAGGCTTACGACGTCCTTTACGAAGACGGCACCGCGCTCCGTGGTTTGTACATCATCGATCGCGAAGGCGTCATTCAGCACAGCACCGTCAACAACGCTCCGTTTGGCCGCTCCGTCGACGAAACGCTGCGCGTGCTTCAAGCCATCCAGCACGTGCAAAACAACCCGGATGAAGTCTGCCCGGCGGGCTGGACCCCGGGTGCGGCGACGATGAAGCCGGATCCGAAGGGTTCCAAGGAATACTTCAAGGCCATCTAAGCTAAGCCAAGCGATACCACGAAGCACAGCGCGCTCGAGCTATTTTTTAACGGAGACGACAATAATCCGTGCATCGACACACCTCGGCCACCGTTACGTAAGATTACAACATAATCATCTAAGAAGTACGGCGCTCATCGTCCTCCCGCCGCGTCTCGCGCCCGCTTATCTTCGATTCTCTCCCGGAAATCTTCCACCATGAGCTTGAGCCCGTCCTCGAGCTTCACCTTCGGTTCCCAACCGCCTAATTTTTCCTTCGCGAGCGAAATGTCTGGCTTGCGCCGACTCGGATCGTCCGAGGTGTTCTCGCAGAACACGATTTCCGCGTTCGGGTTCACGACTTCGCGCACCTTCTCCGCGAGTTCGAGCATCGTGAATTCACCGGGGTTACCGAGATTCACCGGACCGACGAAGCCCGAGTCGTTGTCCATCAACGCGATGAGTCCGGCGACTAGGTCAGAGACGTATTGAAACGAGCGCGTCTGCGTGCCATCACCGTAGATTGTCATAGGTTTGCCCTCCAGCGCTTGCGCGACGAAGTTGGACACCACGCGCCCGTCATCCATCGCCATGCGCGGTCCGTACGTGTTGAAAATTCTCGCCACTCGAATTTCCAAACCGTGCTCGCGATGGTAATCGAACGCCAACGTTTCAGCGCACCGTTTGCCCTCATCGTAACACGCGCGTTCGCCGATCGGATTGACGTTGCCCCAGTACGATTCCGTCTGCGGGTGCTCGAGCGGATCGCCGTACACCTCAGACGTGCTCGTGAGCAAGAATTTCGCCTTGCACCGCTTCGCGAGCCCGAGCGCGTTCATAGTCCCCAAGACGTTGGTTTTGATCGTCTTCACCGGATTGAATTTGTAATGAATCGGCGACGCCGGGCACGCCAAGTGATACACTTCGTCGATCTCCACCAAGAACGGCGTCACGATGTCGTGTCGGATGATTTCAAACTTTGGATTCCCCTTCAAGTGCTCCAAGTTGCGCTGCGAGCCGGTGAAAAAGTTGTCCATGACGATGACTTCGTCGCCGCGTTTCAACAGCGCGTCGACGAGGTGCGACCCGACGAAGCCGGCACCACCGGTGACGAGCACGCGGCGGGGTTCACCGCAACGCGGGCGCGCCTTGGGCACGGTCGGAGGTGGCGAAGGCATCGAACGCAGACGAGCGCGCAATGCGGGTGTTCCGCGCGGCGAGACGCGCGCGCCGAAAGTCGCGCGCCTGTAACAATGCGAACGCGAGAAAACGCGCGAGACCCGGCGCTGATGGTTCGTAACCCGTCAAGAGTCCCTCGGGAATCGGAGACGGTATCGTATAGTGGTTAGTACCTTGCGTTGTGGAAACACATGGAATTCTGGCGCGTTAAATACGCGCACAAGTACACCTCAACAATACCGCAAAAACCGCGGCTCGAATCCGCGTACCGTCATACTTTTGCCCGACGTTGGTCTCGCTCGCGTCGTCGGACTTCGCGCTCGCGGCGCGCGGTCGCCACTGCAAACTAAGATGCGCTAGAATTACACTTTTACCTACGACGCGCCTGCGACGTCGCGAACGCTAGTCGCCCGCGACGTCTGTAGCCTCCGGTCACGAGCGAGCCTCTTCCTCCTCCTCCTCGTCGCTCGACTGCCCCGTGGCCTTGAGATACTCCGCCAACGCCTCGTCGCTCGCGCCCGAAACCCCGGCGAGGTTGCGCGGCCCCGTGCACATCTCCCAAAGCTCGCCGACGTCGAGCGCCGTGCACCACGCCGTCGGATACGTGGGAAACGACGTCTCCGTGTCCCCGCGCCCGGTGCGTTTCACCCCCGCGCGGCCGTTTCGCACGCACACGACGTATCCGTGCACCGCCCGCGTGATGAATCGACGCTTCGTCGCCGTCGAATCCGTCGTCGACGTCGACGTCGTCGCGCCGGCGTCCGACGCCGCGCCGGCGTCCGACGCGAACTTTTTCGATCGCGCCGGCAGCGGTGCCCCCACGCGCACGTCCACGCGCACGCGATCGCCGACTAGGATGCCTCTCTTCGCTAACTCTGCCGCCACGCGCTTCGCCTTCTCCGCCGCGCTCTCTCGAGGACGACCCGACTTTTCCTCACTCATGACGCCCGAGCCGTACGCGTCATCCATCGCCATCATCGCCTCGAACGCGTCGTCGGATTCCGGCGTCGCGTCCTCGCGCGCGTCCTCGCCGTCGGACGAGCGTCTTCGCCATCGCGGCGACGACGACGCGGCGTACGACGCGCTGGAGCGCTCGACGACGCCCCGGAATTCGCGCGCGACGCGAGACGCGCGCATCGAAGTGCCGTCGCGGCGTCGCGGCGCCATCGCGGCGCGCGCGGCGCGCGATCGCCGACATGGCCAAGGGGAAGCGAAGGAAAGAGCGCATTCGCGCGATGAAGCTCGCGGCGCGCGGCGCGGACGTGCGCATGGACGGCGACGCGGGGACGACGGCGCGCGGCGGCGGCGGTGGGACGGCGACGACGACGACGACGACGACGACGACGACGACGACGGGCGTCGCGACGACGACGACGACGGCGGACGACGCGACGACGACGGCGCGCTCGGCGCCCGTCGGGCGGAAACGCGCGCCGACGGTGCGCAGGGCGATCGCGAAGCGCAAGAGAGCCGCCCTGGACAAGGCGCTGTCGCACGTCGAGCGACGAGGCGTCAAGGCGGATAGGAAGAAACTCAAGCGCGGGCATCGCGTCGCGGCGAGGGACGTGTACTGAAGCAGAAATTCGCGGTCTCGCTCGCGCGCGCGCGCGCGCTCGAGGGAGCGATTGTACGTTAGACGATTTGTAAGACGACGCCGCTCGCGCGGCTCGACGCTCGCCGCGCCGCCTCGCACCACAACCCTACTTGAAGATCCGCAGTCTCGGACTCGCGCGCGACTCGATGTCCGCCGCGCTGTGCATAGGAAGAAAGTCCGCGGAAGACGTCGAGGACGCCGGGGAACTGCGACTCGGTCCCGATTTCGACGACGCCAACTGCTTGTCGCTCGCCGAGGTGAAGATCGTGTGCGAGTCGAAAGTCGCCGACGACGCCGAACAAGCGGAGGAGACGTCGACGACGCGCACGCGGGTGTTCGAGAAGACGTTAGCGTACGCGAAGCGGTTCAGCGGGAACACGAGCAGCACGGCGGCGGCGGCTATTCGGGAATTACACAACAATTCAGGGTTGCACGACTTTGAAGGCGCGGCGATCTCAAACTTGAAGCCGCAGGATTGGGACGAGGCGAAGACTTTAGTGCCGAGCTTGGAGCAGGAAGATCGCGGGTTGACCGAGGAAGGGATTCAAGCGATGTTAGACGAGATGTCGAACGTGCGGAAGTTCGAATGAAGTGGCCGTCCTCGCTTTGCTGTAAAACAATTAAATCGACTACGCACGAAAGCAGCGACTCGCCGCGCTACACCGCGTCCCCCCAACGAGCCCTGTCGCTCATCTCTACCCCGTCCTCGTCTTCGTCGTGTTTGAGCGAAAAGTACATGTTTTCTTCCTCCGGTCTGAACATGTAGCCCGTGGCGACGTAGTACGCCAGCGTCGCGAGCTCGTTGAAAAACGCCGCCGTCCAGCGCAACTCGTACTCCACCGTGGACTTGAGCAAGTAGACGATGATGCGAGTGAAGTAGATGTACGCCACGGTCATGACGTAAAAGTGACGGAACAGTAACAGCTTTTCCAAATTCCTCGCCTTCTTCTCGCTCGAATCCGAGGTGTCGCGCAAGTGCTTGATGCTCCACACAATCGGCACCAACACGGCGCAGCAGCACATGATGTCGATGACGATGAACATGTTTTGCCACGCGAACCAGCCTTGATCGGCGGGACCTTCTTCGCCTATCACGACCGCGGCTATGTTGGCCAGCACTTGGAGCGGGATCACGGCCATGAGCAAATTCTTCTCGCGCTGGTGCAAAAACGGCTTCAAGAAGCTCCACCCCATGCCCACGAGGGCGATGACGCTAAACATGAGCATCGACCGACAGACGGTGAAGACGTAGTACGCCGCCGTCCATCCACGCGATGACCCAGTGAGTCGCGTGATGTGATACCGCCCCGCCTGCGCGAGCACGGAGAGCGTCTTGAAACACACGAGCGCGAGCATGAGCCAGTGAATCTTTCGCACGCCGCGCTGCCCGTTCGCTCGACCGAGAATGAACGCCCACGCCACGGCCGCGCACGTGTCCAACAAAAAGAACAAGTAATACACGCTCGGTAACGACTTCTCGCCCGCTCCCAAGTAATCATTACGCCCCCTGGCGTCTTTATTCGCAAACGTCGTCGTGATCTCAAACGACACCACCGTGTGCGGCGCGCAGCTGGCGAAAAACAGCATGTAATCCCCCGGCACCTTTATCTCCTTCATGAACTCGTACGAACTCACCTCCCGCTCACCCTTCTTCAACTGCGCGTCCATATCCGCGAACGTGAACGCCTGATCGACGAAATCCACGTCCAACACGCACGCCCCGTCCTCGAGCGCGGCGTCGAGCGCGCCCTCGTCCTTGGCCTCGGTGATGAAAAACCCGAGCTTTGTCTTATCCAGCGGCGGCGCGTGTTCGGGCAGGTACACGCGCGATTCTTTCAGCGCGATCTCCATCGTCCCCCCCACCGCGAACCCGAACGGTTCGCGCAGTAAAATCAAGCTCCTATCGTCCTTGGACACCTCGTACGTCGCGATCCGCGCCTCCGCCGTCGCCGCCGTCATCGCCACCGCCACCACCGCGCACGCCGCGCCCAGCGCCGCCCGCGCGACGCCCGTTCGTCCTCGCCGCACCATCGCGCGCGGTGATCGCGCCGGTCGAGATCCGCGCCGTCGCTCGCGTCGATCGATCGAATCCAATCCAATCCAATCGAACGCCGCCTCGGGCGCGCGAATCGGAATTCGACGCGCGCGTCGCGCGCGCGCGCGCGATCCGCCCCCGTCGCGCGCGCGCGCGTCGTATCCGCGTCGTCGCCGTCGCCGCGATCGAATCGCGTCGCGAACTCGCGCGCCGCGCGCGCCGGACGCGACGGACGCGTCGCGCGCGCGCACACCCGGAAGCGACGACCGGCGCGCCCGACCCTAAACCCTAAATACCCGGAAGTGACGGGACGACCGACGACCGCATCCAGGGTGCCTCGTCCGCGCGCGCGCGACGGCGTCGCACATCGCGACTCGACGCGACGCGCGACCGACGCGACGGGGCGCGACGCGGCGACGACGACCCGGCATGCGACGCGCGTGGGAGGAACTCGCGCGACGCGCGACGCGCGACCGAGGACGCGACGCGCGATGGGCGATGACGACGACGACGACGACGACGACGACGGATCGCGCGGTGACGGCGCGCGCGACGCGATTCGCGACGACGGCGGCGCGTGGACCGGAAATGAAATGGCGATGCGTCGGAGCGCGCGCGATGGGAGCGCCGAGGACGCGCGCGTGCGCGTGCGCACGGTGCGCGGGCGAGCGAGGCGCGCGCGCGAGGGAGGGTGCGCGCGCGGGGGCGTCGACGGGGGGGGGGAAGGGACGGACGTTCGCGTCGTCGACGAGCGAGGCGAGCGCGCGAGCGGCGGAGGTGGTGCGAGATGAGGCGAGCGAGGCGGCGAGCGCGAAATTAGCGGCCGCGATGGCGCGGAGCGCGGACTCGTACATGCTGTTTCACCCGCAGTACGACTTGCGACAGGTGGAAAACGTGAAACCGGCGCATCGACAGCCGAGACACGTGCGCGATTACTTGGCGTACGGGTTGGTGCAATTCTCGCGATGGTCGTTCGATAAAGTCACCGGGTACACGCCGAAGAAATCGCTCACCACGGATGGATGGTTGATGAGATTCATCTTTTTGGAAACCGTCGCGGGGGTGCCCGGCATGGTGGGCGCGATGCTGCGACACATGATGTCTCTGCGCACGCTCAAGCGCGATCACGGTTGGATTCACACCTTGCTCGAGGAAGCGGAAAACGAACGCATGCACTTGCTGACGTTCCTGAAGCTTCGCGAACCAGGGCTGATGTTTCGACTCGCCGTCCTCGGCGCGCAAGGGGTGTTTTTCAACGCCTTTTTTCTGTCGTATCTGATTTCTCCGCGAACGTGCCATCGATTCGTGGGGTATCTTGAAGAGGAAGCCGTGCGCACGTACACGCACGCGTTGCACGACATCGACGGCGACGGTCCCGCGAGCGAATGGGCGACGATGCCCGCGCCCAAGCTCGCGATTAAATACTGGCGAATGCCCGACGACGCCACGGTGCGCGATTTAATCATCGCCGTGCGCGCCGACGAAGCGTCGCACTCCCACGTCAATCACACCCTGTCTTCCATGGGTATTCGACAAGCCAATCCGTTCCACGTCGGTCACACCGAGTTGCCGGAGAATTTCGTCGAGCCGCCTGCGGGCTTCGTCCCGGAACACTGCCGTTAAGAGACGCGGACGAATCCCGCGCCTCGAATTTCGCGTCGGGGCGGCTGAAACGCCCGTCGGGGCGGCTGAAACGCCCGGCGCGTCGATTACAACAAATTTCAATTCACTGTATCCATCTCCTCGCACGCGCAGCGCAGCAATAGCAATTAATCACCGTTTTTAATTTTTAAATTTTAAGAGCGCATCATTCGTTCGTTCGTTTGGCGGAGGACGAGAAGACGAGCGCCGCGGTTTTATTTTTCTTCGTCGTTGCGTAAATGTATTCACAAAGGTTCGGGGGACGAAAGAAACGGAAATCAAAACGATCGATCGACGAAACTCCGCCTAACGCCGCCTTTGTCCGCGCGTCGCGAGACGCGGCACGACGCTTATTCTGTATATAAAGTAAACTCGAGAAGACGACGTCGCGTTCCGGCGACGGCGGCGTCGGACGCCGCGTTCGTTTCCATCGACGACGCAGCGAGCCAATAACATCAGCCCTTTCGCTGCGTCGCGTCACGTACGTACGCGCACATCCTCAACCATCGCGTTGAACCTCGTCGTCTTCGTCCCGTCAAAGTCATCGCGCGCGTCTACAACGCCGCGATTTCCTTCAACATGTTGTCGATGCACGACGCCTCCGGTCGCGCGTCTCCCGCGGGATCGTCCGGCGCTTCGCTCACGTTCAGCACCTTGATCACCCCATCGTCGACGTACATCGCGAAGCGTTTGCATCGCTTCGGTCCGAGCTTCGCGCACGGTCCGGGCGCGACGAGCTCCACGTCCAGCGCCTTCGTGATCACCGAATTCGGATCCGCGAGGAACGAAATGTTTGACCCTTGAATCTTTTGATCGATCGCCCACGCCCCCATGACGGCGGCGTCGTTCACGCACATCACCAGCACCTCATCGATCCCGCTCGCGCGCAGCGCGTCCTGCCCCGCGAGGTATCCCGGGACCTGACACGTCGATCACGTCGGCGTGAACGCGCCGGGCAGGCCGACGACGAGCGATTTTTTACCGGCGAGACGCGCGCGCATCTTCACCGGCGTCGGCCAGGAGGGCTCGTGCGATTGCGCGACGACGTCGGGGAATTGGTCGCCGACGGCCACCATCGCGAGCGGCGGGAAGTCGACCGCGCGCGCGAGTGACGACCGAAGGCGAACGATCCGTGGGCGATCTCGTTGGACGGACACCCGGGCCCCGGGCAACCGACCGGGGGCGCGAGACGTCCATCGCGACGAGACGCGCGAGATCGAACGGCGATGGACGACGCAAAGGAGTGCGTGTATGATTATATATTTATCTTATTAACCGTAAATAGAGTCATTCGTAGACGCATGTCACGTCGCGCGCCGGAACGGAACGCGGCGGAACGTTGGTTTCATCAATACGGATTGATGTATCCGGGGCACTGATTCCAGTTGGGCTTCAAGTCCTTCTTGATCTCGTCCGGTGCAAACTCAGTGACGCAAACGTGCGCGAAGAGCAAGGCGAAACCGGGATCGATGCCGGGCTTGGTCGTGATCTCGTGCGGGTACTTGGAAATCCAACCGCCGCGGAGCTCGGCGGTGAAGGCGGCGCACTCCCACTTCAAGTCGGAGCCTTCGCAGCAGAAGAGATCGAATCGATCGATCGTCGTCCCATCGGCGGTCTTGATCTTGTACGAAATCTTCGTCACGTACTCCTTGTCGGTGACGTTCACATTCCGACGTTGGTGTCCTTGTTCGTCTCTGGTATAGTGCACCGACACTTGACGCGTGCAGTAGCCTTTGGCTTTGATCTTCACCGAGTACGCCCCGCCCGGGGTCTTCACCGACTTCAACTTGGCCTCGGAAAACGTGCGCCATTTCATAGAGTAAAACCTGTTCTCTCCCATCTGCATCTGTTGCATCATCTGCTTGAACATGTTCGTCACGGTTCGAACGTTGGGGTTATCGTCGCCGTCGTCCTCCGAGTCGGCTCCGAGCGACATCCCCATATCAAAGTGCGGTTTTTCGTTGTACTTCAACTTCCACAGCACTTGCCCTTTCTTCTTATCGTTCGGGTCGATTCGCGTGTAGTTTTCCAAGTCAATGTACCCAGTCGGGTCGAAGAAACCCTTCCCTTCGCGATTCAGAAACAGCCAGCGATTGTTCGGTCCCACTTCGTCTCGATAGACTTCGTAGTCCTTGTTGAACATCGAGCACGACTTGACGACGAATTTGCTCGGTCCCTGGTGGCGCGTCGCGCGTTCGTCTCGTCGTCAGTCGTTCGTCGCGTCGCGTCGCGGCGCGCGCGTTCACTCGTTCGCCACGACGCATCCATCATCGCGCGCGACGTCCGATTCGATTCGACGGCGCCTCGGCGCGACGCGCGCGCGTCCGAGCGCGCACCTCCGGGTCGGCGATGATGTTCGCCGGCACGTCCGGCGTGCTCTCGCATATGCTCGCGCACGCGCCCATGGCGACGACGACGACGCGACGATGCGATCAATGCGGCCATTTCTAGCTCGAGTTGCAATAGCGCCCAACTTCACTCTTCGACCCCATGGCGCGTCCTCGCGTCCATCTCACTCGCGTCGCGCCCGCGTCACCGCGCGCGTCGCGTCGCGCCGAGCGTCACCCGTCTCGCGCGCGACGAATCGCGTCCGCGTCCGCGTCCGCGTCCGCGTCCTCGTCCCCGTCGCTGCTCTTTGCCACCTCCGCCGCGCTGGAGCACGTGCAGTTGGGGCACCCGGAGAGCAACGCTCGCGTGCCCGCCATCTTAGACGCCCTCGAGGCGGGCGCTCTGACCCCCGCCGCGAGACCGGGTGAGGTGTTGGAGATCACAGACGTCGTGCCGGCGACGAAAAAGGCGCTCGAGCGTGTGCACGCGAAGAATTACTGCAACGGGCTCGAGTTGTTGTGCGCCACGCGAGCGCCGACGAATTTAGACACCGCACCGACGTACTGCACGCCGTCGAGCTTTCAAGACGTGATGCTAGGCGTCGGTGCGGCGACGCGATTGGTGGATGAGGTGATCGATCGCGCGAAGGAGACGAAAGAAAAGGCGCCGAGCGCGTTTGGTTTGATACGCCCACCGGGACACCACGCGGTGCCGCGAGGGGCGATGGGATTTTGTTTGGTCGGCACCGCGGCGGCGGCGGCGAGACACGCGCAGCTTAGAGGGCATAAAAAAGTGCTCATTTTCGATTACGACGTGCACCACGGTAACGGTACGAATGATATTTTCCGAGACGACGATTCCGTGCTGTTCATCTCCACGCACGAGGACGGGAGCTATCCGGGGACGGGGAAGATTACGGATATGGGCGAAGGCGATGGTCTGGGTGCGACTATTAATATACCTTTGCCTCCGGGAAGCGGTGATAAGGCGGTGTTGAGCGCTTTGGAAGAAATCGTCGTTCCGGCGGCGGCGCGGTTCCAACCCGACTTCATCATCGTCAGTGCCGGCTACGACGCGCACTGGCGAGATCCTCTCGCTGGGTTGACGTTTCGCACGGGAACGTACCATCGTCTTTGCACAAAGTTGAAAGAACTGGCGAATGAGATGTGCGGCGGGAAAATCGTGTTCTTATTAGAGGGCGGGTATGATTTGGTGGGTTTGAGCGAAGGCGTCGCGGATTCTTTCCGCGCGCTCTTGGGCGACGCCTCAACGGACGTCGGCGAGATTCCCGGGCTGAGAGACGAGCCCGATGATAAAGTGCGAAATGTTCTCACCGAAGTCAAGGCGATGCATCAAGTTTAGATCGCGATGGATTGTTTTATTTTATTTTTTAATGCTGCTGCAGCGCGACTTGATTTGCTTTTCAACGCGGTGCGGTCACGCGCGAATCGAAGACTCGGATACAATCTCGCAATCCTCACCGTTCACTGCGAGAGTCGACAAGCGTAAGGATTGCGCCGAGCGCGTGCGCACATTGAATCCGATCCGCTTCGTGGAGTACAACGCGATGTACGCGTCGTATCCGCGATCGCGCAACTCGAAGACGCGACCGTCCTCCGGCGCGTACATCGTGCGCGCGTCCGCACCGTACGCGCTACTTGAGTATAACACAACACCATCGCGCGCAAACTTGAACAAAATCTTCCACCCGCCGCTGATGCTTTCACCCGATGCGAGCACGATGTAAATGTCCATGCCAAACTCTGAAGATCCGTCTGCTTGCGGGCTCTCCCATCGAATATCCGTTCTCGCGACGCACCGCGGTTGATTCGGTGGCGGTGGCGAAAGTGGCGGTGGCGAAGGCGGCGGAGGCGAAGGCGGCGGCCGTTGTAAAGGTGGGGAAGTCGTCGACGCCGGCGCCGGCGTTGAAGTTGTCGGGTCGTTCACGGCGTTGAAGTTGTCGGGTCGTTCTCTCTGACGTTTGGCTAGAAATTCAACGACAGGATTCTCTACGATCTTACCCTCGATTTCGATGCTTTCGCGCGCCAACGCCTTCAACATCAGCGTCGACGTTGATTCCAACACTTCCATCGCCTGTCGCCTCGCTTCGTACGTTAGCTCTTCCTCGCGCGCCAGCGTCGTCGCCGCCCGCGCCGCGGCCTCCATCGAAACCTTCCCGCGCGCGCTCGCGTCGAAATCCAAGTCCGCGCACACGCCCCATTTTCCGTCCTCCTCCGCCACGCACCACAGCGCCCCGTCTCGTCCGTAGGGCACGCACTCGTTCACGAAGACGTCCTCCGCGAGCTCCAGCGGCCATTTGCACGAGCGGCCGTCCGCGGTGAACGTCGTCGCGCGCGCGCCCTCGATCGCGAGCGCCGTCGAGACGACGAGCGCCGCGCGCGCGATCGTCCGCGCGCGCTTTTTCGCGCGCGCCATCGCGCGATCGAGCGTCGTCGCGGCGTCGAGTGAGGCACGAGGATAAGAACAGTCACAAAAACAGTCACAAAAGGCGAACAGTCACACGATCGCCGCGCGACGGCGAAAAATTTCGAGTTCAAACCGCGCGCGCGCGCGAACCGCGACGCCGCAGCGCGTCGCGCGCGCGCGTCGGCATGCGCGCGGACGAATCGCTCGAAAGCGCGTGCGTGCGCGTCGTCCTCGGACTCGTGGGTAAGCGCGCGCGGACGCGCGGCGGTGCGGATGAGAAGGCGAGCGCGAGCGGGACGGCGTCGTCGTTCGACGCCGCGCGGTGTCGCGAAATCGTGCTCGAACAGCACGCGAAGCGCAGAAAGGTGAGAGGAGGACGCGTGGGTTCGGTGCGCGGCGTCAGAGACGCCGACGTCGATGATTTCGACGAGGACGACGAGGACGAGGATGATTACGCGCGCTTGACGGAGGCTGAAGTCGAGCGCGTGTTGCTCGCGATGCAAGACGCGATGGAACGAGAACTCGCGAACGAAGAGCGATTGATGAGCGAGCGCGCAGAGGTAGAATATCGCGAAGACGAGGAAGAACAGGAGCGGTTGACGCGGGCGATTGAGGCGTTTGAGCGATGGAAATTTCCCGAGGCGGAGGACGTCGGCGAGAACGCCGAGTCGAGCGGCGAAGACGTCTTGTGTCCGGTGTGCGCCACGAGACGGGTGCTTTACAACAGGCACGTGTTATTTTGCGCGTGTGGGGACTTTAGAATCGCGCGTGCCGATGAAAACGTAGGGTTGACGTACTTGAAGCGACGTTTGGCGGAGACATTTGAGGCACACGTCTCACGCGGGTGCGGCAACGCTGGTGGGCTTCGGTTTAGCGTGCGCGATGAGTACGGTTTAGATGCGTGCGTCGCAAAGTGTGAAAGGTGTTCGTTTTTAGAGATTGTGATGTAGATTGTAGAGTGCGTAGAGATTACTTGCTTCTCGTGTTTTACAGCTCGCGCGCGTTGCGTACTACTTTGCGTTCAGTGCTTCCTTTTCATCCCTCGCGGTGATAATCAAAGCAAATATATCTTCATCCGTCAACTTGTCTTCGTTGTGAAGTCGGCGAATGTGGTGCGCGATATTTTCATCGGTGTAGCCGAGCGCGACGCCGACCAAGGCTTGCTGAAACGCTCCTGCGATGTTTCGCGTCGCCTGAACGCCCATGGAGACGAGCACGTTCGCGGTTTCCTTGGCGGTCTCGCGATAAATTACCGCTGTGATGCCGTTGGAGAACTCGGGGTTACCATCTTTATCCTCTCCCACTTGATACCTCGCTTCTGAAAGTCTCATTGAAATAGACGCATCCTGCGTCAACATGTCCTCAAGCGTCGCCGCTGCGAACGGGGCGCGAACGCTATCTTCGAGCGCATCCGTCCAGTCGCACACGATTTGCATCAACACCACATCTCGGTGACCGTGTTTCAGCGCCAAGAGTTCCCCCGTCATCTTCGTCGCGCTCTCCGTGGGGTCCTTGATGACTCGCCTCGAGTGCGCGCCGTCGCCCTCCGTCCAAAAGCGCGGGTTCTTCTTCACCGCTTGTTCTAACCCATTCAACGTCAGCGCCTTATCCACGCTCGAAACCAGCGTTAAAGCATCGCTTTCCCGTTCGACCCGTCGCTCGTACGACTTAATCGCGCGTTTAAACTTGTCCGCGTCTCGCACGTTTTTCAGCCTCGTCAGCGGCGTTCGCTCGTCCAGCAACGCTCCCGAGATCCCAATCCGCGCCTGATTCGCCCCGCCCTGATCCAATATCTGCGCCTTCTTCCCCTCTAACTCACCCTCGACGAGCTGTCGTCCACCCGTGCTCATCCCCACTCGCTTCACGACGAACCACCGCAGCGCGTCTCGCGTCTCGTCTTCATCCGCGCGATCGCGTCCGCTCCCATCCGCCGCTTCCGCGGTGACGCGCAGCAAGTCCCCGACCGTGGCCATCTCGAGCACCTCGCGAGATCGCGCGACGACGGGATCCAGGTCTTCGCTTCCGCTCGTCATCGTCGCCGTCGCCGTCGAAGACGATGTCGTTGACGATGACGATTGATTCGCGCGGTGCGGCGGCATGAACGCGTCCATGCCGTCCGACATCGCGCGCACCGTTCCCGCGCGCCTCGATCGACGCGTCACGCGCGTCGATCGCGCGAACGCGGCGTCGCGCGCGACGCAACGAAGCGATGTCATGACGATCGCGTCCCGCTCGAAATATCTCCCGCGCGTCACTCAATGAAGCGCGCCGCGCGCGTCGGCGCCTGCGTCTCCGCGTTGGTGGCGCTGATCGCGATAACATACGACGCCGCGTGCGTCCGCCCCGCCGTCGAGCGCGCGTTCGCGAGCGATGCGGCGCGCGCGAAGGCGATGAAAACGCTCGGGCTGGTAACGGCCGCGAACGAACGACGCGACGCGCGCGACGCCGCGCGCGTGCGCGTCGAAGCGCGAAGGGCGTTTCGAAGAAAAGCGTTAGAGCATCATCCCGATAAGCGCGCGCGCGGGACGAGCGCGAGGGAGTTCGTGGACCTGGTGCGCGCGCTGGAGACGCTCGCGCCGAGGACGCGCGGCGAACGCGAACGCGAACGCGCGGGGGAGCACTGCGCGACCGCGGTCGCGAAGACGGCGACTCGGATGCGGTCAGTGATCATCGAGCGCTTGCGCGACGCGCGACGCGTTGGGAAGTGGATGGGATCGATGGGAAGACGAAGCGCGCGAGTGGACGCCGGAACGCCGGAACTGGAATCGCCGCGACACGACGACCGGGACGACGACGACGACGACGACGCGAGCGTCGACCTCGAATCGTTCTGGAACAGGGCGAAGTTATTATTAGACGACGATTTAGACGACGATTTAGACGTAGACGTAGACGTAGACGACGCAGAAGACGACGATTCGCCGTATCCGCGAGCCACGGCGCTGTAATACCAAAAAACGGCGGCGGCGGCGGCGCACTTCGAGACGCGTCCGCTTCCCGCGACGCTCTGCGAAAGCGAAGCGCGCGAACGTCGAAGTAGAAAACGTAACGCACGACGCGATGGGGTCGCAAAATCGCACGAACAAGGCGCGCACGAAGCGCGAGGCGGTGCCGAACAACGCGAAGGCGCGCAAACAAATCGCCAAGTTGGAGAGCGCGAAAAAGCCGGGAATCACGTACGCGCAGAAACGCAAGGCTGAGAAGGCGGCGCGAGACACGTTGAAAATGTCTGGGAACAGCGCGCGAGCGTCGAACGACCAAGCGATGCGACGGGAAGGTGGGGTGAAATACGGGGCGTTGGAAGTCAGGTACAGGGCGCTCGCGAAGAAGCTGCGGCAGATTGAAGACTTGGAGCGAAAGCGAAGCGAGGGCACTCGCATGGATGCGCAACAGACGAAGAAGCTGAAGCGTAAGGAGTACTTGGAGGCGGAGATGAAGAATTTGGAAAAGTTAATCTCTGGCGAGGCCGGGGACGAGGAGGAAGAGGACGAAGGGGAAGACGACGAAGAAATGTCCGAGGAGGACGAAGAGGAAGATGACGACGACGACGACGACGACGAAGAGGAGGAAGAAGACGAGGATGATGAAGAGGAGGAAGAGGAAGACGAGGACGAAGACGAGGAAGAGAGTTCAGAGGAAGAAGACGAAGACGAGGACGAGGAAGAAGACGATTCGGAATCAGAATGAAGCGTCGAGAGTTGCATTGCAATGCTAATACCTATCATCACTAGAGAACGCCAGAGTTGACGAGACTGTCGATGAAGTTTGAGTTGAATTCTGTTTCGCTGAAAATGTCACTACGCGCGCGCGCGCGCGCTGAAATTTCCTCCCGCTCGGTTCGGCGCATGAGCAACAAGTGCTCGAGCGTTTCGGCGAAGGTCGCCACGCTATCCGCAGTGAAACCTGTCGGGCCGTCGTGTTGGTCGCGTATGATATCGAGAAAAGGTCCGCCAGATGCGTGAGCGACGGGCACCGCGCCTGCCGCCATGTACTCGACGACACAAATACCGAAATGCTCGTCAATCATGGAGTGAAGGCCGATGGACGCGCGCGACAGCTCGCGCTTGACTTCGTCGTACGACACGTCGACGTGGAACTGAACGCTATCCTGGAGCTCCAGATCTTTGACACTTTGTTGCAAATCTGCCAAGCGCTCGCGGTCGGCTTCGTCACGGCATCCACCGACGAAGACCAAAATGGCGTTTTCAATCTTGCTCGATAATGTCTTGAACTTTTTCAAAGCCTTCCAGGCGGCGATTTGAACCACGTGCGCTTTTTCCGGTCGAAACTGCCCCACGCTAACAACGCGTATCGACGACTTGTCCTTTTTCACCGGCGTCCCGCGCGCGTTCAACCTCGGGCGCGTCAACGGGAGTTTGGACAAGTCTTCGACGTTGCACGGGGGATACACCACCCGTGAATCAACCCGCCACAATGCGTCGATGTGCGATTTAGTCCACGAAGAGTTCACCATCACGCACTTACACGATCGTCCGCACCACCCGTACACGACGGCAAAGGCGCGGTAATAAAGTACCTTGAGGCCGCTCAAAAACTTGGACGACGCGAACAGGCGGCTGTTGTTGTACATCAGTCTTCCGCTCTCCACGCGCGCGATCATGTCCCTCGACACCGTCGGATAGTGCACGTACGCCACTGTTTGGCACCCAAACAGATATCGCGCGATCGGATACGTCGCCGCGTGTCCGACGGTATCCACGAACACATCCGGCGCGAACGTCCACAGCGCCTCGAGCCCGAGCCACGCGCCGCCGATAAACTGCCCCAATATCGTGCACCGTTTGTACGTCTCCGCGCGCGCCCATCGCTCACGCGTGAGTCTGATAACGTTTATGGGCGCTCGCAACTCGATCCCGAACCGTTCGCGCGCGCGCGCGATGAGTTCGTCGCCGTCCTCGACGGGTTCGTCGCCTCGCGCCGACGTCGCGCCCGCGTACACGCAACACGTGACATCCCTTCCCTCCGTCGCTCTCCATTCGCGCGTCTCGCGCGCACTGTTCGATCTCACGTCCGACCGCGCGTCCCGGCGCTCGTCCGCGCGCGACATCATCGCCGCCTCGCCTTCCTTCTCCGCCGCGTCGGCGTCGGCGTCGTCGCCTCGCGCGCCGCGCCGATCGCCATCGAAATCACCTCGCTGCGCCGCCGCGATCGCGGCGAACAGCACGCGTTCGCCGCCGCCACCGTCCCCACCGCTCGGGTGATAAAATCCAATCACTCTCCCGCGCCCCGCGCCGCGCACGACGCCGCGAACGCGCCGTCGCTGTTTCGCGCTCGTCTTAAACATCATCGCGACGTGCACGAGCGCGAGCGCGACGCACGCGCACAGCGCGGCGACGACGCGATCGCGCGCGGTCATCGCGTCGCTCGCGACGACGCGCGTCATCGCCGGGTCGCGCGCGACGCGCGCGCGTGTGCGCGAGCGCGCGCACCGATCGCATCACTCGGCGTCGCGCATCGATGCGCGCGCGCGCGTCGATACGCACGAACGACGCCGCGCGAACGATCGCGCGCACGCTCGCGCGCGCCCGTCGCGTCGACGCGCGCGCGCGCGCGCCGCTCGCGCGCGGGACGGCGGTGCGCGTCGGTGGCGGCGGCGACGCCATGGGACCGAACGTCACCGTGCGCGCGATCGAGACGGCGAGCGACGCGCAGAGGAAGGACCTGCACGTGGTTTTGGTGACGCCAAAGATTCCCGGGAACACCGGGTGCATCGCGCGGACGTGCGCGGCGTCGAGGGTGCCGCTGCACTTGGTGGCGCCGCTCGGATTTTCGCTCGACGACGCGCAGTTGAAGCGCGCCGGGTTGGACTATTGGAAATCGGTGTGCGTCAAGGTGCACGATGATTGGGATGCGTTTTACGCGTATTGGCGCGAGCTCGGGGACGAGCGTGGGCGGTTGGTGGCGTTTTCAAAATTCGGCGCGCGGCCGCACGCGGAGGACGGCGCGTATCGACCGGGGGATTGGTTGTTGTTCGGCGCCGAGACCACGGGGCTGCCAGACGCGGCGATGGAGGCGTGCAAAGCCACGGGGGGGGTGCGTAGAATTCCCATCGACGAAAGTCACGTGAGGAGTTTGAATTTGTCCGTGTCGTGCGGCATCGGCGTGTACGAGGCTTTGCGGCAACTCGACGGTTCGCCAACCGTGGACGAATGAAATGAAACTACTGTATCCACATTGTTGTATTACAAGACGAGTTTTCGCTCGCGATTTCGAAATCCGACGCGCGCGCGCGCGCGCTCACGACCCGAGTTTGAACGCGTCGGCGATCAGGGAGTAACAGTACCCGACCTTGAACCAGTTGAGAAATTCGAGCCATTTGTTCGTCTCGGCGCTCGCGTAATAAATCCGCGTCACCACCTCAAAAAACGCCACGCTCAGCGCTCCCGCGACGACGTCGTTGATCCCTATGGCCCCGAAGCTCAGCGTCATGACGTTTGCGAGATAGAACCCAAAGTACGCGCTGATGGCGCGCCAAAGCGTCACGCGATAATTTCTGCGCTGAAAGTACAGGTTGAACCGCCGCGGCAGCGACGTGAGCACCGACACCAGGCGGGTTTCGCGTTCGGCGCGCGCGACGATGGCGTCGCGCGGACGCGACCGCGCGTGGCGACCGCGCGCGATGCCGCTCGAGCGCGCGGACGTCGCGCGCGCGACGAACGACGACGACGAAGCCTCGACGCGCCGACGACGCGCGCGCGGGACGGCGACGACGCGCGACGACGCATCGAAGCGTCGCGCGAAGGATTTGGACGCGCTGGACGCGTCGATGCCGACGCCGCGCATCGCGCTTTCCAGCGCCGCCGTCATCGCGAAGACGAGACGACGCGCGCGAGGCGGCGAGTGAGGCGGCGACGCGGCGGCGCAACCGCCGCGTCGAGTCGGTTTGGGTTGGGTTGTATTTCACGCGCGCGTGGCTGCGTCGTTGTAAAACGCGTACAGCGCGTCTCGCTCACCCATCTTGAGCGATAAGTTAGCGCGCGCGTAGTGGTCACCGTCTCGCTCGAGGTTGTCGATGATGTCCTCGAGCGAGTGCGCCCGCTCGCACGCGCATCCCTGCTCCTTGGCGCTGAGCGCTTGATAATGCACGTGAAAGTGATAAAACTGCGGAGGGTAGTGCACGAATACGCGCATTTCTTCCGCATTGACGCCGTAAATGTCTTCGATGACGGCGCGACCCTTGCGCAGCATCGCTCGAAGCAGCGGCAAATGCTCGGCGCGCGCGTCTCGCAAACTCTTAAAGTCTTCGCGAACGCACAAACCGAGGCAATATAAATCAGTCACGCTCGAGTGCGCGCGCCAAGTCGCGCGATCGGCGCCGTCGCAATCGGGATGTGTCGTCCATTTCGAGTCAACGTTGAGCAAAAAGTCGTCGTCGCAATGCAACAACCGCTCGCGTTCCTTTTCCAGACTCAAAATCTTTCGCACCCACGCCGTCGCTTCGCGCGGGATCGAAGCGATATACTTTTCGTGCGCCTTCGCGTACAACTCGGGTGTTTCTCGCACGCACACCAACTTTTGCGTCGAGCTTCGCGTGATGTGTTTCTTCAGCAACTTCGCCCGGCTCGTCTCGTCGGCGTCGAGCAAACATCCCGGATACAGCACGTCGCACTCGACGTCTTCGCCGCCGCTCGACGCCGACGTCGACGGCGCGAGCTCCCCGACGTAATACCCGTACTCTGCCCCGCTATACGGCGCGCGCGAACGCAAACGGATGCGTTCCAGCATCTCGCGCACGCCTCGCTCGTCGTGCGGCAACGGCACGCGCTGCAGCTTCACCAATGCGTCGCTCGAGCAATTTGCAAACTGACCGAGAATCACCAATTTCCCCGCCGCATCGCGTCCATCGTTGATGATTTCGCGCACCGTGAACGTGGACAAGTCTTCCAGCGCGTGCGGTGGCGCGGCGTCGGCGCGCGACATCGCGACCGCGCGCTGAACGCTGTTTAATGACGCGCCACGACGTCATTCAACGACGCCATGTCGCTCACGATCGCGCGCTGTGTCTCCGCGAACGCGCGCATCACCGCCAACAAACGCAACACATCGCGCGCGAGCGTCCGCGCGCGTCGCAACGCCGCCAACTCGTCGCGCGGTCTCTCTCGCGCGCGCATTCAGTCGCCGTCTGTGACACGTCAGCATCACCAATCGTCGCGCGGTGCGGTCGCCGCGAACGCGCTGCCGGCGATGTCGGCGATTCTGAGCACGCACTACGCCCTGCCCGCGCTTTGGGCGGCGTGCGCGCCCGCGGTGGCGCTGGCGTACATCAACCCCATCTACTCGTTCAGCATCGGATACGGATTGAGCATTCTGTTCGCTTCGGCGTTCGTGCATCAAGCACTCGTCGCGAGCGGGACGTTCGTGACGACGATGCTCGCGCTGCACGTCGCGGGCGGCGCGGCGTACGGCGCGCGGTTGGCGGCGTTTTTGTTTTATCGAAGCGTGACGTGGGACGAGTGGCGAGAACGCGCGAAGAACGCGCCGGAGGCGAACGCGAAGAGTTTCGCCAAGCAAACACTCGTCATCGCGCTGTGCTCGGCGTTGTACGCGATGATGAGTTCGCCGATGATGTGGCACGCGCAAAACGTGAACGCGGTGAACGCGGCCAAGTACGCGGGCGTCATCGCCGTCGGCTTGGCGCTCGAGTGGGTGGGGTTGATTCTCGAAGCCGTGGCGGATCAGCAAAAGTTCAACTACAAAGCCACCGAGGAAGGGAAGACGAAGTGGTGCTCGAAAGGGCTGTATAAGTTTTGCCGTCATCCGAATTATCTCGGCGAGATCATGTTCTGGGTGGGGTTGTACGTCGCGGGTTTTCCCGCCATGTTGACGCGACCGATCACGCTCGTGCCGTCTTCGCTCGGTTTACTCTTCATCGTGAAACTGATGACGAGCGCGGCGAAGCGTGGGGATAAGAAACAGCTTGAGAAATACGGTGAGGACAACGCGGCATACAAAGCGTGGGTCGAATCGACGTGTTCGCTCGTTCCTGGAAATTAATACGACGGTCGAATCGACGTGTTCGCTCGTTTGTGGAAATTTGTACTCACATTTTATCACAACTTCCCTTCCTTTCGCAGCTCCGCCTCTAACTCGGCCACCGCCTTCGCGTCTTCTTCGCTCAAATTATCCAAATCAATCTTCTCCACCTCCTTCTTCGCCTCGGCGCCGTACAGCGCCGCGTCGTACTTTTCAGGAAACGCCACCTTGGCGATCGTCCCGAAGATGAACACCGCCCCCACCACGGCGCCGTAGAGCGGAATCCCCACCTTCAGGCCGTTGATGAACATTTGATCGAATCCCGAGGTGTCGATACCCGCGATCGCCACCTGCGCGACGTCCACGGCGGCGCAGCGCGTCGACACGCGCGCGGGAGTGGATAACGCGACGGTGACGCGCCGTTGGGACGGGCGCGCGACGCGCTGGGCGCGCGCGTGGCGCTTGGACGCGCACGACGCGGTCGCACACGATGTGGACGTTCGGTTCGTACGTTGAGTGGCGCGGATAGCGTGCATGGTGCGCAGGGGATGCGACGACGAATGCCGATGGTGAAGATATTTTTTAGCGTCTAGTCGCAGAGTTTTATTGATTGAGTTCTATCGCTTGGGCGTCGATCGCGACGTGGTTCTAGTCGTGGTCCATCGCAGTCCCATCGGCCGCGGCGCGTTTGGCCGCGGCCTCGGCTTCGATCTTAGCGTTGAGCGCCGCGTAATCGACGGGCGCGCCGCGGCGGCGCTTGCCGCTCGGCGCGGGGACGTCGGAGTCGGCCGCCGGGCGCTTTTCGCCCGAAGCGTCGGCGTCGAAATCAGCATCGCCGTCTACGTTCGCGGCGGCTTCGTTTTGTTCCTCGGCAAGACGCTCGAGGAAGGCGATGCGCTCGGCTTCGGCTTCGGCTTCGCGTTTTTCGCGAATCTCTCGACGCACGCGCAGTTCTTCGTTGAATTCAGCCTTGCTCGCCTCGGCGTCATACTTCTCGGCGTTGGGTTGGAACAGCGTGCGCACGTGAGCGGCGACAGAGCGACCAAACGCAGACACTGGACCACCCTGAATGCGATAGCCGCCTTCGAGGACGGAAATCACGCGGCCCTTTGCGTGCGAATTCGCAATCTTCATCAACTCCGTCGTAAGCCATTCGTAGTCTTGCTCTTTCACGCCCAAGTTTACAGGTCCTTGAATGTCATCCTTGGCGTGAGCGTCAAATCCGGCAGAAATGATGATAAGCTCGGGTTCGAAAGCGTTGATCGCGGGCAAAATCTTCCCCTTCCACACGCGACGCCACGCGGCGCCTCGCTCGGATTTCTTACCCGTGCCCTCCATGCCGACGTCCAAAACCCACGGTTGCTCGCCCCTGGCCGTGCTCACGCGGTTTTCGGCCTCGACATGAATCGGATCTTCGACGACGCCGTCGTCCTCCCAGACCGCGGGCTCCTCCGTGTCCAAATCGTATTCACCCTTGGTGCTCTTCGTCGGCCCGGTGCCCGGATAGAAGTGGTGCTGCAGCTCTTTGCGACCGTAACCGTGCACGGAGGCGAACATGACTTCCTCCGGGTCGGTTTCATCGAGCCATGGACGGTACATGTTCATGGAGAACGTACCACCACCGATTGGTAATGAGTACTTGAATTGCGGCGCGCTCGGCGCGGTGTTTTGCACGCACGCCTCTGTTCCGTTTCCGTGATGCACGTCAAAATCAACCAAAGCGATCCTACGAAGCGTTTTGCGGTGCACGCATCGCGCGTAAGCTGCAGCAACAGCGACGTTGTTTATCAAGCAAAAGCCGTGCGAACCAGTGCCAATAGGTTCGCTCGGCGTACCCACTGGACCGAGCGGACCGCTGTGGTGTCCGGGTGGACGCACGGCGCAAAAGACTTTATTCGTTTCGCCGGAGACGATTTTCTCCACTGCCTCGATCGTCGCTCCCGCCGCAGCGAGCGCAGCGTTGAAAGATTGCGAGCATACTGCGGTATCGCCGTCGATAGTGCCGATCGCTCGCGGAATCACGCGAATGTCAGGTAACTGTTCGCAAATCTTTTGCACTTTTCGCAGATACGCATACTCGTGACAGCGCAGTACATCCGCCCACGCCGCTGGTTGCACGTCGGAAACGTATTCAACGTTCATATCTTCAAAATCTTTACCTCGCAAAGTACCGTTCGTGTTGTTAAGCAAGACGTTGAGACGGTTGACATTCTCTGGCGGCGGTTCATCCGCTGGGAGACGCGTGATGGGTGGACATGAGTGGTGCAAGAAGCACACGTCCGGGGCGATGATGACTCGCTTCAAATCTTCATCTGCCGCCGAAAGGACGGTAGCTTTCAATAATTTTGCAATCGTCGGTTGACCACGAGCCGCCGCGAGCTCGCCGGGCGTCTGTTGCTGCGCGTTCTTGTCCTTGGTCAACGCACCGTGAGATTTCAAAAGCAACTCAACACATTTTACGTCGCCTCCTCTTACCGCGCAGTGTAAAGCATTATCTTTGTTGTCGTTCTTGAGCGTTGGATCCGCACCATTCTTCAACAAGAAATCCACGACGTCGCCGCGACCGTATGCGCACGCCCAGTGCACCGGCCGATTTCGAGTCTTGTCGCGCAAATTCACATACACCTCCACCGTATCCTCCTCGTTCGGCGGCGTGAACTCGCTCACGAGATGCTGAACGATGGGTAAAACACCGTGCTGCGCCGCAACGGAAAGTGCCGTGCGTCCGTAATCGTCCTGCGTACACTCATTCTCCACGTGTGGCAACAACGCCTTGACGGCTTCGATGGCGAACGCCTCGTGCTTCTCGAAACCGCTCATCGCGCACGCGATGTGCATCGGTGGCGAACCTTCCAAAGTGACGTACGCTTTGGCCCCCGCCTCTAATAACGCTTTCAAGCACCCGATCGAGCCGTAGAGCAGAGCCACGTGCAACGGCGTCAATCCCTCGCGATCCGTACTGTTGACGCTGTACGAACGCCCTGCGTCACCAAACGCGCCGAACGCAGGATTTCCATCCCTCTCCTCCTCGTCGTCCTCGTCGTCCTCGGCGTCGGGATTGAAATCTTCTTCATCCGACTCCTCCTCCTCCTCGTCGTCGTCATCGTCGTTTCCTTCATCCTTACCCTCGTCGTCGTTCTCGTCTTCGTTTCCTTCAGCCGTCTTTGCCGCCGCGTCGTCGCCCTCCGTCACCACTGGCGGCGCGATCAACGCCGCGAGCGTCTCCACGTCGTCCGTCTCACAGCACGCGTGTAATGGCCTGTTTCATTCACACGTGCAGCGTCGTCGACGCACGCGCATCGTCAGTCACCGCGTCGTTTTCGTGTCGAAATCTTCAACAACGCGAATTCTCGAAATCTCGAGCGAAACGCATCACCGTTCGAGACGTACAGCGCGCGAGGGTCATCGTCGTCGTCGGAATACATCGATGCGAACATCAGCACGCTTCACGCGCGCGGCGGCACGCGCGACGCTCGGTGCGCGCGAATGTGAGGTCTCGCCTAGGAGTGTGAGGGATCTTCGCGGCACGCGCGAACTACGAATGAAAACAATTTCGCGATGTACAAGCAACGATGTGGACTAGTTCTTCATGAAAACAATTTCGCTATGAACAATCAACGGTGTGGACTATTTCTTCGATTTCGTGAGCTGGCCGATTTGGAAGTGGATGATGTCGCCGTCTTTGACGACGTACGCCTTGCCCTCTTGGCGGTACTTGCCCGCCTCTTTCACCTCAGCCATCGAAGGCTTGGTGGCGATTGCGGCGAAGTCGTCGTACGAACACACTTCAGCCTTGATGAAGCCCTTCTCGAAATCGGTGTGAATGACGCCAGCGGCTTGAGGAGCGAGAGCACCGTTGTACACGGTCCAGCATCGCACTTCCTTCTCGCCCGCGGTGAAGAAGTACATGAGATTCAGTTCCTTGTACCCTTGCGTCACCATCTTTGGCAACGCCGATTTCGCGCCTTCGTTTTCTTCGTAAAACGCCGAGCGCAGCGACTCGTCGTCGCCCAAATCGAACAGCTCTTGTTCAAATTCGACGGAAAACGGAATCATGATACCGCCGCCATGTTGCTGCACCCAGGCGTGAATCTTCGGCAGCCACTTGTTCTTTTTGCGTACGTAGTCCCGTTTACTCAGGTTGACGAGATAAATCATCGGTTTGGTGGTCAACAACGCGGGCAGTTTGTCTTTAATCATCTCCACCTCCGGCGTGTTCCACTCTCCGGTTCGAATCGCCAAGTTATTTTCTAACATTTCCGTGCACCGCGCCATCGTGTCCTTGAACAACGCCGAGAGTTTCATCGTCGGGTTCTTCTTGACGTCTCGCTCCTCGTCCGCGATCGCCCGCTTCACCGTCTCCAAATCCTTCAAGCACAGTTCCGCGGTGATGGTTTCCAAATCACGCACCGGATCGATCTCATCATCCACGTGCACCACCTCCGGGTCGTCGAACGCTCGCACCACGTGAAATATGCCATCCGTCGCCATGATGTTGCTCAAGAACGCGTTCCCCAAGCCAGCGCCCGAAGACGCGCCTCGCACCAAGCCCGCGATGTCGGTCACGCTCAGAAACGCTGGATACTCGCTCGCGGGCTTCCACATGGAGACTAATCGATCGTATCGCGCGTCAGGGACCGGGCACCGCGCTTCATTCGGGTCGATGGTGCAGAATGGATAGTTCTCCGCCGCGATGGATTGCTCGGTCAAGATGTTAAACAGGCTCGACTTGCCGACGTTGGGCAGGCCGACGATGCCCATGCGAAGGTTGTTTCGCACGCGACCGAACTTGGCCGCGCCGACGTCGTCGGCGCCGTCGTCGGCGGTTTTCTTTTTCGGCGGCATCGCGGTGCGTCGGCGAGTGGCGGCGGCGGCGCGCGACACTCCGCGACGACGCGCGACGGACCGTCATGACGCTGGCGCGGCGCGGGGCGCGCGCGATGACGTCGATCGCGTCCACGAGCGCGTCGGCGGCGTCGATCGCGCGCGCACGCGATGGTTTGCGATTGAATGCGCGACTGGGACGCGCGGTGGATGCGCTTTCGCGGGACGAACACCGCGCGTTTCGCGCGAAGGCGATCGCGTTGGCGCGACAGCGCGTGGGAATGATGACGTCGTATGATGCGGTCACGGAAGAGGCGCTGCGACGGGCGGTGCGGGACGCGTTCGGGGGCGAGCGAGGGGTTCGCGTAGGACGACGCGTCTCGCGGCGGTTCGACGCGCTGCGCGAAGCGCTGAAAAGATCGAGCGGCGGACGCGTGGTGAACGCGTTGGAGACGAGCGCGGGTGAATTAGATGCGAAACAACTCGATGGACGATCAGCTTCGGAGGTAGGCGCAACGAGAGGGCTGGAGGGCGGCGCGCTCGCTTCGTGGGACGACGACATCGAGTGGGGCGCGCGGTTAAGCAAGCGAAAGCTGCGTAGAGTGGAATCGCCCGTCGACGTCGAGCGAGCGGGAGAAAAATCGTCGGTGGAGGTGAAATATGACGAACTCGATGCCGCTGTGTACGCAGTGATGCGAAGTCCGATGACGATGGGGGCATTGAAGAGGATTTTGTACGAGACGCGCGATCGCTTGGGCACGAGTTTCAAGCCGAGGAGCGTTTTAGATTTTGGGTCGGGGCCGGTCCCGACGACTCTGTTCGCCGTGCGCGCGGTTTTCGGAGATGATGTTGGCACGCATGGCGGGCGTGATACCGATGTTAAGGTGGCGTTCGTCGATAGCAACCCAGGGATGATGCGTTTTGCGAGACGCGTGACTGGATACGCGAAGAATATAGAGCAAGAACGTCGAACGACCGCGGCGCTTGAACGCGCGTCGACGACGTCAGAGGACAAAATAGGTGTTAGTGAAGAGCTCAGCGACGTTTTAGACGACGTCGACGCGTCTGTGACGCGAGTATTGGACTTTAGCGATTTCGAAGCGGTGGAGGATGAGCGCCACGGGTTTCGGCCCGCGAGCGCGTTGAGATTGAAAACGCCTCACCCTTGGCACGAAAGTGAAGGCATCCGCACGAGCGCGAGTCTTCGTGGCGCCAATCGACGAGGTGGATTTGACGTCGTTGTTTCGTCGTACGCGCTGGGCGAAATTCCCGATAATCACGTCGTCAACGCGCGCGGACGCGAAGTGCGAAATCAACGACAGCTCGACGTAACGATTCGTCAGTTATGGGATAAAGTCGCTCCGGGTGGCATCTTAGTCTTGGCCGAACCTGGAACACCGCGAGGGAGCTTACTCATTCGTCGCGCGAGAGCGATGCTTCTCGACGTTGCTCGACGCGATATGGAACAGGACGCGCGAAGACTCGACTTTGAACCGAGCGAAGACGCCGTGGAGGCGTACGTCGTGGCGCCTTGCCAGCACGACAAAGCGTGTCCGCTCAAGGATGTCAACGCTGAGGATGGCTTTTCGACGTGGTGCCACTTTCCTCAGCGAACGCTGCGAAGCGCGTACGTGCGAGAAATGAAACATGGCGCCAGACCATACCAGGATGAAAAGTTTTCATACGTCGTACTGCGCAAGATGCGTCGAAGCGCGGCGCGCAGAGACGCCGAGCGCGCGACGCAAGCCGCTCGCGACGCGCTCGCGGCGCAAAAATCCGCGACTCCGAACGACGAAAGAAACGGAGACGAAGAAGACGAAGAAGACGAAGACGAAGAATATCACGAAAGTCTCGCGCGCGAGTCTTTCGAGGATTGGTCGCGCGTCATTCGTCAGCCCATGAAGCGTAAAGGCCACGTCGTCTTTGAGCTCTGCGCCCCCTCTGGCGAACTCGAGCGCGTCACCGTCGCCAGATCTCACGGCGATCTCATCGGCCGTGACGGCTACAAGTACGCCCGCAAGCTTCGTTGGGGTGATTTATGGCCCTTCACGCACAAAACCGTCGTCAAACCCGGCGATCAGCGCGCGTTCGAGCTCGAGGCTTCGCGTTTCGAGAGCGACTTTCTTCGGTCTCTCCGTCGCGACCGCGCCGCGCGTCTCGTCGCGTCTCCCGCGCCTCTCGACCCGATCGCGCGCGACGAGATCGAGATCGAGCTCGACGACGACGAGCTCGACGACGAGCTCGTCGATCTTTGGAATAGCCGCGCCGGCGCGCGCTAGACGCGCCGGTCTCGCGCGCGCGTCCGCGAAATCAGAAATCTTCAAATCCCGTCTCCCGCCGCGCTCTTTTTCCCCAAGCCCCGGCGCGATCGCGACACAGCGCGACGCGCGTCGACCTCGCGACGCGTGCGCGCGGACGCGCGAGCGCGCGGACGCGGACGATTCGTCGAGCGACGTCCGACGCGACGCGACGCCCCGAGCGAGGCCGCGAAGCGCCGCGTCGCGCGACCGGAACGCCGCCCGCCTCCGGTCGGTGATAATTGCGAGCGATGGCGCGCGAAGACGGCGCGCGACGCAAGGAACGCAAGGACGAGCGCACGGTGGCGATGGAGAAGATGGTGATGGAACTCGCGGCGGCGGCGGCGGTGGTGGATGGGAATAAAACGTCGGTGAGCGAACGGGCGAGCGGGGCAAGCGGCGGGAGCAGCCTGACGAGGGCGCCGGACGCGGAGCGAGAGCGCGAGGAGGGACAAGCGTTGACGTTGGACGCGTTGGTGATGGCGAGCGCTGGATCGAATAAAAGAGCGAAGAGCGCGGGCGTTAAAGTGGCGAAACGGAAGAAGATGGAAGATAAGGGGGAGCGAAGGTGGTATTGTTGCTCGTGCAAGCAGACGCTGACGCCGGAACACTTCGATCCGAATTTGGAGACGTGTCGGTTGTGCTTGGCGAAACGTCGAGCGAAAGATCGGGCGAAGAAACGACTTCGAGGGCTTCAGCTCAAGCATCACTTGTTGAGTGCGGATGAGAAAGATGTGGCGGCGTTTTTGTTGGGAGTGTATCATCCGGCGCTCACGCAGCAAGGGCCGCGATCTTCATCTTTTAACTCCATACAGATGAACGTGCAACGAGCGTCGATGGAAGTGAGCGCATTCGTAGAGGACTTCCGCAGCTTCCTCGAGGACAAGCCCAAGGAACAAGCGGACAGATTGGTCCGCACGTTTTTGGGTTTGGACGATGCTGGAGAAAGGCTCACACCTCATCAAGTGATCAACGAGAAGGGTTCCGCGAAGAGGAATACGATGTCATCCAAAGCGAATAGCGCAAAGGCGACGCACAACTATCGCGCCCCAGCTTCATCGATGGGTGGCCGGCAAGAGTTGACGAAGAGCCTGGACACCGTATACGATAAGTACGACGCGCTATTGAAAAACACCAGCGATGATCAAACGTGGGTTCGTTTCGCGGCGGAGAACGAGCAGGACACTGATCTGGATGCTGAGAAGGTCAACTATTCCGCACCGATACATGAATCAGCTGCCGAAACCGGCACAAACGAGAAGGATGACGTGTACAGCGCCATCATGCACGGCGCGGATCCCACCGTCAGTCATTACCTGTATCAATTCTTGTTCATGAATCAGCCGACAATCGGAGGCGAACACAGCACGATGGTCGTGGAGAGTGATCTCCCACAGCTTACGGGCCAGCTTCCATTGCGCGCAGTCGATAGCCTTTCGGAAGGGTCCAGCTTAAATGGTGCGACTAATGTGAGCTCGGAATCGGACAACGTGTACAACACCTTGGATGAAGAGGAGCTGAACGGCAACGCATACGCGTTCAAGGGCTCGCTCGTGATGGGTTGGATTGGAGGCGCTCGTGATGGAAAGAGAGAACTGCTAGCGAAAGAGAACGGTATCCTTCCGGACGATATGCACCCGCAAGCTGTGTTTAGCCATGGAAGACTGTTCGACGCGCGCACGCCTGGGAAGTTGGTTCCTCTCACCGAGACGGAGAACTTACACGGGTTTTCAGAAGATCTTGCGATTTTCCCCGTCAAGGATTCTTCGTCTGACATCGTTCGCATTCATATTCCGCCGGGATCTTTCAGCGAGGAGCTCGGTGTGAGAGCGTTGCACGATGGTCACTACATCGATTCTGAACTTCGCCACAGGCGCAACGGCGGAGCCGAGGTGATCCTATACCCGAACGGTAGAGACGATCGAGAGCGCAACGCAATCGTTATCCTCGGTGCTGTTCATTTACAATGTTTCGTTCGTAGCGGTACGGCGAAACAGATGCCTATCGGTTGCAACATCCCAGCGCTCTTCATACCGAGCCAAGCGCACGCGAAAGAGATTAGCGATGGCGTAGAGCACATTGCGCAAGTCAAGGGTACGAAAGCGGCCCGGCAGTTTTTGTCTTCGCTCGCGTACGTACTTGTGCACGGCGAACCAAAGAGCGCTAAGTTTGAGTTTGTCGTCGAAATGGCGCACATCCTCGCGCTCACGAGAACTTTGGATCTGCTCGAGCGATTGGCGATGTTGGCAAAGTCGTCGCTATCGAGCGATGATTCAGACACTTCTATCTCCGAAGTAGCGAGATTAGAAGTCTATAAGCCCTCGGATAATTTCTGGCAACACGCCGGTCATACCGACTCTTTTCTTGGAATCCTCCTTTGTCTTGTTGCGGGATTTATCCGTCTTATCGCTTCGGCTGTGAGCGGAGCGCGACTGAATTATGGATTCTATGCCACGCTCTTGGCCGCGGCCGCGCTTTCGGCAACGAACCCGAAGACCCGTGTAGACATCAAAAGCATTGCCTTCAACATGCTTTTTATCTGGGCACACGCAGCATCCATGCACTCAGATGATCTGACCAATCAAATGACGTCTTACGGCAAGGCGCTGGTCATCACGCTTGCGCTCTCGGCACTGAACGCCTCGCATTCGCGCATGAGCAGCTCGTCAAGCTTTGTGTTACCACAGCTCGCCTTTGCCGGAAGTGGCTATAACCCACACACCATTTTCCGCTTTATGAAGCAAGCGTTGCCTCAGGACGGAAGTATACCACAAAACGCGCTGCGAGCGCACGCCTGGACCGTTCACATCAGTTGCGCACTGCTGGCACCCGCGATCCTCATCTCTTGTATTTCGCAACTTCCAGGTGCACGAGTTCGCTCAAAATCTAAGCTTGCGTGAGCAAGCGTTGTATGAGATAAGTTTTGGTACCATTACACTCTTTTAACGCTATCATCTACTAAACTGATATTCCGCAAGCTCTCCAATTGCTTCACGTTGCCGCGCCCGTTGTGTACAATTCCATCGCCAAACTCACTAGTGCGATGCTAATGATTATTCGCAGCGGCATCGTCTCGTGTTCGATACATACGTGAATGATGGCGACCACGAGCATCGACAGCGCGGACACAAAACATTTGTAAATGTTGTCCAGGTACTTCAGAATGAAAGACACTGCCAACCCGCCGAACGACAGGACGACCAAACTTACCCAAGCATAAAAGTTGAATCCGGTAAAAAGTCCATTCTTTAACGCTTCTCCTTTCCAAACTATTGGAATCGCACCACAAATCACGCCCCAAAAGTACAGTTGCATATTCTGCCAATGAATGCTATCCGTCGCCCCGTCTTGGTTGCTGCCCTTGAGCAGCTTCTCCGACAACACACTCCCGGACGCAGCGATGAACGTGTTTATCACCACAAGCACGTACCCATACACACTCCCGCGTAACTGATTAGAATCTGTGATCTCCGCCGTGACAGATCCCAATAATAACAAGAACAGCGCTCTCCACTGCAACGAAGTTAACCGCCGCCCGAGCAGCGTCCACATCAGCACCCCGGTACTTAAAATTTTCAAGTTATTCATGATCTGATACGTCGACGGCCCCAGTTCTTGTATGATGAGGAGCATACAGTTATTCGCGACGAAATAGCACAGCGCGGGAAGCGCAAACGAGGTGAAGCGTTTCGCGCTCCACGTCACTTCTTCGACTCCTCCGCACGCCCGCGACGTCGTCAAAAAGATGAACGACAACACCAGCTTCACCGACTCCATCGTGAACGCCAGCACCACGGTATCGTACGGATAATCATCATCACTGTTCCGGCTCAGACTCGCGAATATCGTTCCCGCCACTTGCAGGAACAAGTACGACACCATGCTCAACACCTTGATCGACAGCGGCGTTTCCGTCCTTCCGTCGCTCTTCTTCTCGGTCGGCGTCGCATCTCGCGCGAGTTCGCCGTCCGCATCCTTCCCATCTCGCGCGAGCAGCGATTCGCGCTCATTCGCGCTCGCGCTCGCGCTCGCCATCGCGTCGGTGTCTGCCGCAACGAACGATGGGTGTTACGTCGCGCGAGCCATCGCGGCAGACGCCGACGCGATTCGCGTCGTTCGCGGACGAAGCGACCGCGCGCGAACCATGGAATGCGTCGATTCTCTCGACGACACCGCGCACGCGGAGGACGGGCACGAGGAGTACTGCGCGGACACGGCGGTGTCGACGGCGCGCGTCCGGACGCTGCCGAAGACGCGCATCGTCGCGCGAAACGCGTGCGCGATCACGGGCGCGAGCGACTTCGAGCCGCTGCTCACGCTGCGAGATTTTCCGGTGGGGATGTACTGCGTCCCGGAGGAGTGGGACGGCGTGGAGTACGTCGCGGACATGCGATGGTGCGTGAGCAAGAGCTCGGGGGTGATCCAGCTCGCGGAACTCATCGAGGCGGAGACGCTGTATGATTGTCAACACGAGAGCGGCGCGATCGGAGGACTGTGGAAGCGACATCACGAAGAATTTTGTGAGTTTATCGATGCGTACGGATGTGAGAGCGTGTTGGAGATCGGCAGTGGACACGGACATCTGGCGAAGGAGTTTGTCGCGCGAAGACGCGGGAAATGCCGATGGACAATGGTGGAACCGAACTTGCCGAGTTGGTTGCTCACGGGTGATCATCCGAGCGAAATTCACCCGATCTCGGCGTGGTTTTGTGATTCGTTCGAATTACCGAAAGACGTACCGAAAATCGACGCTGTGGTACATTCGCACACGTTTGAGCACATCTACGATTACGACGAGTTTCTTCGCAACGTGGCAAGAATGGAACCCAAGTTTCAAATATTTTCGGTGCCACACCAGCGGGAATGGCTGGCGCGTGGTTGGCAAAATAGCATCATGTTCGAACACCCGCAACTGTTGACGCCGAAAGCGATCGAGTACATTATGTCACGTCACGGTTTCGAGTTGCAAGGAAAGAAAGTTTTCGCCGACGGGCACTCAATGTTTTACGCGTTTTCATACGCGGGAAACGCGAGCAAAAGCGAGACATCGCAGCAATCTCTCGATGAGTACGCAGAGAACAAGCGTCTTTTTCGTAACTGGCTCAAATCCAACGTTGATTTCGTCCAGAATGTGAACGATCGCATCGATGAAGCGACTATGAATGGAGAAAAGCCAACAGTTTACATGTTTGGGGCGCACATCTTCACGCAGTACCTCGTCAGCTTTGGATTGCGTATATCCGCAGTTGAGGCGATTTTGGATAACGCCGAAGGAAAGCAAGGAAAGAGACTGTACGGCCTTCCTCTCTTGGTGCACTCTCCGAAAATTCTCTCTAATGTAGAACGACCAATCGTCATCTTACGAGTCGGCGCGTACGCCGAAGAAATAAAACGCGGCATTCTCGAAGTGAACGCTCGCACGGTCTTTTGGGAGTAAGGCGGGTACAGACGTTGAACGATTGTGTGTTAGCATAGCTTAGAAGCTGTAGTACTTACATATTTCAATTTCACGCCATGACACTTGTCACACCCCGCGCGGCCCACTCGGCGTCGTACAAATGCGTAAACGCATTGGCCAGCCTTAAAATGTACATGAAGGGAAAGTTGGGTTCGCTGAGCTTGCTCGCATCGATGCACCCGAACCACACAGCCACAAACAAAGGAAATCCAGCCAAAGCGCTGCTTACTTGTGCGATGCGCTCATCTTTCGGTACGACGACGTTGTCCAACTTTTGCCTAGAATCATAATACGTGTTGACGAGCACTTCGGCCAATTGTTCAAAGTCCTCTATGTCACAGCTCTCGACGAGAAGGAACACGATGTCTTCGATACCTTGACCTGGGCGCGCGTACTGCCAATCAATAAAGATTGGTTCGCCGCCGTTCACTTGATAATCCCAGAATAAATTTGGAAATTTGAGGTCACCGTGAAGAAGCGTTTGCGGAGCTCTTCGAAGTCGCAGCTCGGCGTCCGCAAAGTTTGCCGCCGCGTGGTCAAACAGCACGAAAACTTGTTCACCGAGCGTATTGAACCATCGATTTCGAAACGTTGCGTAGTGTTCTTGCACGTGCTGTCGCATATACGTGTCATAAACCGATAGCCTTCCCAACGGCGCGCCTCGGAAGTGTGAATGCAACCTCGCCATCGTGTTCACCACCTTGAGGCCGCTTTCAAGACAAAAGTCTGGCGCTCGATCATACTTTCGTAAATCCTCCATGACGATAGCGCGTGACGTCGGAAGGACGCCGTAGCAGATCGGTACACGTACCGGCATGATACTCGCAAAATCTTCATAGAACTTACACTCGGTGTCGTGAAGGTTCAAGTGTTCGCTCACCTCCATCAAGACTCCGTGATCAGAGTTTTCTTGCTTCACCACAAGATGTCTTGAACCGGAGGTCGCCGAAAGAATTTCAGAAATGTAGCCACCGCTTGCTCGAATCGGATACACAACGGATCGTTGACCCAATACTTCGGACAGTTCGTTAGAAAGGTGCGCCACAGAATTCATCGTCTCCAATAACTCCTCTGGGTCTTCAGCGACATAATTCGCGATAAACGAATCGCTGCCTGACACGTTTGTATTAACAGAGACGACGTATTGGCATCCCGCTGCGCGTCCGGAAATCAAACCGCATCGAGAGTCCTCGAAGACAATGGAGTTTCCGATCGAGACTCCAAGTCTTCTCGCCGCTTTCAAGTACGGCTCCGCGTTTGGTTTACCAAATCTCACGTCACTCGCGGAAATAAGCGGTAAATCATCCAATGCAAGATGTTTCAACAAAGCTTTGGCGGCGGTTCTGTTGGAATTAGTCACTACGGACACTGGTCCGAGCGCACGACACTTTTGCACAAATTCCACCGCGCCTGGAATTTCTTTGGTCTTTTCGATGTATCGCAAGAACGCTTCGTCTTTCTGCTCTGACGAAATCTGCAGCTTGAAACGCTGCGCGACTTGGGCGTCAGATTGTCCGCTGATGTGTTTGAGGAAGAATTCTTCGTCGACAAACGCGCCCATCGGAGCGAGGATCTCGCGCCAAGCCGCGACGTAGGCATCCGTGGTGTCCACAAGAGTACCGTCCAAATCAAACAAAAATGCATATCCCTGTTTGGACAAGTACTGCTCTAAACACTCAGGCGTACCGATGTTCGAGTATTGGTCCTCAGCGATGACGACGGAGCTGACGTGCTTGTCTCGCGCGACGTACTCTTTCAAAACGCATGAAACGTACGCCTCGCCGCGCTCAAACTTTCCTTCTTGAGTCAAAATATCCTTCGTCAATTCAAGAAATTCTTTTTCACTCGCGAACCAGTACGCTCCAGTGTTCGCGTAAGGACCCACGCGCGACTTCTCCGCGATTTTGGTCACGCGTCCGCCGTCCCCGCTCGTCTCAACGTATGAATATTTTGCCGCCGTCTCACGCTCACGCGCGGATTCCTCAAAGCACAGGACCGCCGCGCGCACCTCCGGTTGTTTTTCCAGCGCCCGAAACCGTTCGATGACGTCGCAATGATACACCGCATCGCAGTCCACCAACAGGAGCGACGCGTCGTTTGTCGCCGACACCGTCCCCAGCGCGAGCGCCGCCGTCTCCGCCGCCCCGACCGTCGCACGCGCCAAGCGCACCGTGGTGAACCCTCGTTCGGGGACGGAATCATCGAAATTCGTCACCACGACGCACGTGTCGCGGTTGTCATCGACGCACAGCGCTTCCGTGACGACGTGTATCATCGCCTTGCCGATCACTGGGATGAGCGGCTTGATGTCTTCGTAGCCTTGCGCTCGGAAGCGCTCGCCGCGTCCACACGCTGGAATGAGGACGCGCATACTTATATTTTCATATAAATCTCCGCGGCGTGGGTCAGATCACGCGCGCGGCGCCCAGGGGCGCGTAATGACATTTCGTCGGGTGGAGGGTGTTACAAAATAAACGCGCGCGAGCTAAAGCCCGCCGGGCTAAGAATTGGAGTTGCGTCTAACTCTTAGACCCCGTCCCGGTGCGTGCGCGGTGAAGTCGCGCCACCGTACACCATCCCTTGATTTCGAGGAAGGCTAGCACGTGGGTCCACGCGCCGCGGGCCGCTCGGGAGGCGCCGGCTTGGCCGCCGCCGAGCCCGCGGCCTCAGCCTCAGCCGCGGCCGCGGCCGCGCGCTTCTCGAGCCAGTCTTTGGCTCGCTCGCGGTATTTAGCGTTCGCCTCTGTACTAATCTTGTTTGCCGCGTTACAGGCATTGATCATCGTCGTGTTGCCCTCAGAGATTCCGTGACACCAATGCACACCCATCCCGTCGCGATCCGGCCACGCCGAGTGCCCTAACGATATGCCGCGACGGACGTTGCAGTGGGCGTAGTCCGCCACGTGAAAAATAGATGCCTCAGGACTCATTTGTGAACGGGGACTTACGCACGCGACGCTTTTCAATACATCCGTTCCTTGACCCCAAAAAGCATTGGCGCGCGAACTGTGCACGACGTAAAAGGCGTCGTTGTACTTCCAATACCAGTCCTCGTCAAAGATAAGCGTAGGTTGGACAGCGTCCGTGTCGTGGTTCGTGTCCCGACCGTCCCACAACGTCCTGGCAAAGTCCACGGGCGGTGGCGCGTACCAAAAGTACTCGGGTCGACCGTGCATGTACCACGAAAAGTGTATGTTTTTCTCCTTCTCCACTTTACGCGCCATGCAAAGCAACTTCTGAGCTTTGTCAAAGTGCTTCTAACTAGCACGTCGGTCCCATCGATTGCATCGGCGGGTCGTCGGCGTACGCGTTCAAAGAGCGCCAGTGGCTTACTTGCGCTCGGTAAACTTTAGTCTCTGACACACTAATTGCCTGGGCACGCTCGCACGGATGTATGTGCCTCTGAAGTGTGTAATCTACGCAACTCAGCGTACCTTGTCCTGGCTTTGCGGTTGGCCGAGCCGATCGCTCGAACCCGATTCCCACGGCCCTCGACGCCGCCCCGACGAGGTCTACCACTTTGTGAAGGGCTGTCTCCGGAGTCATACGTTCAAGGAAGACGTGACCGGTCGCGGGGATCTCAGCTCGGCATGGTAATTTCGACAAAATCGATGACCCTGGGCCCAGTATACCATCGGCGTGCGAACTGTGCACGGCGTATAAGGCGTCGTTGTACTTGTGACGCCAATCCTCGTCAAAGATGAACGCGTGCGCGCTGTCTGTACCCCTACCGTCCCACAACGTCGTGGCAAAGTCCACGGGCGGCGGCCCGTACCAAAAGTAATCGGGTCGACTCCGAACGAACCACGAAAAGTGTATGTTTTTCTCCTGCTCCACTTTGCGCGCCATGCAAAGCAGCCTTTTGCTCAAATCGAACTGCGCGTACGTCGTCGCCGGCGAAAAGTAGTCGTCTTTTTTCACCTTGAATCCACGCGCAGCGCAATGCTGTCCCCAAGGATCCTTCGTGTCTAAGTCATAAGCCGAGGCCGTGTAAAACGAAACCGCCACGGGTCGAATGACGTCCAGCGCGCGTTGCAGCACGTGCGGATACACCTTTGGAAACATCGCCGATCGGTCTCGCCACCCGCTCACGTCTGCGATACTCAGGAGCATGATCGGGTGCACGTTCACGCAGCGCTCCGCCATCCAATCCAGCACATTCGTCTTCAAACCCTTGGAGACGTGATCCAACACCATCCCGCGCACCGATCCTCCGATGAGGAACGCGACGTCCGCGCGTCCCTCCGCGCACGACTGCGCGCCGAGCGCGTCGCGCCGCGCCGTCGCCGACGCGACGACGATCGCCACCGCCGCGATCAGCGACAATAACGACCCAACGCGCGTCCGTCGCGCGCTCCTAGAGCCATCATCGCCGATGAGCGGCGTCGCCTCGTCCGTCATCGCGCCGCGAACACCCATCGATCACGAACCGCGTCGCCGCGCGCGCGACGCGCGTCGGTTTTCGCGTCGCCGCGCGCGCGACGCGCGTCGGTTTTCGCGTCGCCGCACCGCGCGCGCGATGGTGCGTCGCACAGTGCGACGCCGATGCATCGCATCGCGCGCGTCGCCATGTCCTCGGCGCCCCTGCACGACGCGCGCGCGCGCGGAAGGATGTCCGACGCGAAGGATGTCCGACGTATCAATACGTCGACGGCCCCAGTTCTTGTATGATGAGGAGCATACAGTTATTCGCGACGAAATAGCACAGCGCGGGAAGCGCAAACGAGGTGAAGCGTTTCGCGCTCCACGTCACTTCTTCGACTCCTCCGCACGCCCGCGACGTCGTCAAAAAGATGAACGACAACACCAGCTTCACCGACTCCATCGTGAACGCCAGCACCACGGTATCGTACGGATAATCATCATCACTGTTCCGGCTCAGACTCGCGAATATCGTTCCCGCCACTTGCAGGAACAAGTACGACACCATGCTCAACACCTTGATCGACAGCGGCGTTTCCGTCCTTCCGTCGCTCTTCTTCTCGGTCGGCGTCGCATCTCGCGCGAGTTCGCCGTCCGCATCCTTCCCATCTCGCGCGAACAGCGGTTCGCGAGTCTGGAAAGCGCTTCCGTGCGGTACAAGCGAGTCGCCCCAATAGGAGTAGGTGTAGCCTAGCTGTAGCTGTAGCTCCGTCGCCGACAAATGTCCGACCGATCGACAGAGACCGACGCGCGTCCGCAGCCGACACTGCGCGCGCCCACGCGACGCGAGAATGAGTGACAAAGACGCGCAAAGCATCTCTCGCGGCGAGCGCTCGAATTTGCTCGCGCGCAACGCCGCGAACGGCGTCGTTGAGGGTGTTGCGAGCATCCTGGACGAAGAGCGCGGTGAGACCGACGTGAGCGAGCGATCCCGAGCGAGAACGTCGACGTCGCGAGGATGTCTCGCGAGTGTTGCGCTGATGGCGTGTGCGGTCGGCGCGGGGATGGCGGTCGCGTCGCGCGGGGGGGTCGACGACGCGAGGACGAGCGCACGAGCTCGCGGCGGTGGGAAATCGACGCTCGGGATCAGTGGAGCGACACGAGCTCGCGGCGGTGGGAAATCGACGCTCGGGATCAGTGGAGCGACGGGAGTGCGGACGTATATCATAGCAGATACGTCGCCCGGAGACGAGATGGAGAGATCTAGGAAAGGACGCGATTACGTGTTCAACCTGTTCAAAACGCACGGTGGTTTGAGCGACGCCGAAGCGCGCAATACTGTGGAAATCTCGAGTGCGACGTTTCCTTCGCTTTGGCCGGATACCTTCGAGACAGCGCGAAGCGCGACGCACGATGTACTAGCGGGAGCCCTTGCTGCTTCAGAAGCGAACGTTCCAACCAGTGAGTTGCCGTATCCCATCAGACAGGTTCACGAATCGCAGCTCAATCCACAGCACCGTTGCGTCGGCGAAAAATGCGTATTCCCGTATAACCACCACCTTGGATGTCTTCTATCTCACATGTCTGTGTGGAAGAAAGCTATTTCGCGAGGTGAGGATCGGTTTGCCGTGTGGGAGCAAGATGGTATGGGGATCGCTTCCGTGAGCCCGCTTGACTACACAGAGCTCGGACGCCAGCTTCCTCGCGACGCAGATATGGTCTGGCTCCTCCCCATTGGAAGAAGCACCGGTCAATTCGTGAAAAAGTTCCGCTCAAGGGCGTTTGGCACGTGGGGGAAAGGTACCTGGGGTCTCGTAAAGACAGACTGGTCGCCCGAATCGATGCACACGGCGATGAATTCAACGCACGTTTATTTGTACAAGTGGAACAAAATGTGCTCGTGGGCAGGAACGGCAGCTCTCATGTTCACCAAGCAAGGCGTCGAGAAAATTCTTCGGTACAGTACCGAACACAGTCTCGACATGATCGATGCTTTCCTCATTGGCGGATGCATCCATAAATCGGGAAAGACGAGTCGTCTTTCCTTGAACTGTTATCACGCGTCGAGCGTGCCAACCAAGAAAGAGCTCCTGGGTGGAATCGTGCCCGATTGGTACACTGACGAAACCGTGGGCGATCGAGCACTTCCTCAAGAGCAGGTTGACGCCATGGATCGGGATGACGCCAAGTTCAACTCGCTTGGTTGTCAGCGCGGCGGCGACGAGTTCAAGTCAAAATCTGCCTGGATTCCCACGTCCTGGGCTGGAGACGACTCCGCGGATTCGTGCGTTCCCTCCTGGAACGCCCCGGTGGACGTGTGCGATGCATCCGTGAAGTATCCACTCGATGGACACAAGTACTCATACCTCGGCAGCGCGATGTTGCGTACAAAGCCCGAGCGTTAGCGACGCTTGTAAAGAAACAGCCTAGGGGTGCTTGAATCCGGTATTGGGAATTTCCCGATACGTATCAAAAACGACTGTTTTCATACTGTTTGCCCATACGAAAAGCCTAATACGTTGATACGCCAATACGGTATCAGCTCGTATCAAGTGCAGCAGGCCTAGACGCGCGTCGGTTTTCGCGTCGCCGCACCGCGCGCGCGATGGTGCGCGGCACAGTGCGACGCCGATGCATCGCATCGCGCGCGTCGCCATGTCCTCGGCGCCCCTGCACGACGCGCGCGCGCGCGGAAGGATGTCCGACGCGAAACGCGCGCTCGTCGCGCGCGCGAGAGGCGCGTTCGACGCCGTCGCGGGACGGCGTCGACGCGTGAACGTCGCGAGCGGTGGTGACGAACGCGGGACGACGACGCGGGAGGACGCGCGCGCGAGCGATGGGGACGACGCGAACGGGTACCGACGCCCGCCGGACGCGCTGACGCAGTTCACGGAGCGACCGCAGAGCCCGAACGTGACGGTGTCGCCCGATCGAAGGCGCTTGCTGTATTTGCACAAACCGCCGCCGCTGCCGGACGTGGCGACGCTCGCGCGAGAGGAGGTGAAACTGGCGGGCGTGCGGATCGATGCGGCGCAAAATTCGACGTCGAGGATGGGACATCAAACGAAATTGGCGATCGGAGCGATGCCTGCGAGAGAGGAGGAGATCGGAGCGGCGGAAGATTTCGTCGGGACTCCGGAGAACGCGCTGATTAACTACGTGAGTTGGTCGCCGGATGGGACAAAGATAGCGTTTACGACGCGCTCGAGCGGAGAACCGGGTGAGCCAGAGCGAGGACCGTTGACACTTTGGATCGCCGACGCGCACACGCGACAGTGCCGAGTGCTGCTTCCCGATCGTGGGTTGAATACTATTTTTGAGTCGTACAGTTGGTTGAACGACGACGTCATCGTCGCGTGTTGCATTCCAGAAAATCGACCCAAGGAAGCGCCGAAGCGACCGCAGACGCCGTTCGGGCCGAGAATTCAAACAAACCGAGGTGGTAACGTGGCACAGGCGCGAACGTACGCCGATTTATTGAAAGACTCGCACGATGCGGATTTATTCGATTACTATTGTTCGTCGGAACTCGTGGCGGTGGACGTCTCCACCGGGGCGACGAAGACTTGGGGTGATGGAAAGGCGAGAATCTACACGCGCTGCGATCCGTCGCCCGACGGAAAATATGCTATCGTCGAAGCCATTCATCGGCCCTACTCGTACTCGGTGCCGTGTGGTAGGTTTCCAAAGAAGGTTTGGGTGGCGGACAGCGACGGCAAAGTCGTGCGCGAGGTCGCGGACTTACCTTTGGCCGAGAATGTGCCCATCGTGCACAACGCCACGCGTAAAGGACCTCGTGCGGTGAACTGGCGTTCGGATAAGAGTGCGTCGTTGTACTGGACCGAGGCGCAAGATGAGGGTGATCCGAGAGTCGAAGTCTCCCCTCGAGACGTCACGTACACGGTCGACGTCGGCAAAGATCCTGCGGCGACGCCCAAGACGCTGTTTCAAACTGATTATCGCTACGGTGGCGTCGCATGGGGCGGCGATGATATGTCGATTTTATATGAGAGTTGGTACAAGACACGCACGTCGCGAGTGTGGGTGACTTCGCCGGGCGACGCCGATCCGAATGCGACAAAGCGCATGCTTTGGGAGCGCGACTACGAAGACAGTTACAACGCTCCCGGTTCATTTGCTACACGCCGGACGGAAGATGGATCGTACATTCTGGCGCGTGTCGTCGGACCGACGCCGTTGGGAGAAGGTAAACCCACGGGTCCGGGAGTGAAGCTGTTGTTGCAGGGAGACGGCGCGAATCCAGAAGGCGATAGACCCTTCATCGACTTGTTCGACGTCGACACCGGCGCCAAGCATCGAATGTGGGAAAGCAAACCGCCGTATTTGGAGCATCCGGGGAGTTTGATCAGCGATTACGGCGGCCCCGAGGCGGCGCCTGTCACGCTCGAAACTATGCGCATATTGTTCTCTCGAGAGAGCCCGTCGGAGAATTCGCAATTCTTTTCGCTTCAAATGACCGCCGACGGCTCGCCCGGAAAAGAGGTGAAAATTTCAAATTTCCCTCATCCACATCCCGACTTAAAGGAGCTGCCGAAGGAAATAATCAAGTACAAGCGCGACGACGGCGTTGAGCTCAACGGCACGCTGTACACGCCGCCCGGGTACGACGCCGCGCACGATGGTCCGCTACCACTCCTGATGTGGGCTTATCCACGAGAGTTCAAAACAAAAGAAGCTGCATCGCAGCTACGCGATTCACCGTATCGCTTCACCGGTATCGGCCCATCGAGCGCGTTGGTGTGGCTTGCGCGTGGATACGCAGTGCTCGACGGGCCGGCGTTGCCCATCATCGGCGAAGGCGAGGGTGTGGAACCGAACGATACGTACGTCGAACAACTCGTCGCTGGCGCGCGTGCGGCGGTGAACGAAGTCGTTGCGCGCGGTGTCGCGGATCCGGAGCGCATCGCTGTCGGCGGTCACTCGTATGGCGCGTTCATGGCGGCGAATTTGCTCGCGCACGCACCGGATTTGTTCGCGTGCGCCATCGCGCGAAGCGGGGCATACAATCGAACGCTAACGCCTTTCGGGTTTCAAGCCGAAGAACGCACGCTGTGGGAAGCGCCGGAAACGTACAACGCGATGTCACCGTTCATGAACGCGCACAAGATTAAAAAGCCGATTTTATTGATCCACGGCGAGGAGGATCAAAACAGCGGTACCCATCTCATGCAATCCGAACGCTTCTTCTCCGCTCTCAAGGGTAACGGTGCCGAGGTCAAGCTTGTCATTTTACCGCACGAGTCTCACGGCTATCGCGCCAAAGAAAGCATCAACCACATGCTCGCCGAGACGTCTGATTGGCTGGACGCGCACTGCGCGCCAGGGGCGAAGAAAGCCGCCGAGGCGCGCGCGGAGGAAGCCGCCAAGGCGAAGCGCGACGCCGAGGAGATGGTTTCGAAGTAATCGATCGCGCGGCGCGCCGCACGCATTTATAGTTTTTCCTTCACTTACTAACTTAGTTACTACAAACCTACACGCCTACACGCCTACACGCCACACGCCTATCCGGCTATGGGACCTAGCTCCAATCGTCGTCGTCGTCGTCGCCGAATCCGCTGTCGTCGTCCTCAAACCGATCGCTGTGCTCCGAAGAATCGCTCTCGGTGTCGGGATAATCGTCGAAATAACCCGCCGCGTTACTGTCCGAGTCCCCGTAATCGCTCTCCGCGTCCTCGTCGTCCGCGACGTCGTGAAAATCTCGTACCCGAATCACCGGCGCGTACCCATCGTCGAAATCGTCGTCGTCCGAGTCGCGCGCGTCCTCGTCCATCATCTCGTACACATCGTACACCCACTCGTCCTCTCCCTCGCTCGCGCTCGTCGACGTCCTCGCGAACGCCTCCTCTCCCTCGAACGGCGGCGGTCCCGCCTCCGCGTTCGCCTCGCCTCGACTCGCCAAGTACTCGCGCACCATCGGCGCGCAGTTACACATCAGCGCCGATTCCATCGCCCGCGCGCGCTCGAGCGAATCCACCATCGCGTCGTACACGCGCGTCTCGCGTCCCGCGCCGTCGTCCGCCGCCCGCGTCTCCGCGTCGTCTCGCGCCACGCCCTCCGCCACGCGTCTCGCGCGCCGTCGCCGTTTCCGCGCGCCGCGCGCTTCGGACGTCGCGTCGAGCGCGCCGTCCAGCGCGTCGTCCAGCGCTCGCGCGAGCGCCGCCGCGCGCGCCGCGTTCGCGCCGCGCGCGCCGTCCCCGAATCCATCGTGCGCCTCGACGACCTCGACGACGACGCGCGCGTGCGACGCGTCGCCGCGCTTGCGCTTCACGCGGACGTACGACATCGCGCGCGGCGTTTTGAGGTCGTCGACCGTCGCGAGCGACGCGTCGGACGACGACGCGTCGCCGCGTCGGACGCGTCGATCGTCGCGACCGACCGACCGTCCGCACACGCGGGTGTTTCGTACGGGCGCCCCCTAAAACACCCGCGTGTGGAGGGTAGACGAACCGACGATTCGGTCAACGACGGCGCGCGGCGCGATTCGGGGCGACGCACGCGAGACACGCGCGCGAACGCCGCCCCGACGCGTCGCGGGGCACCACACGACGCGCGACGATCGCGCGCGGGATTCGACCGAGCGACCGAGCGACGAAGGGCGCGGGCAGAAGACGCGCGCGCGCGCGCGCGCGCGCGAGGCGAGGGATCGGAGCGCGATCGAAAACGCGCGGGAAAGAGCGGGAAGGCGCGAAAAGGGACGGCGGGTAAGGGATGGACGCGGGACGGCGCGTCGGACGACGCGAGGAGGCGCGGGAGCGTCGACGACGGGACGCGCGAGGCGCGCGGATGGGAGTCGAGGGCGATTTCGACGAGGAGACGGCGCGACTGAGCGCGCGCGTCGCCGCGGCGGAACGCCGAGACGCGCTGGGGGGGGGGGGCGCGCGACGAAAGAGAAAGGAGGACGCGGTCGCGGATGCGGCGCGAATTCATCTCTTGGAACCGATCGATGCGCGGACGCGCGGACGCGAGACCGAACGAGTTCGCGAGCAAACGCCGAGACGAGTGTGGTTGGGACGACACGCGTTCGACGTGGACGAGCGGTACGACCCGATCAAGACGATCGGGCGCGGGGCGTACGGGGTGGTGTGCTCGGCGAACAATCGCGTCGCGCCGCTGGGTGCGCGAAATACCGTGGCGATTAAAAAGTTGACGAATTGCTTCGATTCTCCGGTGGAGGCGCGGCGAGCGCTGCGCGAGGTGCATCTTTTGCGACGGTTGAAGCACGAGAACGTCATTAAACTCGAAGATATCATGATGCCCGTGGGTGATAACGGGCGCATGGATGACGTGTACTTGGTATACGAGCTCATGGACACCGATTTGCATCAAATCATTCGAAGCAAGCAAGCGCTGTTGGACGAGCACTGTCAGTACTTCATCTATCAAATCTTGCGCGGATTAAAGTACGTGCACAGCGCCAAAGTATTGCATCGAGACTTGAAGCCGAGCAATATCTTACTCAACGCCAACTGCGACTTGTGCATATGCGACTTTGGGCTCGCGCGAAGCATGGTGGAACGCGGACGAATGATGACGTCGTACGTCGTCACGCGATGGTATCGCGCGCCCGAGTTGTTGTTGAATTCAGAAGAGTACGCCGCATCGATCGACATGTGGTCCGTGGGGTGTATTTTGGCCGAAATCATCGATCGTAAGCCTTTATTCCCTGGGAAAGATTTCATCCACCAAATGCGACTCATCATCGAAACGTTGGGCTCGCCCGAAGAAGCCGACATGGATTTCATCTCGTCGCCGTACGCGCGCAAGTACATCGCCAGTCTTCCTCGCAAACCAAAGGTCGATTTCGCGGTTCTTTATCCCGACGCCAATCCATTGGCGATTGATCTTCTCGAGCGCACCTTGGTGTTCGATCCTCAACGAAGAATCAGCGTCGACGACGCCTTGGCGCATCCGTATCTCGCCTCGCTCCACGACGCCTCCATGGAGCCGACGTACACGCCCGCGGCGGACGACCCGCACTTCAAGTCTCTCGACGAACCCGACGCCCACATTCCGGACGAGTACTTGCGCGAGGCCATTTACAATCAAATGCTAGACATGAAGTCGGAGCGAGCGGCGGCCAGAGCGTCGTCGACTTCCTTCGCCTTCGCCCCGCGTGCGCAAGCATTTTTGTAAAAGAAGACTCAAGACGACAACTTTACATCGACGCGCTCTTCGTGCGTCCTGGAGCGGTCGATCGAGTGGAGCGTCGGCGCGACGATGAAACGGGACGTGGTGGTGACATCCGTCGCATTCGCGGGCGCCGCGGTCGCGTGCTCGCTCGTCGCGCTTCGAATAACGCGCAAGATTAGGACAAGGACCGGACTCGATCCTTTCGCTGTCCCGAATGGTTCTTCGCGCGAAAAAGGCGCGGACGGGCGCAAGGCTGCGCTCGTGCTCACGTCACACCCCGATGATGAGTCGTACTTCTTCGCACCGACGATTCAAGCGCTGAAAGCGGCGAACGTGGAGACACACTTGGTGTGCCTGAGCGACGGCGGCGCCGGCGGGGACGGAGAGACGAGAAAGAAGGAGTTATTGCGCGTGAAAGAGCTGTTCGAGCTAGAGGGGATGTGCATCGTGGAGGCAGAAGATTTGATGGACGGCATGACGAACGCGTGGCCGGCGAAGACGGTGATGACGGTGCTGGACGAGTACACCGGGGGGGCGCCGACGACGTTTGATTACGTGGTGACGTTCGACGCGGGCGGTGTGTCAGGACATTTGAATCACGTTTGCACGTATGAAGGTACGAAACAGTGGATTGAGGAGCGGAAAGTTAGCATTTCCAGCGATCGGGGCGGTTGTCCGCAGGTCTGGGTATTAGAGACGACAAACGCGGCACGAAAGTTGAGCGGAGCGTTGGATTTCGCGACTTCTTATTTAGAAAGTTTGATCGACTCGCGGCGCGTGTTCGTGCCGAGCGCGTCACCTATGCAAGTTCTCAAGGCTGTCCGCTTACACGCTTCGCAATTCGTGTGGTATCGTAAGATTTTCGTCGTGTTTTCGAGGTACACGTACATGAACACGTTGCGGCGAATCGATTGATTGTCATCTGATTCTTTTATCGGAAATTTACAGAACGCAAAATCACTCAAACCCACCCGTTCGTGATCGATCTACTAGGTGGCCAATCTCTCGGGTCCGCGATCGGTAATCGCCAGAATCCTATCGAGCCATCGTAAGAGCCGCTAAACACCGTCGTCGCGTTGCGCCCGGCGCTTGTCAAAACGCGAACGGCGTCGTGATGACCTTGGAACACTCCGACGCACTCAAACTCGGTCTCCGGTTGCACGCCCCATAACCTCACGGTGGTGTCGTACGAGCCGGAAACCAAGTGGCCGCCCATGACGCACAGCGCCAGCACGGCTTCGGTGTGGCCGTTGATGATGTGCTTGCAGCTGAAAGTTTCTAAATCCCACACGCGAATAGTCTTGTCCCAAGATCCGCTGTACAGGTGTCTATCATCCACCGTCAAAACACGCACGTTGTCACCGTGGCCCTTGAGTTCTTGAACGCACTCGAACGTCGCCGCGTTCCACACGCGGACGTTGGTGTCGTCTGAACCACTAAATACAAACGGCCCGATGGCGCGGTTGCTCGACGTCGCTTGCCTACGCGGAAAGCACGCCAAAGCACGAACCGCATCGCGGTGTCCTTTCAACGTTTTCACCAAATCCGTTCCCGCGGACGGACCGACATCGGCTGTGTACGCGGGCCAGACGCGCACGGTTCTGTCGTACGATCCGCTAAAGACGTAATCATTCACCGTCACCAACGTGCGCACGGGACCGTTGTGACCTCGAAGAACCTTGAGCAACTCGAGCGACTCTATGTCGTACGCACGAATGGTGTGATCGTAAGATGCCGTGTACAGTGTCGTATCGTTGTACACTTGAAGCGCCCGCACGGCGTCTGTGTGGCCGGGAAGATAGGTGATTCTTCGGTACGTGCTCAGGTTCCACACCCGCACGGTGCAATCGTACGAACCACTAAATAATTTGTCGTGCTTTACGCACACCGCTAAACACAACACCGGCCGCGTGTGCTCTTCTAGAACTTGTACGCAGCGTCGACTCGAAATGTCCCACGCCCGAATCGTCTTGTCTGCCGAAGCGCTAAACAACGTCGTCGCTGTCGTGTCCACGCCCCAAACGATTTCGTCGTGTCCCTCTGCGATGGTGTACACCGGATGCTGATCATCGCTCGCATCCGCGGTCGACGCGTTCGCGGCGCCACCTGCGGAAGGCGCGAGCTCTTGATCCGCCGACGGAAGCCCAGCGAAATCGCTATTCTGTCTATGAATATCCACCACCGCCTTGTCGTGCAGGGGCGCAAGAGGCCGCAACGCGCTCAGCTCTGCCGGCGCCCACGACTGAATGGCGGTGCGAATCGCGTGGTTGGGAATCAACTCCAAGTGTCGCAACCGCACCCCGGTCACCGGACACGTGCGATGGCCCTGGTCGAGCCATCGTTGAATCGCCGGTCTATCGTACGTGTGCCCGGTGGCGATCATCACCGGATCTTGCATCAACTCCATCGTGATCGGACATTGAAAATGCGCGGGAATCTCCACCTGTAAGCTCGGCGTCGACTTCCGTTTCTCCTCGTCCTCGAGTTCGAGATCACCGTCCCCGGGCGGTTTCCCGTCTCGATCCGAAGGCTTTCGTCGTCCGCTCGCCTTTGGCGACTCCGCCGTCGACCGTCCTCCCTCCTCTCCATCGCCCTCTCCGCTCCCTCCCGCCTCGACCCCGCACTCCATCCCGCACGTCTCATCCTCGCTTCGTCGCGCTTCCTCTCCCGTCGCGTCGCTCGCGCGTTCCGCCCGCCGCTCGCCCTGCGCCTCGCCCACCGCGTCTTGAAACACGTCGTCCCCGCTGCTCTCGGAATCCATCCCTCGTCTCCCTCGCGGCGCGTCCATCATCTCCTGATCCGTCGACCGTCGCGTCGCGTCGCGATCCATGTCGCGCCTCGATCGAGCGCCGCGCGCCTCGATCGCGCGTCGCGCTTCGTCCGCGCGCGTCGATCGCTCGACGTCGAATCGAGATCGCGTTCGAAATTCGCGTCGCGATCTTCGCCGTCACCGTCGCGATCGACGCCGCGTTCGCCCGTTCGGCGGCGCCCTCGATCGCTGGAGAACCGACGCGCGCTTTCCGACCGCGCGCGACGCTCGAGCCGTCGCGCGCGTCGCCGTGTCGCGCGCGCGTGGCGGAGCCGTTAACACGCGGCGCCCATTCGTGTGCGCAAACAGTCTCATTGTATATATAGTTAGTAGAATGCTATCAATCGCGCTTCAATACGGAGTCGGCGCCGCGACGCGAACGGACACCGCGACGTCTCGAGTCTCGAGAGTCACGAGGTCGAGAGCGCGACGCGCCATGACGAGCGGCGGAGGAAAGCGACGACGAGCGACGGCGCGCGACGCGCGAGCGCGATGGCGCGTCGCGCACCGCGCGTGGATGGTGGTGGTGGCGGCGACGGCGGCGAGCGCGGCGCGCGGACGGCGAAGGTGGAGGCGGACGCGCGACGACGCAAACGCGAGGGACGAGACGACGTCGAACTTGACGATGTCGGACGTGTGTCTGTACTCGCCGGCGACGATCGAACGCGCGAGATCGGCGCTGCCGCGAACGGCGAGCACGTGGCGAGGGACGGTGAGCGTGGCGGTGTTGGCGGATTTGAAAACGCCCGGCGACGCGCTCGACTTGAGCGCGATGGCGAGCGAGTTGGAGGGAGACGCGGGACGAATCGCGATCACGATGGTGGAGGCGCTACCGGAGTACGAGAATAGATTTCCAGTGAACTTTTTGCGCAACTTGGCGCGGGAGAAGTGCGTCGCGGAGCTCGGAGCGAAGTACGTGTTGGCACACGACGTCGATTTCGAAGTCTTTGTTGCGCCCGACGAGGACGCGTTTTTGAACGACGTGCGAAACGTTTTGGGGAAGCGGAGCGGCGAAAAGGTACGCCGCGCGCTGGTCGTGCCGGCGTTTCAACTTCATGCGGTGTGGTCACAACGAGTGAACGCGAAGAGAGATGCGATTCTGAACGCGCGGCGGGTGCAAAGACAAACAAAGTCTCGCCGCAACGAAGGCAAAGACGACGACGAGTCCATCGACGCCGTCGTGGACAGTATCGCAACCAAGGGTGATGTACGACGACTAAATCCGATGTCTCTATACGAGACGCTCGTTGAAAGAGACCGAACTCGAACGGTCGACTCAAAAGCGACCGCAATAAATCTGACGCTTCCGTATTCCACGCGCGAGCGCCTCGATCGCCTCGTTCGCGAGCGTCGACTTGCGAACGGTTTCCAAATCAATTACTTTCCGATCGCGCACGCGCCGACAAACTACACGGCATGGTTTGAGAACACCACCACTGGTGCGGACTCAACGTATCGCGTCGCGACTCCGAAGCATCCGTGGTACTACGAGCCTTACGTCATCGTTCGCGCAGATCTTGCGTTGCCTTTCGATGAGTCTTTCGTGCAGTACGGCTTCAACAAGATTTCATTCGTTCACGAACTCGCCGCGGCGGGATTCGACTTCCACGTTACGAAGAACGCTCACACTGTCCATACGAACACACACCCGACGCGTGCAATGGCAAACATGCAAGGACAAGACTTGGCGCGTTGTCGCGCGCACCCTGCAGCGTCGAACGATTTTAGAATCGCTCGAGTCGGGCACTCATGCATTCCAGCTTTTTTACGCCGAATGGAGTGCGCGTACGGTTTTACCTTGGATGACTTAGAATTCGGTGGCGTATCGAATGCGCCGCCGCCCGATGATTTGCTTTTTCGCCTACAGTCGGATGATAACATCGTCTGCTTTGGGGGATGCATCACGGATTTAGAAGATGCGCCGCGCACGCCGGCTACCGTCACCGTGCGAGGCGGACGATTCGTCGGCGTGACGCAAGGCTCAGACGCTCGTCGGCGTAAACGGGGCCCTTGTGAGCGCTTTGACGTAGCTTTACAGTAGGAAAGTATGTTTATTGGAAAAATACAAGACGTCTTACAAAGAGTACGAGACTCGCTACAGGTCGCTATAGGTGGCTATCATCGAAGGTAGATGGATGGCGAAAACGGCGCAGCCGAAGCCGCTTCGTTGTACTTCGGCCTCGTCGGCGTCGCGCACGCGCCTTCCCTCAGTCCCGTCAGAATCGGAAACTCGCTCACATCTACCCCTCGTAAAAGCTCCTCAGCTTGCTCGTACATGCTGGTGTTGGCCCGGTTCACGGTTCGCATCAAATCCAACGCGTCAACATTTTGCGCAACTCCAGTGGAATCGTCTTTCGTCTTAGTTTGCTTACCTCCCCTTCGGAACAGGTGGGAAAGACGTGTGTTACGAGTTTTTCTTGGCTTGTCCGGTGACACGAACGCTTGCAAATCCTCGATGGAGCTGATGCCTGGCATCTTTGGCATTTGAATCGAAGACGCGTCCATACTCACGTTAGGCGGGAAGTGCGGCAGCTTGATCTTCGTCACGTTGGATAAACCCTCCACAGCGGCGATAGCGACGCCAGATGGGAGCATCGATTTACCCGGCGATGTGATGCCGATACCTTGATACGCGCCTTCGGGTGTCGAAGTGGCTTCCAACACTGGTGACGTCGTCACCAACGGCGTGTTCGTCGTCGTGCCTCCAAAGTCTTCAAAAATCTCGCTAATCTTGAACGGGCTCTCACCCGCGTATCTCGTCGGCGTGGGCACGTCCGAGTACGGCGACGCGAAAATGTTGGCGCTAATGCCACCAGGCGGATTCGAAGCCTCACCTTCTGACGCATCAAACATGTTCGCGCGAATGTCCGAAATCGGCTCTGAGACGCGTCGCCTCGCCCCAGAGCGCGACGCTCTCGAGGACTTCTTTCGCTTGCTCATATCGACACCACCACGCTGAGACGGTGTCATGTAGTACTGCGGTATGTTGATACGCGACGAATTCAATGCCAAAGCCTTGCGCGTGTTATTCGACTTCTTGATCGAGCCAGACTTCCCCGACTTGGAATGCTCGCGCTGCTCCGCCGCCGCGAGCGCGGGGAACCCTTGATTCAACGCTTGGTCCACCTTGCGCTTCAACGTGGAGTTCCAGTGATTTTTAATCGCGTTATCGGTGCGTCCTTTGAAAGACTTGGCGATTTCCGCCCAGCGATTGCCGTACTGTGCGTGCGCGATGATCAACTGACGGTCCTCGTCTGCGCTCCACTCCTCGCGCTTGATCTCCGGGTCGAGGTGGTTGTACCATCTCTCGCGGCATTGCTTCCCGATTCTCCCAGGAAGCTCGCCCGCGATTTTGGACCATCGCTTCGCCCCGAGTTCGGTGACGAGCTCGATGATTCGCGCGTCCTCCTCCGCGGTCCACGGCCCTTTCACCAGTTCGGGGTTGAGCACTTTTTGCCACCTGTGCAAGCACTGCACGTCGGTGCGGCTATCGCTAAAGTACACCGCTGCGCGCGTCGAGAAAACACAAACTCATCGTCAGTAACCGTGAAACACGCGAGCAATCACACAAACACCGTCCTCGTCGTCCGAACGAGTGCGAAAGAGCACGACATCAACCGCCGCGCTCGAGCGTCCCGACGCTCGTTCACGCGCGCTTCGCCGAGGGATCTCGCGGTCGCTCGCGTACCAATCTTCTTCCAATTCCTCCCCCCGTACACCGCCACCGCGCCGCGCAACAATTCATCCTACGAACGCAATCACCCCACGTCAGTCTCTTTCGCCGCCCTCTTTCACCGCAAACGGCGCATTCGCGTCGCGTAAATCCGCATCCAAATTCAAATTCAAATTTCAAATTTTAACGCACCTCCTCGGGTGTCCATCCTCCTTTGGCGCTTCTCCGCGTCGGTCCTCCGATCTTCCTGCTCGCGACGCGCGCACGGCGCGAAAGTCAGTAAATCATTCTCGCGTTTCGCGCTCGTCGCGACGACGCACCCATCACCGAACGCGCGCGGCGCGAGTCGGTCGTTCGAATGCGGTCGCGATGCGCCGGCGTCGCGACGCGTCGCTTTCTTCGCCGCTTTCCGACTTCCGGACGCGCTCGCGCGACCGCTCGATCGCGCGCCGGATTTCTTTTTCGTCTTTCGCGGCGACGGCGGCGACGGCGAGCGTCCGCGCGCGGGCTTCGTCGCGCGGCGCGCGCGGGCGACCATCTTCGTGCGCCGCGAACTGCGGGCGGCGTCGCGTCGTTCGGCTTCACTACGCGTCCCGTTTCATAAATGTTTTTAATACGCGTGTCACTGTATGCGCAGCTCCGAGTTGTCTGATCGTGTACCACGCGCGGAGTCAACCGCGCGCCGAGTCGCCGCGCGACCGCGCGACACGGCGACGCGCGCGCGACGGCCCGGTCCGGTCCGCGCATGACCGTCGAACCGTCGTCGAGCGATGGCGACGCCCGTTTGATGAAAGTCGCCGTCGACGATGACGCGCGCGAAGATGCGAAAGATGCGACGACGCGGGACGATTCATGTCGCAGCGGCGCTTCGACGACGGACGACGCGCTCGCGGCGTTCGCGCACGACGAGCTCGATCGCGCGAAGACGACGATCGCGCGATTACGGTTGGAGAAGCACGCGCTCGTGATGGGGAACAAGCGAGAGGGCGAGGCGAGAGCGAGGGCGGAGGTCGAGGCGAGAGCGCGCGCGGAGGCTGAGGCGAAGGCGTTGGCGGCGGAACGCGGGGCGTTGACTGAGCGTGAACGGGCGTTGCGAGCGTTCGTCGAGGATAAGAAGGCGCATGATGAAGCGTTGCGTCGGGCGAGGGAGGAGTGCGCGCGGTTGACGGTGGCCTTAGAGTCAGAACGAGCGGACATGGAGCGGGCGTTCGCGGCGAGGACGGGGGCGATGCGCGCCGAGTGCGACGCGCGCGTGGCCAAGGCGAAGAAACAAGCGGAATCGACGATGACGGCGCGCATGGAGCGATCTGTAAAGAGAATTTTGGCGCAGAATAGGAAAATGAGCGATGAGCTTCGCGTGCAGGTGAATGAGACAGACGCGTTGCATCGGCGCTTCGCCAAGGCGAACGCCGAGGCGGAGAGCTTGCGCCGACGCGCGGCCGCGGCGGATGACGTCGAACGCGAGCGCGCGGAGCTCGGGGCGATGCGAGCGAGGGACCTACGACGAGCAGAGGAGAAAATCACGACGCTCGAGCGCGGTATCCGCGAACTCATGGAAGCGTTCGAGACGCAAAAGCTCGAGTGGGAACGGGAGACGAACGATTTGCGACGCGCCAACGATGAGGAAGTAACGCACCTTAAACGTTCGCTGGCGTTGAAATCGCGCGAGTTGGTCAACATCAGGCGCTTAGCGAAAGAGGTAGTGTGTCATTATGAAGACTTGTAAGTGTATCTAATTCATCAATCGTTTCATTACATGTTGGTCAAACCGCCGTCGCGCTGCGCTCGGTCAAAAAAAATCAATGCGTCGCGCGGCCGCGATTGATTCTGTAAAAATATATCATTCTCACCAGTGGTGATTGAGAAATCGGCCGCCGTGTCCACCGCCGATTGCGGCGTGATGCTCGGCGTCTTGCGTCACGTTCTCCGTCTCCACCACGGTGCCGTCCGGTAAAGTTCTTCGACTCACCGTGCGCGTTCGTCGAACGCCATCCGCGCCAATCGTCGTCGTCGTCGAAGTCGACGTTGACCACGTCGCCCCTCGTCCTCCGAACGCCGTCGACGATGAAACCGCGCCTCCCATCCGACCCCCTCCACCGTCTCCGCCGAACCCATCGCCGAACCATCCGTCCAACGAATCGACGTCTTCAAAAATCGACCGTCGCCGTCGAAAAACCGAATCGGCGCGCTCCATCGCGAACGGATCCCGTCCGAACGATCCAAACGTCCCCATCCCTCGCCCACCGCGCGTCCCGTGCGCGTCGTCCCCGAACACTCGCCGGAACGTCTCGAACGGGTCAAAAAAGTATCCTCGTCCATCGAAATCATCCTCATTCGTCGTCGTCCGCCCTTCGTCTCGGCGTTCGCCTCGCCTCGCCTCGTTCCCGTCCTCGTCGGCTTCCTCGTCTTCCTCGCGCCCTCGTCGCGCGCGTCCCTCCGCGAATCCGAATCCACGCGCGCGATCGTACCGCGCGCGTCGCTCTTCGTCTCGCACCGCCTCGTACGCGCGCGACGCGCGCTCGAACGCGTCGCGGCCGTTCGGATTCTTGTCGGGATGCCACCGCACGGCTTGTCGACGATACGCGCGACGAATCTCGTCGAACGGGGCGTCGCGCGCGACGCCCAGGACGTCGTACGCGCACGCGCGGTCGTCGTGCGCGCGCGGGGTCTCGCGCGACATCGACGCCGCGGACTCGACGCGACGGTTTGTGATGATTCGCGACGCGCGCGGCGCGAATGCTCGGAACGGAACGGAACGGAATGGAATAGATTACACGTAGATTACGTCACGACGACGACGCGGACGCGACGACGGGCCGCGCGCGCGCCAGGGCGTCGGGAACGATGACCTCGGCGGTGACGTCGTCGAATTCGGGTTCGCCCAACCGTCGACGAACCATGCGATATAAATCAGGATTGGCGTCGATGCGCGGCTGAAACAACGAATCGCTCGCGCCGAAATACTTTGGCGATTTGAGCATCTTGTCGATCATGCGATGGACCCACGGAGCCATGACGCGAAGGACGAAACGCACGACGGTGGTGGGGATGAAACGCATCTTGACGTCGGCGTGGACGACGATGTCGCCGCGGGTGCGGATGGATTTTGAACCGGCGACGGGCGGGAGCGCGCGCATGCGCATGCCGCAATTGCCGACGAATTCGATGCGCTTGCGCGATTTGGCGGACGGTGGCGCGCCCGAACCCAGGTCGTCGCCCGATTTGTTGGTTCGAGTGATTAATATCGCACACGAATGCGGGACTTCTGATTCGAAATCATCCATGCCGGGGATGTTCAAGTGATCGTACGCTCGCGTCGGCGGTTGACCGACGTACGTGGAATCGATGACGATGATTTTGTCTCGAGCGCTCAGCGGCCAGGGAAGCCAAATGGCGGAGTATACGACCAAGTGCGTGAGCCCGCGAACGAGCATTATGGACGTTTCTATGGCATAGACGTTCCAAAGCGTCATTAAATCCCACTCGCGCGCGATGGCGACGAGTCTATGCGGCGGCGCGTCAAACGTCGCGCTCAGTTTGATGCTGTGCACCGTTCCGCCTTTGAAGCGTCCGTAATATATCACCAAACGCTCGTCCAAATCAGGGTCGGCCTCGAACGTTTCTTGCACCACCCCCGGGACGCCAGCGGTTCCACGCACGCTGCTTTCACCTCCGCTCTCGCTCCCGCTCAACGGATCTGGTTGCGTCGCGATGACGGCGCCGTCGCTCGAACTCACGCTACCGCTCCTCGAGTGTCTGCTTCGTCTCCGACGTCCATACCGAGGCGCCAACGGGTCTTCTTCACCGTCCGACATCGACGCGCGCGAACTCGCAAGATCGGTGAGTTCGCCAAAATCAATCACGCCTCGTTTCTCCCTATCCGTCCGTCCTAAACTCACCTCGACTTCGGCGCCCGACTGTCGCAAACTTCTCCGAGCGTCGTTCGCGCCCCCACGCTCGAAATCCACGCTCGAAGCCCACTGTCGACTCAACCCTCGCCCTAAATCTATGCTCGACGTCCGTCGACTCCCGCTCTCGCTCGCTCGCATCCGCCCGAAATCCACGCTCGACGTCCTCCGCATCCCAAAGTCCACGCTCGACGCTCGCCGGCTGTGATTCGCTCCAATGATGACCTCCGCGTCCACCTCCACGCTCGCCTGTCGCCGATGATGCGCCGCTCGCTTCGCCCCCTTATCCACCGGTTTCCACCCATCGTGATGTTCCTCTAATTCAACGTCGTTCAGCGCGATCGCTTGTTCGTACACGTCCCGCCACGCCTCGCGTCGACGCGTCGACGCCTCGTCCCGCGCGCTCCCCGTCGCGTCCTCCCGCGCCACCATCCACAGCGCCGCCTCGAGCTCGCCGAGCGCCGCCAACCGTTCGGCATCGTTCGCGCACGCGTCCACCGTCGTCAGCGCGTCCGCGCGGCCGATCCACTCGCGCCGCGCGCGCGCGACGTCGAAATTCGCGTCGCATCGCACGTCGTCGTCCCAATCGATCTCGAACGCGTCGTGACGCGCGTCGTGGAACGCGTCGTGGAGCGCGTCGACGTCGGCGTCGGCGCGCGCGACCGCGTCTCCATCGTCGGCGCGCGGTCTGCAGCAGCGCGCGCCCATGACGGGCGCGCGTCGCGCGATGGCGCGTCGCGCGCGCCGCGCGTTCGTTAAATACGGTGATTGATAGCGTTCGCGCGCGCGCGAGGCATCGCGCGACCGCACACGCGCGCGCGACGCGCCGTCGCGAGCGAACGCGCGAGGGAACATGCGCGCGATTACGATGGAGGTCCCGGTCGACGCCGCGGCGCCGCGGCGCGCGCGCGCGAGCGAGACGACGAAGGAAACGATGCGCGCGCGGGTCAGGGTTGCGCGCGCGCGGTGCGGGACGACGAACGCGCGAGACGGCGCGCGCGACGTCGCCGCGCGCGCGGGACGACGCGTGGAGGTGCGTGTGATATCGCGCGATCGCGCGCGCGCGCGACGACCGGCGGAGAGACGCGGAAAGGGCGATCGGAGGCGCGGCGGTGCGCGACGCTGGTGGTGGGTTGAGGGTTAGAGCGCGAGGGCGCGCGACGGCGTCGAATTCGGTTCGCGACGAAGACGATGGACGCCGATGCGCGGCGATGCGAACGCGGGAAAACGCACGAGACTGACGGTGTGAATTGTGGTCGTTCGCGCTGACGCAGACGCGGGCGTCGTCGGATGCGATTCCGGATTCGTTTAAGATGCCGTTTCGACCGTCGCCGAACGGGAACAAGGGCAAGGGATTTTTAGAGTTGTGGTTCGGCAGGGACGAGGCGAACGAGGGTAAGATACGACCGGCGCCCTATTTGCGAATCTTGGCGGTGATACCGTTCGTGATTCCGTTGATGGGGACGATTGCGTTCACGCACAGCGCGTACGAGTTTTTGCCGCTGTTCAAGCACGCGATGTTCATCTTCGCCCCGGCGATGCAGCTCTTTTACGGGAACTCGTTCATTCCGTTCATGACCTTCTTCGCGCTGTTCTTGCTCGTCGTGCGTAACGAGAAGATTCCGTACTTTGTGCGGTATTGCACCATGCAAGCCATCTTGCTCGACATCTGTTGCATGCTCGGCGGTTTGATCATGCAATACATGCCGATTTTCATAATGGTGAGCTGGGTCGGCGAGTGGATGGAGCTTTGGATCTTCGTCAACTCGTTCTTCGCGCTCGGGTACTCCATTTTCAACGCCCTTCAGGGTTTGATCCCCGAAGCGCCGCTGATCTCCGAAGCCGTGTACGCGCAAGTCCAGGAAGCTCGCGACACGGGGTACATGGAGGAGGAGTGAGCGCGCGCTTCGACGACGCGAGTAGGCCAACCCATTTTCTTAGTAGCTTGAAAACATTGACACTGACACACACACACCTCTCGCCGGCGCGTTCGTCGTTCCATCGCGTTTCGCCCGCGCTTTCGCGCCCGAGCGCGGTTCGGCCGAACTGGATAAAGTCGCGCGCGTCGCAGATATTTCTCACCACCGTCCTCGCGTAATCGCCGCATCCGTCACAACACGCCGCGACGCACCGCGCGCGACCGGTTCGCGTGAAAGCGTAATCATGCACGCCTTCGCGCCGTTCGCCAACGCCTCGGCGACGCCCACGGTTCGTCAAACGACGTCGAAGCGTCAACAGACGTCATCGCGCTCGAACGCGATCGCGCGCGTCGTTCGCGCGAATGCGCGGTCGAACGACGCCGAAGACGCGGTCGGCGATGCGACGACGCGTCGTCGAGCGATCGCGACGCTGTTCGCGGGTGCGGTAGGCACCGCGGGGGCGGTCGGGAGCGCCAAGGCGGACGTGCAAGATTACCTGTCAAACTTGCTCGTCGAAAAGCCGCCGCCGCCGAAACGGGAAATTTTGCTCCCGGATCTCGAGGTCAAGCCGTTGACTCGAGAAGAGGGGTACCGAGGAACGACGGGGGCGAACAAATCCAAGGCGCAGATCGAGTTTGCGCAGTTTATCGCGCCGATCATCGAGGAGAATATTGATATGGACTTTGGGTCGTACTTCCGATTGGCGTTGGCGGATTTGGGGACGTTCTCCGTCGTCGGTAAGAAGAATGGGTTGAACGGAAGCATTCGATTCGAACTCGACCGTCCGGAAAATGCTGGATTGAAGCCGGCGTTCAATTCGATCGAAAAGATTAAAAAGGCTGTGGACGCGAAGACGACGCAGCCGATTACGTACGCGGATTTGATCGCCATCGTTCCGCATTTTGCGGCTCGCAGACAGTTCAAGGCGGATTACATGGAGGAAGTCGGGGACGATAAGAACTACGAGTTCTTGTTCATCGGCACCAACCCGTTCTTGGGGGCGAAAATTCGCATCGGTCGCCGTGACGCCGACGGTCCCGATCCCGAAGGTTTGATTCCGCTCGTCGACGGCAACGCCGAGGATTTCATCGCCTGGTTCCGTCGCATGGGTCTCGGTCCGAACGAACTCGCCGCGCTCGCGCCGTACATCTACGAGGATCGTCAAAAAGGTATCGATATTTGTGCCCAAGACGGCACGTGCGCGCGTTTGCTCGACGTGTACGAGACGCAGCGCATTTTGGGCAAGCGCGCCCCGGGGCCGGCGGTGACCATCATCAAGAACCTCAAGCAATGCACCGATCAGTGCATTCCGGGCGGTCCGCTGAGCGTCGCCCCGGCGCAGCTCGATCCGCTCTACGTCGACTACGCCTTCATCAAGGGTGGCGGCGAGATCCCGCGCATCTCCGCCTCGGGCGCGTACCCGGGCTCGATTTACGACAGCGGCAGCAAGTTGGCCATGCAACTTCGCGCGTCTCAGGCCGAACAGCGCGCGCAGGCCGCCGCCGCCGCCGGTAACTAATCGCATCGCGTTCTCTCACGATTCAAGTTTCGTTTTACACGCTATTCTTCAAACATTGAATTTCAATCAAACGCTCGCTCGCCGTCTACGCCCGGCCCTCGCCCGGCCCTCGCCTCGCCTCGCTACTCCGGCGGCGGATACTTCGCCACCTCCTCCCTCACCCTCCGCTCGTACTTCGCCCTATCCGTCGTGTACGTCACGTACGCATCGCTCTGCGCCGGCGACTTCTCGTTCGGATTATCCAGCAGTTCCTGTATCCCCAGCGCCACCTGCTTCACCGTCACGCTCGGCCGCCACCCCTCGTCCTCGTTCAGAATGCTCAGGCACACCGTCCCGCTCGGGTACACGTTCGGGTGATAAAATCCCGCAGGAAATTTACACTTCATCGGCTTGGCCGGGTACTCCCTCGGGAACTCCATCGTCAGCGGCACGAACGCGCCCTCCCAGCGCGTCCCGCGCGCGCCCGGTATCGAGCACCGCCATCGAAACAGATTCGTCTCCCCGCTCGCCGTTTTCTCGGGACGCGCGAAGAATCCGGGCGGGTGGTCGCGACGCCAGTTTCGGCGCTCCTCGCCCAGGCGCGCGAGGGCGACCGACGCCATCGCGCGTCGCGACGTGACGACGCGACGAATCGATTCTCGATGCAATCGGTCGTCGGCGCGCCGATCGGCGCGTCGCGCGCGGCAGAGCGCGCCGCGCGCGATGGCGCGAGGGGCGCACGCGCGGACGCGCTCGATGCGCGCGCTCGCGGTGACGCTGACGCTGACGCTGTCGCGATGGCGCGTCGGCGCGGCGATGACGACCGACGGTTTGACGTCGTCGGATCACCGATCGCGACGCGCGCGCGGCGACGAGGACGCGCGACGCGCGCGCGGTCGTCCGGCGACGTGGACGGCGTGCGCGGGTCCGTCGCGCGCGGCGCTCGAGCTCGCGTGGCGCGCGGAGACGCACGCGTCGGTGTACGCGACGCCGCTCGCGGAGGACGTCGACCGGGACGGACGAGGCGCGGCGGTGACGCAGACGACGAGCGCGCGCGTTCGAGCGCACGACGGCGCGACGGGAATCGATTTAGACGGCGAGAGCTGGGGCGCGCGACTCGGCGCGGCGTCTCGGGGAGGCGTGGTGAGGATCGGGGAGGCGTACGCGAGCGCGTCGCTGGCGGGCGAGGCGAGGACGTTCGACGGCGAGCGAACGCGCGCGGTCGCGCGATTAGCGCCGCTGGCGATGGCGGTGGATTGGTTCGGTGACGATGGATCGGGGAAGAGCGACGCGGGCGATCCGCGCGAGGTTGAGCGGAGACACGAGGCGAGACGACGCGCGCCGGGATCGAGGCGGTTGTTGGACGTCGAAGACGAAGACGAAGAGGAAGAGCCGACGACGATGAGCGCGGAGGAAGAGGCGAGGAGCGATCGCGGTTGGGACGCGATCGATAGTGGCGGTGATTCGACGCGCGATGTCGCGAGTGGGTCCGTCGAGGCGCGGCGAGCGGTGGACGGACGAGTCTTCGTGGACGCGCACGCGTTGTGCACGCCCGCCGTCGGCGACGTGGACGGTGACGGCGAACCCGAGCTCGTGCTCGCGGTGTCGTATTATTTCGATTCTTCCGTGCGCTTTGAAGACGACGTCGATCCGAAGCAGTACGCCGCGACGGCGTTGGTCGTGTTGAACGGCGAGGACTTGTCCACCAAGCGCTCGATCGCGCTCGATCAGAGCGCGGCGACGGCGCTGTTCAAAGCCAGAGCGTACGCCCCGCCGACGCTCGTCGATGTCGACGGCGATGGACGATTGGACATCGTGATCGGCACGTACGCTGGCGTTTTGCACGTCGTGGACGGCGTTTCGGGGAATCCCTTGCCGGGATGGCCTCGACGGCTCGGACAGATGGAAGCGCAAGTCACCGCCGCGGACGTCGACTCGGATGGTGACATCGAACTCATCGCGTGCGACGTTCGCGGGACGGTGGCGGTGTTTAAATCGAACGGCGTCGAGCTTTGGAACAAGCACGTCGAGTCTCGGATTGCCGTCGCGGCGAGCGTAGGAGACGTCGACGGCGACGACGAAATCGAAATCGTCGTCGGCGACACCTCTGGCGCCGTGCACGCGTTTCGCGCCAAAGACGGCACCGCACGCGAGCACTGGCCGGTGTACGTGGGCGATAAAATTCTCGCCCCGATCGTGCTCACGAAACTTCGTCAAACAAAACGCGGGCTCGATGTCATCGTCGCCACGCACGACGGCGTGGTGCACGTGCTCGAGGGCCGAAGTCGATGCCGCGACGTCTTTGATATCGCCGAAAAGATTTACGCCGCGCCGTTTGTCACCTCTTTTGCCGGCTTCGGCGAACTCGACGTGATAATTTCCACGATGGAGGGTCACGTGCGCTCGTTCAAGGCGAAAGGGTCAAAGTTTAATGCGTTGGCGTTGACGTCGAGCGATCACGTGTCTCGCTACGATTATTTCGGTGTGGCGCTGTACGATCGCACTTATCGCGTCATTCGTGGAACGTACGTTGATGTGGTTTATGAAATCATCGATAGACGCGTGCTCGATCACGCCAAGGCGAGGAAATCGTCGCTCGCGCCGTACAAGGTTGCGATTACGGTGACGAGTTTGGATGGTTTCAAGAAGATCGTCTCCGCTCGACACGATCGCGCCGGTCGGTACACGCTTCGGGTGGGCGTTCCATCGACGAAAACGCGCGGGGAGATCCGAGTGCGCGTTCAAGATGTCAACTTGATCGCCGACGAAGACGCGTATTCGGTTTCGTTTCACGAAAATTACGAGATCGCCTTGAAATGGCTCGTCGCCCTACCGTTTCTTCTCGCGAGCGCGGCGGCGATTCGGCGCGCGAGCGAAGACGCGCTCGAGATGGATGTCTTTGGCGCGTCAGCCTCGATTCCAACCACCACGAAGGGGATGCACGAGGAATAGTAGTAGCTTTAGTTGTTCGTATATTGCACGTATGTATCCATTGACATGAATTCATGTCCATTCTCGGCAGCCATCTCTTGCGTCTCGTCCCAAGGACACCCGCGCTCACGCGCGTACTTCAAACATTCCAACTCTCCATCCATGGCGGCAAGTGCGCACGTCCACTCGTTCCAGGGACATCCATTCTCGTGCGCGTACTTCAAACACTCCAATTGTCCGCTCCGGGCGGCATTCATGCACGTCCTCTCGTCCCAAGGACAGCCGTGCTCGTGCGCGTACTTCAAACATTCCAAATGTCCATTCCGGGTGGCGTAATAGCACGTCCTCCAGTCCCAAGGACACTCGCGCTCGTGCGCGTACTTCAAACACTTCAAATGCCCATTCATGGCGGCATTCGCAGACGTCCATTCGTTCCACGGAAAGTCGAGTCGCCGCGCCTCCTTCAGCTGCTCGAGATAGCCAAGTTCCGCGAGTTTTGAGCAAACTAAGCCGTCTGCATCGCGCTGCGGTCCGCGAGATACATTCTCGAGGCAAGTCTCGAGGCAATCGTGAGTCTGACTGGCCCGGCGCTTGATCAATTCGCGCAAACGCGCGTATGGGTCCTTCTTAGCCATGTGTTTGAGAGTCGCGATGTGACCACCGACGTCGTTCTCGCGCGAGATCGAATACGCGACGGGATCAAACGCGCGCGACGACGAACGAGCGTCGACGTAAACGGGCGTTCGTACATGTAATTACATCACGCTTGAAACCGTTCGCGCCGAGCGGAGCCGGCGGTATCACGTAAAACATCAAAAAATTAAACAAAATACGTCGAGCGAGCGGCTCGCCAAAGCTCGCGCGCGATAATCGACGCCGCCACCGAACGTTAAAACGTCCGTTTCGCGACGGCGCGTCACATCTCACGCGCGAGTTCACGCACGCTCACCCGAACGCTCGCGCCGATCTCTCGAGATCGCGTCGCGACGGTTAACCCAACAGCTTCTTGTAATTGTAATAGACGGTTAACCCAACAGCTTGACGATTTTCGCTTCGTTATCCGCCGCGCCGTCCCCGTTGCGTTCGACGACGTTTCCATCGCGATCCACCAAAAACTTACACGCAAAGTTCCATCGCACGTCGGATTCATCCCCCGACGCCTTTTTCAAGAACGTCCACACCGGCGACGCGTCCGCGCCGTTCACGTTCGTCTTCGCCGTCACCGTCGGCGCCGTCTCGAATTCTTGCTTCGCCACGAACGCCGCGATGTCCTCCGCCTTCGCCAGCTCCTGTCCCCCGAACTGCCCGCTCGGCGTGAGCACGACGACTAAATCCGGCGAGTACTTGTTCGACAAGTCGCGCAGCGCCGCGTACTCGCGCTTCGTCGCGCCTCACCTGCTCGCGACGTTCGTCACGAGCACGACTTTGCCCTTCATCGATGCAAACTCGATCGTCGAGCCGTCGAGCGCGGGCGCGCGCAGGTCGTGGAACGCCGCCATCGCGCGCGTGACTCTTCCGCGCGCGCGCTTCGAGCGAGCGACGCGCGCGGGCGCGAACGAGCGAGCGAACGCGCCGAGCGCTCGCGTCATACTATGACGCCGACGCCGATCTTCGGCCGCGTGTTCCTCGGCGCGCGCGCGCCGACGCGCGCGGACGCGCGGCTCGCGTGCGAGCACGGACTGCGGTGCGGGCACAACTACCCGAGCGAGCTCGTCGGGACGTCGGACTGCGACGAGGAGGCGCCGGGACAGCGCGCGAGGTTGGAGGGACAGCGACGACGGTCGTGGGCGATAGATCGCACGCGCGCGCGCGTCGGACGCGGCGCGCGCGCGTACGAACGCGCGGTGAAAGCGCTGAAGTCGTGGGAGCACTTCGATCTCGGTTGGGCGCGCGTGTCGCGAGAGAGCGGCACCGCGGTCGGGGACGCGGTGTGCGTCGAGGCGCGCGTGGCGGGCGTGTGGATGCGGAATCCGCTGCGCATCGTCGAGCTTCGCGAGCGGGAGAAGCGCGCGAGCGGAGGCGCGTCGTCGTCGTCCGGGGCGAGGGCGAAGGCGCGGTTCGCGTTCGCGCACGGGACGCTCGGCGGGCACTTGCTCGCGGGGGAGGAGCGGTTCTCGGTGGAGCTCGCGGAGGACGGCGAAGTGTTTTACGAGGCCTACGCGTTCAGCAGGCCCGCGCACGCGCTGAGCGTGGTGAGTTATCCGTTCGTGCGATTGTTGCAAAAGCGGTTTCACTGGGATTCGTCGCGGGCGATGCGTAAAATCTTGAGCGAGGCGGAGTAGGACGGAGCCTCGGTCAACTCGTACTGTAGATGGTTATAAATAATATGCGGTGTTTAGATTCTTCCCATCGACGCGCTCGCGATGCGATTAGATGGAGTGCGTGCGACGTATTCGTGTGGCATCGTACGACGCGCGCTTGGAAGCGTCCTTGAGCACCGCGTACGCCTCGGCGACGCGCTTGAAGAGCGCCTCAGACGCCGGCCGAACGGCGTCGCTCGGCGCCTTGTCGGGATGAAACTTCAGCGCGAGCGACTTGTACGCCTTACTCACGTCCGCCTTAGTCGCGCGGGAACTCACACCGAGCACGGCGTAGTGCTCGCACGACGTTGCACCGTTCTTCACCTTGCGCTGCGCCTCGCGCAACTTCATCGCGCAGTCGTCGCCCATGTGCGGCGCGAGTTCCTCCAAATCTTTCATCGCCATCGGCCAGTCGCCCATGGACAAGTAAGCATCCGCTCGGCGCTGTAACGCGCGAATGTACGTGTCATCGAACGTGCGAGAGACGCAGCACTCCATGACGGCGTCGCAAAACTTGCCCATGGCTTGAAGCGCGGCGGCTTTGTTCGCGTGAAGCACGGCGCGGAACGCTTGGTCATCGAAATCGATCGCCAAAGCATCAGCGTACGCTTGAAGCGCCGCATCGTACGCTTTGGCGTGAAAATTTTGATTACCCCGCACCTTGAGTTGTTCCGCTTGTTCTCGCAACGCACTGAGACGTTTCTTTGGCGACGGTCGCGTCGGCGTTCGCTGACGTCGCGGCGAAGGCTTCGCCTTTTGCGGAGTTTCACGCTTTGGTGGCGACGCTTTCGATGGTGTCGTCGTTGCCTTCGTTTCTGGAGAACTCGCGCGTCTGGGCGAGGACGCCTTACGGGGTGAGGCATCCGTGGCGAACCTGACGAGCTTGGCGCGTTCTTGCTTCCACGACGCCTTGTGCAGGGCGAAAGCCTCACGCTCGCGTTCGAGCTCCTTCATGACCGCCGCTAACTTCGCACTCAACGCCGAAGAATCACTATTATTCGAGTTTACACGCGAGCGAAGCGCGTCCAACTCCGAACGCGTCGCCGAGAGTTCCTTCTTACGAATGGCCTCGATTTCTCGCGCTTTGCGCGCCTCCGCCCTGGCGCCCGCCAAAGCGTCGCGCAACTCGGCGTTCTCCGCCTTTAAGTCAGCCTGCGACGCGGTGACTTCTACGGACTCTTTCAAGGCGCGAACTTCATCCTTTTTCGACGCAAACGCGCTGACGAGCTTGGCGTTCTGCGACGCCATCTCCGCGAGCGCGTTTCTCGCCGACTTTCGCCCGTTGTCCAACTCTTGGCACTTCGCCGTCAGAGCCCCAACCTCTCTCTCCGCCGCCTCCGCGCGCTCGCGCATCAACTTCAGCGCGTTCTCAAAATCCGTCCTCAGCGTCGCCTCGATCGCCTCGACGTCCGATCGTCTATACCGCGGCGAAGACGACGACGGCGACACTTTCCCCTCGCGCGCCGAACCGCTCGGCGACGCGTCCATCATCTCCCGATCCCCCGACGCGACGACGCCCCCCTCCGACCTCTCCCGTCGCCCTCCATTCGAATTTTTCACCCCACTTCGCATCACCGCCGCCACCGTGCTCGCCGCTCGCGCCCGCATCGTCCGTCCTCCCTCGCGCTCCGCTCGCTCCGCCTCGCGAACCGCTCGCGCCACCGCGTCTTCCATCCACGTCATCGTCTCCCGCCCCATCCCTCGCTCGCGTCCGACCGTCGCGCGCGAACCGTTTGTTGCATCGCGCGCCTCGCTCGTTCGTCCGTCTCGAGGTCGCGTCGCGCCGTTCGCGTCGTCGTCGTCGTCGCCGCGTCTCGCGTCGCCGTCCTTCGACCCCCTCGCCGCCGCGTCCGTTCGCATCCCATCCCGCGTCGCGTCGCGCTCGACGCCGCGATTCGTGAGATCGCGCATCGAGCGCGTGACTTTGCGCTGCAGCGCGCGCTCGGCGTCTCGAGCGCGGACGCGTGCGCGTTCGATCGCGCGGTCGATGGCGGTGGATGAACCGACACCGTTCGACGCGATGATGTTTGCGCTTCGCGCGTCGTCGTCGTCGCCGCGCGGGGACGCGCGACGGAACGTCGAGACGGAGGGCATTTTTACCGGCGCCCTCGCCGCGCGTCGCGCGCGCGCGGCTCGGGGCGCGTCGTGGAGTGCGGCGCGCGCGATCGATGTCGGTTCGTCGACTCAACGGGAAAAATCGGCGAGAGTTTGCGTGAATTGGCGAGGAAATGACTGAGCGTTTGCGACGCGCGAGGGTCTGCGTCTATCGCATCGCGCGACGCGCGCTACGACGCGCCCGCGCGCTGATCCACGAGCTTGGATTTGAGACCGACCTTTTCGTACTCCCTCTTCGTCGTCTCGATCGCGCGCGGGCTGGAATCGCGGAGGAATTCGCGCTCGCGGTCGGAGACGGCTTCGACGGCGACGGCGCGGAGACGCGTGTCAATCTTCAATCCAGCGTACGGGTCGCGCTTGGCGCCGGAGGCGTTCTGCTTTGTCGTCGTGCCGTTGTGGTGCGCGATCGTCGACGCGTCGACGCGCGCGGCCGATGCGTCGCTCGGCGGCTCGGCGCGAGACAGCGATTCGCTTCTCGAGACGCTGGGCGAAGCCGCGAAGAAGTCTTCGTCGGACGCGCCCGAATTGTTGCGCATAGAGCCCAGATCAGAGTCGGTGGGCTTCTTCCTCGGACGCGCGTGCCAATCGAAGGGTAAGCCCTCGGGTGGGAAATATCTAGACTTGCTAAATTGTTGCTCGCTGCGTTTCATCAAGTGCCAGCCCCACGCGCTCTGCGTCCGCCACCACAATCCGATCGCGACAGCCGCGACGCCGGTGACGATGGAACACGTCACCGTGGAGTACCAAAACTTCAACCACGCGCTCAACGTGAGCGTGGTGAGAAACATCGGCACCCCGTACGTGAACATCCGAAACGCTTTTCGCCAATCCGCCTCGCATCGCGTCTCCCAATACCTCTCGAACGACCTCTGCGGCTGCGGCGGCGTGTCTCCCGGCGCGTACGACAGCGCAAATTTACGACACGCGTATAAAAACTCCGCCTCCTCGTCCTCGCTGACGTACGACTTCCCATTCCTCAAAATATTACTCAACATGAACGAACACAGCACCATGGCGTTCAACATCAACGCCACCGTCACCGCCGTGGCTCCCGCGTACGCCGCGATCAACGCCTCGCTCTGAAACGCCTTCACCGTCGGATCGCTGAACTGCAATTCCACCAGCGCCACGACCGCGAATCCACTGATCAACGCGCTCAGGTTCGACGTCGTTCGCAGTTGTTCGCCCTTCTCCTCCACGTCCCGTCTATTCTTCTCCGCGTACCGATTCCACACCCATCGCGCGTTCTCCAGCACGCGCTGCTCGACGTCTTGTCGTCGCCACTTCCGCTGCTCGTCCCTGTGGACGTGCTCGAGCTCCCACCAGTCGCGCTCTTCGACGCGAAATTCCAAATCTTCGCGTCGCCACTGTCGCTCTTCTTTCCGCCATTGTCGGTCCTCTTCGCGCCACGCGCGCGCGAGCGACGTGTCCAACGCGGTGAGAAACGCGGTGGCGGCGTCGCCGACGTCTCCGGCGCCGACGCCGGCGAACGACGGCATGCAGCGCGCGCGTCGTCGAATGCCGACGATGCGATAAAACCCAAACCATATATATAATAATCTAAACCCTCTATGTATGTATATCGCGAACACGCGCGCGACGCGAATGCGGACGCGCGGTTCGGCCGGCGCGCGCGCCCGCACACGCGCGCGCGCCATGTCCACCACCGTCGCGCTGCGCCACGCGCGACGATGCGCGAAAACTCTCTTCGCCCGCACCGCCGCCCGCGCGAACACCGCGGCGTCGCAGGCGTCGATCGACGCGTTCATGGAAAAGTTTGACGTCGCGAAGACGAGCCCGACGATGGACCGTCCGAGCACGCCCACGACGTTCGCGAGCGCGCCGGTCGAGGAGAGCGCCAAGGGAACGGCGGATAAGTTGAAGCTGAATTTCTACCTCCCGCACGAGGTGGCGCACGACGAGGAGGAGGTGCGCGAGCGATGCGAGACGCGATGGGACGGTGATCGCCCGATGGGGTTGCGGCCAACGAGTGGAAGGCGTGGGTTTGACCCGAACGCGAAGGAGACGCGCGCGAACGCGCGACGAGGCGCGGGTCGGACGCGGCGCGCGCGGAACGATCGCGCGATGGTGGGATGGTGGCGCGCGGCGAGCGATGACGCGGGATCTCGGAGCGATGACTGACGGAACGACGAGCGTCGCGCGCGCGCAGGTGGACATGGTGCTCGTGCCGGCGACGACGGGGGACTTTGGAATCTTACCGGGACACGTGCCGACGGTTTCGCAGCTGCGACCGGGGGTGGTGAGCGTGCATTTGAACGATAAAGACGTGAAGAAATACTTCGTCAGCAGTGGATTCGCGTTCGTGCACGCGGATTCGACGGCGGATATTTGCGCCATCGAGGCGGTGCCGGTGGAGCAACTCGACGGGGACGCGGTGAGGAAAGGGTTGGCCGAGCATCAGGCGAAATTTACGAACGCGAAGGATGATTTCGAAAAGGCGAACGCGCAAATCGGTATCGATGTGTGCAACGCCATGGTGGCTGCGCTCGACGCCAAGTAGAGAGAAGTGTAAAGGAATATCGTTAAAAATGTACGTTGAACGGATTCGGCTCAGCCGGCGGCGCTCGCGATGACGATGGAACGGTCGGCACCGTTTACACCGCTCTTTTTCTTCCGCAACAACGCCAACTCGTCGTGCAACATCGTTAGTTCGTGCGTGTACGCGTCCTTGTGCGCGATGAACATCTTTAGCTCGCTTCGCAAGCCTTTGATTTGACGCGACTTTTCCTTGATGTGCGCGTGCGTCTCTCGTAGCTCCTCAAACGCTCGAGGTCCGGGTTGACGGGACAACACCACGCGAAGTTCGGCGAGTACTTTTGTTTTCTCGCTAATCAGAATGTCTTTCGTCGTCACTTCTTCCGTTTTCGTGATCAGTTTGCGCTGCAACATTTGAACTTTCTGAATCAACTCGTACATAGTCGGATCGCTGCCTTTGAGCTGTCGCCAACGATGGACATTCATCGGATTCTCGAGTTCCTCGCTGAGTGCCTTAACTTTTGTGCGTTCGTGGAGAAGTTCGCGACCAAGCGTTTGGACTTCGTGCTTCAACGCATCGATGCTTGCCGCCGCTTCTCGCAGGGACGTGAGTTCTTGCGCGTGCGACGCCAATCTGAGCTTCAACGTTTTAATCTCGCGAACGCGCTCACGATACTCGGCTTGGCCTTGATTCAAAATTTTCTGCTGAACCTTGACTTTCTCGTAAAGTAGCGCGCATTCTTGATTCCGCTGCACAAGTTGTGCGTTGAGAACGTCACGATCACGCTTGATGACATCGAGCTGCTTGCGATGCGCCTCGCGACTTTCTCGCAACGACGCCACAGATGAGCGTAGCGTCTTCGATTCATCACTCGTATGCTTCAGAGACTCTTGCGTCTCGCGAAGCGTCGAGTTTAGCTTATCATTCTGTCGTCGTAGAGCATCGTGTTCTTTGTCCAACTTGCGATGCTCGAAACGCTCGCCCGCGATGACGGCGTCCTTCATTCTAAGTTCCTCGTGCAAACCTTCCATCGCCACAGTCTTGGCCTTGAAATCGCGTTTGATCTCCGCAATTTGTGACTGGGCCTCGACGAGAGACTTTGATTGTTGATTGCGTTCCGCGCACACGACGTCGTACGCGTGCTCGGCTTGCTTAATTTTGCTTTCTGCATCTTGTAATTCTTGCCGTAAATCAACGATTTGAGACTGTCGATCATGAACGTCATCCTCCAACTTTTCCTGACGACGCACCGCCGCCGCGATGTCCGCCAATAACTTTGCACGTTCTTGATCGAGACTTTTTATCTGCATCTCTTGCTTAACTTGTTCGCGTTTGTAACTCTTGATTTCGTTTTCGAGTGTTTGACGCTGCGCCTCATGAATACGCAGCAAATCTTGTTGCCGACTTGTGGCGTTCTGCGCCTGCGTAGTCGTCTTCAGAAGGACATCGCGCTCGCGCATAAGATCTTCTTTTCGCCTTTGCTCGTTATCTAAGTCTCTTTTTTGTTGCTCGAGACGTTGTTTGAGTAATTGAATCTCGCGCTTGAGCGCATTCTTTGCGTCGTCTGCGTTCAATTTCGTTTGCTCCGCCGCGCGGAGTTTAGACTCTAGTTGAGTGGACTTTTTTAAAGTACTCTCCTTTTCACGCTCGAGCGTTTTGATTTCATCGTTCAACGCTCGAATTTCGTGCATCTTGGCCGTGTTTGCATCCTCAGCACTCTTATTACTCGCGCGAGCTTCGTCAAGTTCGCGATGAAGCTTGTCAGATTTGCTCGCTAACACGTTCAACTCTTTCTGAGCCGCCTCTGTCCGTCGCTCTTGCAAACAAGTATCTTTTTCTAGCTTGATAATCATTTCGTCAGCCTTTGTTATCCTCGCTTTATACTCTCTGATCTCAATGTCGCGTTCTTCAGAGCGTTCCTGTACCTCGCGCATCTCGCGCTCGAGACGTTCCTTCGTGCGCTTTTGCCGCTCCACCTCCATCGCACTCGCGTGCGACAGATCACGTGCATTTTGTAATTCTACGTCTAAATCTAATTTCGTCGATTCAGCCTTTCTCGTTCGCTCCGATAGCTTATCGATATCCTCCCTGAGCCTGATGGTTTGCTCGAGTAATTCATCTCGTTCGGCGGTGAGACTCTCCTTGGCGCTCAGTAACGATTCAATCTCGCGCGAGTTCGCCCTTCGCGCACTCGCGCGCTCCATAAACAACCCATCACTGGTCGTCGTTTCGCAACCCCCTAGCTTGTCTTCATCTCGTGTCAGCCGTTCAATTTCCATCTTCAATTCGCTCGCCTCGCGCTTACTCGCCAACTCGCTCTCGTGCGATTCATCCACCATCGCCCACGCCTTCTCTAACTCTTCTTTGAGCGCATCGATGGTTGATTGATCTTCCCGCGACAAATCCAGCGTCATCATCATTTTCCTCGCCTGTCCGCGACACTCCTCCGCGAGCGTCGCGCACTTTGCCGTCAACGCTCGCTCGCGCTCCGCGGCGTCCGCGAGCGCGGCCCTCACCTTATCGCACTCTTCTCGCACCTTGACCGCGCGCGCGTCGTCGCGCGGTAATTTTGATATCGCCTGTGCGCGCGCGCGACGTCACGGCCGCGGTCAGTGCGTCGATCGCATCGTCTCGACGGTTCGCAGACTCGCCGAGAGCTTCCTAATATAGCACCCGCGCGAGACGAAAGCGTGGGACGCCGACGCGCGCCGCACGCGCCTCGACGAACGCGTCCTCGTCATAATCACCAAGCGAGGTATCTCCTTCATCTAAGCTCGCTGTTTCGTCGTCGTCCGCGTCGTCTGCGTCCAAACTCATCGCGCGGCGTTGTGGGGGTTTGACGATTAATATCGCCGTGAAAAGAAAGGAGGTGCCCGGGTTGTTGCGCGAGCGCGCCAGACGCGACGACTCGTGCGCACGAAACGGGTTTCAAAGGTTAAAATCCATCTAGTCCGCGAGCAAAAGCTAAATCATCGAATTCGCGCGCGAGAGCGGCCACGGCGGTTCGGTCGATGCCGGGATTGCGGGAGAGCGTCGCGGCGAACGTGCGAGACGAGGACGATTCCGCGAGACGGCGGACGGCGACGGCGGTGAGGTCACAGTCGGAGACGTCGAGCGTGTGCAAGTGAGGGAGATTGGGGAGAATATCGGTGATGGCGTCGATGCCGTCATCGCCGATGTGGTTTCCGCGGAGGCTGAGGATCTCGAGGGGAGTAGGCGACGCGCCGGCGGCGGCGGCGGCGACGTCGAAGGCTTCGGTAAAATCGTACGTGCCGCGCCATGAGATGACGTTCATGGACAGATCGCAACACTTTAGCATAGGAAAGTGACCATTTTGGAAGAGATTGGCCAGCGCTGGCATCGCCGAGTCGCCGATTCCGTTCGAACCAAGACGAAGAGTCTCGAGGCGACGCAGCGTTTTCAGCCCTCGAGGCGCTTCGCACAACCAAATCAATCCGTTATCTCCTAGAGAACAACCACTCAGATCCAAGATCACGAGTGATTTCCCTATGGTTTCGAGATATGTAGAAAGCTCGGCCGCGCCGTTGGCGTCAAAACAATCGTTGCCGCTCAGATCGAGGTTTCGTAATTGTTCGCACCGCGCCACGAGTCTTGAAGCGACGTCGGCGCCGCCAATCGCGGACACGCCAACGTTCGCCAGACGAAGCTCGCGCAAGCCAACAAATTCGATGTCACAGATTGATTTTATGCCTTCGTCGCCGATTGGGCAGAAGCTTACTTCGAAACATTCCAACTCGCGTGCGAGAGCGGGCGGAGGAAACCACGACTGTCGAAGCGCGACAATGGCTTGAGCGTTCAATCGGTCGCAACGGCTGAACTTTAAGCTCTTCAATCGACTGACCCACGAGTTTGCAACGTTTCCACTCGAATTCGTCATCGCGTGCAAAATTTCCTCGTCGACATCCTCACCGATAATCTCCAAATCGCGCACGTCCGATTCGCAGAGAAAATCTCCCAAGGCGCGCCATCCGTCGACATCGAGCCAAGTTTCGCACAACTTCAACCTAATTAGCTTCACTCGTGACGCGTGTTTCGCAAACACGTCGAGCAAACAACGAAGCGTGTCTTGATGTATTCTAAACGGCCCTTTCGCGTTAATCTCCAGACTCTCGATCGCGCCTCCGTGCGTCTCGAGTGTTGAACACAAGTCATCAGCAAAGCGCTCCGTAAACGCGTCCGCGGGTGTGATCTTGAGCACGTTTAATTCAGCATCAAACCACTCACGAGCGCGTTTCGGCATTCTTGCTCGAATTTGCCCGCGCGCGCCGCACCCACCGCGTGTGATTTCGAACAAACAAGGTCGACCTTCCAACGATTCTTTGCGAGCGAGCTCGTCGAAATCCGCCACGGGAATCAGCGTTGCGGTCCACCCACCGGCTACGATTGCCTCGTACAGCGCCCGATCCACGTGCGCCCAACGCGACACGTACGCGAGTAAAAGCATCCCATTATCACGCTCGAGCTTTGTGTGCACGACGTCTAACACATCGCGCGCCGATGCCTCGCTGTACACCACGTCGCTCGCGACGACGAGTGGAAACGTTTTTCTCGCGAAATCATCTGCGTCCCCTCGCCCCCACTCCAGCGTCCCCGCCGTCGCGCTCCCGAGCGACGTCAATACATTGTCATCTACAAAGTTTCGATTCATCTCGATCGATCGCCGTAGATCGCTCGCGACGTCGGCGTTTCCGTCCGTCAGCGTCGTCTCGCGCGCGGCGCCGCTCAGCCAGCACAGCATCCCAGGCGTCCCCAGCCCCGCGCCGAGCTCGAGCACGCGCGAGCGCTCGACCACGATCGAGTATCCTTCGTCGCTGGCTAAATACGCGCAGAGCGCTGGGAGAGCGCGCCAGGCGACGCGTCCAGTCTCGTCGCACTCGGCGGTTGAAGTGTCTTCTGGAAAGAGTTTCGGACGCCGCGTGCGCACGCGCACGACTCCGCGAGGGGTTTTGAAGGCGTGCACGTCGACAATATCATCGTCGGCGCCGTCGGACGCGGTCGGGGTCATTTCTGTGCTGTCATGGAGTCGGCGCGGGAGGCGCGCTGTGCCTCGGCGGTTGGACGCTCGGCGGCGAGTGGCTACTCTACGTTTGTGATACAAAACTATCGCCTAAAATCTACGTGCGATCGTGAAAAAAGTGCGTCTGTGACGCTCATTCGAAACAAAACGGTAAGGTGATGACGGACTCGGCATCGCGAGCCGGAAATTTCAACTCCAACAGCGCGCTCGCGATGTCGAGCATGATGGCGTCGCGAATGTCCGTCTCACTCGGGAGCTCGGGCAAAGGAATCGGCGTCAGGGTATCGCACGTCCATCGTAGATTGGTCACCGCACCATCTGGAGCTACGGTGAGCGCGGCGCAAACCATGCCGCTCGCTCGGGGAAGCTCGACGAGACGTCCGTACAGTTCCCCGAGCGCGCCCTCGAGCGTCGGCGACGCGTCCTCCTCCGTCAATGCGCCAGAAAACGACGGTTCGGGGTCTTTAAACCATCCGTGTAGTACCAACCTTCCGTGCCTCGGATCTTGAGTCCCGAAAACTTCAGTGACGCCGTGCGGTAGGCGCGGGTCGAACGCCACGAGACGCCCAAACGTCGGCGCGATGGTCTCCATGATTTGCGACCGCTCGACGACCTCGCCGGCGTCAAAATTCTTCCAATAATTCAATCGCTCGGGGCGCATTATTTGCGTTTCACCGCCCCTAAAATGTGCGCCGTACGACCCATCCTCCGCGTCGTTCTTTGTCAAACTGAGCACGAAGGCCCACGGTCCGTGCGGCACATCGGCGTGCAACTCTTGCCGCATCCCGTGCACGTAACACGACATCCACACCGGCGTGATCGCCGAGCATCCCAACTCTCTCCGTCCGTACTCCAACAGCGCCTTTTCCAACTCGCCGTACCGCTCGGCGCCGAAATAGTCCTCCGCGGGCGTTCGCAGCAGCGTGTACTGATTCGGCACGTGCCAGTAATCCCACACGAACCGCTCCGGATCCACGCGCAGCGGATCGCGCGTGCGTCCATCGTACACGGCGCGCAAATCGTTCGCGAAATCGCTCACGAAGCCATCGACGACGCGCCAGTGCGTCGGTTTTTCCGCGATTTCCACGTCGAACCCAGCGTCCGCGTCGTCCTCGTTCGTCGCCCTTCGCGTCCCGCGCGCGCGCCGCGAGCGACGGCGCGTGCGCACCGTCGTTCCCGACGCGCGCGCGCGCGCGACGCTCGACAGCGCCGACATGCGCGCCGGCGTGCGCGGTTTCGTCGCGGTTTCGTCGATCCTTTACATCAATTCGCGACGCACCGCGCGGCGTCGCGTCGCGCGCCCGTCGCGCGCGATGCCGCCCAAGGGAAAGACGAATCTCCTCGCCGCGCGCATCAAGCGCGTGATGCAAAAGGACGAGGACGTGGGAAAGATCGCCGGCCCGGCGCCGATCGTCATGGGCAAGGCGTTGGAATTATTCGTCAAGCAGCTCGTGACGACGGCGAACGACGTCGCGGTGCTGCACGGGAGCAAGACGGTGAACGGGAGTCACCTGAAGGGCGCGGTGGCGATGGTGCCCGAGGCGTTCGATTTTTTGAGCGACATCGTGGAGAAGGCGAAGGATTTGGGACCGCCGCCGGATCTGCGCGCGGTGGAGGCGGAACTCAAGGCGGCGGTGGGGGGGAAAGGGAAGAAACGAGGGAAAAAGGAAGCGCAGGGAAGCTTGGGGGACTTGGATTTCGGCGGTGGGTCGTTGGATGCGGATGATGGAGAGGATGAGACGGCGTCCGCGAAGCGGAAATCAAAGGCGAAAACCAAGGCGAAGCCGAAAGCCAAAGGACGAGCGAAGAAGGTTAAGAAGGAGGAGGATTTCATCGACGACGATGACGAGGAGTTCGTGGATGAAATGAGTGAAACTGATGAAGAATTTGATGCCGATGCGCCCGTGGAGCCGAGGGAGAAGCCGACGCGCGCGAGGTCGTCTCGCGCGACTCCGAAGAAGTACGTGGACGATTTCGTCGACGAAGACGAAGAAGACGAGGAGGCGCCAGTGAATCCCAGCGCAAAGGTGAAGGAGGAGCCCGTCGGTAATTTAGGCTCGCTTGATGTTCCGTTCGCTGGTGGATCGCTCGCGGCGGCGGCGCCAGACGTGGGCGAAGACGAGGACGATTACGACTAATAAAGACTGGGCGCGACTAGCTCTAGCGACCGCGTGTGTACAATCATGTTGATTAAGAAATATGAATCTTCACTAGCGCTGGATATGAAACAAGGAAAGATTCTAGCCGTATGTGCTGCGCAATTATGCTGCGAGCTGTGCGTGCGTGCGTGCGTGCGTGCGTGTGTGCGTGCTTTGGTGGGGCGCGAGCCCTCACGAGCGCGACTTCTCCAGACTCTTCGGTCGTAGTTGACTACCGTTGCGCGTGTTGATCTTCCAATCCATCTGATCGAGATTGACTGAAAAGAATGGGTGAGCCACCGCCTGATTCGACGTCAAGCGTCGCTTGGGGTCGAAATTGAGCAAGCGACTAATCAAATCGTAAAACAACTCTCGCGCCTCGCCCGCGAGCTGCTTGTCGATCAAGTTTCGAACGATGCCCGTTTTCCCGAGCGCGGCGTACGACTCGTTGTCAGTTTGATCATTTGGCCAATTCAACGATCCGTTGGTCGTGAAAAACTCGCTGTGCTTGTCCTTGGGCGCGCGTCTCGCGACGGCGACGGGGATGGCGCTTTCGAGGGCGTGTTGCATCATGGCCAAGTGCTCGAGGTTATCGTGGGTTTGAAATAACGCTTCACCCGTGAGAAGCTCGATCATTATGCATCCGATGGACCACATGTCGCACGGATACGACCAACCGAGGCCAAGAATGATTTCAGGGGCGCGGTAGTGTCGCGTCGATACTACGGCGCTGTGATGCCGTTCGACAAACGTCGTGCTCCCAAAATCAATCAAGCGAATCGTATGATCGACTGGGACGCGATACGTGGCGTTTTCGAGGTACGAACTCGACATCAAGAGAATATTCTCGGGCTTCAAGTCCGTGTGCACGAGTCCGAGCGTGTGCAAGTATCGCACCGCTACGAGCGTCTGCTCGCAAAAGCTCTGCACCGTCTTCGGATGAAATGGCTTGTATCGATTCGATCGCAAAAAGTCATACAGACTCGGTCCGCACTTATCAAACACCATGCACACGTGTCCTTGATAATCGAACGCCCGCCTGAGCGCGATGCAATTGAACCGTTCGCCATCCCTCCGCGACGCGTCGCCCTCGGCGAGCGTCTTCAAGACTTCGATTTCCACCATCGCCGCGTCGCGATACTTTTGTACGTTTCGAATCACCTTGATCGCGCAGCGTCGCTCGGATATCGCGTCCCAGCATTCCAAAACCCTACCGAAAGTCCCCTCGCCGAGCAAAGAGATGATCTTGTACTCATTCGTCAGCGCGTCCCCGAGCGCGTATCGCAGGTGCCCATCGGCGTCGTTCGCTCGTCCCGCTCTCGCCCGCGTCGTCTTCTTTTCCATCTCCACGTTTCCCTCGATGTAAAACCGGGTCAGCTTGGTGCGTTTCGAGCGTGCATCGATCGTCGCCACCGCGGGCGGCGTATCTCCGTACGGCGTCCCCGTCATCGCGTCGCTCGACACCGTCGCCCCCCCCCGACGTCGCCTTATCTCCGACGCCTCCCGTCCCTCAAACAACACCTGCACCGCGCCCCCCTCCCCGCCCTCGCTCGACGTCGACGCCCCCGACGACGACTTCGACGATCGTCTCGAGCTCATCCCTCGCGTCGTCGTCGTCCCCGATCGCTTCCGTTTCCCTCCCTTCGTCGTCGGCGCCTTTTCCTCGCGTCCCGCGTCGTCCCGCGTCTCCATCGTCTTCCCCCCCTCTCCCATCGCGTTCGCCGTCTTCGCCCTCCGCCGCGCGCTCGCGCGCTTCCCGAGATCTCCCCCCATCGTCACCTCGCACCCCGACGTCCCCGTCGTCGCGCTTCGCGTCGCCGTCGTCGATCGCGTCGCGCGTCCGCCGTCTCGAATCGCTCTCGCGTCGTCTCGAATCGCGCCTCCCGCGCGCGCGCGCCGCGTCGTCCCGCCCATCGCGCCGCGGGCGTCCGCCGACGCGTCTCCGCCGTCGAGCGCGCGCGGTCGAGTCGCCCGCGCGTCGTCGCGCGCGTCGTCGTGCGCGGATAACGTCGACTAATCCAAAGCCGCGGTGCGGCGCGCGCGCGCCGTCGGGCGAATCCGCGTCCGCACTGTTTGCGCATACGCATATGGCTCGATCGACGCGTCGATGGAAAAATCGCGATCGATCGACGACGCGAGGTTCGCGATCGATCGCGCGAAGTGGGTCGATCCGTCGATCGCGCCGTCGCGCGCGACGGTTCGCGTCGCCGAGGCTGACGCGCGGCCGCAGTGCGCGACGACGCGCGCTGCGATCGCTACTTTCGAGGGCTCGAGGTCGTTCGACGAGATCGCGCGAGCGAGCTGTCCCTCCTTCGCGTCCTCGCGTCCTCGCGACGACGCGACGATGCGACGACGACGACGCGCGCGCGCGGCGACGGCGATGGCGATGGCGATGGCGATGGCGACGGCGACGGCGACGCGCGCGAGGGCGCTGGAGACGGACGCGGTGATGAGGGCGATCGACGAACGGGCGTTCGCGACGGAGGAGGGCGCGAGGCTGGCGTTCACGCACGACGTGGACGCCGAGCGGCGAGCGATCGACGCGAGCGGCGCGGGCGTGGACAGCGATGGGAAAGGGAACCCGGGAATGATTTACGCGCGCGTGTTCGACGGGAACGGCGCGTCGGGGTTTCGGTTGGGCGGGGAGGACGCGCTGTGCGTCGCGCTGAGAGCGCCGCCCGAGGCGAGGTATTTCTCCTTCGCGCCGTACGTGTACAGGCGGGGCGCGCGCGTGGTGTCGGCGCAGGCGGGACATTCGATCAATAACGCGAACGCGAAGCGCGACGGTGATGTGTTGATCTTCGTGGCGACGCACTCGCGCGAGACGTTCGAGGCGATGAGGACGGCGTTCGGCGACGCGGGATACGACGAGGGCGCGGTGAATTTAGTGCCGCTCTTTGACGATGTGCGCTACGGCGGCGGGTTCGGAGATTTCGGAGATTTGCTCTCGATTTCGTTTCGCGTCGCGTTTTGGCCGTCGCGTTTGAACGCGACCGGCGAGGACGCCCTCGGTGAGTGGTCGCGATTGGAATGGCCGGCGTTTTTCGCTCGGCGCGCGAGCTCCGGCGCCGCGCGCGGCGGGTCGACGGTTTCGCAAGCGTTACCGACGCCGACGCTGAATCTCACCGTCGAGGTCGATAAACAGCATGAATCATCGACGATCGTGGCGCCGGTTGTGGTCGTTGATGGCGCCGCGCGCGTCGGGTCGACGACGCTCGTCGTCATGCCCGTCGACCACGCGCGATGCAGGCGAGACCCGTTCTACTCGCCCTGGTCCACCGCCGGCGTCAGCGTACGCTCGGCGTGTTTCGGCGCGACGACCGACGCGTTGTACTCGATCTCTCGAGACTTCATGCGCGTCGCGTCGCTTCGTCAATTTCTCATCGTCGTCAGAGGTCGCGACGTCGTCTCTCGCGGACGCGCCGCGTTCACCACCATCGCTTTATACGCGACGGGCGGGCCGATATCATCCTTCGCGAGCGCGCGAGACGTCCGCGTTCTCGCCGCCGTCGACGACCGCGCCTTCATCGTGGACGAGCGTTCATCGCTCTTCGCCGTCGCCTTCGGCTCTTCGCTCGCCGCGTGCGCGCGCGTCGCCGTTCCCTGCGTCGTCGCCGCTTCGCCTCCCGCGCGTTCGACGTTATTCGTCGTGTGTCGCGACTACTTGAATCCTCGCACCGCCACCGCGCCGGCGAGCAGACCCGCGCTCGTCGTCGACGCCTTCGCGTTGTGACGCTCGATACCGGCCAAAATCACATCCGACATCGCGGAATCGCGGCGCTCGCGACGTCGTCGTCCTTCGCCTCGGCGCGCTCGCGTCCAAATGTTTATGTTTTGCCCGCGTGTTTGTCGCCTCGGCGCGCTCGCGTCCAAATGTTTATGTCTTCCAAATGTTTATGTTTTGCCCACGCCTCGGCGTTCCGCACACTCTCGCATGCCATCCGCCGCGCCCTGCGTCGCGTGCGCCGCGGAGACCTCATCGTACAAGTGTCCGACGTGTCGTTCGCCCTATTGCTCGGTCGCGTGCTACAAATCGCACAGGGGTGCGCCCGCGACGCGCGTTCGCGTCGACCGATTGCGCGCGACGAATGCGACTTAAAACGACGACGGCGCGCTTTCAGACTGACGATGAACGACGCGCGCGCGCGATAGAGACGACGTGCGAACCGGTGCGCGCGTCGACCGCGCCCGCGGTCGCGGAACGCGCGAACGAGACGAGGGAACAGCCGTCTCGCGCGTTCGAGGAAGATTCCGAAGACGAACTCGGGACGCGGGCGCGTCGCGAGGATCTGCAACGCGTCGCCGACGACGCGAGCGTGCGAGAAAAGCTGCGAAGCGAGCGATTGCGAGAGATAATACGAGCGATCGACGCGGCGAAGGACGGTGAGAAGGCGCTGGCGAAGGCGAGGGAGGATCCAGAGTTCAGGGCGTTTACGGAGGACGCGCTGAGTCTGTTCGAGCGGTGAGCGCTCGCTGGTGAGGATCATGGGGTTCATGGATAAGATGAAAGAGATGAAGACTAAGGCGAGCGTTAAGGCGGTGGGCATGCGGGATCGGGCGAAGGAGATGATGAATTCACCGAGTGGACAGACGGCGCCGCGGTTTTCGACGACGAGTCGCAACGGCGGCGAAGAGTCGGCGACGACGACTCCACCGCCATCGCCGTATCGATACGAGTCGAATGTCGGGTTATCTATGTTAAACGTTATAGAATCGCCGGCGCCGGCGTCTCGCGCGCGTGATGTGCTTGTGGAGCGATCGAATGCGGCGGCGGCGACTCCGGAGCGACCCTCGCCGCGGCAACGACAAGAGTCGAGTGGAGTTTCTCTCGTGGATGGCATCGAGTGCGAATATTTTGATGAGCCATCCACAAGTGCGCCTTCGTTTGATCCAGTCTTAGTGTCTTTGAACCGCCTCGGCGCGGACTTCACTGTGGAGGACTTGAGCAAAGAGGAAGAGCGTCTGTCCGAGCTCGTCGAGCGCGTGTCGACGGAGTTGAATAGAGAGATTATGGCACATGGGGAAGACTTTGAGAAAGGGATAGAAAATATTGCAGAGATTTACAACGCACTTCAGTCGTCAGGGGTGTTACTGAGCAACTCTCGTCGTTTGCTCCAGCGCGTGGAGACCGACGTGAAGAGTGCGCTTCGAGTGCAAGGCTCGCATACGACGAAGGGTTCAATCATGGGCGTGTTGCAGATTCTAGAAAATATTAGGTTTTGCCAAACGTGCGAAACTAAGATACGCGCGCGTCTGGATGTTTCTGAGTACGCGGATGCCATGTCGCTGTATTCCAAGGCGTGGGAAATTTTAGAAGACATGCACGCGTTGACGTGTACGTTAACGCTTCGAGAAGATTTCGTCGCGTTGCGATGGGAGCTCGTCACCTGCGTTGATAACGTCTTGATTGATTTGTGTGGCACATTTGACGCTAAGAAGTTTGCAAACCTTTACGACACGTACCCAAAGCTTGGTCCAGAGGTGAAGCACTTGGCTGATAAGATTCAAGACGCGTTTCTCAAGGCGGTGGAGATGCAAACCGAAGGCATGTTGCGACTGCATGCCATGCTTTCGCACAATCAGGACGAGGCTGACACCAAGCGCAAGAGTAGGATGGGTTACAAGCAACTGTGTTCGCAATTGTCTTCGATGCAGTTCGTACCGTGCCTACGCAAGACACTCGAGTCGTTACATGAAATTTTCCTTTCGTCGTATAGAATGACGGCGTGGTGCGAGACGGCGATGCGCGAGGTGATTGATAGCTCGGATGCAGAGGCGATCAATAACTGCAGTGCATTGATTGCGGCGTTAGAAATTAACCGAAAACCAGTTGTTGAGATGGCGAGCGTGCGTCTGGCAGCCTTACTGCAAGCATCAGCCGCACCCAGTAACGCGGCGTTTCGCGAGGTTTTCGATCTGTGCCGCGTCTTCATAACATGCGCGGAGGCATTTTGTGGCGAAGAGTCTCGAGTTTTGCGCGCGCAGCTGGAGAGGATCGGTGATAGATACTTTGAATCGCTGCATAGCGCTAGAATGGACGCATCGAAGACGATGTTAGAGACAGAGCGATGGGTGCCAGTCTCCACAGATGCCGTGAAGCGCGTGCAAGACGATTTGAAAAATGCCATGCAGCGCGGACGAGCGGCGAATGGGCTGGGCAAAACTTTAGGCGAGACGGTGATAACGACTTTTACCTCGGAACAAGTCCTGAATTCTGAGTCGTTCATGAAGTTCATCGACCAGCCGAATCCATTCGTTTCAGAGTCTGGGAATTCCTCGGCGGAGGAAAATCACTCGCCGCGAGACATTCTCGCACAAAACGTCGTCGCCGCACATGAGACGACGACCACCACCAACACCACGGACGACGTCGACGATGGGTTTGATGAAGAGATCAGCAATCAGAATGGCGATAAAACCGGTCTTGATCGCGTGGGCGTGAAGATTACGGCGTCTTCGTTGTACATTCTTCAGGGCATCGTCGAGTACACGGCGCTGATGCAAGTAATGCGGCCGAGCGTGCCGGTGATTTTCAACGGTATCTGTCAACTCTTCGAGCTCGCACTAGTGAAAACTTTTAACGCTTTCGGGCGAACGGAAGCTTTGCTTCCCGAATCGCACGACATGACGCCGCGGCTGCGAGGTACGTTGTCTAGACTCGGGAACTCGGGTGGCGCCATGGCGATTCGACCTACGATTCGGGGACAAGGGGACGTAGACATCTTGTCCAGCGGTAATTTGTACGGTTTGAAGGAGCGCGGCATCGCGCTCGAGTCGCTCTCGCGCGTCGCCGATGAGTTCAAGCGCATCAAGGCGCGTGTGAAACGCTCGCTCCCGCTCAAAGACGCCGCGCTGGCGGATCGCTTTTACTCGCACACCGTCGCTGCGGTGGACGATTTGCGCGAGCACGTGTACAAGAACGTTGCTTCATTATTGCTCAACATTGAATTTTGCGCAGAAGCGATCGGAGACGGCGATCCAAACTTTGCGTTGGTGAACTCTACGTTCGTGGGCAAGTACAACATTCGCGAGACGCCGTCGAGGCACAACAAGTGGGTGGACGACGTCCAGGCCGAACTCTTACAGTTCACCACCAAACTCGCCTGCGCCGACGTCGCACCTGAAGCTCTGGATGTTCTGTGGCAGCACGCCGCGAGTGTGATCCAAGACTCTCTCGTCGATGGTTTCAGCAAGGTGAAAAAATGCACCGACGCCGGCAGAGCGCTCATGGCGCTCGACGTCGAAACCCTGCGCGGCGAATTCGCGAAACTCGCCCCGTCCCAGTCCCTTGCCTTCGACTGGCGCTACGTCAGCACCTACATCAACGCCTTCTACGTCCCAGAAAAAGACGTCGAGAAATGGATGCAAATCCATCCCGAGTTTTCCAAAAAACAAAAGCTCGCCTTGGTCGCCCACAACGCCTCGGCGGATCGCGACAGGCGCTGGACCGCGAAATTCCGCCAAGACTTGCTCAACGCCATCGAAACCGACACGTTACTCTAGCGCCTCGTGTAATCGAACGCGTTTTAGGCATTCACTCGGCGCGGTGCGACGCATCCACCGCGCGCGTCGTCCGCTCGCCCCGCGCTGACTAGGCAACTCCAATAATTCCCATCGCGCCATTTCACGAAGCGCGACGCACGACGCACGCACGCGCGCCCGACGACGCCGACCTACGCGAGCAAACGCGCACCGATGACCGCAGACGACAAGAAACTTCACACCCACGGCTTCTGGGCGCGATTCTGGTTCGGAAAGAAGCACAAGCACCAACCCTCGGCGCCGCTCCCCGGGTACATCAATGAGATGATGAACCCGGAACATCACACCGGTGACTCGAAGAACGATCTGGGAGAGTTCATTCGACGACGATCGATGGATGAGCGGTGCACGCCGCGAACGAGCGCGTCGAGCGAGGAAGAACAGTAGGGCGGCGGCTGCTCGGGGAATGAATCGCGCGCGCGCTGACGAGGACTGGGCGACCGGGACGCTCGCGAGCGATGAAACGGATCAGAGAATGATATGTGCTCCAACGCGAACGTCTGGATCGAACGGACGATGTAAAACGCGAACGATGACGCGCGCGCGGCGAGGGATACCGCGACGCGCGCGCGTGTACCAATTTTGTATTTCAACGTACGAAGCTGTGCGAACGACTCGCGAGACGTCGTCTCCCGGCGAAGGGTGCTCTTAAATGGCGCTGGCTACGCGTTATCGGTGAGCGCTGAGAGTTGCGATTTGAGGTCGAGCAAGACTTTAACCGCGGCTTTGACGTCGTCGTCGGCGTTCGTGAGCCCCGCGTCTTTGAGCGCTCGCACCTCGGCCGCCTTCGCGTCCACCGCGGCGGATAATTCTTCGATTTTCGCCGCGTCAACCGCCGGAGCTTCGCCCGTGGGCTCGTCCACTCGCGTCACCCAATGGCCTTCGTCGTTCACGACGCGAACTTCGCCGTCCGAACCGTCCGGCTGAAGACGCACGACGCGATCGAAGCGCACCGCCTGCCCCGTCTTGTTCCCGTCGCCATCCTTCATCGTCCACACCGTGGCGTCTTCAATCCTAAATTTCGCCCCTCTCGAGCTCACGCGCACGCCGCTATAGTTCATGATCACCCCATCGCTCGCCGCTCGATCCAAAAGCGCCCGTCTTTCCGCTTGCGTCGCCTCGTCCGCCTCGTCCGCCGACTTTTTACTCGACATCCCCACGAACGCGTCCCACTCCATCTCCCACAGCTCCAGCGCCGCTTGATTCCCATAATTGAACACATCGTTCCCATCGTGACTCGCGCACGCGAACGGCGCTCGAAACAGCGCCCTCGCCGCGTCGTGCACCATCACGTTCCCCTCCACCAGCTTCGTCCCCGTCGCCTTTTTATACGACAGCCCGAGGTCCAGCGCGTGAAACACCATCTCCGCCGTCTCGTGTCGCGCCGCCGACGTCCCGCCCGACCCGATCGCCGCTTCGTCTTCGTCCTCGTCCCCTGCCGCGCCGTCGCGCGGCGTCGTCGTCGCCAGATCCCTCGCGAACTCGCGCTGTTTCGCCGCGCGCGCCGCCTTTCGTTTTTTATCCTTCGCCCGCGCGCGCACGTCCCGTCGCGCTTCGCGCGCGCGCGTCGTCGTCGCGCGCGTCGTCGTCGCGCGCGTCATCGCGCCCGCCGTCATCGCCCGTCGTCGCCGTCGTCGTGTGCGGCGCGCGTCGCGTCGCTGGCGTGTCCATCGCCTCGTATATATAGTCTACGTGTCTACTTTTATATGGGATTAGACCACATACATTGACAGTTTCACACGCGATGGACGCGACACCCCCGACCGACACTAAACCCTAAAGATTCGCGCATGTGCGGTGCAGACGATAAAGACGGACGCCCCGTAGTGCGCGCCGCAAAACGCCAATCAACGCGACACTCGGGTGTAAAAAGATGGTCGCGCGCCGCGCACCACAACACCCGCCATCGCGCGCCGCGCGCGCCGCGTCACCGACGCGCGCTTCGGTCGATCGCGCGCGCGAACGCACGATGGACGATTTCGACGACTTCGTGTTCGGGTTCGAGATCGGGACGACGACGACAAACGGCGCGACGGCGACGACGACGACGATTCGCGACGCGATTCGACATCCGTTCGACGTCGTCGCGTTCGCGACGCGGAGCAAATCGCCGACGCCGGCGCCGACGCGGGAGGAGGTCGAGCGCGAGGCGGCGGCGAAGGCCGCCCTGAAGGCGGCGGCGCGGCGGGAGCGGGAGCGACGGCGAAGCGCGAGGCGGCGGTTGGCGCAGACGGAGGCGCAGCGCGAGGCGGAGCGCCTGCGGAGTCGACGACGACGCGAGGCGACGACGAGCGCGCGGCGGGCGAGCGAAGCGCGAGGGAAGGCGCGAGGACGCGCGCGCGCGAGGGAGACGGTCGAGGCGGCGGCGACGCCGGCGTCAGCGAGCGGGGACGCGGCGGCGAGGAAGAGCGTCGGCGAGCGGCGAGCGGCGACGATTCGCCTCGGCGCGCGGCGGCGAGCGGCGGCGAGCGGCGTCGCCGTGAATTGAATTCGCGCGCGCGTTTCGCGAGCGCGCGATCGGTCGTCTTTCGTCGTCTGTTTCGGTCGCCATCATTTAATCATCGTCGTCATGATAATGTAAACACTCGTCGTCACGATAATGTAACCACCGCCGAACGTCACTTCGTCCCGCGTCGCGGCGCGCGCGACGCGAACGACGCGCGGCGATCGATGACGAAGTTCGAACCGCTCGCGAAGGGCGAGCGCGGGCGCGATCGCGCGCGCCCGAGCGCGGCCGAGCGCCGATCGCGCATGGAAACATTCAAGCGCACGGGCGCGCATCCAGAACTAGAGATCGACCCGGACGACGCGAGACGCGCGAAAAGGCTGGCGAACGTCGCGCGAAAGAACGCGTCGAACGTCAAGGCGTTCGTCGACGTCGAGGTGGCGGGCGAAAACCGAGGGTCGGTGGTGATCGAGGTGTTGGAGGAGGCGGCGCCGCGCGCGGCGAGACGCTTCGCGGAACGCTTGGAGGCGACGGAGGGCGATCGCGATGGGGTGTCGTATCGAGATTCGTGCGAGATGACGACGGTGGACGATGAGTTGCGAGTGAGTTTCGGGGTTTCGGGGAAACGGGTGAAAACGACGATCGAGGTGGAGGGAGAGCTCACGCACGCGGCGGCGGGCGTCGTCGGCGTGGATCGAAGGAGCGGGGAATTTTGCGTGACGACGGCGGCGTGTGAGTCTTTGGACGAATCCGCGCAGGTCGTGGGGAGGGTTATTAGTGGTTTAGAGATTTTGCGCGCGCTCACGCACCGCGAGAAGGGAGAGAAGGTGCCGACTCCGGTTCGAGTGACGGCGTGCGGCGTCGTGCGCGGCGGCGCGGACGTTTCGGCTCTCGTCGGCGTAGCGGCGCGAGGCCGCGCCGAGGCGGCGGCGAAGGCGCGTGCTGAAGCGGAAAAGATTAGAAATGAGTCTCAGCACGACACGCTGAAGCGTCTGCGCGCGGAATCGGCACAGAAAGGGGCTGAGATGAACGAAATCGTGCGCTCGACGTTGGGAAAGAAGCTGAAAGAGGCGCCAAAGAAGAAGCCGGGCGCGGGCATGCTCGACTCCATGCTCGGTTCGTCTTCGAGCGATTCGGAGGATTAATGGCTGGATCATAATTCGTTCAATAGAAATAGATTGCAATAAACAGTAGCGGCAAATCGTTAAATTTCGGCGAGCAAAGCGTCGATGATTTCGACGTCGATGGCGGCGGGCGCTTTTCCCTTGGCCATATCGTATCCTTTCCTTCGCTCGCGGTCTGTGGGTGGCGTCAGCGATTGCTCGCCGAAGAAGTTCGTCTTCGTCACCACGCTCAATACTTCCACATCGTCCGGAGCGTCGTCCACGCGCGTCGTGCTGACGTGGGCGATGAACTGCGCGAGATTTAACCGCTTCGTGTAGCCTTCGGAAGTATCGCCCCTTTTGAGGTACAAATCTTGAAACTTGACGTCGTACATGTTATCGACCAACCGCGCGCTGTAATCTCCGAGCAACAACGGCCCATTACCGCGCAATTGCCCCGAACGCACGACCGTCAACGCGTATCCGAGCTCCTTCGCCCCGCGCTCGAGCGTCGCCTCCGCCGCCGCGTACGAATCCAACAGTCCCTTACTTCCATCCACGTCCCCTCCGATCGGCAGATTCATCTGTCCAACCTTCACCATCTTTTGCACCGGTCGATTCTGTTCTTTGAACGGATTTTCATCCCGACGATTCACCCCCACGCGCGACAGCGCCACGACGCGTTTCGCCTTCGTCGCCCCCCTTCGCACGCTCGCCGCCGCCGCCTCGCTCCTCGCCCCGCTCTCGTGCGCCACGATCACGACGTCGCTCGCCCGCATCGCTCGCTCCACCGCTTCGTCGTCGTTTTCGTTCACCAGCGCGCACTTCATCATCGCCGCCGCGCTCGTCCCGAACCGTCGCTCGAAGACGTCCTCGGGCATGTCCCGCGGCACGTACGAGTCCGCGTCCTCCACCACCAGCGCCACGCCGTCGCCGCCGCGGCGCGCGAGCATGCCCGCGATGAGTCGTCCCGTGAGCGAGCGCGCGCCGACGACGCACACGCGCGCCGACGACGCCGACGACGACGCGACGCGAATCATCGCGCGTCCGCGCGGATTCGACGCGCGCGTCGCGCGTCGCGCGCGCATCAGCGCGCGCGAATCGACGCGAACGCGCGCGCGCGTCGACATCGCGCGATTCGCGCCTCGCGTCGACGTCGCGGCGTCGCGCGCGCGTCGAGGCGCGTCGACGAGTGTCGATCGCGGCACAACGCGACGACCGAGCGCGCGCGCGCGCGAACGCGCGCGACGCTCGAGCGCGCGCGCGCGCGGTGAGAGCGTCGAGCGCTTTTGCGCGAGGCGAATCGCGGCGACGCGGACGCGGGCGAGGCGCGCGCGGGGGCGGGCGGGCGCGCGGGACGCGCGCGGGCGGTGGTGTCGAGGGCGATTCGACGACTTCGCGACGATATGGCGTCGCAGCGGTGCGTGATTCGCGAGCGAGACGCGCGGTGCGCGGTGCGGGGGGGTCGTGAGCGTCGTTCGCGCGCGGTAGGGGAAGCGCGCGCGACGGGGGGCGCCGCGAGGGAGAATTTGAGTCGTGTTCTTAACAGAATTGCGAATTTGAATTCGGGCGGAAAGTCGACGATGACTGACGACGCGCGAACGCGCGACGCGCAGGATGAACGGACAAGGCGCGAAATTCGGACGATTTGTCTCGATCGGACGCGTCGGGGAGCCGAAACCGGCGCAATTGCCGAGCGAACGGCGCGAAGGCGGCGACGAGGACCGAAGCGCGAGACCGACGCCGGGACGGGACGAAGGACGGTGGCGAGACGAGAATGAATCGATCGATCCGCGGCGTCGGGAATCGGGAGACGGAGGCGCGCGACGATATGACGATGGGTACGGGCGAGAGCGAGGGTACGGCGATCGGGATCGAGGGTTCGGGTCGGCGTCGTTCGACGGCGGCGCGAGGCGGAGTCGGGACGACGACGGCGGTTACGGAGGGAGTTGGAGGTCGGCGGATCGGCGGATGAGCGGGGAACGCGCTGGAAGGGATTATGGAAGCGGTGGTTGGCAAGACAGGGATGATCACCGCGGATTCGGGAGACAGGCGCGGGAGAGTCCCGATCGCGAAAAGAGTTGGCGGCGGCGAGAAGAACCGGCGACGGCGACGGCGACGAGACCGGTTGCGACGGCGCCCGTCGTTCGAAGGAGCCTGGACGTGAATCATAACGCGGAGGGTGCTTTAGATAAGCTACACATTCCGCACGGCGCGCACGAATGGGGACAAGAAGACGACGATTTTGACGATTTGGCGCCTCCAGCTTGGTTGCTGCAGGACGAACGCGGCGCAAGCGGAGGCGACGACAGGCGAGCGCAACATCGCGTGCCTGAGCCGCGTCAGAGCTCCAGATCGCCACCTACGTCTCGTGTGAAAGCGCTCGTGAGGCCAAAGGGAGATGGTGGGCACTTCAACAGCGCGAAACTTCCGGACCATTTGAAAAATTTGAAGCGCGAACCCGGCGAAGAGAAGAAGCTGTGGACGCCTCCGGAACCGGTCGGAGGCGCGGTTAAAAAGCGTCCAGAAAAGGTACACAGTACGCCTCCTAAGGCTGTACCTAAAGTCACGCCTAGGAGCGTACCAGAACCTAAGACTCGCAGAAGCATGGACATCAGTCCCGTATCGCGAACGCCGCCTCAACCGCGCAAATCGAGCGCGTCCAAAAGGCAGCCTTCGCCTTCGGCGCCGCATTTACCGCCGCCTCATCCTTTACAACAAACACCACCACCGGCTCCACCTGGGGCTCCCCCACCGGGCGCTTCTAGAGCGCCGCCTCCGGTTCCTCCCGGCGTGCCGCCGCCGGCGACCCGGGCGCCCCCGTTGCCGCCGACTCCGCCGCCCCCGTTGCCGCCAGGCGCGCCGCCGGCGAGGCCTCCACTGCCGGCCGGTCCGCCACCAGCGATGCCACCGCTTGATGCGGCTTTGAAAGCCAAGTTAGCTGTCTCTGAAAAGTCTGCGCCCGCTAAAGCGGCGAAGAAAAAGAAAAAGAAGAGCAACATCTCCAGAACCGCGTCGTCGTCAGAGAATTTAGAGGACGCCGCGGAGAACAAGACACCGCCGCCGAAAGCGAAGATTGTCAAGGGTAAGTCGAAGGGCAAGAATTCAAAAAGTTCTTCGCACGACAATCTCGCCGCTGCGGCGAAGAAAGATGGCGGTTCTCCACCGAAACCGAACCTTTTACCAAAGGCAAAGGACAGCCCGGTGGGGAACGCGTCAAGAGCGGAGTCAAAAATCAGCATCTGATGCCGTCATGTATAAACATACCACTCTACACACGACACAGTTATTTCTATAATCAAGATTTACCATTAGCTACAACTACACTACCTACATTTACCTACGAATACGGCGTCGTGACGCCGAAGATGCTCTCGAGAGATGTCGCGGCTGTCGCGGAGCTAACCCCCGAGGTATCGACCACATCGAAACACTCCACTACCGCCTGATCGCTCGAAACCCTACAGGGTTTCGTTCCACACTTACACGAGCAGCAGCTATCGGCGCTCGCGTAAAAATGCTCCGCCGGCACCACCGCGAGCGCCGCGCTCAGCGGCGCTCGCCAATACAGCTTCGCCGAAAACGTCCCGCTCGCGCCGTTGTACGTGATCGCCTCGATCTCCACGTCTACATTCGCTTCCAAATATTTCCAACCCGTAATATTCCCCCCGCTCTCACTGCTCGCGACGACTCCACCGTTGACGCGCAGCGCACCGCCGGCGTTCGCTTCCAGCGCGAACAGGTGCGCGCCGGTGACGTTCGCGCGCAGGCGTCCTCGAAAGCGCGCCAGCGCGTTCGCATCGACGGTTTGCCCGCTCGCCAGCGGCAGGCTCGAGACATCGATCGACGTAACGTTGGCCGTGTGCGCGGGCGCCGCGCCGCGCACGTCCGGCACGCGCGTCGGCGCGACGGGATACGTGAAGACGTCCAGCCTCAGGCCGCGGGCATCGACCGGGACACTCGAAGAAACGGTCGACGTGTTCGCGATGTCGATCGCGGCCGCGGCGAAACGGACGCGCGCGACGACGAGGGCGATGAGGAAAAGCCGGGCCCGCGCGCGGAGGGACATCGAGGACGGTGCGCCGAGGAGTGGGGCGAGGAGAGGCGCGAACGGGACAAACAGTTACTTTGGTTTGACGGTCGACGCGTGTTATTAATGCGTCGTGCGTCGTCGCTAGATGCGATAACGGCCTTGTGGTTGACCTGCGGCGCCGGGAAGGGCTTGCTTAGCGATGGCGGTCTCGATGATGTTCTTGACGTAGTTCTTTCCTTCCTTGACCACGCGCTCGGTGGGGCCTTCGATGAGGAGGTAGAGCTTGCGATCGCCGGGGGCGAGCGGACGCCCGGGGGCGGCGTATTGCCCTTTTGCCGTGACTGCGGCGCCGGTATGCTCCATGATTTGCACTAACGTGTCTTTGTGAGTGACCTTGTAGCGCGCGAATTGTGGGAAGTCGTTGATCTCGAGCTCAGTCTCGAAGTGCGAGCCTGACTGCGTCGGCCCTCTGGACGTTTTTGCGTGCTGCGCGTTGAGCGCTGCGGCGAGGGCGGCGGCTTTAGCGGCACCCGCCGATGCGCCGTGCGCAAGCGCGTAGCTCTGAGCCAATGCGATCGCTTTCGTATTTTGCGCGCCTGCAGCTTGTTTTTGCGGCTGCTTCATTTTTGCAAAAACGGATTGCGCCGCAGCTTGCGCGATCTGCGCGGGCGTCAAGCCACCCTTGGCGACGAGCGCTCCTGGCGTGTGCGCAGCCTCCGCCGCCGCCGCCGCCGCCGCCGCCGCTGCTGCGGCCGCTTGTGCTGGTGCTTGAGCAGCTGCAGCTGCTTGCGCCGCGGATGCTTGCGCTGCGGCTTGACCGGACGGACCCACAGAGGCGTAGATTGGTCCTTCGTCTTCCGCATTGCCATCGCCGAAGACTGGCTCTTCGTCACTATCGCTCTCACCATCGTCTACATCCAGGCCAGCCGCTCGAGCGGCGTCACGCTTCTGTTTGCGCAAGAGGTCTTGCTCTTCTTGGTTGAATTTGAATCCAGAACCACCGAAGCCAGAACCAGCGGCACCGACGAGACCCTCCTTGCGCTTACGAGTAAACTCATCCGCCATTGCTTGCACATCCTGCGGGACGTTTTGCTTCGACTCTTTAAGCGCCTTGACTAAGTCGGGTGCGAACTTTTCTTCGTCTTCTGAAATAAACGTTACTGCGGTCCCTTTCTGGCCGGCGCGTCCAGTACGTCCAACTCTGTGCACGTAATCCTCCAAGTGGTTAGGCGTGTCGTAGTTGATGACGAGCCTCAAATCCTTGACATCCAACCCGCGAGCGGCGACGGAGGTGGCGACGAGGATGTTACAGACGTCTGATTTGAAGTCTGAAATCGTACTTTGTCGGTCGCTTTGTTCTTTACCGCCATGTAAGCTCAAACACGGATAACCGCTCTTGAGCAATTCCTTAAACGTCGAGTCCGCCTTGTCCTGGCTCGCGACGAAGATTATAATCTTGCCGCGCTCGTACCATTCGCCGAGTAATTCTAAGACTCGTAAAAATCGATCTTCTTCGGGACGAAGTTCCACAAGCTGCTCTATATCGGAGTTCACCACGGACTTTCCACCGATTTGGATCTCGATCGGGTTGTCCAGCGCGGCACGCGCCAACGCCTCCATCGTGTGCGGAAACGTGGCGCTAAACATCACCGTCTGGCGATCCGGACGAAGATTGGCCAGGATGCGAGTAATTTGTGGTTCAAAGCCCATATCGAACATACGGTCTGCCTCATCGAGCACCATGTAAGTTACTCTACGCAAGTTTGTAATTTTTCCCGAACCTGTCGTCAGCAAGTCAATCATGCGACCGGGCGTGCACGCGACGATTTCCGCGCCGCGTTTCAAATCGCCAATCTGCGCCGCTATACCCGAGCCACCGTACACGGACACGGCCGAAAACCCCATGGCTTTTCCGTAACGCTTGCAATCTTTACCAATCTGCGTCACCAACTCTCTCGTAGGTCCCATGATCATACCAATAGGTCCGTCGCCGGAGGCGAGGGGCTCCTGCGCGTTGATGTGGCGCAACATCGGTAAAATGTACGCTAAAGTCTTCCCGCTACCGGTTTTCGCGACCCCGATGCAATCGCGTCCGGACATGATCACGGGAAGCGCTTGTGCCTGAATAGGCATCGGCTTTTCGAATCCAGACCGGCGAATCAGCTCATGCACGCGATTGTTCAAGCCCGCCTGCGCCCACGTCTTGATGGGTTTCGGCACCTTTTTACCTCGACACTTGATTCCGTCCAACTCCACACGAAGCTGCTTCACCTCCGCCTTGGTCATCGACGCTATTTCCTTCGCTTCGATGTAAAAGTTTTTCTTCACCGGTTCGTAATCGATCTCGTCGTGATTCACCGTCCCGAGACGTTCAGTCTTGCTCAATTTCGCGGTTTGCTTCTTTGCCCACGCTTCGTCGTCGTCGTCGTCGTCATCTACCTCAGTTTTTGCTTCGACCGCGTCTTCCGACAGAACATCCGTAGTTTTAGCTTCATCTCTTTCGGCTTCGTCTTCGGACGACTCGCCTCCGCTTGAGTCGAAGACCTCGTTCATGACTTGCGCGCGTTTGGACGTTCTTCTATTCTTCTTCACCGGCACATAATTCACCGCCGCGGTCGGGATCACTGGACGCAAAACCTCGACGACAGACTTTTTCACCCCCAAAACCAACGGTTTCGACGTCGACGCGCCGTCCGCGGAGGTGCCTCGCGCGCCAATCTTCCCCGCCGCCGCCGCCTTTTTCGCCGCCGCCGCGAACACGCTCATCAACGCGTCTTCCTCCGAAACCTCCATCGGCGTCGCTTCAGCCTTCGCCTTTGCCTCTAACTTGGCCGCTTCCTTTTCCTCGGCCTCGCGCTTAGCGCGCTCTTTCGCCTTTTCTCGCTCCTGGTCCATCGCGTCGTCGTTCGCCGCCATGAAAGCGTCGAGCGGGTCGTCGTCTTCATCCGTCGTCTCCCCCTTACTCCTGGACCCACTCCTCCCGCGTCGTTTCGCACCCCCCGCGACCGTCGTTTTCGCCTTTTTACCCCTCTTCCCATCGTCCTCGTCCGCGTCCGCGTCCGCGTCCGCATCACCGAGCGTCAATTCCGGCGGCGGCTTCGACTTCGCCGAATTCGACCCGTCGCCGTCCTCCTCCTCCTCCGCCTCGAACAATCCTCGCACCGCGCTCGGCCTCGCGCTCGGTCTTCGCGCCGTCAGCGCGAACGACGCCGAGCGCTCCGACGCCTCTCGTCCGCCCCCCGCGCGCTCGTTCGCCCACGCGCGCGCTTTCGCGTGCCGCCGCGCCTTGACGTCCGCGTCGTCATCGTCCTCTCGCTCCCCGTTCTCCGCGCGTCGGCGCTTCGTCGCGCGCGGTGGCATCGAACGCACCCTCGTCGAGCGTTCACCGCGCGCGCTCGACGCGTGGGCGTCCGCGCGCGCGCGCGTCGTCGCGAAATGTCGATCGAGTCGGTTGGGTTTCGCAATCGCGACGCCGCACTTCGAGACGCCGCGCGCGCTTCCGACGCGTTTCGGACCGCGCGAGCGCGAGGCGGGAGGCGCGGGGCGCGTCGACGCGCGCGCCGCGCGTCGACGAGCGCGCGCGACGCGCGAGGGCGCGCGCGCGGTCGATAATCTGAGATTTCGAGCGCGCGACGCCTCGAAACGACGTCGACGCCTCGAAACGACGACGCGCGCGCTCGAGAGAGATGTTCTCCAGGTTCGGCGTCGGTCAGGCGCGGTTCAACGCGAGCTATCGCGCGTACCCGGTGAGCTTCATCGATCGCCCGCAGTTGGAGCTCGGGGACAAGGTGATCTTGCCGCCGAGCGCGCTCGAGAGGCTGACGCGGATGCAAATCGATGATTACCCGATGCTGTTCGAGGTGACGAACGCGAAGGAGGGGAAATCGACGCACTGCGGTGTGCTGGAATTCGTCGCGGACGAGGGGGTGGTGTACTTGCCGTATTGGATGATGCAAAACTTGTTGCTGGGCGAGGGAGACATCGTAAAGTTTTCGTACTCGACGCTGCCGAAGGGGACGTACGTGAAGTTGCAGCCGCAGACGCAGGACTTTTTGGATATATCGAATCCGAAGGCGGTGTTGGAAACGACGCTGCGGCAGTACACGTGCTTGACGGTGGGAGATACGTTTGTGATTCATTACAATAACAAGCAGTATCACATCGACGTCATCGAGGCGAAACCGGGGGACGCCATCGGAGTCGTGGACACGGATTGCGAGGTTGATTTCGCACCGCCGCTGGATTACGTCGATCCTTACGGACCAGACACGACGAAGTTTGAGGATACGAATTCTGGGGCGATAAATGCGCCGAAGACGGCCGACAAGGCAGACGCGGGAGCGTCTGGCGACGCGGCGACAAACGGCGAAACGCTCGCGGCGCCGCAACCGGTGGTGAATACTTTTCTCGCGTTCGCGGGTGGTGGGCATCGATTAGACGGTAAAGCGATCTCAGAAATCGCCCCGAAAGAGGTGGAGATTCCGACGTCTTCGCTCAACGTCACCAAGGAATGGCAGCAGCTTCGTCAAGGAGGTGTTTTGGGAGGAGAAACTAGCAAGGAACCAGAAAAACCCGCCCCGGACGCCGACATCGACCGCAAGCGCAGCGGCAAGGTGGTGTTTGGTGGCGCGCGCGCGGCGGCGATCGCTCGCAAGAAAGAGAAAGCCGCGGTTGCGAAAAAAGACGATTCCTCGAAAGACAAACCGACGTCGACGTTCCAAGCGTTCCAAGGAAGCGGGAACAAGTTACGATGACACGATTGATTGATGTGTACACACTGAATTGAAAATGAAAATAGCAAGCAGCCTACGGTTATTATACGATGCGATGATTTCGCGTTTTCGTTCAAACGAGCAACTGTTTTTTCACGTAGGCTCGAATCGCTCGACGCTTCTCCACAGCCTTGAGCGTCCACATATCCGCCACCACGTCCTCATCAACCATGCGATCGACGATTTCCTCCGCCCGCAGTAAATCATTCGACGCGCTGCAGCAATTCAACAGCACGTTATACGTGACGCTCGTCAGCGCGATGTCATGCTTTTCCCGCGCGCCGTTGACGAGTTGCATCGCTCGTCCCCAACCCGGCGGATCCATATTCAGATACCCTTTCGCCAACTCCGCCACCGCCACCTCATCCGGCGCGCACACTTCCTTTTCAAATATCTCATCGTACACTTTTTGCGCCAATTCCATGTTTTTCCCGTTCACGCACGCCGATATGCACGCCGTCGCCGCGAACGCGTCCGGAGTCACCCCCTCCCGTCCCAGTCCGACGAGCAGATCCACCGCCGTCGCCGCCGCGCCTCGCTTCGCGCACTCCCTCAGCTTCGTCGTCGTGTCTTTCAGTATTCTCATCTCCTCGCTCGACGCCATCGCGCGCGTCGCGCGCATCGCGCGCGTCGTCGTCATCGGGACGCGCCGCCGCCGGGACGCGTCGGCGCCGAAAGACGCGCGAAGGAGCGCGCGCGAGCGCGCGAGCGACGCCGTGGACGCCATCGGAGCGTCGGAACTCACCGCGCGCGCGTTCGTGCGTCTCGCGAGGTCGTCGTCGCGACGCGGTGTGTCGGCGTCGCTCGCGAATCACATTCGCGAGGCGAAAACGCCCGCGCGAGGCGAACCACGACCACTGACTGACTGACTGCGCGACGTTACATTACACTACGCGTAAAACAGCGAACGAGCTACGGCGCGACGCCGGAAAACAACGCCGCGAGCCCGATCGTGAGCGCGGTGCCGACGAGGACGGGATTATCTCCGGACCAAAACTTGGGCGCGCGCCGCGCCGCGCGCGCGACGTCTTCGAGCGTCTCGACGCGGCGCGCCGCCGCCGGCGCGTCGTCTCGCAATAAATACCTCGTCTCCGGATCGATCTTCGTCAGCCACTGGGCGTAGAACCATTTTTCTAATCCCTTGCCGTCGCTCCGAGCGAGGTCGTCGAGGTAGGCGCGGAGTTCGCCCGATTTTTTATTCTTCGCCAGCCGGACGCGCGCGCTCGGGACCAAAACGAGCCACCAGTACGCCGTCATCGCGCCGATCGCGCCGAGGACGACGAGCTCGTCGCGAAGCAGCGCGGGATCGATCGGCGTCGGGACGTACGCCGCCGCGATCGGGTCGACGGCGGAGATCGCGCGCGGGGCGGCGTCGGCGACGTCGGCCTCGAACGCGCGACGCGACGTCGACGCGCGCGGCGGCGGCGACGACGCGCGACAGGGCGCGCGACAGGGCGCGCGCGCGGCGTGGAGGACGGCGGTGGTGGTGGCGGTGACGGCGCGCATGCGGCGACGCGAGAGAGACGCGACGACGCGAGAGAGGCGCGGCGCGGTGTCGCGACAAGATGACGCGGTCGGTCGGACGTGGATTTCGCGGCGTCGAGGCGGCGGGCGGCTACAGGGCTGGGTGGGTTACAACGAATCGTGGAGATCTTTCGCGGCTCGGCACGCGTCGATGTACTCTTGTTCGGTCATTTGTTCTTTGCGGGATTCGATGACGTTGAACATGGTTTCAAGACTCTTTCTTTGCTTGACTTTTTTGTCGTGCCTCTTGGCGAAGGCAATCGTCTCGGCGTCGCCGCTCTTTTCAGCCGACGCCAGTGTTTCGTCGTCCCAAGGACAGCCATTCTCGACCAAGTGTTTCAACACGCGGACAACGCCCTTTCTTGCTACGTTCCAAGTGGCTGTCTCACTCCAACCGCAACCGCACTCTCTGAGGAAATCGATACACTGTATTACCTCGCCCGGCTGTCCCCTCGCGGCATTGGCGCACACCGCACCTATGAACGCGCTTCCTCGCTCAACAATCATATTTTTCGCGTCGTCTTCTCGTTTCCTCTTCCTTCGTTTCGTCTGCTCTTGGTAGGCCTCGATGAGGAGCGTGATTCTCGTCACACTTGTATTCTGACACGCGGTATGCACGGCGTCGTAGTCCACTTCCAGACCGAGTTCCAACGCGTACTTGAAGCACTGCATCTGCGTCGGCACATCCGTGGCTTCGCGCAATAGGTTCGGATGCAGAGCGCAGCCATTCTCCACGGCGTACTTCAGACACCGAATGTGCCCTCTGCGAGTCGCCAGAAGCGTCGTAAAGTCACAAAACGCGCCGGTACCGAAAGACAGCGTCTGCCCGCGTGGCCACGCGGCGGCGTCCGGCCACGACTCGCGCAATATGCACGCACACGTCTCTGGATCGCCCGTGACATGCGCGCGATATTCGGTTGTTGGCATCCGTGCCGTTTCACGCCCGTACCGACGCCGCGCGGAGTCGTCGGTGCGGCGATGAGTGACGACGATAAGACCTCGGTTTAGCGAAATCGGCGAAACCGGGCACTGGGAACCTGGCACTGGTTTTTCTTTGGTTCTCTAAGCACTCGCATGGGAAAACGTACTACGGATTCTAATGAACGATACCTTAAGGCTGGTGATCGCGCGATCACCAGCCGCCGCGATCGACGTCGTCGCCGGCGTCTTGACGCCAGACTTGAACGTCGTCCGCGGGACGGCGTTCGCCGGAATCGCGAGGCGGCGGTCGTCGACCGTCGTCGAAAGAGCGGCGACGATCGTCTCGCGGTGGCGAACGACGGTCGTCGTCGTTGAAAGAGCGACGCTGCGGACGGGCGCGGTAGCCTTCGTTGTCGTAGCGAGGACGGGAGTCGTCGTCGAAACGCTCGCGAGGGCGGAAGGAATCTCGCTCGGGGCGGCGATCGTCGAAACGACGGCCGAATTCGCCCCTGTCCTCGCTTCGCCGATCGTCGAAAGAGCGCCGTGGTGGGCGATCGTCGAAGTTGTCGCGGTTGCGGAAAGAATCGCGTCCACCGCGACCGCCGCGGTCGCCGAAACGTCCACCACCGCGACCGCCGTCCCGGTCGCCGAAGCGACCGCCGCCGCGGTCGCCGAAGCGTCCGCCACCGCGACTGCCGTCGCGATCGCCGAAGCGATCGCCGCCGCGACCGCCAAAGCGACCGCCGTCGCGACCGCCGAAGCGTTCGCCTCGATCTTCGAAGCGACCGCCACCGCGACCGCCTCTGTCATCGAATCGGCCGCCGAAGTCACCGCCGCGACCACCGCCGTCCCTGCGCTCGAATCGCGGCGGACGATCGTCGAACCGATCGAAAGATTGACGTCTATCGTCGTCGAAGCCGCGACCGCGGCCGCCGCGACCACCGCGACCTTCGTATCCGCCACGACCGCGTCCACCGCGGTCGCCGAAGCGATCGTCCGAGCGCCTGTCGTCGAATCTGCTTCCGAACTCCTCTCTTCGATCGTCCCTGTCTCTGCGCTCAAATCGCGGCGGCCCGTCGTCTCTTCTCCGTTCGTATCCACCGCGATCATCGCGGCGTTCAAACCTTGGCGCCCTGTCGTCTCTTCTTTCGTACGATCCACCGCCTCTTCCCCAGTCGTCTCGCCTTTGGCCTCGGAAAGAATCGCCGCGGCCGCGACCGCGACCGCGATCGTCGTAGCGAGGCGGTCTGTCGTCGAAAGATCTTCGTCCCGTGGACGATTTCGCGGTCGAAACTTTGGACGTGTCGATCGGCATTTCCTCCGGCGGTGGTTTCGGCGATTCCGCCAGGCGCAACAATCGTCGAACGCAATCCGACGCCAGTTCCTTGGACGGAAGATCGGCGAACTCGTCGGGATCGTCGATGTCATTCAGCACCAACAGAACGCGAAGCAAATCCGATAATTGCAGCGCCGGATTCTCTTGTCTGTCCTGAAGTTTATCGCACGCCGAGCACTTGCCTCGCAAATGCGAAACGTCCATCGACATCGACGCTCGCAGGCGCTGCAAACCGGCGTTGAGCTTGCGATTATTCAACCTTCGAGGCAACGGCCAATCGATGAGTTGATACACCAGAGACTCGGGCAATCGCGAAAATAAATCAGGTCGATCGCGCGCGAAAGAGAGCGCCAATCGTTTGATCTCTCCTGGATCCGACGGCGTCAAATCCTCTTCGTCGCTCTCGAATTTAGACTCCGAGTCGGCGCCGGCGGCCGCGTCGTCTCCGCCGCCGCTCACGCCTCGCGCCCACTCCGGCGTCTTCGAATCCCCCGCCGCGACGACGATTTCATCCGCGTTCACCCCACTGTACCCGAGCGCTTGCAAACGCGCGAGAAATATGACAAACTCCGCCCAATCCCCTCCCCACGTCGTCGTCGTTCGCACGCTCGACAACAATTCGTCCACGTCGGCGTCCACGCGCGCGCCAACCACCGCTTCGTCCGCCGCGCGCACCGCGCCCTCGTCCGCGTCCTCGCTTTCGAAATCATTCGCGTCGACGACGCGATCAACGTCGTCTTCTTCCGCGTCATCGCTCGCCGAGGCGACGACGCGTCCCGCGCGCGCCGCCGCCGTCCCGACTAACCCGCGCGCGCGCCGAGCGCCGAGCGATTCGAGCGCGACCGGCGCTCGCCACGGCGGTGCGACGCGCGGGAGCGCGCGCGCGGTCGTCGACGCGCGCGCGCGGTCGACGCGCGGGAGCGCGCGCGCGATGGGCGCGCATCGCGCGGACGCGACGCCGCCGCCGCGCATGCGCTCGGTCGAACGCGCGCGCGCGCGCGCGGTCGCGCGAGCGATGGACGCGCGCGCGAGGGCGCGCAGGCGATCGGCGCGTATGGTTCGCGAGCGCGCCGCGACCTCGAGGACGGGCGCGAGGTGTCGAACGGTGACGCGGTGCGAAGTGAGGGAATCGAACGGACGCGGCGGCGGTTCGTCGGTTGGTTGGACTGCGCTCGAGTTACATTTGGTCGAGATAGGCGCCGTAACCGAGCTCTTCGAGCTTGCTCGCCTTGTTCAACACGACGTTCTCCATGTCGTCTTGGTACGCTAACATTTTAGAGCACACGTCGGGCTCGAACGCGGCGACGATGCGAGCGGCGATGAGACCGGCGTTGGCGCTGTTGCCGATGGCCACCGTCGCCACGGGAACGCCTTTGGGCATTTGAACGATGGAGAGCAAGGAATCCATGCCGTCGAGATACTTGAGCGGGACTGGGACGCCGATAACGGGAAGAGGGGTCATGGCGGCGACCATGCCGGGTAAGTGCGCGGCGCCGCCGGCGCCGGCGATGATGGCGCGCAAGCCGCGCGTGTGCGCGCTTCTCGCGTACTCGTTCATACGCTCGGGCGTTCTGTGCGCCGAAATGACGGTGACTTCGCAACCGATGCCGAAAGATTCGAGGACCTCCGCAGCGGCGCTCATCGTGGGCAAGTCACTGTCGGAACCCATGATGATGCCGACTTGAGCCGCCTTCTTCGGCGGCGTCTTGTCCCCGCTCGCGGCGCGCAAAAGCGTGTCCAGACGCTCCGTCGCCACCGCCGCGCTCGGGCCGACGACGGTGAGGTGACCCATCTTGCGCGCGAGCTTCATGTCAGGCTTTTCGTACCAGTGAATGCTCGCACCGGGAGTCGCTAGCGCGGCGCCCATGAGACGGTGCGCCCGGCCCATGGCCTCGTCGCCGTCGCCGTCTCCCAAAATATTCTTCATCACCGCCCCGCCAACCTTGAGCGAGGTGTCACCCAAGGGCCAACCCAAAATGGCGCGCAAGTGATTTTCGTACTGCGAGCACGCGCAGCCTTCGATGGTGTAGTGACCGCTGTTGTGCGGTCTCGGCGCGCACTCGTTGAGCAAAATCGAGCCATCCTTGAGGAGGAAGAGCTCGACGCCAAAGATCCCCGCACCCGTGAAAGACCCGATCGCTCGCTTCGCCGCCGCTTGCACCGCTTCGGCAACTTTATTCGGAATCGGCGCCGGCGTCGTCGTCGTGTCGCAAATATTGTTTTCGTGAACGGTTTCGACGACGGGGTACGCCCGCGTCTCCCCATTCTTGGCGCGCACCACCATCACCGCCAATTCCTTCTCAAACGGCACCCACTTCTCGCAATACAACCCTTGTTCAAACCCACCCAACTTCGCCACCGCATCGGCCAAATCCGCGGCGGTCTTCGCCACCGCGTTCCCGCGCCCGTCGTACGCCAAACGCTTGGACTTTAACATGAGCGGAAACCCAAACTCGCTCGCCGCGCTCTGCAACGCGGCTTCATTCGGGCAATCCGCGTACGGCCCGAGCGGGACCCCGGCGTTCGTGAAGTGTACCTTCTGCGCATACTTATCCTGAATCGTCGCCAACGTCTCCGGCGTCGGCTGCACGTCCACGCCCGCCGCGCTCAGCTCTCGCAGCGCCTCCACGTCGATGTGTTCAATCTCCACCGTCACCACATCGCACGTCTCCGCGAACGCCTTCACCGCCGCCTTATCCCTAAAACTCCCCACCACCTGCGTCGCCGCGATCGACGCCGGCGCGCGCTCCGTCGGATCCAGCGCTTTCAACCGCACCCCCATCGGCGCCCCCGCGATTGCGAGCATGCGTCCGAGCTGTCCGCCGCCCAATATCCCCACCCGACAGTCCCGTCCGTACCCCTCGAATCCCGGTTCATCGCTATCGCGTCCGCGCGCGTTCGCGCTTTCGTCAGTCCATCGCTCGATCGCTCGCGTCGTCCCGCGTTCGCGCATTCATTCATTCATTCATTCGCTCACTCATTCGCCCGGTTCAAACCGACGCACCTCACTCGAAACTTGGCCTCCCCGCTCGCGCGCGCGCGCGTCCGGCGCGTTCGCCCGCGCGCGTTCGCCCGCGCGCATCGTCGCGTCGCGCGCGGCGCGCTCGCGTCGGTCGTCGCGCGCGCCGCGGCGCCCGTCATCGCCGTCGTCGTCGTCGATGTGACGACCGCGCGGCGGGCGGCGCGATCGCCCTCGCGTTCGCGTATTCGACCGGTCCTGACTCGTGAAGAGTCTCACACTACGACGCGCGCGCGAACGATCGCGATCGACCCTCGCGTTCGCGCATTCGACCGGTCCTGACTCGTGAAGAGTCTCACACTACGACGCGCGCGCGAACGATCGGCGACCGGGCGACCGACCGTCGCGAAAGGCCACGGGGCGCGGCGCCAACCGAAGCGTCGCCAACCGACGCGTCGCGCGACGCCGACGCGCGCGACACCGCGCGACGCCCGCGCGAGCGCTCGAACGCGCGCGCGTATTTCGCGCGACCGGGCGCGCGGGCGCGCGGGCGCGGCGCGGGCGCGATGGCGACGGCGCGCGGCGACGACGACGCGCGCGCGGCGACGACGCGACGCGAGGACGACGACGACGACGACGGGACGCGCGCGAGGACGCGCGACGCGCGGGACGCGGCGATGCGCGAGGAACTGGCGAAACGATTTCCCACGTGCGATTGGCGGGAGGCGCGGGCGATGGACGACGCGTGCCTGGTGCTCGTGCGCGCGGCGGTCGCGGCGGAGCGACACGGGGCGAGGGCGCTCTCGTGCGGGGCGCGGAGAGTCGCGGGCGAGGACGAGGACGACGCGTCGCAGAGAATGGCGCGGGGGGGATCGAACTCGTCGAGCGCGTCGGCGGGGACGTCGTTTTCGCGCGAGGCGTACGAGCTGGAACAGCTGACGGCGGCGGTGCGCGGCGCGGGTCTGAAGACGCCGGAGGAGACGGAGTATAAATTGGTGTTTTGCGGCGCGGACGTCGGTGGGATGCTAACGAGGACGATGCAGGTGGTAGATAGGATCGGGTTGGAGGTGAAGGATGCGCAGGCGCACAAGAGCGTGGACGGAATGGCGTTGAATTTTTTCACCGTCGTCGGGTACGAGGGCGAGGACGAACGCGCGCTCGAGGAAGCGGTGGAGGCTGCGCTTGTGAACGAGGAAAGCGAGGAGAAGAAGCCGCCGGTACCTTTGATCATCAACGCGGCACCGCCGAAGTCGGGAGTGAAGCGCCGGAGAGACGCACGGGCGCGAGGTGGTGAAGCTTTTTCCCCGAGCACGTCTGCGGAGCATCACGGTAAATCGCAACGGGCGGCTGCGAGCTTTGGCGGACGCGCTTCTAGTCGGCGTTCGCATTCGCGGTCTGGCTCAGAACTGTCGATGAATGACTCGTTCAACAATACAGCATCGGCGACGGATACGCCGGGGAGTGAAGAAGCTACAGAGGAACCCATGTCGGAGGACAACAGCGACGGCGCGTTGAGCGTAGGAAGCGACATCGATTCGAAAAAGCTTCAAATCGGACGCAAAATCGGTGAAGGGACGTTCGGAACGCTGTATCACGGCATTTATCCCAGCAGAACGAGAGAAGGACGAGTCGTTCACATCGAAGTCGCGCTAAAATATGTGACGCTCAAGCGGGACGATGTCAAATCGGCGCGGCTTGACTTTTTCCAAGAAGTCAAGATGCTTCGAACTCTCAAGCACGCAAACCTTGTCGGGTACGTTGGCTCGGTGGTCGAGGGATCGGAGCTATGCTTGGTGACAGAATTCATGGCAAAGGGTCCCTTACTAGAGTACTTGCGCGAAAATGGTCCGATGCGAAAGGTGGAAGCGATACGAGTCGCCGTCGGCATCACGCGAGGCATGACGTACTTGCACGAAGTGGGCGTGATACATCGAGACTTGAGGGCTGCGAACGTCTTACTTTCTGGATCTTTTGACGCAAAAATTTCCGATTTTGGTCTTGCACGTCGCGTACCTCGAAACCGATCGAGGATGACCGCGGAAACAGGCACGTATCGATGGATGGCTCCGGAGGTCATCACGCACGGCGAGTACGACGTCAAGGCAGATGTGTTTTCTTTCGCCATTACGCTTTGGGAAATCGTCACCGGAGGCGCAAACCCGTACGGGGAGTTGAATCCTCTTCAAGCCGCAGTGGCGGTCGTTCAGAGAGGAATCCGCCCGCCGATACCGCATAAGTGCGATCCCCTGTTCGCAGAATTGATGCAGAATTGTTGGAAAACCGTGCCGCAGTCGCGGCCTCGTTTTAGAGATTTGCAGCCTTTACTCGAAGCGTGTGATTCTCCGGAAGAAGTCATCGAAACCTTGGCGAAACCTCCGAGCAAGTCTTTTTTCTCCAAGTTCCGCTTCGGAAGAAAGCAACAATAAAATAGCAAAAATACCGTATTTACGCAGAAGAGCGGCGCTCGCGAGCGCTTGCGCGCAAAATCTGAGCACGATGGACTATTCAACATCATCGAGTGCCAGTGTACCATCACCTCCCTAATAATGTTTATCTATTAGTTTGAGTTGAATAAAAACAGATGTACTGTATCACCCAAGAACACCAGCGTCGTTGCCTTCATTACGATGCGCGCGCATTACATACGAATTAAAACTACTACTTCTTAGTCGAAGGGAAAAGCGTCGTCAACGACGGTCGCGTCGGATTCACTTTGACGACTTGGTCGCCGACGACTTCGACGTTCTTGTACGTGTAACCGACAAAGTTGGAATCTTTGCCCGCATCCGTTTCCCCAAGTTCACTCTTCTTTCGCATGCTCTCGTCCTCTTCGAAATCTTCAAAGTTACGAGTGTCCAATTGATGCGAAACGACGGGACTATGGGGTGGCTTCCTCGTGTAGAGAGTGTCCCAGTCGATGCCGCTAAAAAATTTGTGCGATTTGATCTCTTCCACGCCTCCGCTCGTTCCTAAACGCTGATCGACGTCGCATAACAGACGTTCGATCAAGTCGCGCGCTTCGGGAGAGATCGTCGCGTCGTCTGGAATTCTCAAGTGGTGTCTCCAGTGCACGATTTTACGGCACGTCGTCATCGGCTCGTCGCTGTAAAACGGCGCGTAACCCATGAGCATTTCAAACATGATAGCACCGACGCTCCACCAATCGCACTCCAAGCCGTATCCTTTCTTCAGGAGAACTTCTGGGGCGATGTAGTCCGGCGTACCAACTGTGCTGAACGCCAACCGACGTCGATTCTTCTGCCAGTTCGCGAGCTCTTCTGCGCGCTTTTGATCCGTCTCGATCGTGTTTGGCAAATTGCCCTCGCCGTCTCGACTCATCGCCGCTTCGTTCTCCAAGATTTCCGGGAGAACCGCCTGCTGATACGCCGGATCGATGGGTTTGCACAATCCGAAGTCGCTCAACTTCATGTGACCATCCTTGTCGAGCAACAAGTTGTCCGGTTTGATGTCTCTGTGAATAAAGTTGTGTCGATGAATCGTCTCCAGCGCCGCCACCGTCTGCGCCAAGTAAAACCGCGTCTCTTCCTCCGTGAGCGTATCGCGTCGAATCAACAGAGTCATCACGTCTCCACCCGGTAAATATTCCATCACGAGGTACAAGAATTGATCGTCTTGAAACGAATAATACAGCGTCACCACCGCGCGCGAGTTCACCTCGGCGAGCAAGTTTCGCTCCGCCTTGACGTGATCGACTTGCCCGCGCCGAACCATTTCCGACTTTTTCAGCTTCTTCATCGCGAAAATCTCCCCCGTGCTCTTCTGTCGCACCAACCGCACCTCCCCTGTTCGCGCGCGCGAAACGAATCCCACCCGTCGTCAGTCCCGCGTCCTCCCGGAATATTCCCGCGCGCGTCGTCGTCCGCGTCGCGTCGCGTCGCGTCGTTCACGCACCGAAAGCCCCTCGCCCGATCAACTTCAGCGGTTCAAAATCCTCGACGCACATCCTTTTCCCCGTCCCCTGTTGCGCCTGCGTCGTCGTCGTCGTCGTCGTCGTCGTCGTCGTCGTCGTCGTCTCGCCCGCGCTCGCCTCGGTCCTCGCGCGCGCGTCCCCCGTCGTCATCCCTCCCTCTCGCTCGCTCGCCGCCCGCTGCGCCTTGCTCGCTCGCTGCGTCTTGCTCGACATCTTCGCCACCGCGCGCGAGAACCACGACTCCTTCCCCATGTCGTCGCCGCGCCTCGTTCGTTCGTTCGTTCGTTCGAATCAAATCTCAAATCCGACCCCTCGTCGTCGCCGTCGTCGCGACGCGTTCGATCCCGATCGACGCGCGACGCCGCGCGTCGTCGTCCTTCGTCGCGCTCGCGCGGTCGCCGCGTCGCGATCGCCGTCGCTCGACGATCCGGGTCGCGTCGTCGCGCGCGCGCGAGTGCCGAGCTCGATCGATCGATCGAACGCGTCGCGTCGCGCGCGTCGACCGCGCGACCGCGGCGCCGGTCGACGACGCGCCGGCGCGCGGCGCGCGCGACGACGCCGACGCGCGCGCGCGACGTCGCGGCGCGCGACGGTCGGATTGGATGTCGTTTCGGACGCGCCGCGTCGGCACACGCGCGCGCATGGACGACGACGACGACGACGACGACGACGACGACGCGACGCGACGCGTGCTGCGCGACGTCGTCCGCGCGCGACGCGCGCTTCGCGAGATCCGCGCGTCGCTCGACGCGAATCGCGCGCGGACGACGCGCGATTCGCGTCGAGCGTCGCGACGCGCGCGGTCGGACGCCGCGCGCGCGATCGCGCGCGACGCGAAGCGCGCGTCGAAGCGCGACGAAACGGACGCGCGAACGGCGACGGCGGCGACGCGCGCGCGGTTGGCGACGGCGGCGACGCGCGCGCGCGAGACGAGCGAGACGCTCGCGGCGGCGCTCGCGGCGGCGGCCGACGCGCGAGGCGGCGCGCGAGCGCTCGAGGACGCGCGAGGCGAGGTCGAGGACGCGAGGCGAGCGATTCGGGACGGCGCGCGCGCGATCGAGGCGCGCGCGAGGGCGATCGGGGCGACGATGGCGGCGACGGCGGCGGACGTCGAGGACGCGACGGAGGCGCGAGACGCGCGCGAGCGCGCGAGGCGGGCGACGGAGGCGGATTTCGAGCGCGCGCTCGCGCGCGAGCGGCGCGCGTGCGAGCGCGCGATCGATGCGATGGACGCGCGCGCGCGCGATTGCGTCGTCGACGTCGCCGTCGCTCGACGCGGCGTCGCGTAACGTCACGTCAATGTAAAGTCAGTGTAATGTAATGTAACGTCAATGCAATGTAATGCGGCGCGTCGTAACGCGACGCGACGGACGCCGCGCCGACGGACGCCGCCTCGAATCGACGCCGCGTCGACGCGCGCGTCGGCGTCGCGTCGACGCGCGCGTCGACGTCGTCTCGCGTCGACGCGATGACGATTTCATTCGCCGCGGCGGCGGCGGCGGCTTCGACGTCGACCGCGCGCGCGCGTCGACCGCGCGCGCGCGTCGACGCGGCGACGCGCGACGGCGACGGCGACCGCGCGCGTCGCCGCGTCGTCTGTCGCCTCGCGCGCGCGCCGCAGCGGCTGAGCGCCAACAAAAAGCGCGCGAAGCGCGAGCGCGAGGACGCGCGGCGAGAGGCGCGAAAAGTGTCGCGCGAGGACGGCGCGCTGCGCGGCCGGGTCGAGGACGCCGAGCACGAGGCGCGACGGTGGCTCGGACAACACTTTTTGGTGGACGCGAGCGTGGTGACGGACGCGGTGGAGGCGGCGAGGCTGGGAGCGGGGGAGCGAGTGCTGGAGATTGGACCGGGGACGGGAAACTTGACGAACGAGATGCTGAAGCGCGGGGCGCGCGTGTTGGCGGTGGAGAAGGATAGGAATTTAGCGGAGAAATTACGGGAAGGGTTGTGCGTGGAGTATAAAGATGCGTTCGAGTTGGTGGAGGGGGATTTTTTGAAGTGGGACGGATTGGCGACGGCGTTTGAGCGCGCGACGCCGGAGACGCCGAGGGCGAAAGTGGTGGCGAATATTCCGTACAACATCACCACAGACGTGTTGAAGGTGTTGCTTCCGATGGGTGACACGTTTGAGGATATGATTTTTATGTTTCAAGAGGAAGTGGCGCAGCGTTTGGTGCGCGACGACGCCGGCGGCGGAGACTATCGGGCGATGAGCGTTCGCGTCCACTACTACTCCAAGCCGTATTACATCCGTCCAGTTTTGCGTGATTGCTTCATGCCGCCGCCGAACGTGGAATCGTGTTTAATCGGATTCAAGCCGAAAGAGCCGCACGAGCTCTTACCCTTGAACGGCACCGACAAGCAATTCTTCACCTTTGTCCAGGCGTGCTTCGCGCAAAAGCGTAAAATGTTACGCAACAACCTCAAGGCGGTGTGCGACGAGGCGACGATGGACGGCGCGTTCGCGTTGCTCGACCGCGGACTTAAAGTTCGTCCGCAAGAGCTCACCATGGAGGAGTACGTCAAACTATTCAATTTCGTACGCGATCGAGAGACGTGAGCTCGCGTCTCGCGTCGTTGTAGCATTACATCGTTACCATATAATGTGTACTCTCACGCGCTCGCCTTCATGAACAACTGCACCCCGTGCACGATGCTCCACACCCATCCGACGAAGAACACGAAACACATCAACCACATCATCGCGAAACACTTCAACCCTTCGAACGTTTTGTTTGCGGTCACGCACGCGACGAGCGTCCCCACTCCGGGGAAGATGATGTTCAGCACCATGGCGACGATGGCGATCGGTTTTTTCGCCTTGACGAGGGCATCGTCGTGCGTTTTGCGCAAAAAATCTTGAATCTTTTTCAGCGTGTCGCTCATCTCGTGCTTCGCGCGTTCCAGGCGTCGTCGTCGTCGAGGGAGAGGCTCGTTTTGACGACGCGGTCGGTCTGGGCGGTCGGTCGGTCGGTCGCGGCGCAAACTGGAATCTGATAAAATACAACACGAATAAAGCCTAAATGCGGGCGAAGCGCTCATCCGAACGTGTTCAACGCGCCCTGGGTTTGCTCTAGAAAGCTCGCGAGTCGCGCGCGGGCGACTTTCGCCGCCGCCGGCTTGGCGCGCTCCGTCTCGTCGTCGTCCTCCGGCGGCGCGCGCCACGACTCGGCGAGCGGGCCGTCCCACCATCCGAACGGTACGTCCCGCAATCGCGCGTCGTGCGCTCGCAGAGCCTGCGCTATGAATTCTGCATCCTCAACGCTCACTTTACGCGCGTCTTCGTGCACGGTGGGCGTGAGTAAGACGCCTCCCGGAATCGTCCCGGCGTCTCCGCGTCCGCCCAGCAGCGCGCGCGCCAGCGCCGTCGTCGGCGGCGACGCGCGCGAATCGCCGCGTATCATCACCACGCCTCGCGCGCTCGCGAGATTTAAGTACGCGTTCGACGCGCTCACGCCCCAGCACTTGGCGCACGCCGCGTCGTCGCGCGTCGTCGTCGTCGTCGTCTCGTCGCGCGCTGTCCCAGGGGGCGTCGCGCGCGCGGCGCCGGCGAAATCCGGCGGCAGCGCCACGGCGAAGATGGCGCGGTAGGGCTCGATGGCGGCGAAAAATGCGTCGCCTCTGAGCACGCCTCGCGCCGCGCCGCGCATGGCGATTCCGCGCGTCGCGGAGTGCGCCGGAGCGGGCGCTTTCGAACGCGACGGTTTCGATTCCTCGTGCTAAAAGTTTGGTCTGCGCTAAAATGTTTCTACTGATTGCGACTGCTCGACCGCGACGTTGGGTCAATCCAACCCGTCGTGCGCCTCGACCGCGGCGCCACCGCCCGTCATCTCTCGCTTCAACGCGGCGATGCGCTTCGCCACGTCCGGGTCCTCCTCCGCCTCTGACTCGGCGGATTTGCGCTTCTTGGTCGCCTTCTTCTCCACGTCCTCGGTGATCGGTGTGTTCCACCAGATTGGACCGCCCATGATACCGTCCCCGGAACAACACGAGATGCATCCCGTCTTCACGTTCGGCGTCAAGCGCTGTTGCGGCGCTCTCGACGCCATCGGCACGCGACAGATGCTCGCCGTGCCGAAATTCGTCGCCGACTTTTGAATCGACAAGAGCGAACACAAATTCTCGTACCCTGGTTTGCGCCATTTTGAAATCAGCGCCTGATCAGCGATTTTCTCGCGGCACAAGTAATCGTACAGCTCGCGCTTCAACGCTTTGCGCTTGTACATCAAATCGAATACGAAGCGATTCTTCTCCCAGTGAATCCTGTGAATTCGCCACGACAACTCATTCTTCCTCTTCCCCTCGTGCTCCTCGTTCACCGCGTCCTTCATCTGATTCTCGAAATCCTCGATCGCGTGTTCGATCATATCGAACCCCTCGGGCGGCTGTTTCCCTTTCAATCGTCGTCGAAACGACATCGCGCCTCGCGTTGGCTTAGGGATTCACCGGGACGATTGGCGTCGAAATATCACCCGTCGCCGCGCGAGGAGACTGTGATGCGCGCCGCGCACCGCTTAGGGACGTGGACGTTGGATCACGCACTGTCGTGCGAACGCGCGCGCGCGTGATTCGGACGACGACGATTTGAAGACGCGCTGAGGAATGAGAACAAAGTCTACGCGCGCGAGCGCCGACGCCTCGCGGCGGATGGTTTCAAAATCTAAATGTCTAGTTGTCGACCGAAATTACGCGTCCCGTGGCGTCGCGCGTGAGCTTAGAGTCGTCGCCGCCGTCCGCGGCGCGCCAAGCGACGTCGAGCTCGGGGCGGATGGCTCGCAGATTGTTGACGAGTCGCTCCCACTCGTCGTCTTGGGCGCCGGGATTGCCACCGACGACGAGCGTTCGTAAATCAGAGAAAGTCTGAGGGTTTTCGAACGCTTTGACGACCGCGCGGAGGCCTTCGACGGTTAAACCCACGGCACCGAGGTCGAGGAGCGTGAGAGAAGATCCTTGGCCGGCGCCGAAAATTTTTGCGACTCCGGCGTCGCCGAGTCCGGCGTTGTCGAAGAGCGCGAGAGACTTTGAAGCCTTCAGCACAAACCCCAATGAGTCGGCCGCGTCGACGGTGATCGCGCACGCTCCGAGATCAAGTGATTCTGGCACTCGAGTCCCGAACGCACCCTTCGCGAGCGTGGCTAATCCAGCGTCACCGAACGCGTTGCCTCGTAAATTCGCACTCACCAAATTTGGACACGCGGCGAGGAAGCTGTCGAGCGCCTCGACGTCTTTCGCGTCCTCGATCTCGCACTGCACGAACTCAACCGCGGTGATGCTTAATTTTTGCGTTCCAATCGTGAACAGGCCATCGCCGAAGCACGCGTGAGCGCCCCCTTTACCGAGCTTCACGCCGTTCATCTCTAGCGCCTCCACGCTCGCTCGCGACGCCAAACCCGCGCCCACGGCGCGCAACCCTTCCGCTCCGATGGCGCATCTCGTCAAACCCAGTCGCTTCAACGGGCACGGTGACTTCAAGAACTCCCCCAGTGCGCTCGCGCTGGCGGTATCGAGCGCGTTATCCGTCAAATCGAGCGTCTCGAGCGTCGCTCCCTCGCTCGCTCCGTTAAACGTCGCCGCGTATCCCACCGCGCCCAATTTCTCATTCCTCCCCAACCGCAGCTCGCGCATCGCGCACTGCGCCATGCACTTCCCCAACGCCCGTCCGTGCTCGTCTCGCACGCCTTTATACTCTAAATCGAGCCTCTCCAGCGCCGCTCCGTGCGCCGCGCCCCGCAGCGTCGTCTCCAGCGCGCTCTCCGTCCCGTCGTCCCCATCGTCCCCGAACGTTTCGTCTCCCACGCACATCGACTTGATGGACGTATTTATCGCCAAGCACGCCGCCCACGCGCGCGCCGCGGGCGCGCTCACGCGATGCCCCGAGGCGTAAAACTCTCGCACGTGTTCATTCTCCTCGAGCGCCTTCGCCGTGGCGATTTGCGTCGCTTCGTCGAACGCGCGCACGCGCAGCACGTGCACCGATCGAAGCGCGGCGTCGTTCGCTTCGATGCGCGCGAGCCAGGACGGTCGATCGCCCTCGGGCGCGCTTTTACCCCACGCCATCGGCGCGCGCGCGCGACGCGCGGGACGAACGGCGCGGCACTCAATGACGCTTCGACGCCTCGTGGCGCGATGCGCGACGACCGCGAGAGCGTCGACGAGCGCCGCGGCGATCGATGCGTCGCGCGCGACGCGAGTGCGACGTCACGAGACGTCGGCGGTGAAGGATGACGCGGGAAAGTTGCCGGGACAAGTGGACGCGAGGGAAAAGGCAAAGTTTGAAGCGGACGCCGCGCTGTGGTGGAACGAAGGCGAGGGCCCGTTCGCGGCGCTGCACGCGATGAATCCGGTGCGGGTGCGGTTCATACGGGACGGCCTGGTCGGACAGTACGGCGATGTGCTGGGCGGGAACGGGCCGGGGGCGGCGCTGCGCGGGTTGAAAATTTTAGACGTCGGCTGCGGGGGGGGGATATTGGCGGAGAGTTTGGCTCGATTGGGAGCGCAAGTGACGGCTATTGATGCGGGTGCGGCTAACATAGCGATCGCGCGCGCGCACGCGGAGTTGGATCCGGATTTAGTGAAGAATTTGAAGTACGAGGCGGTGACGGCGGAGGAACTCGTCGAACGCGGCGAAACGTTTGACTGCGTGACGAGTTTGGAGGTCATCGAGCACGTCACCGATCCGTTGGAGTTCACGAAATCGATTGCGAAATTAGTGAAACCGAAAGGCGCGTTGTTCGTGAGCACGATCAATCGTACGGCGAGATCGTTCGCGTTCGCCATCTTGGCGGCGGAACGCGTGCTCGGCCTCGTGCCGCCGGGAACACATCAGTTCTCAAAGTTTCTCACCCCTGGAGAGATTGCGATGATGGCGGGTCACGCGAATTGTGAGATGGTCGAGCTCGCGGGGATGGTCTACGACCCGTTGCGAAACAAATGGTCGTTATCTTCCGACACGCAAATCAACTTCATCGCGCACTGCGTCAAGTCGTCGTGAGTAAGCGCAGACGAATCGTTAGTTTTAGAGATTTATTTTATCATACACCGAAGCACGCGTCACGCATATTTCATCACGCGCGCTACGCCACGTCCCTGATCGCTATACGGCTCAGCACGGCGTCCGCTAAACTACCGATCTCGAGCTCATTCTCGTGCACCTTGTACCACTTCTTCAACGCCGCCTCGTCCACCGCCGGCCGCGCGTCGAACGCCACGAGCTCTCCCTTCACCACGCTTCGCACGCGCTCTAAATCTTCGTCGTTCGCGTCGAACTTACACACGATCAACGCCCTCGTGTTCTCGTCGCCGCCGAAGCGTCGAAACGCCTCGCTGATGTGCCGCGTCGGCGACAGACAAAACACCAGCTCGCTGTGCACCGCGCGCGTCACCATCGCCCCTCGCTCGCACGCGAGCGCCGCCTTGTACGCCGCCAACTCCACGCACGCCAGGCTCGCGATCGCGCGCGCGTCCATCACCGCGCACTCGAGCGTCCCGTCGCGCACCGCCGCGCGCACCTCCTCGGCGTTCGCGACGTCCGCGAACGTCCACACCGCGAGCTCGCGCGCGGCGCCGCGAGCGGACGTCTTCGGCAGGCGCAGCGCGCGCGACGGCGTCATCCGCGCCGCTCGCGCGCGCGCTCGCGGTCGTCGTCCCGAATCGTCACTCGCGCGCGCGGCGATGACGACGACGTCCGACGCGCGCGCGAGCGCGAGCGCGAGCGCGAGCGCGCGTCGCCGCGCGAGCGAATCCCTGCGCGTGCTTCGCGACGGCGCCTACGCGCTCGCGCCGATCGCGTCGCCCGAGGACGACGCCGCGCTCGCGCTCGACGGCGACGCCGCGCTCGACGGCGACGCGCGGCGACGCGACGACGCGACGACGCGCGTCGCCGTCCCGGTCGCGCTCGGCGCGAGCGAGCGGCGCGCGTTCGCGGACGCCGTCGCGGCGTCCGCGCGGGCGTCGAGGCGCGGATCGAGCGGCGCGCGGCGCGCGACGACGCCGCGCGCGACGCTCGAGCGCACCGAGAGCGAGCGCGCGCTCGAGGCGCTCGCGGCGACGGCGACGGCGACGTAGGCCGGTAGCCGCAGGCGTTAGGCGCGCGTGTATTTTACTCACCTCGATCGCGCGACGACGCGTCGGATCGCCGCGCGCTCTGAGCGCGCGGCGATCGCATCGGTCGACGACGCGCGCGGTCGACCGCGCGACGCGACACATCCAGCCTCGCCTCGCTCGCGAGCGCCGCGGACGCGGACGCGCGGTCGAGCGCGGAACGACGTCGACGTCGACGCGGAATCGACCGCGCGAACGAGACCGTCGTCGTCGACGCGCGACGCGCGACGCGCGAATCGCGAATCCGAAATCGCGACGGAAACCTCGCGCTCGAACGCGCGCGGTGACGATGAGCGATGAAGAGGCGCGCGCGAGCGCCGTGCCGGCGTCGGCGATGCTGTTCGCGGTGCACAAACACCTGCAAACGCGATGCGCGGAGAAGACGAGCGCGTTCTTGAAGTGCAAGAAGGGCGATCAAGACCCGGAAAAGTGCCTGCGACAGGGCGCGGCGATGACGGGGTGTCTGGTGGAGGTGCTCAGGGACTTGAAGGCGACGTGTGGGGATGAATTGAACGCGTACGCGGAGTGCTTAGATTACAGGAGCAATAACTTTGAAAAGTGTCGGCGGGAACAAGAGGCGTTTGAGACGAAGTGCTCGCTCGGGAAGTAAGCGTTTGGAACGCATTTTTTTTATCGCATCGTAGCAAAGTAGAAACATCCTTAATCTCCCTTCACCACGCGCGCGCCGCCGGATTCAACCTTGACTGAACGTAAAGGGCGGCGAACGAGCGATACGCACTGAATGACGTCCCCCATTCGGATGTCGACGACGTCTGCGAGAGCGATACCGCAGTCGCTACCTTTGCCGACGGCGTCGACTTCGAGCCGGTGGCGGCGCATGGAAGAACAGTCGAGTAGCTCTTCGTGGATGCACACTCCGTCGCGAATCAACCTAAATTTCTCACCCGCTTTCATCGCTCCTTGGCCGACGACGCAGCCGGCGACGATGGTCGCGTTGTTGCCTTTCGCGCCGGACATGTCGAATATCTGCACGACGTTCGCCTCACCCTCGATTTGTTCGTGCTCCTCCATGGGCGCTAAGCCGGTGAGCATCTCTCCCACTTCGTCGAGTAAGTGGTAAATAACTCGGTGTCGAACGATGCGCACACCTTTCTGCTTGGCTAATTTCGCGAGCGAGTTGGGCGGCTCGCGCACGTTGAATCCCAGGACCGGAGCGCCGATGGCAGCGCTCAAGCTTATATCGCTTTCCGTGATGGCGCCAACGCCCATGAACACGACCTTCAATCCAACGGCTTCAGATGCGAGCCCTAAAAGAGCGTCGCGCACAGCTTCTGCCGTTCCTTGAACGTCAGCCTTGATGATGACGTTTAAATGTCCTCGCTCTTCGGGATCAATTTCAGACTGATTCGCTGGCGCCGCCTCCTCGTCTTCACCTTTCATCCGCGCTTCGCGTTCTTCTCGTGCTTCGCTTATTCTCTTCGCTCTAGACTCGGATTCAACCATCGTGATGCTATCACCGGCCGAAGGAACCCCTTTCAAACCGACGAGCTCGAAAGGTTCAGCCGGACCAACGTGCGAGATTTGCTCGGCTTTGGCGTTGCGCAAGCTTCGAACTTTGCCATACTGATTACCCACGACCACATACGAACCGACTTTGAGCGTACCAGAGCGCAGTAATCCAGTAGCTGTCGGACCTTGCCCTTTATCTAACTTTGCCTCTAAAACAACACCATTAACTTTGCCCGAGAGAGACGCCTTTAACTCGAGCGCATCCGCCTCGAGGACGAGACACTCTTCCAATTCTGCCAATCCCTCACCTGTGATGGCTGAAATGGGAACACACTGCACTTTACCCCCGAATTCTTCTAATTCTATGCCCATGCTCCCGATCTCACTCTTCACTCGTCGTGGATCGGCATTTTCTCTATCAATCTTCGTAAGCGCGACGACCATCGGCACCCCCGCCGCCTGTATGTGCGCCGCTGCCTCTCGCGTTTGTGGCATTACCCCATCATCCGCGGCGACAACAAGTACGGCAACATCCGTTGCCGTCGCTCCACGCTGTCGCATCGCACTAAACGCGGCGTGACCGGGAGTATCGAGAAATGTCAGCGATCCGTGTCCGCCTGGAAGCTCGACGACGAAGGCGCCTATGTGTTGCGTGATTCCTCCCGCCTCGCCCGCGGCCACGGATGTCTTGCGCAACGAATCCAGCAGCGTCGTTTTCCCATGATCGACGTGTCCCATGACCGCCACTACGCCTCGTCGCCGCACAACCTCTGTCGCGTCCGCGTTCGGATCCGGAGAGACGGAGATGTCCACGTTCAGTTCCAACCCGACCAACTCCATCACGTCCGTCGGCACCGCATCCTCGCTCGACGCCAAGGACTCACCCAAGTTCGCTAGCACAGTTTCTAAATCCCGAGTTTCCATCTCCAATACCCTCGCCAACTCTACCAAAGTCGTTCCCTCCGCGATCTCCGCGGCGCCGCCCGCGCGCGGACTCTCGAGCGACCGAGCCTCCCTCGCGTTCTCCCCGGCGGCGTCCTTCCTCTTCGCCCGCACCGTCCCTTTCCCAGCCACGCTAAATTTCCTATATTTAGAAATCTTTTCCTTCGTCTTCTTCGATCGCTTCCCGTCGCCGTCGTCCTCCTCCTCGTCAGCGGTGAGTTTCTTTCCCTTGTACCCGACGCGCGGCTTCTCTCTCGCCGTCGCGCTCGTCGCGCCCGTCCCGTCCCGACCCTTCGCCATCGTCATCATCGACGACGTCCCGAACGATCTGCGCGCGCGCGACGACGGACGATCGCCGTCCGCGCGCGACGTCGTCGTCGTCCGCGCGCGAGCCGCCGCGAGCGCACCAATCGCGCGCGCGTTCGCGGAATGCGGCGCGTCTCGCGCGTCCGAGCGCGCGCGCGCGCGATCGTCGACGCTCGGGGTCATCGTCGACAGCGCGCGCGTCGCGGCGCGGGCGCTCGTCGACGCGCGCGACGCCGCGCGACGAATCATCGTCGACGGCGCGCGCGACACACCGCGGCGATGACGGCGCGCGCGCTCGCGACGACGTCGAGCGCGAGCGCGTCGACGAGCGCGCGCGCGCGTCGATGGAGCGCGCGCGCGACGCCGGACGCGAGGCGTCGACGAGTGTCGGCGGCGGCGATGCGGCGCGGGCGTTCGGTGTCGACACCGCGCGAAGGCCGACACCGAAGACGCGTCGACGCGCGCTCGAGGGCGAGCGAGGACGATCCGGACGGCGAGGACGATACCTCGGACGCGCGCGGGAGCGACGACGGCGTTCGGGCGGTGAAGGCGTGGTTGCGAGAGAACTTTTTCTTCGCGGGCGTGGGGGCGGCGGCGTGCGCGAGCGCGTCGCCAGAGTTTCGCGACGTCGTGGAGTCGTTCGGTGGTGCGGCGGGAGGGTCGTGGGGGTCGGGAGGGTTGGAAAAGTATGCCATCGCAGCCTTATTCTTCATCGCGGGCGTTGGATTACCGGTGAGAGCGTTGAAGGAAGCCGCGAGCGACGTGTCGCTCAACGCGTTTACGCAGGCGTTCATCTTCGTCTTTCCGACGATCGTCATAGCCGCAGCCGCGCCGGTTTTGATTGAATCGGGGTGGTTGAGCGAGAACGTGGTCGATGGTTTATTCGTGTTGGCGTGCTTGCCCACGACAGTAGGTTCCGGCGTGGCGTTCACGCGGTCGGCGAACGGGAACGTCGAAGCCGCCTTGCTGAATTCCATGGCGGCGAACCTCGCGGGTATTTTCTTGACCCCTGCGTTGATACATTTCTATCTCGGCGCCGACAGCTCGGTGGATCCGATCGCATCGAGTTCGAAGCTGCTCGTTCAAGCATTTTTACCCGTCGCTCTCGGTATGAGCTTGCGTTTGATCCCGGGCGTGGCGTCCGCCGCCGAGGGCGGCTTGAAGGAGCCGAGCAAACTGCTCGGCGATGCCATTTTGCTCGCCATCATCGCCAAAACCTTCGTCACAGCGGAACAAAGCGAGGCGGGGATGTTAGATTTCAACTCAAGCGCACACTTAGTGAGCGTCTTGTTGGTGTTCATGCTCTTGCACAAGGGATCGATTTTTTTGGCGGCGTCTCGCGTCGGCGCCTTCTCGCGCGAGGACGTCGTCTGCGCCCTATACATGGGTTCGCACAAAACCTTAGCGTTCGGCTTGCCTTTGATATCGACCACGTTCGAGGGCGATCCCAATCTCGCGTCTTATGTGCTTCCCTTGGTGATTTACCACCCCCTTCAAATATTCGCGAGCTCGCTCCTCGCGCGCCCTCTGGCGCGGTACGAGAAGCGGCGCGAATGAATCTTCCTAGCGACTTAGCGAGTCAAATAGCGAGCGATTAGCGATTAGTGCGTGCATCGCGACGCGACGCGCGTTCGACGCGCGTCGACGTCGTCGATAAATTAAAAGCGAGCCCATCGTATTGACAAGCCGCCGAGCGCGCGCGCGCCCGGCGACGAAACCCTACGTCGTCCCTCGCGAAGAATCACAACCTACTAATTCGTCCGCCTCCGCGCTCGAACCGCCGTCGAGCGCTCCCCGCGCCTCGCGCGCGTCCCTCTTCTTCGGTGCGTTCACTTGGACACGACCGTCATCACCGCCGGCGCCGTCGCCGGATCCACCGTCGGGTACTCCACCGCCTTGCGGTTTCGGTCGCTCGGTCGATGCTTCTTCGGTCGCGTGTCGGTGTGTCCCTTCGTCGCCTTCTTCCGCACGTGTCGCGCCGCCTTCACGGTGAACGTCATCGGAGCCCCGATCGTGATCGCCATCGCGTCTCGCCGAGCGCGCGCGCGTGTGCGTGCGCCGCGGTGGCGGCGTGGCGCGCACGCATGCGTGCTCATTCATTCGCGTCGACGCCGCGTCGACGCCGCGCCCGACGTCGCCTTCTTCCGCACGATCGCCCTCGCGAGCGCCATCACCGCGCCGTCGCGTGCGCGCGCGCTAAAAAAATAAAAAAAAACCACCCCCCCCCGATCGAAGGGTCAGGACTCGTCGATCGCCGCCCCCGGACGAACGTAAAACCTAGCCCATCGCCGCGCGCGCGCGCTTCGATCGTCGTCCGCCGCGTCGCGTCGTTTTGTCGTTTTATCCAAAAGGGAGGCGCGCGCGCGTGTGCGTGCGCCGCGGCGACGCGCGCGGGATCGCCGCGCGGCACTCGCGGGCGGACGATCCGAGCCGTCGCGCGCGAAGGCGAAGCTCTCGCGCGCGTCGATCGACGATGCGGGCGATGGACGCGTCGAGCGCGCTGGCGCCGCGGCGACGCGCGATCGGGACGCGCGGCGCCACGCGCGGGGCGAAGACCTCGAGGGCGATCGCGCGGGGGGCGGTGCGCGTCGCCGCGGGCGCGGTGTCGCAGGAGTACGCGATGGACGAACGAGGCGTGCTGATGCCGACGGGGAAGTACTGCGTGAATCACGCGGAGACGGTGCGAAGGAAGACGCGCACGGTGCACGTGGGCAACGTGAAGATTGGCTCGGAGCACCCAATCGTGAAGCAGACGATGACGACGAGCGACACGAGAGACGTCGAGAAGACGGTGGCGGAGGTGATTCGATGCGCCGATGCCGGTGCGGAGATGGTGCGGATCACGGTTCAGGGGATGCAAGAGGCGAAGGCGTGCAAGATCATCAAGGAGACGCTCGTGGCGAAGGGATACGATACGCCGCTCATCGCGGATATCCACTTCGCGCCGAAGGTGGCGATGATGGTGGCTGAATGCTTCGATAAGATTCGCGTGAACCCCGGTAACTTTGCGGATGGTCGTAAGACGTTTGAAAACATCCTGTACGAAACGGATGAAGAGTACAACGCCGAACTCGCGGAGATTGAAGAAATCTTCACGCCGCTCGTGTTGAAGTGCAAGGAGCGAGGCGTGGCGATGCGCATCGGTACGAACCACGGTTCTTTGTCCGCGCGCACGTTGTCGCGCTTTGGTGACACGCCGATGGGGATGGTGGAATCTGCGTTCGAATTCGCGCGCATTTGCCGCAAGCACGATTACCACAACTTTGTCTTCTCCATGAAGGCGTCTAACCCTCTCGTCATGGTGCAAGCGTATCGCCTGTTGTCCCACGAGATGTACAAGCTCGGCTGGGACTACCCGCTTCACCTCGGCGTCACCGAAGCCGGCGAAGGCGAAGACGGTCGCATGAAGTCTTCCATCGGTATCGGTGCTCTCTTACTTGACGGTCTCGGAGACACCATTCGCGTGTCTCTCACCGAAGCATCCGAGCTCGAAATCGAGCCGTGCACGCGCTTGGCCAACCTCGGTATGAAGGCGTGCGCCGAAAACATCGGTGTCGAGCAATTCGAGGACTCTGTCCGTGACTTCAAGACCTTCACGCGCAGAACTGGTGATTTGCCCGAACAAAAGGACTCTGATGCGATTGATTTCCGGAACATTCTCCACCGCGACGGCTCTGTGCTCGCCGCCGTCACCACGGCGCAACTCGCGTCGGAAGATGGCTTCTACCGCGAATTGGGCGCCAAGCTTGCGGTCGGTATGCCGCTTCGTGATATCGCCACCTGTGATTCCATCTTGCTCAGCGAAGTTCCCGCCGCGTCCGAAGAGAAGGCGCTCCGATCTATCCGTCGCCTCCAAGAAATCGGCTGCGGCGTTGTCGTGCCGGCTGACCTTCTCCGAGCGACGCCGTTGGAGAACGCCATCGCCCTCGTCAGCGCCGACGAAGTCGGTGCTCCGTTGCCGGCCGGTGCCGCGCGAAAGGCTGTCACGTTGAACGGCTTCGAGACCGTCGAACAACTCAAGGCTGTCGCAGCGTCTGACGCCGTCATGGTGCTCATCAAGACGAAGGATGGCGAGTCTCGTCTCCACTCTTCTCGCCGCATCGCCGAAGTGATGGCGCAAGTCGGTGCGAAGATGCCGGTCATTCATCACATGTACATGCCGACCGGCGACAAGTCGGACATCGTCATTCAATCCGGCTCCCAAGTCGGTGGTTTGCTCGTCGACGGCTTTGGCGACGGCGTGTTGATCCAATACGCCGGCTCCGACAAGGATGTCTCATTGGACTTCCTTCGTACGACCTCGTTCGGTTTGCTCCAAGGCTCTCGTATGCGTAACACGAAGACGGAGTACGTCTCTTGCCCGTCGTGCGGACGCACCCTCTTCGACTTGCAAGAAGTCACGGCGCAAATCCAAGAGAAGACTGGACACTTGCCTGGCGTCGCCATCGCCGTTATGGGTTGCATCGTCAACGGTCCGGGTGAGATGGCGGATGCGGATTTCGGTTATGTTGGTGGTGCTCCGGGTAAGATTGACTTGTACGTCGGTAAGGAAGTCGTCAAGCGAGGTATCGCGATGGAAACTGCGTGTGATGAACTCATTCAACTCATCAAGGACAACGACCGCTGGATCGAAAAAGAAGTCGAGGAAGCCGTCGCCGCGTGATGTCGCACTCGTAGCTCGCATGATGTTTAATACTAAGTCGATTGATTCTTCAGATTCTTTTCTCTAATTCTTTCTGATTTTCTTAGTTACAATACGTGGGACGGGAGTTTAATTGAGCTTCGTCGCTCATTCTTTCGAAAACGACATGCAATGCACCGCACGCTTATTAAATTTTCTCCAGGGCTTGAGCAATATCCGCTTCGATGTCGACGTAATCCTCAATCCCAGTCGAAAATCGAACGAGGTTATCCTTAATGCCAATCTCAGCGCGCTTTTCAGGACCCTGATCCCAATAAGAAACGACAGTCGGTTGTTCAATCAGCGACTCCACGCCACCGAGAGACGGCGCGATGTACGGAAGCTCGCAACTATCGATAAACTTTGCAGTCGCCCAAAGATCACCCTTGACCTCGAAAGATACCACCCCACCGAAACCTTTCATGTATTTTTTCGCAACTTCGTGGTCGCAGTGGCTCGGTAATCCCGGATAGTGCACTTTGTCAATCTTTGGATGCTTCTCGAGGTATTGAGCCAGTCTCATCGCGCTGTCGTTGTGGCGCTCGACTCGAAGCGACAAGGTCTTCAAACCTCGAAGAACCAAGTAAGCAGCGTGAGGATCGATGACACCACCCAAAATATTATGAAATTGTCTGCACGCGGCGACTGCTTCCTTCTTACCGACGATGACACCGGCGAGAACGTCGTTGTGCCCGCCCATGAATTTCGACGCGCTGTGAATCACCAAGTCGGCGCCAAAGTCGAGCGCGCGAGAGTTGCACGGCGTGGCAAAAGTACCATCGATGCACACGAGGCAACCCGTGGGCTTGCACAGGTTCACGATTCGTTCGATATCGACGCAACGAAGGTACGGGTTCGTTGGTGATTCGGAAAAGTACAGCGAGCACTTGTTCTCCTTGAGCGCCTTTTCCAAGCCGTCGTAATCGGACGGATCGAGCACCGTGGACGTGATGCCCATCTTCGGCAAGAAAGTTTGAATGAATTGTCGAGTGCGTCTGTAGCAGTCCGTGGTGGTGACAATGTGTCCACCGGCTGGGACGAGCGCGAGCAGCATAGTCGTCGCCGTGCACATGCCGGACGCGCTCAACAGAGCGTCTTCTCCGCCCTCGAGTTGGCGAATCTTCTCTTCGCACGCCTTGGTCGTCGGATTCCCGTATCGACCGTACTCAAAGCTCCCATATCGTCCCTCTTGATACGCGATCAACTCTTCCGTGTCCTTGAAGTGGTACGTCGACGTGCACACGATCGGGGTCGTCAACGAGTCGGATACCCTCGGTCGCCCCTCCTTGCGTTCGCCTGCGTCAAAGTAACAACCGCGATCATCACCGTCAGTCCGCGCGTCTCCCCCCTCGCGTCTCCTCACTCGCGCATCACATTTTTATGCACCATCGCGCGTCCATCGCGCGTCGCTCCTCGTCGTTCGACGCACCGTTTTGCACGCACTGCGTCGAGTCGCCCCAAGGTTTCTCGCCGTTCGCCGCGCGCGTCGTCGCGCCTCGTCGTCCCGTCCCTCCTCGGCTCTTCCGCGTCGTCGCGCTCAGCTTCACCACCGTTCGCGCCTTCGCGCTCATCGCCGCGCTCATCCTACGCTCGAATCCCGTCGTCGTCGTCGTCGTCGTCAGTCCTCGCTCGGCTCGATCGCGTCGAACCTCTCGCGCCTCGGCTGGCCCTCGCGCGTCGTCGCGTCGTCGCGTCGTCTCGCGCGCCCGCGACGCGTCGGCGTCGTCCCGCGCGCGTCGCGCGTCGCGCGTCGCGTCGCGTCGCGTCGCTCGACGGACGCACCGCGCGCGTCGTCCCGGACTCGACCTCGATGTGCGGGCGCGACGCGACGCGGCGGGCGGCCGAGGATCGAGGATCGAGGATAAAAAAAAATCCGCGCGCGACGCGCATAAAGCGCGAACGATTCGCCATGAAGGCCGAAACGCGTGACGCGCGGTCGATCTCGAACGACCGATCGATCGATCGATCGATCGATCGAACGAACGAACGATCGAACGATCGATCGACGGACGAACGATTCGAGGGCGCGGCGAAGCCGAACGCGCGGCGGTGAGGGTCGAAGGAACTACGGGTCTATGAATGTGATCACACGATGATGCTCTCGCACGTGCAGCAGTCGTATCCGGGAACGGTGCACTCGGTCGTCGCGTTGGCGGCGACGTGGGCGCATCGACACGCGTCGGCGCCGCGCGCGCCGGGAACGCACGAGAGGGAGACGCCGGCGTCGGACGCCGCTCGACACGACGCGTCGCAGTCCGTGGTGCCCGCACCGCAGCTCTGCGCGCACAGGGCGTTGTAAATACCGGCGTGTGCGGGATCGGTGCACACTCCGGTGTCTAAAGTGGTGACTTCGGGCATGTGGGACGCCGGACACCCGCTCGGCGCTTTCAGCGCGCATCCCTCGTCGCACGAACCGTAGACGTACGTGAACGTCTTCCCATCGAATACGCGGTTGTAAAAGATGTCATCGCCCTCCTCGATGACAGAGGTACAAACCTCCATGCCTTCGAGAGCCGATGGAGTCGCAAATTTCGGACATCGCCCGCCCCCCCTGTGCAAGCAACCGATGTCGGACACCGTCGCCTCGTCGCTCGTGTTGTCGAGCGGGTACAAATAAAATCCAAACTGCTCCCCTGCACCGAGCATGACGTCCACTTCAAACGTTCCACACCTTGTTTGCGTCATTTCCTGCGCTTGGGAGAATAAAAAGTCGTTCGACATCGACTTTGTCGTCACCCGAGCGCCGACGACGTCCTCCCACGCTCCCGGCGCAAACGTCAACGACCCGAGTTGCGCGCACGCCGTGAGCAACGTCAAGTGCACCATCGTCGCCGCCGCGCGTGGTATCATCTCGACATCTTCTCTGTGATTCACCTCTATGTCTCCACTCGACGACATTTGCGATTTCCGCACTAAAGAATACTCCTCGCTCGCTCCGTCGTCGTCGCCGCCGCCCGTGACGAACGGGTCGCTCACCACCGCGAACGGCGTCGTCCCGTCTCCGCTCGTCGCCAACGCGGCCGCGCTCCCGAACGCGCTCATTTTCCCTCGTTCATTCGCGCTCGCGCGTTCGCGCGCGTCGTCTCCAGACATCCAGTCGCGCGCGATCGTTCGTCCAACACCATTCGTCTTCGCCAGCGCGCACGCGCACGCGAGCGTCACGCCCAGCGCGAACGTCGGTCGAAACACCGACGTGGACGCGCGCGCGCGCGACGAGCGGTGTCGTCGATCCCCGTCGCCGTCGCGCGTCAACAGCGGGGCGTCCTCCATCGCCGTCGTCGTCGCGTCGTCGTCGCGATGTGACGCGCCGCGTCGCCGCCGCCCGCACTGCGCGACGCGCGCGACGACGACGACGCGCGACGACGACGACGGGGGCGATGCGCGCGATGACGACGACGCGCGGGCGCGGGCGCGCTCGCGCGGCGAACGCGACGACGACGACGACGACGCGACACCGGCGACGTCACCGCGCGGTGCGGGCGCGAGCGAGCGAGGACGCGAACGAGGCCAGCGAGCGGACGACGACGACGACGACGACGACGACGACGAAAGTGGTCGTCCTCGGCGGCACCGGACGCGTCGGGAGCGCGACGGCGGCGGCGCTGGTGCGAGGCGCGAACGGCGGGGTGGAGGTGACGCTCGGCGGACGGTCGAGAGAGCGAGACGCGGAGGCCAAGGCGCGACATCGAGGGTTGGCGAACGCGTCGTTCGTTGAGGTGGACGTGTGCGATAAGGCGAGCGTGACGCGAGCGATTCAAGGCGCTGACTTGGTGATCAACACCGCGGGACCGTTTCAGAGACGAAAGAGTTGCGCCGCGCTCGAGGCGGCGCTGGAGAGCGGGGTCAAGTATTTAGACGTCTGTGACGACGCGTCGTACGGCGCCGAGGCAAAGAAATTGAGCGAAAAGGCGAAAGCCGCGGGTGTGGCCGCGATCACGTGCGCGGGCATCTATCCCGGGGTGTCAAACCTTATGGCGCGAGACATCGTGGAGTCGATGAAGGCGGAGTTTCGCGCGACTGAAGAAAACGAAGGCAAAGAACCCGAGGTGGAGTACGTGCTTTACAACTACTTCACTGCGGGGTCGGGTGGGGTCGGGACGACGATTTTAGCCACGAGCTATTTGCTCTGTGGCGAAGATGTCGTGTGTTGGGAAGACGGTCAGCGCATCGTCGAGAAACCAGCTTCGCAACGCAAAGTCGTCGATTTCGGCAAGGGCGTGGGCCGACGCGAGGTGTTCCTGTACAACTTGCCCGAAGTTGCATCGACACGTGAAATTTTCGGTGCGCGCACCGTGAAGGCTCGATTCGGTACGTCGCCAGGGATTTGGAACGGGGCCATGGTGGCAATAGCGAATTTAGTTCCAAAGTCGCTCTTGGAAAATCAAGACGCAATGAAAGGATTGGCGAACTTCTCCGCCCCGATCGTGCGCTCGGTGGATGCGATCGTTGGAGAAACTACATCCATCCGCGTGGACGTCAAACTGAAGGACGGCAAGCAGTCTGTGGGTTTGTATACGCATCCGCGTTTAAGCGAGTGCGTCGGCACGTGCACGGCGTCTTTTGCAACGGCGATGTTGAATGGTGAATGTGCTCCTGGGGTTTGGTATCCTGAAGAAGTGGAAGCCATCAGCGATCGGGATGCGTTGTTCGAACGTGCCAAAGAAGGAACGTCGTTGTTTGCTTTGAATCAAGCGCCGTGGATGGTGGAATCAAAGCCAGTGAATTTGGGTTTCGGATTGTATTGGACGTAGCTCGTGATAGGAAGCATGAATGTTATGAAAACGAAAGCGCGCGCCATGATTTCTTTATTTTCTTTATGTGTGCAGTATTTGCATCGAATTCGCTTGCATAATCGTTTACTAATATCTTTACTAATATTCAAACCGCCGAGCTCTCGAGTCTATTACGCCGCGGACGCCATCTTTGCCAGCGCCTTGATGGACGTGCTCACCAACGTGGCCAACTGCATTCCCTCATCCGCTCCTTGTGCCAAAAACCTGTCTACTTCACCGAGTTTGATGAAGATCTCCGCCTTGACCTCGTCCGAGCAATCTGCCTCCAGGACGTAGTCAGAGTACTGATCGAGAATTTTGAGTCCTGAAAAACCGTCGCGCAAAATGTCCTCCATGTGCGCCTGCGCCTCTTCAAACTTGCCTTCACGGCACAGATCATACATCTTTTTGATTTTTTCATCTGGAATGTGCCCCGCCACTTCAACGATGCTCGCACCACTAATCTTCCCCGCGAACAAACGCGCTGCGCTTTGCAACAACGTAATCGCCTTGCGCATGTCTCCTCCCGAGTGCTTTGAACACATCGCGAACACGTCGTCACTCATCTCCAAACCTTCTTGTTCGCCGATGAACTTCAATCGCGCACCCATAGTTTCCTGAGCGAGCGGTGAGAATCTAAACTTTGCGCATCGACTCGCGATCGGATCGATGATTTTCGTCACGTAGTTGCACAACAGAAAGAACCGAGTGACTTTTGAATACGTCTCCATCATCCTTCGCAGCGCCGATTGCGCGTCGCCCGTCATGGCGTCCGCTTCGTCCAAGATTAATATCTTATACGGCGGAGACGGGTATCCCGGCGCGGGCGCACCGACGGCTTGCGAGGCAAAGGTTTTGATCTTGTTGCGGACCACGCTGATGCCTCTCTCGTCCGACGCGTTCAACTCCTTCACCCTTTGCTTATACAGCTCCGGTCCGTACAACTCCTTCGCGATCGCCAGCGCGGTGGTGGTTTTCCCAGTTCCCGGCGGTCCGTAGAACAGGCAGTGGGGCATGTTCCCCGTCTTCAGCGCGTTTTCCAGCACCCCCACGATTTGCTCCTGGCTCGCCACATCCTTGACGACGCGAGGGCGGTATTTCTCCACCCACGGCGCGTGCGCCTCGGCGCGCTGCGGACGCGTCGCTTCCGCGTCGACCATGGTCGTATCCGCAACCATCGCGTCCGTGCGTCCGTCCGTCCGTCAGTCGTCGGCGTCGTGTGACGCGCGCGCACCCGCGAACGCCCGCCGCGCATCTCGCGCGCGGCGTCGCGGAATTTGAAATCGCGCCCGCGGCGAGGGCGTTCGGGCGTAGGGTTCGGTGAATGATAAACGATAGAGATAGCGTTAAGAACGCACTGAATGCGTCGAATGTGGACGTGTTTTGTATTTTCAACGGCGCGACGACGCGCGCGACGCGGTCGGTCGGTCGCTCCGTCGCCGTCTCGCACTGCGCGGCGACGGCGACGGCGACGGCGACGGCGATGTCGGACGCCGCGCGCGCGTCGACGCGGACGTCGTCGACATCGCGCCTCGCGCGTCGCGCGGTGGATCGAAGCGTCCGCGCGAACGACGCGACGACGCGACGGCGACGACGACCGCCGCCGGCGCGCGCTCGAGGCGAAGTGGACACGTGGACAGACGTCACGCTGCCGCTGAGCGAGGACGCGCGCGAGGCGTTCATGCGAGAGTATTGGCAGAAAAAGCCTCTGCTGATGCGGCAGGCGATACCGAACTTTCGACCGCCGCTGGATGGGAACGAAATCGCTGGTTTGGCGTGCGAGGAGGACGCGAGCGCGCGCATCTTCGTGCGCGAGGGGGACGACGAGCAGTCGTGGAGGAAGAAGATTGGACCGTTCGAAGAAAGTGATTTGACATCCTTACCCGAAGACAAGCCGTGGAGCCTGATCGTTAACGATTTGGACGTGCAGGCGCAACCGTTTGGGGACATGTTGGAACTCTTCAACTGTTTTCCGCGTTGGCGAATTTCTGATATTCAAGCGAGCGTATCACCGGACGGCGGGGGCGTAGGACCGCACTCCGATCACTTTGATGTATTTCTTCTTCAAGCCGAAGGCGAAAAAGTTTGGGCCGTGGCGGATAACGAGGAGTACTGGCCAGATAATGATGCGGCATTTGTCCCAGAATGTGAAATTCGCGTGCTCAAAAGCTTTGTCGAGGACGATTCCTTCACGTTGGTTCCGGGTGATATGCTTTACTTGCCCCCCAAAATCGCTCACAACGGCGTGGCGACGAACTCAAAACCAGGCGTGAGCGTAACGTTGAGTATAGGCTTTCTAGCGCCGACGACGGATGAACTCGTCTTGTCTTACACGCAACGAGCATCTGAAAAATTGAAGGGCTCGCGTTGGTCCGATCCTTGGCTCAAACCGGTCGAAGACGTCGGTGCAATATCCGCTGAATCTATCACGTATGCATCGGAGATAATTAAGCGCACGTATCCGAAGAATGATGCCGAAGTGGCGCGTTGGTTTGGTTGTCACACGACGGCGCGCACCGGCGAGGACGACGACGCGGACGAGAACGAAGTGAGCATCGAAGAACTATTAGCGGCTTGGGAACACCAAGGTCTAGTCGCGAGAGAAGATTTACGCTTCGCTTTCGTGGAAAAGGTTGCGGATGATAGTTTGAAGAACGCGCTGTTTTTCGCAAACGGAGAATGTTGGGATGTCGTCAGCCCGGCCGCTGTGAAAACAGCCACCGTCATCGCAAATAGAGGCGAGCTTTACGAAGAAGACACGCAGACGGAGGAGTGTGATTTCGATGATGAAGCCTTAAAGCTCGCACTAACGCTATTTGAGCGTGGTTATCTCTATTTCCCCGAGGATGAAGACGATTAATGCTATTCCTAGTGTCCTATTGCGCCTCTCGGCTCTTGTCAATCCCCGTTCCCCAAGTACCTCGCGGCGCGTCGCTATATGAAGCTGGATCCATTGGATCGAGCGGCTCAGATTCTTTCCTCGCCGGCGCGCGCGCAGCGATAGCTTTCCTTTTCGGTGCACGTTCATGATTCGAGTTGCCCTGCGCGCCCGACGGACCGATGTCTCGCCGCACGCTCGCCGGTTTGCTCACGGCGGAAGCCTTCGTCTCGACTCGCGCCGTGCCCGTCGCGGTCGATGCTTTCGCTCGCTGTTGTTTCGTCATGAATGGGTTATCGACGACGTCCAATGAACTCACGCCCGGAGGATACCGACCCAAAATTCGCGAGCAGTGTAAACAGTAACCGTGCGCCTTCACGAGTCCGCGCCCGAATCCGCCGCACCCCGAGCACCTTCGCATCCCCACCGCCGTCGCACCGTCGCGCGGTCGCTCCCAAGACGTTCTCTGCGTGTGTGGATTAAAGAAATATTCTCTTCCACTCGCCGGATCCGTCGTCGCTCGCCATCCCGGCGGCAACGGCGTCGCCGCCGGCGGCGGCGGCGGCGGCGGTCTCGTCTTCTCCGCCTCCACAGGTCGTTCCCACTGCGTCTTATTCAGCGCTTTGTTGTAGTAATACGTCTGTCCGTACGTCGGATCGACTTTCGCTCTCCACCCTCGCGGCAGCTTCGCGTCGACGTCCGTTCCCGTCCCATCCTCGTCCTCGTCCTCGTCCTCGTCCTCGCGTCGTCGCTTCGTCGTCGCGTCGTCGTCGTCGCCGTCGCCGTCGCCGTCGCCGTCGCTCGGCACCGCGATCCCTCGCTTCGCCAGTCGCGCCAGCAGCGCTTCCGGGAGCGCGCCCATCGCGTCGCGCGGTGCCGACCGGCCGGGACGCCCGACGGGGAGTCAAAACACCCGGTCGCGCGGTCGCGCCGAAACACGAACGCGAAAACGGTCGCGACGCGGCGGGAAACGCACGCGACCGACGCGTTCGAACGAGCGAGCGAACGCGCGCACACGCGAGCGCGCGAGCGACCGCGCTCGCGAACGAAAGGCGTCGACGGCGTCGGGTCGGGTCGCGCCGACGGCGAACGGCGAACGGCGAACGGCGAACGGCGAACGGCGAACGGCGAACGGCGAACGGCGAACGACGGTTCGAGCGGGCGCGCGCGCGCGGAATCGAGTCGACCCGCGCGAGCGATGGAAGAGAGCGATGGATGCGCGACGTCGCGAGACTTTGCGAGCGTGAAGATGGAATATTTTAAGACGCGCGCGCGCGAGGCGCTGGGGAACGGGAACTATAAGGAGGCGTACGCGACGTACACGAAGTGTCTGGAGGAACTCGCGCCGAGGGACGCGGGCGAACGCGCGAAACTGCTGTGTAACCGTTCGATGGCGTACGCCAAGTCTGCAAACTTTAAAGCGGCGCTGGAGGACGCGTCTGCGGCGGTGTCGTTGATGCCGACGTTCGCCAAGGGGTGGTGGCGCAAGGCGACCGCGCACGTGGGGCTGCGACAGTTCCCGGACGCGCTCGCCGCGTACAGGCAATCGTTCGAATGTCAGGACGAAGGCGACGCCGGCGTGATCGACGAGCACGTGAAAGCGATGAATAAAACGATCACTTCATTTACGCGCGAGCAACTTGCGAACTGGATTCTTGAAACTCTGCAAGACATGGAGAATCGCGAGCTCATCGAGCACGCGCACCTCGAAAACGTCACGTCGTTGGAGATGGCAGAGGGAATGTTTTGTCAAATCAAAGGCATAAATGAAGGAAGCAAGCCGCGCGGCGACTACTATCGGTTCGTACAACATTGGAACGTACACGGTATGAGCGTGCCGATGGCTTACACCCAGCGTGCGAGCATGTACCGCCACGCGTTGTGCTTTATGCAAGCTCGCGCCGACGCGGCGGCGGCGTTGACCTTGTTACAAGACGACGCATCGCTTTCTGACAAGGAAACGGAGATGACCTTCACGTACAAAGTCGATGACTTCTCGCCTTTCAAGGAAGATACAGTCATCACCAAAGCTTGGGCGTGGTACGAGATGGGCAAGGCTTTTGAAGGGCGCGAAAATGGTGACACGCAAGCGGCGGCGAAGTGCTTCTCGGCGATAACGCACTTGGACACCAAGTATCCGATGTTCACGAACGCCTTCAAGAATGTGTGCAGTCGTATGACTGATGTCGAGGCTGGGAAAATATTGAGCGACATCAACGATCAGTACGGCGTGGCGGAGTATGGCGTGCGCACCGTTCCCGACGCTTTGGCAACTTACGTGGTCACCGTCAGCCTTCTCTTCAAAACTGGCAAGCTCGTCGGCTTCAACTCTAAAGTGCGAGACTCGTTTCGAGAAAACGTCGCGAAGGGTGCGAATGTCATCAAAGAAAAGGTACTCATAGAAAGCGTGCGCTCAAGGTTTCGTGGAGCGCCTGGTGTCGCGCTTTCGTATCGAATTCTCGCCGGCGAAGATAAATTAAACTCCGAGGTACGTGTTTGATATCCGTCGTTCGGCGGCTGGTATTCACGATGTTAGCGCAGAAAATGCTCGAGAAAATTCAAGCACACGATTTGATGTTACTGGGTGGCGCAGAAACGGAGGCTGCGATGGGTACGGCGAGCGACGTGCAAGGTGAGTTAATTAAATGGAATAAATTGATGAGGAATTAAATAATTCATCACGTAGGCGAGCTCAAGGAACTGAAGTCGGAGGACTTGGTAGATCGCATCAACAACTTACAAGGAATTATCTTATCGACATTAAAAAGTGGCAAGGAGATCGTAGTCGCGAAGCGACCACCAACCGACATGGAGCTTCCTTACAGAACGTACAAATTAGTTTACAACGACGGCACCCCGGTCGAACGAGTGAACAAAACGGGCTATCAAATGTCACAAGTGCACTACTCGGCGCAAGGAATGCACAAACGCGAAGTATGGGCTGAGATGATGGTGCGAACGACCGCAATTAATTATTTACAATTAAATTAAATTTGACACAGGACAAGTCTTGCCGATGGCACCAGAGCTCATCTGAGATAGCCGTTCAAGCGTTACAAGTGCCGAAGGACGCCAAGAAGCAAGATTTGGATGTCTGCATCACGCCGTCGACCGTCAGAGTGTCATGTCGAAACACTGGACGCACGTACCTAGAGGTGATTTAAATTAATTATTTCTCGACACGCAATTATTTACAATTCATTCGCTATCAGGGAGAGTTATTTCGACAAATCATACCAGAAGAGTCTGCGTGGGTTCACCTTGGTACGTGACAAATTAAATCAATCTTCACTATCGTTTCGCGATCGAAATTAATTATTTTGCTTCAGGCGGAGAGGATGACGACGGTTTCGTGTTGTACCTGAAGAAGATGAACCTGGAGCTTTTCAAAGATAAGAACGCCGCGCCCAGTGATAGCTGGTGGGAACGGCTGTTTAATTCTCATGGAGATATTGCATTCGATGACTACGATAAGGATTTCACGGATCTACCCACTCCTATCGCTGAGGTGAGTGTGCTTGTTTGTTTGTATCTCCTGTTTGAGCACCGCACTGACCAACTGCATTGCGCCCGACATAGTCCATCGCAGCCGCCGAAGATGCGTCAAGTGTACTGCAGGCGAGAGAAGAGGAAGAATATAAGGAGCGCGAAGCCGCACGCGAACGTGATGACCTCCGAAAGCGCGAGAGACAAGTGCGCCTGGCTGAACTTCGCGGGGGCAAGTATTTGTCGTGGGTTGAGCTCGACAGACGCAATCCCGCGCCGAATCCTCTGGCACAACGCAGCGAGCCTGCGTAATTCCAGTATGTTTTCCACGATTTTGCCTCAAAATGACCATAACCAGCGCTTGTCGTGAAAGTTACTAATTTGTGCTTGAATTCTCGCCCGGTTGAACGAGCCGTCTAGACGTCCACGCGTTTGTCCCGTCGACACACGTCGAACTGTGCGCGAACTCACGCCTTTTTCACTGTCCATAGCCAACTCCAGTATGTTTTGCTCGGATTTACTCCGTATCTTGCCCGTGGATCCGCCATGATCCGGAGCAATACTTCAACGACCCCCATGTCCTGTGTCACGAACTTGGGCACCTCAGCCGTGTGCATGAATGTGTGTTCGCGGATGAACACGACGGCCGTCGCGAGCAAAGACAGTAGCATGCATACCGTAGAAATTGAGAAAAACATCGAAAGACAAAGCAACATGCTTTTCAAGTCGAAAAGAAGCACCTCTTCACCGAATAGATGACTGCACAACATCGTGTTGAAGCCCAAAATAGTGGATTGCCAAACCATGCGGTACCCCACAGTCCAGCACCACGCCTTCATGTAGCACCCCTTACAAGACGGACTGATCGTGGCAAATAGAAAATTACCGCGATATTTGATGAAATTGTCGAGTTGAACTCGTGCGAGCCTTGGTTTATCGTCTATTTCGCTGGCTTGCATCGCAAGTCTGTGTTCGAGAATCGAGTCGCCAACGACGGTGTGTAGTATGGGTGGATCTCCCTGCGCGATAGGTGTGAGCGAACGTGTTCAGGGTGAAAAGCGAAAAGTCTTACGTGATAATAACCATTATGAGACACGATAGAATGACAGATCGGACACGTTCCAGAGCCCTCTTGTCCTGTGAAAGGACACATCAATTTTGACTCTGCTTTCGTCAGCTCGTCGGAGTCTTCCAGTAGTGGAGCGGCGTTTTGCCATGGCTTTGTGTCGAAAACGGCACGAATTCCCTCGTATCGACCGGTTTCTAGCAAAACGAAACACGTAACGCTAAAAAACATCATAAACGACGACACCAAGAGCGTCCACCATTCTGCAAAGTGTCGTGAGTGTCTCGAGTTTGACTGCGACATGGTCAACTCACCACAAAAGCTGTACAAGGCCGTGCTCTTTGGAGCCGTTAGGGCCGCCGCTAGGGCTGCAGTTGCGCTGATCGGGACTGAAATCTTGCCTCTCAAGGCATTCATGATGCCAAAAGGCTGCATCATCACTTGCATAACGGTCATGGTTGGAGGCAAACTGTGACGTTCTCCCCTCGTTTCCAAAATTGAGACTTGATTAGACTCGTCTTGAGCGCGTGCGTCATGGGGCGACAATTTCGCGCGTGCATCGATTTATCGATTTGTGAGTGAAGTAAATTATTACGGTGTAAGGAGTTGCGATGAAAGTTCGGGATGATTCTCATCTCACATTCAAACGATCTAAAGTTCTACTTTTCCATTTCCTCGACCCACTCCGGGTTCTTCTTTAAGATGACAACTCCCTCTAAAACAGGAGTCAAAGGAATGTATTTCTCGCTCGCCAGCTCCGCTCGATCGCCAACTGACAGAAGTACGGGAGTGTTATGTGTTTGGAAGCCAGTGATAGTCTTTGGTCGCCCAGCCTGTCCCACGACGTCAACAGCTTGACCGACTCGAACAGACACTTGCAACGGTTCCCCTTGTTCATCCACAGTCATGAGCATGCGCGGTTGGGCAGCGACAAACAAATAGTACAGCATGTAGTGATGCTTACCCAAAATCGTATGCTTCATGTCGAGTCCCGCAAAGGCGGTGATGATCAAACCAGCAAGTGCGACGTTTGACACCAGCGCTCGGTCCGAGTGCGCCGGAGAAAGCGTGAGCAAGCCCTTACCCATATGCACAAGACCCTGTGAGACACGCACGAGGAACAAACACGACGGCTCCTTGTAGTAGTAACTACTAAGTTGTCGTAGCTGCGAGGCCAAGCGCGCGTTGTTGGTTCCCGCTCCAACAATACCGAGGGCAAGGCACGCGGACTGCGCGACCTCTTCATTGCTATCGTGACTGAGTCTACCAAGTAAATCCGTGACATCAAGCTTCGGGTTGGAGGTGTGTAACAGCGCAAATGCGAGAGGAACGGCTTTCTTTACTGCCGCGTCACCATACTGAATAAGGTGATCGTACGCACGGACCGCCATGTCTGCTCCAAGTTCTTCGCCCATGGCAACGAGAGCGATGCCCAACACAGCGACACTCTGGGGATCTGCAATCCATTCATCGCCTTCGTCAGCCTCCGGGTGCTCGCCGCACTTCGCCAAAAGAGACTGAATTTTCAACACATTACCACTACCGGCGTACGCGCACACGTCCAGCACAGTTTGTAAATATCCGCTGATTCGCGCCGGGAGAGTTTTCGCAACTTCCAATGTCGCTTCCACTTCCGCTTGACGCTGTAAGAAAAGTAAACCTAAACCTAGGCACAAAAAGTGCACAAACGTATTGTCGAGTTCTTTCTCAGGCCGCATCATCAGCGTTTGGACGATGGTCGACACAGACTCTTCGTGGCACGTGCCGCAGAAGACGAGGCCAAGCGACAGCGCTGCGAAAGCAACGACTTCCAACGGAGCACTGTCATCGTGAATCACCTCCGTGAGAAGCTCGGAAACTTCTTCTTTTTGAGTACCAGCATATGCCAAACCAAGTCCCATTATCGCACCGATTCTTACTGCGGAGTTTTCCTTGGTCACGCTCTCGTACAACAAACCGTAAGCGGGATCGCAATCGTTCCGCACATTAGTGTTGATGAGACCAACGGCAAGCAAGCCACCCGCAACGATGTTCGGTTCCTCGCTATAGAGATAAGCATCGACTTGCGGTAGACCGCCTTCAACGTCCCAAAGCAAGATGCTCCCAAGGCTAGCAGCTGCTGACATTTTACCGTGATCTTTGTTTTTGAAAATCCAGCTCACATTAGATGTGGAACCATCCGCGGCTTCTGAAGAAGTTAAAAGCTTATCTTGTCCGAAACCGGCGTTCACGAACGCGTTCACGAATGTCGCTGCGAGGTTAGCACGAGCACTATCCACTGCGGCGCCCGAAGGAGCGCGAACTTCCATTAAATGCGATTTGTAAATGTCCTCGGGTAACTTCGCCTCCATGACATCCAAGTCACGCGCCAGCATCAAGTAGTTCTTTGTCAAGTCTGAGTGACTCATGATGTTCTGCAGCATATCCAGGTTATCTTCTTCAACCTCACACGGGCCTTCATCGAGCTTCAACGGATGGCCGTGACGGGCCAACATGTAGCAAAGTTGCTTCTTGATGGCCAAGTTGGTGCACGCGTTGAACGTCTCTTCGATGATGCTCTGCTCGCAGAGCTTGAGCGCAACTCGCATAGCGTCTGGCATCTTCCCAACCTTCATGAAAATCGCATGCGCCGTCTTCAACACGATTGCATCTTCTGGCTCAGGAAGATAGTTGGCACAGCTGAACAGGTACAAGCATGTCCTCGAATAGTTGGCGTCGTTCACGTTGTCGAGCAAAATGTCGAGCTTCTCAACTTCCAATAGTAAATCGACAGCCTCTGGCTCGGCGTTGTGTTGCATGTGAAAAGGAACGATTTCGTGCACCAAACCCATGAGATCTTCCATCGAAGCCTTGTCCCCATCTTGCTCTATGCGACGATGGTATTCAGTGCCGATCTCTGCGGCGAGATTACGCACATACTCGTGTCCCCAGTTCCCGATGTCCTCCTTTGACCCTAATAATCTGTACTTCAACGACTCTGGAATTTCCCCAGCCACCGGAGCGTTGGTCATGGACAACAAGGAAATGATATCCGCCAGCAGTAACTTGTTTTCTCCATTCTTCGTTTTGTCGTACACCTCCTTCAAGGTTTGCAAGTGCGGTCTCAAAAACTTTAAAGGCTTTGGGACCGAAGTCATCGAACTGTTCGCATCGCCGTAAAGTACCGTATCATTTCGTCAGTATCGCGCATATCACTCACTCAATCGTCGCGTGATCCACGATCGCGTCGTAATCGTTCATGCGACCTCGTCGCTCTCGCACTCGCGCACCTCGTCGCCGTTCGGATCTCGCGTCTCATCGTTTCAAGCGCCAATTTCGCCACCCCCGCCTTCGGATCGCTCGCTCGCATCACCATCAGTTCCAAGTTCTCCTTCAGCGCCGCGTCTTCTTCGCTCAACTCCACCTCGTTCTTCTTATCCTTTCTATTCTTCGTCGTCGATGACTTTCCATCGCCAACGACCCCATCGCCGTTTTTGTCGTCTTTGTCGTCGCCCGCGGCGTTCTTTCCTTTCTTCGCGCTCGCCGCGGCGACGGCGTCGTTGGGTTTCTTCGTCACCATCGCGTGAGTCGGTTAAAGCGTCGCGTCGGGTGACGACGCGTCGACGAGAGCGGCGATCATTTGCTCGCCGATCTTCATAGGCATCCTCAGCTCACCGTCTGCGCTCGTGCCCTGGGCGAGCGCTCGACGACGCGACCTCGCGAGCGCGAAGGGACGCGCGGATGGCTTTAGAAAACGAAAATCGCGAGCAATAATGTAAAAGAAAACCGACAGATGCTAAGATATCACTAAAAAATGCGTCGCGTTTCGTTCGTCTACTCTACGGAAGCCGCCGCTCGCGCGTCGAGCGTCTTGCGCTTGTGCGAGCTCACCGAGGTGTTCGCCTTCATCAACTCCCGAAGAACCATGGTGGCGTAAGAAGACGGGGGCAGAGTGAACTTCACCGTTACGGCACGTAAAGGGCCGTCTTCGATGGTGCGTTCGGTGATGCCATTGATGCGATCGAGATCGGTCAAAACCAAATCCGCCGCCGCGTCCGCGTACGAAATGACGGTGTGCGATACGTTTGTGGGTTTGAGAAAGCATCTACGGTAGTCACCGGTGAATGAGTTGATTGCGAATTCACGAACCGAATGCGTCGTAGTATTCAAACTGATTCCATCCTCCGCGGCGAATCGATCGTAAACATCACCCAAATTTGTTGGGTACGTTATCGAGTTTCCAGGAAGCGGCAGCACCACGAGCGACGAGTCAATCGCACCCAAAGCGGCTTCCTCGGCTGTCACTACGCGAACCCTCGGCATACTCACCCGAGTATCGCCATTCATATCGTCTTCGCCTTCATCTCCGGCACAGTTTCCCTCTTCGAGCACTAAGTCACCTTCGACGACCGTGTTGACTCCGTACTTACGAATGCGCTCCGACACGACACGATTAAACAAGTATGCCTGGTAGGCGTGAATGTACATCAGTCTAATCTGCTTCGGCACGGCCAACAGCGATCCGACCAAGTCCGTGGAGCGAACTTTTGACATGCGCTCGAGCACACAGCGCTCTGCCGCGCACCAGCGTGGCATCAACTTCAAAGTCTCATTGGGATCCTTTGTTTCCATCCATTTCAAGCGCGCCTTCATGACATCGTCGCGCTCGCCTTCGCGCGGCAGCAGCAAAGCGTCGATCGCAGCTTGCCATTCGCCACGTAAAAGTTCAATTCCAATTTTATGCGTTGCGTGTTTGCCCCCAGCGCTACCAAATCTCTGCAAACCGTAGTAGTTGATGGTCCCTGAAGACTTGAGTGCGCGCACTGCCTCCTCCACGTTCCCGACGACGTCTGGGTCGATGCCTCGGAGCGTTATCTCAAACTCGTTCCCGCAATGGTCTCCGAAACCAAGTTGTCTGTCGACATACGTATAGTTACCAATTTTACACCCATAAAGTACCAGCTTGGCCAACCTTTTCGCCCGAACTCTGTGCACGGTGACGTGTTGCGTTGTCACTCCGCGCTTGTCCTTCGTTCCGGCGACGCCAATAGACTTGAAGTTCACCTTCAAGGCCCGGGCTATGACGTTGAGCATCTCGTAAGACTCTTTGTTTTCTTTGCAAAACGCAAATCGCACATGTTCTGGAACGCCTTCGGGCCAAAAGTTTCCCACCGCTCGATGATCCATTGCCTCCACGCGCGTTCGCTTCTTGCCTTGCTTGACGGCGGCATGCACGCGCACGCTCGAAGACGGCTTTTTCAAGTTCTTGAGAGCTTCCTTCTCTTCCTCGTTCGACTCCACGACGTTGTCCGTAGGTAATAAAAAGTGTTTCTTGAAAAATTGATGAATTTGCGTCCGTTTCGCTTTATCCGTCGTCGGCTCGAGCACGAGCGGTTGGGGCGTTTCCGCCTTTCCATCGTGCGTCTTCTGACTTCGACGCGTCACCCCGGGAGTGGCTAAAAATTCTCTCAGTCGCCGCGCGTCCTCTGCACCGCACAGCGCTTCGAATTCTTTCATTGCCTCCTCAATACTCTCTTCTTTATCCCCCTCCACGTCATCCTTCGCCGCGTCCTCGTCCTCCGCTTCGTCGTCCGGCCCGCGCTCGCGTTCCATGGCTTGCACTTTCGCCTTCATCGCCTCAAACTTCTTCCGCTCTCGCGCGTCGATCTCTACATCGCACGTCGCGCTCAGTTCATTCAAAACCACCGCCTCACCGCTCTCGATGTCGATCTCCCGCACGATGAAATCGCTGTAGCGTTCTTTCAGCACACCATCGAATCCGGCGGCGGCGTTGGCGTAGAGCTCGAGGCCGACGAGTCGCTCCTCCACGTGCTCGATCGCGTCGTTCTCGCGCCACGATGCCGACGACGGCGCGTGCGACATCGTTCACGACCGCTCGACGCGACGAAAGGTGACGCCGAACGCGCTCGCGCTCGTCGCGACGCCGCGCGCGCGAGTGTGACCGCCCAACAAACTCGTTCGAGACTGTTCGCCGCATTGTTCGCCGCGCGCGCGCGATGGGCGCTTCGATCGAGGGCGAGGTCGATGAAATAATCGCTCGTCATCGCGCGTGCGTGTTACGCGGACGCGCGTTCTTCGTCGCGTGGCACGGGACGCTGACGCTCGCGTTTCAAGCTTGGAGCGAAGATTTCGCGAGACTCAAGCGCGCGCTGAACGAGATCGACGCGATGCAAGCCGAGGCGTTCGGATCGAAGTGGCCGAAAATTTCATTGGGGTGCTTGAAATCAGACGACGCGGGGGGGAGGTTGACGATGGAGGAGTACGAAGCGTTGCGCGACGTCTGCGATGGCTTTCGCGGTCGAGCGGAGCGCGACGCTCGAGTTCGAGCGAGCGAGCTGAAAGTCGTGGTTTTTGGTTCGAGATGCTGCGAGCGACGCGTGAGCGTAAAGCGCGTGAAACTGCGCCCAGAGGAATGCGGTGAGGAGGCATCGAGGGAAAGTGTAGCGCTCGTTGAGTCTGTGCTAAGTGAGGGACGGCGTGACGAAGAATACTTAAATCGCGTCAACGCGCCGGGGCATCGAGCGTGTCATTACGAACAAGGAAGCGGTGTCACGCTCGTGGCCGACGCTCTCGAAGGAAACACCTCCGACGTTTCTGATTTGACAGCGTTGCTGCTCGAGTTTCGGAGCGCGGTTGAGAAAATATTACCGGGACGCTTCCGTTGGTTTCGAGACGATTCTCTGCACGTCACCGTGCGCGGTCTCGTAAACTAGACAAATAGAGTTAGAAAAAATAGGGCATTGTTTTAGACTTACATTCGATCAACATAGAAATCATTTTCTTCGTCATACGCGATGACGTTATCAGCAACGCGCGCGGGATCAACAATCATGGGCCCGCGAGTCATTCCTCGCGCGGTCGCGGACGATCCGGCGTAATCGGCCACGCTGAGTGCCACGCGTTGCAAAATATCCCATTGCCACGACGACGCATTAGCGCCCGCACCACCAAATAATGTCGCCGCCGGCGACGGTTGCTTAAGCTGGACGCTAAAAATTTCGGCGCCAGCGCTGAGGAGGTCGAGAAGGACATCGTCAGACGTTTTGAGTTTGTCCACCAAATTTCTCGACAGCGCATCTTTGCCAAACCACGTCTCGCCCGTCGCGACGTTGTCAATGTCCAAAGTCGGTCTATTTTCGGCGACAAAACCCTTGAAGAGCACCAAAACGTCTTCGATGTCCTTCTTTGACTTTTCCAAGTCTTCCTCGGTGACCTTCTTCGTGGGCGTCAAGGTTCGCTTGAACTTGCCAGCGGTGACAGTTTGAAATTCGATACCTTCCCGTTGAAGCCGCTCGTAGACATTAGGTTGCTCGCTAATGACACCGATAGAACCGAGAACCGCGAACGGAGACGCAACGATTTCGTCGGCCACGCAAGCCATCATGTACCCACCAGAGGCGGCGACTTGCTCGACACAGATGGTCAGCTTGAGACCGGCGTCTTTGATTCGCATCAGCTGCGCAGCGGCAAGCCCGTAGCCAGTGACCGTACCGCCACCCGTATTCAACCGCAAAACAACTTCATCACCTCGTTCCTTTTTCGCCGAACGTAACAAACCAGTGACTTCTTCACGGAGCTGTTCCGCTTGAGATGCGCGCACGTCGCCAAAAAAGTTCAACACAAAGACATGCTTCTTCTTTATCTTCGAGTTTTGGTCCGTTTCCGGGTTCAAAGCGAGCACGTCCGCGTTCATTTGCCAACCAGCAATTTCGCGTGGGTCAGACAGCAATTTCATGAGACTCTCGCGGCGAGCTTTCGGCAACGCCGCGCCGACGGTTTGCAAGTACGCGTCTTCAGCGGCGGCGCGGTCGGCGGTCAATTTGCTGAGCTTCTTGGTCAAACCCGCGAGCTTATCGCCACCAAACGGATTCTTGAATCCACTACTTTTCGTTTCACCGTCCGGCTCGGACTTCTCGGAATCTTCGCTCTCGGTGTCGCTCTTTGCGCGCTTTCCGCCAGATTCCAACGACGTCGCCCGCATTTGAGCCAAAAGCTCGTTCATCTGGTCCATCAAACGCTTGTCCGTCATCGTCCACTTCTTGTTCGCTTCGAGAATGGCATTGCACTCGTCTTCGCTGAGCGATCCGAGGGCGGCGCCGAACTTTTTGCTGAATTCCATATTCTTGCGGCGTCGTTCGGCTTGCATTTCGCTCACCGTCGCCGCTTCAAACGACAGCGAATATCCGTCGAGTTTATCATTCATGCGCTTGATCTCCAAGTAAGGCTCCGTGCGCGGTTTCGCACCCGCGCCCCCTTTGATGAAACCGAAAGGTCCGCTACCCTTCTCGCGGTCCCGTCTCCCTCCGCGTCTCGAAGAAGCAATCAGAAAAAACGCGCCCGCCGCGACCGTCGCGCTCGGCACCCCCCACGAGATGAGCGTCTTCAGCGTGTACAATCCCAACTCCTTCGCCTCGGGCGTGCTCAACGCGTTCGGAATCCACGCGAACAACCCCGCGACGAACGCCGTCGCGCCGTGCGCGTCCGCCGCCGCCAGCGCCGGTTCCGCCGCCGCCGCGCTCAGGAACATCGCCGCGCTCAGGAACATCGCCTTCGACACCGCTCGCGCCGTCGTCGTCGTCGTCGTCGTCGTCGTCGTCGTCGCTGTCGCGACTTCGCCCTTTTTCGCCCCGATCGCGTCGACGACGACCGCCCGCCGCGTCGTCGCTCGTCCCGTCGTCGTCGTCGTCGTCTTCATCTTCATCTTCATCTTCATCGTCTTCGTCATCGCGCGCGTCGTCGTCGCGCGTCGTCGCGCGAGCGCGCCCGCGAGCGCCGTCGAGTTCCGCGTCGTCATCGCCGTCGTCGTCGTCATCGCGCGCGTCTTCGCCCCGACGCGATGTGGCGTCGAGCGCGTCTCGTCGATGCGCGTGACGTCGCGCCCACACACCCGGGTGTGTGAATCCGGCGCGAATCTGGACGCGCCCGGTCGTCGCCAGATCGCCGCGGCGCGTCGACGCGCGCGCGCCGTCGCGGCCGCGGTCCGCGCGATGACGACGTCGGTGACGTCGGCGACGCGATGCGCGCGCGCGGGCGACGCGATGCGCGCGCGAAGATCGCACCGCGCCGGAACGTCGTCCCGGTCGTCGACGCCGACGCGACGCGTCGTCGCGGCGCGGCGCGGGCGTCGACCGGCGCTCGCGTCCGACGACGCGACGACGACGACGGCGGGGACGGGGACGGGGACGGGGACGACGCGCGCGGCGACGACGGCGCCGCTGGCGCACGAGCTGGTGCAGGGCGCGCTGGTGCGTTGGAGCGTGGAAAAACCGGACGGACCGCACCCGCCGACGTGCGTGCTGGTGCACGGAATCCTGGGCTCGCGAAGAAACTTGCAATCGCTCGCGAAGCGCCTGGCTGAAAAGTTTCCGTCGTGGCAGTTTTTGTTGGTGGATTTGAGAAATCACGGGGAGTCGAACACGGCGCTGGAGAAGAAACCAGAGGGCGCGAACACGGTGCAAAACGCGGCGAGAGACGTGCTGGGGGTGTTGAATCATTTAAAGATATATCCGTACACGCTGATCGGGCACTCGTTCGGGGGGAAGGTGGCGATGTCGATGGTGCACCAGTTTGGACGCGCGTTGCCGCGGCCGGTGCAGGTGTGGGTGCTGGACACGGTGCCGGGAGACGTGTGGTGCGATGACGTCGGAGATCACCCGAGAGATACGATTCGGTTCTGTACCACGCTCGATAGACCGATCGAAAGTCGCAGATCGCTCGTGGAGTCGCTCACGGGGGCTGGATTCACCGTGGAAGGCGCGCAGTGGATGACGACGAATTTACGAGCGGATGGGAACGGGAAATTCGATTGGACGTTTGATTTGGATGGCATCGCGGAGATGTACGCGTCGTACGAAGCGTGCGATTTGTGGCCGATGGTTGAGACGCAACCCGCGGGATTGAGCTTAGATTTCGTACAAGCAGAACGGTCGGCGTTCGTGTGGACGCCCGAGGACGTGGCGCGCATTCGCGGCACCGGCGCCAACGTGCACTTGCTGCGCAACTCCGCGCACTGGGTGCACATCGATAACCCGAACGGGTTGCTAGACATTCTGGCCCCTTCTTTCGAGAACATGGAGCGCAACTCGAAGGCGCGATGAGGAAATTGTAATATATATTTTGCGCGCCGCTCGCCGCGCCGACGCCCGCTTTCATAACAACGATTCCATAAGCTCCCGATGGCTCTATTACGTTAACCTCCCATGCGAATGCCGTGTTGAGACGAATCTTTCAGGTCCAGATCACCCGTATCGCTCACCAACGGTTCTCCCGCGCCTTCGCACTCGATGCTCTCGCCGTCAAACGTCACCGCGCACGCCTCGTCGAGATCCGCGACGTTGACCACGACGTACGTGCCGCTTTCGATGCCTTCGCACACGAGTTCACCCTCTCCCGTGAGTTCGCACCGCACCTCGCATCCGCGCTGTCGCTCGCTGTCGCACCTCGGCGCGTTCCCTTTCCCGTCGTTTCGCGCGCCCGCCCACCACGCCGATACCTGGTACGTCCCGCTCGGAATGTCCCCCTCCGCCACCATCACGCCGTCCTCGCGCACGACGCAGTTGTACCCCTCATCGAGCGATGATTTCGACACCCCACCGCTCGCCGCTCGCGCGCGCGTCGCCCCCCCCCCCCGTCGCGCGCGTCGTCCCATTCGCGTCGTCGCCCTCGTCGTCCCCGTCGTCGTCCGCGTCGCCGTCTTCATCGCGCGCGACGCGCCGGTCCACCGTCGTTTCGCGCGTTCGCGTCCTCCGAAAAGCGCCTCGACGCGCGCGCGTTCGTCGCGTCGGTCGCGTCGCCGAGTCCCGCGCCGCGCCGCTCGACGCGTCGCGCGATCGGCATCCGCGTCGAGCGATCCGACGCGGATCGCGCGACGCGCGAACGAATCGGGCTTAGGGTTTAGGGTTTAGGCGACATCGTTCGCGTTCGTCGTTCGTCGTCGTCGTCGTCGTCGTCGGCCCGGCACCGCGCGACGTCGGGACGTCGGGACGTCGGGCGCGGTATGAGCGACCGCGCGCGCGCGCGCGCGGCGTCGGTGACGCGGACGAACGCGACGGAGACGACGACGCATCGCAAGGTGCGCGTGCTCGTGATCGGCGACTCGGGGGCTGGGAAGACGACGCTGACGCGCGCGCTGGTCGGCGGCGGACGACGCGGGAGGGAAGAGCACGGACGAACGAGCGGGTGCAGCGCGGAGGTGATGCGAGCGAGCGAAGAGGGCGCGGAGGGGACGACGGGGACGCGCGACGCGGCGACGTACTTCGTCGAACTGTGGGACGTGGGGGGACATCGACAGTATAAACGAGAGCGAGGGATATTCTACGATCAGATAAACGGGGTGATAATCGTGCACGATGCGTCGATGCGAGCGAGCGGGGCGCGGTGCGAGGCGTGGGCGCGAGAGGTGGCGACGAGAGGGACGTTTTCGGCGCCGACGCCGACGGCGGAGAGTTTCGCGAGCGGCGAACAGCCGTGCGTGATGTACGGTTTCGGCGGTTTACCGGTGCCGTGCTTGATCGTGGCGAATAAGGTAGATTTAGAAAGCGCCGCAAACGATGGGTTCGGTCGAGGAGATGGACTTTTACGGCGTGCGCTAGACTTTTTTGGCGATAAAAGCCGGCGCCGGCGGTCGATTCTTCCGGAAACCATCGGCGAAGCCGCGCGCGCGAGCGCGTCGGCGGCGCACAGACGCCAACCCTCGTTCGGGGCGACCGCGCTCGCGAAACTTCCACCGGGTGGCGGTTTGCGCACGTCCGCGACGCTCGGTCGTATAGACGTGGACGTCATGCATGGGTTCTTTCGCGAGCTCGTCCGCCGTCGATACGACGCCGCCGTGATCGACGCCGGCGCTTCGCGCACGTCCGAGCGGCTTTTACACGCCAAGCCCGCCGCGCTCGTGGATGATGATCTCGACGACTTAACCTAGCCCTCGCCGCCCGGCGTACCTTAGCAAATTAGCCGTGCCATAAGCACTAAGCACTCTTTGACGCGCGCGCGCTCGCCCTCGCGACGCGGATAAAGATGACTTGGACGCCATTCATCGACGCGTCGGACCATGTCATCGCGCGCCGCCACGCAGTTGACGGCAACGTCACGCGCATCGTCAGCGTCCTCGCGCAGCGGCAGACGCTCGCTCGCGCGCGCGTCGGCGTCGCGTCGCGTCGCCGCATCGTCGTCGACGTCGACCGCGACCGACGGCGTCGGTTTCAGCGCCGCTGGTTTCTTCTTTCCGTACCACGTCGGCGTGTGGGAGGAGCTCGTGGCTCTAAAAGTCATGCGCAGCGACGAGACGCCGTGCGCGGGCGCATCCGCGGGATCGCTCGTCGCCGCGATGCACTGCTGCGGCTTAACGCCGGCGGATGGGAAAAGAATTTTAATGGACGTCCTGGCGGATTGTCGAGCGAACGGGGTCGTCGGACGCGTCGGTGCGGTGCTAGAAAATGCGCTGAGGAAAGAACTTCCGAGCGATGCGCACGAGCGGTGCTCGCGTGGGAATTTATTCATCAGCGTATCGTCGCCGATGATGCGCGATGGGAAATTTGCGTTGGACGGCGAACTCGTGTCAGCCTTCGAGAGTTTCGACGATTTGGTCGGGGCGCTCCTGGCGTCGTGTCATATTCCGTTGTATTGTGGGTGGCCGGCGCGAAGGTACCGAGGTAAGTGGTGCGTGGATGGGGGATGGCATAATTTAACGCCGACGCCTCCGGGCTCCGAGCGAAGCGTTCGCGTGTGTGCTTTTCCGCTTCTCGACGCGTGGCGCAAAGCTGAACCTGGAGATGGCAAAGAGTCTGGTGATGTCTTCGCGCAACAGGCTTCATTCTGGGCGGGATGGGGCGATGATGACGCGCGAAACTTGCTCGTGGCCCCGGACGCCGCAGGCGGGAAGCCAGAGTGGGATTACTCGGAGGCGATTCGCTTTGCTCTACTGCCGGGTTCGAATGACGTCTTGGAGGAGATGATCGTCATGGGTCGCATGGACGCCAGGCGTTGGGCGAAGAGCGTCGGGTTCGATGTCAAACTAGCGATGAGAGGTGCGGTAGGCGAGTCTAAAATCACTATGTAATACTAAGTAGTGCTAGTGCGTTGAATCGACGATTTGCGACCAAAGCGCAAGCGTCACGTCGTCGCGTAATTCTAATAATGTATCCGTCGCTACTTTCGAATACTTACCGTTCAAATTTCTGAGCAGACACGACACCAGTGTTTCCATCATGCCGGATAACTCGCCTCGCAGGAGATGCGACAAAGTATATGGAAGTGCGAGAATGCACTGCTCTATGGATGTCATCGACAGGAGCGCCGACGTCGGTCCCCACGCTGCGGCAAGTATAGCGATGCATGGGATCGCATCGACATCGGTGAGATTGGCGGCTTCGTGTATCATTTGTGCTCGAAGTGAGTTTGATGATGTGGTGAGATGACCTACCATCGCTCTCAAAGTGACCGTCCTCGTCGCCTTTGGCCAAGTCGCCAGTGATGTGAGCGTTTCAGACGCAACTTGTCCAGCATTGTATAAGCGAGCGCAGACGATGGGTTTGACGTCGAGCGCGAGCTTCTTCACGACTTGTTCTCGTAATACCGATGAAGTAAATTGACTAACGCACGTGGAGACTGCATCAAGCGTTCGTGTATCCGTCAAACTTAAACGAGACACGAGTTCGCAAACTGCCGCTGTAGCTGTTTCGCTTTCAGAGACATCAATCAAACCATTCCAAAGCGACTCCACGCAACCGTCGGACGCGTGCGGTGAAAACGCCATTTGAGTGAATCGTTTTATCGCACTAGCACCGGTCTCAGACCGTAAAGCGCACGCGTATGGAGCGCTCAACATCGCCAAGCGCTGTGTCTCCGGCGCCAGATTGAAGAAGTCTGCATCAGAGAGTGCTACGAGCAATTCCAAGACGTCTCGACCTATTGAAGCTTCCGGGTGCGCACGACACATTCGAAGGCAAGCACACTGAAGCGCATTCTTTTCAACTTTATCCGCATCGCCACTGGAAGTCGCGACTCGCCACCAACGATGCAAGGCATTTGACCAGCCAGCATTCGGTAAGCGAGCGAGCTCTCGCAGTACATCCAACGCCAACGTCGCGCCGTTCAGTTGCTCTCGGGACGGACAACTCACGACATTATCCAAAAGTGCATGCATAATAAATCCAATGATGGTGTCTTTTGGAACAGACGACTTCGAATCAGTTGATCTCGGGCCAATCGTAACGGCAATTTGTGCCGCTCTGTCTGACACCCCAGCGAGCGTCCAAATGGTTAAATCTCGCAACGCTTTCGAAACAATATCGCCTGGCGCGTACGCGATACTTTCTAGCGTCTTCAGAACACGTTTTGCCTCGATCTTTGATTTATCACCGCCCCAGAGCAACGGCGCTGAAAATACCGCACCTTCATCGAATGTTCCGGCGACGCTCACATCGTGGCCGTCCCAAGCGCTGCCCAACACCCCAGACAGGGACAGGACACCAATCGAACGGTCGAACGATGTCGCCATGTCGTCTCGGACCGTTGACGTGACTCTCGCAATAATTTCCTGAACGGTTTGTATCGGAATCGCGCAGCCATGGTCGAGCGTTACACCAAGAATGATGCCGGCGACGGCGCGAATAGCGGGCTGTTCCGAATCATGCGTCGTCCTTAGCGCCTTCAACGCGAGGACCTCACTCTCGGTATTGTGCCTATGATTGAGTAATGACTTCACGGCAACTGGTAGAGCAATACTTCCAGGAAATCTTCCGCACGACGTTGCGCCGATGAGCCAGTTTATGATCGCTAAGGTGTTTGTCATGGCTTTGTCATCTTCGAAGACATCCAAAGCGCACGCTGCCCTCGACAATCCAGTGTAAACTCCACAGACTGCATCGGACAAGTCCCCTTTCGGAGGTGAAATAATGTCATTCGCTGGCTGAACTTTCAAGACATCTATAAACGGTTCACCGAGCGCGACCAAGGTAGCGCCCAGGAAGCTGTAAATTCTCCTGACGAGATCCAATCGCCATGACGAAGACGAGCCGCCGGGCAAAACGTTCGACGACAACTCGCGGCACATTAAACCAAGAGCTTCCGCGGTAACACCCATCGTCAATGCGCCATCGATACGGCAATCGCTGATTTGCTTCATCATAATTTCAGCAACCTTGTTCGGGCGCTGTGCGTCACCTCTATCCTCGAGAGTACCCGCAGCGAGACCGAGGGCGACGTACAACCCACGCTCGGCGCCCACGATGGATGACTTTTCCTCCAACAGTGAGAGCAATAAATCCACCAATGCTGCACCGAGTCCACCGTTTCCAACCAAAACTGGTGTCGCGAGAAGTAAAGCTATATTTTGTAATTCATCAGGCATGGAAACATCTTGGAGTGCTTCCATGGCCGTGGCGTTAATGCTCGCTCGAACTTCGGCGTACAGCTCATCCAATCCGTTCTCGGCGGTTCTCGCCGAAACTTCGGCGTCGAACCAGCGACGAGCAAAACGAGTCCACGCGCGCGTGACGAGATTGACGTGCCATGAACCACTCCAAAACACTTGCCTTATCGCGCGCTTAAACTCAGTTCGATACGCCTCCGCACGACTTCGCCTCTGGGAATTCTCATCGACTGAACGCGTCGCTTCCGATTTCCCCTTGTGCGGGCGGAACAAAAGTAAGCGAGCGCACGAACACAGCTGACTGTCAAGCAACTTTTTCGGAAGTGTTTGCGTTACTCGATATATGAGCGGATCCGACGGAGGTGGATGCGAGACTTGTTGAGACTCTCGAGCCACTAAGGCAGTGCGAGATAACAAGCTCGCCTCGTGTTTCGTCATCGTCCGAAGCATTCGCGTGGCGCCGACGAACGATTCTTCTCCAAAACTTTCAGACAGCGCGCTCGCCGCAATTTCTGCCGGAGTCGGCGAATCATTTTCAATTATGAACTCTGGATCGTATTCACTCAACGAATTCCAGGCTTCGTGACGAACACGAGCGTCCTTGGACGTTTTGATTGCATTCCATACTGTGTCAATGAGCGTCGCCGTCGCTTCGGGGAACGAAGCGCCGTCGCGACCACCGTGTCGAATCAGTCTGATCCATTTTCGTGCCACAAGTGGGTGCTGCGGAAGGCTAGGTATATGTCTAGTAACTACCTTGAACGCGGGTAAAAAGTCAAGCGCGTCGTGCGCGCACATGCTGTCAATCGCTTCGAGGGCGAGCGCTTGCGCCTCGGGCCAATCTGATTTCAAACAGCCTTGCATGGGTATCACCAACTCCGCCGCTCGAAAGGGATGGGCTTTTGCTGCAGCTGCGACTGCGGCGGCGCACCCAACCGTCACTTCGCGTTCGTGAGAATGCGATGCTTCTTCTAAAGCTCCTCGTAAACGAGGTCCAAGCTCACGATTGTGGATCCACATTTCAGCCAATAGTCGCAGCGCCAATGCGTGTAGACGAGCGTCGGGTGACTTTTCCCCAGGATTTGTGCTCATGAGCGGAGATATCGCGCGCAACACGGCCGGCGCAGCCATAAAATTAGAAGCACCAGCGGCTAATGCGTTCAAAGACGCGAGCGTGGACTTCGCGTGACGTGCGTTGGACGATTTCTCGCAAGCCGCTCGCAGGTGCAAGAGCGTCGCCGTGATGTTCGACAAGCCTTGCGGCCGTTTGCCTCCGAGCTTTCTTCCGAGTGTTTCTGCTGCGCACTCACGAATCGAGGGAACCGGGTGAGACAAGCATGCGAGTTCAAGCGATGGAGACCTGACGTCGACGTCGTTTCGAATGCATGCGGCGAGCGTCTCCGTGGCGTCTCCGTCGTCCCAATTCGCCGCAAGTGCGGCGCTCACGAACCCATCTCGAGTGGCGTATCCCATTAGTCTGCTATTTTCGACATTGCGTACCGAATCATCGTTTCGCAGCGTGGCGAGCGAGAGCGCCAAGCGCGCACCCGATTCTCCTGGAAGCATGAACGCTGCCGACGCGTGCATCGCGCCGAGCGCGCGCGCGGGGCCGCTCGTTGGAAAGTACGGCGCCAGAAGTGCCAGTAAAGCAGACGTCTCCTCAGCGCTATGTACAAGCGATAAACATGGTAACAACTCACCACATACACTTACGTCTCCAAGCTCGCTCAATCGCGTCAGCGCGCCGACAAAGGGGACGACGCTGTCGCCGGAGCGCGCCGCCGCGCGCGTCTGTCGCACCAATCCCTCCGCCAGCAACGGTACAACTTCGCGCGCAGACGCGTCTTCGACGTCGAAGAGTCTACACTCGATGGCATCTATGATTTCCGCCGCCGCACACGCAATCCACGACCTTGACTCACTCGTGGGCGCTCGATACGCCCCGAGCGCCTCGACGCACACCCCTAAAACCGCGCGCGCGTTTTCCCCGCGCCCGCTCGCGATGCCCATCAATCGCGCGTGCAATAACATCGCGAACGAACTTCGCGGCGCCGGTGCGGGATGTTCCAACAGCGCGCGAAACACAAACTGCCGCAGGGCGTTGAAATCCGAAATCGACCCCCTCGCCAGCTTACTCGCCGTCGCCTCCAACAACCCGGCGCCCGCGTCCGAGTGCGCCTTCAGCGCGCGCACGAGCGGATGCCCACTCCCCCGCGCGCACTCCCCAGCCAACTCCCCATCCCCGAACGCGCAACACAACTCCACCAGCGCTCGCGTCAACGCTCGAACGTTCGCCCTCGTCCTCGCGCTCGCCGCGCCGCTCGCGAGCTCCGTCGCCAACGCGCTCGCGCTCGCGTTCCCCGACCGCGCGATCGCCACGATCCCTCGCGCCAGCTCATCTTGCGCTCGCGCGTGCGTCGTCGCCTCGCACAGCGTCCGCACCGCGCGCGCGACGTCCTCCCGTCCCGTCGTCGTCGCCTCGGCGAGCTCCCGCGCGAGTCCTCTCGCCGCCACGCGCGCCGTCGCGCCGTCGTCGTCGTCGCCGTCGCCGTCCGCGCGCGCGACGTGCGCCAGCAGCGGCGACGGCGCCATGCGCTCGATCGTCCCGCGGCGACCGCGTCGCGTCGCGTCGCGTCGCGAAATCGCGTCCCGTCGCGCGACAGCTCGCGCGGAGGATTTGAATCGACGGCGTCGAATCGACTCGCGCGCGCGTCGCGCACTCGCGCGCGCGGCGATGACGACGGCGAGCGATGCGCCGGGAACGCCGATGCGCGCCGTCGCGGCGTCGACGCCCGTCGACGCCGACGCGACGTCGCCGGGCGTCGTGCGAGAGACGCCGACGAAGACGACGCGGGCGCGCGTCGCGTCGGCGCACGACGCGGAGGCGCGAGACGCGCTGGTGTTCGCGACGGAGACGGAGTGCGAGCGGTACGCGGAAGCGACGAACGGGACGGCGCGCGCGGCGAGCGTGACGTGCGATCCGTTCGTGTCGGGGAAGCTGCGCGAGCATCAACGCGCGGGGGCGAGGTGGATGTATCGAGCGCTGCACGGGATCGGAGAAGACGCGGCGAGCGAGGGCGGGACGCGAGGGGTGCTGTTGGCGGATGAGATGGGATTGGGGAAGTCGTTGCAAGTGCTGGCGGTGCTGTGGACGATGCTGAGGCAAGGACCGTGCGGGAAGCCGACGGCGCGAAGAGCGGTTTTCGTGTGCCCGGCGTCGCTCATCGGAAACTGGGGCGCCGAGTTCACGAAGTGGTTGGGAGGCGTGCGCGTGCAGGCGTCGTTGGCGGAAGGGAACGCCGAAGCCGTGGATGCGGCGTGCGATCGATGGTGCGCAGAACCGGCGAAGGGATCGAAGAGTTCGTTCGATCGGTGGCCGGTGCTCGTGATGTCGTACGAGACGGCGAGGCGCCTGGCGCCGCGCGTGCGGGCGATGAAGCCCGAGCTCATGGTGTGCGACGAGGCGCACAGATTGCGCAACGCCATGGGCTCGCAAACCATGACCGCTCTGCGAGAAATCAACGCGCCCATGCGAGTGCTGCTCACGGGGACGCCGATTCAGAATAATTTGAACGAGTACGCGGCGGTTTTAGACTTTGCGCAACCGGGTATCCTCGGGCCGCTGGAGGATTTTCAGCGCGATTTCACGCAACCTATTCAGAGGCAATACGAGCGAGGCGCGAGCAAGGAACAAATCGCACAAGGTCGCAAGGTTGCGGACGAACTCAATCGACGAACGAAAGGGAAGATTTTGAGTCGGAAATCTTCGACGAATGCGGCGTACTTGCCAAAAAAGACTGAGCTCGTGGTGCTCTGTCGCTTGACGTCCGCGCAGAGGCAAGCTTATGAGGCTGGGGCAAAATTAGTGGAGTCGTGGACGAGTAGCGATACGAGTGCGTCCTCTGGCGCGGCGGCGCTTTGTGCGATTGGAATCTTGCGACAGACAGCGAATGAGGTTGATCAAATCCTCGCGAGTGCCGATTCGCATTCGCAGACTATGACGGATGCGGAAAAGGAGCTCGATGATGAGATGGAGATGGACGCCATCGCGCGCGCAGGGACGTCCGGAAAGTCAGTGGATGATTTAAAAGCTGCTATGGCCAAAGCTTTGCCTCGAGATTACGCGGGAGGAATCGATGGCTCGGGGAAATTTACCATTTTGCGGCGCATGCTCGAGGCGCTCAAAGAGCGCGGTGACCCAACAGAGCGCGTCGTTGTCGTCTCCGGTTACTCTGCATCACTCGCGACTGCGGAAGATATCTGCAAAAAATTAAACGTAACCACTTCGCGTCTCGATGGCACAGTGGCAGTCGATTTGCGTACATCCATCGTCAAGAATTTCAACTCTGGTCAAGGCGGTCAAGTCATGCTGCTCTCCGTCGTCGCTGGCGGCGCCGGGTTGAATCTTGTCGGTGCCAATCGGTTGATTCTCATGGACGTATCTTGGAATCCTGCGCACGATCGACAAGCGATGGGCCGAATTTGGCGCGATGGTCAGACGAAACCGGTCACAATTTATCGCCTTGTCTCTGCTGGCACTGTAGAGCAAAAAGTTTTCGAGCGACAGCTCGGCAAAGAAGTGCTAAAGAATACGGTCGAGAGCGGGTACACGGGTTATGAAGGCGATGGATTCACCACGAAAGACTCGCTCGTGGGTATCGTAAAATTCACAGGTGATGAATTGAGCGAAATCGTCGATTGGGGCCGCCCTTTGGACGTCCACGATGCGTGTCCATTGCTCGGCGCGGCACGTTCACACGGTGCGGCGTTTCAAGTCATCGACGTCGACGATGGTACCGCCGCCGACGAAGCGCGAGCGAACATTCCGAAAAAGGAACCAATCGAAGTTCGCGCTAAAAAGTTGGCCCCAAAGCGCACTGCTTTCGAAGATTTATTTTCCGCAAAACGCGCGAGGTAGTTGGAATAGATAAACTTAGACTTTTCACCCGTACTCACGTTCACCGCACTTGCTGACGCGTCGCGTCGCGCGGCGACGCGACGCGACGTGACGTCACGCGCAATGTCCGAAGCCACCGACGCGACTCGTTCTTCGAGCGGTCTCGCCGCCACGTGCTCGAGAGAACGATCGAGAGCTGCACGAACGGTGCTGAATGAATTCTTTTATCCCGTCGCCGACGGCGCGCGATACGCGCTTGATTTGGGCTGCCCGTTTAGCCACGCGCGTGATTTGTTCTACGAGCACGAGACCCACAAGGAACCGGTGCGACATTCCAAGCTTTACTGGCGCTCGCTGTACAGTGGGAAGGTGTTTAAGAGCGAGTATTACGTCGATAAACACATGGAGCGACGACACGGCGATAAGATTCCATCGACCGCGGACGTGTGTCTGGCTGATTATTGTGACGTGCTGCAGTGCGATAAGCACGCGGAGTACGTGAAGAATGGGCGTGGGAGCAAACCGACGCGGTGCGATGAAGAACAAATGTCCCTCGTGCGAGACAAATGTCATGAAATGTTGACGCAATGCTTTCCAAACGAGAACGGGAGTACGCGGGATAACGCGGGAAAGTTGAATGTATATTTCACCAAGTACTACTGCGATCAAATGACGTGCGCAGACGTCGATGGGGTTTTCGAACTGATGAGCGCTCATCACGATTCGCCGGGAGTCGGCTATTACATCGCTCTGGCTTTTCTCTTCTTCATCGTCGCCATGTATTACTTAACGGTGTACTCCTGGACCAATGGTCGACGCGTGAGCTCGGATATCAAACGCGCGCGCGTTCGAGCACGAGCTTCGTGGTCGGATTATCTCCCGCGACCCGTTGCACGGCGCTTCAACCTTGAGCGCCGAAAACGCAAGACGTATTAGTTAATAGTAAATCGTCGTGAAGGACGAGGAGTAGTGGCGCACACAGTCAACGGACGCATGTGTACCAATCGCAGCTTTTGAACGTGTGAACGCGTGTGTCATCACATTCTCATCAACCCGTCCACGTCTCTCCAGGCTCCTGGTTCACGGCGTGTGCGATAGACGACGCGCTGCGCGAGCTCGAGGACGAGTCGCTGGGGGGAGGCTCGAGGACGAGTCGCTGGGGGGAGTCGCTGGGGCGAGTCGCTGGGGGGAGGCTGGGGGGTCGCTGGGCGTGCGTGACGGCGTGCGCGGCGTTTCTGGGAGACTTGGAACTCGTGCGGTTGGCGCGCGATTGCGGGCACGAGTGGGACGCGTACACGTGCGCGTTTGCCGCCTATAGTGGAAACTTGGAGTGTTTGAAGTATGCGCACGAGCACGGGTGTCCTTGGAACAAGTCGACGTGCGCATGTACCGCCTATACTGGACATTTGGGGTGTTTGAAGTACGGGAGGATGGTCCACGGCGTCGACGTCGAGTCCCACGCCTCGACGTCGGGTCCCACTCGCTCCGCGAGCGCTCGAACGCACGCCCTCCGATCGCGCACTGGACTGCCCTTTTCGCAGTGCAGCGCCACGCACGCGCATCCTCTGTCGTCAACGTACGCCTCGAGGTGTACGCCATCCATCGATTCGTCTCCCCACGCGGGTTTGCTCACGTGGATATACGCCCCCGGTGGGGTCAAGAAACGAGTCTCCCACCCTCGCGCGCGGTCCGCGAACGCGTCGCCGAGACGTTGAAACTCACGATCGAGCGCGGCGCGGTCGGACATGCCAGCGGCGCGCGGGGCAGGCGTCGAGTGAGGTGATTAAATGTCAAACAAATCGTAATAAAATAAAGAAGCGCCGCCGCCTCACGGCGCGCGCGGGGGAAGCGACCCGAATGGACGCGCGGGCACGGCGCGCAGCGGTCGGTGGTGCTCGAAGCGCGCGGGCGCGCGCGGGGCGCACGCGAAGCGCACACATCGTCCCAGGGCGACGCACACGGCACACATGACGTCGGCGGGGGGCTCACGACGCGACGCGGTGTGACCCGACGACACGGGGGGGGCACACGCAGGTTGAGAATCGTGACGACATGATGACGACATTGTGCCGGTTCATGTCGTCGTTTGGTTGTACCGAGTGAAGGGATTGGTCCGTCCAGAACGCGACGCGGCGCGCGACGGGGATCGCGTCGACGGACGACGATGGCTCTCGTCGGGACGCGATGCCCCGAATTCCACGTGATCCAGCTCGCGGCGGACGGCACGCGGATGGAACGGGTCAGTCTCACCGAAGCCGTCCGAGGGGGGCCCGCTGTGATTCACTTTTACAACTCTGGGTGAGGAGGATGCCGCAGGACGACTCTCACGTCGACGTAGTCCCCTAAACGTTTCAACACGTTGTAATTCATTCGAGGTTTTGGTATTCTTCTATGGCGATAAGTAATACAATCAAATCAATGCGTAACTGCTAACTGCCGCGGCGGCGTCTATTCCGTCCAGCGGACGTGTTGACGGTGTGGTCTCGAGCCATCCTGAATCAGTTCAATCTTCCGAATGAAGACTTGCTCTGTGTAGCAGCACGAGCACGAGTGCGTGAGCAAGTGCGTGCATCCGTGTCTCGCGACGAGATCCGCGATGTCCGCGAGCGTGGAGCGCTCGATGCTACTGCACGCCCAGTTCACACGCGCGGGACACGTGGACTCTGGGTCGTCCAACGTGTCGACGACTTGGAGAATCTTATTTTGGAATTGTCGCACGGCGTAATCGGTTCTATTCCACGTCACTCGGTGTTCGTCAAAGTAAATTTTAACGACTTTCGCGTCGGACACGTCGAGCGGATCCGATTTCCCACTCAACGCTTCGACGACATCCTTGTAATCCTTGTCCTTGAAGCGATGCTTCTCGTGCAGATCATCGACGAGGGCGAGCACGCGGTGCCGATCAACGTTCGGGCACACCATGTCCGCGGCTTCGCGGCGGCACGCAATGGCGCGCGCGTCGCGCACGGTGACCGCGTGGGTCCCGTCGCGTCGACCGGTCGCGTCTTGTATGGGAAAATGGCGGGTCCGCTTTAGTGGTATTTGGATCCGTTATAGTGCTATCTTGGGTCCGCCCTCAGTGGTCGTCCGGAAAAAAAGGAGACTATGTCGACACATCTGGACGCGACGGCACGACGACGAAGACGATGACGCGAGCGGCGACGGAAGCGACGACGGAAGCGACGACGACGCCGGACGACTGCGAGGCGAAGAAAGTCGTCGCGGATGCTGCGGAGGTGGATACGAAAATGGACGCCGAGGCGAACGCGTACGACGACGATGCGCGCGGTGCGGGTGGGAAGATGAGAAAGGACGGTGCCGCGCGCGCCCGAACGGGCGCTCGGATGACGCCGTACGCGCGACAGCGGCCGGTGATGACGTCTCGGGTGGGAAATCCCGCGGTAAACGCGGACACAAAAGTGTACGTCGGCAATCTTCCGTACGGGTGCTCGTGGCAGGACTTGAAGGATCACTTCTCGAACGCCATGGGCGGCGAGAGCGTGCGATTCGCCGATATTCTGACTTCGCGCGATGGACGATCGAAAGGATGCGGCATCGTGACGTTCAATTCGAGCGAAGACGCGAAGAAAGCTATAGAAACGATGCATGACACGGAGATTGGTGAACGAAAAATCTTCGTTCGGGAGGATCGTGAAGGAGAAAGAGGAAACGACCTTCGAAATCGGATCGGCCCCTCGGCGACGTCCCCGGACGCGTCAGTCTACGTCGGGAACCTTCCTTGGAGCACTCGATGGCAGGAGTTGAAAGATATTTTCCGCAAAGTCGGCAATGTCGCGCACGCTGACGTGACGATGGGCTTTGACGGACGATCCAGAGGTTGGGGCGTGGTGACGTTTATGGACCCCCAGTGCGCCCAAGTCGCCATCGAAAGGTTGAACGGTACAATGTTGAACGATCGTGCTCTCATCGTCCGCAGGGATGAACGAGCTCGAAGCTAAAAATGTAAGCATCAATAGTAAAGCCTGTAAGGCTAGTAAGTCTTTAAGAGAAGTGTACCGCACTACCACTCTTACCGCACTCTCTCTCTTGGCCAGGCTTCACATCACGTCGCGCAATTGTCCCGCGTCGCGCGCGCGTGCGCGCGCGCGATGGAGTCACGAAGCGACAACGACGACATCGATGCCTTTGTCGATCGTTTCGAGCGCTCGTTGTGTCTAATAAACGACGACATCGACGGCGCGTACGAAGAAGCAACGACGTCAAAGTTGCTTTCGGAGACGCAACGAACGATTGAGTCTTGCGGATGGACTCCGCGTTCTATGCGCCTCGACGATGGCGACGGGTGGCGAACCATGACGACCGATGCGTTTGATCGCGCACTCGCGGCTCTTTTACGCGCGCGCGCGCGGACGAAGAGCGAGTCGACGTTGAGATTGTGGTGGTTATCTGTGCTTGAAATTACGAGCGCGAGAGGAGTGAAGAGTGCGAATGATAGTTCTAAGAAAAGTGACGCGTTGGAAGAATTGTGTAGAACGCTCGTGGATGATGTCGCGAGATTAGCGGCTTCGAAACAAGCGCCGGATCGAGAGCGATGGGGAGAAATTATGGAAGAGCTCGCGCTGACGACCCCTGACGTGGCGACGCGAGAAGAGACGCTTGCGTTGGCGATGCGCGCGTTATACGCGATTGCGCCTGATGTGGTGCTAAACTGTGCGAGAGAAGCGCTGAAATCTAGACAATCTCAGGCTACTCGCGAAGCGGTGTATTGGTTGCTTTTTGCTTTGAGCGCGGTGGATCCCGTCGCGGATGACGCATGCACGCAGTTGCTGCGATTAGTGGTGGAGTTTTCTCCAATGAAATGGGCACCTTCGTACAGAAAGAGTGATTTCAGGCACTCTCTGTCGACAACATTAACGGTGGTGACCACTCGATATCTCTCGCGTGGTAGACCGTCGCCAGGAAGTGTGGACGTGGCCGTTGTGAACAAGGTACTCGCTGAAGTCGTGAAGTGGTCGAACGAAAATGAGAAAAAGCACAACACAGCGGGATTACCTCTTCGTGCAATTCTTATAGGATTGGGATTGACACAAGAAGTAATCTCAGCTGATGCGATACCGATATGGCGACTCCTCCTCGAGAGTAGGGTCAAGGCTGGCATTGAGCAAAAAATGAAGATTTCGAGTTTGCTCGCGGCGATTCGAGGCGTCGTCATGGGCATCTCAGACCAGCATATCACTGTCATGGAATGCGCAAAGCAGAGTTTGAGTGCGTGTATTTCAGCGATCAAATATGGCAGCGGCTCGGAGGATATCGAGCGTCCGCTTGCTCTAGCTAATTGTGTCATGGCAATTCACGGCGTCAATCCGGTGGAGGGCTCAAACGTTCTCAAAATGTTCCTTGACGAAACGGACGAGTCTATACGTGCTGCTTCCTGTATCTCGTGCGCCAAAATGACTCAAGAAATGAGCGCCGACGAAGTACGCTCAAGTTCTTTTCTTTGCGAGTACGTTGACGGAGTGTTGCCAAAATACCTGACCGGCTTGTCGGCTTCGGCTTCAGCTGCGACGATAGCGGGGGCACTGCAGTGCTCGAAGTTCACCAGCCCAAAATATATTGCGCCGTCATCGGTGGAATTCGCGTGCTCTTGGGTTAAAAGTGACTCTGTCGCGGTTCGTAATGCCGTAGAAGAATATTTGCTGCACGTCATAAGGTCCAATGTCAGCCTGCGCAACGCAACGCTTCAGGCGGTTGCGTCGGCTGTGTTGAACATGAGAGACTTTGCGCCCGCTGCTCGGTTATCGGCGATCAACGTTCTCGTGGGTGTTTGCAAAATTTGGCAAGATTGTTTACAAAACGGCGCAAATAGTAAATGTGAGTGTAGCGACGAGCGCGCAGAGGCGGCAGCTCTTCTACTGGTTTGCGATGCAGACTTTTCAGTGCGCACTGGCGCTGTTCAAGCACTGCGAGAAATTTCCAACCTGCGCGAACGCGTAGACTCGATGAATGGAGACAATGCCACGTCGCGTGCGGCCCTCTATCCAGTACTACAAAAGTATTTAAACATCACTGATATTCCGACTCTCATCAGGGAAATCAGCCGAACGACAGCGCTTGAGTGTGCCGCCGTCCATACGACAACGCACGCGCAAGCGTATCAACGAATTCAAGCGATGATGGTCGCCGAGGGAGACGGCAAACTCTTGGTCGTCCCAGTCAAGCCGTCCGAGTATAGGTACAACTTATGGCAAAACTATATGCTGTTCGTTTGTTCCACCGATGGCGCGGCTGGCGGCGGCGGCGGGCTTGATGCACGACAAGTCGTCACGATCGGCCAACGGGGTTCTCTTGCGGGATTGTTGCAAACTGTGATTCCGCGATTGGGTCAATCCAATGTTGAAGTCGACGCTATCATGCGACTTTTCCAGCTCGTGCCTGCACAATCAAAAGCGACAATTTTGAGTGCACTGCTTCCGTTACAAAGCGGATTGATGAGATACACGCTCATGAGGCGAAAGCGTCGAGAAGACTTGAACATGGTCATCCGCTTCGGGGAACTGTACCAAGACTACGCGTTGCATGGTGTCTTCGCGTCCACCGCTGATGCGACAAAGAATTTAAATGCAGCTATCGATTTCGTGTTGATGGTTTGTTCCTACTTGAAAACGAATGCAAAAGCAGAGTGTTCGCCTACTGAGATAATTCAGCTCAGGTTTTCGGCAGCCGCAATTATCGGTGCAGTGCTCACAGATGCGGAGAAGGTGCGGGCACTACCCGTGGTGACGCATGCTGAATTATGGGACAACTTTTACGCGTGGCAAGAGTCGCCAAATCCGAAGGCATTGGATGAGAGTGGCGATTCAACTTCACGTATGCATGTGCAAACGCTCATCGATGACCTCGCACGCGATCACACGCGAAAACCCACCGAGAGAGACGTTGGTTTTGCATCAAGGGAAGCGCTGGCGGCGCTGAGTCTCAGCGAGCACTTTACGCGAGAATCGGCGAAGAAGATTTTCGATTGGGTGAACCGTCTCGCTGAGCTTGGTGACAGTAAGAGTCTAGAACTCTCCAAAAGAGTAGTCGTTGAAATGCTGCGTTCGACTACGTCGGTATTCGAAGCATCTTTGGACTTTTGCTACTCCGCGTCGGCGACGGTGTCTCGCATGTACGTTGTTATTCTCGCCGAAATGAGCGATGCAGTTGTGGACAATCTTTCCTGTCCTCAACTAATTTCGTTGGTGCTTTACATGACGATGCACGAAGACGACGCAATTCGATCCGCAGCAGGAGTTTTGTTGCGCGCCGTGAATCGAGAGTGCGGATTGATCGATGGCCATCTCCCCTTGCAAATAGATAACAAAGCGCAGCTTATTGAAGAATGCGAGCGTCTCGTCAAGACGGATACACAGCAAATTGAAGACGTTCTTCTCGAGGTTTGGAAACGACAACTTAACAAAGCCAAGCAAATGAAGAGTGACTCCAATCCAAGTCACCTTTCTGCATGCTTAGTTCCGTGGATATCGGCTCTACACCTACCGCATTTAGTCGCCGCTGGCAAAGCCGATGAAGTCTTGCTTGGTTTGTACAACGTGATGACGCACTCAGATGAGAGCACTTGGGCAGAGTTGGGAGAGCTTTGGTCGGCGATCGGTGTTCAAGCGAGAAACATAGCACCCACACTACGATTTCTTCAAGAGAGAACGATCACATCGACTGATCGAGACGCGATATCTTTCCGCGCGGCGAAAGCTGCGTGTGGTTGGATCGCGCGGACGTCACCACAACAAGTCATCGATCAGTTGGTTTACACAATTTCTTTCCGCGCATTGGAGTCGGACGATAGCGATGCCACGAAGCCACTTCCACAAGATTCTGCGACGTCGAAAATCTCTTCGGCTGATGTCGGAATCATACTTCTATCTGAGCTCGCGTTGGACCACCGCGAGGACTTCAGGTTTCATTTACCCGTGCTCGCGCACGCCGTCGTGGTGACTCTCATAGTCACACATGAGCAAACAGTGCGAGAGCATTGCGGTGAGTTGCTCTGTAACCTGGCGATGGGTCAAACGAGTGAGATACGTGCGCTTAAGAAAAAGAGCCCGGCCTATCGTTTGGGGAAACTGTTTGTGGACGACAGCTCGCAAGCATGGACATCGGGTAAAATCAGAACTCTCATCAACACGTTGCCGCATGCGATTGATTTGGATGAAAATTTGCCTCAACGTTGGGCAAACGAAGCTCGAAGATGGATCTTGCGATCACCGTCGTTTTCGTTGGCGTGCGCTTCGGCCGAAACGCTGATGTCGCTCAACGTTCCTCTTGACGACGAAGCGTTTGAGGCGCTTTTAGCGGCAACGTGCATGTGTGCCTCGATGTCTGGTGAAGTCGAAGATCAGAGGAATAATGAAATGTCGAAAAAACTCACGCAACACTTGTTGAAAACGCTCGGTGCGTCTTTGTGTGACATGAGTGCGCATGCGACGTTGATGTACACGCAAGTTTTCTGGTGCGGGGCAATGTGCTTGAGGACGATGGACGTCTCGCTGTACTCTTCCGCTCTTGATTTATCGTATTTGTTCCTTTACAAGACTTTAGATCACTCTACGATGGCGTTTGACGTCATCACTTCGTGTGCGCCTCTACCTCGAGGTTCTTTTTATCCCGACATCCCCATGGTGGAAACGTACGAGGAATTGCTCTCCATTGTTCCTGCAAAAATGCCCAGCCCGGAGATCTCCTGGGCCGATTTCGTCTTGCTCGTGATCAAAGGGTTGTTCCAAAGGGAAACGTTCGTGCGTGCCATACGTGTACTGGCTATGCTTGTGCCTTACTTACCTGATCACGACCGATGGAATGGCCTTCAATTGAACGTTTTGATCTCGTATGCCTTGATTCCGCTCGCCCTCGTTGCGGTTGAAGTTGAATCGTCCGCGGTGATCGGGGATTCAGAGGCGCGAGCGATCGCCCATCGGTTAGCGCAAGGGTTACATGGTGATGAACCAGACCTTGCAAAGGCGCTGGCGAAGTTTGCGTCTATTAAACACGATCCTCGAGGAGAGTTTTTGGCGAGCGAGTTTGCGGCGACGATGGCTCGCCGGCAGTCCAACGCGGCGCACTTGCCGGCACACTGCTTACGCGAATTTTCGCTGTGTTCGGACTCAGCGACGGCAAAGAAGATCCTTCAAATCTTATCCAAGGCTCCCAAAGCTTCAAAGTCATTCAATAGAGACTTTTCTGGCTCATGGTCGGCAGATTCGGCTTCAACCATCGCCGCCGCGTCGTACGGCGTGCTCCTGAGCGCTCGATTGGAGACCGACAACAAGGGTGCCGTTCCATCGTGTCTAGAGTACTAGCGCATCAACGACGACGACGTCGATGATATATTTTAGTCATTAGCAGTCAACATCTACCGTTGTTACAATAGCACGAGCTAGAATAGTCTAAAATCAATCGTCTAAATTCGCGGGTGAATTTCCCAGATACGGCGGCGGCCACATCGGCGGATCGTACCCTTTATCGCCAAACGGATTACATCGCATGATTCGCCACGCCGTCAGCACGAATCCCTTACTCGTACCATATTTCCTATACGCCTGACGCGCGTACTCCGAGCACGTCGGCACGAAACGACAACTCTTCGGCAATATCGGCGACACCTCGCGCTTGTAAAAGTCTAACAACCCCATCGCGATTTTCATCGACATCGTGTCTTCCTCCTCCTCGTCGCCTTCGCTCGCCCGCGCCGCGCGCGTCGACTCGCGCGTCGACTCTTCGTCCCTCATCGCTCCCTTCGCGGCGACGCCCTCGCGCGCGCGCGCGACGACGACGACCGTCCGCGCGCAGTTTCGACACGCGCGCACGCGCAACGGCGCTCCGCGCGCGCGTCGCGCGGTGCGACGACGACCGTCCCCGACGTTCGAGCGCGCGCGCATCGTCGTCGTCGTCGTCGCCATCGCGCGTCGTCGTCGTCGTCGTCGTCGGCGGCGGCGGCGAGTGACGCCGCACGCGCGCCACAGTGCGACGCGTTTTCGTGGCGACGCGTTCCCGCTTCGCGCGAGGCCCGTTCGATGCGCGCGCGCGATGTCGCGCGACGACGGCGCGAAAGACAAACGCCCGATCGTCGTCATCAAGGTCGGCACGAGCTCGCTGCTGAAGACGAACGACGGGTGCGTGCACCTGTCCCAGCTCTGCGCGCTGTGCGAGACGGTGGCCAACCTCAAGCGTCACGGATACCACGTCGTGCTCGTGAGCTCGGGCGCGGTGGGGGCGGGCATGGTGAAAATGGGGATAAAACCCTCGGCGACGAAGCCGTCGCTGGCGCGTAAACAAGCGCTGGCGGCGATCGGGCAACCGTACTTGATGAGGTATTACACCGACGTGTTTTCGTCTCTCGGCGCGAGCTGCGCGCAGGTGTTGCTGACGCTGGAGAATCTGTCCAATCGCACGCAATACCAAAAGGCGAAACAGACGTTTGAGCAGCTATTTGAACTCGGGGCGATTCCGGTGGTGAACGAAAACGATACGGTGGCGGTGGAGGAGTTGAGGTTCGGGGACAACGATACGTTGAGCGCGCAGGTGGCGGCGCTCGTCGAGGCGCAGTATTTATTCTTATTGACGGATGTCGACGGATTGTACACGTCGAATCCAGCGAGCGATCCCGCGGCGAAGAAGATCGAAACGGTGGAAGATATAAACGCCTTAGACGTAGACGTGAACTCGGGCGCAGGCTCAAACGTCGGTACCGGCGGGATGGTGACCAAGCTCACAGCGGCGCGCATCGCGAGCGCGGCGGGGTGTCAGACAGTCATCTGTCTTGCATCCGTGCAAGGCACAGCCATCATGGACGTGTTGGCTGGTAAATCGGGGATAGGTACCCGATTTTTAGCGGCCAAGAAAAGCGCGAGAGGGAAGAAGCGTTGGTTATTATCGGTGCCCATCAAGGGCGAGGTGCGAGTCGACGAAGACGGCGCCAAGGCTGTGCTAAACGGCATGGCGCTCATGGTTTCGAAATGCGTAGCCGTGGAGGGCACGTTTGGCTTGCAAGAAAGTGTGCGCATTTTAGACGAAAACGGCGCCGAGCTCGGGCGTGGTCTCTCCAATTACATCATCGGCGCAATGCGCGATTTTCTCCAACGCGGCCCGGCGACGAGCGACGACGAATGGGAAGACGATCTCGACGGGCCGCCCGAGTTGATTCACTCCAACAACGTGTGCATCACCAACGCCGAGACGCTCGCCAAGTCTTTCGTTCTACGAAATATAGGCACGTATGGGTCGATGATGATGGACGGAGGCGCCTCGAGCGGCGACGACGAACGATGAGAGGAATAATATTTCAAACGAGTAGACACACAAAGCGAGCGAGATGTAGTACAAACAAACCAGCAGTCCTTGGAAGCGCGCGCGATGTGGCTGCCGCAAAAAAATCGCGGTCGCAAACGCGAAGGTGATGGGCTTAAAAAAATTGTTGTATATCGAACAGAAGTTTCGATCTTCTGACCTTTGGGTTATGGGCCCAACGCGCTTCCACTGCGCCAGTTCGATTTCTTCGTCGCCGTATTGCGGGCTACAATATATCCTCGTACAGCCTAAATTTCAAACAGTACCCACCCCGTCGCCTTCATCGCGTAAAGTTACGGGTTTCTTCCCGAAGTCAACGGCGGGCGACGGACGCGCGTCGTCGTCCGCACTCGCCCCCCCGACGTCGCTCGGATCGCGACCGCGCGCGCGCGCCGATGACGGTGACGGGCAAGACGTCGCCCGCGACCGCGCCGACCGCGTCGCCGACCGCGCCCGCGTTCAAGACGGAGCGCGACGTGTTAAACTACTGGGAGACTCTGAGTCAAGAGGTGAACCTGGCGCGAGGGAAGATTGGCGAGCTCGCGGTGAGCCTGCGCGAGCACGTCAACGTGCTCGAAAACGTCAAGAACCTGGACCCCAGTCGACGATGCTTTCGCTCGGTGGGCGGCGTGCTCGTCGAACGGACGGTGAAGGAGGTGATCCCGGCGGTGGAGTCGAACGCGGCGAATCTGCGTCGAGCGATCGAGGCGATCAAGGAGCAGTGCGCGGTGAAGGAGGCCGAATTGGAGGCGCTGCGAAAGAAGTATAAAATTCGCGTCCAGGGCGAGGACGCGATGCCGACCGACGCGCGCGAGTCATCGAGCGGCGGCGGTGTTTTAGCGTAGAAGCGTAGACGTGTCGACGAGCGAGAGACGGAAAAACCAACGAGTCAACGACGTCATCTTCGCGCGCGCGCCGCCGCATGGACGACCCGATCGTGTTCTTAGACATAGCCATCGGCGCTCGACCGATCGGACGCATCGAGATCGCGCTCGACGTCGCGGCGGCGCCGAAGACGTGCGAAAACTTTCGCGCGCTGTGCGTGGGCGAACGCGCGTCGCCGTCGACGCGAAAACCGCTGCACTACGCGTCGAGCGTCGTGCACAGAGTCATCCCGGGATTCATGATTCAGGGCGGGGACTTCACGAATCACAACGGCACGGGAGGCGAGTCCATCTACGGGCGAACGTTTCGGGATGAGAACTTCACGCTGAAACACGACGCGCGCGGCGTCGTCTCCATGGCGAACGCCGGTGCGAACACGAATTCGTCGCAGTTCTTCATCACGCTCGCGGCGACGCCGCATCTCGACGGTAAGCACTGCGCGTTCGGGCGCGTGCTTCGCGGGATGGACGTCGTCGACGCCGTCGAAGCCGTCGGTTCGCAGTCGGGCGCGACGTCGGAAGCCGTCGCGGTGACGGACTCGGGACAGCTCAGCTGACGGAATGTTTGTTTGTATTATACGCGGTAGAGTCATAGAATCACGGCGTCTCGGGACCGATCGAGGACCGATCGTTCGCCTCGCCGTCGTCGCGCGCGCCGCGTCTCGTCGCGTCACACCCCGGCGGTTCATGCTCGGTGGTGCCCGCGCGTTCGCCCGCTCTCCCGCTCGCGTCGTCGCTCTCACCGCGTCCATCGCCGCGTGCGCCACCGTCACCGCGCCTCGCGGTTCGATGACGGCCGCGCGCGCGACGTATTCGGACAAACACACGCGCGTGAGCGCGTCGTTCGGTGACGTCAAGGACATTCGTTTGAGGCCGCTGCCGAAGCGCGACGACGAAGAATCGTTCGCGGCGTCGGGTTTGTGGAGAGAAAAACCGTGCGTCATCGTGGTGATGCGCAGGCCGGGATGAGTGCTGTGCCGTGGGGAAGCCGTGAAGGTGTACGAGAGGAAGCGCGAGTTCGACGCGCTCGGGTGCACGCTGGCGTGCGTCCTCAAGGAAGGCTTACCCGCGGAGGTGGAGGAGTTTAAGCGAGACTTTTGGCCGGAACACTTATACTTGGACGAAGATAAGGCGTTCTTTAAGGCTGTGGGGGGTGGGAAACTGAAGAAAGGGTCGCTGAGTGCGTTTTTGAATCCGTTTTCTCGCATTTGGAAACACGCGGGCGACGCGAAGAAAGCCGGCGTCAAGGAACACAATCTGAACGGCGAAGGGCTGATCATGGGTGGGATGTTCGTGATGAAGCCCGGTTCACAAGGCGTGCAGTATCAGTTTCAAGAGCGAAATTTCGGCGATCACGCGCCCATCGAAGACGTGTTGGCGGCGGCCAAGGCGGCGTCTGAGGCGTCGAAGTAACGTCGCAACGACGTCACGATTCAACGAGCAAGTGCGCCACCGATTGCGATCGCGTTTCATCAGGCGTGTGTACGTGACGTGATAAACGTAAAGTCTTTGTGTTTCATCGCAAGGATCGTTTCTTCACCGATTTTCATCGCCGCGCGATCGATTCGGACGTCGCTTCTCTTTTGTCTCATCATCAATTTGTAAATCTGTGCGTTCATGCAATCACTTGTCTTTTGCCTTCTCCTTGTCATCCGACGACGCGGCTTTTTGTGTCGTCTGCACGCGCTCTTCCTCCGCCTTTTCGTCCGCTTCCGAAGGCTTGTACACGATGACGGGCTTTTTGCATCGATGCAAACAATAGTTGCACACGCTCCCGATGAAAAATTCACGAATGCGGCCTTTTGACGATGAAGCGAGAACGACGGCGACGGCGTCGTCGATGAGCGTGGACTTTTCCACCATGATCTCTCCCACGGATGACACATTCGTGTCGTACGGGACGATGTCGATTTTGTACGCGATCGAGGCTTCGTCGAGCAGTGGGACGACGTGTTCGTCCATCCATCTGAGCGCTTCGTTTCGCCACGCCGTTTCCTGCGCATCAAATACAACAGTACGTCAATCCTCGGTTCTCATCTCGTCCGATCGACGTAGATGCGAAACAACCTGCTCTCGCGCGTGGAACACTTCTCGGCGAAGCATCGGCGATGACTGATAGAGGTATCGCATTGCGGCTCTGCGGACGAACGAACGAACGAAAAAACGATGATTAATCACTCGCCTGTTCTTCATCTGGCACGGTGACTGGGTAGAAATCGCCCATCAACGCGCTCACGCTGTCCGAAGCCGGAAAAGTTCTGCGCCACACGTCAACGAAACGAACGACGCGAGCGCGAGCGCGCGCGCGACGCCTCGAAACGAAACGCACCCCGGAATCACGTGCACCACCCGGCACTCGTCTCGTTCGCTCGTCGCGAGATTTTCGATGAACCATCGAACCATTGGAACCGTGGTCTTCGCGCAGTCGACGCCCAAGATCCAAATCTTCCGCGCGCGTCCCGCTCGACACGCGCACGCCGCGCCGCACGAGCAATTTTCATCGCAGTCCCCTCCGCACGCGCACGTCGCGCAGTCGCACATCGGCGTCGGTGGCGTCGTCGTCTTCGTCGTCTTCGTCGTCTTCGTTTCGCTCGTCTTCGCGTCGCGCGTCGTTTCGCTCGCGTCCTCGCGCGCGCCGTTTTACCGGTCGCCGCGCCGTCCCTCGACTTTCGCCGTTTTCGCCGTTTCGCGTCGCGGCGCCCGAGACGCGGCGCGCGCGCCCGCGCGCGCCAGGCGGCGACGCGTCCGCGCGCGACGACGACGACGGCGACGGCGACGGCGATGGCGGACGACGCCGGCGACGCCGTCGCGAACCCCGCGAGCGCGATGCGCGCGCTCGGCGTCGACGACGCCGCGCGCGCGCTGTCGCAGGGCGCCGAAGCGCGCGTCTTCGCGCTCGAATTCTGCGGGCGGGACGCGATTTGTAAGCAGCGATTCGCGAAAAAGTACCGCTTGCCGGCGCTGGACGAACGGCTGACGCGAGCGAGATTGGTGGGAGAGGCGAGGGCGATCGTGCGGGCGCGAAAACTGGGCGTGCGAGCGCCGATGGTGCTGCACGTGGACGCGAACGAGGCGTGCGTGTACATGGAACGCGTGGCGGGCGTGGCGCTGAAGGAGGCGCTGCGGCGAGAGACGTGCACGAGGGAAGACATCGCGAGGTACGGAAGAGAGATCGGAGAGGCGATAAGTAAATTGCACGACGGCGGTCTCGTGCACGGGGACTTGACGACGAGTAATTTCATGGTGAGAGACGACGACGGCGCCGTCGTCGTCATCGATTTCGGTTTGAGCTACCCTAGCGCGGTGCCCGAAGACAAGGGCGTGGATTTATACGTTCTCGAGCGCGCCATCAACGCCGCGCACCCATCGCAAACCGAGCTGTTCGATGAAATCATAGCGACGTACAAAAAAACGTCAAAGATGTGGTGCGCGACGCTGAATAGATTCGCCGAGGTTCGCGCGAGAGGACGCAAACGCTCGATGGTGGGTTAAAAAATCCCTCGCGCCTCGTTTTCAGCGCGCGCGTGTCACACTCATAGTCTTAGGCATCACTCTTCCCATCATTTTCCGTTTTCGCGCGTTCGAGCGATGCGAGTGTCGATGTGACGCCGATTCGCCAAACGCGGCCTCGCGCCAGCTTTGGCTATCCACACATCCTATCCAACCGCGCGCCATCGCGCCACTTCCATTCGCGTCTTCGCGTTTCCGCGCCCGAGCGCTCGCGCGCATCGAACGATGGAAGCCATGTCGTGCGTCACGCGCGCCCGCATCGCGTGCGTCGCACCCACGGCGTCGAAACCGCGCGCATCGTGCGCCGCCGCCCGACGATCGATGACGACACCCATCGCGCAGCCGCGATCGTCCACGAAACGCACCGCCGTGACGTCGAACGCGACGAACGAAGCGACGGAGAGCGAGATAAAAAAGCTCACCACGGATTGGCAGATCGATTTCTGCTCTCGACCGCTTCGTGACGATCGAGGGAAGAAGGTTTGGGAACTCTTGGTGACGGACGACGCGAGAACCTTTGAGCACGCGGAGTACTTTCCGAATAATCGAATCAATAGCGTTGAACTGGCGCGAGCGCTCGAACGAGTGATGGCGGAAAAGAAGGAAAAACCGAGACGATTCAAGTTCTTTCGGGCGCAGATGCAGACGATCATCTCTAGGGCGTGCAATGAGGTTGACGTCCAACCGTTGGCGAGCCGTCGATGCCAGACGATGACCAAGTGGCTGAACGAACGAGTGGAGAATGTGTACAAGAAACATCCCGGGTACGATGCCAGTGCGCCTCCGTTGATGGCGTTCGAAGCAACGGCACCGAAGCGATTGCCCGATGCGTTGAGAGGGGAGTCGTGGGCGTTCGTCGCGTTGCCTTTGGTCGGGGTGCGGGAAGAGATGGAACAAGTCAAGCGAGGACGCGTCTTTGGCGCGACGTTGGAAATTGATGAAAACTTACCGGACGATACGTTAATTCCCGGAATCGCGGTGTACACGTCTCGTGCTGCCGCGCTCGCGGGATGGACAAAGGGTTTAGAGCTCGCGTGCATCTCTTCCGACACGCAAACGAGCTCAATCGTGTTGGAAACTGGGGTGAATGATTCGTGGTCGTACGCGTTTTTCCGCAAGTCGCCCGAGTTGACCAAAGAGGCCAAGGAGTGGGAGGAAGTAAAGCGCGCGTGCAATGGGTTACATTTCCTCGCCATTCAAACCGACGAGGAAGCGGAGGCGACGGATGGGTTTTGGATATTGCAAGACTCTGACCCCGCGAAATTTTAGCCACGAACGACGCTTGACTTATGATATTACCTTACACCTTAGACGTCACAACGAGATGTCCGCATCACCACGCGAGAAGATCAAGCGCCTCGCCGTGGCATGCGTGCGACGCGGCTCGTTCATCTCGCTCTGTCTCTACGTCCTCGGCCTCGTCGTCGCCTCGCTCGCGCCGTCGCTCGCGAGAGACGTCTACGTGGATGAGAATGCATTCCTCGTAGGCTCCACGCACGCGACGTTTGACGACCTCGACGGCGCGCGCGCGGATGATTACGTCGAGACATTGACTAAAATCACGTTCGACGCCCGATCGCGGGCGCGAACGACGCGTGAGCGCTTGGAATGGGTTTTAAACGCCCTCGATGAGCGCGGCTTTGAGAGTTACAAATCATGGCTCGACGGCGCTGGTGACTTGTTCAACGTCCACGGCGTCGCTCGCGCGGCGCGAGGGAACGGACGAGAATCGATGGCGTTGGTCACGGTCCTGGGTGACGGTGACGCTGACGCTGAGGCGGCGACGGTCGGATTGGCGTTGCGCGCGTTTGAGAAGATTGGTCGCGCTCCGTGGTTGGCGAAGGATTTAATGTGGGTCTGCGTCGATGGCTCGCGAGGAGAGATCGATGGGACGATGGCTTGGTTAAAGACGTATTATTCATCTAGCGTTGGGGACTTGGGTGGGGGATTTGAGCGCGCGGGGGCGATACAGCAGGCGTTTGTGTTTCGCGCGGCGAACCGTGGCGCCGCGGCGTCGGCGGTGCGCGTCAAGTTGGAGGGTTGGAATGGGGCATATCCGAATCAAGACATATTTACGATGTTTCGTAGCATCGTGGAGACGTACCCTGTGAGCATGAGAGTAAGCTTGGAGTCGGATGTCGAGGTGCGAGAAGATGATCTTTCGCGCTGGAGTTTGATGAAATCGACGGCGCGCTTCATGTGGCGCGCCGCCACGGGAATTCCTTCGGGTGCGCACGCCGCGTTCAAGGCGCACTCAATCGATGCGATTAGTTTCGAAGCGATCGAACGTCAACAAGACGCTTACGTGCGAAGCGGTTTGCGAGCGTACGTCACTTTGGGACAGATGCTTGAACTTACGTTTCGAGCGTGCAACAACTTGCTCGAGCTCTTGCATCACAGTTGCTTTTATTATATCTTGCTCGGTCCAAACAAGTTTCTTGGCATAGCAGAGTACATCGCGCCGCAAGCAATTCTTCTCGTCAGTCTTTTACTCACCGCGTTGAAAATGACGACGTTCGGGATGGAAGATACGTCGTCAACAAGCGATGGCGAAACGCGAATGTCACATGATTGGTTTGCGGCAATATCGAAACTTTCCTTGGCACTCGTGTTCGGTGCCATCGTAGGTACGAGTTGCGTTTCATTGCATTTGAGGGAGCTAAATCACGTGACGGTGACTTTGGGTACAGTCGCCGTCGCATTCATCGCTTTCATTACCTTTTTACGCTTGACACTCGACGGCGAGGCGTCTCCGGTTCGCTCGACGACAAAGGTTTGCGACGTTACCATCGTCCGACAAGAGCAGTGGGTCGGTGTGAAAGTGATCAACATCGCGTGGTTGCTATTTACGATGAGTGCGTGTACGTTTTTCAACTTCGCTCTCGCGTTTTTAACCACCGTGGCGTTAGCGCCCGCGTGCTTGCTCTGCGCGCCGAGCGGCGACGCCGCGAAACGAAACCGCGCAGTTGCGGTTCTCGGCGCGCTTCCGCCGACATGGATGTTCGTTCTCAGCCGTTTTGCTGGATCACCGGTGTACGAGTCTTTCGGTCTGCTCGCCGAACACCACGTACGTTGGAAAACGTTCGCGTTGCCAGTCGTCTTTGGCATCGCGTTCCCGGTGCTGTTAATTTGTTTTGATGTTGCGCGTTCTCCAGTGAAATCGAAAACAAAAAAGGCTTAGTATTAGTAGCCGCTCAGTAGAGATAGCTTAGAATTGGCATATGAATATAGAAAGAGTGAATGAGTTCTCTAATTGTCAACGCGCGGGCACAGGGTCTACTTTCGTGTCCGTTTCGACTTTCGCGTTCGGCGATTTTTTCAATTCGAGCAACGCCTCGAAAAATTGCATCACCACGGCGTCCGGCCAAGGCGCGCCGAACGGCGCTTCTGGACCCGCCTCCCATCCCAAATGACCGCCGCTTTCAGTTTCAAGCAAAATCACATTTGGATTTTCCTCGATGATCGCGCGAGGGATTGAATCGGCGATGGCGATTGGGTCGTCGCGCGCCTGCACCGTCATCAACGGGACGCGAACGTCGCCAATCTTATTCTTGCTCCCAGAATATTCGTAATACGCATCCACGGACGGAAATCCGAAAGTAACTCGCGTGATTGCTTCGTCGAAATCCCTCACCGTCTTCGCCGCCTTGACGAGCTCGGGATTGTACTTCGGTAACCCCGCGAAGAGGTTCTCGTGCGGCGCGAAGAGCTTGCGCATGTTCTTCGCCATGGCTTGACTGTACACTTTACCGAAAAACCCACTCTCGAGCGCAGTGTCGCACGCGTTCAAGTCGAACGGATTGCACAGCGCCGCAGCACCGGTGACTTTCGCGTTTTCTCCCTCTTCTCCGAGGAAATTCGTCAAAATGTTTGCCCCGAGCGACCAACCGATGGCGAAGAGCGGCGCGTCTGGGTATCGTTCGCGAAGCGTGTTCACGACGTGCCTGATATCGCCCGTGTACGATGCGCTGTAAAATTGCGGCGTCGTCAGCGGCGATTCCGAGGTGCCGCGGCAGTTGAACGCGACGCATCGAAATCCGCGCGCCCTGGCGCGCTTTAAAAAATGCTTCAAGTACTTGTCGTGCGACCCGCCGGCGATGCCCGACATCAGCACCAACACCGGCGCGTCGGCGGCGATTCGAGCGTGATGCACCGCCAACCTTCGACGCACGAGCGCGCTCTGATCGAACACCCGACGCACGAACGGCGGTCCGCGCCGCTCAATCTCGCACGCTTCCTCCCCCGAGTCCTCGTATTCGCTCAAATCCGCGTCCCCGTCCACGCTCATCGGCCAGTCCAGGGTCGCGTGTCCGCCGTCCGGCATCGCCAACACCTCCCGCTGATACGCCACGTTCAAATCCCGCCTGAGCAACGAACTCAAAATCGTGCTCGCGTGCCTATTTTTCAACCACGCGACCGCGTCGTACCCTCGCTCCAAGATGGCCCCGCACTTGTCCAGCACGTACGCGTTTCGCTTCGTCCGCCGCGCCGTCACCCTCACCTCGCTCGTCTCCCGCGCGCTTCCCAGCGCGCACCACGCCGCGCACGCCGTCGCCGCGACCGCCATCCCCGCGATCGCCCCTCCCGGCGGTCCCAGCGCCGCCGTCGTCGTCGCCGCGCCTCGCCGTCCCGTCGTCGTCGCGCCTCCTCGCGTCCACGTCGTCCCGCGCGCCATCGTCCCGCCCCGTCGTCCCCGCGCCGTCGTCGCGCGCCGACGCGGACGCGAGGACGTCACCGGCGTCGCCCGCGCCGCGCGCGCGCGCATCCGTCGTCGCGCGCCGCGCTCTGGCGCGCGGCCGCGCGTGCGACGGTCGCACACTGTTTGCGCACACAGCGGTCGGTCGGACGACCCTCGACGGCCCCCGTCCGACCGACCGCGATCCGAGCGTATGCGCGAACAGTGCGCGATGTCATTTCGACGACGGCGCGCGCGATTCGAACGTCCCGCGCGCCGCGCCACACGGCGACGCGCGATGGGCGATCGCGACGCGAAGCGCCAGCGCGGCGCGCGGCGTCCGCGCGCGCAGTCCGACGACATGGACGACCTGCTCGGCGCCGCGGGCGTGGACGCGCGCGACGACGGACGCGAGGACGACGACGACCGGGGACGCGCGATCGACGGCGACGACGACGACGACGACGACGGGACGCGCGAGGCGAGCGATGGACGACGAGCGGAAGAAGACGCGAGCGGGAGCGATTCTCGCGCGAAGGGGGCGCGGGACGGCGGCGAAAGCGGCGAGACGCGACGGGAGGACGACGACGAGGGGGGACGCGATCCGGGGCGCGAAGACGACGACGACGACGACGAAGACGTGATGGACGCGGAGTGCGGGGAGGAGGAGGAGGGAAGCGATGGCGACGCGCGCGAGGAGGACCAGGGGAATAAGACGAACGCGAGGAAGCGAGGGCGGAAACCGAAGGCGGCGAACGAGGAGGGCGCGCGCGGAGACGCGGACGCGGAGGCGAGCCTGCCGAAACGGACCGAGGTGACCATCACGGGGAACGCGCGAACGAAGGCGGAGTTGATCGGGATGAAGGGCGTAGTGAAGAAATCGTTGCCGTCGGGTGGGTGGCATCGGTTGGTGTTGGAAAATGGGCGCGAAGTGCGCGTGCGAAGAAGCGCGTTGACGGCGTCGGAGACGGGGCGCGGAGACGAGGAGGGCGAACAGGGCGAAGACGACGACGACGAGGACGACGAGGATGAGGACGACGGCGACGATAAAGACAACATGGCGACTAGAGCTCGACGACCGACGCGCGTTCCTGGAAACGGACCTCCGAGCCAGGCGGCGGCGGCGGCGATGAAGCGCCTGCAAGAACGTCGCCGAAGCGCGCGTCCGAACTGTCAATCGAACTTCGAGCGTCTGACGCTTTCAACTTTACAAAAGTACAAGAAAGCGTACGAAATGGAAGCCAACCCGGAGACGGACGGCGATAAGAATGCGCTCGTGCACGAGGTCGGCAAGCACTTCATGCAGCAAAAGCTCGACGAACAAAAAGTGTTGCAAGCGTTCATGTGCGCCGTGGCGGACACGACGCAGATTGGATAATAAAATTTTAATCATCGAGTCTAGCGGTTTTTCACATTCTTCTAAATCCTAAGGTCGGAAGGCACCACGCCGCTCTTGAGAGCGTTCTCCAACCGACTCACTTCTTCGAGGGTCTCCGCGTTGGCAATCGCCACCTTGAGCGCCGTGAGTTGTTCCGGCGTCGGCCCGCTCGGTTTAGCGTCCTTCTTCGTCTCATCCTTTGTCTCCTCCAACCCATCGCCCGGGGTAAACGTCTTCGCCCGCTGCGCCGCGCCATCATCCGCCCCGAACGTCTTCTCCGCCTCCTCGCGTTCGCTCGCGCGCACCTTTTGAAAATCCAGCGTCTTCAACGCCTTGCACTTGTAAATCACGTACAACCGATAGTTCTCCTTCGCGCACACCGGATTCCCACACAACGTCAGCATCTTCAACTTCTTCAGCGAACCCAACCCATCGCAATCTCCCAAGTTCCGCAGCGCGTTATTCGTCAGCGTCAGCGTCGTCAGCGCCGGCGTCGCCCTCGCCAGTTCCTCCCCGTTCACCCTCGCGATTCGATTATTCCCGAACATCAGCGTCTTACACCGCGGCATCGACGGCAAATTCTCCAGCCTCACGACGTCGTTCCCCGTGAAATCGTACGCGTCGTACTGATCCCGCGCCGTCGCCAAGTTTTCCAGTCGCCCAATCCTCCGCCCCCGCAGGTCGATTTCGTGCTCGCCGAGCGGGTTATACCGTCGATCGGCGTCCGCGATGACGTCCGCGGTCAGCCGGTCGCTCGCGGCGTTCGCGTCGGCGTGCATCGCGCGCGCCTCCGCGCGTTCCTCGCGCGCCGCGCGCGGAGTGCCGACGCCGCGCGTCGATCGGGGCGACGCCGCGCCGTCGTCGCGACCGACCCCGTCGTGTCGAGTCACGACTCGCCGCGATCGACAGACCCCCTCGCGTTCGAATCACGACCCGTCGAACGGCGATCGGGGACATTCGGCATTCGTCGCCCCGCGGCACGCGCGCGCGCGGCGCGATGGCGACGACGCGACGGTCGAGCGCGGCGAGGCGCGCCGCGGCGGCGCGCGTCGCGAACGACCGCGACGACGACCGCGACGACGACGACGACGAGGACGCGATGACACGCGCGGAGGCGACGGAATCGACGGAAATGGAAGACGATTGCGACTTCGTGCGCGAACTCCCGGGCGCGTCGGGAGGGCTCGAGGAGGCGACGCTGGCGGCGATGCGGGGCGTGTCGCTGGGAGACGCGTGCGCGGCGGCGGGCGTGAGGACGCTGGCGCGAGAGACGCGAGATGGGGACGCGGTGATCGATCGAGACGCGGCGGCGGCGACGACGGAGCGGGCGCTGGACGCGGCGATGCGGGAAAAGGCGCTGGTGCTGGAGAGATACGAGGGAAGGACGCACTCGGTGAAGGCGAAGGAGGGAAGCGTGCAGGGGGCGTTTCAAAGGGCGGTGTTCGCGAAAAAGTTGCACGAGAGGATCACGACGCGCGTGCGGGAGGAGGTGCGAAGACGAGCGGAGAGCGATTTGAGAACGGCGAGACGAGCGGCGCAGGAGAGACAGTTGAGTGGGAGGCGAGACGCGAAGGCGGCGATGGACGCGAAACGAGAGGCGCCGCATAAACCGTGGTTCTTGTTGGAGACGCCGAAGGATGAGCAAATGCGATTGCGAAAGGCGGCGATGGTGGACGCGGCGAACGCCGAGGCGGGCGCGGACGCGGGCGCGGACGCGTCGTCGTCGTCGTGGACGATGCCGGGGAACGTGACGATCGAGCCCGTGCCAGATACCACGGATGAATCGGTGCTAGGTGCGGTGAGGATGTGCATTTACATGGTCCAGTCGCATCCGAGACCGATTCAGAAGGTTTTGGACTACCTCTTTGGGTACTCGCCCGCGGTGGACGGCGAAGACTTGGAAGAAATCGACGCGTACTCCAAAGGGCTCCCAGTGTCGCGCGGTCGAATGCCGGCAGATTTGGCGTACTCGTACGCGGCGAATCTCGACAAAACTCTCGGCGAACGAGACAAAGTGGCGCTCAAGGCGCTCATCAAGGATGTCAAGGAGGAGTGGTCGTCGCACATCAAAGCCGGGTTCGACGCGGTGAAGGAGCTCGAATCCACCCCGCTCGACTCCGCAGAGGACATTCGCGTGCAGAATCGCGACAGTTGGCTCCGCGCTATGTTCCCAACCCTCGATTGGCCGACGAGAAACGAGAAAAATTATAAGTTCATGGAGCATTTGCGCGAGCAACAAGCCTTGGACGCTCGCACCGCAGTCTCGACGTCGCGACCAGTTCCCTTGGCTCTCAGTCGCGCCAATCGCGCCAAGCAAGCGCAAGAACAAATTCAAACTTATGATCTGGGTGGCTCAAAGATTCACTACAGCAAAGATGGCGTCCCGATCATTGCTCCCGATGGTTTCTTCCCCAAGGCGAACACCGCGCCTTCGAAACGCGCCGAGACCGCACGCATCCGTCTCGCCGCCTCCGACGCCGAACGAAGGCTCGCCGAGCGGCGACGACTATAGAACACCAAAGTCGATAGCACTAGTCCATCATTGGCCCCTCCTAGCGTTTTAGAAACGAAATTATTCTCTCGACGCTCCTTCGTCGCGTCCCTCGCTTCGCCCTCACATTGCGCCTCGAGGCGCTCGCCGCCATGATTTACTTCGAGCGCCAAACCTCGCGCCTGTGCGGAGTGCACGCCATAAACGCTCTCCTCCAAGGTCCCTTCTTTAGCGCCAGCGACCTCGCCGCGATAGCCCGCGCTTTGGACGACGAAGAGCGTTCGTTACTCGACCAATCTTCGCTCCGTCGCTCGAGCGGTTCGCACGCCGAGCGTTCCGAGAACGTTGGAGACGACGGTAACTTCAGCATACAAGTGTTGTGCAAAGCTTTGGACGTGTTCGGGCTCAGCGCGCGGTACGCGTCCGCGGATGAAGAGCGCGGGACGGACTCCGCGAAGGAGCTCGCGTTCGTCTGCAATTTATCCGAGCACTGGTTCGCGCTGCGGCGGCTGGGCGACGCCTGGTGGGACTTGAATTCCATGCACGCCGCGCCGAAAAAAATCGGAACGTTCTATTTGGACGCGTTTTTGAATCAGTTGACCGCGGAAGGGTATTCGATCTTCGTGGTGCGGGATTTAGCCGCGGCGGCGTTGCCGGAGATGCTCGGGCAAAACGGCGAATACGGCGAGTGGTTGACGGAGGAGGAATGTCTGCGGTTGACGAGCGAAGCGGAGACAGCGCAAGCATCGGGACGTGCGCGACTTGCAGCTGAAAGTGCGATGAAGACGCTGAGCGATGGGCCGTCGCGGTTGGTGGTGGATGGTGGCGTCGCGAGCGACGTCGTCGACTTGACGGCGGATAGAGAGTTGCAAGCCGCTCTGGAGGCGAGCATGGAGGATTACGGCAAGCTTGACGCATCGGGTACCGATACCGACGCCGATCTCAAAGCGGTTCTGGCGGCGAGCTTAGAAGAGATCGAAGGTGGCGATGCGTCCATCGAAGCCGCGATCGCCGCGAGCTTGCGAGACGAAGAGGCGAAGATGGACGTCGACGTCGCGCGATTCGCCGAAGAGCCCGACGCGGGCGACGGAATCGTGTCGCTCGCGTTTCGACTTCCCGACGGTGACCGCATCGCTCGTCGCTTCGCGTGCGCGAGCTCGATCGCAGACGTTGAAAAGTGGCTCGAAGTCGCCAAGCGTTTGGACATGCGCAGCAACTGTCTCGCGCTCGCGTTTCCGCCGCGCGCGCTCGCGGACGCCTCGACGTCCATTCGAGACGCCGGCATCACCGATCGCGAAGTTCTCGCCGTTCGTCCACGACCGTGAATTCAACAAATAGTCCCATTCTTTTCAAGTTTCCAAAAACGTTCTCGCGTCTTGTCTTCGCGTCGCTCGCGCGTAGTCCTCACAACGCGACTGGGGCGCATCGTCATGGGCGCCACCGCCCTCACTGCCGTGTTCGGCGCCGTCTCTGGCGTCGGCTGCGCGGCGTTCGCGAACGGCTTGCGCAAGCTCCCACCGTTTTCACGTGCGTTGCTCCCCTCGCGCGTCGCGTCGCCGCGCCGAACGCGTCGCGACGCGATCGATCTAGGGTTGGATGTCGCGCACTCGCGACGCGACGCCACCGCCTGACGCGCGAATCTCGCGCCGCGCGATCGGACACTGACGAAGTGTTGTTTGTTTACGTCACGCAGAACCCTGGAAGCACGCCGTGGCGGCGGGCGTCGGTGCGGCGGCGTTAATGTACAACGCGGATTTGGAAACGTCGCTCAAGGAGGACGTGGAGCGCTTGCGGGCGACGCGCGCCGAGCAGAACGCGGAGTACATGGCGGAGATACGGGCGAAGCGATAATAGGGAGTTGTGATGATACAGAATGTACAATATATATTCATAAATACGAAGTCTCGATATTACCGCGGATGGCGCGCCGTCGGCGCTGAGCGGCGCTTCTCGTAGTTGACTACACCGGTGTACACTTGCTAATAGCCAGCCAAGTCCATCAAATTAATTTCGCTTTGGCAGTGACGCATCTGCTTCGTGCGTCTTAAGCCACTGGGGAGAGGTAAGGTCTCTGGGATCGTGGGTGGATGCAGCGCCGGCGCGCCCGAGTCGCGAAGAATCTCGTATCGCATCGACTGAACATCCAACTTATCGTCATGCGACGCGTCAGAGTTCGACAAACGATCATCTGAGATGCGCCGTTTAGAGTTTTGTTGATGTAGCTGCTGATCGTCGAGCGTTGTGTGCTTCATCGGTGCGAAAGATAGGGGCTTTGCGTTGTCCTCATCCTCAACCAACGCCGACAAGTCTGGACAGCTTTGAAATGACTTTAGCGCTGAAGTCTTCTCATCCGGATTAGCCTTAACGAAACGACCCTTCACGCGAACGCGCGCGTCTGCGAGCGTTTTACGGCATTCATAGCGCACCACTTTCTTCAACCCCATCAATCGACGCTCGCGCTTGGCGCGATATCTGTCGAGCTGCGCTTGGCGCTCCTTGCTCACCACGCGTCGAGGGATGCCGAAGAGATCGCTCGACATCGGCATCATTATGGGTGGAAAAGCCCCGGGTGGATAGGAACCTACCGTCTCTGCGGGCCCACGCTGCGCCGCGGGCAGTCCCAATCCAAGAGGCGACGGTCGCGGAGTGAAATTATCTCTCGCGCTCTTCGAGACGTACGCCTTGGCGGCGGCTTGATTCGGGCTCACCGCTTGAATCTGATCCGCCACCGCCTCCAGAGCGGCGGAAATAGACGCCGCATCGCCATCGAATAAAAGCGCCGACTCTGTTTCGGGCATCTCCAGCAAAGAAGCCAACGGATCGTCGTCCAAATCGAAAATCATCGTGTCGCTATTACTCGACATTCGCGGCGCCCTTGGACTCGTATCCTCTTCTCCGTTCTCACCTAAATTCAAAAACACGCCCACATCCCACGCACTGATCGTCGCGTCCATGCTCGACGTCGAATCGTGCGTCGTCGTCTTCGCATCGTCCCTCTTAAACAAACTGAAACTCTTCTCCCTCAAACTCTCGCTCGTCCCGCGTCCTCGTCCGTCCTCGTCCTCGCGCCTCGCGCTCGCCGTCGCGCTCGCCGCCGCTTTCCAATCCCCGCACTCCTTCGCCTCACTCAATCCCGCCTCGAGCGTTCGTTTATACCACTCATCCACCGTGATCCTCTCGTGTCTCGCCGCGACCTACGGCGTTCAACCGCGTCCCGATCGTCAGTCCGTCGCGTCGTCGTCTCGCGCGCCCAGTCGACATCGCTCGTTCGCGCGCGCGTTCGTTTCGCGAATATCCGCGCGCGCGCGCACCGCGTTCGCCCCGTGCACGCGCGCGTCGCACGTCGCGCACAGGAACGCCTCTGCGCCGAATCGAAGCGCGATCGCGGGCGTAAAAAATCAGTCCCAATCCTCGTCGCGCGCGTCTCTCGTCGCGCGCGTCGCGCGTCTCTCGTCTCTCGTCTCTCGTCGTCGTCGTCCATCCGCGTCAGCGCGCATCGTGTCGCCGCGCGCGCGTCCATCCGCGTCTTTTTCGCGCGTTCGCGACGCGTCTCTCGTCGCGCGCGCGCACCGTCGGCGAGACAAAATATATCGGCGTCGCGCGCGCGACACGCCGCGCACGCGGGCATCGCGACGGCCGCGGCGTCGTGTCGCGCGCGCGATGGCGCGATGGCGCGCGTCACCGTCACACGGAGACACGCGGATCAACGACTTTGTCGAGACTCGGATAAACACACGGATCTGTGGACATCGATCGTCGACGCCGCGCCGCGCCGCGCGACTCGACGACGCGACGCGACGCGACGCGATTCGGGACGCGTCGAATGTCGTCGCGCGTCGTCGCGCGTCCGACGGTCGCGCGCGACGCGCGGCGCGCGCGCGCGGGCGCGATGGATGGGCGACGAAGGCTGCCGACGACGACGCGGGGACGACGCGAGCGGACGCGCGCGGGCGCGGGCGCGCCCGGAATCGACGAGATGCTCGACGGACGCGAGCGGAAGTATTACATGGTCGGAGGCAAGGGCGGGGTCGGGAAGACGTCGCTGTCGAGCTCGCTCGCGGTGAAGTTCGCGAGCGCCGGGCACGAGACGCTGGTGGTGAGCACGGACCCGGCGCACTCGCTGAGCGATTCGTTGGCGCAGAACGTCAGGGGAGGGCAGCCGGTGGAGGTGAACGATACGGATGGGATGCTGTACGCGCTGGAGATCGATCCGGAGAGCGCGAAGGCGGAGTTTACGCAATTCGCGCGGGCGACGGACATGAGCGGGGGGGCGAGAGATTTTATGAGCTCGGTCGGTTTGGGCGGGTTCGCGGACTCGATCGCGGATTTGAAGCTCGGGGAGCTCTTAGACACGCCGCCGCCGGGGTTGGACGAGGCGATCGCGATCGCCAAGGTGTTGCAGTTTACGAAGGATGAGAAATTTAGCAAGTTTACGCGCATCGTCTTCGACACGGCGCCGACGGGGCACACGCTGCGGTTGCTGTCGCTTCCGGATTTCCTCGACGCGTCGATCGGGAAGATCGTGCGATTACGTCAAAAGCTCACGAGCGCGACGGATGCGGTGAAGGGGATCTTCGGCGTGGGTGAGGACAAGCAGGACGACGCGGTGGAGAAGCTCGAAAAGCTCAAGGCGCAAGTCAAGGAAGTGCGCACGCTGTTTCGAAACAAAGACACCACCGAATTCATCATCGTCACCATCCCCACGGTGCTAGGCGTGAGCGAATCGGGCCGCTTGTTACAAAGCCTTCGCGACGAGGACGTGCCGTGCAAGCGGTTAATCGTCAACCAAGTGCTCAAGGTGAACGTCGACGACTTTAAAGCCACCGCCGCCGAGGCGCGAGACGCCCAAGACGCCCTCGTCGCGCGATTATCCGGCGACGACGCGGAGGCGTTACAAAAGTACGTCGATTTGAACGCCAAAGCCTTGAAAGCGGCGCAGGCCGCGGTGACGTTTTGCAGCGTCAAGGAAAAAGACCAGACGCGCGCGTTGCAAATGTGCGAAGAAGACGCGGGATTAAACTCTCTCAATCGCACCGACGCGCCGCTGTTTGACATGGAAATTCGCGGCGTTCCGGCGTTGAAATTCTTCGGCGACCAAGTGTGGCGATAGTTAGTCTCGTCGCGCGTCGAGATCGCGCGCGCTGTCATTATTACGCTTTCAATTTGTTTCGTCTCGCCGCCTCGCCGTCGCGCCTCGACCGCACTTTCGCGCGCCCCGTCTCGACTCCCACCGCGCGCGTCGCCATGAATCAGGCGGACGTGGACAAACAGATCAACCAGGTCCGTCGCGTCTCCCGTCGTCGCGCCTCGACGACGTCGCCATCGCGCGCGGCCACCGCTCGTCGATCTCGCGACGGAAACCGAGCGCGCGAAACGCGTCCACGCGCGACGACTGACGGCTCCGTCGCGCCCGCGCGACGCACGCGCAGATGGTGCAGTTCATCAAGCAAGAGGCGAACGAGAAGGCGCGCGAGATCGCCATCGCGACCGAGGAGGAGTTTAACATCGAAAAGCTCTCCATGGTGGATGGGGAAAAGATCAAAATAGCGAAGGAGTACGAACGAAAAGAAACCACCGTGGACACGGCGAAGAAGATCGAGGCGTCGACGGGGCGAAACGCGATGCGGTTGAAGGTGCTGAGCGCGCGGGCGCAGGCGATGGAGACGGTGGTGGAGGAAGCGCGCGCGAAACTGGCGGAGACGAGCGCGGACGCCGGACGATACCGGACGCTGATGACGGCGTTGATCGTGCAAGGGGCGCGAAAACTCGGCGATGCGAGCGTGCGCGTGCGATGCCGGGAGTGCGATGCGGCGGTGGCGCGCGAGGCGGTGGCGGCGGCGGCGGCGGAGATGCCCGGGACGACGGTGACGTTGGACGAGTCGTCGAGTCTGCCGGCGGCGCCCGCGTGTTCGGGCGGCGTCGAAGTCGCGAACTCGACGGGTAAGATCGTGTGCGATAACACCCTGGACGCACGCTTGCGTATCGCGTACGAAAACGGTACCCCGGCGATTCGGGCGAAGATTTTCGGCGAGTCGAGCGCCGACGCCTCCGCGCGCGAGCGCGCCGCGGTTCCCGCCTCCGCGCCCAATTTAATCGCTCTTTAACCCCTCGCCCCTCGCGCGCGCCGCGCGCCGCGATCTCTACACGCATCTCTAGCCATTGTTACAATCCTATCGAATCGAATCACTACTTGAACGTCGTCGGCGCCTTGGCCAACCTTCCGCTCGCCGTCGTTCTGATTTGCTCCGCCTCCGCCGCCAACTCCTCCACCACCTGCGAGCTCGCGCTGCTCACGCTGAACGTCCGCTCCTCCGTCTTGAACGGTTTCACCCTCTTCTGCGCCTGCTGTTTGCTCTGCGCCAGCGCCAGTTCGAACCCTCTGAGGACGTTTCCTCCCGAGCTGTGATCGGTGAGCAGCGACGTCTCGAGGTCGTACACCTGACGCTCGATCTCCGCCGCGTCGGCCTCGATCTTGGCGCGGCGCTGCTTGAGGTGCGTCATCGTCGCGTTCTTTTCGCTCATCGCTCGTCGCGTCGCGCGGGCGAGGCGGGCGAGGTGTGCGGAACGCGAATGAATTCGGTTCGGCATGCATTCATTCTCACGCGCAGCGCGGCGACTCGGCGAGACGGCGGCGGCGCGGCTACGCGCCACGCGTGGACCCGGCGTTGGACGTCTGAGAGGACGCTAAGGACCCGGACGCGCGAGTAACACCCCGACCAAGGCTTCGTGGTAATCGACGCTCGCGGGGGAGGACTTTAAGCGCTCGGGGAGGGCGTCGGCGAGCGCGCGCTGCGCGGCGACGACGGAGACGCCGACGGGCGGCGGGAGCGGCGGACCACGGCGAGGGGAATCGCACAGACCCAGACGCTGGCGCAGGGCGAGATTTTCAGCCTGCGCGCGCGCGTGCGCGTCCACCATGTCGGAGGGGTGCCGCGAAGGGAACACGCAGTCGGCGTGGTCGTTTTCAAATTTGACGTTGACGCACACGGCGCGAGGGATTTGAGCGTCGCGAACGCACACCAAGCCGTCGCTGGGCTCGCCGTAGCGATTGTCGATGTAGCGCGCGGATGGAAACAAACCGGCCGCGGCGGATTTCGTCGCCGTGGCGAAGGACACCACGGGATAGTGACTCGGAATGGGGTGCGCGGCGAGAAAAGCGCGACGTTCGCGATACGTCAAGTCGCGAATAGGCTCGAGCAATCGAGCGCCGTCGCCTTTGGGCGCGCTCACCAAAATTTCAAGAAGCGAAGCGACGGGGTCCGCCAACGGCGCGCTGAGTAAATCGGTCGCGATGGGTGACCCTCCGAACGGGCTTTGCACCGCGATTAAACCGCGCACGAGCTTTCGTAGTCTGTCGTCGTGCAACGCGAGCGCCGCGCCTCCGTCGACGCCGCCCTTCGAGTGTCCAATGATCACGACACGTTTCCCAGTCTCGGCGTGAATATCTTCAATCTCGCGCGCCAGTGCCTTTGCGTTCGTTACGACCGCGCCTTCGCCATCGACCAAACGCGAGATGCGACACTGCGCTCCGCGGTCTCGGAACGCCTGCTCAACGTCGGCGTAGTATCGCGGATAGTACGATCCAAACAAACCTGGCACGAGCAGATAAAAGTACTCCGCACCCGTCGCGAGCACGCTCCCAGGACGCGCTAAAACTCCTTCCAAAGCTTCCTCGAACGCCGATTCGCCGTCGATCGTCGTTTCCGCCGCCTCGTCGTCCAACCATCCGACGTCGCCTCGACTCGCCGCCGTGCTCGCGAGCGCGTTCGACATCTGCCGCATCAAATCCGCCGGCACCTCCGTCCAAGACGCTCGCGCGTCGACGAACGCTCTCGCTGCCTCGCGCGCCGCGCGTAGTCTCGCGACGCTGTCGCCCGCGGCGGCGTCGAGCCACTCCGCCGCCGCCGCCGCCGCCGGCAAGTCGCGCGCGCGTCGCAGCGCCGCGAGCGCCTCGCCCAGCGCCTCCGCGTCGACGAACGCGCCGCTGTCGACGAATGGAAACCGCGACCTCGCCGGTGGCGCCGCGACGTCCGTAGCTTCCGTCGCGTCCGTCGCGTCGTCGTTTCCGTCGTCATCGTTCTCGAGCGTGTCTTCGCCAAGTTTCGACGACGACGACGTCGCGACGTCGCGTCGCGCGGCCGCGCGCGACGAACGAGCGCGTTGCGGTACGTTCGCTCGGACTGGTGCGAGGCGCGCGCGCGCGAGGGCGAGGCGCATGAGGACGACGGACGCGATGTGACGACGCGACGCGACAGTTACTCCGTTACACGCGAAAGGACTTTGCGATCGCCTCGATCGCCTCGATGGCGCTAGATTCCACCCGGTCGTTGTGTGCGATCGATTGCTTGAGGGCACGGATGATATCGCGCGCGGGCGCGACGGCGGGCGGCGCGGCGCGGAGCCAGTCGGCGGGGAGGACGTCGACGACGGCTTGAAGCGACGCCGCGCACGCGGCTGGATCCACGAGCTGTAAACGCACGTAAGGGATGACTTGGGCGCCGATGATGCCGTCGGCGACGATGCGCTGAAGCGCGGCGCGGTCGACAATATCTTCAAACGCGAATGCGCTTCGAACGAGATCCAAAGCGAGTCGGAATTGAGCTTGGGCGTGACGTGCGGCGTTTGGCGCGCACGTGGCAACTATTGGCGAATACGTCGGTACCGCGCATTCCTCTGCGCATCGCTTCAGTCGACGTTGTAACGCGATGACAATCTCCTTTGCCTCTTCGTTCGCGCTCGGTTCGACGTAGACGAAGATATCCTTGAGCGTAGACGCCAGAGCGCGCGATTGCGCCGGATCTCGCGGTTCCCACCACTCTTCCACAGCCTCCGATGCGATCGGTAAAACGACGTGCTGCACCATGTTGGGCAACAAATTCGCATCTTCGTCACCTTCGTCGATTTTTCCATCAATCACGCCGTAGTCGAACAGTTGTCCGTACCAAGACATTGCGTCCAACGCGCCTGGCGCAGTTTTCCCAGCGAGCGGAAACAACGGAGACCATCCAATCAGTTCCAATCGCACGAAAGGAGCGAAGAGATTAGGGACGGAGACCGACATATACGTGCTCTTATACGAACCAAGGTGCGTGCGCTTCCATTCCTCGGCGTGCCTTTTCACCGCGCTGAGCGTCGAGAACTCTTCTGACGCGTCCTTGAGCATCGAGCTCGCCGCGTCTCTGGCGTCCGCCCAATCTTTGTGAAGCAATCCGACCTCGCGTTCGTCCTCAGCGACCGCCATTGCCGTGTCGCTCGACTCACGTCGCTTTGATCGCGCCTTGACTTTTTCCCGCATCGCGATGTTCAAGTCTCTGCCCATGTCGTCCAACTTTTCACCGTGCAAACCTTTGGCGTTGAACACGGCGTCCCGAATAGCCGTCACCGCAGTCGCCTTCGCCTCGGTCTGCGAACCGCTGCGTTGTAACACTGCGTTCACCGCTTCCGCCGCGGCTTCCGCTTCGATCGCGCTCTCCTCGAACTCGGCATTCATCGCCTGCGTCAGCGCTTGCGCTCGTTCCGCGTGGAATTTTCTATAATGCTCCTCGAGCTCGTCTAAGATGAGCTTCTTTTCGTGCAGCATGGCGCACGCGTCTCTAAAGTAATCGCGCAACTTTTGAGTGAACACGTATCGCTCACTCGCATCCTTGAGCTCCTTCTCGTAAAACGCCAAAGCCTCTTGACTCTTCACCGCGTTTTCGTCGGCGCGAGTCGCCTCCCTTCTCGCCGTCTCGCTCGACGACTCCGCTGCCTCCAACGCGCGTTTCAAACTTTCGAACGCTTCCATACCACCTCGTTCGATCGAAACCCCAGTACCCGCCCGCTCCATCGTCGCTCGCGCGTCCCGAGCGCTTCGACGCATCTCCGGCTCGTCCCTGAACACGCGTTGCAACTGCGCGCGCTCAAACTCATCGTCGTCGCTCCCCGGCAAGATATCACCCTCCACGTACCCCGCATACCTATCTCGCGCACCACCGTCTCGCACGCTCTTAAACGCCACGCGCTCTCGGCGTCCGCCGCTAGAATCTAAGTCGACGTAATCCGCCGCCGTCGATTTCGCCCTCGCCGCCTCCCGCTTCGCCTTCGCCTCCGCGATCGTCTTCGCGTCCGGAATCACCGTTCCCACCCCCCCCGCCGTCTCGCGCGCCGGCGGCGGCGGCGTCCACGCCTCCGCGCTCGTCCCTCCGAAGACGTCGCTCGCCGACCGTCCCGCCGTCCCGCTCGCCGCCGCGCCCCCCCTGTCCTCCGGTCGATCTCGCAGCGTCGCCTGCTCGCGCCGCAGCGCCGCCAGCGCCGCCGCGTCGTACGTTCGCGTCTCCCCCGTCGTCGTCGTCGTCGTCCCTCGTCGCGCGTCCATCGCCGCGACGCCTCGTCGTCTCGTCGCCTTCGCCGCGCGCGCGTCGCCGCCGCCGCCGCCGTCGTCCTCGTCGTCGTCGCGCGGCGCGTCGTCCTCGAACGACAGCAGCGCGCGCGCGCTCGACGCTTTCTTTCGCGCGCGCGGCGTCGTCGTCGCCGGCGTCGCGTCGTCGCCGTCGCGCGTCGCGTCGCCGTCGCGCGTTCGATTCGCCGACGACGATTTCGTCGCGCGACGACGGAACGCCATCGCGACGCGCGCGCGCGACGACGGCGCGAAAACGACGGAATCGGCGTCGCGCGTCGCGTCGCGAGAGCGCGTCGCGCGCGCGCGTGTGGCGCGTTCATGAATGAATCGATGCGTCGATGGCGCGCGCGCGTTCGACGAAACGGCGTCGCCGCACACCGACGCGCGCGCGCGGCGTCGCGCGCATGGAGCGCTCGAGCGCGCCGTCGCGCGCCGTCGCGTCGACGCGCGCGCGCTCGCGCGCGTCGAGCGCGTCGAGCGACGTCGACGCGTCGCGCGCGGTGTCGAACGCGCTCGCGCGTTTGAAAACGCTCGCGACGACGACGACGGCGCGGGAATCGCGCGCGCGCGGCGCGGACGTCGCGCGCGCGATCGTGGACGCGTTCGAGGCGCTGGCGCGCGCGGAGGCGCGCGGAGGACGACGGGCGGAGGGAGACGCGGTGGAGGCGGCGCGACGCGCGGCGCTCGGACGCGCGGCGGACGACGACGAGGGGAGGGAATCGGACGGCGAAAGCGAGCGCGACGCGCGCGCGGTGGACGCGCTGTATGGATTGCGGCGGGCGGTGCACGCGGAGGGGTGTTCGGGGGACGTGCGGGTGAATTGCGCGCGCGTGGTGGAGGCGTTCGCGCGCGAGCCGGCGTCGACGACGACGGAGGCTCGGTGGCGCGCGCTCGTGGATTGCGTGCCGAACACGCCGAGGTCGGGACGCGAGATCGTGGCGATGGCGTCGCCGAACGCGCGCGTGGGCGTCGGATCGCGGGATTGGGCGTTGAGCGTCGGCGCGGCGTTGGCGACGGCGGCTCGATGGAACGACGTCGCGGCGACGGAATTGTTTGAACTCATCGACGATAAGATTCAGGGAGGCGCGGGCGAGCGCGTGGTTGGGTTGACGCTGCTTCACGCCGCGCTCGCCGTCGATGGTTTAGTCGCGAGCGATGATTTAGTCGTCGCCGTGCACAAGGCGTTGACGGCGGTGAGCGGCGCGCCGGTGGAGAATGGATTCGCGTGCGCGAGCGTCGGCATGCGTTGCGTGTGCGCGGCGGCGAGGAACCTTTCCATGGGCGACGTCAGGACGTTACGAAGCGCGTGGCTCGAGCCGAGACTGCGTGCTCAAGGATTTACCTGGCACAGCGCGCAAAGCGACGAGTCGCGCGCGACGCTTTCGCTCATTGAATATTTAAAAATCCCGCGAGACGAGCGGCTCGGCGCGACGGCGATGTCGGCGTTTTTGATAGCTGATTTGGATCTCGTCGGTTACGTCGACGCCGAGGAGTTCAAACGCAAAGTCGTGCACGGGTCGGTCGATCTGGATAGTCCGGCGTTTCGCGCGCTCGCGGCGAGCGAACGCGCCGTCGGACGAACCGTCGCGGCGGCAATCATCGCCACGCAAATGAATCTCATTCACACGCTTTACGTCGCACCTGGTCAAGAAGATGACGCGGACGAGTTACGGATGAAAGTAGCTACTGAGGGTGGAAGGATTCTGTGCGGTAAAGCTCTCGATTTACTTCGACTGGAGCGCGCGAATACGGCGAGTTTGACAGAGAACGCGCAGATGAAGGTTGAGGAGCTGACCACGGATGCTCAACCGAGCACGTTCTTCGGGGTTTTGAGCTACGCACTGACGACGAACGTGATCGATATCGATGAAAATGAGCGCGCAAAGCTCGTTTCGTGGTGCTGCGACAAATTGAGTGAAAAATTCGTCACCGCGACGGATGCTTCGATGCGCGCGATGATCACCTCTGGCTGCTTGAGCGCTCTCTTACGCCTCGCCGAGACATCGGAGAACGCAGCGATGGCGGACGCATGTATGCAGTGCGTTTCGGTGCTCATCGATCTGATATTGGTACCTAGCACACTGTACGACTTTGTCGAAATCATAGCCTTCAAAACACCGTCGTTGGATTTACTCGGCGTTGAGAGCAAGTCAGAGGACGACAAACGAGCGACTTACGTGGTGGCGGCGCTGAATTGGTCGGTGTCTCGTATTCGAGCCTCATCGACGGTTGCACAAGCCGACAAATCACTCAACTTATTCAGAAGATTATTTGTCTTGCTCCCGGAAACGGAGCACACGACTTGGTTGGAATATTTCACTGACGCGTACGCGAGCGCCGCGTTGTGGGCGGGCTGCGTCGAAAAAGAAGTCGCGGTGGATACTGACCGCGTGCTCGCAGATGACGCGGCGCGCAAGTGTGTAGAGTCGTTCGAAGCTGATATCTCACGCGAGACATCGAAAAAGACGCCAGAGTGGTTGGGAAATCTTCAAACGCGCGCGAGATGGTTGAATGAAGCGTTTGCTGCGCTCGGCGAAGACGCCTACCTTAGAGCACACTTCACCGCAGACCTCGCCGCAATCGTGTCAAAGTCTGTGGATGTCGGACTCCAAGGTTCGACCGACCCGAAAGTCAATGCATCGTACTGGCCATATGAAAGCAAGCGTCCACTCATCGTCCCTCGCGCGCCGCTGGGACCGGGTGGTATTTTGGCGACGTCGGCTGCGACGTTTGATCTCATCGCCAAGCAGCTTGAATCGCAATTTCTCGCGATCGAGACGAGTTTGCAGAAATCACTGATGGAACACACTGGTCTAATTCACATGATGACCACGGTAACATCAGCCGTCGCCGCCGCTGGCGTCGCCATCAAGACACCGGGCGGCGCGAGCGCGGGGCGCGTCGCCGCCGCCGCCGCGCGAGCGCTCGTCCTAGTGGCGCAATCCATCACGCATCTGCACGTCACTGTTAACTGCAGTGAGATGCAATTGAGAAACGAAGAACGGGAGCTCCTGTTGCTCACCAAACAGTTACTCGAAGCGTCCAACGTTATGGAGCAAAGGAAGACGCTTGAAGCCGCGCCGGGGGTGCATCGCCGTCGCTACGCCGCGGCCCGCGCGGCGTTGGCTCGCGCCCTCAGTCTCACCGATGCCTCCTCCGAAGACATCAAATTCGAGCTCAACAAAATTCGCAAGCGTCGACACTCAAAGCGCTGGACGGAAAAGCACCAGCGTCCACCGACCGCGCCGCGTCCCGCCTCCGCCGTCAACTTCACCGCTCGCGAAGCCGAGCCCGACGACTTCGTCGACGAGGACGGCGTCTCCATACTCGAAGCCTTCGAGCCGAGCACGGACGAGGAATCCGACAGCGGCGATAACGACGACGACGCCTTCGTCGTGCGCGGGATGCAGGACTTCGACGAACCATAGCTTAAATTGTATTATACGCCCGCGCGTCCCGACCGACGCCCCTCCGCCTCGCCTCACAACCGCCCATGCCCTTCACCTCCCCGCCCCTCCAGCGCGCCTTCGCCGCCGTCGTGTACGTCAGCGAGGGTCGTCGCACCGCCGTCCTCGACGTCATCGAGCGCGTCGCGCGCGAGGCGACCGCGCCTCGTCGTCCCGTCGCGCTGGTGAACGTCTTCAGGGACGCCGAGTACAACAGGACTGGGTTCACCCTCGCCGGCCGCGACGTCGATGACGTCCGACGAGCCGCGCTCGACGTCGCCCAGGTGTCTCTGCGCGAGGTGGACATGCGCGCGCACGACGCCACGCACCCGAGAGTGGGCGTGGTGGACCACGTGAGTTGTCACGCGTTGGCGGGCGAACGCGCCGGCGCGGCGAAACTCGCGAAATCCATCGGTGAAGGCTTGGGAACGCTGGGCGTGCCGGTAAAATTATACGGAGACGCGGCGAGCGATGGGATCGGGCTGGATGAGATTCGGCGACGGAGTGGGTACTTTAGCGGCGCCGCGGGCGGGCGGTGGACGGGGGAGTTCGCCGTCGAGCGCGGGTTCGCGTTCGATTACGGCCCGAGCGACGTGCCCGAGCGCGAGGGGTTCGGCATGGTGGGCGCGGTGCCTTGGGTGTGTAACTATAACGTCCCTCTGGCGTTCACGTTCGCGGATGAGGGTTTGGATGCGGAGACGAGGATGACGCGCGCGATGGCGTTTGGACGCGCCGTGGCCAAGCGCGTATCGGCGCGCGGCGGCGGTCTACCCTCGGTGCAATCCATGGCGTTGCCACACGGCGGAAAAGTCGAGGTGGCGTGTAATTTATTAGACGTCGACGCGTCGTCCACGGCGGACGTGCAGCGCGCGACGGCGGCGGCGGTGGCGGAGACGGACGCGCTCAAAATTCTAGGCGCCGGCGCGTCGGCGATGGTGGAAGACGGTTACGTCACCAATCAAACCCCAGAGAGCATCATCCGCGCCATCGATGCGATCGACGCGCGTTAGTTCGCCCCGCGTTCGCTTTAATGCATTCATCTCATTCGCGCGACGCTTCGGCGCGTTCCATCGGCGCGCGCGTCTCGGACGCCTCGACTCGTCCTCACACCTCGACGCGCCGGTCGACATGCCCGACGCCGAATTGGACGATCGCGACTGCCTCACGCGCTTCGCCGCGCACCACCGCGACGTGTTCAACAAGGAGATTTTGTCCAAGATGAAGACGCCGCGTCGCGCGTGCCCGTGCGGGCGCGCGAACGAAGTGCCCAGTTGCAGAATTCACTACGCCGTTTTGCGGTGCGTGAACCGCACGTTCAGGAAGTTGCTGCCGCCGTACGAGGAGGTGATGGCGAAGAAGAACGAACTGCTCGTGTGGGATCGCGTCACGGGTAGACCAGGGGTTTCGAAAAGCGAATTACAACGTTACGTCTGCATGCACGCCGCGCCGAAATTGATGGAAAAGACGATTCGCGCGCGCGACGAGGCGGGCGACAGGCTGTGGTGGGCGGTGAAAGAAACACTCGATGATATGGCCGCAGGTCGAGATAACCCTAAGTATGAGTGCGAGGTGTGCGGGAAGTTCGTATGCGTCTTCTGTGGCGCGGCTTGTGCGTGTCCAGAATGCAACGACGTGCGAACGTGCCGAGAATGTGCCGAGACGTATGAAAACTTTACGTTCTGCAAGTCTTGCAAAATCGCGTACTGCAACGATGGCGATGAGTACGACGATGAAAGTAATTGTGACAAAGACATAGTATACTGCTCAGAATGCGATAGATTCCGTTGCTCGGACGATTGTCAGAACGACCTGATGTTCTGCGAAATATGTTCCGACGCGGACCCATTTTGCTTGGACTGCACATGGCGCCATCATGTCAATTGTGACGGGTGCGGTGGACATCTCATGTGTGAAGGACACAACGAGGTCGATGAATATCTAACATACGTGGGCGACGACGACGATCAACCAGAAGGGTACTGGTATCTGTGCGATAGTTGTCTGAATCCACGCCCGTGGAAGCCGCCGATCGAGAAACCTCCACGAAAGGCGCCGATCAAGAAACCGAGAAGCCCAAGCGTTTCGCCTCGCATGTCGTTCTCAAGCTGCACGGACGACATCGACTGAAGGTGAATATGGAACTATCATCACGATTCAACGACGTAGCATTACAATTTTCATTGAAAGCATTCGACTAACTCGCAACCGAGGATTTGCCACCCGAGCGACTCTCGAATCCTACGCAACCGCTTACTCTGCTCGCCCAAATCGCTCACGGGCGTCATGAAAGGATAGACATACTTCACATCCATCGCGAACGAGCGATACAACACCAACGGCCCATTGCCTTCGTCGCCACTCCAGTTTCTATCGCTCACCGGCTCGTTCTTCACCCAAAATTCGACGACGTCGTCGCCGAGTTTGCCCGGCACGGAAAATCCAACGAACGAGCCCTCCGCCCGATCCTCTCGCATAATTAATTTAGAGTTCTCCACCGATTCCAACGTCGCGTCCACGAGCGCGTTCGCGGCGTCCTTCGCGTCGCGAAACGTATTCGGCGCCGTCCAAGGCGACGCGTACTTGTCGCTCTCGCGCGACGACGTGCTCACGCAGTTGTGTTCGCGCGGACAGCCACGCACGCGCCCCGGAGGCTGTAAACCGAGCTCAAGCTCGCCCTCGGGCTCCATGATCGTGCGCGCGTTCGTTTGCGCGCGCGCTGTGGGCGCGAACGCCGTCGCGACGAGCGCAGCGCTGGAAAACAAGATGGATCTTCTGTCGCGACGTGCGAGCGTCGATGGCGTCGACGCCGACGATGTGACCGGCGATGTGACGGACGACGAAGCGCGCGTCGAGTTTTGTATCGCGCGTAGTGCGCGGTCGCATCCGGGGACGGTCGCGAGTTGGGCGCGCATGGCGAGTGTCGCTGTGAGGGGTGGCGGCGAATTTGTTTCTTACACTGTACAGTACACTGTTTCATCGCTTCATTCGTTGTCGCGGGGATCCACGAGCTCGTACGATGCGTCCGCCTCTTCGTTGAGCATGCGATCGATTTCATCGAGACGCTCGGCGAGCGTTTCGTCTCCATCTTCGTCGCCCATCGGCGCCGACGGTTTTCCATCGAAATCGCATCCAGTATACGAGTCATTCAACCGGCAGTAATCGATGAGACTCCTCCAGTGCACGTCGTGGCTCAAGATGTGAGGATTACCCACGATGATCAAGAGTGACATTGCGCGCGTCACGGCAACGTTGAATCGCTTTGGATTCGCCATGAAACCGAGGCGATGGCGAGCGTCAAACTTCAAATGGGCAGTGTCGCTGCGAACGGTTGATAAGATGACTACGCTAAACTCTTGTCCTTGCAAGAGTTCAGTCGAACCCACGGTGACTCCAGAAATCTTTTTCGCTTCGAGGTGTTTCATCATCTTCAGTTTTTGCTTGTGATACGGTGTACAGATGGCGATGTCTTTGGCTGTCAAACCCGTGTTCTTTCGGTCCAAAATTTTCGTGATCCACGAGCTCACTCGAAGTATCTCGTCGGGATTAAACCAAGATGGCGAATTCGCCTCTCGGAGTTCTTCGCCCATGACACCGTCGAAAACGACTGGAAACGATGGATTCGGAAGCTCTTCCCATCCCTTGAAAATGTTCGTCCGCATGGGATCGGCGCAACATTCCAGCCTGTCAAAGTAGAATAACTTCGACGGAATTTCGATGATGCACGCGTGCGAGCGATAATTTTTCGTGAGCATGCACACTTTACTTGGCTCAAACGTACCGTCCGCGCGAACGCTATACGGAGTCTCAGTGTACGGCGCCGGAGGTAAGCACAGACGCTCGAGCATACTGACTTCCAAAGCTCTCGATTCCTTGGCTTGCACCAGCGGTCCCAGCTGTCGGGCGTCGCCGGCCAGAACCAGACGCCCTTTTTTTGGCTCTAATACGCTGACGATGGCGGTGAGAAGTTCGGGCTCCGATGCATGACCTGCTTCATCGATGATGACATTTTCAAAGCGACGCTCCGGCGATAAAATGAACACTTTCCTCGCTTTCCCTTTTCCGTACTCACCAGAGTCTCGAAACGTCCGCGTGAGTCTCTGCGCCGTAATCGGTGTCATGGCAACCACTCGAGCTCGCATGAATCTCTCAACAGTCGGCGGACAAAAAACGTTTGCAGTACTATCGTAGTTTGAGACGTCTAAGAGCTTCGATGGCACCTGATCGGGCATTCGAGAGAAATTGTAGACGCGATACGCTTCGCTCTTTGGAACGCCACCGTGCTCGATGACGCGTGAGATGAACAAGTCACACGCCGCGTTACTTGGAGCCATCAACAAGACTCTTCCGCCAGTTTTATACATCTGCGCCGCTATCTCCACGACAGTAGTCGTCTTACCAGTACCAGGAGGTCCAAAAATGATGAATGGAGATTGTGAACGCGGCGCCATCGCGTTCGCAACTGCGAGCTTTTGTTCCTCGTTTAAGCGCCGATTCAACATTTTCAGATCTGATCTGCCAGTCGCGTCTACGTCGAGATCGTCGCCAAACTTTGGAAGCAAAAATGACTCATACGACGAAGATTTCAGAGAGTCTTTAATCGCGCCATGCATGAGTTCTATCGCGGTGCGCGACACTTCAAACGACACGTCAGCCTTGACCCCATTGATGTATGCTTTCGTGAAACCAGGATGGAATCGGCACACGATGTGCTCAGCTTCCACGAATTCAACTTTCCCTCGAAATGAGCTTTTAGCCGTGGACAAATCGACGATGATCGAGTCGCCACGAAGCACCGATGGACGAGCTTCAGCGAGGCCTGGGACGAAAAGTCTATACATGGCTTTGGAATTGGTCTGCGAGAGCGCGACGTTGTGCATATCGTACAATCTCACGTTTTTGGTCGCCTGCACTTCTTCCATCATGAGCAGCTGACGAAAGAACTGAGCGTAATTCGTCTTCGAGAGATACTTTTGTCCGGTTTCTAGCATTTCAGTAACAGAAGATGCCTGTGGTTCCTCGCCGTCGAGCGCTTTCCGAATGTCAGCCATGGGAACGGAAAGCGGAGCCGGCCAGAAGAACTTTGTCTTCGCGTTTAAAACCTCTTTCGAAGGGCCTGGATCGACGACTTTCTTCGACCCCTTCACCAAACTCGAATTTTTCTGCTGTTTCGGATACGCGAACGCGCTCGTCGGCCCGAGCGCGATTCGTTCCGCGCTCTCCTGCGCGCTTTCCCTCGCTCGAAGACGCAGCACGAGCACCGAGAGCGTAATCTCGCCCGACTCGACGTCGTCTTGATACGTTCGATACGAGAAGACGAGTGAAACGTCGTGCACCCCCGCCTTCAAATCCTTCGCCCAATCATCTCTCAAACACACGGCGTTCTCCACCTCCAGCATTCCTCCCTCCTTCACCTCTCCCTCGAACGTTTTCAGCGTCGGCTCCTCCAACACGCGATCGCCCAAATCGTCTCGGGCGAGCCCGAACGCGCCGAACAAAACCGTCACCTTCTCCCCCGCATCGATCGGCAATTTCAGCACCACCGACGCGCTTTTCAAATCCGACGCCGACGAGATCTTTCGCGGCACCAGCGTCTCCTTCGGCGTCGCCTCCGCGCCCGCCTCCGCGCTTCGTCGAAACGTCGCCGCTCGATGTTTCGCGCCGCGCTCGTGCTCCTCTCGTCCGCACGCCGGCACGTCCACGTCGCACACGTCGCATCGATACGCCCCTAACAGCGCGTCTCGCGCGTCTCTCGCGTTCGAGCGGTGCGCCCTCGTGCGCTCGTGCTCGAACCGCGCGCGCGCGGGCATCGACGCATCGCACGCGACGCATCGCCAGGTCAACGAGTCGCGCGTCCGCAGCTTGGCGCGATGCCGCGCGCCGCGCTCGTGCGTCGGCATCAAGCGCGCGGGAACGTCGCAATCGCACACTTCGCATCGCGTCGGCGCGCGCGCGCCGTCGACGGGCATGACGCGCGCGCGCGGCGCGATGTGACGAGTCTCGGAGATCGACGCGACGAGGGGTGCCATGTTTTTTTGACGCGACGGGACTGGACGCGTCGACGCGACGAGGGGTGCCGTGGTTTTTCGACGACGCGACGGGACTGGACGCGCGCGTCGAGACGAGCGCGGGAGAGAAGAGAAAATTGCGTCGATCACACGAAGGAAGCGCGCGCGCGCCGGGTGCTCGAGACGCGAGCGAAGCGACGCGCGCTCAACCGAGGGCGGTTAAACCGCTGGTGCCGAGCGTCTCGAGCTTTTCGAACGCTTTTCGAACGATGGTAGATTTCCCGGTACGAGCCAGACCCTTGACGTAAAACACGACGTCCCAACCGTCATGATTAAGAAAACGCGAGTAGATTTTCAACGGTCACACGGCGCGTCTTGACAATCGCCAACAACTCAACTGAAGCGATGGACACCAAAAGGAAGAAAAACGCGGCGTTACCACCCGCTTGAGACAAAACTTGAAGCGGAGGTAGCTTGTACTTCCGTGTACACGAGTATGGGAAATTTTCTTTAGTCCAGGCACACATTCGATCGCGACCGATTTCATCAAAAATTGTGCGGAACGTGTTCAAGACGAGCGCGTCATTTCGATCCATCACTGCCGTATAGCTCACCGCGATGCCGCCCGCTTTATATTCATCTGTTGTGAGTATCAAGGAGCCATGTACTGTTCCGCTGATGTGGTTGGTAAAATTGGTTTGCTGATTTTGAAAAAAGGTGTCGAAAGTAGCGTTCACCGTGCCCATCATATTTGCGTAGTACTTGTATGAAGGACCAAATCTGCCCCACGGACGGAGGTAAGCCGATGGCTGCCGCCCATAATCCGCGTCACTATAGCTCAATATCCCTTGGCCAGGTCCAAATGAAGGCGTGGACTGCTCAAGCTCGCTTAAACCCGAGTTCGTCAGCGATGGTTCTTCGATTTTGGCTAAACATTCATCGTATGTCCAATTCTTGCCATACCAGATAGCGTCCTTCAATGGACGACACGTGAAACCTTCCTTTTCGAGGACATTTTCTACCACCGTTTCCGTAAACTCCTGAGTCGCGTAAAACTGCAGGAGCAACGCAAATACAATCAAAGAGGCTGCCCCGAGAACAAAGCACACTAAAAGTGTGCGTATAGGTGACATGACGAGGTCCAGATCGGTCACTCGGAACCACTTGTCCTCCATCGGTAAACGTGCCTTCCAGCCCAGAGGATTGCTCGCGGGGAGGCGCTTGATTATGATGGCCACTATCCACATGAGGCTTGCGGCGATGAACTGAGCGTTACCATATGAGAGAGAGAGGCGCGTGAGTGTATCGGGCGGGCCTGACTTTTTGCACTCGTACGGCGAGTTTTCCTTCGTGAAAAGGCACACCTCGTCGCCTGCGACATCCATCATGGCTTTCCACACCTCGACTGCATCCGCCTTGAGTGCGTCTGTCCATGAGTTGGAAGGTGCATTGATTAGAATACGAGTCGACTGGGGTTTTCCTCCAACGAGAAACGAAGCCGGATCTTCCCAGTGATCGAGATCGGTCGTCGCGCTGTATTGAGTCAGCGTAGCGTTTGGGCGTTCTTTGCCCCAAAACGCTTGCGATGAAACGCCTTCTTTGGATGCATTAAACGGAACATATTTCGCTTTGATTGGGACCGGATTCGGCATGTTCAATGGATCGCCCTGCCAGGATTCGAAATTAATATTATCCACCGTGATGTCCTGTAAAGCAGCCTTGCAGTCGTCGAACGTATATCGCACACCGTAACCGAGGTTGTCTGTCGTCAACGGCGTGCAGTTGTATCCAGGCATTGCCCAAGAACCTGTGATTTGAATATCGGTGATGTACTGCGAAGTCGACGAAAAGTACTGGTAAAACCATGCAAACGTTCCTACACCGACGGCACAGATGGTAAGCGAAAAGAAACCAACGACCAGCGTGTTCGACACGAATTCGAGCGGCTCCTCGTCGTAAAATTCGGGAGGAAAAGATAACTTTTCAATCCAGGTTTTCTCATTGGTAGCCTTTGGAGCTTTGCGGAAAAAGCCTATGAAGGTGGGTAAAGTAGCAAGGAACACGGTGATCACGAGCCCAGCATTATTATTCGACAGACCAATCATTTCTAAAGCAGTCATTCTTTTCGACTTCAAACACTTGTACGGCAAGTTGTGCTTGGTGAATTCGCACACGTCGCCTCCATTGACGTATTCAATCGTCTTGCTGAACAACTGCAAGAAATGAGCCGCGCTGGTGTTAAAAGTCTCGCAATCGCCGACGATTCCATTGGTGCTGCCACCTCCGGAACGCCTGATTTGGCCCGCGTTGCACGTCGCGCCAGACGGGTTTGGGTACTGCCTGCAGTCGCCGTTGTTTACAACTTGATTGATGTATGTTTCAATTTCTGGCGTACGTGATTCCGGAAGCTTTGGCCAAATACCTCGATGGGCTTGAACACTACCGAACGGATTGTAATACACCGAATTCTTCACCGAGCAGTTATAGGGTATAGTGCCCCCGTTACTATAGTCAGTACGTGTCAGGTAACCTCCAGCGGCGATAGCCTCTGCATTGGCGATATCAAAGCCAATTGCACTCTCTGTCAATGGCACTATCTTCGTTAAACACTCTTCGTACGTATAGTTTAACCCGTAAAATTCATCCGGGCTCAACGGCGCGCAGTCGTAGCCAGCGATCGCCGTGGAGTCGCTGATGATCGTATCCGTCACCCAGCGCGCTTCGTCCGCGTAGTAAAACAACGACCCGATGAATGCCAAGGTAGCGAGCGTGTGCATCGTCACCGCCCCGCCGTAGGCCATCCACACTGGTCCTTTGAATTCGAGATACCGCTCGCGCGCCCAATAAATTTCAGGTACTGGAAGTCTTCGTATGAATCGCTCGACGGAGCCCCTCGCCTTGCGCGCGCGCTGCTTGATCGACGAGGGCGCCGGGGCCGATGCCGACGCGTGCGTCATGATGAACGACGGGCTTCCGCGCGCGGGCAATTTTGCGATGACCGTGCTCTCCGATCTGACGTGTCGACGTAATTACCCTAACGACTCCTCACTCGGTCCCCCCTAATTGAATGCGAATGGAGAGGAAGTGACTAACATATAATGTGGTTTTTAGAGGTATCATATCAGTATCGAGCCCTGGCTCAAGGGCACGCTGGACTGAGTTACCGTGCGCAATGATACATTAATTGCATTACTAGGGATTTCGAAAATAATGTATGAGGGTAAAATAGTGAATTTAATTAACCTAGAGACGTCTTGTCGCGCCGGCGCGCGCCACTTCGCGCCGCGCGCGCGTCCGGGCGGCGCGGAGTCAACCGATGTTTCCGTGTATCGTGATATCCGACCGTTTAAGTTTGAATTCCACGCGTGGGTGTTGACGGAAGACGACCGTTGGAGCTCGATGGGCACGTTAACTTTTGGGCCAGATTCTGTCGCGACGGGAGAAGAGAAGAGTGCGTCGATCACACGAAGGAAGCGCGCGCGCGACGCGCGCTCAACCGAGGGCGGTTAAACCGCTGGTGCCGAGCGTCTCGAGCTTTTCGAACGCGGCGGCGAAGTCTTCGAAGAAAACCTTCTGACTCTTGGCGTAGACGTCGACGTACTTCTTGAAGTCGGCGTCTTCGATGAGCGCGATGTCGCTCGGAAGCATCATCAAGTTGCCGCTCGGGTCTTTGTATTGGAACTTTTTGGCGTCCGGATTCGGCTCCCACTTCAAGCCTTTGAGGAGGACGAAGTAGGAGTTGTTGAACAGCAACGGCGTCCCGCTCCACGGTCCGACGTAACCGGACGCGTCGGCGTGACAACGACCGAGGGCGTGGGCGCCGCTCAACGCGACGATTTCTCGATCGTCGAAACCCATGCGGTAGAAGACGTCGCGCAAGCCTTGCCTCGTCTTCGGTCCAGGGCCGTCGCCCTTGTCGGCGTCGGGCAAGCGCCCGTCGGGGGTGACCGCCTCGGGATCCATCTCGTCGACGCGACCGTACGAAAACTTCAACTTCGGCCCGCCCATCTCTTCGATCGCCACGACGCCGACGAACGCGATGAGATCGGCCCACGATACGTCCGGGTGCCGCTTCTTGATCGGCTCGAGCTTCGCGATCGCCTTATCCAGTCCCGCGTTCCCGCCGTGCGCGAGTTCCTCTTTAAACCGAATCGTCCCGCCGCCGCTCCCACCAGTCTTGCCCATCCGGTCGTACGTCCCGGACGAGTGCCACGCGAGTCGCACGAGCGTCGGCCCGAAGTCCGCGTCGGCGCGCGTCAGCTCGACCGCGTCCCGTCGAACCGACGCGAAGCGTTCCTCCGCCGTCGCCGCGCGCGCGGGCGCGACGTCGAACGCCGCGAAGAGCGCCGGCGCGAGCGCGATCGACGCGAGCGCGCGTCGTCGCGGCGTCGATGAATCGGATGGCGATTCGTCCGAAACGACGTTTCGGACGACCGTCGCGCGCGGACGCGGACGCGTCGCCGCGCGCGTCGCGCGAGCGCGCGTCGAAGCCGACCCGATCGCCGCGCCGAGCTTCGCGCGCGCCGTCGTCGTCGTCGTCGTCGTCGTCGTCGCGCGCATGATTAAAACGTGCGAAAAAGTGCGGTTGTGTCGTAACCGTCCGCCGAATTCCGCAGAATGTCGCGCACCGCGCGCGCGCCATCGACGCGCGTCGCGCGCGTCCCGACGACGAGAGCGTCGACATCGCGCGCGCGCGCGTCGGCGATGCGCGACGTCGCGGGCGTGTACGCCGTCAGTGACGTGCACGTCGATCACGAGAAAAACGCCGCGTGGGTGCGCGCACTTCGACGTCGCGATGACGTGGACGTCGCGTGCGTGTGCGGAGACGTGAGCGACGATTTAGACGCGCTCGAGGAGACGCTCGAGGGATTCAAGCGCGCGGCGTTCGCGGAGGTGTTTTATACGTTCGGAAACCACGAGCTGTGGTTGGGCGAAGCCGACGAGACGCGCGGGACGAAGGATTCCAAGGCGAAGATCGAAGAAGTGTTCGCGATGTGCGCGAGAATAGGGGTGCGGACGTCGCCGATGAAGGTTTGCGATGGGCTTTGGATCGCACCGGTGCACTCGTACCATCATAAGGCGTTCGACACCGAGCCCGAGGTCGCAGAAGCGGTGCCGCCGGTGGAGCGCGTCATGAACGATTTTCGGTTCTCGAAGTGGCCCGATGGGATGGACGATCGCGATTCCGACGACGTCGCGCGATATTGCGATTCACTGAACGATGGCGCGGCGTGGGAGACGTTCTTGCGATCGATCGAGCGGGGCGATAGGGTCGTTAGCTTCTCCCACTTTCTTCCTCGACTCGAGCTGTTGCCGGAGAAACGCATGCTTTTTTATCCGAAACTCGCGCAAGCGAGCGGTTCGGTTCATCTGCGCAAACGCGTGGAAGAAATTAAGTCACGCATTAACGATGGTGATATGACGCACGTGTTTGGGCACACGCATTTCGGTTGGAATACGCAAATCGACGGAGTCAGATACGTCCAGGCGTCGTTGGCGACACCGAAGGAGTGGCAAAAACGCCCGCGTAGTTTAATCATAGGCAACTGGACGAACGCACAACCCGAACCTATGTGCGTATACACGAAAGCGCGTTCGCTGGGGGTCGTCGACGACGCGAAGGCGATGTGGAGCGAGTATTACGCGAAGAATCGTAGAACGCCGGAAGACGTCGAATTGGCGCCGCACGCGCGCGAGTTCGTTCAAAGGCGCTGGGGCGATCGTCGATTAGAGTCGAACGGCGCTGATGCGCCGTTACCAGGCGCGACGGGTCGGGTCAAGTAGTTTAGCATATAGCATATAGCGTTGGATGATATTTATACGTGATGTCGGTCTCGAAAATGAACAAGACGTGAAATAATGGGCGGTGGTTGGTGCTTTGGAGGGATTTTACGCTACGACGCGCGCCTCGCCGCCTAACAATCGTCGATGGTTGAGAACGATGTGTAGGAAATACCCAGCGAGCACGAGATTGAGCGCAGTACACAGCGTTTGCACGCTGCGCGTCTTAAACGTCATCACAAACATCCAAAACGCGGGAATCGACGCCGCGAGCTTCTTGTCGAGCGTGTGCACGGTGTCCATGTCGTGAAAATACAGCAACATCACCCCAAGCAGCGCGGTCGTCAAGTACACGCCCCCACTTCCCGTTTCTTCCTTGCCTTTTGAAAACTTTCCCTGTGCAAAATTCGCCGCCCGTTCGCGCTTGAGCTCGTCGCGAGTCGCGTTCAACTGCTCCCTCAACCGTTCCCGAATCTGTTCCTCTTCCTTTAATTTCGCGCACGCCGCGATGAATTTCTCTCGTTCGATCTCCGACATCTTTCGAAACGCCTCAATCTTCTCGCTCGACGACCGCGAATACTCGCGAAATATCTCGCCGTCGTCTTTGATTTCCGCCGCGCACGCCGCCGCCAGGCTCGGCTTCAACGCCAGCGCGTACAACCCGCGCAACAGCGCCCGCACGTCCGTGCCGCGAGACATCGTCAATTCGCGCAGCATCGCGCTCGCGAGCTGCATCGGCAGCGCCGCGAACGCCGCCGCGTGCGCGACGACGCCGAGCGGAAGGACGAACAATGCCAGCGTAATCGTTGTGCTCAGCTCTTTCGCGCGTCCGAGCGCGCGCGTCGCCGCGTCCGTCATCGTTCGAGCGCGCTCGATTCGTGCGATCGGTGTCCTTCGTCCTTCGCGCGCGTCTCGGCGCCCGTTCGCGGCGCGCGACGCGCGTCGGGCGTCGACGCGCGTCGACGAGTAGCGCGACGGTTCAACGAGATCTGCATTCCCACGCGCGCGGGCGTCGCGGACGAGCGACGATGGCGCGCGATGACGCGGGGCGGCGCAAAAGCGAGTCCACGTCCGATCGCGCGGGCGCGCTGGACGTCGGCGCGCGCGTGTGGGCGAAGGCGTCGTTCGATGAAAAACGACGGCTCGGGGAAATCGTCGACGTGCGTCGCGAGGACGGCGTCGCGGTGGCGTATTACGTGCACTATAGCGAGTTGAATAAACGCCTGGACGCGTGGGTGCCAGTGGAGGACGTGGAGACGCGTAAGGAGGGCGAGGGCGAGGGTAAGGGCGAGGGCGGCGACGGTCGAGGCGGCGACGGCGACGGCGGCGGCGCGGGGAGCGCCGACGACGCGCTTGGGGCGCACGGTAGAGTGAACGGGAAGCAGCCGAAGACGTTGACGCGGAATTCTAAGCGGAGATATAATGAGATACACAACGTGGACGCGCCGGTGGAGGATTTGCCGCCCATGGATCAAATGTTTGAGCGCATGCACGAGGAGAAAACAAAGGTGAAGAACGTGCACTCGATCGAGCTCGGGCGGCACGAGATGGACACGTGGTATTATTCTCCGTATCCGGATGACTTCGGAAAGTGTTCCAAGCTGTACTTGTGTCAGTATTGTTTCAAGTATATGCGAAAGGCGAAGACGTGCGTGCGGCACAAGGCGGAGTGCGAGATGAAGCATCCGCCGGGAAAGCGGGTTTATCGACATCCACAGGGCGAGGGCGAACCGTTGTTGAGCTTTTGGGAAATCGATGGCGCGCACTTCAAAATGTACTGCCAGAATTTGTGTTTGATGGCGAAACTATTCTTGGACCATAAGACGCTGTACTTTGATGTCGAACCGTTTATGTTTTACGTGCTCACTGAGTCAATGGATGGAGACGAAACGCACGATATCGTGGGTTACTTTAGCAAAGAAAAGGTTTCAGTGGACGATTACAACTTGGCGTGTATTTTGACGCTGCCGGCGTATCAACGCAAGGGATATGGCTCATTCTTAATATCGATGAGCTACGAGCTGAGTCGACGCCAAGGCGTGTACGGCACCCCCGAACGGCCGCTGTCTGATCTCGGACAAGTGAGTTATAGAAGCTATTGGAGTCGAGTCGTTTTGGACGTGCTCCACAAGCACAGAGGAAACCTCAGCGTGAAGGATCTGAGCTCGATGTTGATGTTTCGCGAGGCAGACATTGTCAGCGCGTTGCAGTCGCTCAATCTGGTCAAATACTGGAAAGGCCAGCACATCATCTCTTCTTCGCCAAAAATTGTGGAAGAACACTTGAGTAGTTTTGAAAAGAAATCCGCTATAGCGGGTACGAGGCTCGAATTCAACCCGGAGTACTTGAATTGGACGGCGCCGCCGATGTAGCTTTTAAAAACAATACCGTGAAATGTGAGTTACAAAGACGAAATGCATTAATACAGAAAGAATTATTTTAGAATACTGCCAGACGCCAGACAAAGCACCGAGTGGTGTGCAGTGGGAACGAGAAGACATCTACGATGAAATCTCGACCCGTCCCTGTCGTTGCAAGCGCCGAATGGCGCCATTTGAGACCACTGATCGAACGGCTTTGGTCGCCGACGCGGCGACCGCGGGAAGTGTGAGTGAGGATGGAGACACTCGAAGTCCGATTTTCAACGGCGACGAGTCCTCAACCGACTTCGCGCGCGTCAACTTGGCACCTCTCGGCATTGGTAGTTTCCATCTCGTGCGTAAAAGTTGCGCCTCGACGCCTTTGGCGATACTTTTTGTGACGCTATTTTGTGCATCGAGAGCTAACGACAGCGCCGACCTCCCGGTCTCCACGAGAAATCCTCCGAACGAAAGCACTTCGCGAACGATGGGGACGTTTTCGGAAGTTCCCGCCACGACGCCCGATCCCCACGTCACGAATCGTTTAGCCGGAACAAATGGCATGAAGCGAGTGCCCATGCCGAACATGAGCGTCGCGCTGGCGAATCGCCCCGCCTTGTTCCAATTTTCTACGTTCTCGACGTCCGTCAAAGCCTTGGTTAACCACAGGTGATGCTCCCAAATTCGTCCCTTATTCTCCTCTAGTCTCTTCATGATGCCGTGCTTCACAAACTTACTGCTCACCGCGGTTTCTCGCGTCAAGTAGTAGCACAAGTCGTTGAGGTAATGCCGGCAATCGTTCACGTGTAACTCGTACACCATGTCGCGAGCGTCGTTGAAACCGCGAATATCGTCGAGCGACAAGTGTGTCGTCCCCACGAGATATGCTCCATCGGGTAACGAACGCACTTTGTGATCTCTAATCTCCCCCTGTACGCACGACGACTTCCTTCGCGCTCTGTGCCTGCCCACGCGACCTCTCGTCATCGCGTACACCGTTTCCCGCGCGCCTTGTTCGCTCGATCTCAGCGTCTTCCCGCCCGCCAGCGCCAACCAACGATCGTGCACGTCTCCACCCACCGGTCCGAAATCAAACTGTCGCATCTCACCCGTTTTCAAATCTCTGTACACCAGCATGAAGTGCGCCACGCCCGCTGTCAACAGCGCCTCTCTCGCGCCTCGCGGCAACGCCGAGAATATCCCCTTCCCCCACTCTTGAAACGGTCGACTCACGCAGTACACCTCCGCCTCCTTCGTCCCCGAGCGTTCGCGCGCTTCGAGTTCGTCATCGATCGCCTTATCTTTCTCGCTCGCGAATCCCAACCGCCGCGCCGTCGGTCGTCGTCGGTCGTCGCTCTTTCCCGAGAGACCCGCGCTCGTCGCGACTTTCCCTCGCCTCGCGCCGGGGAACAGCGGTTCGCGCGTCTCGCGCGTCGGCGACGCGTGCGTCATGATCGTCGCCTTCCCCGCGCCGGTTTCGCGCGCGGTCGCTCGCGCGTCGTCTCGCGCGCGCGCGCAAGATGCGTTGCGTCGGCTCGATCGATCGCTTTCTGCGTCCAGGTCAACGCGCGTCGCGCCTCGGCGTCGCGGTCTTCGCCGCGCGCGCGCGCGGTCTTCGCCGCGCGCGGTCTTCGCCGCCGTCGCCTCGCCGCGCGTCCGTCGCCGCGCGTCGCGGTCTGCGACGCGCGCGTCGAAAGTTCTCGATGCGCCGCGACTCGTGGCTACGGTGCGATCTAAAATGATTATTGATACACTATTGATTCCTAAAGCACAACGTATCACGTCGCCGCGCGTTCGCGGCGGCGACGGTCGACGAGCGCGCGCGCGTCCTCGACGAGCGCGAAAGCGTCCGATGCGAATGCTTCCAACACCCGGTTCCGTCTGGCGGCTTCGTTCGCCTCTTCGGCGAGGGCGGCGCCTTCGGCCGCGTACTGTCTCAACAACCCGTCCGCGTCGTCGCAGCGCCGCCTCAACAGCGCCTCCTCCGTGATCCGCGACGCGTCCTCGCCGCCGACTGGCGTCTCTACGGATTCCTCGCGCGCGCGCGGGGCGACCGCGCGCTCGAGCGAGCGCAACGCGTCGTCGCGTTCGCGCTCCGCGACGCGCGCTCGCTCTCCGAGCCGTCTCGTCTCAGCCTCGAAAGCCGCTCGAATCCCCGCCGTCGCGTCGGTGTTCGACGTCGACGTCGACGTCGTCGCGCGTTCGACGCGCGCGCGCAGCTCATCGATCGTTCGCGCGTCCTCCTCCGACTTTCGCTCGACTTGCTCGAGTCTCGATTTCATCGCGCCTAATTCTGCAGTCGCCGTTTCCGCGTACGCCATCGCCGCCGCCGTCGCGCGTCGCAGCGCACCGCGCAGACGCGCTATTTCTTCGTCTTTATCGTCGTCGCCGCGCGCCATCGCGCCCGCCATCGCGCGTCGGTGTGCGGATAGAATTTTCGCGCCAAAAGCGTTGACATCTTCGCGGTGAACACGCGTCACATCGCGAACGAGATGCCGGGCGGTGCGGAGGACGCCGCGTGCGCCGCGACGCGCGTGCGCGGTGAACTTAACGCCTCGTGGCCGCGCGGAAGAACGCCCGCGAGCGGGTCGACGCCGCTCGTCGCGCTCGCGAAGAATATGTCCTCGGTGCTTCAACATTTTGAAGCGGTGAAGACGACGGATGCCGACGACGAGACGACGCAGGTGGCTTCGCTGCGCGCGTTTAGCGAGCGAGAGGTCGTGGTGGATGTGTACGATCGATCGGGCGGGGCGACGCGAGCGGTGCGTGAGAAGTTGGGCGCGGTGGGCGGGACGCGGGTGCGGGAAGCCAGAGACGCGAGCGGCGACGGCGACGTCGGGTTGGTCGTCGTCGACGGGCAGGAAGAAGAGAGTTTCGAAGCGATCGGCAAAATTTTGAAGCAGTCAGGCGTGGCGTCGACGCGAGTGATCGTGCTCGTGTATGGGGCGGCGGTGGGGACATTGGAGGAGGCGCGAGCGCGAGCGGCGCGAGAGACGCGAGCGCCGATTGAAAACGTCTTTGCGACGTTTGGGATTTTAGACGAGTCGACGAGCGAGCGGTTGGATTCGTTGTTGAAGAATCCTCCGCTAAGATCGACGTTGGAGACGTCCGCTGAAGTGAGAGTGTCTGTGCCAGAACCGGTGTCGGCGTTCGCCTTGGACGACGAAGACGAAGACGAAGACGAAGGTTTGACTTCGATCGCGTTGTCGGACGCGAAGGTCGAGCGTGAAGAATGGGAAACGATCGTTCGTGAACACGCGGAGCGATGCTTCGAAGATGCCGTCGACGCCACTATGGAGCAGACGCGACAGTTTTGCTTGCGACGCGCGGAAAAGTTGGCTTTGCAGTACGAACCGCTGCGTAGTTCTTTATATCAACGGATTAGAGGCGAGCGTTCGAAGACAAAAATCGTGGAGCCGTCGATACAGGCTCGCGTGGCGCCGCCATCGCAATACGTCGAAGAAATGACGACGACACGTCCGTATAAATTGAATTCCGCGGCGTCGCAACCACTCGGTATCGATATGATCAAGCTTCAATCAGTGGCGATTTCTGGTGTCGAGCAAGGCGCCGTCGTTGCGTCGCAGGCGGCTGAAAAGGTTGGCTCGTTCCTCAACTGGATCGTAAGCGAGAATGAAGAGAGCGAGGACGAGCGTAGACGACGAGTTGAGCACGAGCGCGTCTGGCACGAAAGGCGCCAAAAGTTGTGGGATGCCGAGCGCGCGCAACGTGTGGAGACGCAAAACCGAGGCAAACACTCACCGACGGCGTCCTTCGTCGAAACGACGTCCAAGCTCGTAGACATCATAGACGGTTCGCTTGGCGGCGAATCTCAGCTCGATCAAGCCAACGCGAGGATTCGCGCGCTCGAGGCTGCCCTCGCGCGATACGACCCGTCGCACGAGCTGTTGCGCTAAACTAGTATTTGTATTTAACATCCGCCCGCTTTGCTACTACGTGTCGTCATCCATCAACGCCCGCACCGCCTTCAACTCGCTCAACAACACGCGAAACTTCTCCTCACTCATCTCCATATCCAAGCGTCCATCATCTACCGTATCCAACGTCAATCGCACCCCCAAGCTGTCTCCCGGCGCTCGATTCTCGTCATCGCCGTCGCTGCTTCCAAACGTCACTCCCCACCCTAAATCCCTCAGCCCATTCACTCGCACCGTGGCTCCGAGCGCGGCTCGCCGTAACCCATCTCTGTCTTTCCCATACGACTTACACATCGCCTCGGCGTGCTCTTTCGGCAATCCAAGCTGCTCGAGCTCCCGACCCAGCGTCGTTTCGTCGACGTCGAAGCGCGTGGCGTTCGCGATCGCGTATTCCAACGCTGCCACCACCGCTTCCGCGTCCTCGGGCGTGATGGCGTCGTCGACAACTTTGCGGAACTTGGAGTAATCGACCTGCACGCGCGGCGTCTCCGCGGGTGCCGTCGCGTCGTTGTCGTCGGTCGATTTCAATGTCCCGAACGGTTGCGCATTCGACGCCGCTGACGCGCGAACGGCGACCAAGTGCGAGCACAACAGGCGGACGCGCACGCTGGAAAGCTTGGAGACGGTGAAGATCTCGGCGAGGAACCAATCTGGGGCGTCGCGGTCGCCGAAGATTTTAAACTTCATCGCGCCGACGAATGCGGGCGAGCGACGCGACGTTCACTACAAAGTTATGCTAATTTACCTTTTGAATCCTTCGAATCGACGTCGCCGATGGATTCTAAAATCTCACGCGTCTTTTCGAGCAAATCGTACATGTTCTCGCCCGCGTCCGCGCGGCGCGCGCGCTTGGGACCGATGACGTCGAGCGCGGCGTAGGCGAGCGTCGGGAAGAAACGCACGCAATACGTCAACGCCATGATGGGCTGTGGCGCCAAGACGAGCTCGTCGACGTCGGCGAGCGCAGAGCGTACGATGCGCGCGGCGACGTAATCGACGTTCATGCGACCTTTCGTGGACGGCGGTCGCGCGGCCGTTCGCGAAATTGCCGTTTTTGACGCGCTCGGCGACGGCGTGGAATCCGCCATATTCTTGCGAAATATGACGCGCTCTTGGCCGTTCATCCCCGTCGCGATCGGACCTGGGTACACACACACCACCTTCACGCCCGTGTTCGCGATTTCAGAGCGCAACGAGTTTAAAAACGCAGCATACGCCGATTTCGCCGCGGCGTACACGGACTGGCCCGGCGCCGGAACTTTGCTCGCGACGCTACACACGCCGACAATCTTCGGCGCGATCGAGCCCGCCTTTCGCCGACGCGCCGCGGCGACCATTCGCTTCGCGACTTCCTTCGTCAGAGAAATCGCCCCGATCGCGTTTAATTGAAACAACGCCTTGTCCACGTCTTCGTCGTCGCCCGCCAAAGCGCTGCACGCCTGCGACCCGCCCGCGGCGTTCACGAACACATCCACCGTCCCACCCGCCGCCTCGAACGCCCTCTCGCACGCTTCGCTCAGCTCGCTCCGCGTTCCGCACACGTCAAACACCACGCATTTCGCGCTCGCCGCTCCCAACCGCGCGCACTCCTCCGCGACTTCCGCGCACCGCTCGGCGCGTCGTCCCGACACCACCACCCTCGCCCCGAGTCTCGCGCACGCGCGCGCCGTCGCCTCTCCGAGCCCCTGCGACGCCCCCGTGATCCACACCGCGCGTCCTCGAAGCGCGCGCGCCGGTCCCCGTCGCGCCGTCGCCCGCGCGACGACCGCGCGCGCCAGCCACGCGAGCGCGAGCGCGAGCGCGAGCGCGACGCGACGCCGCGCGCGCGCGAGCGCGACGACCGCGACGACGGGCGCGAGCTCGCGCGCGATCGCCGCGCGACGTCCAGCGCGCGCGAACGCCGACATCCCGCGTCGCGCGGTGCGGCTGGTCGGCGCGCGCGCGGCGAACGCGAGAGGCGAGAGGCGAAGCCGCGCGCGGTCGTTCGTGAGATTACGATCACAAGCCGTCGGACGACGAACGCGACGCGCGCGATGAAGATCGATCGCGCTTAATCGAGCTTAAAACCGGGGATCGGGGCGTACAAGAAGGGCTCGCGGGCGAGCGGCATGCCGAGGAGCGCGAAGACGCCGCCGGCGGCGGCGCCGACGAGAATGATCGTGACGCCCCATTGCACGCCCTTGCGCACGAATTGAGCGACGACCTCGGGATCGTTTTCGTTGGCGGTCGCGTTCGTCGTCGTGAGCTGACGCCGGACGTCGATACCGAGAAGCTTGCGCTCGGCGGCTCTCGCCGTTTGCTCGCTCGCTCGACTCGTCAACGCCAGGGCGTTAAATTCGATACCCTTCTCGGCGCGCATCGCGCGCAACACTCTAGCCACGCTCGCTCGCGTTTCGACGACGGCCCATTTTGCGATTTCGCTCTTCGAGCCAAACTTCTTCGACGCGTACGTCGCCCCCTCCAACGCGACGTACGCGAATTCCGCGCCGTCGCCGCCCTCGAGCGCGAACGCCCGCGCCCCCTCCTCGAAACACCGCAACTCTCGCTCGACGTACCCTTTCGCCCGACCGAGCGCATCGACGTCGCTCTTCTTCAAAACTTTCAAGTCGTCGCTCCCGAAGCACGCCTCACGATCGAACAACGCCTTCGTCTTCGCGCGTTCGCACCCGTCGCCTTCGCCGTCGGCGATCGCCTTCGCCGCGTTCGACAATCCCACCGCACCTTCGACCCGCACCTCCCGCCGCGTCACCCCTGGCACGTCCCAAACATCTGCACCGCCATCCGCCACGATCGCGTCGTGCGCGAACGTCAAGAACCTTCCCTTTCTCGTCCCCGCGCCGTCGCTCGAGCGTCGCGCCGCGAACCAAATCTTCTCCTCGTCCACCGTCGCCCGCACGACGTCGTCGCGCGCCGAGACGCCCTCCGCGACGAGTCCGAGCGACGCGCGCGCGATGACGGCGAGCTCATCGAGCGTGATCGCGCGCTTCATCGCGTCGTCGCCCGTCGAGAGCCATCCATCGGTCGTGGCGTCGAAAAACGTCCCGGCGGTCTCGCGCGTCGCGCGCGCGACGTCGCAGCGCGCGACGAGCGCGACGAGCGCGATCAGCGTCGCGGCGACGCGCGCGCGAGGCATGGCGACGTTCGACCGACGCGCGCGCGCGGCGTCGCGGTTTGACGATAGATTCCGCGATTCACGACACTCATCCGCGCGCGGTCGCGCGATGTCGCGTCCGTTACCCGCGGGTGCGGCGCTGTTGGACGATCCAAACGCCAGGGCGTCGTTCGACGCGTTCGCGCGCCGCGACGGGGTCGCGCGCGATGAAGAAACAGACGAAAACGCGCGCGATGTTGATTTGGATGCATCGGCGTCGCGGCCGAAATTCGCGGCGCTGAACGTCGGCGCGACGTTGATGACGCCCGGAGTGGAGTCGGATGATGTGGACGATCGCTTAAAGGCGTTCGTGTTGGGTGGGGGTTCGAACGGGCGCGCAGTCGTGAGCGACGGCGGCGGCGGCGCGTTCGTCGGGCGGTTGGGCGACGGCGCGCGCGACGGCGTCGATGACGACGCGATCGCGCGGAAGATCTCGAGCGAAAACGCGGAAACGTCGACGAGCTTGATCGTCGTGGACGATTGGTGCGGCGAACACTGCGTGATCGGGGTGATGGGTCGAGGCGACGGCGCCGGGGACGGGGCGCGATATTGGCGGCGAGGTTGGGCGGCGGCGCGGCCGCTCGCGGGTTTGCGTGGCGTGCACTGCACGTGCGCGACGTTCGTCAAGGGGAAAGACGGCGACAACGATGGGGCAAGGATCCTCTTGGGCTCGAGCGATGGGCGCGTGTTCGACGTGCGCGTGGACGCAGCGGACACGCGACGGTTTGAAAAATCGTGCGAAGTGGCGTTAGAGTTGCGAGACGGGAAAGCCATCACGGGAGTGTGCGCGACGAAAGATCGCGCGAGCGATGGTAGTGAAAGGTTCGGGGCACTGATTACGACGCCGTCGAAATTGTACGCGTTCGTGGGGTCGTATTCATTAGAGTCCGTGCTCGCCATGGCACGCGCCCGACCGAGCGGTTTCGAGGCGGCGGTTGAGATGCCCGTGGAGAGCGATAGGAGTAAGCTGTGCGTGTGGCGAAAGCGGCGATCATCAACGCCTGATCGCATGGCGTGGCTCACCGGGGCTGGGGTTTATCGCGGGAAGCTGAATTTCAAAGTCGACGACGCTTCAAGCGTGTTGGAGCAACACGGCGCGCTCCCCTTTCCAAAACTAGAAGACGACGAATCGGGGAACGACGCCCCGATTTCGCTTGCGATGACGGAGCATCACATTTTATTGCTATACTCGACGCGTTTGGTGGCCATGAATTCAATCACGGGAGATGTGGAAGGGACGATTAAACTACCCCTAGGTGGCGCGTCGACATTCGCTTTCACCGATCCTGCGACGTCTGTTCCGTACGCGGCGAACGCAGAGAATTTGCTACAAATCGTCGTTACAAACGAAGATGCAAACATGTGGCGAGTGTACTGCGACCAAAATGATTACGACCAAGCGATTACGGCGTGCAAGTCTGATTTACAGCGGCAGTTCGTGTACACTGCTCGAGCAGAACGCGCGTTGAAATTGAAACGCTTCGACGAAGCCGCGACGGCGTTTGCCAACGCCGGCATCGCGCACGCAATCGAAACGATCGCAAAAACGTTCGTTGACTTGAACGCAAAAGACGCACTGTATGCGTACATGGAAGGGCGGTTACGCGGCTTACCGCAAGACGATGCGGCACGACGTTTGATCATCGCCATGTGGTTGCTTGAGGAGTACGTCAAGATTGCGAGCTTCTCTCGCAACGAGGCGAACGACTTCAAGGTTCGAGAGTTTTTGCGAGAAAATTTCGAGAGCCTGGACGAACGGGAAGCGTTGCGAATTTTAAGCGAAGCTGGTCGTATCGATGACGAAATTTACTTTGCCGAACTGTGCGGTGATTACGACAGGGTATTGGATCATTTCATGCAAATCGGCGACGCGAGAAAAACTTTAGAAATCGCGGCTTCGCCTAAAGTACCGCGTTCAACGTTGAATCGAGTGTTGCCGACACTCATTAAGGCACTGCCAAAAGACTCGATCGATTTCATGCTATCACGCCCGAAGACGGATGACGATGTGAAAATTATAGAGGCTTTGGCTCGCGACGATGCGTCCTACGCGGCGTCAGAGACGAGTGAATCGCTGGCTGCATACTTGACGAGATATTTAGAGTCCATCACGGCGAAACCGGACGGCGCAGCTCGCGGCGACGCCACGGTGCACGATCTTCTGCTCGATGTGTACATCAAACAGCTAGAATCCTCACCCACCGTGGTGGCAACGTTGAACAAGTACATACTCGACGCCGTGGATGAAAGCACTAATGCGCCGTACTACGACGTACATTATGCGATTCGTATGTGCGAAAAACATGGCGCACATCGAAGCGCTGTGTACGCATACTGTGTATCTCGGGATTTTGACATGGCCATGCACGTCGCGTTGACGACGCTTCAAGATGTGGAGTTGGCAAAAACCGTGACGAAAAAAGCCGCCGAGTCGAAATCAGATGATCCAAACGAAGACGAAATCACGCAGAAAAAACTGTGGATTGAGATTGCAAAGTGGTCGATTCGCAAGTCTGGTGCACTGGACAAGGCAATGGCATCGATGGACGAAGACGAAAAGCGCACCGCGATTCGCAGCGCGCTGAGCTTTTTGAATGAAACCAACGGCGCGTTGCGTGTGGAGGACATTCTTCCTCTCCTTCCCGACTTCACCATCATCGACGACGTGAAGGACTTGGTGCTGCAGTCTCTCACAGAGCATCGAACGGAGATCGAACAATTGAAAGAAGGCCTAGAAGAGATCACCGCCTTCACGCAAGACGTCCAGGACGATATCGAGGAGATGGAACAGAAAACCATCGTCATCTCCAAGGATACGAAGTGCTTTGAATGCGGCAAGCCTGTGGTGCGTTTGCGTCTGATGGAGACGGCGGATGATCCAAACTTACTCGCCCCTTTCTATGTCTTTCCGTGCGAGATGGCGTATCACACTGAGTGCCTACTCCGACGCACGCTACCTCTCATGCTCATCGATCAACGCAAACGAGCGTTGGCGCTCATGCGTGCGCTCAAGGTGCCGCTCCCGCGACGGCTCAAGCCCGAGACAAAGTTTTGGGGCGCGCCGCCGAAATCTGCCACCGGTCTCACCACCGCCGAAGCCGTGAGTGAGCTCGAAGACATCTTATGCGCAGACTGCCCAGATTGTGGCGCGCACGATTTACGTCTCATAAACCTCCCAATCTTGACACCAGAAGAGGAAGCCTTGGACGAGGAACTCGTGCGTTTGCTCCCGCCCGAGTGGTTCGAGCCCATGCACGCAGCCATCAACATGAACGACCCCGCGGAGACGTACCTGACCATGGAAGATTTCAAAAAAATAGATCTCGGCGAGGGATGGCCCGATCACGACTTCTTCCGCACGTTTTAGAATTTTAGACATCCATGTTGAAATCGACGGAGCCGTCGCTTATCCACAGCCCGTGCGCGCGCAGAGTCTCCACAGCGCGACGTGATGCATCGCGCCCTCGCTCGAACTTCTCTGCGGGTATCGCGTCACGACTTAACGACATCAATCTCCAGTCCCGCGTCGCACGCGCGTCGTCGCGCGATGCCCGCGCTGTCGTCCCGAGCCGACGCCGACTCGAAATCTGTCCCCACCGGGTCGCGAGAGCCACACTTTCGGTTCGGTTTGCTCGCCGACATACAGTACTGCGACGGCGACGACCGCAAAAACATCACCGGAACGCAAATGCGGAGGTACAGGAACACGCTGAACGTCGCGGAACGGGCGGTGGAGTATTTTAACACGCACGAGTGTGACTTTTTGGTGCACAACGGAGACATCACCGACCACCAGTGCGCGTTTGATTTCGCGAGCGATGATTTTAAGCCCATCGAGCGCGGAAGAGAGGATTTAGGGGCGGTGATGCGGATATTGAGCCGAGCGAAGTGCGCGGAGTGGTTGTTCACGGTTGGGAATCACGAGCTGTATAATTTTACGCGAGAGGAGTTGCGCCAAGGCGTGGCGAGTCCTGGGAATTCGTTGAATTTGAAATGCTCGAACGCGGATGGGGAGTTTTATTACTCCTTCAAAGCCGGACCGGGATGGCGAGTGATGGTGCTGGATCCGTACGCGGTGAGTATTTATCGCAAAGGTCGCCAGCAAGGGCTGTGCGAGGAAGCGGTGGAGCTGTTGCGCAAGCACAACCCAAACGTCGACTTGTTCGTCAAGGAAAATCCAGACGTGATAGAGACCGAACGCATGAGCGGGACTTTTCCGTACTTCAAAGACATCGAGGGGCTGGCTGGGCGATGGGTGCCGTTTAACGGAGGATTGGGGAAAGAGCAAATCGCCTGGGCTCGCGAGACGATTCGCGCCGCGAGCGCCGCAGACGAAAAGGTATTAATCTTCTCTCACTTGCTCATCCACCCGCACTCCACGGCGAAAAGATCGGGCAAGACTTTGATGTGGGACTACGACGAAATTTTAGAAATTATCGAGGCCGAGGAAACGCGAGGGTGCGTGAAGTGCGTAGTCTCCGGCCACCAACACGAAGGCACAAAGTGGCAGTGCGAGAAAACGGGCGTGCATTACATCGGCATGGAGAGCCCGATGCTAGCCATGGACGTGTCCCCGGGACCATTTGCCATCGTTGAAGTCTTCGATGATGAAATTGTATTCAAAGGGTACGGGCGAAACGAGGACTCGCTCTTATTCCCTTTCGATCCAGAAGAACCACCGACGGAGCCGTTGTTGTGCAGTCTTCGTGTGAATTCGCATGATCCTTAGAGCGCCCATCACACCACGTGTTGTATTACTTTTACAATCCTTGTTAGTCATATTCTGTCGCTTTGCGATCGTCGCGCGCTTTCATCGGACGAAATCTCAGACGCAATGGCGTCTTTTGCGATTTCGTCGTCACGCGCGCGCGGACGTCGCTGCGCGAAAACAAATCTACTACTTTGACGCGACGAAAATCACCACCCGAAACGCGACACGCGCGGTTTATTGTAGTACTTTTGATGGTACTCTTCGGCATCCCACCACGGTGTCGCTAAAGAGACCTCCGGCGGGTAGATATCGGTGAAGAACTTTCGCTGCACTTGCTTCTCGCGCGCTTCCTTGGACGCCACCGCTTTTTCGTACTGCTCGGGCGTCTGCGCCCAAATAGCGCTCTTATACTGCGCTTTGCTTTCGTACGTGGGTTGATGCTCGCTCCAAAACTGTTCCAACAGCTTATCGAAGCTCGTCGTCGCCGCGTCGTACGCCACGTAATACCCCTCCGTGTGCCCGGTTCCTCCGGCACACACCGCTGAATACGTCGGGAAATCGCTCTCGCCTCCTGTGTACCCGACCCTGACGTTCTTCACGCCCTTGAGCGCGCTGAACGAGGCGTCGGGCCCCCAAAATCACCCAGAGGCGAAGACGGCGAGTTGGCAATTTTCCGGGACGACGAAACCATCGCCGCGGTCGGTGCGCCGCGCGTCCTTGCTCGCGGGCATCGCGGCGAGCGCGCGGACGTTTCTTTTGTTCGCGGACGCGCGCGAGGGAGCGGCGACGCGCGCGGTCGCGACGGCAGCGCGCATCGGGACGCGCGTCCCGGTGTGACGTGGCCGCACAGATTTCGACCGCGCGGGCGCGCGCGGTCGAAATCTGAGGCGCACACCGGCGCGACGCGACGCGCGCGCGAGACGAAAGCTAGAGATATGATGAGTAAAAATATTAATCTCGCGCGCGACGACGACGGCGAGCGCGCGATCAGCGCAGGATGACCAGAGACCAATCCGGGAACTTTGCGTTCCAGTATCGAACGCCCATCTGCGCGAGCGTTCGCGAGTTATCGTCAAACTTCTTCCCCGCGTACGCCAAGCGCACGAGCCCCGGCATGACTCCAGTTTTATCCGCGATGAGCTTTTTCACCTCGTTCACGCGCGTGGTGTCCGAGACGTCGATCCAGAACGGCCCTCCGTACTCGCAGTCGACGTGCAGCATGCTCGTGACGAGCAGACGCAGCGTCTTCGGCGGCTTTCTCATCGCCGCCACTTTCGCGTCGATGAAGCTCCCGAGCGGAATCCCTTTCGCCACGGCCTCGGCTTTATCCTTCAAGTATTCCTCGCGCGTCGGATCGTACATGGGCGTCCACTCCGAGCTCACCCCTCCCTCCCCGCGCGTCGCCGGCGCGTACCTCTCATCCTCCTCGTACCACGGGTACCCACCGTTCGGCGGGATCGTCGCCGTCGCCCCCGACCCCCCGGTCCCGGGCGCGTTGTTATACTTTGAAAACGCGAGGTCCGAGCTTCGATACGTCGGCATCGCGTCCGTCCGCGTCGTCCTGTGCCGTTTTTCGCGGCCGTTTTTCTCGAGAGATCCAAACCGTTTTTTATCTGACGCGACCGCGCGAGGCGACGTCGCGCGAGTGGATAAGGCGCCTCACCGCGCCGCGCGCGCGCGCGACGCGCGCGGAGGCGCCGAAAAGCTAGGACCGCGCTCGAGAATGACGCGCGCGTCGATCTGTCGCGCGGTGCCCGCGCGCGCCGCGCGCGCGGCGCCGCGCGCGCGCGCGAACGCGCGACGTGCGGGACGCATCGCGACGACGACGCGCGCGGCGTCGACGACGGACTTCCCGAGCTTCTTCCCGCCCGAAGTGCGCGAACTCGAGGAACCGGCGGCGATCGCGATGGCGCGGCGGTGCCGATCGGTGTCGGTGGACGTCCCGGGGCGGGCGAAGGCGGTGCTGACGTCGTGCGCGGGCGACGCGGGGCCGGCGGGGAGCGACGCGGCGCCGTTCGTGCTGCTGCACGGATTCGATTCGTCGTGTTTGGAGTACAGAAGGTTGTTTCCGAAGCTCGCGGCGAAGGCGGAGACGTGGGCGGTCGATTTGTTGGGCTGGGGGTTCACGGACGCGCAGGATGGAGGGATCGGGGATTACTCGCCCGAGGCGAAGCGAGCGCACTTGTACGCGTTTTGGAAGGCGAACGTCGGGCGGCCGATGGTGCTGTGCGGTGCCTCGCTCGGGGGAGCCGCGGCGATAGATTTCGCGACGAATCATCCGGAGGCGGTCGAGAAGCTCGTGTTGATCGACGCGCAAGGTTTCATCGAAGGTCTCGGGCCGATGGGCGCGTTGCCGCGGCCGGTGGCGAAGATGGGCGTGAACATTTTGCGCACGACGGCTTTGCGCAACGCGGCGAATCAAATGGCGTATTACGACAAAGCGACGTTCGCTACCGATGATGCGCTTCGCGTCGGGCGCTTGCACACGTTTGCGCCGCAGTGGTGCGACGCGACTTTGTCGTTCATGCAATCCGGCGGGTTCAAGGTGAGAAACTCCATCGCGAAGGTGCCGATGGAGACGCTCGTGTTGTGGGGTCGTGAAGACAAAATCTTGGAGCCCAGCTATGCTGAAAAGTTCATGAAGGAGCTACCGAACGCACGATTGGTGTGGGTCGAAAAGTGCGGGCACGTCGCGCACTTGGAGCAACCCGAGTTCATGTGCCAGACGCTTTGGGATTTCGCGGGAAAGACGAGCGCGGCGACGGCGTAGAACTGAAATTTCCATAAATTGCGTTGAAATATATATTGCATCAGATCGTTAGTGCATAAACGCTTTTCTTATTCGAATTAAAGTCGAATTAAACGACTTGCAACGGCATCGTCGTTTGCGGCTCGCCGACGAGGATAAAGCTCACGGTGTATACCGGAGCGGCGCCGATCGGCACTTGCAGCGCGCCTCCAAACATCGACATTCCGGGCATTGCGTACATTTTCCCCAGGAAAACGCCCGGGTAAATCGGTCGCAACTCATCGCGGAAGTACGTAAAGTCGTGATTGAACGAGCTGTAATCGACGACGACAGCGTTCGTGCCCGGCTGAAAGTTGGAAGAACTGATTTCGGCTCGGCCCGGGTAGAGTTCGATTGGCTCCGCCAGTCGTGGGAAGACGCTGTTCAGTAAGGTGCCGTAATTCAACTGAATCAGATTCCTTACTGACGCAGGATCGATTTGATCAAAGACTTTGCCGCGCCAGCTGTCGAAATTGAATGTTCTACGAACGCCGTACGCGCGGGCGATCGCTTCGTACGTCCCGGTACCGAGGATACACCCCTCGTAGCGACCTCGAGGAATTTCTGTGCCGGAAAAGTCCGCGGCTTGCCAGTACGCGTCGTCCATCGCCGTGTCGTCGAGATTCGCGCGCAAGAAATCAGAGCCACACACATCGTTTTCGACAAATTTACTCACGTTCAACGGGTTGTATCCAAACTGGCCGTCGTCATCGACGTACGAATATAGATTTTGGGCAAAGGTTGAGTTCCAGCTCGTCGGCGCGAGCGCCGCTCTCGCGCTTTCATCTGACTGGCGCTCGACCGTGGCTGTCAAATTGAACCGCAAGAGCTCAGAAAAGAAAAAAGTCGTGGCGCGATTCACCACGCGCTCGACGAACGTCGTCGGCCCGAAGAGGGTGTTATCGGTCGCAAAGTCCAGAAAGTAATCTAGCACGGGCGTCGACGTTTCCTCGCCGCTTTGTCGCGCGAGAATCCAATCCAACACTGGCGTCGCAGTTTCCTCACCGCTTTGTCGCGCGAGAATCCAATCCAACACTGGTGTACCGTCGCCCTGAGATCCCAAGAGCTTTCGTCGAGCGATCGCGCTGGTGTACTCCGAATCCGACGTCCGGTCGTCGAGCGTCCTCGCGCTCGCCGCTGTCGCGCAGCCCAGCGCCGCCAAAACCAGCAGCGCCGTCCCCGCCTTCTTCATCGCACATCGCGCGCCCTTCACGAACCGCACGTTCACGAAGAATTTTCGCGTCATTTTCCGTCGCGTTCGTCTCGCGTTCGTCGTGCGCGTCGCGTAATGCCGCCGCCTCGAAACGCTCAATGTGACGGTTAAAATCCATTCGCCTCGAAACGCGCGACTTCGCGCCTCGAAACCATCGACGGTGGCGTCGCGCGTCCGAGTCGACGCGCGGCGCGCGAGCGCATTCGCACTCCATGTCCGCGTCGCCCGCGTCGCTCGTCGCTCTCGCGCGTCGCGTCGCGCAGTGGCGCGCCGTCGACGATGACGCGCGTGGCGGCGGCGTCGTCGCGCGCGCGAATCCCAAGGCGTCGCGCCGCGCGCGCCAGCGGAGAGAACCGAACGAAAGCCACCCCAAACGCAAGTACACGATCGAGGAGCGTTTGAAGCACAAGGGCGTGGACGTCGAGCGGGCGCGGATGGGCGGCGCGCGGGACCGGGACGACGCCGGCGGCGGGGCGGCGTCGAGCGCGGCGGTTTCGACGAGTGGAGACGTCCCGAAGGGCGAAGACGTGTGCGAACGCGTGGCGGAGTTGGCGTTCAGGCAAGACGCCGAGGGGTGGCCGGCGCAAAAGACGGAGGCGTGGGCGTTCGCGCGGGCGAGCGCGTTGACGGCGAGCGACGTCGGGCGAGTGTTGAGCGGCGACGGCGCGAAAGTCTTGATGCGCAAACAGCGCACGCGAGCCGCGGAGCAGGCGTTAGAGCGCGACCGTGCGACTTCGGCTTTGGTGCGAGAGGTAACAGAGGCGCCGGTGGCGACGGGGTCGTCGAAAAAGGAAAGGAAAGGGAAGGGCGGAGGTACGTCTCCCGCGATTCGACACGGTAACGAATTTGAATCCGAAGCCTTGGCGCACTACGAAGCCGTATTGGGGACAAAGTGCCTGGAATTCGGACTCAAAATACATGACGTGCACTACTGGCTCGGCGCTTCGCCCGATGGCGTGCATCCCAGCGGTCGCATCGTCGAGATAAAATGTCCGTACTCTCGACCAATCATCGCGCGTCGGCGCGCGATGGAGCACTATGCCCAAATTCAAACCTTGTTGGAAGTCTTCGACCTCGATTATTGCGACTTTGTGCAGTACAAGCCCGCGGGACGCGGCAAAGGCCGTTCGGGCGACCCTGACGCTCCGGAATTCCTCTGCGAAACCATCGCTCGAGACGCCGAGTGGTGGTCGACGCACTTCGACGAGCTCCAAACTTTCGCCGCGAGCCTTCCTTCGCCCTAGCGCGCTGTGCACGCATGTAAACATTTATTGGTTTCTCGCCGCACTCCGGACGTCGAGCGCGCTCGTCGACGCGCGCGCATTCATCCGCGCGTCGTCGCGCGCGCAAAAATTTGAAATTTCCCACAGCTCGAGCCGTCCCGTCGTGCCCATCGCGCCGTCGCCAAACCGCGCCTCGCGCCCGGGGCGTCATCCGCTCGCCATGGATTGGGCGTGTCTAAACGACGCCTCGCAACCCCCCGACGACGTCGAACGCCTCGCGCGTCGCACGGCGGAGGCGGAAGAGTCGCGATTGATTTCCTCGTACGAACACGCCGTGCGGAGAGCCGCGTCCGGAAACGCGCACGAAGCGATCGAGAGCCTGCGCGCGGTGCTCGCGCACGCGCTGACGAATCGCGAGGACGTCTCCGCGCGATTGCTCCGGGTGAAGTTTCTGTCGCTGAAAAATCTCGGGCGATTGCTGGATGAACGCGGGACGGCGGCGAGCGAAGACGACGAGGCGGCGCGAACGGATCGAGAGGAGGCGGTGCGGTGCTACGCGAGCGCGGTAGAGATAGACGACACGGATGCGTTGGTGTGGGGAAGATTGGGACGCGCGGCGGTGGCGGTGGGCTCGATGGCGGTGGCGAGGATGGCTTACGAGAGAGCGGTGAGCGCGAGCCCGCGGAATCAGCTGTTTTTGGAAGACTTGAGCGAAGTGTGCCTGAGCGCGGGGGATTTTGAAACAGCCAAGGCGTTGGCCGGGGCGGTGATGGAGATTGACCCTGGAAATGCGCGCGCGCGAGCGATGAAACGCGCGCCGGAGGCGCTGGAACCGACTCGGGCGATGAAGGTGGCGAGAGAAAGAGCGGCGTCGGCGGCGTCGACGAGGGATGAGGGAGAAATCGCGATTCGGTTGAGCGCGGACATGGACAAGAATTGGGGGGTGATAACCGCATTATTAGCGCGCCTCGGTGGTGCTCCGACTCCGGAATCGATCACGAGGAGCGGCAAAGCGAAGGATGCCGCTGAGCCCGAGACGCCCGCTGAGGCGGAGAATGCCGACGCACCGGCTACACCGACGCAGTCAAAAGAGGTGGACGTGGTGCCAGGATCGGCAACGGCAGACGACGAGGATGTTTCGGAAGATGATGTGATTTCTTCTTCATTCGCAAAGTATATGCGCCACGTGCGAGACGTCCACATCCCGAGAGATGTGATAGGGAGAAAGGTTCGATTCGTGTTTGATTCGCCGTCTTCGATGCCGATGGAATTAGGAACGACTGATGTCGTCGATCTGACGGACAAAGACGTTTTGACACAACCATCTGTGGACACGCCATCTACATCCCAGCCGGTGAGCGAAGTGAGTGCAAGCCAAGCCAACAAAACGCCCTCCAAGGCGGCTGCAAAGGCCAAGGCGGCTGCAAAGGCGCAGAAAGATGTCGCTACAATTCGGAAATCGCGACGTCAACTGGAATTAGACGAGAAAAAAGCGCTCGAAGACGAAAAGATGCGCATTATCGCCGAACAGGAAGCCATTCAAAAAGCGCTAGAAAAGGAGGAGAAGAGAAAAGCTGCCGAGGCAAAGGAATGGAAACCGGAATCGAACATCTCTCGCGCTCTGTTGAATTTGATAGGCGCTGAAGACCCAGTCGTGTCAGCGGTAAAAAAAGCAACTACCGACGTCGCGGGTGCCAGAGATCGTGCGAATACCATCAAAAAGCAACATCAGAGAGAATTGAAGGAGGCAGCTGCGAAGAGGGCGAAAGAGGAGCGTGAAATGAAGACGCATAAGCGAGTTTCTTCATTCGTTAACGCCATTGACGATGTGCATGCAGGCGCCGCGCACATCGCTTGGCGATTCTTATCTACAACAGCTGCTCGCTGGCGACCGGACACTGAAGATGATTGCTCGCCACCTCCTTGGTCGATCATTTACCTGTATCACATCTTTGGCGTTGGACAGGGAGACGAGCTCGCGCCCGTGGCGCGAATATTGTTGTGCATCGCTGACACCGCAATTCTTGCGGCGCGCGAATGTGCGCTTGGACATCCGGGGCGCACGTACTTCAGAAACATGGCAGTCGGGTTGTTAGACGAGGTATCTTTAGTGATGAACCGTGATCCGAAACAAGACTTTCACGCAGAGAGCCTGTTCTTACGTCATAAGCTTGTGGATCTAGATGGCGAAGATCGAAGTGTGAGCATGTTCTACCTTGAACGGGCGCAAGAAGTTGCTCCGGATGATGCAGATCTCCCGCCGGCACCTGCCTCAATCGAAGATGCCGCACCCGCACGTTTCAGTAAGCAGTCATTACGTGCCGCGATGGACGCAATGAAGGTGAAGGAAGTTGTCATTGGCGCCGCGGCGAGATTTGCCAAGGGGCAGACTACCGAAGTAGTATCAACGTTGACACCTCTACTCTTACCCGATGAAGATCAGGAAGAATCGACCGATAATTTGGACGCGCTTTGCTTGACGCAATCAGAAAAGCAAAATGCACTTAAGGTGCTCGCGGCGGCGGCGAAAAGGCAAGGTCCATCGTGTGTCGTTATTCAGATAAAAGCTCTCAAGATGGCTTACGACTTGGACGTAACGAAACATCACTCGATGCTGAGACTCATCGCTGAGGCACTGGAATCCACCGACCGCGCACACACAAAGCAAGCGCTCGAAGTCGTTGAATCTATGGGATTAGCGGCGATCGCGGCGTCGCTGTTTGAGGCGCATTACACCGAGTTCGCGATGGCACCTGGAGTGAAGAAGAAAAACAAAGCTTCGCGTTATGCTGCCGCAAGCTTGGAGGCTTCAGCACTACTAATCTCCGCTATCCAGCGAGCTTCAAAGCCAAAAGATTTGGAACTCATTGAGTTGCATGAGAAACTTCATGATCGCCTCGCGGACTGTCGATGCTGTTGCGGCGACTATCGGAAAGGAGTGTTTCTGAAGTCGTCTCTTGTCCAGTTGGCCAAATGCAGAAATCGTATTACAAAGGCGCGAGATCAACGACACGCTACTGAACCCACAAAAAAGCGGACAACGAAAGTCACCATCGAAAACCGTAGCAAGGACACTTCCGATAAGGTGAAAAGGAAAAAGAAGGTGGATGCGGATGATGAGGGTGAATTCCGCCGACGTGTGCGTCGTCAGCGTAGCAGCATCAGTAGCATCGAAGACGACGATAGAACACCGCAAGACAAGGCTGATCGTAAACTTCTAGATCGGTTGGATAAACTCATAATCCAGCTGTGTCACTGCGTGTATGGATTTACATTGGATCAGCCCACTCGGAATTGCCGAGAAGAATATGGCGCATGTACGACCACACTTCATATTTCGAACGAAATGGAAGCCGCCAACCTTTGGTTGGCCATTCAACCTTACGCCATGGTGAACAAGGAAAGTATTCCCAGCGCCGTCATTGAGGAGATCCGCAAGAAAATATCCGATCCACCGAAGACCGAGCAAGCTACACTTATCGAGAAGTACTTGTCCACAGGCTCAGACGACCTTGCGTGCTCGTCTATCGCAAACTTTGGAGAGATAACCGAGCAAGATCGACAGCTCGCTCGAGAGCTAATCAGCACGCCGACCGCAGATGAAGTCATCGTTGCTCGACAAGGAGGCTCGACTCCGAAGAACGGCCCCAGCGCGCCGCCGACTCCGGTTGTCACTACAGACGTCATGCATTATCTCACGAGTACTCCAACTACAGACCGTGCGCTTCGCACCGTTCAATCCGATGAGAAAATTTCGTTGTTTGCGAGCTTTTACAAAACTTTCTTGCAATTTTGTGCAGACATGGACGTTGTTGCGCTCGAAACATTGCTCGAGGACGAACAAACAGATTATGATCAACTTCATGCGTTGCTTGGAAGTGTTGCATCGTCGACTCCCACGGCGCAGCAATCTGCTGTGGCGGCCAAGAGCGAGGAGGTGACGAAGCTGTACAAGTTTGACGTCGAGTACAATCCCACGCGCCCGCAAAGTTGGATCGCGCTGGCCGATCACCTGGATAACATCAAAGATATCGTTCTTAACGATGCCGCCAAAATCTTGGCAGTCGGCACCTTCCGCGCGTCTCCAATGTTGACAATGCTTCAGTCGACGCAGCTGGCGATTCGACGGGCGTTGATTGCGGCGGAAGAGGCTTTAACAATGACTCATTATCCTGGACACCCGGAGACGGAGTGGGTGCGGTCACAAATTTACGAGCGCCTCGGCCAAACTGCGTACGAGCTCGTACAGGATGCTCCACCAATATACGACTCTCGCAAGTTTGCTTTGGTCAAAACTACTCCTACGTACGCATCCACGCTTGCGTTGTGCAAACAAGCGTTCACGAAAGCTTCCGAAGCTTATCCCGACAATTGGATATACCCCCACTACCTGGCGAAGATCGCGAAAAAAGATGGCCAACCTTTATCACACGTTCTCGAAACCCACGCACAGGCGCTCGCGATAAAGCCGGGCTGTTTGGAAGCAATCTATCAAGTGACGAATATTCGTTTGCACATGCTCTTGTCCATCGAGGTTAGCGGAAGAAAGAAGATGACTCCAGAGTCACAAGCAATCACGCTTTGCGTACTCAAGCAACCGTTTAACCCAGGAGACATGCAAAATAGTTGGATCGGTGCATATCGAGATTGCATCGTAGCGTTGCTCTTCATCAACAAGAATTATCCCAAGTTCCACAAGGCGAGCTATCGTCTTGCGTGGGCTCGCTTGAAAAAGTCTCCGGGAGAACTCGGGCACTGTCAAAAAGCTTTGGAGTACCTGAACCCTCTATTCAAAAGTCCTCGGACTGGAACGTTCAAGATTTTCATGACTGAAATCGATGACACAAATTTGGGCATCAAGACTCCCGTGGAGACGGTCGACGGAAATATTGCGTATGAGTGCGGTATCAGCGAATCTCGACGACGCTTCATAGCGAACGTTCGCCGTACGCTTCGCTTGTACTTGACGTTGCTTTACACAAACGAGGACATGGGTACACTTGCGGCGGTAGTTTCTTACATCACGGACTATTCCAAAACCGCCACGAAAACGCGTCTGCCAATCATCGCGAACTCACAAGACGTGCGCTTCTTTGCTTTCGGACTTTTGTTGCGAGCCCTTGCGGCAAGGCTCTCGGTTGTGGGTCGAAGAATTCAAGAATCATTGCAGAAAGAACAAGCGTCCATGCTCGCTGGAAAAGAAGGCGCGAATACAGAAGCGGGTACGCCACAAGCGGCGTCGGTCGCATCGACCAAACTAGATGTGTACCTCGAACAAGCGTACAATGTTTGGTTTGACTTCGCGGTTCCCGCTCGAGGAAATATGTTGTCTTGGGAGCAAAATGTCGACGAGGCTTTCACACAACTTGAAGTCGAGGAAAGCCGCACCGACGAAGGCCCTGATCTCGTCAAGGAACCTTACAAGACGGCGTTCAGTAGCGCGAGCAAGTTCACGAAGTCATCACCAGAGATGAATTTCGAACAGTACGCTCTCGAGTGCATAACCGACTTGGAAGCCAAATCTGACTTGAATACGCTCGCCGCACGGCTATCCCTCTGTCAAAAACGTTTCAGGGAAATCGAACCTGAAGCCGACGCGCAAGTGAAAGAATCAGGCATGAATCGTTTGAAGATTCTTGGTAACGCGTTGAAGGATGCGTTCATCAGATGCTCTGCGCCGACGATTGAACTCTTGGCAAAAGGGGAAATCAAGTTATGCCCGGGTGGTTTAGAAAACGTCGAAGAAGAGACCTCGAAGAAGGACAACGATGCTGTCGTCGACGAAGCGAAAGAAGGTACCGAGGCTGTGAATTCGCCGCAAAAGTCTACGCCAACCAACTTCACCGAAATCGTCCTCGTCACTGCGCGGCGTCTTCATGTGGTAACGAAGACAGAATCTACGGCACGACTGTACGAGTTCGCTGTCCAACGACGCAATTCATTGCAAGCTCTGATCGATGCGATTGATTCTGGTAGCACACCAACGGACATGGAAGACCCGAGCGTGCCTGTCGTCGCTAAACTTCACGCGGAAGTCACCAAGCTAACGGCAAAAATTGCCGAGCTGAAAACAAAGCACAGCAATTTGGTCGAAAGCGCGCTCGTCGCCGAAGGCCAGACGACCGATCCAGAACAACTAAAGCTCGTCAAGGAAACGTACGAGGAGCTCACCACTACGATTGTTCGATGTGAGAAACTCAAGGCGGATCACGCCTGTGAAGTGGTCAATTACCGCAAAGAGACGAGCCAGCTCGCGGATGAAATGGGCAAGCGCGACATTGGCAACGCTGATTCGACAGAATACATCCTGCGCGTGATGAGCGCCGTGCTCCAACGTGAAGTGACCGATATCGATGAAGCCGAACGCGAAGCCGAAATCGCCATCGGAGAGCTGAGAAGGTTGCGTTCGGACGTCGCGAAAACGAAACGCGCGAAAGTCAGTCGCGGTCGCTCAAAAAAATCCGCGGCGACAAACGCGACGGAAGCCGTCGCCGACGCCGACGCCGACGCCGACGCCGACGCCGACGTCGAACCTCGCCAAGAGCTCGAGCCCCCTCGGCCCGAGCCCGAGCCCACCTCTGACGTCACCATGCTCGTCGCCGACGCCGTCGCCGACGCCGTAGCCGACGTCTGAGGTCCCCGTTGTAAAAACATCCCCACTCGCCCACTCGGGCGCATGCGAACGACCACCTCTCTGTTCGCGCAACGTTTGACCCTCATCAGTGGCCTACGCGCGTTCACCACCACGCGCTCCGCGCCCCGTCGCGCGCTCCACGCGTCGTCGTCGTCGATCGTTTTCGCCGCGCGCGCGACCCCGGACGCGAATCGCGACATGTTTCGCGACGGTCCCGACGCCGGTGGGCGCGGACAACCGCGCAAGCGCCCTCGAGGCGGTCGAGGCAACGGCGGCGCGCCCCGTCCGCGCAGCGATGGCGCTCGAACGCACGTGAACGATCGACTCGAGAAGCCGTGGGAAGGTCAGGACGACGCGCCGAGATCGAGCGCGCCGCCACCGCGACCGAATTTGATGAAAAACACGCACGGAGGCGCGCTCGCGCAGGCGCAGATCGTGGAAGTCGCGACGGGGAACGCGCCGAGCACGACGGCGGCGTTCGCGAACATGGGACTCACGGAGGCGTCGATGCGAGCGATTCACGAGGTGATGGGATTCACGCACGCGACGGCGGTGCAAGATTCGACGCTGCCGCACATCATGCGAGGATTGGATGTGCTCGCGCGCGCGAAGACGGGAAGCGGGAAAACGGTTGGATTTTTGTTGCCGGCGATCGAACGGTTGGCAAAACAAGGAGCGCCGCGAAAGGGGGACGTGTCGTGCCTGGTAATTTCGCCGACGAGAGAGTTGGCGTCGCAAATCGGCGAGGAGGCGAAGAGTTTGTTGACGTATCATCCGTTCAATTGCCAGGTTGTCTTCGGTGGGACGAACATTAACAGCGAACGAAAGCGATTGACGTCGCAAGGGGTTGAATTTTTGGTCGCTACTCCCGGACGGTTGATCGATCACTTTGAGTCGAGCAACTTGGCGCGCGCGTGCCAAAACCTCGACGTCTTGGTGCTCGACGAGGCGGATCAGCTTCTCGACATGGGTTTCCGACCGAGCTTGGAAAAAATTTTGTCTTATTTGCCTACGCAGCGACAGACGTTGTTGTTCTCCGCCACGGTGCCGAAAACGGTGCATCAAATCGCTGCCAACGCTTTGCGACCGGGTCATCAGTACATCGACTGCGTCGGCGACGACGCACCGGCGACGAATTTGCAAGTTAAGCAATCGCTCATCGTCGCCTCGTTTCACGACCACTTGACGCTGATGACGCAAGCTATTGAAGAACATCAGGCGGAGGAACCAAATCACAAGATCATGGTATTCTTTCCCACCGCTCGTTCGACGCAACTCGCGTCAGAAATGTTCGAGGCGTGCGGCAAACCCGTCTTTGAGATTCACAGCCGCAAGTCTCAGGCTGTTCGTACGAAGGCGGCGGATAAGTTCCGCGAAGCCCGCGCGGCGGTCATGATGTCTTCTGATGTCACCGCACGCGGTATGGACTTTCCAGACGTGACGATGGTTATTCAAATCGGTGTTCCGTCTGCTCGCGAGCAATACATTCATCGTCTTGGTCGAACCGGGCGCGCAGGCAAGACGGGCAAAGGCTTGCTCATGCTCGATCCCGCGGAGAAGTTTTTCCTCAACGGCGTTCGTGACTTACCCATCGAAGTCTTAAACCCTGCGATTGATTCTCAAGTCGACCAGCGCGTGCGCAAGGCCATCAGCAGAATCAATCCGGATACCAAGGCGCAAGCATACAGCGCATGGTTGGGCTTTTACAACGGCTCGAGCGGAAAGATGAAGTGGAGCAAGGACGATTTGATCTTTGCAGCCAACAACTACGCCTTGGAGACCTTGCAGTGCGAAAGTTTGCCCGGTCTTTTGAAGAAGACTGTGGGTAAGATGGGTCTCAAGGGGTTCACCGCGAACTTGAACATTGTCTCCGAGTTGGGCGGCGGCGGCGGCGGCGGTCGCGGCGGCGGCGGCGGCGGTCGTGGCGGCGGTGGCGGCGGTCGCGGTGGCGGCGGCTTCGGTGGTGACCGCGGCAGTGGTGGATTCGGCGGTGGTGGCGGTGGTCGCGGTGGTCGCGGCGGTGGTCGTGGTGGCGGCGGTGGTCGCGGCGGCGGTCGCGGCGGCGGACGCGGCGGTGGCGCCAACGCGACGAGCATGAACTGGCAACAGCAAAGCTTCTATTGAGCGCGGTGTCACCCTTTTTTCAAATAAATTCGCAGTAGATTACATTCTTTTATCCGTCGTGTGGACTAGAACCCTATTCGACTAGAACCGTGATTGTATCAAACGCCTACTCTCCTCTCTATTTCACGCACTTCTTTAGATGCCTCAGGACGTCGCCGACCAAATACAGACTGCCAGTGACGAGGACGTTGACGCGCGCCGGCGCCACCTCTCGCGCTCGATGTCGAATGAGACTGAGCGCTTGATGAATGCTCGAAACCACGACACCTCGAGTGTCTTGAGCTTTTTCTGCGAGCACGTTCGCACGTTTGACGATGATATCGTCCCACGTACGCGCACACCTGTCTTGCCAAGAGGTCGCCTTTGCGTCCCCGCACTTGTCTAACCCGCTCGTGGTGCTATCCGGCGGGCTAAAAATAGCGCGCTCTAACTGTACGTTTGAAGTCGTGTGGAAAACATCCGCGACCGGTTCGAGTAAATCCTCCGGTTTGCGATCATCCATGCAGTTGAAAAGCATGATGTTGTGCTCCGCCGTCACCGCTCGCGCGGTGCTCGTAAACCATTCGGCGCTGTGGCGCATGGATTCGATGGTGTGCGCGCCGTCGAGATAAAACGTCAAGTTCATCACATCGGGATCGTGCATCACCTGCGATCGACCCGGCCACGTCGTCTTCTCTAACCCGACGCGAAAGCTCTCCGGTAACTCGTTTCGCGCGAACGAAGCCTCCATCTCCTCCGCCCACGGCTGGTTCGTGGCGTTCGCCCACTCCCGCACCAACTCCACGGCGACGGCGGCGTTGACGCGTTGGTGCGGTCCCGCCAACCCGACTTCGATCTCACTCCCGCCCTCATAGCTGTCTAAATCTCTCGCGACGACTAACGGCGAACCAACCTCGGCGGCGCGACGCTCGAGCGCGACCATCGCCTCGGGTTTTTGCGGCGCCGTAAACGTTCGCACGCCCGGCTTCATGATCCCCGCCTTCTCCGTCGCGATTTTCCCCAAAGTATCCCCTAAAATATCCACGTGATCCATCCCGAGCGACGTGATCCCGCACGCCGCCGGCGCGCGCACCACGTTCGTCGCGTCCAGGCGCCCCCCCAACCCCACCTCCAGCACGCACGCCTCCACCCCCGCGCTCGAGAAAATTCGCAGCCCCAACAGCGTCAAAAACCTAAAGTACGCCGGCATCCCCAGATCTCCGCACCGCGCCGCGATCGCGTCCCGCGTCCACCAAAACTCCCTCGCGAACGTCTCCTCGTCCACCATCGCCCCGTCGATCCGAAATCGTTCTCGCACGTCCATCAAGTGCGGGCTCGTGAACGTCCCCACCCGCGTCCCGCTCGCCCTGAGCATCCCCTCCACCATCGCGCACGTCGATCCCTTCCCCTTCGTCCCCGCCACGTGCACCACGTCGAGCGCGTCGACGCGCCCTCGCAGGTCCAGCCTCGAGACGTACGTCTCCAGCTGCGCGAACTGCGCCTCCCACGTCACCGCGCCCGGGTCCGCGCGTTTTTTACCCGTGATCGTCTTCGCGAGCTCGCGCACCGCCGCGTCGTACGTGCGGTCGTCGTCGCGCATCGTCGTCGTCGTCGCGCGGGTCGTCGTCGTTCGATTCGTTTCGATGTTTCGTTTCGATTCGACGCGTTCGTCGCCTTCCGCGCGCGAGTTCGACGCCGTCGAATTCCGCGGATTATTTTTATCTCGCGATTCGCCGCGTCGGCGATCGCGGCGCGTTCGCGCGCGCGCGCGTCGCGCGATCGCGCGCGCGGCGCGCGGTCGAGGCGGCCTCGTCGTTTTATATAGCGAAAGTGTCGTATTTAAGGAGTCTCTCGTTCGCGTTGAGTCACGACCCGTCGAGAGAGTCGTAACACCCCCGCGATTGTGACGGCGCGCGCACACCGCGACGCGCGCGGTCGCGTCGCGCGCGCGTCGCCGCGGTCGCTCGGACTCGATTCCGACGACGCGCGCGCGCGATGGCGTCGCCCGCGCGACGGACGCGCGAGACGGACGACGCGACGGTGAACGCCATGGGTGGCGATCGAAACGTGTTCGCGTCGCGCGCGTGCGACGCGTGCCGCGCGCTCGGGTCGTTCATGGTGCTCGTCGTGCTGGCGATCGTCGGGCTGACGTACTACGCCACGGTGGTCGTCGTGTACGGACCGTTGGCGGCGGAGGGGGGGGAGGACGCGGGCGTGGCGACGGGGGCGCTGTGCGCGTATCACGTCTTCGCGTTCATGCTGCTGTGGTCGTACTTTGCGTGCGTGCTGACGGCGCCGGGAGACGTGCCGAGGGGGTGGACGCCGGCGCCGGAGGATCCCGAGGAGGCGGCGTCGGAGGCGAAGAAGTCGAACAGCGAAAAGAGACGGCGGTTTTGTAAAAAGTGCGCGGCGTGGAAGCCGACGCGGACGCACCACTGCTCGGTGTGCAAACGATGCGTGTTGAAGATGGATCATCACTGCGTGTGGGTCGCGAATTGCGTGGGGGCGTATAACTATAAATTTTTTCTGCAGTTTTTGGCGTACACGTTCTTGGCGACGGTGCTGGATGCGATTTTACTGTTGAGCAATTTTATAGATTTCTTCAAAGACGTCGAGGAGAGTCAGGCTGCGGGAAGCCAAGGGGCGGACGCGAAGGTCGATCCGGCGGAAGGAACGGAGTTAGCGGTGGTGTTTGTGACGTTTATAGTCAACGTGGCGTTCTCGGCGTCGTTACTGGGCTTTTTAGTGATGCACGGTAACTTGATCCTGAGCAACATGACGACGATCGAAATGTACGAAAAGAAAAAGACGCTTCCGTGGAAGTACGACTTGGGAAGGTTCAGAAACTTCAAGGAAGTGTTTGGAGAGAACGTTTTCATGTGGTTCCTCCCCGTGCATTCGAGCTCGCACTTGGAAAAGATGCGCGTGAACACGGGGATTTCAGACGGGGAATGTTTAGAAGGCGCCGCGTACGCCAGGGCGTGCGAAAGCGCGCAACGAGAGGCGACGATCGGGAATAGAAAAGGTCGAGCGTAGATTTATTGGATGCAAGCATAGATTTGTCGAGCGCGCGTCGCGTCCATGGAGATGTCGACGTCGCGAGCGATACAAGTGACTAGAAAGACGAAGCGCGGGACTATTGTGTAGTATACATGCACTCGCTACTGTCTGCGTCTTTCGCTACCCTCGCCTCGGTTTGCTCATGATTTCTTTCAACATCTGCCGCCTCGCCAGCTCTCTCGGCGCGTTCGCCGCCTCTATTTTCTTCTCCAGCGCCAACTTCTTCTCGCTCAAATTCTCCAACAACTCGTATCGCAGCTGCGGCATCGCTCGCGAGCGTCTATCGTAATTCTCAATCGCCGTCTTCGCGCTCGAACTGCGCGTCATCCGAAGCGCACGTCGACGCATTCGTCAGTCACCCGCGCGCCTTCGTCGTTACGCGTCGCCGTCGAGTCCTCGCGCGCGCTCGCTCGGCTCGCAACACCAATCGCACCTCATCGCCTTCACCGCCCGCTCGAGCGTCGGCAAATCGCTCGTCGCGCTCGCCTCGCTCTGTATCGCCGCGTTCAGCGTCGTCGTTCGCAGCACCTCCGCCGCGTCTCGCACGTTCGCCGCCGTCGCGTCGACGCACGCGCGCGCGAACCCATCGACGAAGTGCGTCCCGCGCTTCGCGATGAAACTCGCGACTTCGCCCCCCCCCGCGCCGTCGCCGCCGCCGACGAGCGCGTGCATCGCGCCCTGCGTCACCGTGTCGCTCACCGCGGACGCCGCGGTGGAGAGCGTGGACGAGAGCGCGTCCATGGCGCGTCGCGATGTCGCGCGCGGGGCGCGACTCGACGCGCGCGGCATTTCGCCGCCGTCGGCGCGTCATGCGCGCCGTCGTCTCGGCGCGCGCGCGAAGCGCGCGAAGCGCGCGCATCGAGGCGTCGACGAGCGGCGCGACGGCGCGAGGACTCGCGGCGCGCGCGCGCGGCGCGAGGATTCGCGATCGGTGTGGAACGGTTTCGACGACCGTCGAACGACGCGCCGTCGCGCGCGCGCGCGGCGGACGCGAAAGCGACGGGACGGACTCGTTCGACGCGATGTTTCGCGATCTCGAGCGAGAGACGCGGTGGATGTTCGAGCGCGCGGCGCGCGAGTCGAGGGCGCTCGAGGGACGCCGGCGCGAGGCGCTCGAGCGGCGGCGAGCGGCGCCGCGCGACGCGGGAATCGGGGACGATTGGCGACGAGAGGAGCGCGGAGAAAAGCTTCTACCCGGAGGTGGGGTGCACAGGTATTACGTCAGCGAGCGGGTGACGACGTACGGAGGCGCGCCCGCGCGAGGCGCTCGCGTCGGCTCGGCGGTCGGCTCGAGCTCGGGGTTCCTCGCGACGTGCCTCGCGCTCGGCGTCGCGGCGACGTACGCGAGCCTGGGGAGAAAGTTTTTCAAAGGCTTCGACAGGACGTCGTACAAAGAGGACGCGAAACTCGGTCTCACAGCGCGCTGGCCGCTGTTGTACGCGTCTTCAAGCAGGTTTCGGGACGAGTTCGCCGCGGCGACGGCGGACCCACCGCGCGACGACGACGATCGCGGCGCGAAAAAAGACGTCGACGTCGACGTCGACGAGTAGCTCACGTAGCGTTCAGACGTGTCCATTTCAACACTTTGTGCGATTCAAAAAACCATCCGGGCGTCGGTTCAAAAAACCATCCGCGCGTCGGTCGCCGCACAGTCAGCGTCGTCCGCGGAATATCTTTCTAGAAAGTCGACCCCGACCCCGGCAAACCTCCGCGCGCGCGCGCGCCGCCGGACGCGCGCGCGCGCGCACGAGCGCCATGGACGCGACGTCGGCCACCGCGCGCGTCGCGACGCGCGCGCGCGGCATCGGCGTGCGAAACGCTGCGCGACCGGGTGTCCCCGCGCGCGCGCACCGCGCGACGCGTCGCGCGCGACGCGACGCGACGGCGAGAGCGTCGGAGCGCGCGGACGACGAACGCACCGCGGGACCCGACAGTCTGCGCACGCGGGCGCGAACGGCGGTGGACGCGGCGAACGCGGCGCTCGGGACGGGCTCCGCGGCGCGTTCGCGCGAGAGCGCGGCGGGACGACGGCGCTCGAGCGAGCCCGCGCGCGTCGAGGCGAACGATGGGGTGGAGTACGACGTTAAATTAATCGTCACTGATGTCGATGGAACGCTGTTGGACTCGAAGCAGCGGTTGAGCGAGAGGACGGCGGCGGCGCTGCGGGAAGCGGCGGAGTTGGGCGTGCGCACCGTCGTCGCCACGGGGAAGACCAGAGGGCCGTGGGCGCGCAAGCTGTACGACGAGCTCGGGCGGGATAACAAGAAGATGCCTGGGTTATTCATACAAGGTCTCATCACGTGCGACGGACTCGGGAAGACGATCAAGAGTCGGACGCTGGATAAGGCGTACGTGAAGGATATTTTGCGCTTTGCGCAAGCGCGAGACTGCACGATTGTGGCGTTTTGCGACACTAAGATCGTGTGTTCGACGCGAAATGAGCTCACGGACAAAGTCTTAGACTACGGCGAGCCAGAACCGGTGGAGTGCGGAGATTTATTGGCCAAGAGCGATGAGTACGACGTCAACAAGTTGTTACTCTTTTGCGACGACGCCGACGTGCAACGATACCGCCTCGAGGTGCGCGGAAGCTCGCTCTCCGACGCATGCGATGTTACCGTGGCCGTGTCCGGTATGTTAGAATTCTTACCGAAAGGTGCGAGCAAAGGCGCCGCTGTTCGCGAGCTGTGTGAGTCGTTGGAAATCGATTTAGCCAACGTCCTGGCGCTGGGCGACGGTGAAAACGACAAGGAAATGCTAACCTACGCGGGTGTCGGCGTCGCCGTCGGAAATGCGAGCGACGCCACGAAAGCGGTGGCGGATATTGTTTTGGACGAAACGAACGATGATGACGCCGTGGCTGTGGCTATAGAAAGGTACGTGCTTCCGGTATTGAGACGCGAAGCCAAAGCCAAGGCGGAGGCAGAGGCGGAAGCAAAGCGCAAGCTGAAAGAAGAAGCTAAAGCCAAGGCCACAGCAAAGGTTCAGGCAGCGAAAGAAAAAGCGGAGTATCAAGTGCTTTTAAGACAAAAGACCGAAGACGAGCGCAGAGAGGCGGAAGCTGAGCTCGAGGCTGAGCTCGAGTTGAAGGTCGAAACTGAGGAAAAATTGCTCGGATTGGTCAGAGCAGTGGCGCAAGGCACACAACGCGTCAGCGAAGCGCTCACGCCGCAAGAAATTGAAGCGAACGAAGCTAGAGACGCGGCGTCGACGACGTCTTCGTCGGTGGAAAGTGAGACCACAACCGACGAGAGGCAGGCGCAGCTCGACGCGATCGAAGCGTTGGCCGCAAAGCAATCGCAAGAGTTGCTTGAACGCCAACGCGCGAATCAAGAGCGTTTGAAAAGACTGCAGCTCGAGTACCAAGCCGCCAAGGCGGAGCTCGCAAAGGTTGAAAAGAAAAGCACGGCAAAAATGGCTGCAAAAGTTGTCAAAGTTGACGACCGCGCGACGTCCACCGACGCCGAGGAAGACGAGAAGGAACGCATTCGTTCTGAGACAAACATCATCAAGGCTCGTACATCTCTCAAGAAAGCCGCTCAAAAGGCGAAGAGTGACGCCCGAAAGTCTGAAAAAGAAGCGCGCGTACAGGAAAAGCGCCAAGTGGAGGAGACTGGCGTAACAACTAAGGACGCGGTGAACGGTGCAAATCTCTTCGCCGGCTTCGTCGCCTCGGCGCTTAAAACCGTCGCCACGCTGGGCGGAGCGGAAGTTTTGCGTCGTCGTCAAGAGGCTGATCGCGATGCGTCGAAAGCGCGCTTACTTTTGGAATTGGTGGATGTCGACGGCGGCCGCGAATGTAGTCCAGACACGCTCGAGCGCATCAACGAGGCAATCGCCACGCTCGAGGCGTTGAATCCCACAAAAAAAGGAGCGAAGAGCACTCTGATGCTCGGCCTTTGGAGCTGCGCGTTCACGAATTGTCCGCAGATTCTGGGAACGGAAGGCATCAACATGATGAAACAGAAGGGCGCGACCACATTCTTTAGCTACGATCTCGACACCGAGCGGTGCGAAATCGACCGAGGGTGGCCTCTGAGACGTCTGCGAGCGAGCGTATCGTACAGAACTGATTCTTCGTTCGAGCTCGATATTCCCCTGGCTCCCATATCTAAAGTGTTCGGGATTTCGTTATCCAACGAAGAGCGCAACTACTCCGCCCTGACGGTGACGTATCTCGATCCGGACATGCAAATTTGCCGAGGTCGCGACGATACCGTGTACGTCTTCGTGCAAAACGACCCGACGCACAGGCTCGATCTCATCGGCGATTAACGCGACGCGCGAAGCGTTCGTTCCTCGCCTCGCCTTAGCTCTCGCGTTGTGATAGAGGTGCCCGCAATCGTCCCTCAACTCCCCCCCGGTGCCCGGATTTTCAGAGAATCGCGATCGCGCGCAGAACTCGGAGACGAGCGCGCGCCGGCGCGGCGCCACCGCGCGTCGCGCGCGCGATGTCGAACCCGCTCGAAGAACGCTTCCGCAGGTCATGGTTCGAACACCTCAGTCGCCTTCGAGAAGTCGAAGCCGCGTGCGCGCCGGAGATCGAAGGCGATCCGGCCCTCCGGTACAGCGTGCCCCGGATCGTCTGCATCGGTGAAGAGTCCTCTGGGAAATCCTCCACGCTCGAGCGCGTGGCGATGATGAGCGTGTTTCCGAGCGACGAGAGACTGTGCACGCGGGTGCCGATCGAGCTGCGGCTGAGGCATCGCGATCGGGAGAGTTTGGCAAAGGAGGAAGAGCGGTTTAGGGACGGGTACGTCGTCATGAAAATGGCGCCGGGCGAGGATTCCAAGTTAAACGCGGACGTTTCCTCACAGATGCATCCCGATGAAGTTCCGGCGCAAGTTCGCACGTGGATGGAAGAGCTAGTCGCGGCGGCGAACGGCAAAGTGACGGGCGTGACGGATGACCGGATAATCATCGAGCTGTACTCTCCGCTGTGCGTCAACCTGGATTTGATCGATTTACCTGGGATCGTGGCTGGGAGCATACCAGGGGAGCCTACGGACATGATGGACCGCACGAGAAATCTATCGGCATCGTTCTTGAATGATAAGGCGCATCCACATACGTTTGTCATCGCCGTCGCATCGGCGCGCGAGGCGAGAATTCGTAACTCGCAAGCGATGGAATTGGTGCAGCGTTACAATAAAGTGCAATTCACTATTGGTGCTTTGACGATGGCGGATCTTTCAGCAGACAGTCGCCGTGAATCACCATATACGAGACTGATCGAACGTTTGAATGCACAAGCGGACGATACGCCGGAGCTCGGTCTTGGGTACGTGGCTCTCAAGAATCGCGACACCGTTACGGCGACACGAGAAAACCAATCGAGAGAAGAACTCGAGAAGGCCAACCAAGATGAAAAAGAATGGTTTGCTGAGCATCTTTCCGGACATACTGAACGCTGTGGCATTGAAAGTCTCGTCGATAGACTCGTGCAAAAAGTTGACGAGTACACCAGGGGGCCATGGATCGTAGCCGAGCGCGAGCGCATCGAGACTGAGCTCGTGAAAGTGCGACAAGAATTAAGCGACATGGGCGAGTTCCTGCCGAACGATTTGAATGAACTTATTTCTTACTTTTCCAGTGAGATAGAGAAGCAGTGTAAACCTTCGTTTGAAACACTTCTTGAGTTTGTTCCAACGGTGACATCCGGCAGCGCCGGACTGCAAGATATCTACGACGCCGCAAACTTTACGATTTGGCAACACAGCGATATCCACTCGCTAATGCCGTCAATTTCTCCAACCACTTTAAAGACATTCGACGGTCGAATGTTCTACGGCGAACCCACCTTTACAAAAAGATGGTCGCCGTTTGTGAAAATCACGCACAAACATCTTTTTGGGCAAGACACGCAGACACCTGAGACACCGTCCCATGCCTCATCAAATGGCGTTTGGACAATGCGGCGTGACGCTATAAACACAATTTCAGATCACTTCAATCAGACTTTTTGTAACGGTAGCCTGCTATTCGTTGGCCGACGTTGCTCATACGACGACGATGGTTGCGGTGGTGACAAGTTGGTTGGATTCTTTATCACACAGGACATGATACAACAAAGAAGACACGATATTCAGACCATGTTGGCGGCGTTGGGCAAGCGTGTGCCAACAGACAACCGTTCTCCTTGGACGAAGAGAGAGAACCATGAGAGCGATTCTCAGGATTCGAATTCTCAGTCACCAAATAATGTTGGAACAGGCACTGGTTTTGATTTTGCTCCGAACCTTTTTACTCAGCGTGCAGAGCGCGGACCGTTTCGTCGCGCGCGACGTTCAACGCGCGGCGGTCTCGAACAAGATGGGGAAGTAGTTGTTCTTTACCACCCTGCACGACCAGCTTTCAGAGCGAAGTTAGAGATATCTGAGGACCTGGAGAAATATTATGAGAACGTCTTGCATCTGCGCGAGTCTGTCGTTCGGATTTTCCAGACGAATGCTCGCGCCTTCTTTAAATCATCAATCACGGACGTATTGGACGTTCTGAAAGCAAAGGATGCGCGATTTTCTGTGTTTTTCGAATCGCTCTCTGTGATTCTTGATGATTGGTGCGAGGTGTGTGTTCGGAACGTAACCACTGAATTTGCTGAGTGGCTTACGAGGACAGGAGCCGTATCAGAGAATCGTGATGCGCATTTTCAAATCACCGCTTCGTATTTTACTAACTCGATAACACGCAAAATGCGCGAAATGATATTCTTTCATTACGCTGATTCAAGCATTGCCAAAGTTTTCGAATCAGGCGAGCTCAATGAAATCATGCGGCGGCACTGCGACGAGCATAACATCGATGTAGACGATCTTTACGTTGAAAACTGTGTTGAACAGCGTAAGAAAGCGGTGATGAAAATGGAAATGCTGACAACCATGAAGAACAGCCTACATCAAATATTTACGAGTGAAGTGGACGAACAAAGTAACGAACAACTTCCAAACACGCCAGAAGCAGATGCGGCACCTGTCCCGACTCTCTCGCACTCTCTCAGTCGAACTTCGATCTGATACTTTTGTGGAACCCGTGGAGTAAAGAGTCGTAACAACAATGAATCAAATATACAACATGTTTTCTATGTTTTCTTCTACAAAAGTCCCGCGCGCGTTATCTCGAGCAACTCGTCCCCTGGCGCCGAGCGCACGTGAAAGTTCACCAGCGTCGGTTGCATGTACGCGATGGAAATGGACATCGCGAACGGGTACACGGGATGAAAAACGTACTGCACGCGTCGCTTGCTTCGTCCGTTATTCGCCAGGGAGTTGTTCAGCATTAACTTGAAACTCACGCGACGCCGTTGACCCTGTTGCGCGCTGACGAATTTAATGCCAAAGTCCACGTGCGGCTGCAAGCGGTCGATGGCGGTGATCGTGCGCTCGTCGTAAGAGAAGAGCCTCTTGTCAAAGTACGGCGACAGCGACCTGAACTGCGGTGGGTAATCTTGCGTACGGAACAAGCGCGTGGCGATGGTGTTGAACGCATCCTCATCGTCGTCATCGATCTCCGCCGTGGACGTGTTACACACAGCCAGCGCCTCTCCTTGGCTCCCCGCGAAGCGCGCCCAGGGAAAATCGCCGCGCGGCGGAGCGTTTAACTCTTCGTCCACCATTCCATTCGTATCGCTCATGCTCGTCGCCGTCTGCGTAAATGCATTCTTACTCAGATCGAAGACACCATACATCGTCGGCCCGATGACGTTGTCCCCGCGCCGCGCCAGCGCGTACTCGGGCGTGCCAAACTTGATGAGGAGCAAATTCGCGTCCAGGATGCGCACGCGAAGCATCACCAACGACACGTATCGCTCAAAGTTTCGGTGCAACAGTCGCAGCGCGTCCGGGCTCGACGATCGTCGCGCGTCGTGATATAACGATGTCACCAAACGCTGCGTCAATCCGGTGAGCATCGACCGCCCCGAGGCGGCGAATCCCGTCGCGCGCGTTCGCGCCTTCTCCGCCGCTTGCGGTTCGGCGTCCATCCAAGCCCGCTCGCGCGCGTCTTGTGCGGCTACAGTTTCCTTGTCCTCGTTCGTGATGTGCTCACCGATCGATGCGACTTCTTCGAATCGTCCCTCTTCGTGCACTCGCAGAAAAATCACGCGCTGATGCTTCATCGACAACACCGCGAGCGTGTCGCCTCGAAGACTCACCGCGCCGTTCCGCGGCAGGTGCATGAAATCGTCTCGAAACGTGAACGAGTCCAATTTCTCGCCCGTCTTCGTGCGCACGAGATGTAACACGATGCGCTGCATCGAAGGCGCTCCCGAAATCCCGCCCGACGTCTCCTGCGTCTCCGTTCCGCGTCGCCCTCTCGCTCGCGCCGCCGCTCGCGCCGGCGCCCCGTCTTCGTCCTCTCGCATCGCCCCTCCCGCGGCGACCGACGACCCATCCAACGGCGTCGCGCTCGCCGCGACGATGTACTCCCCATCGTGCACCTCGAGCATGAAATCCTTCACGATCGCGTCGTCTCCATCGCTCAGATGCGTCGTCCACTTCTCTTCAAAGTACGACCAAAACGATCCCATCGCCCGCTCCGTCGCCTCGCTCGCCACCACCTCCCCTCGCTTATCCCGCCTCAGGCACGCCCGCATTCCCCTGAACGCGTACCCCACCAGCTCTTGCTGATGTCTCGACACGCACAGCAGCATCGACCCGTCGTTCGTGAACTTTCTCGGCGCCACGTCGGGAAAATCGCACACGCGACACGTCGCGTTCGGCGTCACCCCGCTCGCGTACACTCGCCGCGCGTTCGCGTGATCGTTCCCCGCGCCTCGTCCCAGCGCCGCGCGATCGAGCGTCCACCTGAAGACGCTCGCGCGCGACGTCTCCGCGTCGCCGTCGCGTCTTCCGCGCGCCATCCCGTCGCCATCGTCGCCGTCGTCGTCGTCGCGCCGCCGCTTCTTATCCATCGCGTCGTCGCCTCGCGCGCGCGGTCGCGGTGCGCCGTCGTCGCGCGCGCGCGCTCGCTCGCGCGTCGCCTCGCGCGACGCGTCGCGCGCGCGGCGTATCGTATTTTCGCGCGCTCGGCGTTCGCGTCGCGCGCGTCGCGCGCGGTCGCGCGCGCGGTGTGCGGCGCCGACGCGACGACCGACGTCACCGCGGGACGTTTCGAGCGTTTCGCCGTCGATTCGCGTCGACGCGCGCGTCGCGACGCGCGCGACGCGAACGCGCGCGCGCGCGCGGTCCGCGACGGAGAAAAATTTCGCGCGCGCGGTCGCGCGCCGTCGCGCGCGGACGCGCGTCGCGCGCGCGTCGCGACGCGTCGCGACGCGCCGTCGTCGCGAATGCGCGAATTCGCGACGCGCGATGCGATCCGCGTCCGCGCGCGTCGCGCGATCCGCGACGCGCGGCGCGCGGTGTCGACGCCGACGCGCGCGCGTCGCGCGATCGACGCGCGCCGCGAGGCCGACGGCGCCGTCGATCGCGTTCGTCGGGTGGGAGTGGATCGAACCGTCGTCCTCGGCGGCGGGCGCGCGGTCCGTCGCGCTCGTCGCGGAGGCGCTGCGGCGAGGGTGGCGCGTGACGTGCGTCGCCAGCGCGGAGGCGCGCGCGGGGCAGGAGGACGCGCTCCGCGCGATGGGCGCCGAGACGCGCCGGATGAAGGCGAATCGAGGGGATGAATTGCGCGCGCTCGTCGAGGCGGCGAGACCGGATTGCGTCGTGTTCGATAGGTTCCTCGCGGAGGAGGCGTACGCGGGGAGGCTGCGGGAGATCGCGCCGAGCGTGGTGCGAGTGCTCGACATGCAGGACGCGCACGCGCTGCGAAGGGCGAGGGAACGCGCGGCGAAGGCGGCGAAGACGCGCGGCGAAGACGCGGCGAAGGAGGTTTTGAAGAGCGCGCCGAACGCGAGGGACGAGGATTTGATGCGCGAGATCGCGAGCGTGCAGAGGAGCGATTTAACTCTGGTGTGCTCGCCCGTGGAAAAGGAGTGGTTGACGCGCGAGTGCGGCGTGGCGGAGAGGAAATTACGCTTGGCGTCCTTCTTCGTCGATTCCGTCGACGCCGAGGCGATGAAGAGGGATTTTAGCGCGCGGAAGGATTTCGCCACCATCGGTACGTTCATGCATAAACCAAACGTAGATTCTGTAGAGTGGTTGTGCGAAGAGGTGTGGCCGTTGGTGCGCAAACAGCTCCCCAACGCGACGATGCGCGTGTACGGATCTTACGCCACCGAAAACCATCGTCGACGATTTCACAAACCAGCGCAAGGATTCTTGTTCGAAGGTTTCGCGGAGGACTTGGGCGAGACGTTGCGCGCGCATCGCGTGTTGCTCGCCCCGCTTCGGTTCGGCGCCGGTATCAAAGGCAAGATTCTCGACGCGTGGCGATACGGATTACCCGCGTGCACGACGCCCATCGGCTCCGAGGGATGCGTGCCGGACGTCGTCGAGTTTTGGTCGCCCACTTCGAGCGCGCCGATAGACCCCGAGCACGGGTGGGGCGGGTTTGGCGATTTCACAAACCCGCAAGATATCGCCGACGCCGCCGTTCGTCTTCACGAAGACGAAAATTTGTGGCGTCTCGCTCGCGGAAACGGCGCCGACCTCCTCGATCGCCTCTTCTCCGCCCGCGTCAACTTACCCGACGTCTTCGACGCCATCGAGCGCGTCATCGACGATGTCGATGCCGTTCGAGACGCGGATTATTTCGGCCAGTGCTTATGGCGAGAAGACGTGCGTTCGACGACGTACTTTTCCAAATGGATCGAAGCGAAAGAAACCGGCGCGACGAATTAGTTTCTAGTCTTGAATTGTATCGTGATAGATGGTCGTTAATTAAATCGTGCAAATCGGGTTGTTCTTCACCGACGTGATTTGCATCTTCGAGCCGAACAAGTCGCGAATGTTGTCGATGCCGTACATGATCATCGTCGGTCGCTCGAGCGAGAGACCCCAGGCGATGACGTTGACGTCCTCGGGCAGACCCATCGGCTCGAGCATCTCCGGACGAAACATCCCGGAGTTACCGACCTCGACCCACTTGTCGAGCATCGGGTGGAAGGCGAAAATTTCCATTGAAGGCTCGGTGTACGGGTTGAACGCGGGCTTGAATCGAAGCTGCGTCATCCCGAGACGCTCAAAGAATTGATACAACACGCCGATGAGATCGCCGAGCGTGAGATCTTTGTCGCAAATAACACCCTCGACTTGGTGGAACTCGGCGAGGTGCGTGCGATCGACGGCTTCGTTGCGAAACACGCGATCGATGGAGAACATTCGCGCCGGCTTGAAACCGGTTTGCGCGATGTCGTACAGCATGCGCGCGCTCACCGCGGTGGTGTGCGTGCGAAGAATATTCTTATCCGCCTCTGCGCGCTTCCACGCGTACTGATGACCGATCGAACCGTTCCCCCCGGTCTCGTGCATCTTACGCACGCGTTCCACGTAATCCTCCGGCGCAAAGTTCATCGTCGCCGGCGTCTTCATAAAAAACGTGTCGTGCGCGTCTCGCGCCGGGTGCTGTTGCGGTTGAATCAGCGTGTCAAAATTCCAAAATCCACTCTCCACGAAGTTATTCGTCGGCATCTCCGAGAACCCCAACGAGAAGAAAATCTCCCGAAACGCCTGTCGAACCTTGAGCAACGGGTGCACGTGCCCGCTCGCCGGCTGCGCCCCCGCCCCCGGCACCAAATTATACGCCTTAAACGCCTGTCCCCTCCACGACCCTTCATTCATCATCTCCTTCGTCAAATCCGCCGGCAGCACCTTGCGCTCGAGCGCGAACTCCGCCCCCTTCGTCAATTCGTACTCTTTCCACCGCTCCTCCTTGGCCAATTTTCGCTTCTTCGTCAGCGTCTCCAGCGTCTTCGCATCCACGGTTTCTCCACCCCTCAGCGCTCGCAGCGCCTCCCGCACGTCATCCTCGATCGTCTCCACCCGTCGCTCCACCCTCGGCGTCGCTCCCTTCACCATCGCCAACCAATTCCTTTGCATCGCCTGCTTGAACCCGACGTCCGCCGCCCCCGGTCCCGCGCGCGTCCTGAACGCGTCCAGCTCGATCCCCTCCTCCGGCACGCACGCGAACGCGCGCGCCTCGGGCGATCCCTCATCGACGCACCGCTCGCCCTCCGCCGTCAGCGTCGTCCTGGAGCGCTCGATCGCGCGCGCGACGACCATGTTCGCCGCCGTCAGCCGCTTGACGACGCCGACGACCGCCTGATGATCGACGCCGTGGCGCGCGCTCGCGGACGCGGTGTCCGCGATGCCGTCGCGGGCGATCGCGGCGAGGACATCGCGCTCGATCGCGTCGGCGTCGGACATCGTCCGCGGCTCGCGCGCGGCTCGAGCGTCGCGCGATGGCGCGCGATGGCGGATCGACAGACCCTCGAACGCGCCATCGACGGTTCGTGACTCAAGAAGAGAGGGGGTCGACGACGCGGGCACGCGACGCACCGCATCGGCGCGACCGCAGACGGCGACGATGGCGCGCGCGCGCGCGAGCGATCGGCGGCGACCCGCGGCGGCGCTCGCGGTGGCGCTGACGCTCGCGTGCGTCGCGCGCGCGACGACGCGAGGCGCGGCGCCACCGACGCGCGTCGAAAAGATGACGACGCGACGCGCGGCGCGCGACGCGTTCGCGTCGACGACGAGCGGCGACGCGAGGACGCTCGACGACGCGCGACGCGCGTTCGCGTTCGCGAGCGATCGCAAGGCGCACGCGCTGGTGACGGGCGGCGCGGGATTCATCGGGTCGCACTGCGCCGAGGCGCTGCTGCGGCGCGGCTACGCGGTGACGACGGTGGATAACATGAGCCGAGGGAACGCGGGCGCGGTCGAGGCGCTGCGAAGGATGGCGCCGAAGGGAAGCCTGCGAGCGGTGCGAGGGGATCTGGGCGTCGTCGAGGACGTGGACGCGGCGTTCGGGAACACGAACATGCCGGTGGACGCGGTGTTTCACTTCGCGGCCATCGCGTACGTGGGGGAGTCGATGGCGGATCCGGTGAGGTATTACTCGAACATCACGACGAACACGGTGAATTTATTGCGAGTGATGCAGGCGAAAGATGTGAGGAAGATGATTTACAGCTCGACGTGCGCGACGTACGGGAACGTGGAGAAGTTGCCCATCACCGAGTCGACGCCGACGAGGCCGATTAATCCGTACGGCAAGTCCAAGTTGTACGCCGAAAACGCGATCAAGGATTACGCGCTGGCGAATCCAAAGTTTAAGGCGTCGATTTTGCGGTATTTCAACGTGTTCGGGGGCGATCCCGAGGGCGTGTTGGGCGAGTTGCCGCGCGCGGAGTTGCGCGAGCACGGGAGAATTTCCGGCGCGTGCTTCGACGCGGCGATGAAGAACATCGACAAGCTCACGGTGATGGGGACGAAGCACCCGACGCGGGACGGGACGACGATACGAGACTTTGTGCACGTCGTAGATTTAGTGGACGCGCACATAGCGGTGGCGGAAAAGAACAAATTTGATAATCCTCCGTCGTTGTACAACGTCGGCACGGGGAGCGGCGTGAGCATGCGAGAGTTCGTGGAGACGTGTAAAAAGGTGACGGGCGTCGACATAGAGATTCACTATCGCGCTGAACCTCGGCCCGGAGATTACGCCGAGGTGTACGCGAACGTGGACAAGATCAAACACGAGCTCGGGTGGGAGGCAAAGTACACGGATTTGCACGAGAGCCTGACGCACGCGTGGAAGTTTAGAAAAACGAAGGGCGACACCTGGGAATTGTAAACGAGCTGTAATTGTACTACCGTAGCAACGAATTTTTCTACAAATCGCTAAGTGTCTGCGCGAACGCGCCCTCTAACATCGCCATCTCTTCGAACACATCGTCTCGAGACCCGTCGAGCGCGCGCGCGTCGCGTAAGAGCGCGCGTCGCGCTTCGTTCGCCGCCGCCGCGACGGCGGCTCGTCGGGCGTCCGCGGCGTCGGCGACGACGCGCGACACGCTCGCGCGCGCACGAACATCGAGCGCGTGCAACGCCGACTTCGCCGTCTCCGCGCGCGCGGCCTCGCGTTCGAGCTCGCGTTCCGCTTCGCTCGCCGGAACATCCGGCGCCGGTCCCCAAAACTCGAGCGCGCGCGACCACGCGGCGTCCACGTCCGTCTCCTCCGTCGCGTCCACGACGAACGCCGGAAACGTCGCCCCATCTCCCGGCGTCGTCACCGCCGGCGCCTCGAACGCGCGCGTCATGCGTTCGAACACCTCCTCCGGAACCGCCTCCGCGCCCTCGCGATTTCGATTTCGCCGTCTCGCCTCCTTCGTCGGCGCCGTCACGTGCGCGCACGCGCAGCTCGCCCTCGCCTCCCTCGCCGCGCGAAACACCTCCCACCGCATTCCTCTGTAATACATGTTATCGTCCACGATCACCACCGTCTTCACGCCGTCTTCTCGCGCGTTTCCTCGTCTCGTCGCCGCGTCGACGTCCGCCGCCGCCTCGGCGCGCGCCGCTCGCCACCGCGCCGGCTCGAACGCCGTCGTCCCGTCCTCGCGCGTCATCGCGCGCAGCTCGCGCGCGTCGTAACGCGCGTGATGCGCGTCGTGCCCGCTCTCGCGCGCGCGTCGCGCGAGCGCGCGCGCGAGCGTCGTCTTCCCGACCCCCGGCAGGCCGCACAGGACGAGCACGAGCGTCTTGGACGCGTCCTCGCGCGGCGCGCGCGCCGCTCGCGGACGCGACGCGGCGTCCGAGGCGGTGGCCATCGCGCGCGCCGCGCGCGGCGGCGCGCGCCGCGCCGCGCGCGACGCGGCGCGACGCAGCGCGCCGCAGAGCGCGACGCGATGTCCCGCGGCGGCAGGAAGACGCACGCGCACGACGATCAGTACGGCGAGGTCGGACGCGGCGACGACGGCGACGCGCGCGACGACGGCGCGCGATCGACCGGCGGCGCGGGCGCGCGGAAGGGCGCGAAGGGGAGCGTGGCGTACGTTCGAAGATTGCCAAAATTTCTAGAGGCGCACGCGGGACTTCTGGGCGCGACGACGACGACGCGCGACGACGACGACGCGCGAGCGACGGTGAACGACGCGGTGAACGCGCGGACGGAGGCGGTGCGCGGCGAGACGGACGCGAGGGCGCGGACGGGGGCGGCGCCGCGGCGGTCGGCGTTGAGCGCGCTGGGATTCGACGACGACGAGTCGATCGCGGAGATGGCCGCGGTGCACAAGGGCGAGGGGAACAGGGCGTTTCAAGAGAAGCGATTCGAAGACGCGGTGGCGTCGTTTTCGCGCGCGGCGGCGCTGGAGCCGAAAAATTGGGTGTTTTTTAGTAATCGGAGCGCCGCGTACGCCGAGCTTGGGCGGTACGACGACGCGTTGGATGACGCGAAGGAGACGATTCGATTGAACTGCGAGTGGACGAAGGGGTACGTTCGACTCGCGACGGCGTGCTCGGCGCTGGGTAGGTTGTCCGAGGCGACCGCGGCGTGGAGGAGGGCGTGCGAATTGGACGACGAGAACGCGTCTTTGCGGGAATCGCTCGCAAAAGCGGAAGCGGCGGAAGAGTCGTCCTTGAAGGAAGGCAAGTTCAAGTTTCAAGGGTCGAAGCGTAAAGAGACGGCCGGCGACGGTGAAGACGTCGCCGGAGGCGATGTGACGGAGGCGAAGAAGAAGAAAAAGAAGCCGCCTCCCGCGACGCTGTCGTTTGCGGATGACGACGGGTGAGTTACGGTAGAAGTATTAATAATGTACCATGCGAAACGATTATCAATCTACATCCTTTAACGAAGAGGCCGCGCGCGCGGACGTATTTTCGACGGTCGCGCTCTCCGATCGCGCGACGGATAAAACTTCGAGTTTTGCCTTCATGTCGGCGAGTTTCTTGGCTTGCTCCTCGGCACGCTTTTCCTTCATTCGCTTTTGCAACCGACCAACCTTGTACAAGTCTTCGTAATTCGTTATCACCGCCACGTCCGGGTTCTCGCGTATGGCCTTGTCTTCCGCCGTTTCCTCGTCTTCCGATTCGGTGTCCCAACCGAAATCGTCGTCGTCGCGCGTGAAATCCGCCTTCGCAATGATTTCCCAATCTCTGGCGAGATCGTTTGGCACGGGCGCGATGGATCCTTCGGGTACGCGCGCGTCACCGCTCGGCATTTTTGACTCATGAGAGCTAGCGTGCACGCGAAGCGCGTATGGACTCGAGCCCATGAGCACGTCTCGACACGACACGACAAGACGGTAAAAGCCATCCTCGACGGGCTCGTACGAAGCCACGAATCGCCCGCGTCCGTCGTCTTCAATCTTCACTCCATCCTTAGTTTTGATTTCGTGTCCGTTGACGTCGGTGACCGAGATTTGCAAAGGAAGCTGCTCGCTTAAGTTTCCAAACACATCGTTATCGAATTCATCGCGAGCCTTGATCGTAAACGATGCGCGCTGTGAAACCGCGGCTCGCCTCGTACCATCGCCTTCGACGACGCAATGCTTTGCGCTCGCACGCGCGGGCTCGACCACGACGTCGTATGGAGAGTTTCCGCACTGTTCGTCGTTTCCAATGATGACTTCGCACTGATACGCGCCGGCGACCGTGCACGTGTAGTACGCCACATACGTCCCGTCGCCGTTATCCGTCACGGTGCCGTATTCGACGAGTTCGTCGTCCGTCTCCATGGAATCCACGTGTGTTAGCTTGACGGTAAATATATCTCCCCCGCTCAAGCGTTTATTCTTCAACTCATCCTTCGCCTCGATGCCAATCATGCTCGCTTCCCCCGCGCGCGCTTTCACGACGCCCGGCCCGAAAACTTTCGTAAACGCCGGTTCGGCGGTACTTTGGCACCAGCAATCGCGTTCCCATTCGCCGCGATACTTTGTGCCATCGGCGAAGACGCACACGCCGTAACCGTGTCGCTCGTCTCGCACCCACTCGCCTTGATATTCATCACCGTTGGCGTACGTGCACGCGCCTTTGCCGTGTCGCTTACCGTCACACCACTCGCCCTGGTAAATTGTGCCGTCGGCGTACAATCGCTTGCCTTTGCCGTTTTCGGCGTCTTCGTCGAACGCGCCGCGATACTCCTCACCGAGGTCGGTGAATTTGCAAACGCCCTGTCCTTTTCGACGACCCCCTTCAAAGTCTCCAACGTACTCGAACGTCGCTGTTTTCAACACGCCCTTGCCGTGATACTGATCGTCTCGCCACTCGCCGTCGTACGTCGATCCCGTGGCGAGTTCGCACTTGCCTCGCCCGTGCCTGAGATCGTCGCGCCACTGCCCTATGTACTTGTACGACCCAACGGCGGCAAACTTACCGCGACCATGCCGATAATCACCGCGCCACTCTCCGTCGTACTCCACCGATCCGTCCTTCGCCGCGTACCTTCCGCGCACTCGCGATCCCGAAAGCGTCGCGCCGTTAAACGTGGACCCGTCCGCGTACGTATACATCCCATTACCCTCGACGATATCATCCACCCATTCGCCCTCGTACACGTCCCCGCTCGCGAAACGTTGCGTACCCCACCCCCAGCGATGATCATTCTTCCACTCACCCTCGTACACGTCGCCGTTGACGTACTCGCACCTCCCTCGCCCGCACGTCTTGTCGTCTTCCCATTCGCCCTCGTACTTCAATCCCGACTTGAATGTCATCGTCCCTCGTCCGTGTCGCTTATCGTCCCTCCAGTACCCATCGTACACGTCCCCAGTGCTACACACGTGTCTCCCTCGTCCGTGTCGCGTCTCATCGACGCACTCGCCCACGTACTCGTCGCCGTTCGTGTACTCGAGCGCGCGCTCGTCGTAATACCGAGGCTCGAGCGCTTCCGCCTCATCCACGATCGCGCGCGACTCCGCGTCGTCCTCGGCGCGCGCGAGCATTTCCCTTCGCACCGCGCGCAACCGCTCGAGCTCCGCGCGCATCTCCTCCGTCGTCCGTTTCTTCCCTCCATCATCCGCCTCCGCCTCGCGCGTCCCGACGATTCGTCCATGATCGACGCTCGCGACGCCGTCCGCGCCGTCCGCGCCGTCCGCGCCCGCGTCCTCGTCGCGCAATTCTTCGATGATCATTTCCCTCGACCGAACGCGCGCGCGCGTCGCGCCGTCGCGTCGCCGTGTCGCGCGCGCGCCGCGTTCGCGCGCGCCGTCGTCTCGAGCGTTACGCGTGCGTTTCTCGCGCGCGCTCGACGAGTCGACGCCGTCGCGCGCGCGCGCCGTCGCGCGCGCGTCGCGCGTCGCGCGCCATCGACGCGAGAAATTTCGCGTCGTCGGTTCGTCGCGCGCCGTCGTCGCGCGCGGCGTCGCGCGCGCGCGACGGCGTCGATTCGTCGCGTCGCGTCGCGCGTCTCTCGCGCGTCGCCTCGACCGCTCGAGGTCGCGCGCGCGATCGAGCGAGGGGTCGTCACTCGCGCGCGCACGACGCGGCGACGTCGGCGCGCGGGCGAGCGCGCGCGCGCGATCGACGCGCGTCGCGGTCGGTCGGTCGGTCGGTCGCGCGCGCGCGACGCGACGCGACGCGACGCGACGAACGCGACGAAAGTTTGGATTGGATTGGATTGGACTGGTTTGGATTGGATTCGACGATGTCGGACGCGGTGGCGGGCGCGGATGAGACCGTGGGGCGACGGACGACGCGACGGGGCGCGGACGGCGGCGCGGGGAGCGCGCAGGCGGCGGCGAGGCGGGAAACGATCGAGATGCGGACGGAGCGGTACGCGAATTGTAGGGTGCATAAGAATTGCGGGGACGCGTACTGCGAGTTTCGGAAGCTGGCGTGGGAGTTTCGAGCGGTGCGGGATCGAGCAGAGGCGAAAGGGTCGAAGGCGAAGGCGGTCGCGGAGGCGTGGGTGAGAGCGGCGATGAAGGAGGACGACGCGTGGAATGAGGCGGCGGAGAGGGAGCGGAAGAGGTTGCGGGCGGAGGCGGCAAAGGTGACGAAGGCGATGGAGCTCGCGGCGAGAAGCGCGCCGACGGAGCGAGAATTGAGACGCGCGCGGGCAAAAGAGTTGAAGCGTCTCGATGGAGACGCCGATGTGAGCGAAGAACCGTCGCGCGCGGGGACGCCACCGCCGGAGACGGAGGAGGAAAAGAAGACACGACAGGCGATGGAGATTTACGAGAAGCGCATGCAGCGCGTGCGCGACTTGACCAAACGCCGCGCCATGCTCTTGGCTCGCGCCAGTACGGTGGTGGTGCACCCGGGAACAAACAAGGTGATCGCGTTGTCAACGCCCGAAGAGCTGTCAATCGTGCTGAAGATTGAGGCAAAGAAGAAGGCGCAGATGGAACAGAGGCGGCGTCAACGCGGCTTGAAGCGTCCGATGAAGGGTCCGAACATTGGCGACATGTACAGAATGCCGCGTCTTTTCGAGGAAGTCTGGCTGTATGAAGACAGCAACGTGGACGAACCGACTATTTCGGATTTGATTCACATGAACATAGGAATGTAGCTCTCTACCAATACAATTAAAGAGAATTCTAAAGACTCTTCACGACGACTTTTCTCGCTCGACGATTTCGTCAATCTTACGGAACTGCCACGGCCATCGCACGTTGTACAGGAACTGTCGCTGATCGAATCTATTGTCGTCCGGCGAGTAATTTTCAGCGTGATACGACGGCGTGAGCGTTGTCATCTTGTGCCTGTTGCACGAATAAAAGAAGAAAAATTTCTTCACCTTTTCGGCGATTTCGCTCGCAGAGAGCCCGCGATCCGCCCACTCCACGGTGTACAGACGCTTGAACATCGCCACTGGTCCAAGACGGGCGATTTTACGCAACCTTCCGTAAACACCGAGATCGTCGTAACTCATACCCATGTCCTCTTCGTCGGTTTGTACGTAGTCATCGCGAATAGGTTCGAGTTCCGCGGTAGGCGGCGCCTTTTCGACTTCTGCGAGCGTGGGATATCCCAAATTCATCGCCCCCCAGCGCAAGAACGATCGCAAATCGGCTTTGCTGATGCCGCCAATCGGATTTACGTCGGCACTCGAGCAATCGTACTTGGTCATGTATCCTCTCAATCCCTCGTCCACGTTCGCGCTCCCCAACACGAGCAAAAAGCCAGATTTACCTCGAACCCAAGGCAAAAGTTGCGCGAAAAGGAAGGACAAAACCATGCGCACGCGAGCTTGGATGTTTTGAAGCGCCAAGTTTTCCGCGTTTGACCCGCCGTCCACCTTAAATTTCGGCGTTTTCCCAGTCACCGTGGTGAAGAATGTTACGACGGCTGTCACCACGACGTCGATGGCGACGCTCAAATGCGAGGCGCCGATATCATTCGCGAGCGCCGCCGCGCGCGCGCGCGTCTCCGCGCTGCTGTTGTCCGTGCCAAGGTAAACAGTCGTAAATATCATCTTCGCCAACTCTTCGGCGCTCGGGATCGGGACGTCGCTCGCAAGTTGGGCGACGCGACGAATATCGTCGGCGACAATCGCGTCCCCCGCGCTCGCCGCCCTGGTGACTAGTTGACACATGCTTCCGACGATGGCGGCCGTGCTGGCCGAGTCGGCGCCTCCGGAAAGCGGCAAAAAGTATCCGCTCGCGCCCGAGCGCCTGAGATAATCCCACAACCAGCACGCTGGCCCGAGCGCGATTTCCTCCTCGGGCGCATGAAACGAAATTGCCCGCTTCGGCGTCACCTTGAGATTCTCAGAAACGCACAGCTTGCCCGATACACGCACGGTAGGTATGCGCTTCACACTCGCCGCTTGTACACTCATCGATTGAAACGCTCCTCGATGCGATTGAACTTCATCGAGATCCACCGTCGCGGCGACGACTTCGACGTCGCTCACGTCGAATTGTTTCCCTTGCGCCACGATTTCCCCATTCACCGCGATGCACGCGCATCCATCGTAGTACAATCGCCCACCGTCACACCCGCGCTGATTGGAGTACAAATACACCCCACCCGCCTTCCCACTCGCGCTCTTGATCAAATTCATCCTGGCGTCCAACTTTCTCAATTGGTGGTGCGACCCGCTCCCGTTGCTCACGATTTCAATCCCATTCAACGCCAACGCGATGTGCGGCGCGTCGGGCGTCCACAACTCCTCACACGTCTCGCATCCTAATCCCGCGTCGTCGAACACCACCGCTCCGTCCCCGAACGCCACGCTCGTTTTCCCGTCCATTCCGAACCTCGCGCAACTCTCCGGCAGCGTAAACTCCTCCACTTCGTTCGCGCGCGTCCACGCCGTGAACCACCGCGACTCGCGATAATTCCCATCATCCGCCAGCGCTCTCTTCGGTCGCACGAACGCGATCGCGCCGTCGACGATGATGACTCGACAATTATACCTCGCCCCGCGCGTCGTCGCCGGCGCGCCGACGTCCACCACCGCCCCGCGCATCAATTCCTTCTCCTCGCACAGCTTCGCGATCACCTCCCACGCGTGCGTCTCCGTGTCGCGCTCGTGAAAGTGATCCTCGCACCCGTACCCGCACGTCTCGAGCTCGGGCCCGACGCGATAGCGCGCGCCGAGTCTTTTCGCGCGCAGGATGCTCTCTCGAATCCGCGCGTAATTTCCATCAAAGTCCAGCGCCCACTGGTTCAGCGCGCAGCACGCGACGGCGACGACGCGCATGTCGAACCTTTTCGCGCGTCGTTTCGCGCGCGATTCGGCGCGCGCCGTTCTCGCGCGTCGGCGCGCGGCGCGCGAATCGTCGAATTTCCGGGAAATCGCACCACCGGACGCGTCAGAGACCGACGCGCGTCGGACCGTCGGCGACGGACGCGCCGCGCGCGCGCGCGAGGCGTCGCGCATGACCCGCGCGCGCGCGCGGACGTGATCGAGCGACGCGCGCGCGATGCGCCGCCGCGCTCGCGAACGCGACCGCGCGCGAAGCGCCGCGGCATCGCGCGTCGTCGCGCTCGCGCTCGCGCTCGCGGGCGCGGCGAACGCGCGCGCGCGCGCGGCGAACGCGGGCGGGGGCGGACGACCGTCGTTCGAGGCGGCGGTGCTGCCGCCGAGCGCGTTCGCGGGACGGACGAGCGCGGTGACGGTGCACGGTTTGAACTTTTTGCCGGGCCGGGACGCGGCGTGCGCGGATTGTAACGCGAACGGCGCCGCGACGACGCGGTGCGCGTTCGGAGACGCGAGGGATAACGGTGCGGTGAGCGCGTTCGATGGCTCGGACGCGAGCGCGTTTGAGTGCGCGGTGAACGCGGTGGACGGGGCGACGGGGACGCCGAGGCTGGGCTTCGCGCGCGGGAGTTGGAGCGCGAACGGAGGGTACGATTGGGCGGTGTTCGGGGGCGAGAGCGGGGGGGGGGAGGATGGCAGCGTGCACTTCATGAAGATACCGAGCGTGGATGACGTCATCGCGAGCGTGGCACCGATGGGAATGCCGACGTACGCGACGGGTGGAGATTTCGCGCGAGGCGCGCTCGGGTGTTACTTTGAGTCCAGAAACGACGCGGGGTCGTGGGTGATGCGGGCGACGGGGACGGCGGCGGAGGCGGCCGAACACAGAGGGCTGTTTGTGAGCTCCGCGCTGTATCGATGCGAATCGCCGACGTACGAGAGGACGACGCCGTCCAAGGCGACGCTGGCGCGGTTCGCCGTCGGCGTCTTGGGAAACGACGGCGGCTCGCTGACGAATGTGGTGAGTTATAAGGAAAACTACTGGCTCACCCCGGGCGCGGCGACCGTGAGTAGTGGGACGTACGGTCTCACTGGGGGAGAGACGATCAGCGTCGGAGTGAGCGATTCGGATGGAGATTGGGCAAACATCGGTTGTCTCGTGGGAACGACGCGCGTGAGCGCGCGGTCGGTGTCTACGTCCACGGTGACGTGCGTAGCCCCTGCGCGCGCGGAGGATGATATTGCGAACGTGCCGATCATGGTTGGCGTACGGTATGCCGAACAGAGCGCGTCGGTCGTGACGAGATCGACGGACGTGACGACGTACTCGGGCGGTACGCCAAAGCCGACGAGCCCGTACGAACTCCTCAACGACGAGTTATTCCTATTCGGTCGCGGGAAACAAGTCATGCAAGTTTCTTCAGAAGAAGATTTCACGTGCGTGTTGACTACGGTTGTCGACAACGTGACTTCGGTGTTCAAATCGACGACGGCGAACGCGTCTCCCTTTGACCAAATCTTAAACTGTCTCCTTCCTTTGAACGTCGAGGTGGGATTCGTGGCGATGGGCATCACCGGTGGGAAATACGAGGGCGTGACGCAAGTCATGTTCGTCGATCCACCGCGGGCGATCAGCGCGTCGCCAAGACGAAGCCCGAGCGAAGGCGGTGGCATCGTGTGGGTGTACGGCTCGAATTTGAACGCCGGCACCGATCCGTACTCGTCGTGCGTGTTCACTGCCGACGAGTCGTCGAGTTTCAAATGGGCAGTGGGAACCGGCGCTCGCGCGAGTTCCGCTCTCGTCGCGTGCGAGCTACCGCCCGCGGCGTCCGTGGTGGTGCAGAACAATCAGCGAACAACGGCGGTGGCCGTCGTCATGCGTCCTGCTTCGGCGAGCGCGAACGCCTTGGATTCGGGAGCTTCGATCGAGTATGCCGTAAACGTCGCGTCGGCGTCCATATCTCCAGTGCGTGGATCGTTAGAAGGAGGGACACCCGTGCGCCTGGATCCGACTATGACGTGGGTCGTGTCGCAAAGCTCGTCGGGGACGCCAGATACGGATGATTTCGGCACGGGTGGGTGTCGCTTCAGCGCTGTCACCGTGTCCGCGCGCGTCGCCGACTCGGGAGCGATCGAGTGCGTGTCACCGTCGCTAGGTAACTTTCCGTACGCCAACGCACCGGTCGCGATCGCGGTGGATTGGCGAACGAGCTCGTCGCCCCTCGTCTTCTTTACGAGTACGAACACGTTTCTCAACTTTTCATACGTTCGATTCTAGCTCATCGATTAGCACATGTATTTCAGCAGCGTCTAGATCCACTAAATCTCGCTATCGCTCGAGCTCAACGCACCCTTGGTCGTGATCGCAATCGCCAAAGCGCGCTTCAACGTCGCCACTTCAGCGTATCCAGGCTCATCGCCGTAGTCGTGCAAGAGTAACAAAAAGTCATCCGTCTTCATCGACATGATATATTGCTCGGAAAGCGCTTCATTGATCTGCACTCGAGGGTCGTTGAATGTGGGATCACCGCGCTTTCTCGCCGCGTGCTCGACAAAATCTACGACGACTTCGTCGAGAGTGACGTACGGCACGTTGAGAATGTTCATTTCGGAACGGAATTCAGACACATACATTTGGCCGACGTACTTGAGCATCGCCGATGTCGTGCCGGGTGTGGAGACGACGTTTCTAGGATCGATACCACTCTTACGAATCGCGGCCGACTCCATATCGTCTGACTCGAATTGATTGTACTTGCCCGCAAGCGTCGTCGTCGTCGTCGTCCTCGTCTCCTTTGCGTCGAATTCAAACGAGGACGTCGAATCTTCTCTGGCGTTGAACGAACTCGGCGTTCGCGCGTCTTCATAGATCGACTCGTCCACGGTGTTGTCAAACTCCCAATAATCACTCATTCCCGGCGTCGCTTGCGGCACGCGCGTCGACTTCGAGGACGCGGGCGTGTCCTCGAAAGGATTTCCTCGCGCCGCCGTCGACTTTTTCGCCGTCGATGTGAATCGCCACGCTTCGTCTCGCACCGCCGCAATTTCCGCGTCCGTGGGCGATGGATAATCGTCCATATCGTTGAACACGTGCTTACCGCGCCAGCTTCCGATCGCGCCCGCGGGTGTTGACGGATTCACGTCGTTCGAACGCTTCTCCAAGCTCGGCAGCGGATCGAGCTCGACGACGTGCGGCTCGGGCGACGCCGCCATCGGCGACGCGCGCGCGAACGGATTCACCGGCACGATCGGCGACGGCATCTCATCGGGAATAACGCGCGGACCCAGCTTCGCCCGCCCCGCGTCGATGATATCCGCTTCGATCGCCCGCAGTTCCTTCGCGAACCCGTCCGCGAGCGTCTCGAGCAACGTCTCGCACTCGAGTTCGACGTCCACCTGATACTGCGCCTCCGTCTCGCTCGCGCGCTCGTACGCCGACCACGCGCGAAACGCCACGAGCGCCGAGCACTTCCTCTCCACGCGCCCCTCCAAAATCACATCCTTCCTCGCGCACGACCGCAGCGTAATTTTTCCGTCTCTCCGCGTTCCGCCCGCGAGCGCCCACTGCGCCTCCCGCGTCACCGCCTTCGTCTCGAACCGCATCACCGTCTCCCCCTTGTGCACGGTGACGTACTTCCCATAACACCCAGCGTCAAAATTCCCATCGCGCACGACGAACGCGTACTTCGCGCCCTCTTTACCGTTCCCTCCCTCGTCCCCGCGCGTTATTCGAACCGCCGTCAACCGCGGCGCCGTCGTCTCGTCCAACACCGCCTCCCCGAACGCCTCCCGCGCGCTCCTCGCGCCGCGCACTCGTCGCACGACGATCACGTCTCCATCGCTCAGCGGGTCCTCGCGCGCGCGCGCCTCCGCGTCGCGCCGCAGCGCCTCGAACGCGTCGTCGTTCTTCGCTCGACGCGCCGCCTCGCCGAGCTCCAGCGTCGCCTCGCCCATCGCGCGCGTCGCGCCGTCGCGCGCGCCGGCGCGCGCGTTTCGTTTCTTCGCCGCGAGGTCTCGCGCGTCCACGGGCGCGTCGCGTCGCGCTCTGGCGCGCGATCGATCGCGCTGGATGATTTTGAATTCAAATCGAGCCGTCTCACTCGCGCGCGCGCGATGCCGCGCGCGCGCCGCGCCGCGACGCGCGCCGCGGACGAGAGCGCGCGCGACGAAAAAAAATCACCGCCCGCTCGCGCGACGCGCGCGCGCGGCGCGACGCCGGCGCGCGCGCCGCCGCCGCCGCGACCGACCGACCGACCGCGACGACGCGCGACGGCGACGACGACGACGACGCGCGCGACGCGCGCGCGGTCGAACGCGCGGTCGCGCGCGGTGCTCTTGGTCGCGCTCGCGGCGGCGCTCGCGCTCGGCGCGCTGCGCGCGCGACGCGCGACGACGACGGGACGCGGCGGCGGCGCGGACGCCGACGCGGCGGCGCGCGCGACGACGCTGCGGCGCGCGCTCGACGCGGTGACGCGAAGCGCGAGCGCGGTGGAGTTCTTCGTCGAGGACGTGGCGACGCGACGGGCGTCGCACAAGGCGCCGACGGTGCTGGTGGCGGCGAACACGCCGGAGGGGTTGCGCGCGGCGCGGGCGAGTCTGGAGGCGACGCTGCGGAGGGGCGCGCGCGGGCGGTGCGCGATGACGCTGGACTGCGCGGCGGCGAACCTGCGGGAGTTGGACGCGGACGAGGCGCGAGGGCGGTTGCAGCGCGCGCTGGCGCGACACTTGGCGGGATGTTCGCGCGACGAGGACGGCGCCGTCGTGGTGCTGCACGACGTCGCGAACATGTCGCCCGAGCACGTCCCGGCGTTGCTTCCCGCGCTGAGCGAAGACGGGGCGTACGCGTACGATGGGGAATCGATCTCGACGACGAGAGGCGTGTTCGTTCTCACCGCGCACCTGCCGGCGACTCGAGCGGCGGCGGCGGCGCCGACGGACGAGAAGACGTTCACGAACGCGGCGAAGATGGCTTTATTGGACGCCATGCGCGCGAAAACTAGCGACGACGACGCCACGGCGTTGGCGTTTAGACGTAGAATAGACGTCGCCGTTCCGGCGAACGCGTGACGGCGCGTAAAATGTAACCGTAACCGTTACTATTTTCAACCGCACGTACTGTAACTGTTTTCAAAAATCCGCGCGTCGACGCGGCACCGCGCGCGACGTCGCGGGAACGAACCGCGACGACGACGCGATCGTGACGTGCACGATCCATCGCCGTCGCGTCGGCGCGTCCATCATCGCGGACGCGGCGCCGAACGAATCGGCGTTTTCGCGTCCCGAGTCACTCCGCCTTCGTCCCCGCGCGCCGCGCGTCGTCCCGCGACCGCGCGCGCGCCGCCGCGCGTTCGCCTACCGCGCGTTCTCGCCGAGCGCGCGCTCCACGGCGCTCAAGATGCGCTCAATCTTCACCGGATCGTCGACGTACCCGTCGCCTCGCGTCAACTTTGAGTGCACTAATTCGCCGGCGACTTTGACCTCGAGCGCGCCGCTCGTCGTCGGCGTCGGCTCCGCGGCCACGGAGGCTCGCGGAAATTTCGCCACGATGGCGCGCTCGATCGCCGTCGCGAAGCGCAGGTAGCCTCAGCCGCCTCAGTAAGTGATGTGTACGAGAGGATTCATCACGACGAGCGTCGCGAGTCGCGAAGTGACGACGAGTCGAGCGAGGACTGAAGGAATGTCGGAATACCGATGTTCGCGCGCGTGTCTAATGATATGGTTTCTAAAGCTACTGCGGCGCTGGCTACGGTGCGCGCGGCGCGCGCGGTGGTCAGAGAATGACGACGCGTTTAGCTTCTTTGCGCCTGGACGGCCTGGACGGCGCCGTCGCGACGCGAACGTCGTTGTGAGGAATGACCAAGGCGACCGTGTCTTCGAGCGCGCGGTTCGCCGTTTCGAGGACGGCGTACTTGACGTAAATCGCACCCACGACGCACACGACGGCGAAGAAGACGTGGATGGCAGACGCGCCGAAGGCGTCGAGGGCGAGTTCGTACGCGAACGTCTCTACGAAGACGTACGACCAGTACAGCGTGAGCGTGAGCGAGATTGCCGTACCGCGCGCGTGCTGAGGGAACAGCTCAGCGGCGATGAGCATCGGTATCGCCGCCATGCCAAGTCCGTAGAAGAAGGCAAATGAGATGATGGCGACGTCGAGCGCGTCCCGCGCCGAGCCCAAGGCGTAGCCGGCGGCGGCGCTCGCCATGGCGAGGTTGCAGAGACACATACCCGCTAAAGATGCCAGCATGCACGGCTTCCGCCCCATGTAATCTACCATTCTCGAACACACCATGATGCCGAACAAGAGCGTGACGACGTATGCGATCCGAGTCTCCGTCGACGACGGCACCGCGCCGTTCGACGGAATTTCGCCGTCGTCGTGCACGGCGAGCGACAGTCCGCCGAGCTGTTGGATCCCGACGAGCGCACAAGCGATCATCATCGATCTCGATAGATGCGAGTCAAGCAATAGATCGTACCACCTGAACGCGGCAAACGCGCCGGGTGGTGAAGTCTTTGCATTTTCGCGAGCGACGATGTTCGCGACATCCTCCATTGCCTCGCGTTCCTTATACGCCCCTCGAAGCGTTGTGAACGCTTCCACCGCCTCGATGCGCATTTCTCGCGCCAGCAACCATCTTGGAGATTCCACTACGCATATAATGGCGATGATCAGAGCGATGACGTTGAACATAGCGCACACGCCGGCTAAGTGTCTCCAGTGCATCGTCACCGGACTCAACGGGCTCAGATACATGAACAACACACCCTTTACGATGGCCAAATTAGGCAAGATCGCGTGCGCACCGCGCATAGATTTTGAACTAGCCTCAATGAGTAACAAGGGCGCCGCAGTGGTGACAATACCCACAGAAATGCCCGCGAGCACCCTCCCAACCATCGCCGTCGTCGAAAACGCAGGCGCGCAAGCCGCCAGCGCCCACCCTAAGATCGCCGGTATCGTCGCCGCAACAACCGTTCGGCGCCTACCAAACCTATCGCACCCCCAACCCGCGCGCGCTGCGCCCACAATCGCCCCCAGGAAGAGCGCCGCTTGTAAAGTGGCGATTTCGTCCTCGTTCGCGCCATCCGTCCCGCACGCCGCCGTCTCGCCACCGCACGACATCGTCTTCCTAGCCGCAAACGGAAACCCGATAGCCAACCCCACGGTGAAGCACGTGAGCGATACCGATGCCGTCGCCGCCCACGTGCGCCAGGTTTTCGGCACCATCGCCGCGACGACGCTCGATGTCGAGTGCAGGTTCGCTCCCGACACCCGAGCGCTCACGCCGACGCCGCGTTCAACTTCATCCAGCGTCCGCAGCGCGTCCCGCGTCAACCGCGTGTACCCTCGCGCGCTCGTGCTCTCCACGAACATCCGATTCGCGCGTGCATCGCCGGCGTCATCGTCATCGCTCGACGTCGTCGACGACTCGCCGCCGTCAACACCCCGCGATTTTTTGCTCGACGACAGCGTCGTGCGCGCGTCGTCCGCGTGCGTCGTCCCGGTGTCGCTCGTCGCGTACCCTCGATCATTTCGCAGTAATTCCTCGCGTTCGCCGTCGTTGGCGCGTCCGACTTTCGGCGCGCCGCTGAAGAGCGTCTTCAACATCCCAGAGACTGAAGCGCGCGGGGACGCGCTGGAATCTCGACTCGCGCTCGCGCGACGCGCGCGTCTCTCGCGCCTGCGCGACTCGCGACCGTCGCGACGATCATCTCTCGCTTTCTTCTCGGCGCGCGCCTTCTGGAACAGGCGCGCCTTGTTGGCGAGCTCGAGTTCCTCCTTGCTCGGCGGCATCGCCGCGCGAGGCGCGAACTGAGGACGACGCGAGCGAACGGGCTGTCGTATTATTCTCGAGCTATCGAAATCTAACTTTCTATCGAGCGCGTCATCGCTCCTTCTTACTCTCGTTTTCGGTCGCATCGTCCTTCTTACTCTCGTCTTCGGCGCCGGCGTCGGCGACGTAGCCGAATTCATTCGCGCGAGTTTCGTCGACGCGATAGACGCGTCTCTGATACAAGAATAAGAGGAAGATGACGTCGTCTCTGAAGACGGAAATGCGGTGAAGTGTGGGCATCTTGATGACGAAGGCGAATAAGTCGTCGATGATGGTGTTTAGGAACTTGTAGCCCATCTGTTTCCACGGCATAGCGGCGACGCTCTTGAGTTTGTAGTTGACGTACAGCTGAGGCGTCATGCTGATGAAACCAAAAGTATAGACAGCCCCGACGAGCGTACTCAGGACGAACGACCACCAACCTTTGTGTTCGTGCGTGCGCAGGCTGTACACGGCGTATACTCCCACGAGTGGATATAGCGCGTACGACAAATAGCGCATGGCGTCCGCGTCGTGTCGAGCGGTGTCGCTCTTGAGCGCGCTCGCCTTGTCGGCGACGCGAAGCCGCGGAAAGCGTCCGTCTCGATCAACAGAGACGTCCATCGCGCGCGTCACCTTCCAAAACTCAATAACGACGCCCAAACCACTGGAAATAAGTATCATCCACGACGTTTCGTTGTCGCACAGGTACAAAAAGATGACGAGCTGACAAAAGGCGTTCAAAAGAACGCTTCGAGCGGACAATCCTTCGAGACTTTTGCGATTTCGCCAAAACTGCACGTCGTGTTTGAATGCAAAGAAATCAAATATCGTGTGTAGCAAACTCACAACTGTCGTCACCGCGAGCAACGTCGGATTTCCTTCGAGAAACACGCGCTTCATGTTGTCCGCGTCGTGTTCTCCCGCCGCGCCGAACGCGCGTTGCGTCGACCACGTCTGCTCCATGGACTCTTCCATCTGCCAACGAAACTGAGAAATCGTCTCGAGGTTCAAGTTTATCTTCATCTCGCGCGCGCTCGTTTCGTTCAGCTCGCGCAGATGGCTCTTGATGATCCAAAACTCGTTAAAATACACCGTGGGATAGTATCCCGACCGCCGCTCGTCCGAAAATCGCATTCGCCTCGCCAGGATGTCTGGAATCGTCGCCCCGCGATACGCCGCGAAATCATCCACCACGGTCAACGTCGCGTTGGGTTTATAATACGCCTGATAATACTCCATCCCATCTTCCAACCCCTCCGTCCCGTCCTCGCGCGGCTCCGCCCGCGCCGAATCCTCGCCCAAGAGCTTCCTCCTTCGCGCGACTCTTCGTCTTCGCCAAATCGTCGCGTCGAAAGACACTCGCAAAACGTCCCCATCGTCGTACCCCTCGTCCGCCGGATCCAGCGACGCGCCTAAACGCGAAACGATCGCGTGCAATTTCACGCTCACGTTTCTCGCCACCGCGTCCACGAGCGCGACCCCGAGATCCAACTCGACGTCGCGCGTCGCCGACGCCAGCGGCGCCGTCGTCCCCCACAGCGGCGTCTCCGCGTGAAAATTCACGCTCGACGCCTCGTAATCCTCCGCGAGCGCGTGCACGCGCACGTCAACGACTTCGTCCCGGCGCCACAGGTTCCGACAGACGTCCGCGTACGCCGTCGTCGTCGTCGTCGTCGTCGCGACGTCTTGGAACGCTTTCGGCGCGGAAACCGTCGTCAAGCTTCGCGTCAGGCGCACGGCGAAGCCGTACATCGCCGCGAGGCGCGCGATCTTGAGCGCGCTCTGCGCTCGCGACGCCGCGGGCGCGGGCGCGGGCGCGGGCGCGGCGTCGGTCGACATCGCGGCGCGGCGCGGCACACGATGACGCCGCTCGAAGACGAAATCGCGTCGAGAATCGCGCGACAGCGCGCGCTGGCGCGCGCGAACGCCGCGGAGTTGGCGTGCGCGACGCTCGCGTTGACGCCGCGCGCGCGGCTGCGCGAGGCGCGGGCCGCGGCGGAAGAGATGGCGAACGCGTCGGCGGACGCGGCGACCGTTAGAGCGCGCGTTCGCGATTGGCGCGACGCGCAGAGGCGCGCCGAGGACGCGCGCGCGAAGGAAACGACGCGAGCGATGGACAGTGAACGACGCGCGCGCGCGCGGGAGGCGACGGTGGCGCGAGAGGCGCGAGAGACGAGGATCAGAGCGCGCGCGGCGTCGAAGGCGCGGCGACGCGCCGAAGCGGAGGCGGCGAACGCGCGAGCGGCGAACGCGCGAGCGACGAGTCGCGCGGCGAACGAGGCGATGATTTCGTTATTTCAGGTGCGCATCGCGACGCGCGAATGGGTCGGTGAACGACGGAGGGACTGACGACGCGCTCGTTTCGTTTGGTTCGCGCGCGAGGCAGGCTCGAGACGCGCAAACGGTACGACGACGCCGCGACGCCATCGCGGCGTTAGACGTGGAAATAGCCGAGCGCGAATTGCGATTGGAAACTGCGACGGCGCGCGCGCGCCCGTTCGTGCACCGCTCGAGAGAACGCTTGTCGAGTTGGACGGAGGCCGCCGCGCGCCGTTTCGTGGCGACGACGCTCGAGCGCGAGCGCGTCGAGGATCTCGACGTTTTCGCGCGCGCCGCGCGTCAGGGGTGGGTCTTAGACGCGCACAAGTACCGTCGCACCGCGCCGCGTTGGCGCGTGTTAGATCCTCGATGCGGCGGCGTCGTCATTCGCGAGTATTAAGTCGCGCGTCTGGGTAGTTAGAGTAGCTCGTCCCGAACAACAGTCGTTGATCGTCCGACTTCAGACGCCGCCTCTCGCCTCGCCACGATGCGCGCGAACCGCGACCGCGCGTTTCACGGCATACACTCCGACGCCACCGTCGCCGGAAGCGACGGCGCCGCGCCGCGTCGTCGCGACGAGCGCGAGCTCACCGAGCTCGACGTCTTCGGGACGCTCAAGGAAAAGCACCACAAAAACACCGTGAAAACGATGCGCGCGATGTACGCGGACGTCCGCGAGCGACGGCGAAGGGCGATGGAAGATTTAACGCCGCTCCAACGCCGGGCGCGGGCGAGCGGAGGCGTGAATCCGTTCGATTGGTCGGATGGACACGTGGGACACTTTTACGAGTTCATGGTGGCGGAGAACGCGGCGAGCGAACGAGGAGCGAAGTCGCGCGCCATGGTGTTCGAGAGACAGGATGAGTCGGGACAAAACGTGGTGGAGGAATTATTCGATAGTTTTAGGGCGGACTACGCGGATCGGTGGCGGGCGGAGGTGGTGTGCGGGATCGACGCGAGCGCGGGGGCGTGCGAGCGGTATAGGGACGCCGCGGCGGAGGCGTGCGAAGCGTTGCTGGGAGACGACGACGCACGAGAGATGGGGGCGTGCGAGACGTATTTGCACACGTATGGGATCGTGCACGAGCATTGGCACGTGGAAGATTACGTGCAGGCCAGGAATACGTTGGGATACTCAAAGCCAAAGATGGAGGCGCCAAAGCGATATCCGGCGAATTTGTGGGGAGACTCGGTCTTGGCGCGCTCGAGAAACGGGGAATGTTCGGCCTGTAGTACTCAAGTGATCACTCTTCAAGGATATGTCGACGTGGATGTGGGGACGACCTATTCTTTAGGCGCCGAGCGAGAGGACAAGTGGGTGTTCGACGCCGAGCGATGGGCGCACGACGTACCAATGACAAAGTTCAAAATTGCGAAGACGTGTTGCACGAACGCGCAATTCGCGTGCTTTGTCGAAACAGGAGGTTATGCCGACAGAAGTCTTTGGAGTCACGAAGGGTGGCGATGGGTGGAAAAACGACGCGCCGCGGGTGAATTGTTGGCGCCTCTCGGTTGGAAAGTGTCGCCGTGCGTGAAATTCTTAAGCAACGGCGAAGAAGCACCCGCGTGTGAGAGTTGGCGATGTGCGTACTTTGATGAAGCGCCACGCGCACTACATCCGCAGCACCCTGTGTGCCACGTGTCGTGGTACGAAGCCGAGGCGTATTGTAACTGGATTGGCGCACGTTTACCGACTGAGGCGGAATGGGAAGCAGCCGCGAGAACGACGACGAGTTGGTCGACGGACAAACAAACCACAAAGCGTCGCACGTATCCGTGGGGTGAAGAATCTCCTTCAGAAGACAAAGCAAATCTTGGTGGACACTTTGGAGGTACTATTGATGTCAGTGCTTTGGGTGCGGGCGATAGCGCGCACGGTTGCCGACAGATGTTGGGCAACGTTTGGGAATGGACGGCGTCGGCTTTCCTGCCTTTTCCCGGTTTTCAAATGGACTACCCGTATCGCGAAAACAGCTGTCCGTGGTTTGGGTATAGAAAAGTCGTCAAAGGCGGGTGTTGGGCGACGAGCGCGCCCATCGCGCGTGCGGCATATAGACACTCGTTTTGGCCGCACATGCACAACACGTTCAGTGGATTTCGCGCCGCTATCGGTGGCTCGCAAAAGCGCGCGCTTTGCATTCTTCCGCAAAAAATACAGAGCGGCGCAAAATGTGGCAACGTGGTCACGATGGAAAGAATTTCTTCGCATCTCGAGAAGAATCACATCATGAGCATCACGCGTTCGATTTTTGATCTGCCGCAGTCAAAGGAGGATTTGGCGAACATAATACACGCGATGAACGTCGATTTGATCATCGTCTTGCACGCTTTCAAGTGCGGTGCCGTGATCGATACCGTACAGGCATATAAAGACATGCTCCCGCCTATCGTTCTAGTGCTCGGCGGCACCGACGTCAACGTGGATTCTCGAAAGTCTGCGCTCGCTGAGGAACAATTTCGCCGACGCGTTGACGTCGCGACAAAAGTTGTCTCGTTTTCCTTGTCCATGATAGAAGCCGCACCCAAAGGTGCGTTGAAATTTATCGAGTCGGACTCGACATCTAAAACCAAACTGATACCGCAAGGAGTCATGCTCCCGAGCACGTTGAAGGCTTCAAAGCGCAAAAGGCTTGCAGATGAAACTGTGGAAACACCCGGCGAGCTTCAAGGCACCTCGCGGCCTGCGGACCTATCGATACCGATCATGTTCCTACCTGCGGGATTACGCCCAGTCAAGGACGTGTGCTTCATAAACGACGCATTGACTGCGTATAACTCAAATGGAATCAAAGCACATCTGACTGTGTGCGGCCCTTTCCTCGATTCGGCGTACGCGAAACGCGTGCGATGTCAGTTTGACGGTCGTTCCGATTGTACCTTGCTAGCAGGTGTCGATCGCGCGACGCTTGTAAGGTTCATCGGCGAGGCGAAAGTTTTGTTGAACACCTCGGTATCGGAAGGTCAAAGCGGAACCATCGCTGAAGCGATGATGGTGGGGACTTTAGTCTTCGCGCGAGATATTCCAGGCAATCGTCAGCTCTTTGAGTTGTGCGAAGCGAGAGCGCTCGCAGCACTCGGTCCTGCGACGATAAAGGAGATGAAGGGCGATGGATGGGAGGTTCACCCGGTGGGAGTACTATTCTCGACTCCAGAGGGTTGCATGCGCGCTTTCGAAGCATTAGGTCTCGAAAGAGAGTCGACCGAAGACGTGGATGTATCGTTGATTAGACTCCGCGCGCGCGAAGGCGTCGCCGAACTGTCATTGAACGAAGCGAAGCGTTGGACGGAAATTTTAGACGAAATCACCGCGCACGGTTCATGAAGTAACTTATCATTTATTATTTCACGTATTATTTCCTCACCTAGTGCATCGCCGCGGCTAAGCAACCGAAGTTCACGACCGCCATTTCGTATTATTCGTTCGCTGACTATTTCTCTCTTCAGAGATGGTGCTCCTGCTGGCTCTTTCGCCTCTGAAACGACGCGAGAATATCCAGTTTTGCCCGTGTTTTCTCAGAGAATGGTGGCGCCGTGTTGTCGCCACCAGTGGATTGTGTCTGTCCAGGCAAGTAGTTTGCGTTAGCAGGTACGAGCGCGCCGAACGGCTCGTAGTTCTTCAGAAGCCTCTCTAACTGTTCTGGACTTGCGTGTGTTGGAATCGGGGGATGATACAAACCCAAACGCCCTTTCGACATCAACTCGCTCTTCTCGCACTGGTACATGCGACACAGGAATGCTGTGCGAACTCGTCGTGATCGAGTCTCTGTTACTTCTGGCGATTGTGTGACTCGCATTTCGGGCATCTCGTGGTCTGTTTTATCGTCCGTCGACCCGCCGTGTAGACCCGCGTTTTTAACGAAAGAAACATCATCTGTGGAATTCGCGAGCTGAGTCTGCGCAATACACAATCGCCTGATTCTTCGAATGGGAATGAGAGCGACCGCCCAGATACCAATGTTCGCCCAGAGTGTGGTAGAGATTCCGTCATCAAAGCGATAAAACACAAGACAGCCAAACAGGATTTGCAGCAGGTTGATCACTCGAGCAGTAATCGTGATGCCGAAGGAGTCCTCGCGGAGTTTCGGCGGCGCCGTGGTGAGATACAAACCTTGGTACTTTTTGCTCCAGTACAGCACGAATATCCCAAAGACGCCTACGGCGTAACTCACGGGAAGTGCCGGCGCGTAAATTGCCGATAGACCGAGAATCTTGAGCAACTCGGCGTACGAACGCGCCAGCTGGAAAGCTGGAGGTTGCACAAGACTCTCTTGCATCGACAACGTCTTCGACATTGGGGCGAGTATTTTCACTTGGATAATGTGTTTGATGTTCATGTTCCTTAAAGGTAACAAGAGAACGTTGAACACTTGCAAATAGAACGCATATTCGACGAAACCACCGGGAACGTACCAGTTACACACACCATCTGCCTTCGACGAGCATCGATTGGTGATGATCGGAACGACGACGTAGTTGAGCAAGTTAACAAACGTCAACGTCGCGATCAGCATGTTTGTCTCAATCGTTTTCGTCTTATAAACCTCAAGTTGCGCGAGATAAACCGTCAATCGATCCAGCAAACCGTTAATGATAACCACTACGAGTGACGTGGAAGATGCGACGAGTTGCAGTCTGATGGACGAAGTCGTCGAAGCCGTAGATTGGAAAGCGACCTCGTTCGTAATGGTTTCGAGTTGATTACTACGCAAGACCTCGAAAACGTACTGAATAACGCCTCCAACGCACAAAGCGCCCGCGAGCACGAACTTCGCCCCGATGGCGGTAGCCACAACCTCCCAGTTACTGTCTCGTCGACGAAGGTGCTGCCAGTTGATATCGCTCGGTTCGGGCGCGCGAGTGACGATGAGTCGACGTCCGTTAAAGTCTGGTGAATGTTTGCCGGTGCATCGATCGATGATCGATTCTCCGTAATCGCCGCAGTGATCTTCGCAACAGTTGATCGCGTGCTGCTCGTAATTGAACGTCACCACGGCGCTCCCCAGATGCGAGTTGCCGTTTTCCCCGAGCGCCACGACCTTCGCCTTGAGTTCGGCAATTTTTGCATCCAACTTTACTAACGCTTCTCGCGTTGGTTTCGTACCTTTGAGTGCGATCATTCGATACAATTGTCGACGCAATAAGATGGATTTATTGATCTTCTCGTCCATGTTCGCGCCTTCGTTGTCATCGAGAATCGCCTGAATTTCGTTTCTTCGCTGCACGGCGTTTTTGATTTCTCTCTCCATAGTCACGAGTCGTCGAGTGTTCGTAAGATGACAAACAGAAACAACCTCGCCGTAATGCGAGAAAAAATCCGCGATTTGCTGTCGAGTCCACTCGTTCCCTTTTCCGAGCCCGGTGACGAGCACCGAGTAGTCGCTCGCGGTCACCACACTCGACTTGATGATCGCCGCCGCCGTCGCGCGATTACGAGTGTAAAACATGTCAAAGAGTAAAAACACCACAGTCACGACGATTGAAACCGCCTGAAACTCCTTAGGCGTTTTATTCACAGTGGCGGCGACCCGAGGTACGCAACACACCGCGGTCTGCGTCGTCGTCAGCACCTTCTCGAGCGTGCACGGATAGTGCGTCTGGCACGCATTCGTCGCGTCAAACGTCCCGATCGCTCCTTCGTAATCGCATCGCATCGGGCAGTTATAAAAACTCGCCAACGTCGGGACTCCACACCTCGACCCTTGACTCGTGCTCAGCACAAAGCCGCCCGTCTCGTACGTCCTCGCGCACGTCGTCGTCGCGTCGGCTCCCGCCGTCGCGTCCCACCCCGTCACCGCGTACGACGCCGTGAACGCCCTATCCGTCACGTTCGTCGTCAACGAGTACGCGTTGATTCCCGCGAGCACCACCGCGAGCAAACCGAACTGCAGCACCGTGTCCAGGTACAGCGCCAGCGACACGCTGCTCGCGCCCACGCGTCTGTGACTCGCCGTCATCGAAAATCGCCGCGCGCTCGACGGCACCTGCACGCCGCGATGATCGACGTCGTACTCCAGCACGCCCGCGCGCGCGTGCGCCCGCCTCGCGGCGGTCATCGCCGCGTCCGCGCGCGCCACCGGTCCGTCCTCGAGCGCGCCGAACGTCGTCGCCGCGCGCGACGTCGCGCGCGTCGCCCGGCGCTCGACCGCGCGCAGCTCCACGACGTCGGCGTCCGCGCCGTCGACGACGACGACGTCCGCGACGTCGTCCGTCGCCGCGGCCGTCGCCATGTCGACGCGCGTCGATCGGTGTCGTCGGCACACGACCGCGCGCGGCGATGCGACGATGCGCGCGACGCGCGCTCGAGCGCGCGACGCGCGCGGCGACGGCGACGACGCGTCGAGGACGCGCGTCGTCGTCGGGCGACGCGCCGTCGAAGGCGACGAAGGCGACGACGACGACGCGCGACGACGGCGGGACGGAGAATCCGCTGCGCGGGGTGATGTTCCCGTGGGAGCGCGCGGTGCTGCACAGCGAGCGCTGGGCGGGGGAGCTGAAGCCGTGGCAGAAGGCGTACTGGGCGGCGTTCGCGCTGGGGTGCGCGTTCGTCGTCGGCGCGCGGGCGAAGCGGTATCACGACGATCAGGAGAGCGAAGAAGCGCGACGGCGAACGATGGAGGCGAATAAACGCGCGCTGCGGGGCGCGCTCGAGGGGAGGAGTTTCATCGGCGCGAGCGGGGAGGACGAGGAGGACGAGGACGAAGACCCGTTCGATGGGATGAGCCCGGAGGAAATCGAGGCGTTGGTGAAACGAGAGGCGGGACCGAGCGGGGACGTGTACGACGGGATGACGCCGGAGGAGATTAACGAGCACGAGGAAAAGTTTCGCGGGAAGGGAAATTTGACGTGGAAGACGAAGGCGTGAGCGCGACGCGGGTGTTTCGCTCGCGCGGCTGGTGTGTTGTAATCTAGTTCTATTTCTATTCTAATCTAAACGCGGCGCGCGCTGTGCGCGCGCTGAATTCAACGCGCCCCGTTCGCGTTGAGCTCGCGCGCGAGCTCGCGCAGCCGCCGCTCGCGATCGCAATCGCGCCAACAGTCTGCGCATTCGCACGAGCCGCCGTATTCGCGCGGAACTGAGCTCAAATCAGCCTCGCGTTTCACCTTGCTCGTAAATTCATCGAGCGTGCTGCAGACGACGATTTGTTTCAGCGTGCGCTCGGAGATGAGCGGCTTGCAAGTATTGAAAATGAATGCGAAACTCGCCGGCGGGTGCACGATGTAAATTTTGTGAATGCGCTCGACGAAGGCGCGCTTGGACACTTGAGACATGACGCGCAAAAAATCGAACACCTCGAAACCGATATCATTCATACCAAGTCGACTCATATCGACGATTCGAATCGTCTTGCCGCGGGGCCACGGTCTGGTGTCGATATGTTCGAATAAAAACGTCATCACGAAGGACACGTGTTCGACGACGGCGTGCACGGGATCGTCATCTGGTCTTCCTATCTCCTCCGCCTCTCGCCGGACCGCGTCGAGCAAATGTCCAAACTGTCCCGGCTTTTCTATCTGTATCGAGCACGCGTTCTGACCTTTGCCCGTCATGTGAAACGCGTGCGGATAGTATCGCTTGATGATTTTAAAGTACGGCTTCGGCGTGCGCAAAATGAAATCGATATCGAACCGCTCGCGCCACTCCGCGAACAACCGCGCCTTCTCCACGCGCCTCTCTGGATCGTCCGTCGAGCGCAGGATTCGATCTGGGATCCCGTCGACGTCCACCGCGATCGCTCTGACCTCGTCCGCGTTCGCCGTCGCCTTTGGCGTCCTCGCCTTGGCGACGCTTTTGGAGAACACCACGCGCAGCGCGCGGACCACCGCGGCGAGCGCGTTCGAGAAGAACCGCAAAATCATGATTCCTAGCACGAAGACGACGTGCGTGATGGACTGCATGGCGACTGCGATGTTTCTGACGCCGGTGCGGAATGTGACCGAGCGCGGTGCTTCGACGCGCGCGCGCGCGCAGAACGCGCGCGCGCAGAACGCGCGCGCGCGTCGATGCCGACGCGCGGATGCGCCGCGGTCGTCGGCGCGTTTCGCGAGCTCGGTCGATTCGGCGGTGCGCGCGCCGCGCAGTGGCGACGCGGTTCGCGCGCTATCGACTGTTTCTATTCTATTACAAGTACGCTTTACGAGCTCGAAGCGCGCCCACGACGGATGGCTTGAACCCGGTAGGCTGCGCGTCGAGCTTTTGCACCACCATGATCTTTTCTTTCAACGACGCGAGCCTGATTCGACCGCAAAACTCTTCGAGACGCTTGCGAATGGAGGCTTCGATGGACTCTCGTTCGCGAGCGTCGGCGGCGACGTACGCCGTCGCCGTCGTTCCGGCGAAGGCGTCGAGCGGAGCGTTGCGAAGATACGCCGACGCCGCGCCGGTGGGATCGGATATCTGAATCTTTACTCGCCATAGCGGCGGGCGGGCATCCTCTTGAACTTCTAACCTCCCAGTCCTCGTTATCCACGCGTGCACGGTGGCCATCGCGGATTTATCGTCGAGCGACGCTCGCGCCGCCCGTAAACATCCGAGGTACGTCCACAGCCCTTTTACCGCGCTCTCGTTCACGCGTTGCACCAACGCCATCGTACGATCGTCTAACGCGGGCGCAGACGACGACGGCACAGACGATCGTTCGCGACTGGAGAAAATCGGTTCGCCCGACGCTTGAAGGCTCGATCGCGTCGATCGCCGCGGAGACGCGACCGCGCCCATCGCCCTCGCGTCGCCCGCGAGCGCGTCGTCCTCGCCGCCGATCTCCAAAATATCCACCACTTGTGAGTCTGGCACGACCCCGCGCGCCGCATTCGGCGTCACCACCACCCTCGGCGCCGCGCCCTCGACGTCCCTCGCGCCGTCGAGCGCGCGCGCCTCGTTCGCCTCCTCCTCCCACGCCGCGCGCGTCGCCGCCTTCACGCGATCGCCCTCTCCCACCCCAGGTCGATTCGGCGCTTCAAACACCGCCATCGCTCGCGTTCTCGCGCGCTCTAACCGTTCCACGACCCCCCCCAACAGTTCCGTCGTCGCTCGTTCCAGCCAAATCGTTCCGTCTTCGCCGACGTACGGATCCGTCAGCGCGATTTTCGCCCCCGCTCGCATCCCCTCTCCGCTCAGCCGCGGCACCGCTTCGTACTCCACCGCGAACATCCTTCGCGCGCCGTCCGTCAGGCTCAGCGTCAGGCATCGCTGCGCGTGCGATCGTCGACACTGTTCGTCCGCGCGTCGTCGTCGCGCGTCGCGCCCGACGTCTCGCCACTCATCCATCTGCACCACGAATCGTCCTCGCGCGCGCGCGCCCGCGACGCGCGGCGCGCGCGACAGTCCCCCGCCCAGCGCGCAGACGTTAAAGTCGCTTCGCAGCGCCGCGCTCGCGCACGCGCGCGTCGTCGTCGCCGTCGCCGGCGTCGCGACGTCCATCGCGCGCGCGACGACGTCGCGCCACGCCTCGCGCGTCTCCGGCCATCCCGCGGCGTCGCGCGCGAGCCACGCGTCGAGGGCGTCGCGCGACGTCGCGCGCGCCATCGCGTCGCGCGTCGCGTCGCGTCGCGTCGTCGTCGGTCGTCGCGAAGTGCGGCGAAAGTTTAAACTTTGGCGCAGCTGTCGGCACACGCGCGCGCGCGCCGGCGACGCACCGGACGCCGCGCGCGCGCGATGCGCGTCGCGACGCTCGCGCGCGGCGCGGCGCGGCGCGGCGCGGCGTCGGCGCGCGCGCGCACGACGTACGCGACGAACGAGGACGACGCGCTGTCGAATCTGCTCACGCCGAGACAAAAACTGCGCCGCGCCGCGCTGCTGGCGCTGACGACGTGCGCGGCGGGGGCGTACGTGTCGTACTTTGCGACACCGATCGTCGCGGACGGGAGCGCGCGGTCGTGCGCGGCGCTGACGCGGTCGAGGGATGGGTTCATGGCGCGCGCGGGCGCGGCGCGGGCGCGCGCGATGTGGGCGTTGGGCGACGTCGGGAACGCGCGAGGCGCGCTTCTGGCGAACGACGCGCTGGGAGCGTGCGTGGAGACGGCGTGCCGACGAGGGATGGACGCGAGGGCGCGCGAGGCGGCGAGCGCGATGTTGAGGGACGCGTGCGAGGACGCGCGCGGAATCGAGGCGCTGCGACGGTGGAGGACGACGTTGGAGACGTGCGCGCGAGAGCGCGGCGACGGCGAGCGACGAGAGTGGTGGTGGACGAGGACGCGTGCGACGAGCGGCGAGGACGCGGGCGATGGCGGAGGGTTGGACGCGACGCGCGCGAACGTGGCGGCGACGTTGGAGAAGTTGCGATCGTGAGGCGGTTCGCCAAACGGCGCGAGGGCGCGGCGGCGATCGGTAGGTTCGCCTTCGGACAGCCATTCCGGTGTATGATTATTAACTAAACTGTGTTCTAAGTGCTAAGTACGCGCGCTATTTGCTCTCGACGCGCGCGCGTCGCTCCTCGAACGTCGCCTCGGTGGGTCTGTCGCTCAGGCGCTGGTGACGAGATTTCGCAACGCTCACGTTTCCCGCGCACGTCACGGCTGCGAGTTCGCGCGCGAGCGCAGAGCCATCGCGATCGTTGGCACTCGCAGCGCGCGTACGGTGCGCGCGCGAGCGCGCCAGATGCGCCCAAATTTCCTCTTGAATCGCCGCGCGAACGCGTTGCGCGTGCATCTGGCCGGCGACGTGCGTCTCGAGTTGCGCCAACGCGCTGTCGCTCACGTGCATGCGCTCGGCATCCAAACGCGCCTTGTCGTACCCACTTCGCCAAAGTAAAAGCGCGTGCTCGGGCGCCATCGGGTACTGCGGCTTTCTCGGCGTGCGTTCGAGATCGAGCAACTCGGTCACGACGGTCGGAGATTCGTGACCGAGACCAACCATAAATAACACAGACGCCATGCACCGCACTTGATGCCACAAGAATGCGGTGCCTCGAACGTTGATGTACATCAGTTTTCCATCGTGCGACTCCTCGATCGTGCACTCGAGCACGTTTCGCGTGAAACTCTTTACGTTTTCCGCGTCCATGCGACAAAAGTTTCTAAAATCGTGCACACCCTCAAACGCGCGCGCGGCCTCGCGCATGGCGCCCAAGTCTAATCCATTCGTCTTTTCAAAGAAGTATTTGTACTGGCGCCACTCGCAATCGAACCGGGCGTTCAACTCATCATCCACCGGCGCCCATCCCAACGCTCGCACGTCGTTCGGCAGCGCGCGGTTCAGCAGCGCCACGTAATCTAATTCCTCATCCACGCCTTCCGCCCCGTTCGAGCGCGCGCGCAGCGTCACAATTTGTCCCAATCCCGACACTCCGCGATCGGTGCGACCGCACCGCGCGTAATCCGCGACTTTGAACACGTCGCGCGCGCTCTCCACGAGCTTCGTCTTCGCCAACGCGTCGAACAGCGCCTGTTCCACCGTCCGCGGCGCCGCCGCGTTCGCCGCGCCCTGGCTCGCGAAACCGTGATAATCCCATCCCAGGTAGCACACGTGCAGGGCGATCTTGCGCGCGGCGTGCTTGCTGAAGTCGAACGCGCGATGTTTCGAGACGCCTCGGGCCGGCGGCGTCGGCGGCGAACGAAGCGCCGCGACGCGCGCGGCGATGCGCTCGACTCGACGCGGGTCGAGCGACGCGGCGGTGCTATCGCTCGTCGACGCCGCGAGGCACTCGGCCTCGATGTCGTCGAGCGCGCGCTCGATGTCGTCGAGCGCGCGCATCGAGAAGTGCGGCGTCGCGACGCGCTCGTTCGCGGCTTCACGATTCCATTACCTAACGCGCGTTCTACGAAAGCGCGGCTAAAATCTCGCTAAAATCTCGAGGAGAATCGGTTGGACTTTCTTCCGACTCGCCTTGACGTCGAGCTGCGCGCGCGCGGATTTGAACACGCCGAAGTCGTTTTCGGGAAGACGCAGCGGCGCGAGCGGCGTTCGCTCGCCCAAGTCGCGCATGACGGCTTCGAGCTCGATCGAGCACGCGCTCGATTTCGTGACATCGATCTGACGCGCGAACGCGCCGTCGGCGTCGGCGTCTTCGAACGAGGACATCATAAATAACACGTCGATGCGCCGCGCGTCGACGAAGGCGACGATTTCATCGTTGACGGATGAAGCGTCCTGTCGCGCCAGCAAATCCTGAAACCGCACGCCGAACGACGCGATGCCGACCTCGAGCGACCCCATCGTCCACTGCTTGTAATCTTTCGCCAAGAGTTGCGCGCACGAAAACGAGCTCTGATCGTGACGCGCGCGAGAGAGCGATTCGTACTCCGCTCGCGTCGCGTCCTCGTCCCATCCCAAAATATCTCGCAGCGATTCCGCAGCGGCAAAGTCCACGGGTGCCGCCCGCGTCGTCGTCGCGTCCAGCATTCTCGTGTCCAACACGATCGCTCCCAGAAGCAAACGCGCGACGTCTCGCGCGACGCCCTCGTCCGCGGCTTTCGCCACGACGTCCCTGTACACCAAACTCGAGCACGATCCGATCAACTCGATGACCCTATCCGCCCGTTCCGCGTACATCCCCGAATCCTCGTGATGATCAATCACCCGAACCACGCGCGCTTGCCACGCGTCCGGAAACAACCGCGCGCTCAGCGCGTTATGATCCACCAACGTCACGCTTCGCGGCGTCGCCTTCGTCGCCGCCGCCGCGACGTCCTCCGCGCACGTCAAATCGCCCAACTTCACCCCCGCGTTCGCCAGCGCCAAGACCACGTCGGGTCGTAATTTCAGTTCTTCCCTCGCGCACGACACGATCGGCACCGCGCGCGTTTCGCGCTCGCCATCGTCGCGTCCGCGCTTCGCGCTCGCCGCTCGCGCCGTCGCCACCGCGCACGCCACCGAGTCCAAATCGCACGCCTCGTTCCCCACGCTCACGTCGCACGCCCCCGGATCGCGCGCGAACGCCTCCTTGGCGTCGCGCAGGAACGTTCGCAGCGCGTTCGCCTCGCGCGCGCCGTCGTCGACGTTCGCGCGCGTCGCCATTCGTTCGTTCGTTCGTTCGCGCGCGCGTCTCGCGCGCGCGCGCGCGCCGACGCGCCGAAGCGCGACGGTCGAGGACGCGCGCGCGCGCGTGGTCGCCGTCGCGCCCGCGCGCGCGCGTCGCGTTCGCGTCCGCGCGACGCCGCGCGCGTGAGTGCGGTCGTCGCCTCACACATCGCGACTCGCCGCGCGCGCCGCGCCGCGCCGCGCCGCGCGACGCGCGCGAGCGACGACATGACCGTCGCGCGCGACGCCGACGCGCGCCCGCGCGCGCGCGCGGCGACGGAGAGCCTGAAGCGGGCGCAAGAGGCGATTTGGGAAATCTTAGCCTCGGCCGATTCGAGCGACGACGACGACGCGTCGAGCGACGCGCCGGACGAATCGATCGCGCGCGAGCGGTCGACGTTCGATATCGCGTCGCCCGCGGGAGCGGCGCGGGAAGGCGCGCGCGAGGCGGGGACGGGGACGCCGGTGGGCGCGCGACTGGACGCCGCGGCGCTGGCGCTGGAGCGGCGGCGCGCGGAGGCGCTGGACGCGGCGGCGAGCGATGAACGCGCGGCGGCGATGGAACTGAGAGAGGCGCGAGAGGCGTTGGAGCGCGCGCAGACGACGGGGCGAGGGCTGGAGGCGCTGGAACGCGCGGTGGCGGAGAGGGATTTGGAGATATTTAAGCGGGACGACGAGTTGCGAGCGCTCAGAGAGGAAGTCGGGCGGTTGCGGACGCGCGAGGACGACGCGGGAGAGACGATGATGGTGAGCGCGTCGATAGCGGATGCGAATACGCGCGCGGCGAACGCGGAGGAGGGCGCGAGGGCGATGCGTGAGGCGCTGAAGGACGCGGAGACGAAGAACGCGCGCGAACGCGCGGCGCTCATGGATGAGCTTCGCGAGTCGCGCGCGCTGGCGGCCAAACACGCGAGAGAGGCGCACGCGCGCGAGGAGGCGAACGCGTCGAGCAGTGGACGCATCGATGAGGTGGTTTTCATGAGGAAAGAGCTGGACGCGATGGCGAAGAAGGTATCCATCGCCGAAGCCGTTGCCGAGAAGCTCGAAAGAATCGTCGCCCAAAAATCAGAAGAGGTGTTCAACGCAACGCAAGAGCGAGACGCGCTGCGAAAGAAGCTGAAGACGACGAGCGAGACGATAGATTCGCTGGAGCGCGAGTGGCTTGAGTTCAATCGCCAAGGTCTGAGCGCGCAAAAAGCGCTGAGCGCCGAAAACGAAGAGCTACACAAGATTGTCGACGACTTGAAATCCGCCGAAAAAGATGGCTTCGCCGAAGCCGCGGGCGAAATAGAAGAGTTGAAGGCGCGATTGCGGACGTTTGAGAGCGAATCTGGCGTATCCAACAGAAGTGTCGATAGAAATCTCGCGCGCGAGTCCATCACATCCTTGAGATCCAAGGTGCGCGAGCTCAAGGGCGACATCGAAGCCAAGGACGCCCAAATCGAAGACTTGCGAAACGCGCTGTCGCAAAAGTCCATCATCGAAGCCGTGAACGCGGAGAAGGATGCCGTCATCACCGCGCTGCAAGCACAAATCAACGCGAGTAACTCTGCCGCACCTCGATCGGATTCTGAATTCGCCGTGTCCACGCAGAACGACGGCGATATCGACGTCTTGGATGAGTTACAAACCGTCGCGAAGACGCTTCGTCGAGAAAACGCGGGGCTGCGGCGAGAACTCGAAGACGTCGACCCGGACGTTCTAGAAGAGTGCATCGCGCTGAGTCGACGCGTGACGGCTCAAAACTCTCTACTCGCGAGCTACGAGGAGCGCTTGGTGCGCTACACCGACCAACTAGGGATTCCGTTCACGCCCGAGGCGCGCCCGTAGCTTTCGTCGGCGTCGGCGTAGCCGTGTTGTAACCGCCCTCCATCGCGCGGCGCACCTCGCGCGCCATGGCGAACAACCGAAACGCATCGCCGACTCGAGTCGAAGGAACAATCGCGCGCGACCGCGGCGACGTGTCGTCGCGCGCGACCGCGACCTCGAGCGCGTCCGCGCGCGACGCGAAGGTCGCCGCCGCCGGCGCTCGAATGCGCGACGTCGCCGAGGCCGACGACGCGCCGCCGAGGCCGTGGCGACCGGACGACGACGGCGCGGGCGGTGATGACGCGCGCGCGGACGTCGACGACCCGGACGAGTGGTTGCGCGGACAACTCGCGGGCATGCCCATCGAGAAGGATTACCCAGAGCTCGTCGACGCCGCCGTGCGGTGCATGGGCGAGTGGAAGAAGCGCATGCCGAAGAGCGTGTGGTTGCGCGTGACGAAATCGGGAAGGTTAGCGAAGGAACTGAACGAGTCCGCGCCGGTGCTGGCGAAAACGATGGAGTACGTGCGGGATATAGATGTGCGGACGCCGAGCGAACGCGTCGTCGTCGTGGACTTGTGCTCGGGATTCGGATACCTGGCGATGTTTCTTTCTGAGATTTTGCCAAAGGAGAAAGTGGCGGAGATCGTGCTGGTTGATAAGATGTGGAGCATGATGAACCGGACACCTAAGCCGCATCACATCTCGTGGAGTCACATTTACGGTGAAGGCGATTGGAAGTACGATTGGCCAATTGAACTGTCGACGCGAAAAGTTGATTTAAAGGATTACGCCCAGGTGAATCAGATGAGCGTGCACTTGTTCTCACGTTGGAACGGACCGTTCATCGTGCTTGGAATCCATCTGTGCGGTACGCTTTCCATCAAAGCGGTGGAAATGTTCAACAAAAACTCCAACGTGAAGCACTTGATTTTGAAGCCCTGTTGTCTTCCCGATTGGTCGTGGACGTACCGCGCCGAAAGCGGATACTTCCCGCCCGTGGGCGCGCATAAACACTTGATCCCGACGAAGGCGGTGTGTAGCAAAGGGAAATGGAAGAAAAACAAATGGATTGGCCCACCGCGATCGCATTTGAAGATAAAGTTTGAGTCCTGGAACGATCACTTGTGTCGATCGATCAACGACGAAGACGGCAATATTTCGACAAGCTTGCAGGAAATTCAGGTGCAAGCGAGCCACTTTCAAAACCTCTTCATATTCGGCGATCGCCAGCGTATCCGAAAGTGCCACGTCCGCGAGGCAACGGGCGTCGAATTTCCGACGCCAAGCGGCGTCGACGCCAAACGCTGGTCTCCGACGGGAACCGGCTACGGCACGCACACACGAACGCTAGCGAACTAGAATGTGAAACGAACAAAACATTAGCTGAAATCGACAACGCTACTCCGCTACGACTGAAAAATCTCGGGCTTTAAAATCCCAACGAACGGCAACTCGCGGTACTTCCCTCGATAATCCAACCCGTACCCCACGACGAATTCGTCCGGACACATGAACGCCGCCGCGATTTTCATATCCTTTTCCCGCATCCACTTCGCGCACGCCTCGTCCCGTCTCGCCTGTTTATCCATCAACGCGATGACCGCCACCTCCTCCGCCCCTCTCGCGTACAATTCCTTCGCCAACGCCACCACCGTCTTCCCCGTATCGATTATATCCTCGATTATCACGCACCGTTTCCCTCGCACCGTCGCCTCGCTCGGCGCGTGCGCCGTCTTCGCCTCGCCGCTCACCGTTCCGTCCCCGTACGACGCGCACGTCGCGCACGCGATCACCGGTCGATCGTACGGTCGATCGAGCTCCGCGCGCAGCGTCCGCTGCGTGACGTACGTCTGTCGCAGCAAATCGCTCGCGAACATCATCGCGCCCGTCGTCACCGGGACGAAGACTGAAAACTCATTCATTCGCATCACGACGAGCGCCGCGAGCGTCTCGAGCGCGCCCTCGATGGCGGTCGCGTCGAAGAGCACGGACGCGACGTCCGGGTCGTCCACGGGGAGCCCCGCGACGCGCGGGACGCGATCGGCGGCGTCCGGGATGCGATCGGACATCGGCAGTGAGTGACGCGCCGACGGCCGCGCGAGCGCGATGGCGACCGAGCTCGCGAGCGCCGAGGCGTACGACGCGTGGATCGCGGCGAACGCGCGCGGGATCGTGCACTTCTGGGCGCCGTGGTGCGAGCCGTGCGCGGCGATGGACGTGCTGCTGGAGACGCTCGCGAAAAGGCACCCGGACGTGGCGATCGCGAGGTGCGACGCGGAGGCGGTGGAGGCGGTCGCGGCGCGCGAAAACGTGAGCGCGGTGCCGTTCTTCGTGTTCGCGCGCGATGGAAGACGCGTGGACGCGGTGGAGGGAGCGGACGCGGCGACGGTGACGAATAAGACGCGACAGTACTTTCCGGCGAACGCGAACGCGACGACGACGACGAACGCGGCGATGGCGAAGGCGAGCGGGACGACGGATTTAAAGACGCGATTGAAGAGCCTGATCGAATCGCAGCCCGTGGTGTTGTTCATGAAGGGTCACCCCGAAGAGCCGAAGTGTGGGTTCAGTCGTAAAGTCGTCGACGCGTTGGCGGCTGCGAATGTGAAATTCGGTTCGTTCAACATCTTAGCCGACGAGGAGGTGCGGCAAGGGCTGAAAGAACACGCCGATTGGCCGACGTATCCGATGTTGTTCGTCGACGGTGAGTTTGTCGGTGGATGCGACATCGTCTTGGAGATGGCGGAGGCGGGCGAGCTCGCCGAGGCGTGCGCGGCGTCGAACGGCAAAGTGAAGAACGCTCTGGACGAGCGCATCAAGAGCATGCTCGGCGCGCAAGACGTCATCCTGTTCATGAAGGGATCGCGCGAGGCGCCGCGATGCGGCTTTTCCGCAAAAGTCGTCAGCGCGTTGAACGCGACTGGCGTCGACTACGAAACGTTTGACATTCTCGGCGACGAACCGATTCGTCAGGGACTCAAGGCGTATTCCAATTGGCCCACGTACCCGCAACTGTACTACAAATCCGAACTCATCGGCGGATGCGACATCATTCTCGAGCTCGCCGAATCCGGCGAACTCGCGAGCGAGCTCGGCGTTAAATAGCAGGCGTCGTCGCGACGATGCGTATTATATCTCTCTCTCCACACTAAAACTCCCTACGTCGCGCTACGTCGCGTCCGCCTAAACTACTCCCTCCTCGCTCTCGCGCGCGAAAATCATGTGCGTGCTCTCGTCCTCATCGTAATTCAAAGCTTCAAAGAATCCGACCAACCGTCTCGGCGCGCGAACGCCGACGTCGTAAATCTCCCGCTCTCTCAACGTCTCACCGAGCGCGCGCACGATCGCGCCGCCCACTCCCCTCCCTCGCCACTCCTCTCGCACGCACACGCGCTCCACCGTCGCGACGAACGCCCCGTCGGACGCGCACGCCGCGTATCCGACCAACGCGCCGCTCTCCCTCGCGAACGCCCCCGCGAACGTTCGCTGCGCCTCGGGCGCCGCGATCGCCCGCTCGATCGCGCGCGCGTCCCACGTCGACGCGCGCGCGTCCTCGCACGCCGCCATCGCGTCCACGACCGCGCGCGCGCGCAGCTCCGCCTCCGTCAGCGCGCGACACTCGACGAGCGCGAGCGCCTCGCGGTGTCGTCTTCGCGCGCGCGCCGCGCCGTCGTCGCGCGCGAGACCGAGCCAGCGCGCGAGCGACGCGCGCGGCGGCGTCCTCGCGCGCGCGCGCCGCGCGCGCGCTGCGCCGCGCGCGTCGAGCGCGCGCGCCGCGCGCATGTCTGCCGAGCCCCCCTCGACGAATCTCGACGAATCGGCGACGCGCGGCGCCGCACAGCGCGACGCCGTCCATCCCTCGCGGTCACCCGCGGTCGCGCGCGCGTCGCGCGTCGCGCGGCGAACGGCGAACGGCGCCGCGGCGACGAGACGCGGCGGCGCGGGACGAATCTTCGCGCGAAACGAAACGAATCGAATCGAATCGATCGCGAACGATCGACGACGCGCGCCGACGCGGAGTCGCGCGCGATGACGGGCGTGAACGCGGCGACGTTCGAGGCGTGGGTGACGGATCGAGACGGGAAGGCGCTCGCGAGCGCGGGCGGCGTCGACGCGATCGCGGCGGCGCTCGGATGCGATCTGAAGCGCGGTCTGTGCGATCGCGCGTGGGCGTCGGAGGAGCGAAAGGAGAGCTACGGGGTGAATGAGTTCGAATATCCGCCGCCGAAGTCGTTCTGGGAGCTGTGTAAGGACGCGCTCGGGGACCTGACGGTGCGGATCCTGATCGCGGCGAGCGTGGTGTCGCTCGCGGTGGGCGCGGGGATGAAGAGTCATCGCGAGGAGTACGGGTACTTGGAGGGGATCGCGATCGTACTCGTCGTTTTCGTCGTCGTGTTCTTGCAAGCGTTCATCGATTACGCCAAGGAGATGAAGTTTCGACAGTTGAACTCGGTCAAGGATAATTATCAAGTCAAAGTGCATCGCGACGGGAAGAGCGTGGCGGTGCCGGCGGGTGAAATCATGGTCGGTGATTTGGTGGAGCTCGCGGCGGGGGATAAAGTTCCGGCCGACGCTCTGTTCGTCGAGGGCTCTAAATTTAAGGCGAACGAGGCGGCGATGACGGGCGAACCCATCGACATTTCCAAGTCGCGCGAAAAAGACCCTTGGGTGCTTTCGGGGACGTCCATCTCCGAGGGATCGGGTAAGGCGTTGATCATTGCCGTCGGCTCAAGATCGCAATGGGGCGTCATCCTGAAGACGTTGATCGTCGAACCGAGCGATACGCCGCTTCAGGAGCGGCTCGAGCGACTCGTCCTCCTCATCGGTAACTTCGGCATCGGCGCCGCTGTGCTGACTTTCCTCGCGAGCATGATTCGCTGGATCGCCGACAGCGCCAAGAGTGGAAAATGGGACGGTACGCTCGTCCTCGAGTTTCTCATCAACGCCGTGACGATCGTCGTGGTCGCGATTCCGGAGGGTTTGCCTCTTGCAATTACTCTCGGCTTGGCGTTCGCCATGCGAAAAATGATGGCGGACCAGAATCTCGTGCGTCGCTTGGAGGCGTGTGAAACCATGGGAAGCGCCACGCAGCTCAACGCAGACAAAACCGGTACGTTGACACAGAACAGGATGACGGTCACCGCGTGCTGGCTCGGCGGCAAAGTTTGCGAGCAAGTTCCGCCACCGAGCGTGAGCGAAACCTTCTCGGACACGCTCTGCCAATCCATGGCGGTTAACTCTGACGCCAACTTGAGCTACAAAGATAACGGCACGGTGGAACACCTCGGCAGTAAAACTGAGTGTGCCTTGCTTCAGCTCGTCGAGCAGATGCAGCCGCCTACCGACGACACGCAGACGTACATTAAGCTTCGCGAAAAGTTTCCCGTTGCGCAACTGTACCATTTTACTTCGGCGCGTAAGCGTATGTCCACCGCCATTTCGAATGGCTCGGGCACGCGTTTGCACGTCAAGGGTGCGTCTGAGATTGTCGTCAAGCTGTGTACGAAGATGATGGGCGCGGATGGCAAGGTTTCGTCTCTCACAACGCCCATGCTCAAGGAGGCAGAGGCGGCGATTGAAGCCTTTGCGCGTCAAGGTTTGCGCACGCTGTGCATCGCGTACACCGATCTCGGGAAGTCACCGAGTAGTCTCGGTGAAACGCCGCCGGAGAGCGATCTCACGTTGCTCGGAATCATGGGCATCAAGGATCCGATTCGCCCCGAAACTGCCGAAGCGGTGCGCTTGCTACGCGGCGCGGGCGTGACGGTCCGTATGGTCACCGGCGATAACGCCATCACCGCCGAAGCTATCGCGCGAGAGGCAGGTATTCTCGAAGATGGCGATGATGGTCTCGTGCTTGAGGGTCCAGATTTCCGTAAGATGTCTGATGCGGAGAAGGAAGCCATCGCCATGCGCATTCGCGTCCTCGCGCGTTCCTCGCCGTCTGACAAGTTGGTTCTGTGCAACTTGCAAAGAAAACTCGGTGAGGTGGTCGCCGTGACGGGGGACGGTACCAACGACGCTCCGGCACTCAAAGATGCGGACGTCGGGTTCGCCCTCGGCATCGCTGGCACCGAAATTGCGAAGGAGGCGTGCGACATTGTCATTCTCGATGACAACATCAAGTCCATGGCCAAGGCCGTGCTTTGGGGTCGTAACGTCTACCAATCGATTCGCAAATTTTTGCAGTTTCAACTCGTCGTCAACGTCGTGGCGGTCAGCTTGAACTTGATCGCCGCCATCGCGGGCATCAAAGAGCTGCCGCTCGCTGCGGTTCCATTGCTATGGGTGAACATGATCATGGACTCGATGGGCGCCCTCGCGCTCGCCACGGAGCCTCCGTCACCGGAGCTCATGAAGCGTAAGCCTTTCGGGCGCACGGCGCCTCTCATCAATAAACACATGTGGCGCAACATCATCGGCGTGTCCGTGTATCAATTGACCGTGTGCATGGTTTTCATGTTCGACGGGAAGAGGCTCCTCGACATTCCGTGCAAGTACGTCGCGGCGTCGGGATCAGTGGCGGCGCACTACGATTGCCATCATCAAACGTTGGAGCTGAATGGTTTCATATTCAACGCATTTGTCTTCATGCAAGTGTTTTCTGAAATCAATTCTCGACGCATCGCCGATGTGAATGTCTTCGCGAACATTCACAACTCGCCCATTTTCTGCGGCATCATCGCGCTCACCGTCGGTGTGCAAGTGCTCTTCATTCAAGCCGTCGGCGGCACCGTAGTTGGTCCGGCGATCGGATTTGTTGAGCAAAACACAAAGGAGTGGATCACCGCGATCATTCTCGGTGTCATCATCCTCCCCGTGGGCGTAGTCACGAGACTGTTACCCTTGAAATGGTTCCCCGGGATCACGGATGAAGAGAGCAACGCGCGCGCCATGGCGGAAGGCCACGCTCGTGTGGCTGCGGCGCAAGCCAGAGTGACGAGCGAAGCCAAGGACGTCGCCATCAGCATGCCATCCATGGACCGCCGTGCGTCCATGGAGCGACGTGGTTTGGCCGGTATCACCGAAAAAGTCGTCGGCTCGCGTTTGAGCTCTCGTCAAAGTCGTCTCTCCGACGTCTCGGATTCGAGCGCGCCCATTCGACGAGAAAAGTCATTTAAAGTCTTCGCGCACGCCGTCATCGCGGCGAACAGGCTTCAGCAAAAGCCCGGCGCCAGCAAGTAATCACTCCTTCTTGAGTTTCGTGTTCTAGTACATCAGTCAATTTTTATACCACGCAATTTCCAGTCCGAGCTCTCGCGTCTCTGACGACAACTGTTTCCGCCCAACCGTCTGTTTCTGATTCCCGCATTCCGAGGCGGGCGACGCGGCATGCGCGTCCCCGCGCGCGATGGGATCAAGCGCGTAATCATCATCGCCTTCTTCTTCGCCGCATCCGCCGTGGAATTCGGCACGTATCCCGTCGCGTCCGTCGTCGAGTTTCGCGTGCAGGCGCCCAGATTTCCGACGAGTTCGCACCGGAAAAGCTTTCTGAGCGCGCGCGCGCGCGAGCGAGCCACCGCGACGGCATCCGCGACGCGATTCGGAGAAGCGTTCGGGTATTCGTGGACCGTAGAGGCGCGTACGCGCGAGACGGACGGTCGGAATGAGGTGGAGGTACGGGCGGCGAGAACGCGAGGACTCGGGCTGACGTCGACGCGAATGTTCGCGTTCACGGTCGTGACGCGCACGGGAGTATCTGCGCAAAGCATGCGAGATAGACTTGTCGGGACGAGCGGGCGCGAATTGCCGACGTCGGCGCACATTGAGCAGTCGCTGGTGGAGTCGACGCTGTCGACGGCGGAGTTGACGAAGATCCCGGGGGCGTCTGGGGAACATGGCGATGTAGACCTCGTGATACGCGTGCGTTTGTGGAGTAATCCGTTTCACGTGGTGTTCAAGGACGAGGTGTACGATGTGGCGACGATTTTGGGGTTGACGACGTACGCCAGCGTGTTAATTTTACGCGGGCTGTCTGAGTTGCGAGACGAACGCGAGAGGCGCCGAGCGGCGAGGAAAGTTCGATTGATGCGTTCGGAGATTGCGCAATTAGAATCAGTGGCGAACGAAAAGGCGGACAAGCTGCGCATCTTGTCGGCTATTGCACGAGTCCCATTTGTCGCGGTGTTTGAGACGGTTCAAATTCCAATGAGAGTCGTCGACTGGACCGCGTCTGCCATCTCTGACATTCTCATCGAGACGGCAAATTTGGTGCTGATTGTCATCTTACTTTTGATGCCCCCGTCGCGCGAAAACGCGCCGATGGCTTCAAGCGAGAATCACGCGAAGCAGGCGACGGGTTCGAAGCATAATCGAAAACATCGTCAAAGACCGCCGCGCTCGCCGAAACGCAGAAGTGAACTCGACCCCAAGAGCGAGCACGCTCGTAAAGAGTCGATGGACATATTACTGAAACGTTTCGTCATTGCCGAGGAAGACATGGACGAGGAACGTCAGCGCGCGGCGAAAGATGCGATCGGTCATGCCCAGGCGCAGATGCGCGCGAAAATGAAGCGCGATCGAATCACCGACATGCGGCTGAGAGATTCAAAGCAGCGTGAAGGTGAAGATTTCGCGGCGGAACTTTTCGCCAATGTCCCAGGCTTATCCGTAGGCACGCGCGACATGAGACCAATGTCGTCATCTTCATCGGACACGCACGAGCGCCAGGCGAGCTGGGAGCTGCACAATCGTCAAAAAAGCTTAATTCACCACATGCTGCAAGAAATCGACGGTTTGGAACTGCCGCCGGATTCCAAAACAACCGTACCGATCGAAGAACCGGTGACGCCGAAGAGCTCGCACACCAAAAATCCAAGCTTTGCTCGCGTATGGAATGCCCCGACGGGGTTCTAGCCGCCTACCGGCGCATGTATTCTATCATTTATTTCTTGTCATTTTTTCCATGCCCGACATCTCGCCCGACGTGTGCCTCCCCGCGCTCCGGCGGCACTCATCCTCGCGCGACATGAGACTTCGCGTGCGCACGCCCGACGGGGCGCAGCACGTTATCGACGCCGACGACGATTGCACGTGCGGTGCGCTCAAACGCGTCATTCAAGACGCCACCGGCGTCGAAACGCGCGCGCAAAAGTGGAAACTCGGTTTCCCACCGGTCGACGTTGACGTGGACGATGAAGCCGCGTTGTGCGCATCGTTGGGCGTACGCGGAGGCGAGACGCTCGCCGTGACGGCGATTGCACTCGAAGACGCGGCGGTGGCGAGTTCTGACGCGATGGCGGCGGCGCCGACGACGTACGCGAGCATGGCAAACATGGACGAAGACGAGGCGTTCGCGCGAGCGCTGGCGATGAGCATGAACGAAGGAGTCGACGGCATCTCGACGTCTACGAGTGATTTCATACGACTGGAGGACATGCACGCAATCAGGCGAGTGATCGCGAGTGACAATAGCTGTTTATTCAACGCCGTCGGGTACTGTTGCGAGAAGTCTCTTCGCGAGTCGACTCGGCTGAGGAAAGTCATCGTGGACGCCATACGCGCCGATCCGGCGACGTTCGACGAGGCGTTTTTAGGAAAAGCCCCGACGGAATACGCAGACTGGATTTCCAAGCCGAACAGTTGGGGTGGCCAAGTGGAGCTGTTCATTCTCGCCAAGGCGTTGCGCGTGGAAATCGCGGCGTACGACATTCAAACCGAACGCTGCGACGTCTACGGCCAAGACGCCGACTACGAAGACCGTATCATGGTCATTTACGACGGTTTACACTACGATTCCATCGTGTTAAACCCATCTTCCATCGGTGCTGACGTCGAGAAAGACGTTTCCCGCGTCCCCGCGTCGACGCCCGCGCTCGCCTCCGTCGCCGCTCTCGTCCGCTCGCAGCACGCAGCCAAAAAGTTCACCGACACCGCCAATTTCTCTCTCCGCTGTCTCGTCTGCCAGAAAGGTCTCACCGGCCAAGCCGAGGCCGTGGCGCACGCGAAATCAACCGGGCACGCCAACTTCGGCGAGTATTAACCGCGTCGCCTCTTCACGTATGCCTTTCAGTGCGATGTCAATTAGAGCGGTTTTTGAAATTCTTTTCTTCTGTCCTTCGCGTCGCCATTCGCCGCCGCGCGAACGCCGAACCGCACACGTCCGCGCCTTCGCGCCGACGCACGCGCACCGTCACCGCGCATCGCGCGCTCCACCGGCGCGCGCGAGCGTCCGCGCGATTCCGCGACGCGCGCGATCGATCTCCCGCCGAGCGACAGGTTGCAGATTTGAAAATCGCGCGCGCGAAAACGCACGGCGACGCGACGACGCGGGACGCGGGCGACGTCGTAGAGCGAAGACACCGCGCGGTTGAACGCGCCGAGCGCGATGCACATCAAACAAGTGATCGTCGAAGGGTTTAAAACCTACCGCGAACAGACGGTGGTGGATTTCGACGACGGGTTGAATTGCATCGTCGGCGCCAACGGGTCGGGAAAATCAAACTTGTTTCACGCGATTCGGTTCGTGCTGAGCGATGTGTTCGGGAATTTGCGAGCCGAAGAGAGACAGAGACTGTTGCACGAGGGAGCGGGGCACGCGGTGATGTCGGCGTACGTGGAGATTGTGTTCGATAACGCCGACGGACGCTTGCCGGTGGAGCGGGAGGAGGTGCGCCTGCGAAGAAATATTGGTTTGAAGAAGGATGAATATTATCTCGACAAGAAGCACGTGACGCGCGCTGAAGTGGTTAACTTACTCGAGAGCGCTGGTTTCAGCCGAACGAACCCTTATTACGTCGTACAACAAGGGAAAATTATGAAGATGGCGACGATGCAAGACGAGGAGCGTTTGGACTTATTGAAGGAGATCGGGGGCACGAGCGTCTTCGAGGCGAAGCGCAAAGAGTCCCTTAAGGGCTTGGACGAGACTAAATCGAAGCGAGAACAAGTGCAAGAGACCGTTGAGTTCATCGAAAGCCGTCTGGCGGAGCTCGATGAGGAGAAAGACGAGTTGCAAAAGTATACCGACTTGGACAAGACGCGACGGTCTTTGGAGTACACCATTTACGAGCAAGACTTGAGTGATGCGAGAAGCAAATTGGATGAGATTGAGCAACAACGAAGCGCGACGAACGAGTCGAGCCGCGTGGATGACGACAAAATGAACACGATGAGTGAAAACTTGCGCACGCATGAAAAGGAGCTCAAGGATAGCTCGCGCGCCGCCGCGCAACTGAAGCGCGAGCTCACGACGGCGGAGGAAGAGTTGCGCGGCATCGTCGCCCGACGAACCACCGCTGAGCTGGACGTGAAAGATTTGCGCGAAACGATTCAAACCGGCGAAGAGTCGTTGGCCGGTATCGCAGGTCAAAAGACGGATGTCGAAAAGGCGACGTTGGAGACGCAAAAGAAGCTCGACGCTGTGCGTGAAAAGTATAACGCCGAAGTTGCCGTGGAAGAAGCCAAGGATCGTGAAATCGCCGAGATCGAACGTCGCTCACAAAGCTTGTACCAAAAGCAAGGTCGCAGCGAACGTTTTAAGACGAAGGGTGAACGCGATACGTGGTTGAAGAGCCAAATCAAAGACGCCACCGCGACGAAGAAACAAAAGACGAAGGAGGTGGAGACGCTCGAAAATGACTTGAAGGAAATTCGCGCCACGCAATCCAGTGACGAGAAGGACCGCGCTTCCATGGAAGCCGAACTCATCGTTGAAGAAGAAAAGTTGGCGGATTTCGAGGCGCAGTACAAGAAGGCGATGACGGAGCGAAACGAGGCCCAGAACGCTCGCAAGGATCTTCAGCGCAAAGACAACGAGGTCGACAACTCGCTGGCGTCTTGCGAAGAGGAAGTGAAGAAGCGAGACAAGCAGCTCGAGTTTTCTATGCCTCGTGACCTTCAACGTGGTATGGCTGCCGTTCAGCGTATCGTCAAGGAACACAACATCGAAGGCGTGCACGGCCCTCTCATCGAGCTCATGGAGACTGACGAGCGATTTCACAGCGCTATCGAAGCCAGCGCGGGTAATCAGCTCTTTCACATCGTCGTCGATCATGATGAGATTGGTAGTCGAGTCATCGAGTTCTTGAACAAAGAGAAAGGTGGTCGTGTTACGTTTTTGCCGCTCAATCGCATGAACCCACCGAACGTTACATACCCCGAAGGCAGTGATGCCTTTCCTCTTCTCTCAAAGCTCAAGTACGACGCAAAATTTGACGCCGCGTTCAAGCAAGTCTTTGCGCGTGTTTTGATTTGTCGGAACATTGACGTCGCCGTTTCCAAGGCGCTTTCTTCGCAACTCAACTGTGTCACCATGGATGGGGACACCGTGAGCAACAAAGGTTCCATGAGTGGTGGTTACCAAGACACGAGCCGAAGCCGAATCGCCGCCATGACGGCGCTGCGCGAATTGAACGTTAACCGTGATGATCTCAAAGAAACCAGCGCTGGCGTGAAAAAGTCTCTCCAAGCTGCGGAACAAAAGATGTCAGCCGTTCTCGGTGATATCAGTCGACTCGAGTCGCAAAGACGTCACAGTGCTCAGCGTGTGGATCGATTAAAGCATGAGTTGCGCTTCTACGGAGACACGGGCACGCGAGCCAGCTCTCTTCTTGAACAGACGGAAAAGAGCATCGCCGTTATGCGAGCTGATATCGAACAAGTGGACACACACATCGCCGATCTGACTAGTGAGATCGGTTCGAGTCTGGACGCAACCTTGAGTCAAGCTGAAGTTCAAGAGCTTGAAAAGCTCACCTCTCACGCGACGACGCTCAAGCAAGAAAAAGTCACCATCGCCGCTCGCCGACTCGACGTGTACACGCAGTTGAGCGAACTCCAGACGGCTCTCGAAACCAACCTGAACCGCCGTGCGAAACGCATCGCCCTGACGTCTGGCGAACTTGACATCAACAGCTTACGCGCCGAGCTCGCCAAGCTCGAAGGTCAGTTGAAGACGGTGCAAAACGACGAAGCCATCGTGCGTAAAAACTACGACGGCATCGCGGAAAAGCTTCGAACGGTGCAAGCGAATATTGAAGCGGCGAATACAGAGATTGAAAAGCTTCGAGCGTTCAAAGAGTCGATGAGCTCGTCTTTAGGCGAACGTGAAAAGGTCATGGAAACTCTCATGTCCAAGGCTGCGACGCTGTCGCAAAAGCGCGAAGCACTTCAGAAGAAGATTCGAGAACTCGGCTCGCTTCCATCCGACGCCTTCGACCGTTACCGCGGTGAGTCGCTCAAATCCCTGCACAAGCTGTTGAGCAAAACGAACAACCAGCTGTCCAAGCTCGGTCACGTTAACAAGAAAGCGCTCGACCAATACCAGCAGTTTACCGAACAGCGAGAAGAGCTCGAGAAGCGTCGTTCCGAAATTAACAAGGCGTTTGACAGCATCACTCAACTCATCGATCATTTAGATCACAAGAAGGATGAAGCGATCGAACGTACTTTCAAACAGGTCAGCATGAATTTCAAGGACGTCTTCCATCGACTCGTCCCCGGTGGCCGCGGTGAACTCGTCATGCAACGCAAGCGCGCGGCGAACCGGGACCCGGAGGAAGAGGGCGAACCGGCGGCTAATCCGACCACGTTCAGCGAGAAGTATAGCGGCGTGAAGATCAAGGTGAGCTTCGGACAAGGTGAAACTATGCAGATGAAGCAGTTGTCTGGCGGGCAAAAGACTGTCGTCGCTGTTGCGCTCATCTTTGCCATTCAACGCTGCGATCCGATGCCGTTTTACCTCTTCGACGAAATCGACGCCGCGCTCGACCCGCAGTACCGCACCGCCGTGGCGCACATGGTCAAAGGTCAGGCGAACAATAAGACGCAATTCATCGCCACGACTTTCCGTCCAGAAATCGTGAAAGAAGCGACTTGCATTCAAGGCGTGTCTCACTCTCACAAGGTGTCCACAGTTCAAAAGGTCGCCTTGGAGGAAGCTCTCCAATTTGTTGGCGAAGACACCGCGCAAGTGCAACAAGTCGCTCCGACCGAACGCGGTCCCCCGACGCCGTAGATACGCACGTTAGAGAAACATTGATGCGAATGACTGTATAGATGAACCCATAGTGATACCAGTATAATGAGAAACTAAACCATGTTACAAGTGAGCGCTACGTGATGCTAGTTGCTAATTTTGCTCGCTTGGAGTCGTTTTTTAATCGTGCAGTTCGCGATGAGCGCATCTAAGTCGTCCTTCCATCCCAGCATTGAGCACAGCTCGGCGACGCCGTCGTCGCACTGACCCAAGAACAACGCGTCACGATAATTTGTCGCCTCATCAAAGTCAAATCCCGTGCCCCGACCGAGCCCAGCCATCCGATATAATTTCGTGACGCGCGTGTTCTGCGCCTCGCCGCAACGTTCGAGATTAATCAAGAGCCTCGGTACGTGCTCCTTCGGCCTTTCGATCAAACCGGCGAACGGATGGACGACTAAACTCGTTCCGATGACGATGAGCAAGTCGCACACCTCGAAGTCTTTTTGCGCGCACTCGAAGAATCGACGCGGAAGATTTTCGCCAAAAAACACGATATCCGGCTTGACAAACTCGCCACATTTGGCGCACGTCATCGGCGTTCCCGCACGACACGCTCTCTCCACTTCGTAGATGTTGGCGTCGTGTCCATTCAAACACTTCGCGCTGTCGAAATTACCGTGTGCGGCGACGACTTTATCCTTCGGCAGCCCCGTGGCGCACTCCAACGAATCGATGTTTTGCGTAAAGCATCGCCGCAACAGCCCGCGGTCGTGCAACAGCTTAATGAAATAATGCGTCGGCGTCGGGGCGTAGAGCCCCGGATACAGATCCTTCGCGAGCTTATAAAACGCCTCGGGCTTCTCCCTAAAGTACCCAAGCTCGAAAATCGCCTGCGGATACGGCAAATCGTACTCGCCCAATCGCGCGTACAACCCGCGCTCGCTTCGAAAATCCGGTATCCCCGCGCTCACCGATATCCCCGCTCCCGTCATCACCACCACGTTTTTCACCCCGCCGCGCTCGATGTGCTTCGCGATCCCGCGAAGATCGAACGTTTCGAGCGCCGTCGCCGCCGCCGCCGCGCTCGACTCGCCGAGTCGCTCCGCCGCCAGGCGTTCCATGAGCTCCAGCATCTCCGTCGACTCCCGACCGAACCCGTACCCCGACGACGACGACGACGACCCGCTCGACGATGTTTCCGACCGCGCGTCGTCGTCGTCGTCGTCGTCGTCGTCGTCGTCGCGCGCGCCGCCGTCGGCCCCGCGCGAGGCATCGACACCGTCGCGCGCCGCGCTCGCGTCGTCCGCGCCCGCGTCCGCGCGCCGCGCGCGCGCGCGCGCCTCGTCGTCGTCGCGCGCCTCGTCGTCGTCGCCCATCGCGCCGCGCGTCGTCGCGTCCTCGCCGGTCAATGCCGTCGCGCCGGCCGCGCCGCGCCACATCGACGCGCGCGCCGACCGCGCCGCCGACGCCATGGGCGCGGACGTCGAGATGCGCGACGACGCGGACGCGACGACGGCGATCGCCGACGCGGACGCGGACGAGACGGCGCTCGACACGTCGCGCGACGACGACGTCGACCTCGCGCAGAAGATTTTCGATCTCGAGCTCGCCGAGGGCGCGCGCGACGAGACGGCGGCGGTGATGGCGATCGTCGAGCGACGGAACATGGCGGCGACGTACGCGACGCTGTGCGAGCGGTTCGCGTGGCGCGCGGACGCGGCGCTGACGGCGAAGATGGCGGACGCGAACGCGAAGCGGTTGGGAGAGATCGAAGCGAAGATCGAAGACGCGAAGGAAAATCTCGGGGACGTGGAGATACGGGACGCGATGTGCGAGCGGGCGGAGTTTTACGCGAGCGTGGGGGAGATGGAGAAGAGCGAACGGGCGTACGAGGAGACGGAGGCGAAGACGGCGTCGATCGGGCAAAAGATGGACTGCGCGTTCGCGCTGATGCGCGCGCGGTTTTCGAGGTTGGAGCTGCACGAGGTGAAGAAATTGATCGAAAAGATTAAGGATATGCTGGATCAACCGGGCGGGGGGGATTGGGAACGAAAGAACCGGTTGAAGGTGTACGAAGGGTTGCACGCGGTGGCGACGAGGAATTTTGAAACGGCGACAAAGCTGTTTTTGGACTCGTTGAGCACGTTCACGTCGTACGAGCTGTTGTCGTACGATGATTTCGTGTTCTACACCGTCGTCTGCGCCGTGGTTTCGCTGCCGCGCACCGAACTCAAGGCGAAGGTGATCGATTCGCCCGAGGTGTTGAGCGTGCTCAACCGATTGCCCGGTCTCGGCGACTTTTTAAACGCCCTGCACAAGTGTGATTATCGCACCTTCATGTCGGCGTTCCCCGTCGTCGCCGCGCAAGTGGAAAAGTCGGTGTGGATGAATCCCCATTTCAGGTACTTTTTGCGCGAGGTGCGCGTCGTGGCGTACGCGCAATATTTGCAAAGCTACAAGAGCGTGACGGTGAAGAGCATGGCGGATAGTTTCAACGTGAGCGAAGACTTTATCGATCGCGAGCTCTCGCACTTCATCGTTTCTGGTAGATTGAACTGCAAGATTGACAAGGTTTCGGGGGTGTTACAAACCAACCGACCGGACTTGAAGAACTCGCTGTACCAAACTTTGATCAAGGACGGCGACGCACTGTTGAACAACGTATCCAAACTCTCTCGAGTGATAGATCTTTAGACGCGCGCCGGTGACGATTTGACCACCTTGGCGATTTTAAATCAACCGTTTTCAAGCCATCAGACGAATTCTCCGCGCGCCGAAATCGGGCGTCTCTCAAACCAAGTCGCTTTTCGCGCGAACGACGCGCGGGCGACGCTTTTTGTCACCGAAATTCAGCCTAAACCACCGCCCGCCTTCACTCCGCCGCGCAGCGCGCGTCGCGACTCGATCGCGATGTACGATGACAGCGACAGCGACAGCGACATCGCCTACGTCAGGCACGTCTTGCGGTACATGTACCCAGGATCGACGCCGAAAAACGGCCGAGTCATCGTGTTGCCGGCTGGGACGCTCGGCGACGGGAAGTACGGCGACGAGGAAATCGACGGCGAGTTCTGCGTCGCGCTCCTGATGGACGACGGCGTGAACGTCGATCGATGGAGGGTGCGCGTGTACGATAACTCGTTCGACGGTTGGCGTTTACTCGGCGTTGGGATCACGAGCTTGTGTTGGAACCACGTCGGACCGTCGCTGCGCAGGTGCGAGCTACAGCTCGAGGAAAAGCCGCAGCCGGCGTCGACGTCGGCGATGGATGCGTTGGACTTGAACACGTGCCGAGCGCCGGCGGTGGGAGAGCAGAACGGTTATTTTGGCATAGGCATCTACAACGGAAAGAATACGCAGAATCTGGGCACGCTGTGGAGAAGCGCGTATCAACTGGGCGCGGCGTTCGCCTTCGTCATCGGGCGTCGATTCAAAAAAGAAGCGAGCGACACGCCAAAGTCATGGACACAGATTCCAACGTTTGAATACAGCGATTGGGATGATTTCGTGCGTAAATCGCCCGTCAGTGCGGTGTGGGTCGGCGTTGAGATGGGCGGTACCCCGCTCGAAAATTTTGAGCACCCGCGAAACGCCGTGTACATACTCGGCAGCGAAGACACTGGGTTGAACACGACGATGCTTCGAGCATGTCAGCACCACATCGCATTACCAACCACTGGTACGCGGAGTCCGAGTTTCAACGTCGCCGTCACGGGCGCAATCATAATGTACGACCGCGAGCTCAAAAGGCGAGCCGCCGCGGCGAAGCTCGCCGCGCTCCCGACGCAAAATCGTCGAGACGGCATAGACAGCGTGAAACCACTCAAGTCGAGCGCCTCGCATTAGTCTTTTTTAGCCTGTTTATAGTCTGTCATTCACGCTTCGTTCGCCCTCGCGTCGCGCCCTCGCGCCGCGCCGCGCCGCGCCCGGCGCGCCGGCGAGTTGGATAAGTGCGCGCCGAGAGCCTTATCCGTACTTCGCGACGTCCGACGCCGCCCCGAAGGACTTCTGCGCGCCCGACGCGACGCGCGGGCGTCCAAGACGTGCGTTAGGGGCGTCTGGCGCGCCGCCGATCGCGCGCGCGTCGCGCGTCGCGCGCGAAGGCGTCGTAAAGCCGCGTGCGCGCGGCCGCCGCGACGTCGACGCGCGCGATGTCGTGCCCGTTCGGCCACGATCGAGCGCCCGCGGCCGTCGCGACGGTGGACGACGATGACATCACGAAAGTAATCGTCACCGACGGCGAGCGAGGGACGAAGCGACGGGCGGTGGAGGAGGCGACGAGGGAGGAAGACAAACCAGAGACGCCGAGGGCTGACCCCGCGGCGCTCGAGGCGGCGCTCGAGGAGGAACGAGCGCGCAGAAAGCGCGCGGAGAACGAGTTGATGAGCTTGAAGGCGATGTATAGACAGTGCAAGGCGATGTCGACGGTGCAGAAGGATATCGCGGTGAAGGAATTAGCGATGGACTCGTGCGCGGAGGGTATCACCATCGCGGACTTTACGCAGCCGGACCAGCCGTTGATTTACGCAAACGTGGGATTCGAGGTAATGACGGGATACAGCGTGCAGGAGACCGTAGGGCACAATTGTCGATTCTTACAAGGGCCGGGGACGGATCAAAACGAACTCAACAAGCTTCGGAATGCGATTAAGAAGGGCGAGGCGGTGACGGTGGTGTTGAAGAACTACAAAAAGTCTGGCGAAGAGTTTATGAATCAGTTGTCGCTCACGCCAATTCGTGACGCAGACGGACAAGTGATGTACTACGTGGGAATCCAATCCGATGTCACCGAGCTGTTTAAGCGACGCGATGACGAGCTGAACGCGCTAAAAATGATGGCACGCGCCGAGGCGGCGACAGAAGCCAAGTCGAGATTTTTAGCGCACATGTCGCACGAGATTCGCACGCCTTTGAATGGGCTCATCGCCGTGGGGCAATTATTAGAAGACACAAATTTGGATCGGTTGCAAAGGGAGTACGTATCTACGGTACGTACGAGTGGGGAAACGTTGCAAGCGCTCATCAGCGATATTCTTGACTTCAGCCGGGTCGAGGCAGATAAGCTCGTGCTCCAGTGCGAACCGTTCCACCCAGAGGTAGTCATCGGCAACGTTATGGAGATAACAGCCATGCAGTCAGCGAAGAAGAAGATAAACATCGGTTACCACGTGGATATCGGGGTGCCCAAAATCGTCATGGGTGACGCGATGCGCTTGCAACAAGTGTTGCTGAATTCCATCAGTAACGCCATCAAGTTCACCGACGCAGGCAACATCATGATTCGACTTTACCTCGGCAGAGAGGACACGACGGAAGTCGCGAGGCAAGCGTTCTTGGAAGATGGCGAAGAAACGCACCACGCCAAGATGGTTCGCTCCTATTCCGCCGGTTCGCTCGCGTCGACACAAAAGGACTGGCTCGCGCCTCTCAAGTGCTTCCTGCACATGTGCCCGCATTTCTCGGGCAAGTTGAGCGAAGGTGGGAACAAGCCGACGGATGATATGACATCGGATAATGAATCCTGGTTTTTGCACTTTTACGTCAAGGACACGGGCATGGGGTTAGATCAAAGCACAATTCATAAGATCTTTCAATCGTTTCAGCAGGTTGAAACGGGGGCGACGCGCAAATACGACGGCACTGGTCTCGGCTTGGCGATTTCGCGCAAATTGTGTGAAGCGATGGGCGGAACGATGTGGGCCGAAAGTCAAGGGCTCGGCAAGGGGTCGACTTTCCATTTTTGTATTAAGTGTAAGGCGGTTTCGGAGGATTGGATGAAAGAGAACCAAAAATCGCGCAAGCAACTCGCGAGCGGGGCGGAGTCGCTCCGGCAGCTCGAGCGCGATTTGAGCGTAGATTATGCGGCGCATTTCAAAAGACCAGGCGAAAAGCTGAGCGTGGTTCTTTACGACGAATCTGACATGCTGCGGAGCACGTTGTCCGTGGTGTTGAAGCGATGGGGATTTGCCGTGACGGTTTACGGCAACGCGAAAGATCTCGTCGGTTACATGAGCAAAGCGATGGATGGTGAAGTTACCGATGTCGCCATTATCGCTGAGTTGAGCAACAACGCCGTAGATTTCATTTATGACTGGGCAAAAGGCAGAGGTTTGCTGAACGGAGTGAGCGCGGGGCAAGGAAACACGTTCAGTATCCAGTCAAGTGGAGATGACAAACGCCGTTCCAGCGACACGAGCAAGCTTCCACCTTTTGTCCTTTCGACTTGGCCAGTGGTGCAATCAACCGGCTTTGACACGTCGGACCCTCGGTGTGCGTGGGCAAAGGATAGCGTAGAGGGAACGGAGTCGAGCATTGATTCCGTCAAGGGAACCGCCGTTCGAGATTTCTTCTCCTCCATACGATCGCATCTAATTTCGAGACCGGTGCGACACAACAGACTTCGTCGTACTCTCGAGACGGTTCTTGACGAAAAGGCTCATCACGCCGACGCCGCGGACACTGCGCGTACGGATAGTCCGACGCGAGCGTCTGGGTGCACTCGACGGAAGGTCGATTTCGAAGATGGTGTCTCTGGCCAACATGTCTCTGGCCAACATTTGCGAATCTTACTTGCAGAGGATCATCCCGTGAACATGAAGGTCGCAAAAGCTGTGTTGAGCCGCCTCGGGCACTCCGACGTCACTGGGGCGAAGGATGGGGCGGACGCGTTGGCCAAGGTGCAGGCTGACCCCGCGGGACTCGACGCGTTCGACATCGTTCTCATGGACTTACACATGCCAATCATGGGCGGTATCGAGTGTACGCAGCAGTTGCGAAAGCTTTACCCAGACTGCAAGGTGCCAATCATCGCCGTCACGGCGGACGCTATCGAAGAGAGCAGACAAGAGTGCTTCGATGCGGGCTTCGATTCGTACCTCACGAAGCCTTTCAGAATCGAACAAATCCAAAAGGCAATTCGTACGTTTTGTAAACTTCAGTAAACAGGCGAGATACATGGAAATGACTAGCATTAATCTCAATTCTGGTTGCAATCTACACTACAGTACACTCGGTTTGGGGAATTTATTCACTGTCCGAAGACGACTCGGCGAGGAGCGCTTCCTCGTCGGCGCGGCGTCTTGGTTGCGTCGTTCCCGAGGGCCTGAACAGCCGACCGCACGTGCGCTTCAACCAAGCAATGAACGTCAATGTCATCGGAACACGAACAGCGGACGCGGTGTCTCCGTTTACGGTCGTGTCGTTTTGCACCGGCGCCATCACCGCCGCGAGCGCGTGCGCGCCCTCGTGAGGCATCTCCTCCAAGACAATCTTTAACGCGCAGGTCAAGGGCACACCCAGCACCGCCCCAGCGGCTCCCCAAACCGAGTACCAGAACACAAGCGCGAGCAAGACCGTGACTTCATTCAAATCTAGTCCTTTGCGATATACCACCGGCCCTATCAAATCTCCGACTAAAAACGAAACCAAGTTTGGAATGATCGATCCTGCGACGCGCTGGCGTTCCGTCAAATCCGGCAGCAGCACGATCATTGGCAAAGGCAGGATCGACGCCACGATGGATCCTAAAGTCGGAATGAAGAAGAGCCAGAACGAAACGATCGCCACGGCGATCGCCAGCGGCCACGGCACACCGCACAGTCCCAGCAACGATCCCACGGAAAGCGCCCGCACGACGGCAATTTGCACCATGATGGAAACGAACCGCCGCGTCGCCTTGTGAATTCGTCTCGCCACGAGCGAACGCGCCCTCGATAACTCTCGGCGCGGTGCGAGCAAGAACAAAGTGTAGAACAGCATGAGCATGATATCTTGCATGTAGTGAAACACTCCTACGCCGAGCGTCTCCCAAAACTCTTCATCCTTCAGCGTGGCTTCGATGTTCGCCAACAAACGCGCCCATGCCTCCTCCGCAACGTCATCTTTCTTGAACACGCGCTTCGCCATCTCGCTCATGCTTCGTCCTAAGTCATTAATTCGACTCGTGAACCTCGAATTCCAGTCGGGGTCGTTCCAGTGCACCAAGAAGTACACGCGCCCGAGATATAACGCCCACACCAACGTCCCGAACACCGCGCACACAACCACTAGCGCCAGCACGATCGCCACGATCCTCGGTACCGTGAACACTCGCGGACAGCACAATCGCAATCGATTCCTTCGCAATGTTTCGCGCTGATACGCCGCGTCGCTCACGAAATCAACTAGCGGTCGCAGCAGCAGCGCCGCTCCGGTCGCCGTCACCAACGGTCTCAGCAAATACGCCAGCACCTGGAGCAACCAACAGGCGCACGCGCTCGCGATGACGGCCACACCCATGGTGATCACCGTGACGTCTCGCGCGCTCGCCGTGTGGTGTCCAGGGGCGAATATCGGGCTCGGGCTTAAATTCTCGTTGAAATTGAATGGCCGAGACGGCGACGGCGTGTCGTCGCTCTCGCGCGGCGCCGACGTCGATGTCGGGAAGGCAAACTCGTCGTCATCGTGCGCCGCGCTGGCGCGCGCGCCAGGGGCGGTACCGCCGCGCCGGGGCATCGCGCGCGGTCGTTTGAGGACAAAGGCTAATCTTTGCGCGAGTCTTTTTGAGCTGGACGAGCTGGATGCGACGCGGCTATTGACCATCGGCTAAGCATGCTAATAAATACGACTACACTTCGCTACGGCACGCATCCGACGCGCTCGAGGTACAACACGTGCGAATATAAAACAACGGGCTCGAACGCGACTTGAGAAGCCGCGCCGACGCGAGGGACGGGGGCGCCGTTTGGATTGGCGGCGTCCGACGCCGTGTACTTCAACGCGTCGTTAGGCTGTAAATATCCCGCCGTACTGAGCGTCGCCTTGACGCGATTCACCACTTTAACTCCTGTGACACCGATGCGCGGCTCACCGGCGCTCGCGCCGTCGACGCCGTCGACGTCCGGCAGAGGCGTGAACGTCCACACGTGCGTGTAATCCGTCGGCACCATTCTCGCGACTCCGTACGAAGTCGAGTATCCCAGCGTCACCTGCCTCAACGATTCGAGCGCGAAGAACGTCCCATCCGACTCCCTCGTCTCGCTGTCTCGCGCGTTCGTGAACAACTCGATCCTTTCGGCGTTATTACTCGCGCCGCGCTTCAATCGAATCGTCGTTCGATTCGCGTCTCTCCGCGCGTCGTACTCCACCGCCTCCACCGCGCCCTCGCCGACGTACGCGTCCACGATTTCCCTTAAATTAAATCCACGATCTTCGATCACGTCACCGCCGTCCCGCGCGAATCGCATTCTGTACTCCGTCTTTCCCTCGCGTCCCACGTCTGGCGCGTACGCCAGCGACAGCTTTTGAAACCCCGGCGTCGTCGCCTCTCGCGCCACCGCCTCGCGCGCGACGACCGCGCTCGGAAACTCGTATCCCGCGAAGTCGATCGTCGCGCGCCACTCGCCCTCGAGCCAATCCGGGTACGCTTGCGCGCGCGGTCGTCCACCGTTGAAGACTGGCTTGTTCAGCCGCTTGACCCGCAGGTCGTCGATGAGCGACGATTTCGCCTCGGCGCGACGCGCGCGCGCGAGAAGCGGCGCGCAGACGGTGGCGACGACCACCGCGCGTCGATCGACGCGCGCGCTGGGGCGCGCGGGCGCGACGTCGCGCGCGGACGGCGGTGCGAACGGCACCGTCGGCATCGCGACCGCGCGTCGATGTGACGCGGCGCGCGCGTCACGCGGCGACGCGCGGCGCGTTCCAGATGACGGACGCGTGGACGACGAAACTGCGCGCGACGCGACAGCTCGTGAACGAGCTGCGCGCGGACGTGGGCGCGGTGCGCGCGACGAATGCGTCGAGCGAGCGCGACGGCGATCCGACGACGAAATCTTCCGAGACGGCGCGCGCGCGCGCGCTGGCGCTCGCGCGACGGAAGCTGAACCGACTGGATGACTTGCTGGACGTGCTGGACGATTGCGCGCGCGAGGGCGCGCGCGATGACGCGGAGATCGAGGCGCGAGAGCGGACGGTGGAGGAATTTCAGCGCGAGGCGCGGCGACTGCGCGGCGACGTCGCGAAGGCGACGGAGACGCGAACGACGACGAGCGCGACGACGACGACGGCGACGACGACGAGGGAGTTGGGGGCAAACGTGAGCGCGCTGGGGGCGGCGATCGGTAAGGGAGTGAGCGATGCGGCGACGAGCGTGAGTAACGCGGCGGGGGGGTTGGTGGCGAGCGCGAGTCGCGCGGCGGAATCCGTGCCGGCGCTGGAACGCGCGGCGACGATGGTGATTCCCTCGAGGAAGGACGAGGAGAGTCGAGCGACGCGAGCGATGGACACGCGCGAGCTCATCGAACATCAAACGGCGCAGATTCGAGGGCAAGATGACGCGTTAGAGGGGTTGGACAAATTGGTCGAAAACTTGAAGACGACGAGCGAGGCGATTCACGGCGAAGTCGTGCTGCAGGCGAAATTGGTGGAGGATTTAGAAGCGGATTTCTCGCACACGAGCGATAGAATGAAAAAGTTACGCAAGCAGGGATTCAAACTTGCCGGTGAGAAGAACGAGGAAGAGCGAGAGAGGCTCGATCGGAACGAAGTCATCGAGGAGATGCGAGCGAAGCTTGGTCGCGAGCAGCGCGCGGCGGAGAGCGCCGACGGCGGTTGCGTGGTACAATGACTCGTTGTAATTCATCTAATTTACACAAAACTGGCTACTGATTCTTCTCAAATCTACGTCACGCAAACTTGGTGCTCGAAGCCGACAGCGAGTGTACCGCGTGCGCGTACGCCGCGTCGCCGATGGCTTCATCGATTCGCGAAACCGTCGTCTCCACGCGTTGTTTCAACGCGTCGTTATCACACAAAACCGTACGCGTGCGGTACTCAAGCACGGCATCGATACCGTCGATGTTCAGACTCAACGTTGCTTTTTTCTCATTCACCTTGAGCTCGCCGAACTGAGCGGAGAGCATGGCTGCGACGACGCGCAGGCGCCACTTCTCCGCGGAAGTCTCGTCCTTCTTCTTGATGGCGTCGCGTAATCCAGCCTCGGCTTCCTTTAATGCTTCTGGTTCACTTTCGAGCTGTAAGATTGCGCTCAGCGTCGCGTCGACGATCATGTCCGTCAAAGGATCGCTATTCCATTCGATGACGACATGTTCGACGCCGGTGATTTCGTCCGCGAAGCGCTTGCGTATCGTCACCATGCCGTCGTTGATGGACAAACCATCCGCCTTGTCGACGTCAAACTTGTCTTCGCCCTCGCGCGCTTCAACTTCAGACGGTTCTGTCTTCGCTTTCTTCGCGCGACTCGTCGTTGCCTTCTTCTTCGGCGCCGCTTTCTTCTTCGCGGCCGGCTTATTTGCCTCCTCCTCTGCGTCTTCCTCCTCTTCTTCGTCCTCCTCTGGCGCGAGCGTGGAGACGACGTGCAAGCCTTCGAAAAGAGCTTCGAGTGCGAACCGCAGCGTGCTGATCGGGATCTTACTCGGCACAAGCTGACGCTGCGTCACTAAAGACGTTCGTAGCTTGGTGTAGTTGTTCACGTCTTCCGGGGCGATGAGCATGGTGCCGAAATCTTTTTGAACCAGCACTCCGGCGACGTGGTCGCCCTCTTCGATTTCTTGCTCGGCTAACAAACCGGTGATTTTGGCGATGCGCTCGCCTTTGTGAATGATCTCGACCGGTTGGCAGTTCTTGGGCGTGTAGACGCTCATCTTTTTATCATCCGCCGCCGCCTTGTTGTCCAACGCGCGCTTCAATCGACCCATCTCCCCCGCTTCGCCGTGGACCAGAATGACGTGCGGCGGCGCCAAGGCGTCCAAAAACGCCTGAGTCTGCGGGTAATCCGCGTGCGCGCTAAACGAAATGGCATCGACAGACATGTTGAGCTGCAACTCTCGTCCGTCTCGTGCGATGATTTTGTTAACATCACTCAAAATTTCGCGCGCCAAAGTGCCTTGTACGGCGAAATCGGCGATGATTACACCATTCTTCGGATCTTCGCACCACGACTCGAAGAGTTCGCGAGACAAACCGCTTTGCAACATCGACGGCGTCGCGAGAACGACGCACGGACCGACGTCGTCCAACTCACTCGATTTGCTGACGTGCTTAACATGATTGAACACGAACGGATTCGCCTCCTCGAACGCCGCCTTCATGTCCGAGTTCAACACGTTGATGTACGTTTGGTAAATCGTCATCGCTTTGCGCGCAAGCGCCGACGCTTGATAAATTGGCACACGCTGCAAATCCGGATTTTGCGCCCAAAAGTCCTCTAAAATCAGCAACAACTCTTGCGCGCGACCGAGCGCGACGACGGGAAGCAAAACTCGCCCTCCCCGACGCAAAATCGTCTGCACTTTCTCCGTAAACCGAATCTCCCGCTCCTCCCGCGGCGAGTGCGGCGACACCCCGTACGTCGACTCCACGATCACCACGTGCGGCGGAATCGCCGGGACGTCCGCCGCGGGCAGGTGTCTATCCGCGATTCTGGAGTAATCTCCCGTATACAGCACGCGCAACCCCCCAATATCGACGTTAAACATGCACGCCCCCAGCACGTGCCCCGCTCGATACGGCGTCACCTTGACCCCGTCCACGTCCACCTCTTGATGAAAATCAATCACCTCAATCTTCTTCATCGACGCCTCCAGGTCCTTCTCTCCGAACAACTGTTCGCTCGGCTCTTGATTCTTCAGCAATCGACAGAAATCTTGCATGAGCATGTGATATATCGCCTTCGTCGGGTGCGTCATGAAGATTCGTCCATTGAAATCCGTCCTTCCGCACAAAAACGGCACCGCGGCGCAGTGATCGAGATGAAAGTGCGTCACGAACAGCGCGTCGACGTCGGCGAGATCGATCTCATCAAAGTACGGCAGCGACGCGAGGCCGGCGTAGCCGGGATGGATGCCGCAGTCGAACATGAGCGTCTTTTGTTTGTAGCGCGCGATCACGCAACTTCGACCGACTTCGCTCCCGGCGCCGAGCGGGATGATCTCCAGCAAGTCACCGGCGTGCGCGTCGTCGTCGGGCATCGTCGGCTGCGGCACCGCGGGCGCGAGCGAGGTCATCGCGCGCGCGCGACTGGCGATGCGCGCGCGAATGCGCGCACGAGTCGGTGGGTCGGTCGCCGCGGCGACGGCGGCGCGGGGCGAACGAACGACGCGAGACGGGGCGAAACGCGACGATGGATTGAAATCGGTCAATCGTCGGTGAAAAATATGTCCTGGACGTGCGCGAGCGCGCGCCGGAGCTTGGTGACGTCGGCGAGGGCGTGCGCGCGCTCGATGTGGACGAGCTCGCGAGACGCGCGGAGCGCGTCGTTTTCGCGCTCCAGGCGACGGTTTTCCTCGGCGTAGCGCGAGAGGAGGCGCTCGACCTCGCTGACGCGCGTGATGACGTCGGAGGTGTGGTAGATGGAGTTGGAGACGCGCCGCTGGCGCGAGGATGGGGTTGGGCAAATGGCGGTGGAGGCGTCGGCGGCGCGCGTCAACGCGGCGATTCGACGGCGAAGCGCGCAGTTTTCTGCCCTCAATTCGTCCACGAGCGCGTCGGGAGACGCGCGCGCGTCGATGGTTTCGGTGGTGCGAGATGTGTTCGACTCGGGAATGTTCACTATGGACGTCACGCGCGCGGCGTATTGAAGCGTGCGGATGGTCTCTTCCACGTGTCGCTCGTTGGCAGAGCAGCAGGCGATCATGAGCGTCAGAGAGCGACCGCCGAGCGAATCCATCAAAAGTTTCGTGAGCTTGCTGTCGCGATACGGCACGTGTGGTGTCGTGGCTTTGGCATCTCGCGATTCGTCGGCGAGAATCGATATCACTTTGCCGAGCGCGAAAAGACTCTTGTTGATCAGGCTCGTCTCTCGCGAACCGGCGTCTTCGCTCCCGCTGTGCTTTAAACGTTCGCTCCCAGCCAAATCCACGAAAGTCATTTTCCCGCGCGTGATCTCCACATCTCCGGAATCATCGCAAGAAGCGCCGACGTCATCGTCGCGATCACCACCACCGTTCGCGCGCGGCGCTCCAAAGTAGCGCTCGACGTGCACGGTGAGCACGGCGTGCGAGCGCGAGCTCTCGGCGTTCATCTTGTGCGATCGCACGCGGCGTCTGGCGGCGCCCTCGCGCACGCAATCCAAAGCTTCGCCGGCGTTCGCGCACTCCCGTCGCGAGAGATTTGGAACATAGAACCCATCACGGCTTCGCCAACGCACGCGAAGCGATTTCGACGACTCGTCCGCCAGCAAATCGATGACTTTCTCCTTGTAAATCTCGTAACTCGTGACGGAGACGACGACCTTCGTCGGCGCCTTTTCCCCACCACCCGCAGCCTCGCGCCCGAGCGCGTCGAACAAGTACTCGATCGAGCGCCCAATAAGACCATCGTCCGATCCGACGTCATTCATCGTCGGCGACGAGGTCGACGCCGTCTCGACGTCGTCGCGCGTCGACGACGCGCTCTCGCTCGCCCCGCGTCGCGCCCCCGCGCGTCCCAACATCGTGTACGTCTTTCCGCTACCAGTCTGCCCGTACGCGAACACGGCGCTCGCGTACCCATCCAACGTCTTCATCAACAACGCCTTCACCCCCGACACGTCGAAGAACGCGTCCTGCGTCGTCCGCGTCCCCGCGCACGGCCCTCGAAACGCCACCTTTTCCCGCTCCGCCGCGCCGCGCCGTCGTCTCGTTCGTCCTCCTCCCGCGACGCGCACCGCGCGTCCGTCCGCGCTCACCGCGCTCGGTCCATCCCCAGGGCGCACTCGCACGACGACGCGCACGCGATCGACGCCCTCGCGCGCGTCCTCGCGCGCGTCCTCGCGCGCGTCCTCCTCCTCGCGCGTCCGTTCGGTCCTCGCCGTCGCGTCTTCCTCGCTTTCCGCGTCGCCGTCCGCCGCCGTCGTCGCGCCGTCGACGCGATCGACGCGCGATTCTTCCTCGTCCTCGCCGTCCCGCGTCGCGTCGTCCATCGGCGCGTCGCGTCGCGCGCGTCAAACAGAGCGGGAAGACGAACGGACAGTTTCGCGTCTCCGTCGGTCGCGCTATGTTTAGCGCGCGTTTTTTAGATGGATGATTTTCAACCGCGAATTCGCGACAAAACGCGCCCCGCGCGGGTCGTCGCGCGCGTCGCCATGCGCGATCGCACGGCGCAGTTCGCGACGATGTGCGCGGCGTCGACCGCGACCGTCGCGCGCGTCGACGACGTCGACGTCGGCGCGCGCGTGAAGGAAACGCGGGCGAATGCGCGGGCGAATGCGAAAGTCGCGACGTGCGAGACGGTGCGCGCGTACGCGCGGACGGCGGCGATCGCGCTGGAGGCGACGCGGACGTACGTGGAGGAACACCGCGGACGGTACAAGGGCGCGAGCGATCGGGAGAGGGACGCGTTCGAGGCGGAGACGTCGGAATCCATCAGGGAGTGTCAGCGGTGCGTGGCGAGCGCGAGAGACGCGGTGGAAAACGCGCGGGACGGCGGGGCGCTGGCGCGGGCGCCGCAGTGCGCGGCGCACTTGCACGGGATCGGGTTGATTTTGAGTGAGTCGCTGAACGACGTGGCGAGGGCGTTCGATAAGGTGCGAGAGACGAGGTTCGCGGCGACGCTGGAACGCGCCGAACGCGAGCGTCAACGGAAGCGCGCGGCGACGAGGGCGAGATACGACGACGCGGGGACGGGTGCGTCGGGAGCGGACGACGATGGCGTCGCGCGCGCGGTACGCGTCGAGGGGGTGGAGATGAGGCAAGAGCAAGTGCACGCGGAGCGGCAGGATGGATTGGAGGAGGAGTTGACGCAGTTGCTCGATGAGGTGCGAATGGCGGAGAAGAACGTCATCGAGATGTCGGCGTTGAGTTCGTTGTTCGCCACGCACGTACAAGCGCAGGCGGAGCAGATAGAGTCACTTTACCAAGACGCCATCGAGAGTTCGCGGCATTTAGACATGGGCAACGTGGAGATGAAGAAAACCATCGCGCGAAAGGGAAGCGCGCAGCGCTACGTCGCGTTGATTTTGCTCGTCGCCACGCTCGGGCTGTTGTTCCTCGATTGGTACTCGGGATGACGCGGGCGGGATCAACGCATAGCAAACGTGTAGCGCGAAGCATTCGCACGATCACCGCGCCGCACGCGCGATCCATCCTTCGCTCGCGCGGTCGATTCCGTTCGTTTCGTTCGCCGCCGACGCCTCGCGCGCGATGTCGCGGTCCGCCCTATCCACGGACCTAGGCGAGATGGCGCGGGTGTAATACATAGTAAATTTTTAGGGCTAACAATTCGTACATCTACTGCGCTACTCGTGTGATCTATGTTTCGCTAGTGCGTCCGCTCGGCGGACATCACGTCGTTGAACGATTCCGGCGGCTCCGTCGCGAATGTCAACGTCTCCTCCTCAAACGGCATGACGAGCTCGAGGGCGTGTAAGAACATCCTATACGAATCGGTATCGTCAGAGTACGCCATATCGCCCAAAATTGGATGCCCCGAATGCATCAAGTGCAAACGAATCTGGTGTCGCCGACCGGTGACGGGCCTGCACTCCAAGCGACTCACCTCGACGCCGCGATTGGCGCCGTCGAGCGTGCAGTAGCCGCGTTGCAACACTTTAAAGCTCGTCTCGCTCGCCTTTCCGTTTTCTTCGTCCACGCGTTCGCGAAATCCCTTCACGTCCGTCGGATCTTTCCCGAGTTTCGCGTTCACCGTCCATTCGTCCTCCTTCGGCCAACCGAAGACGACGGCTAAATACTTCTTCTTCGCCAGGCGATCGCGAAACAATTTCGCCGCGTTCCCCGCGGCTTCTCGCGTGTGCGCCGTGAGCACCACTCCGCTCGTCGCCGTGTCCAGCTGATGACAAAACCGATGGTGCTTACCCGGATACTTCAAGTTCAACCAATCCTCGCAGCTCGCGTCGCCGTCCCATCGCGGCGTGAACCGCGTCTTCTCCACTCGATTTCCATCCGCGTCGTTCTCCATCCATCCTCGAGGCGTGTCCAGCCGCACCGCGAACGGTTTATTCACCGCGACGTACCCTCGCTTTTCGCACTCGTACACGGTTTCGTATTTCCGTTCGAGCACGCCCGGCTGTCGCAGCGCGCACGCCGTCGCCGTCTCGTCCCCGAGCTCGCCGCGTCGCTCCAAAAATTCCAAGTACGACATTCTCGGCGCGATCTCCGTCGCCACGTCGTACGTTTGCGCGCGCGGGTGTTCGCGGAGCATCGCGTCGACGTCTTCGGCGCGCGCGCCGCGAGAGACGAGGCACTCGCGCGCGGTTTCGCCGTCGCGCGCGCCGGCGGCTCGAACGCTGACCCAAGGCTGCGGGTCGTGTTTCATGACGCGTCGCGCGCGTTTGGACGCGCGCGCGGCCGAAGACGCGAGTCTGGCGCGAGCGAAGCGTTCGGTTCGCCTGGCGAGGGCGATTCGCATCGAGCGCGGCGCGGAATGCGGCGCGGCGCGGCGCGCGCGGAGAGCGCTCGGCGGCGCGCGGCGTCGCTATTAAAAATTAAACGCGGTGCTCCCCGCGCTGTCGGGAGTGCCGCGTTGGACTATGCCGGATATCGGAGGACTCGGGAAATCGTCTTCGTCGGGCGTGGCGTAACCGTCGTCGCTCGCCGCGGGCGACGGCGAACGCTCGGACGACGGCGCGACCGGAGCGACGTCCGCGCCGAGCAGCGCGCGCTCGGCGACCGCCATGAACTCGCGCGGATCGACGCCAGATAATTTATTCATCTCCCGAACCATTTCGGCGAGCATGACGCACTCGGCTTCGACGAGCGCGAGTCGCTCGCCTCGCTCGGCGGATTCTCGTTCGCTCGCCTCGAGCGCGCGCGCCGTCTTTCTACACGTTTCCCGCGTCGACGCCGCGCGCGCGAGCCGCTTTTCCAGCTCGAGCGCGTCGTCTCGCAGACGCCGCTCGTTCGCGCGCATCGACTCGATCGTCTCGCGCTGCGTCTCGCACTCCACTTTCAGCGCCGCGCGTTCGCCGAGCGTCTCCGTCAACCGTTTTCGCAGCGCCAGCTTTTCCTCCGCCTCCGCGTCCGCGATCGCCTCCGCCTTCCCAAGCGCCCCTCTGAGCTCTTTCTCTCGATCCTCCAGCGCGCGCATCTCCTCGCGCGCCGTCTTCAATCGCGCCTCGAGCGCCGCGATCCTCTCGAGCGCTCGCGCGTCGTCGCCGTCGTCGCGCGTCGCCGTCGACGCGTCCGCGCGCGTCTCCTCGCGCGCCCTTCGCGTCGTCGACGCCGTCGCGCGCACCGTCGCTCGCACGCGCGCGTGTCGCAGCGCGCGATTCTCGCGCCGCAGCGTCTCGCACTCTCGCCGCAGCGCCGTCGTCTCGCCGTCGCTCGCCCGCGCGTTCGTCGTCGCCGTCGTCGTCGCGCGGTCGTCGTCGCCGTCGCGCATCTGTCGCAGCGCGCGCTCGAGCGCCGCGCTGCTCGCGCCGCGCGGCAGCCCGAATCGCGCGCGCAGGTCCTCGACCGACATATCGCTCGCGCGCGACGCCGAGACGCGCGCGACGCGCGATAGACGCGACGCGACGCGTCGCGAGCTGTCGCGATGCGATTTGAATTCGCAAAAGTCATTCGAATCGACACTCCGCGTCGCGCGCATGCGACGCGCGCGCGCGACGCGCGATGCGTTCGCGCGCGACGCGTCGTCGCGCGGTCGTCGCGACGCGCCGCGCGCGCGCGACGTCGCGGGCGTCGTCGAGTCGCCGTACGTCGTGCGGTTCAACTTTAATCGCGACGACCGCGGCGCGGCGCTCGCGATCGGCGACGAGCGCGGGCGCGCGACGATCGCGCGCGCGAGCGTGTCGCAGCGCGACGACGGGCGGCGGCGCGCGACGGCGATCGCGGCGCACGAGAACGCGGTGTACGACGTCGCGTGGACGCGCGACGACGCGCGGGTGCTCACGGCGAGCGCGGATCGCGCGGTGGCGATGTTCGACGCGGAGACGGGACGGATGCTGGCGAAAATGATGGGACACGGCGCGAGCGTGAAAGCCGTGGCGACGGCGCCGACGCAGCGGGAGGTGTTCGCGAGCGGAGGACGGGACGGGCGGTTGATTCTGAGCGACGCGCGGACGAGGCGGGGCGCGGCGAACGAGGCGGAGGACGCGGACGCGGGCGAAGTGACGCCGACGCGGACGGTGCGACGGGCGCACAGGGCGCCGGGGGCGGGGACGCGGGCGAGCGCGGCGCTGCACAGCGTCACGTCGGTGGCGTTCGATGGGTCGGGGAGCGTCGTGCTGAGCTCGGGAGGGTCGGACGGGTTGGTGAAAATGTGGGACGCGCGGAAGATGAAGGGCGCGATAGGAGTTTTAGAGGACGAGCGCGAGGACGCGTTCGTGCGAGGTTCGTTCTACGATGTCGGATTGGGCGCGCGGTTCGGCGGTGAGGGCGCGCGCGCGACGCGGGCGTCGCGAGGGATCTCCGGGATCGCCGTCGATCCGACGTCGTCGCGCGTCGTCGTTTCGTATCTCGACGACCACATGGCGATGTTTGACGCGAACGATCCGCGAGGGAAGCCGCTGCGACACTTCGTCGGTCACAGGTCGAGATCGTATTACATCAAGCCGACGTTTTCGCCCGACGGCGATCGCGTCGCGTGCGGCTCGCTGGACAACGACGTGCACGTGTGGGACGTCCGCGACGCGAGCGCGCCGTCCGTCGCGCTCGATGGTCACACCGCGAGCGTGAGCTGCGTGCACTGGTCGCCGACGGATCCTCACGCCCTTGCGTCGTGTTGCGACGACGGCGAAATCAGACTGTGGCGCTTTGACGGCGCGCGAAAGCCCAGCGTCCGCGCTCGCGTCGACTCGCGAGCCAAGCGCCCGGCGCCGCCGTTGCACCCGAACATCCTCCGCGCCCTCGGGCGCGCGCCCACCTTCGACGACTCCGCCTCGGCGGACCACGACATCGCCATCCCCGGCGCCTTCGCGCCCGCGTCTCCGTCGGCGCCGACGCGCGTCCTCGCCGCCGACGTCCCGCCCGCGAAGCGTCGCGAGCGCGTCGAGCCATCGCCGCGCCGCCCGTTTCGCGACGTCGCCAACGTCCGCGGCCGACGCGCGCTTTCCTAGCCCTCAGCGCGTCGCGAGGTCGCGACGAACCACCATCGCGCGCGCGTCCACGCGCGCGTTTCGAGCGCGAACGCGCGCGCGACGCGTCGAATCGACCCCCCGTAGCGCGTCGGGACTCGCGAAATCTCTCGAGTTCGTTGAAACGACAAAAAAATCTCTCTTCGTTCAAACCGTCGCGCGCGCCGATCGTCACCGCGCGCCGCGCGCCGCGCCGCGCCGCGCTCGACGCGAGAAGCGAACGCGCGTCGATTTCGCCGCGCCATGGCGCTGCTCGAGCGCGCGCGAAGCGAACTGGACGCCCTCGAGCGCTCCGTCGCCGAAGGGGACACCGCGCGCGCGACGCGCGACGACGACGACGCGACGCCGGCGAAACGCTCGACGACGGCGACGCCCGATCCGTGGACGCGAGCGGCGCCGGATGACGCGCGCGCGACGCGCGCGGGGCTGACGGTGAAGACGAAGACGCGAGGGGACGGCGAGGGACGGCGGGACGCGACGACGACGACGTTCGCGGAGGCGCTGGCGGAAGAGTTGAAGGACGCGCGAGGGAATCCCGCGACGCCGGCGTCGAGGGACGTGAGCGATGTGCCGTTGCACGATGCGGTGAAACGGGCGGACGCGGAGGCGGTGCGAACGATGGTGAGACGAGCGACGGAGGGGGGCGCGAGACGAGAGCCGTCGTGGCCGCCGAGCAAAGCGGCGTTGAATCGAATAGATTCGCTCGGCGATTGCAGAAGCGCGCCGCGAGGAGTGGACGCGAAGAATGCGAACGGAGACACCGCGCTGGCGGTGGCGTGCGCGCTGGAGGATGGGAAGGCGTGCGAAGAGATGGTGAAGATTTTGGTGGACGCCGGCGCGGACGCGAGCGCGCTTTCAAACGGAATGGCGCCGGTGCACTGGGCGTGCGCGCTAGGGCATCGCGACGCGCTCGCGTGCATGGTCGACGCGTCGTCGACGTCAATCGTGAATCTTCGTGCCGAAGATGGGTCGACGCCGTTGCTCGTGGCGGCGGAACACGGTAAAATCGAAGTCATACGATGGTTGCTCGAGCGCGGCGACGTCGACGCGATGGCGAGAAACGCGCATGGACGCGACGTACTCGGCGCGCTCGGCGCGAAGATGCGTCGACAGAGTCAATCGGCGAGGAGTGAGTTACGTGCGGAGATATTTGAACTCATTCCTTCGCTGCGTTTGGCGTTTTTGTCCCATCCTGATTGCGAAGAACACGTGTCGTTCAAGCCACATCAAGAGAGCCCCGAGCGCATAGTCGCCATTCTCGCCGAGTTGCAGCGCGTGATCGACCGCGGTGAACTCGCAATGGGAGAGCTAGATAAGACATGCACGTTCGGCGCCGCCGAACCGTCGGATATCCTCCGAGCGCACGATGAGAATTACGTCCGCGTGTTGGCCGAACTCAGCGATCGCGTCGGGCAAACGCCCATCGCGTTCACGCCGTACTGTCAAAACCATAACGGCGTGCCAGAAAAACTACAAAAACCCGCGGAGAACAGTGACACATTCTTTTCACCGGGCACGTTGCAAGCGGCGCTTAGAGCTGCGGGCGGGGTCATTCACGCCGTGGATAGAGTCTTGGATGGGAAGAATAGGAGCGCTTTCGTATGCTGTCGCCCGCCCGGTCATCACGCCGGGATCAACGGCGCCACGGAAGGCGCGCCGTCGAGCGGCTTTTCCATTTTGAACAACGCCATGATCGGTATGTGCGCACTTTGCGCGAGCGACGCGAGCGATCGATTTTTCTTGAAACGGACGCACACGCATAACCGCGGCGCTTCTACGACACGCGTCGCGGACATGATGCGCGTCCTACATCGACGTCCACTTTCAATGACAGAGAGTTCTGAGCGTGGCTCTGCTGACAGATACGGGTGGTACATTTCGCGCGACTCGACTAACTGACTGACGCTGACGTTCACAACGCAGGCGCTTTGCACGCCATCGACGTTCGCAAATGCATGCGGGTCGCCGTGGTTGATTTCGACGTGCATCACGGGAACGGCACCGAAGAAATCGCCAGGCATTGGCTCACGAAGCAGCGCGCGAGAGACGACTATCACCGGCACAAATCTCCTGACTTGTTCTTCGCGTCGATTCACTTGGCGGATGATGGAACGTCTTCGGGCATGCTTCCATTCTACCCGGGCAGCGGCGTGCAGGATGATTTGATGAACAATATCGTCAATGTCGTCGTCCCACCGATGTGGCTCGCCAAGGGCGCAAGCGCCACGGCACACGCGGAAACCGGCGAGCGCGCTCGGAAAAAAACAAAACGCTTCGCTGACTCTGAAGATGCCGCCGCCGCGCCGCCGCCGAAGACCATCGCCATTGAACCCGAGCAGCAACAAGGTGGGCGCCTAGAGTGGATGAAGGCGTTTCGAGAGCGCTTGATTCCCGCTCTCAGGGCGTTCGGTCCTGAGCTCATAATCGTGTCCGCGGGATTCGACGCGGCGGCTTCGGACGTAGGAAACTTGGGCGTCGATCCGCGTCGAAACACGAGGCACCAAGGCGCTAACCTTCGCGCTGAAGACTACGAGGACATGACGAAGTTGCTCGTAAACGTGTCGAACGTTTGCGATGGGCGAGTTGTATCTATTTTAGAAGGGGGCTACGGACACTTGATGAGCGTCGGAAAATCGAGCGACGGCGCGCAAAATGCGTTGACGCTCGGTAGAGACGTCTTCGCCAAATGCGTCAAAGCGCACGTCCAGGCGCTCATCTGATGTTGTACTTTTCACTCTGTAAATAACGTATCTTGTATTGTACACACGCAGCTCGTGTTGTTATTAATTTGACACGTTCGCACGCAGCGTCTGGATCTCACGCGCGAACGCTTCACCGATGTAGTCGGCGTCCGGCGTCGCGTCTGGGTCGACGACTAACGTTAGGCGAAGGTTACCGGCGTAACTGAACACGCTTACTTGATTGACGAGGTTCGAACACGCAAAAACAATATCGCGCACGCGAGAGCCCATTAATAAAATCGGTTCCGTCGGCCCCGGGACGTTGGTGAAGACCATACTGTGCCGAGACATGTAATCGAAGACGACTTGACGCTGCACGTCGGGACCCGCCGTGGCAACGACTTCGTTCAACGCGCGGGTGACGTACGGTTCAGGCGATCGCTTCATAAAGTTGCAAACCTTTTGCGCCTTTGACAGGCGCTCGGCAGCACTCATGACACCCATGGGAAACGTCAAAGAGACAAACGTCCAGGAATTTGTCAGCGCGCCGACGACGCGATTGGGGAAAGCGTACGGCGTCGCCGCGCGAATGAGCGGCTTCTTCGCCGCGCTCTTATCGCCCATCTCTTCCAGGTACTGCTGAATCGCCCCCGCCAAAGCAGCGACGACGATGTCGTTCACCGTACACCCGCTGCCGTTTTTAATCTTCTTAACATCTTCCATGGGTATCGGCGGACACACAACGACGCGCCGCTTGCCTGAAAACGCATACGGCGGACGCGACCCTTTAAACGTGGTCTTCGTGTCATACGGCCCCGCCGCGGTGAACACAGCCTTCAACGCGCCGTAAATGCACACGAAAATAAACGTGATGAACGCCCAAATAACAGCTAAAACGGATTTGTGCGCCTTGGCCGCGCGCCGCTTGAAATCCAACAAACGCATGTCGCCCCCGTCGAGCGCCGTGGACACCTTTTTCAAAACATCCACGAGCGCGATCCCATCCCCGATCGCGTGGCTCACTCGAAACATCACCACCGGTGGTTCTGGGCTCGTTTTCGCGTCCCCATCCCACGCCGCGCTCGTCTTCTTCCGCGTCACCACGACGCAGTCCCACAGCGGCGACTCCGCGTCGAACGGTTTCAGCGTCGCCTCGTTCATCACCCTCGCCAGCTCCCTCGCGCTCTCCACCTCAACGCGCGCGAACCGTTTCATCACATCGTACCCTCCCCCCTCGATCACCTCCCATCGCAATCGCCGCAGCGTCTTTTCGCTCTTCGCGTTCGCCGGTCGCGCTCGGCTCCGCAGCTCGGGAAACGCCTCCAGCTTCTCCGCGAACGTCCTGACGTCCTCGTCCGTCGGCGCGCGCTCGAGATAAAACGTCGAGACGAGCGGGAAGTCCGGCGCGTTCGCCTTGCGCGGGAACGCGCCGCCCGGTCCGCGCAGCGTCGCGCGCGCGAGCGTTTCCGTGAGCGTGTTCATCGCCATCGTCGTCGTCGTCGTCGTCGTCGTCATCGCGCGTCCGCGTCGCGCGCGCGCGGCGATCGAACCCGTCCCTCGCGCGTCGTTCGCGCGCGTCGTCGCCGCGTCGTCGCGCGCGAGAGTGGCGCGCGCGCGGCGCGCGCGCGGCGACCGTTGCCGCAGATTGACGCGCGGCGAACGCGCGACGAACGCGCGCGATGGCGACCGCGGTCGCGGCGGCGGTGCGCGACGCGCGACGCGCGCGACGCGCGACGCGCGACGCGCGACGGCGCGCGACGGCGACGGCGCGACGCGACGCGACGCGACGCGATCGCGACGATCGAAACGATCGTCGAGTCGACGTCGCGACGCCGACGCGCGACGACGCGACGCGATGGAACGACTGACGACGACGCGCGCGGTGTGCGATGACGCGCAGATGCCGGCGACGCACGCGAACGCGAGCGGGGCGACGACGACGAGCGAGGGATCCTCGACGACGACGGATCTGTACGCGCGACTCAAGTCGCTTCAACGCGAACTGGAGCTGGTGGAGATTCAAGAGGAGTACATCAAGGATGAACAAAAGAACTTGAAGATTGAATTGCTCAGGGCGCAGGAAGAGGTGAAGCGGATACAGAGCGTGCCGTTGGTGATTGGACAGTTTTTGGAGATGGTGGACGCGGAGACGGGGATCATATCGTCGACGACGGGGTCGAATTATTACGTGCGGATTTTGTCGACGCTGAACCGGGAGCTGTTGAAACCGTCGAGCTCGGTGGCGTTGCACAGACATTCGAACGCGCTGGTGGAGATTTTACCTCCCGAGGCGGATTCGTCGATTTCTTTGTTGAGCGACGCGGAACGGCCGGATGTGAAGTACAGCGACATCGGGGGGGCGGATGTGCAAAAGCAAGAGATTCGCGAGGCGGTCGAGCTTCCGTTGACGCACTTCGATTTGTATAGGCAGATTGGAATCGATCCACCGCGTGGGGTCTTGCTGTACGGACCACCCGGGACGGGGAAAACGATGTTGGCCAAGGCGGTGGCGCACCACACCACGGCGGCGTTTATTCGCGTCGTCGGGAGCGAGTTCGTGCAGAAGTACCTCGGCGAAGGGCCGAGAATGGTGAGAGATGTGTTTCGATTGGCGAAGGAAAACGCCCCAGCGATCATCTTCATCGACGAGGTCGATTCCATCGCGACTGCGCGTTTCGACGCGCACACCGGCGCGGATCGTGAGGTGCAGCGTATTTTGATGGAGCTCTTGAACCAAATGGACGGATTCGATCAAACGGTCAACGTCAAAGTAATCATGGCGACGAACCGTGCGGATACCCTCGATCCGGCGTTATTGCGCCCCGGTCGTCTCGATCGAAAGATTGAGTGCCCGCATCCCGATCGTCGTCAAAAGCGTTTGGTGTTCCAGGTGTGCGTGAACAAGATGAGCCTCAGCGACGAAGTAGATTTGGAGGATTACGTCAGTCGACCGGACAAGATCTCCGCCGCGGACATTCGCTCCATCTGCCAAGAAGCCGGGTTGCAAGCCGTTCGGAAGAATCGATACGTGGTTTTACCGAAAGACTTTGAAGTCGCGTACAAGACGAACGTGCGCAAACCTGACAACGACTTTGAATTTTACCGATAGACGAGATGGTTTAGTTTTTGCTAGCGATCGGGCGGCGGTCAACGGCTGTAGTAAAATTTCCTCATATTGAACATGAACAATACATTCCTGTAACTCTCGTACGGTTATTCAGACACTCGCGCCGTCGCGTTGGCAAACGCGCCGACGCGGGCGAGCGATTTCAATCATAACACCGGAACGCCTCAAGCGCCCGCGGGACGAGCTGACGAGCAACGGAAACACGTCTGGCGCGAACTGAAGCAATGCGCGGAACAGCTCCCACAGATCCAATCCCCACTTCTGAAGTTTTCCGTCTGCGGACCGCCGTCGCGAGAACCTTCGGACTGCGGCGGAGCTTCGTTGCCCGTCTTCGCGTTGCTGCACTTGAAACAATGATCACGCGACTGAAAATTGTGCGCGGAACAGCTCCCACAGATCCAATCCCCAGCACGAAACACGCCAGCTCCCGGACCACCCGCTTCCGAGCTCGCCTTGGACGTCCCGCCCGGCGGCGAAAAGCTCCCTTCCGCGCCTTCGTCTTTGCCTCTTTTACATCGAAAGCACGAATTTCGGCTCGCGAAGCAATGCGCGTTGCATCGAGCACACGTCCAATCGCCCGGTCGCCGCGCTCCTTGCGGCGCAGGCACCTCTGAAGACGTCGCCGCCGGAAAATTCTCCTGCGCCGGCGCGCCACCGGCGACGCGTAACCCCAACCACGCAAACGTCAGCGTTAGGTACGGCGTCCCCGACGGCGCGTTCACGTTGGCGATGGGATCAAGGTGCAAAGCCAATGGAGCGATACGCAACAACCCACTCGCGGCATCGACGCCGCGCTCGCGCACCGAACCGACCACGACGCAACTCCCAGTGTTGCTGTGACCCATGGCGCCTACGACGGCTTGATTCACCGGCGCACACACCAAACGCACGTTCGCTCCTTGGTTCGAAACGACGACCGGCGTGCTTTCGATATCAGCCAACAGGTGCGTGTCCTGCACGATCTCCAACCGAGCCCCTTTGCTCAATCGCGCGCCGAGCTCAGCCGCGAGACTTGTGCCGTACGGATTCGCCACGCGATCCAACATTGACAAAAACCGCGCCGACCCGACGTTGGCGAGCGTCGATTGCATCATGTTCACCAGAGGCGCCAAACGCTGCGACCAAGCCGCGGCGTTTTGAGGACGCACGGCGTGTCCACCCGTCAGACTCGTGCATAAAATTCCCGAACCCTCCGCCCCAGACGTGAGTTGTTGAAACACGCTGAGTAGTTGCTCGGGCGTCTCCACTTGCATCGATGCCACACCGCCGCCACCGTGCGGCGTCGGGTGCGAAGACACACCTGCAGCCGCACGCTGCGCGAAGGACCCGCCCGGCGGCGTCGGCGGCGGAACAGCCGCCACGGGCGTGACGGTGGGACCCACCGCCGCTGGTGCCGCCGCTGAGTGCGCCTTCATCGCCCCGATCGCGCTCGCGTACGAAGGCGGCGCCGCAGCCGCCGCAGGCGCCATAGCCGCTCGCTGCGGTGGCGGCGTGCTCGGCATCGGAGGCGCCACCGGCGCCGCGGGCGCCGCCGCGCCGACGCTCGCCGAAGCCGGCGCCGCGCCGAACGCCGCCGTCCCGCTCGAAGCCGCGCCGGACCCGAAGCCACCACCCCCAGTGGAAAACGACGACACGCTTTCAAACCCACCGAACCCACCACCCAAGCCGAGCCCTAACCCGAGGTTCAACCCGAGCCCCGGCCCGAGGCCCCCGCCCAAGCCGCCGCCGTCGCCCGCGCCGCTCATCCCCGTCAGCGCGATTTGCGGATTCGGAAACGGATGCGCCTCCTCGCTCAACTGCACGCTCACGCATCGCAGCTCCGGCAGCAGCGTCCGCTGTCCCGCGAGGGACTCAGACAACCACGCCGCGAACCCCGCGGCGTCCGTCCCCGCGAACCGCCCCAGCGTAATCAGTTGCTGATCGGGCCGCTGACTCGCGTAATACGTATCCGCCCCCGGCAACGCCGCGCTCAGCGCCTGCGCGATCCTCAACGACGCGGGACAATCGATCCCGACCAACACGCACCCATTCTGCATCACTTTACACTTCGGCAACACTCGCCCGGACGCCGGTCCGTGCGCGCTCGCCACGCGCCGCAGCGCCTCCGTCACGCCTTCGCCTCCCAAGCCCGTGCCTTCGAGCCCAGACACGAGCGCCACGTGCGGCGGCGCGCATCCCATCCCTATCATCGAGTCCGCGGTCCCGCGCGTCGTCAGTCGTCCGAGATCGCGCGCGCGCGTTCGATTCTTTCGCCAATTCTCAAAACTCGCGATCGCATCATCGATCGCATCATCGCGCTTCTCGCGCTTCTCCCGTCGTCTCGCGCGTCCTTCGTCGCGCGAGCGCCGCGCGAGACGCGCACGCACCCGCTCGCGGTTCGCTCTGCGCGATGAACTGCCCCTCGAACGCGCTGCCGCGGTGCCACTGCAGCGCCTGCGCGAGATGCGACACCGCGTGTTCGCTCACGTCGTCGAAGCGCAGGCGCGCGTACGCGTGCGCGCCGAGCGCGTCGCTCGACATCGCGCGTCGCGCGTCCTCGCGGCGCGGTGCTCGCGCGTTCGCGCGTCGCGCTGTGCGGCGTCGGCACTCTCGCGCGCATGGCGACGTTCGACGCGCGCAAGGCGCTCGAGCGCGACGCCGTCGTGCTCGGCGACGCCGAGGCGAGCGCGAGGGATCGCAGTCGCGCCGGACGCGTGGACGCGCGGTGCGAGGCGATCGTGCGCGAGGTGTTCGCGTCGGATGATTTCTTCACGACGAGCTCGTGCTCGGGACGCGTGAGCGTGTTCGCGGAGCGCGGACGCGGGAAGCGCGAGGGCAAGGGCGAGGGCGGGACGTGGGCGTACGTGTCGCACGAACCGGCGCTGGGCGAGGCGGTGGCGGCGGCGGTGCGCGCGCACGCGGGGGAGGGGGAGGAGGGCGACGGCGACGGCGAAGGCGGCGGCTGGGCGAAACCGACGCTGACGCTGCGGTTTGAACCGTTCATATTAGCGGTCGAGGCGCGGGATTTAGACGCGGGAGAGGCGTTCGTGCGGTGCGCGCGAGAGTGTGGGTACAGGGAGAGCGGGATCACGGCGAGTGAGAAACGGGTGATTTGCGCGGCGCGATGTCAGCTTCGGTTGGACGCGCCGGTGGTGGTGGACGGCGAACGCTTGGTGAGCGATGAGGGGTTGGAGACGCTCGTGCGGTTGGCGAACGAGAAGTTTCAAGTGAACGCCGATCGAATGGAGCGGTTTCGGGAGGCTTTTAACGCGATGTGCGCGAAGAGGGCGGCCGCGAAGGCGGGGCCGAGCGACGAAGGAGGCGCGCTCAAGTGCGTCGAGGCAAAGAAGCAAGTCGCGAAGGCTGTGAAAGACGCGCTGAAGCGGGGTGGGTGGTTAGATAACGCCCGTAGATCTGCGACGAAGAAGAACGACGTGGGTGACGTGGAGTGCGTGATTTTACCCATCAAGCGCGGCGCGGAGACGGCGATTTCCTCAACCGTGACTTCGGACGCAAAGCTCGTGTTGGCGGCGATTGAAGCGGGAGACGTCGTCGTGTGCGACGACAGCGGGCACGTAAACGGTGGTCTTGGTCTGATGTCTGCGAAGAAGACGCAGAATCCAGTGACGCAAATGAAACAAGAAGTGGCGGCGATGCTTGAGGCCAAAGGCTTAAATGTCAACTTGGCGCAAGAAGCGCCGACGCGCTGGGAAAAGTTGGGTGATTTGGTGTTGCTTCCCGCGAACGCGTTTACGGCGAGCGACTTTAGCGCGTTCGGTGCCGAGTTGTACGCCTGTGTGGCGCGAGTTCTCGGCGCATCGCGCGTTGCGCGCCAAGCGCCGGTGAGCCAAGGGCCAAAGCGCGAATCTCGCGCGGTGATGCTTTACCCCGAAGGTGCCGATGGTTGGGTCGAGACGAAAGAGCTCGGCGTAACGTATGGATTAGATGTCACGAAAGTTATGTTTAGCAGTGGTAACGGCACGGAGAAAAACCGCATGGGCGCGGTCGGCGCAAACGGCGAAACCGTCGTGGACCTGTTCGCTGGCATCGGTTACTACACTTTGCAGTTACTCAAGAACGCGGGCGCGGCCAAGGTGTACGCGTGTGAGTGGAACCCTAATAGTTGCGAAGCCTTGCGTCATAATCTGCGCGTGAACGGCGTGGAGTCACGGTGTGAAGTGTTAGAGGGCGACAATCGTCGAACCGCGCCGACGGGCGTCGCCGATCGCGTCTTACTAGGATTGCTCCCGCACGCTGAGATGTCGTGGGAAACCGCGATTAAAGCGCTGAAACCGAAAGGTGGGGTATTACACGTGCACTCAAACGTTAACAGTGGCGATGAGGACGAGTGGATGGTGCGTTTGGTGAGCGAGCTGAAGTCACTGGCCGAGACGAACGGTCGCGGCGATTTAGACATCGTCGTGGAACACCTCGAGCGCGTGAAATGGTACGGTCCGCGCATTCGACACGTCGTGTGTGACGTTCGCTGTACCAGTCGAACGCATAAAGATGACCTCGCCGCGACGCGAAATATGGCCCCGAAAAGCGCTGTCTTGGCGAGACAACCTGCGAGGACGTCGGGAACGAATGTGAGACGCGTTCATCGTCCGTTGCCCGCGGACTTCAAGAACACGATCGCCGCGCAGCGCGTCCCGGCTGTCATCAGTGGACTCGATATCGGCCAAGCGCCGTGGACGTGGACGCCAAGTTATCTGGCTTCCCTCGACGGCGTTCCAGAGAAGCTTGTGAGCGTTCACGTCAGTCGTGATCCCAAGCTGGACTTCGTGCGCAAAAACTTCAAATACGTCGTGATGCCTTTTGGTGAACTACTGGCGAAAGTGAACGATGCGAGCGATGACAATTTCTACTATTTGCGAAGCATTGGGGAGAATCCGCGAAAAGAGCCGGCGCACGCGCTTCTACAATTCCCATCGTTTGCGCGCGATTTGAAACTTCCGAGCGAGTTTTGGGGATCCGAAGACAACTACTTCAGCGCCGTCGTTCGCGTGAGCAGTGGCGATTTACAGCTCTGGACGCATTATGACGCCATGGATAACATGTTGATTCAGCTTCATGGCGAGAAGCGTGTGCTTCTGTTCCCACCGTCCGTGTCAGGCGACTTATATCTTGAAGGTTCGTCATCCGTCGTCCGCGACGTGGACGATCACGATCGAGAATCGTTCCCACGATTCGCGCGCGCTCGAAAAGCGGCGTTGGAAGTCATCTTACAACCAGGTGACGTATTGTACATCCCCGCGCTTTGGGCGCACCACGTCACCGCCTTGCACGGCCCGTCGATTGCGCTCAACGTATTTTTCCGACACCTCCCCACGAGTGGATACCCATCGAAAGATTTGTACGGGAACGCCGACCCAATCGCGGCTGCGAGTGCGCTCAAATCAATAAACTCCGCGATCGAATCCTTGAAAGAGTTGCCGCTAGATTACCGTGTATTTTACGCTGGCGTCGCAGCGGCGAGACTGGAGAGTGAGCTTGGCGTCGAATCCGCTCGAAGAGCGCTTGCAACGGTGAACGACGACACGCCGAAATCGCGCGGGATGAATTCGCGCGCAACAAAAGGTACAGGCGTGGTCGGCACAGTCTTATCTGCTCTTGCATGCCTGCTCATTACACGCCGCGCTTCGCGGAAGTGAGACGCGACTCAGCTCAGCCTAGAATGATGAATAGATCTATATAGCTACCTATCTAGCGCGTACTCGCCTTCAAAATATCGATAATGTGCTTCAAGAGCACTGGTGTCGTCTCTGGAATTCCACCCATGATCGGGAAATCGCTCAACAACCCTTTACCTCTGTAGTAATTCTCCACCGGAATCGTCGACTTTTTGTACACCTCCAATCGCGCGCGAACGACTTCCTCCGTGTCGTCCGGTCTTTGGGTGAGCTTAGCGAAGCACTCCTGCGGTGGATTCAGCGGAGGCATAATAATCGTTTGCTCTCCCGCCTTTTCGCTTCTGATGTCGGCGATATTAAACGACTTCCCGCACTCCCCGCACTCTCTCCGTCCGCAGCACTTTTCCACCAAAATGTCCTCGCGAAGCGTCAAATTCAACACCTGCGTCACTTCCACCATCGTGCTAAGCGTCTCCGCCTGCGGCACCGTTCGAGGGAATCCATCTAACAAAAATCCTCGCTCACCCTCCGCCTCGCCGCGCTTGACGCGCTTGTCGAGGATATCCAGCACCAACGCGTCCGGGACGAGTTCGCCTCGCGCCGCGATGGCTTTCATCTCCTTCCCGAGCGCCGTCTCCCCCTTGATCTCCGCGCGAACGAGATCACCCATGGATATGTGCGGCACGCCCATCTGCTTCGCCATTCTCGACGCGTACGTGCCCTTGCCGACGCCGGGAGCGCCCAAGAAGACCCAGTTTAGCTTTTTGCCTTGCTCGAGCACGCCGTCGCACGTCGACGCGAGTTCGTCGCGCAGCGCGTCCACGGCAGCGCCCGTGGCGTCGAACGGGGTCGAGGCATACTTTCTAGAGAGCGCACGCGCGGTGACGACGGAAAGACGCCGCGCGAACATGATGGGCGCGGGAAAGATTATGGCGACTCGCTCGGCGGCTCGGGGCCACGAAACATCCGGGACGAACGCGCGGGACGCCGGCCGCGCGCCGGCGTCGGCCGCGCGCCTTGAGTGGACAACTGGGGACGCTGATGTTACAAACGAATAATGAACAATGAATATTGGCGAGGCGCGCGCGACGGTTCGCGCGGCTCGAAAGAATGACGAATATTAGCGCCGCGCTCGCGACTGGCGAAAAACGCCGATTCGACGTCACCCCTCGGCGCTCGACGCCACGAGCACCGAAGCGTCGCCGCCCTGACTTTTACCATCGTCGCTCGCGCTCACGACGTGGCTCATGTACGCGTTCCACGCGACGCCCGCGGCGTTGAGAAACAAAATCCTCCCCGCTCGCGGCACGTACGCGAAATTGAACGCGTTCGCGAACGGCCAATAGCACGTGCCGCTGATGAACGTCTCCGCCGCCTTATCCCTAAACCTATCGTACGCCGCCGTCATCGTCTCCCCCTCCAGCGCGCTCATGAAGAAGAAAAACCCAGCCGTGTACGTCGGGAACAGCACCGTGTGTCCGACGGCGACTTTCCTCGCCACCGTCGCCGCGTTCGTCGACGCCCCCATCGCGCGCTCGAGCGCGCGAAACGCCACGTGAAAGAACGGTCCGTGCAGCGCCGCGCCGACGACGAAGAATCTCGCCGTGCGTTCGAAATCGTGTTCGAATCCCGCGCGCGCGTCGCGCGCCGTCGCCCGCGGCGCGTCATCTTTCGTCTTCAACCCTCGTCGCGACGCGGACGCGCGCGGCGCCGTCCCGCGCGCGTCCTCGCCCTCGCGCGCCGCGCGCGCCTGCAGCGCCTGGCACAGGACGTCACCGAGCGACATGACGCTCGCGGACGTCATCGCGGCGCGAAGCATGGCGATCGCGACGCGCCCGCGAGTGGCGACACCGGCGGCACTCCTCGACGGCCGGCGCGCGCGAGCATGCGCGTCGTCGGCGTCGACGCGCGCGCGACGACGCGCGCGATCGTCTTCGGCGACCGCGCGACGCCGCGACGGCCCGCGCGCCCGCGCGCGCGCGGCGGGGCGGCGGCGAACGCGCGGACGCGGCGCGCGGTGACGCGGCGACGCGACGCGCGCGCGCGCGCGACGAACGACGAGGACGACGAGGCGGAGGACGACGAGGACGCGTCGACGACGCCGCGACGCGCGGGCGCGGACGCGAGCGATCCCGCGCGCGCGCGCGCGGAGGGGGACGCGTACGTCCAGGACAAGCTCGAGCGCGAGCTCAGGCTGCGAGGGAAAATATATCGCGCCGAACGCGAATTGGAAGAGAAAAAGGAAGAGATCGCGGACATGGGGGAGACGAATAAGAACACGATCGACGCGGAGGCGGATCTGGTGCGCGATCGGGCGTCGCTGGAGATCGGAATGGTGGCGGGTGAGCTGGACGCGGAGCTGGCGGCGCTCGCGGACGAGGCGCAGGCGGCGAGAGAGCGAAACGCGAGAGTGAAGAAAGAGATCGAAGAATTGGCGGAAGAGTTGCTCGGGAGCGGACAGAGGGTGAATAATGATTCGAAACCCGCGCCTGGGTCGCTGTCGGAGCTGAAGATGAAGGCGGTGGAGGCGGAGGCGGACGCGGTGGATAAACGCATGCAGGCGACGCTGCAGGACACGCAACGCGCGACGACGTACACGATGGTGCTGCTGCTTCTGAGTTTCTTAGGGTTTACCCTCGTCGCCGAGGGCGCGTACGATAAGTTTGCCGCCGTCGCGGGTGCGTTCGCGCTCGTCGCGTATCAATCGCGCGCCGAGTTGCAGGCGAAGAGCAAAGGCAAGCAGCGGTGACGCGACGTCAACGAAATGATGCGGTGTTGATACACTACTAAAACTATAGCCGCGGCGCGATTTGTGACGCAAACAACGATGTTCACGCGCCGAAATGTTCTCTCACCCGTACGGCGACGAATTCGCCCTGAACTGCATCGCCGTCGAGAGCTCTGGACACTTTTGACGAAAACCGAGCCGTTCGTACAACCCGACAACCTTGTTTTCCGAATACAACCCCACGTTGCAAATGTCTTCCTCTAAAATTTTATCCACGATGCGTTCCATCAACCCTTGCCCTATGCCGTGTCGTTGCCACGCCGGCGACACGACGACGTCCCACACCGTCGCGTGAAACGTCCCGTCGCTCGTCGCTCGCGCGAATCCCACCACCTCCCCCTCCTTCGCGAACCGACTGTCTCGCGTCGTCGTCACCCACAGCGCGAGGTATGAATTATCCACCGCCTTTTGCAGCTTATCGCACGCCCTGGAGCTGAATCCGACGGACACGAACAGCGCGTTCAGGCGCTCGAAGTCTCGCGACGGCGCCGCGACGGCGTCGTCAAAGTCAAACCGCAGTCCCATCTCCGCGAAGTACGCGTCCGGTCTCGACAGCTCCCGGCGGAGCGTTTCGGCTTTTCGCGTCGCGCGCGAGGCGTCGAGCGCGCCCAGGACGCCGTCGCTATCGTCGGCGCGTCGACGATCGGCTTCGGTCATTCGGTTCGGGGCGTCGGGGACGTTCAGAAACGGGTTCCACTTCGCCGGGAACGCGCGCGAGGGCGCCGCGCGACGTCGGCGCGCGCGCGCGCGGTGTCGACCGCGCGTCGACGTCGACGCGGGCGATGGAAGACGCGCGACGGGCGCGGACATGTCCCGTCTCGTCGAGGCGCGTTTTGACGCGACGCGACGCCGCGATACCGCGCGTGACTACACGTGCTATCTCGACGACGCCGTCGCGGCGTCGACGATCGTTTAGAGTGCCTAACTATTCGCGCGCTCTCGCGCGATCACGACGCTTTCTTCGACCTCGATCGCGTCGTTCGCGTCCTCGACTTCGCCTCGGCGTCCGCCGCGGCGTCCCCGCGTTCGCGAAACATCCGCGCCGTCACCTCCGCCTGCGAGATGTCCCGAAACAGCGGAATCGACGACCGCAACCCCTCGTCTAAATCGAACGTCTCGTTCGCGCGTCTGCCACCGTCCAGGACGTACTCGCTCGGGTCCGGGTCCGTCGCCCCGAACGTCGTCGCCGCGTCGTCCGGCGTCGACATCAAGTTCAAGCACTCGTACCCGACGAACGCGTACAGGCAGCTCGCGATGAGCCACATCGGCAGCGCGCGCGCGTAGTGCCTCGCCGCCGCGCCCGACGGCGCGCCGAGCCGCTCGAGCGCCGCTTCGCTCGCGAAGACGCCGACGAGCCAGAGCGCGAACGCGAGCGTCGTGAGCGCCATGCCGGCGAATCCGTACGCCTCGCTCGGCGAGACGTCGCGAAGTTCGTCGTCGTCGCGCGCGTCGTCGCGCGGCGCGCGCGCGCGTCGTCCGCGCGGCATGACGCGTCGCGATGTGAATCGCGATGCGAATCGACGCGACGCGACGCGACGGCAGAAGCGCGCGCGGTCGCGGCGTCGGTCGACGCGCGCGACGCGATGGCGCACGTCTTCGTCGCGGGCGCGTTGGTCGGGTACGGCGTCGCGCGCGCGCGGCGTCGCGCGCGCGCCGGCGGCGACGACGCGGGCGATGTCGACGACGCCCCGCGCGCGACGAAAACCGACGACGACGCGCCGAAGAAGCGCCCGATCGTCGTCTACATGGACGGATGCTTCGACACGATGCACTACGGACACGCGAACGCGCTGCGACAGGCGCGGGCGTGCGGGGATAAGCTGCTGGTGGGGGTGGTGAACGACGCGGAGATTCGACGGTGCAAAGGACCGCCGGTGTGCGACGAACGAGAGCGCGTCGAGGCGGTGGAGGCGTGCAAATGGGTGGACGGTGTCATCACCGACGTGCCGTATGAAGTCACGGACGCGTTCACGGATGAGCTGTTCGCGAAGCACGAGGTGGATTACGTGATACACGGCGACGACCCGTGCCTGTTGCCGGACGGCTCGGACGCGTACGCGTATCCGAAGCGGATCGGGAGGTACAAGGAGATAAAACGCACGGAGGGGGTGAGCACGACGGATATCGTTGGGAGATTGCTTCGAATGGGCGCGCGCGCGGCGGGTGAGGAGGTGAAGGAGGAAGAGGCGAAGGAGGCGACGTTTTGTACGACGTCGGCGCGCATCGCGCAGTTCGGGACGAACGCCGGCGTGCCGACGGATGCCAAGGTGGTGTACGTGCACGGCGCGTTCGATGTGTTTAATCGTGGACATATTGATTTATTACGCCAGGCGAAGACTCGCGGTGATTTCGTGCTCGTCGGCGTGCACGCGGACGCGGAAGTGCGCGCGAGACGCGGCGCCGAACATCCGGTTTTGAACGAGAAGGAGCGCGCGTTGAGCGTCTTGGCGTGTAGATACGCCGACGAGGTCGTCATCGGTGCCCCGGCGATGATAACGAATGACTTATTAACCACGTTCAACGTCAAGGTCGTCATCGCGGAGGATGACGAGCCGTACGCCGTCGGCGGCGTCGACGTCAACGCGCTCGCCGTCGAGCGCGGGTTGTACGAGCGCGTCCCTCGCCGACACGATTGCTCCGTGCTCGGCGTGGCGAAGCGCATCATGGAGAATCGCGCCGAGTTCGAGGCCAGAAACGCGCGAAAGACGAAATCCGAATCGGCGTATTACGCCGAGAAGAAGCACGTCGCCGAGTCTTGACACCCCCGCGGCGCGCGTTCGCCTCGCGCGCTCGACGTCTACATTTAAACGATTGATTGATACGCTAAAATTACACGCATTCGACGATAAACTCACTCGCGCGCCACCCCCACCGTCGCCCTCCGCCTTCCTCGCGGCTCACGGAATCTGTCGATTATACGGTTGCGACCCCCCCAGCGCGGTTCGCTCCGCGCGCTCCGCCTTGACCCGCTCCACGATCGGCGTCAGGTAAAAATCAAACGGCGTCTGCGTCGCCTGCTCCTCCTTCGTCAGATACGAGTGTTTCATCGACAGATCGATCGCTCGCTTCAACCGCTGCGCGCGCATGTCCCGCTCCTCCGCCGTCAGCCGCTTCAGCGCCTCGCCGACGTCCAAGTCTTGGCCCTCGTCGAGCAGATCGTCGTATCGCAAGCCGTATTTCCGCAGTTCATCCCCCACCGTGCGTCGGTAGTTGACGGACATCGACTTGAGCATCGGTTCGAGCATCTTTCGCATCGCGCGCGACATGGCGCGCGTCGTCGTGTCGCGTCGCGTCGCCGGCGATCGCGATCGCGGTCGAGTCTCGGTGTCGGTTCGAGTCACCACACGGATCATTACGTCGTTTGAGACTGTGTACCACACGGACGACGACCGCGCGACGCCGGACGCGACGCCGCGCGCGCCAGACGACGGCGCGCGGGCGACGGCGGCGCGCGAGGTCGCGCGCGCGCGCGATGACGTCGTCGTCGATCGACGACGCGCTCGACGTGCGATATCGCTGCGTGGAGACGACGACGCGACGCGATGAAGATTCAAACGCGCGGGAAACGTCAACCGTCGCGACGCGCGATTTCGAACGCGCGCGCGCGCTGATGGCGCGCGTCGGACGACGAGGGGCGCGCGACGCGCGAACGATCGTCGAGGACGCGTCGACGGGAGATGGGCTCGCGCGGACGATCGCGGCGGCGGCGAAGCGAGGGATGGAGCGAGGCGAGGACTGCGCGACGATTTTCGCGCGAGGCGCGGGCGACGACGACGCGGACGCGGCGCGAGCGGTGCGGGAGATGGGAGCGGTGGCGATGGTGGTGGATGCGATGGTGGAGTCGTGCGAGGGGATCGATCGGGGGAAGTGGGAGGTGAGCGCGACGTGCGTGGGGTGGTCGACGAGGGAACGGGCGGGCGGCGGCGCGGTGGATTTGTTGGACGACGCGTCGGCGGGGGACGAGGGGGCGGGAGTCGGGCGAGGGATGACGGTGGTGCACGTGGAACGCGCGGAGGACGGAGTTGTGGCGTTTGAGAGCGCGATGGCGCGCGCGGATGAGGTGTTTCGCGAAGGTGCGTCGACGACGGGGCGGCACGCGGTGTTTACGTTACGCTTGAAGTTGTGGGCGGAGGCGACGACGGAGACGGATGACGAGAGCGGGCTCGCGAACGAGCCCACGGTGACGCGCGTGCACTTTGTGTTTTTGGCGCCGTACGTGCCGGCGCCGGGGGCGTTCGATGGGCGAGACAGTCGCTCGGTGGCGGCGCGCATCGAGTGCACAAAGTCGACGACGGCGATGATGGCGGTGCTGCGCGGTTTGCGGCGAAATCAGGGGCAACGAGGGACGACATTTCGCAACTTGAACGCCTGGCGGGAATCACCCCTCACGCGTTTGATGTGGGCGAGCGGGATGTCGGAACTTCGAAGCGCCATGCTCATCGTTCTTTGCTCGGACGCGCTGCGATACGCCGTGGAGGGTGACGAAACGTCGCCTCTCGTGTTGGCACCCGGGACCGAGGGCGCGTTGAAATTCGCGTTACAACTCAAGGAACATTCGGATGATGGCGATCCCGCACCGAGAACGCGTGCGCCTCCGGTGCCCACGCCTACGAAGAATTCGAACGCGCGCGGTAGCGGTCGTGGAATGAAGACGTTGCGCGCGGAAGCGCCCCCGTCGACATCCGCGGCGGCGCGGCAAAGGCAACCGACAGCGGCACCGCCCGCGACGCAACCCAATCGCGCGTCGGACGTCGCTGCCTCAACAAACGGAAACATTACGAACGAACAGATCGACGCTATCGTGCGCGTCATCCGCACGCACTCGAGCGGGCTCGCGGGACGTCGTATGGAGAGCACGATTCGAAATTTGAGCGCCGAATGGACGCGAATGGCCAGCGCGCACGAAACGATTCTCGAAGAGTTCTCCGTGCTCGAAGACCAACTTTTAGCTGCGCAAACTCGTGAAGACGAGGCGGTGCAATATGCCGAACAAGTCGCCGCTGATCTCGCGGTGACTTCGAGGTGGTGCGAGACGCTCGAAGCGGAGCAAGCGAGCGCAAAAGCGCTCGCGGAAAAGGCGGCGAAGGATGCGGCGCGAGTAGCTGAAACGCGTGCCGTGGAGTTGGAGAATCGCATCAAGGAATTAGAACTAGAGCTTTTGCGTAATTCTGTGCCGGAAATGGAGCGTACGCGAGATGAAGCGGAGAAAGCAGCGCGAGAGGCGCGCGAAAAGTATCAAGAAGCGCACGATCAACGCGAGAGCGCTTTGGAGGCGCTGGAGAACGAAACCGCCGCCAAGCGAGAGTTGATGGAGCAAGTCGCCACCTTACAGCGTCAATTGGAAGATGTGGAACGTGTCCGCGCGAACGATCGGGCGGAAATCGATCGTACTCGCGAAGAGCTACGTGCTCGATACCAAGCGGAGAAAGACTCGCAAGATCGCTTCGCCAAGGCACAGAGAGAACACGAATTGGAGCTGAAGACGGCGCGCGAAGCAGTCGCAGAACGCGAGGATCAGTTGATTAAAATGCGTCGTGATCGCGACGACGTGCTGCACAAGCTACATCTCAAAGAAGAGGAAGTCGTCGAGGCGCGAGCAAACATGCGCGCGAGTTTATTAAACGTCGAGGCGCTGCAGACGGCGACAAATGAAGCCAAAGAGACGCGGCAAGCTTCAAACAAGGAACTCGAAGACCTCAGGTTATGCAACTCCGACTTGCTCGTTCAAGTCAAGCACGCAAAGCGAGAGCTCGAAGACACATCGGTGGCCCTGAACAAACTGACAGAGAAATTACAAGACCTCGAGGACGGATCGGAGAGTGCGATTCGCAAACGCCGAGAAGCTGAGGATGAGATTCACGATCTCAAGCACTCCATAATCGATCTCGAAGCCAAGAACAAGGCACTTGAAATGGACCGCGAGGTGGCTTATCAAGCCGCCGACGTGGCGCGCACGGAGAACGCGAAGGTTTCGGCGTCTGTTTTGGATCTGACTGAGGAAGTCGCGCGACTCAAATCCGCCCTCGTTGCGGCTCAAGATTCCACGCGCGCGCTTCTCGATGAAGAAGCCGCGCGGTTACAACGACTCGCGCCAACGGTTCAAGATAGCGATTACGTCAGTCCGGCGTGGTTACATGATAATAGCTGGCAGCAGCCGAGCGTAACGCTTGTATCGTCGTCCTCGTAGGCTCGTAGGCGCGTTTGTAAAGATTTGAACCGTCACCGAGACAGAGACAGAGACGACACGAGACGACGCGGTGCGCACAGTGACGCGCGTGACGAAACAGCGCGTCAACCTTCCGAGAGACATAACGAATAGTCCGATACTCGAGCGCGCGAGATGTCGTCACGCGGTGGGCGTCAAGACACCGCGAGGGAAGCGCACGTGGAGGACGTTGCGCGAGTTTTCTCGAGCGCTTACGCAGGGAAAAACACAGTTGGCTTTTGCACGTTCGATCGAGACGCGAACGCGTTCTCGTTGGCGCAGGCGATCGTGAGAGATGATGACGAGGATGTGCTGAAGCTATTCTTTCGTACGAGTGGTGCGGACGTCGTGTATTGTTCGAGTGAGTTCAAAGCCGCAATCGAGAAGATGAGCGACGCGCGCGCGACTACGATTGTGGGAATGCCACGAAGGGAGTTTGGAAACTCAATCGACGCCATGGAAAAGCTACGCGACGTTGGGAAGTTTGAGAGTCGCGGAGATTTGGCTTCGGTGATAGAGTTGCACGACAACGAAGACGCGGTCATCGCCGCGGGCGGTCTGATCGGCGCCTTGCGGCGAAACGAAGGTCTGAACTTGCAATTGAAGACGTTCCCGGCAAACGTACAAGAGTTCAACGTCGCAAACTACCTCAGCATTGATATCGAATCGCTATGCGCGATTGGCGTGTTCGTTCCGGAAGAGTTCCGCGAAAATCAGTTCACAAAAGACATGTTTCAAATCTTTCGTGAAGCCTGCGGAACGTCGAGCGGAAGGAAGCTTCTCGAGCTTTGGTTCAAGCGCCCAATCTTGAACATGGACGTGTTGCAAGAGCGCCGCGACGCGGTTGAGCATTTCGTCAAGTCTGGATGCCTGAACGCATTGCGCAAACGCATGACGCCCACGATCGACGCGCATCGTCTACTGTCCGCGATGTCATCCAATGACGCACGAGTGGTGCTACAAACGAAGAGCGACTGGACAAAAATCACAAAATACCTCGGCGCAGTCTCGTCTTTGTACGATTTCTGCGTAGACGCGTATTTTGATGAAGGTTTGAACGAGCCATCAGCCACTACACCGACCGCAATACGAGACTTCATGGCCTGTGTGATGTATCGCTTGCCCAAGCTCCGAGCAATCGTCGATCGCGTCATATGCGTAGAAGAGATTTACCCCTTGACTGAACACGAATCTGCGGTGTATACGTCGTACGTGCGCTCGGGCGTGTGTCAAGAGCTAGACGAATTACGATCGGTGTATCATGGACTGCCGGACCTACTGAAACATGTGCTGGACGCCGAGCTAACAAAGGTGCCAAACTTTCTTAGGCGCGCGAACGACGTCTGTGAGAAACTAGCAATCTGCTACCTCCCGCAAACGGGTTACCTGTTGAAGATCGACGATGAAACCGTGCCCGACGCACTATTGGAAGAAATGGATTGGAAGTACGTGTTCGGCGACGCTACGACAAGCTATTACGAGTTTGCCGCCGGATTATGCCTAGCGAACGAGCTCGGCGATGTGTTGCATTCCATCGTCGACTTGCAAGAATCCATATTGCGAGAGCTTCGAGAGGAAATTCTGGCACACGCATCGTTGATGCGCGATATCTCACGATGCGTGAGCGAAATCGACGTTCTACTAGCATTCGCGGACATTGCCGTCAATTACAACATGTGTCGGCCGACCCTGCGCGACGACGACGCGTTCGAAGTCGCCGGCGCGAGGCACCCACTCTACGAATCCTTCATCGAAGGGGAATTCATTGGCAACGACGTTCACATGCCGACAGATCGCGACCGCGTCATCGTCCTTACCGGGCCTAATGGCAGTGGTAAGACTGTGATGATGCAAACGATTGGTCTTATCACGTATCTGGCGCACTGCGGATCGTTCGTTCCAGCCACTCGCGCCGTCATCGGCTTGACGGATCGCATATATACAGCGATGACTGCGCTCCGCGAAGATGCCGAGCGCAAGACAAGAGTCCCTGAGAGTGGTTTCACATACGCGCTGCATCAGGTGGCGCGCATGATTAACAACGCGACTAGACGTTCTTTATGTCTGCTGGATGAGTTCGGCATCCAGACCCAATCCACCGACGGCGCGGCGCTCTTAGCCGCCATCGTCGAACATTTCGGGAAGCGAAAGCATCCACCGCGTGTACTCTTCACGACACACTTTCGCGAGGTGTGTGATCCCACGATCGTCGGCCCGATCCCACACATGGTCGCACACTGGTGCATGCGCGCCATGGTAAATCCATCGGCCACCGACGATGACGACGTGCACGAAGTCGAGATGCTCTTCAAACTCGAACGCGGCGTCGCCGATTCCAGCTTCGCGCTTAGTGCGTGCAAGCGCGTCGGTTTTCCCGACGAATTCATGGACCGCTTGAAATACATCATTCAGCGCGAAAAACGCGCGCGGGCGGGCGAAGACGTTCCTCCGCTCGATCCTTGGGCCGACCCCAAACAGGACGCCAAGCAAGAGGTTTACAAAGCCATCTGGGAGCGCTTCGAGCGCGCTCGAGCCGACCCCACCGACGCGGCGATGGAAGATTTCTTGGCCTTTTTCGACTCGCTCGCGCTCGACAAATACGGCGTGCCCATCGTTTGACGACGCGTCGCGGATTAGAAACGTTGAAATGAAACTCGCGACGCGCGCTCGGCGACTGTAAAGCTCACCGCGCTGGAGGATCGCACAATTTCGTCAAACGAGCGCGCGCACGCGCGCCACGCGACCCACGAACGCGCGAAGCCCGCAAATATGATGCTCGTGAACACCAGCGCCTTCGCCGTCCCTCGTCTGGCGCGCGCGGCGCGTCGGTCGTCGACGAACGCGCGCGATGCGACGCGTGTGACGATTCCTCGCGCGCGCGGTGAATTCAGCGCGGCGACGACGAAACGCGGCGCTGTGAGGCAGACGATCTCGAGTCGGGCCGCGGTTAAGGCGCGCGCGGCGTCGAGCGAGGACGACGCGGTTGATAAGAAGGAGGGAAGCGATGAGGCGGTGGCGAACATTTCGCGAAAGGTGGCGCGAACGGCGCGCGCGTGCAAATCCCTCGGACGCTGGTCGTTTTGGTCCCAGCTCGTGCTGACCACTGTCGCGGCGGTGATCGTGGTGTTTTCGTTTCTGTACAAGGGTTTGACCAAGAGCACGGATGCTGGGTTGTATTTTATCCTGTTCGGCTTGGTCGCGGGGTACTTTACGACAGTTTGGTCGCTGGGCGTCGTGCGATTGGGCGATAAGCTTCGCAAGGGGTCGAAGGATCTGGATTTAGTGCCTCCGCGCACGGATGTCATTCGAACTCTCAGCACAGGGCTCACGGTGAACGTCATCGGACTCGGGGCGACCATCGTCGGGTTGCAAGCCACGACGGGGATGTTGTTCGCCAAGACGCTCACGGCGGCGGCGCAAATGCCCATGTACGGTGCTCCAGTCGTCGGCACGGGCGTGGCGTTGGACATTTTCTTGGTGCAAGCTGCGTCGAACGCCATGCTCGGGCACTGGTTCGGCTTGGCGACAAGCTTGTGGCTTCTCCGTACGGTTAACTTGCCTTCGCCGCCGCCGAAGTAGTTTGCCTCCTTTTGTAATAAGAATACTCAAGCCAGCTTTTTATCATGAAGTGCTGGATGTGTGATTAAACGGTCAAATAATTCGCGCGCGCGCGTGCTAGATGATTAGTAGAAATGTTTAGAATTGTAGCCAAGGGTGCTCGAGCATTTGCTCGGCGCTCGCTCTCTTCGATGGATTGAAATCGAGCATGGGCGAGAGAAAGTCGCTCAACTCCTTCGAGTCTGTTTCACTCATGTTGTACTTCTCCATCAACACCCGTTCGCACGGCCAAAACTTGAGCGAGCGGATGTGTCGAAGTTCACCATTACGGTTGAAGAACTCTTTGCTGTATTTGCCCGATAACGCAAGATGTTTGGGCATGCGTCCGATGAGCTCCATCATGAGCGCCAGGTGGTCCTCGTCGCGATCGTAGTCCTTCCCACTTCTGGGGTCGAACAACACGTCCCCGGTGGCGAGCTCGAAAACGATGCACGCGAGACTCCATATATCAGCGCTCGTGTCATACTTCGCACCGAGGATGACCTCGGGCGAGCGATATTGTCTCGTCTGAATGTCTTGCGTGAACTGGCGATCGACCCAGCACGCGTTACCCAAATCACAAATTTTCGCGTCAAGATTCTTCAGCGTGTTGTACGGAAGTAAGTCAACGCAGTCACCGTCGTCGTCATCATCGTCATCGTCGTTGTCGTCGTCGTCGTCGCTCTCTTCTTCCGTATCGTCTTTGTCCTCTTCCATTTCGTCCGCGCGCTCGCCAGTCTCCGCGCTTCCGTTCGTCGCCGCCTTCTTCCTGAGCTTCTTCTTCAGTTTCTTCTTTTGATTCTTCGTCAGTTCCGCCGTTGAATCACCGTTCGCTCCCGCGCCAACGTCCAAGGCCTCAATCTGGGATTCAATCGTCGGCTTCGCTTCGTCCTCGGTCGCCTTTTTCTTGCTCGACTTGCCGCGTTTCTTCCTCCTTCGCTTCTTCTCCGGAAGCTTGAAAGTCAAGAGCACGTTCTCGGGCTTCAAATCGGTGTGAATTATATTCTTCTTTCCGTGCAAATACCTCAATCCCTTCAACATCGCCCTCGTCAGCGCCTTCACTCCCAACAACGGCACCCCCAAGTACTCGTACCGCTTGATCAGCGTCAACAAGTTATCCCCCAACACGTCGAACACCATGCACACGTGCGTCCCATTCGGTCCTTCGTGCGTGAAACTATCGTACAAGCACACAACATTCGTCGCTTCGTCGCCGTCTCCCGTGTCTCCCTCCTTCACTTGTTTCAATATCTCAATCTCGTCCCGCGCCGCCTCGGTGTAACTCCCGCTGCTCTTCTGAATTTTCAGCGCTCGCAGCGTCTTCACCGCGCCGTCTTCGCCCGACGCGCCGCGCGCGCGCGCGTCCTCGACGAGCCAACACGTGGAGAAGTGTCCCCAGCCCAGCTTTTTCACGACGACGTAGCGGTCGTCGTTGTATCGCTCGCCGATCGACACGGGATGGTAGCCGCCGCGCTTGTACCCGTCGGTGCCTTCGTCCTCGTCGGACGACGACGCCGAGCGCGAGTCGACGTCGTCGACGTCGCGCGCGTCGCTCGAGGACGTGTCGCTCGACGATCGCGTCATCGCGCGCGACGAACTGCGACACGAGAGTGGGAATCAAATCAAGATGCGAATCGGCGAGCGGCGAACCGGCGACGCGACGCGAGACGACGCGCCGACGCGCCGACGCGACGACGCGTCTCGCGGCGCTCACGCGAAGACTAACAAAACTAAGGCTAACGATACACCGAGCGCGGACGCGGCGACGGCGCGGGCGTCGCGAAAGGCGCGCGCGGACGGCGCGCCGACGTAGTTGCAGACGCAGTGACACGCCGTCGCCGCGGATAACGACTCGCGGCGCAAGAAGACGCGACACGCCGCGAGCCCGAAGGCGAACGTGAACGCGAACTGCGTCGCCGACGCGCGAAGCGCGGTTCGAGCGTCGGCGCCCTTGGCGCGCATGCCGAAATAATGATGCGCGTGCGCCGCGCCGAAGAGCGCGCTCGAGAGCGCGCTCGCGCTCGCCGCGCTCGCCCCCGATCGCATCAGCGTCGCCAGCGCGCACGCCCTGAAGCACCACTCCTCGCACAGCGGCGCGTGCGCGTAATCCCTGAACGCCGCGAGCGTCGTCCGCCTCGTCCGTCGTCCGTCTCGTCGTCCTTCTCTCGCGCGCGCCGCCGTCTCGCCGAGCGTCGCCGCGAGCGCCACGCTCATCCCGTACGCCACCGCTCGCGCCTCCCCTAACGGCGGCGCGAGCCCGAGCGTTCGACGCCAAGCGTCGAGCGTCATCGTTTCGTCGCTCGCGACGCGCGCGGGCGCCCACGCGAGCGCGCACACGACGCTCAGCGACGCAAAGCGCCGTTTCATGACCCGCGCGTCGTCTCGGTCGTCGTCGATCGCCGTCGTCGCGAACAGCGCCGCGACGTACGCGAGCGCGAGCGCGCACGCGCACGCGACGCCCAGCGCGCGCATGACGCGCCGCGCGCGCGCGCGAGTGACGAGTGACGCGATTCATCACGTTCGTCATCACTTCGCGGCGCGTCATGGCGCGCGACGACGCCGATTCGTGGTCCTACGCCCTGGACTGCGCGACGACGAGCGTGAAATCCTTCACCGCGTGCCTGCAGGCGATCAAGCTGAGCAAGCGATGCCGCGCGCGCGTCCGCGCGGACGCGCGAGGCGTGACGTTCGCGACGATGGATGAATCGAAGAGCTGCGGGGCGAGCGTAAACTTTCGCGCGGAGACGTTCGCGCGGTACGCGTGCGATGAGACGTGCGCGGCGCTGGTCGGAGGACGAGCGCAGCGCGGCGGCGCGCGCGCGGTGGCGTTCGACGTGAACCTCGGGGCGCTGATCGACGCGCTGGGGGCGTTCGGCCGGGGCGACGGCGAGTTGGTCGCGCGGTGGCCGAATCGAGAGGGAATGCTGACGCTCGAGCTGGAGAGCGCCAAGGGACAGGGGGGGGAGAGAGAATTGAGACAGTGCGTGTACGCGGAGATCGCGCCGGAGATGGTGCCGGAGGACGAGGAACGAGGGGAGGAGGTGAGTTTTAGGGACGAGGCGAACGCGTTCATGCTGCCGACGGCGACGCTCAAGGAAATCGTGGACGATTTGGAGTGGCCGAACGGGGACGTTTTGTTGGAGTGTGACGTGGACATGCTGAAGTTTAGCGCGCATGGGGCGGAAATAGGTGATCTAGCCGTGGACGTGGACGTCGGGGCGACCGGGAGGTTGACCGAGTTCTCGTGCGCGCAGCCGAGCGCGTCGAGGTACAAGTATCGATTCCTGAAGAGCGCGACGGCGGTGGGCGGGAGTTTCCTCGGCGGTGGGGGCGCGGGCGCAGGTGGCGGTGGAGGCGATGACACGGTGACGATGACGCGCGTGTCCATATCAAACGTTGGATTTTTGAAAATCGTCCACCTGTTGCACCTGAGTCGCGGCCAAGTGTCGTTCGGCGCCGAGGGCGGTTTGAACGCGTTCATGGTGCCCGTGACGTACATTTTGCACCCGATCGAGGCCGACGCGGATGAATACGCGGATGAGGAGTGATGAAATGTATGACTGTCGATTGTTTGAGAAGACGCGATGCGTCGAGTAGAGGGAAACGTTTGTTAAAAATATCAACGCAAAGCCGAGGCGAGAAGCACCCACGGGAGCTGACACGCGACGCAAGTAGCCATCACCACACATCCGCGCACTCGCGCATTTCGCAGAGCCCGTCTTACGCGAACCACAGAGTCGTCTGCGACGCAGGCTTCGTCTCTATCTCGATCGTACCACGCGATGACGGCGATATCATCTATGTTTTGTGTCAACGCAACGACGCGACCGAGGGCGTCCACAAATGGCTCGCGCGCAAAGTTCATAGACGCGTACGATAGGACGAGAAGCAACGCGCGCTGAATCCAATCGTGCGCGTAACGCTCGACAGCACACGTGGTTTCGATCGCGTGCGCGCGAAGGAGGTCGTCGATGGGACCGACGCACGAGGTCGCCGCTGAACACGTCGGCGGCTGGCATTCGGACGCGGCGCCGCCGTCGTCGAGTTTGAACGATTCAAGTGCGCACGACTGCGCCGCGCGCGCGTGCGTTTGAAAGATCTCGCTCTCATCGCCGTGAATCACATCCACGCACGCATCGATGGCGAGTAATGTTTCACGTGAAGCGTCCAGCGTGGTTTCTAGGCGATGTCGCTCGACGTCGGCTACGTTGAATCGCTCTGCCGTCGCCACGCGCCGCGCGTCGCACGTTTTCGTGAAGTTGTACGCCAAGTACGAGTCGAACGCCAACGCTCGTGTGCGCGGTGCGGTATTGACGTAAGAGTGCGCGAATACGAAGGCGTAATCGGCCGCCAAAGTACCGTTTCTACTTTCCACGCATCCCTTCACATACGAGCGATGGGTTTGGCGATACACGTGCAGCGAAGCGACGGTGATGGCGATGAAGATGGTGAAGCGCACGAAGGCGACCATGGCCGGATCGGCAACGAATCTTGCAAACTGCTCAAGAGAACTTATTTTGCGCTCGCCGGCGTCGCGGTCGCCATCGATCAAGTTGAGCGGCTCGAGCTCGAGCGCGCCGTAAGATAAATGTTTGGACACCACGGAGACACATCGAATGACGCGGTACGTCAGATCAATGTTTACCAAACCAGCGAATGCAAACTCGGCGATTGAGAAAAACCCGTGAATGTGTACACCACGAAACGTGATGTTGAAGAAATCGAAATCATCTGCGTCGGGCGCAACGTCAGGTGAAGAGAAATTTGTCGTCGTCAAGTACATCACGGCGGCCGCGCTTTGGTTCAAACCAAAACGCACAAAGTCAGACGTCTGCGCCGATGAAGCGTTCGTTGATTCTACGAACAAGTCAGATCGTTCTCGAATCGCTTGGAGGGTTTCTTCACCGAATTGCGTCGAGTTGTCTGTTGTAGAGCCATCCGAGCTCTCAAACGGCGGCGGGTCATAATCACTCAAGAGCGAAGGAATGCCCAGATCGACACCGATGTCCACAGAAGTGGCTTCAGTGAGAGCATTATTTATTGTTGAACCCGCAATCGTCGCTGAAGCAGACATTAGTGTCGTGAAGTCGTCTGAGAGCCCGTCAAACCCGCCTATTGGTAAATCCGGCGACAGCCATTGAAAATCTGGCACCGAGACGACGGGCGCGTTTGGAAGTGATATCAGGGGCGTATTCGGGAGGTTCAAGCCGTGCGAGTCTTCAAGCGACTGAATCACCGGTCTCACATTCGTTTCAAAATCATCAAACCACGTGAGAACGTTTTCAAACGTTGCATCAACGTTTATGGCGTACGCTGCCATTTCGTCTGCGATTTCGCCTACTTCGGACATCATGAGCGCCAGTGAGGCGTTGACGACGTTCGTGCGCATCGTGTCTACAGCTGTACTCACACCGTACGAAAACGCATTTAATCCAGTCCCCACGCTCGAGTTGAAGTCTTGAATCGCCTCGATCGATCTATCATGGATGGCCGCGTATCCCGATTCGGCGAATCGCTTCACATCGAGCGATACGTTTTGCAAGCGTTCTGACTTATTGTCCATGTACTCGAGGTCATACTTTGAACGGGCGTCAATATTCGTCAACAGAAGTGCGACTGAACGCTCAATATCACTCGTGTACGATTCGCTGGATGAATGATACCTCGCCATCGTCTCTCGGGCACCGCTTTCGTTCATCGCGAGCAACACCGAGCGCTTAGGAGCGGTGGTCGCGCTCGCATTCAAGCATCTCTCATTCCAGAATGTCGATGAATTCGCAACGTACGCCGGCTTGAGCTTAGCCGAGAGATTGCTCAAAGCGCGTTCGCACCGTCGAATCTTACGTCGTAGCGCGCGAAGCTTTGCGTCGTTTGCGCCGCCGACGACTTCAGCCGCCGAGCGTCGCGTCTCCGCGTCTTCGCGAGCGCGACGCGCGCATCCGTCGCGAACACGGTGCACACACGCATCATACCACGCACGCTCACGCGTCACCTCTTCTTGCGCTCCGCGCCACCGCACCGCCGCCTCTTCGAATGTCACCTTTGTATTCCCTCGAGCAAAGTCCGCGACGCGTTTCGCCGACTCGAGCGAGGCGGCCCAAATCGTCGCCGCCGACGTCGCCGCCATGACCACTCGACGCACGCGCTCCGCGCGCACCCGCTCGCGCCGTCGCATCTCTCGCTTCCACACGACATCTTCCGCGCGCCGCATTCATCTCGCGCGCCGCATTCTATTTTCGTCCTCGTCCGCGGCGTCGCCCGCCCGTCGTCGGTTGTTAAGTCATGTTCAAATGCCACCCATTGTCAGAAGCCGAAGCGGCATCGCGGGCCCCTGGACGCGCGCGCGACTCGCGATGCCCGACGAACGCGCGACGGAGACGCAAAAACACCCCCGCATCGGCGTCGGCGTCATCATCCGTCGCGAAGACGGCCGCATCGTCGTCGGTCGTCGTCGCGGCTCGCACGGTTTGGGACAGCTCGCGCTGCCCGGTGGCGCTTTAGAGTGGAAAGAATCCATCGCGCAGTGCGCGAGTCGAGAGACGATGGAGGAGACGGGTCTGGACATCGCGCCCGAGGCGTGGATCGCGCCGTTCGCGATGTGCGAGTCCGTGATAGACGAGAACAATCATTGGTTGACGGTGTTCGCGCTCGCCGACGTCGCCGCGGACTGCGAGCCCGCGAACGTCGAACCGCACAAGTGCGAGGGGTGGACGTTCATGTCCATCGGCGACGTGCGCGAGGCGGATAATTTGTTTTTACCGCTTCGGAAGCTCGTGAACGATCGCACGGTGGCGCTCTAGTCGTTCGACGGGACGCGGCGAGAGCGAGCGGGACGCCGCGCCGCGGCGACCGCAGAGTGAGACGCGCGCGGCGCGAGAGTCGTCACCACCGCGCGCGCTCTAGCGCTCGCGCGCACGGTCGCGCGGACCACGATCGTCGAGTGAGCGACGCGCGCGCGGCGAACGAGCCGAGGAGCGAGACGCGTTTGGCGACTTTCATTCGCCATGCCGCCAAAGAAGGTGCTCGGAGAAAAGCGCCTGACCGCGGAGGAGAAGAAGCGCAAGGAAGAAAAGGAGAAGCGCGAGAAGGATAAAGAGCGGAAGGAGCGAAAGGCGCAGCTCGCGGCGGACAGAACGTTCGGTTTGAAGAATAAAAACGTCTCCGCGAAAGTCGCGGCCAAGGTTGATGATTTGAAACGGGACGCGCCGACCAAGGAGGCGGAACGCGCGCGCGCCGAGGCGCGCGCGCGCGAAAAGAAGAAACAGAAGGACGCGGAAGAAGCCGCGAAGCGAGAGTTGGAAATTCTGATGGGGGTACGATCGGCGATACCGGAGCGGAGGAAAGTCGCGGCGGAGGGCGAGGACGCGTTGGCGGGCGAGCTCGAAAGTATGGTCGTCACCGCGGAGCCGAAAAACTTCGTGCGGAAGACTGTCGAGACGCAAAACGAAGCGACAGAGCCGACGAAGGAGCTCACGGAGGAGGAGCGTCGGGAAATCATAGCTAAAATTGAGTTGGAAAAGGCGCGCGTGAAGGAGGCGGAGCTCAAGGCGAAGGTGGACGTGAATCCATTCCACGTCGACGACGAGGGCTGGTACGATTCCGATGAAGATCCGTTCGAGTTGTTGAAGATGGTTGCGGGTAATAAGCGCGCGATCATCATGCCTAAAGGTTACGAAGATCCGGACGAGGACGCCATGGAAACTTGAGCTTCCCGGTACCAGTACACTAAACGAATTGAAACACTACAATACTAATACCTAACCGCCTTACTCTGCGTCTCTCGCTCCTCGCGAAATAGTAAAGCGAGCCTACCAACACCGTACCCATCGACACCGTTCGCTCCGACGAGCGCGCGTGCCCATTCGTCGTGCCCCACTACAGGTTCGCCCGCGAAGCCGTCGACGCTGTGAAACACACGGTCGCCGCGAAAAATGACCGCATCACCGTCGTTCACGACGATTTCGACGCCTAAATCCTGCCCCTCTACCGGTCGGCTTTGCGCGTAGGCATCGTACATCGACCCGCGAGCGGGCGGTTTACCTATAGTCATCCGCGTCGGCCGACCGCCCAGCGAAATCGAGACGACCCAACCGACTCCTCTGTCGAGGTGCGGCGCCATCGTCTCTCGCCGTTTCCCATCTCCCGAAGCCGCCTCGCCGTACACCAGCGCCCAAAAGTGACTCGCCTCGAACGGGTCGTCGTTCGCGAACGCTCGCCGTAGCGCCCCGTCGTCGTCGTCTTTCGTCTTCGCCGTCGCGACGACGCGCGCGCTCAGCTCAAACAAGTCAATCGGCGCTTCGCTCAGCGCGCCGACGTCGCCACCGCACGCGCCGGTGCATCGCTTCAATCCGCACGCGCGCACGCACGCCATCGCGCGCTCGCGCTGCCCTCGCGCGTGCGAGGCGACGATTGTCGGGTGGTCGTTCGCCGCCGCGCGCGCCCAGGCCTCGCGCGAGGCGTACCGCGCGACGGATTCCGTCGCCCGCGCGCGCTCGCGCGCGTCGAGCGCGTCGCGCAGGACGTAACACTCGAACGGCAATCGCTCGAGGCGCGCCATGACGCGCGCGCGCGCGCGCGCCGCGAGGTGACGCTTCGGGACACTTTATCCAACTCGCGTCCTGGACAGCAGACACGCGCGCGCGCATGCGCGACGGCGCCGTCGTCGACAGCACGGGCGTGGACGCGGTGCTCGATACCATGGGCGCGATCCGCCAGCGGTTCTCGCGCGCGCATCGCGCGCAGTGCGCGCGCGCGGTGATTCTGTCGCTGCTCTGGGCCTGCGCGAGCTCGAGCTTGATCTTCCTGAACAATCATCTCCTGCGCGAGCGCGGGTTTTCGTACCCGATGATGCTGTGCACGATGGGCATGTTGAGCTCTTGGTTGATCGCGTGCGCGCTGGTGCACACGGGGCGGGTGAAGTTGAAGCACGAGGCGGTGGTGACGCGAAGGTGGTACGCGAGGCACATCTTACCCATCGGGAGCTTGGGCGCGGTTTCACTCGGGTTTGGGAATTACGTGTACTTGTATCTCAGCGTTAGTTTCATACAAATGCTGAAGAGCGCGGTGCCGGCGGTGACGCTGGTGGTGATGACGACGGCGGGGCTGGAAAAGTTGCACGGGACGACGCTGCTGGGCGTCGGCATCGTGACGCTCGGCACTTTCATAGCGGCGTACGGGGAGGTGAAGTTCAGCGCGATTGGAGTGGTGATGATGATAGTAAGTGAATTCGCGGAGGCGATAAGGATGGCGTTTTATCAGTACGTTCTCGGGAATTTGAAGTTTGATTTGATCGAAGGCTTGTATGTGATGGGACCGGCGGCGTTGCTGTTTCTCGGACTCGGAATCGTGATGTTTGAGCTGAGAGACTTTTTGGATAACGGAGCGTGGTACATCCCGATGGACTCGCCGCACCATTTTTTCGCCGCGGCGCTACTGGGCTTTGGAGTGAATTATTTGACACTTGGCGTTATCAAGGCCACAAGCGGGTTGACGTTCAAAGTCATGGGCCAGGTCAAGAACGCCGTGGTCATCCTGCTCGCTGTCGTCATCTTCGGCAATCCCGTGACCAGTATTCAACTGTTTGGTTACACGTTGTCGTTAGTTGGGTTTTTCATCTATCAGCGCGGGAAGTCTCAACAGCTCGTCGCCGCAATTCGAGACCGAGACGCCGCTTCTGCCAAGGAATGACAAAGTTCGAGCGCGTTGTTGAACACATAGTTGCCAGTTTCATAGTCCGTACCGTTTGTATGACAATGTTGAGCTTTCTTCTAAATCTAAAATTACCAGAACGCGCGCATGCATGATGGACGTTTACTTTCGCACCGTCCCCTTGTCGGCGTGCGAACTGCGATCGTTTTGCTGCTGCTCTTGGCCCGGCATCGGCACACCCGCCGACTCGTATTGTGCTTGTTGTTGCGCCAACAAACGCTCGTAATCTTGGGCTTCCATCACGTTCAAGCCCTTGGTGATGACCTTGTCGATTAAACCGTACTCGATCGCTTGGTTCGGGGTGAAGTAACGCGTACGGTCGAGGTCCTTGCGCACTACGTCAATGTCCTTTCCAGAGAACTCGGACATGAAACCCATATAAGTGTCTTCGTACAGCGCGCACTCGTTGGCACGGATTTGAACGTTTTGCGTCGAGTCGAACGTGCGGTTCAACTTGGGCGGCTGCGTGGAAATTTGCACGTGCGGCAGCGCGTGTCTGCATCCTTTATCGCCCGCCGCCAAAATCAACGACGCGTTCCCGTGGCACTTCCCGACAGCCACGGTGTGAATTTTCGGTCGAATGTAACGCATGGTGTCCAAAATAGCGTACGCCTCGTTGTCCATCCCCACAACTTCGCCCTTCTCGTTCAGCGACCCCCCAGAGTTGATGTACACATAGCACGGCTTTTCCGCCTGCTCGTATCCAAGATACAACAACTCCGCCACGACTAACTCCGTCACCGCGGGCACGAGCGACATACCGATGTAACAAATGCGCGCGTTCAACAACAGCGACGGAAGATCCGGCGGTGCGACCGCACCCGCCGGCGCCATACCCCCGTGCGTCATCGTCGCCCCGCTCATCACCGTTCTGTACCTCGTCGGCTCATTATTGTCGCTCGGCATCTCCTTCGCGTACGCCGCACGCGCGCCTAAATCAAGCGCCTTCACGCTGAATCGTTCTCTCGCCTCGCTTCCCGCCAACCCGAGCGCTTCGATTTGATTCTTAGTCAGCCCGCGCCCGGCGCCCTTCACGTCTGGAAACCTTTCCTCCAAAATCAAGTCCCGCTCCGTGCCCACGACGTCGAAAAAGTCCTCGTGTCCAAAGTTCATACTCTTCGTCACATTTACCGCGCCTCGATTCGCGCGCGCGGGCGTCACCGCGCGCGTCGCGAGCGCATTCTTCGCGATGTGGCCTCTTAGGGTTACTCGCTGCGTCGTCGTCGACGTCGCGCGCGCGCCGAGCATCGTTGGACTCGTTCGCGCCTTCGTTCGGCGTGTTTAAAGTCTTTCGATCGATCGAGCGCGTTTACGACGAGGCGTGAACGTCGCGCGTACGAATGTGAGGACGATGTCGCGATGCGCGCTGAAGCTTCGGGCTGGGCGCGCGCGCGCTTCGTTGCGAAACAGCGCGGCCGAGCGCTCGATCTGTACAGGAAAAGTCCAATATTCCAATATTATTGCGAAGAAACAATACGAAGACTAGTGAAACGACCACACTACGCGACTATCAATCGATCTTACGGCTTCGAGTGCGCCTGGTTGCCGGTTTGGCGGCGGAGACGCGCGTCGAGGATTTGCCCGACGGTTTGGCGGCGTACGCCTTGAGGTAGAAGTTACCGAATAACACGAGCATGTTCGCCATGACGAACATTTGCGCCCATGGTAATGAGACTGGGCAGTGCTTTTCTCGTAAGACGAACACGGCGTGGACGAAAACGATGACAAATTGTAACATTTGCGCCTGCGTGATGTAACGCTTCCAGGGGCATCGCACGCCGAGCGCCGCCATTAAATAGTACGAGTACATCACGATGTGAATGAACGAGTTACACGCCGCACCAAAGTACGCGTCGACGCAATCGTTCGTCGCCATCAGATGACACACGAACCACCATGCCCAAATCAACAGTGCGTGATGATACACGTGCAAAAAGCTCAGTTGATTCGTCTTCTTGCGGGCAATCATAAACGCCGTGTCCAGCAATTCCAAATACTTGTTGTTGTAATGAAACCACACCCCGAGCAAGATGTTAAACGACCGTTTATCGCTCCACGGCATCTTCGACCCCCACGTCGGTTGTTTCAGCGTCACGATCTCCCGAATAAACATCCCGAGCACGCACACGTTGAACGCCGTCTGATACGCGTTGTACGCCAGCATGAGCCCTTTCGGATCGAACGCCTCTCGCTTCGCCATCACGCGCGGCCCGACGAGGCAAAACATCAAGTACGCCGTCGTCGCGCACGCCGGGAGCGCGAACGAGAGATCACCGATCCATCGCTGCGCGTCGACGTTCGCCAAACCTCCGGGCGTGCGCGCGTGCGACCATTCGAACGCGTACGCGTACGTCGCGTAGCCGTACACCGCGAAAGCACACAGCGAAACGAGCGGAAACTGCGCCATGTCTCCGCGTGCGCGCGCGCGAGCGACGAGCGACGGGCGACGCGCGCGTCAGTGGCGACGATGTCGCGGTGGCGAACGGATAGCGCACGCTCGGCGACATTTCGCGGCGCTCGACGCACGACGCGCGCGAGAGAGACGGAGCGACGCGCGCGAGACGGCGGCGAACGTAACGTTTGACATGTCGGCGTTCGCGCGACGCGCGACGACGGCGCAGTGCGCGACGGCGCGCGGTGGGCGAAAAAGTGCGCGCGCGATGACGACGTCGTGCGCGACCTCGCACGCGTCGCGAGCCGCGGCGTGCGCGGTCGTCGTGACGCCGAACGCGCGATGGTCGCGCGCGCGCGCGACCGCGCGCCGTGGACGCGCGATCGGTGCGATCGAAGACCCGTCGGAGGTGTTCAAAGAGGAGGACCTGGATAACATCGTCTTCGTCGACCTCGCGAACGAGGAGGCGGCCATCTCGAATAAGTCTGGCGCCGGTGCGACGATGGCGGCGCCGGATTGGATGACCCAGTTGAACCGACTGTGGGGTGGGGCGTCGGAGATTCCCGTGGCGGACGCGAAACTGGAGGATATCACGGGATTGCTCGGAGGCGGGTTGTTTCAGCCGCTGTTCAAGTGGATGCGAGAGAGCGGGCCGGTGTATTTGCTTCCCACGGGACCCATCACGTCGTACGTCGTCGTGAGCGATCCCGACTGCATTAAACAGGTGTTATTCAACTACGGAAGCCGGTACATCAAGGGCACAATCGCGGAGGCGGGTGAATTTTTGTTTGGATTGGGCGTCGCGTTGCAAGAGTTGGAGCCGTGGAAGATTCGACGGAAGGCGGTGGCGCCCTCTTTGCATCGCAAATACGTCGAAGCGATGGTGGATAGATGCTTTGGTCCGTGCGCCGATCGGATGGTGAGTATTTTGGAGGGCGAAGCTGGCGCTGGCGGCGTCGGTGGCGTGAACATGGAGAGTCGATTTAGCAAGACGGCGCTCGACATCATCGGCATCTCCGTGTTCAATTACGACTTTGAGGCGCTCACGACGGCGGCGCCGGTGATTCAAGCCACGTATACTGCGCTCAAGGAGGTCGAGACACGATCGATGGATCTTTTGCCCACGTGGCGCTTGCCTGAGAAGTTCTTGCGCGTCGTTAGCCCGCGCCAACGCGACGCGCAAGACGCCGTCACCGTCATTCGCGACGTCACCCAGCGACTCGTGGACGACTGCAAGCGCATGGTCGAGGAGGAAGAAAAGGTCGGTGGCGCTGAAGAGTGGGCTCGCGATTACTTGAACGAGTCAAATCCTTCGGTGTTGCGCTATCTCATCGCTGCGCGCGAAGAAGTGTCTTCGACGCAGCTCAGAGACGATTTGCTCTCGCTTCTCGTCGCCGGTCACGAAACCACCGCATCGGTGCTCACGTGGGGCACGTACGAGCTTCTCAAGCCTGAAAACGCGGAGCAGCTTCGCTTACTTCGAGCCGAGCTCGATGAAGTGCTAGGCACGCGTCCGTTCCCGACGTTTGCGGATTTACCAAAGATGCCCTACCTCGAGCGATGCTTTCACGAGTCCATGCGGCTTTATCCGCAACCTCCCGTGTACACGCGACGCGCCGTCGTGGAGGATGTCTTGCCCAACGGCATGACGATACCAAAGAACCAAGATTTATTGGTATCGATTTACAACCTCCACCGTTCGCCCACGAGTTGGGGGCCGACATCGCAAGAGTTCGAGCCCATGCGCTTCGGACCGCTGGCGAACGGGCAACCGAACGAGTTAAACACGGACTACCGCTACGTGCCGTTTAGCGCCGGACCGAGGCGATGCCCCGGGGATAAGTTTGCCGTCTACGAGGGCATCGTCATTTGGGCCACGATGTTCAGGCGATTAGACTTGGAGTTAAAGGCTGGTCACGACGTTGTCATGACGTCTGGGGCGACGATTCACACGAAGAGCGGTTTGTTAGCCACCGTCAAAGCGCGCGCCATGCGAGAAGTCGCCGAGGCGGACCGTGTCGACTGGGCTAACTTGAAGCCTGCGAAGGATATCGGCGAGGAGTGGATGGAAAAGGCACTCTTCAATAGCGAAGCGACCGGTGCGGTGAGCGCGGGTAAATGCCCCATGGGTCATTAAGCGATAGCGCGAATGTTTTAGTACGAAGCGAAAAAGCCCGAAAATAATTTCTCAAACCGTGCGTCGCGTCATTACAATCTAGACGTTAATTATCACGCGACCACCCCCAATCGACCGAAGAATCCTCTATTCATCTTCTTCTTCTTCATCACCGTCGCCACCGGCGGCCGCAGCCATGCGCTTTCTCTTGACGCGACCCGGTCGACCGCCGCCCAACGGAGAGTTGAGCGCGAAGTCGATGTGCTTTTGGCTGTCCGTGCGCACCAAAAAGCTCGGCACATTCACGATTTGCTTACCGACGCGGATGTGACGTTGACGAATCAACACACGCGCGTGGTGCACAGACTTCGCCAAGCCAAGCTTGAAGACGAGCGTCTGCAAGCGGCGTTCCAAGAATTGCTCCGGCCCGAGCGCCAAGACGTAATCGAGCTTGTCCTGCGTCTCGTCCAACAACCCATAGTTGCGCATGCGTCGCATGATGGCCTCGCCTTCGAAGATTCGCTTCGGGTCCTTCTCATCGAGCGTCAACAAAACGCGCGCCGCGTTACGAAGCTTGTTCAGCGCGAATTGCACGCGCCACAACTCGCGCTTGTTGCGCAAGCCAAACTCACCGACGATCTTCAACTCGGCATCCAAACGTTCCTTCTCGAACGGACGTCTCGGCTTCTTGAACGTCTTCCCGTCTGCGCGCGTACGAAAATACAAATCACAGTCAGTCTTTCATTCCCTCTCGCACTCGCGCGTCGTTCCACGTCGCCATCGCGACGCCGACGCCGCGTCCGCCCGCGCCGACGGAAACCCCACGCGACCCGCGTCGTGGCGCGAACATCCCCACCCTCGCCGCCTCCGAGCGCGCCGCGCCCCGTTCGCCGCCCGCGAACGCGCGATCGCAAATGTTTCCATCGTCCCACGCCATCGCATCGCCCGCCCGCGCATCGCCCGCGCGCCCGCGCGTCGCATCGCTCGCTCCCGCGCCAAAGCCCTAACGATGCGATCGATCGACGCGCGCGCGCGTCGTCCTCGCGCGTCGCGCGCGCGCCGCGTCCGCGCGTCGCGCGCGCCGTCGCATCGCTCGATACGCGCACGTACAGTTACGGTAGTAGGTGGACGACGGCATCTTGCGGCTGTCGCGTCACGAAGAGACGGACCGCGCGCGCGCGCGCGCGAGGTTCGGTCGGCCGCGCGCGGCGAGTCCTCGACGCTTTGAGTCGCGAACCGTCGATTTCACGGGTCACGTATTTTATGGATGAAACGCCCATGTGCGCGAAAGTAAACGGATCGCCCGGTCGGTCGCCCGACCGGGCGGTTGGGCAGTCGACGACGCGTCGGCCGCGTCGCCATGGCGACGTGCGGCGTCGCCGCGCCGAGGGCCGTCGTGGACGTCGTCCTGAGCCGCGAGCAGGGCGAGGGACGCGGCGCGCGCGTGCGGCGATCGATCGGCACGGCGCGCTTGAAGCACTTCGACCCATTCGTGATGCTCGACGAGTTCAAGGTGGCCACGCCGGCGGGGTTTCCCGATCACCCGCACCGCGGGATGACGACCGTGACGTACGTGCTGCCGAATGCGGGGAACGGGTGCGTGGAGCACGAGGACAGCGTCGGGAACGCCGGGATGCTGCGACCCGGGGATCTGCAGTTCATGACGGCGGGACGAGGGATTTTGCACGCCGAGGTGCCGGAGAACGAGACGACGTGTCACGGGTTGCAGCTTTGGGTGAATTTGCCGGCGAAACATAAGATGGACGCGCCGGAGTATCAAGAGCTGCGAGCGAGCGAACTGCGGGAGGCGTCGAAGGACGGCGTTCGCGCCGTCGTCATCGCGGGCGAGGCGTTCGGGGCGGAGAGCCAGATTCGGACGAAACAAGCGCCCATGCATTACATTCACTTCACCATGTCGCCGTCGTCGCGGTTGGTGCAAAACGTGCCCGAAGGTTGGAACTGCTTGGCGTACACGCTGCGAGGACGCGCGGATTTCGGTCGCTGCGAGGACGTGGACGCGCACAACACGGTGACGTTTAGCAATGAACCCGGCCAAGACGGCGTCGTGGTGCAAACGACGAGCGAAAGCGCGGAGTTCGTGCTCATTTCCGGGCGCCCCAACGACGAACCGATCGTCCAGCACGGACCGTTCGTGATGAACACGCGAGAGGAAATCTCTCAAGCGTTCGCCGACTTTCAGGGCGGCAAGAACGGCTTCGAATCCGTTCGAGGTTGGCGAAGCGAGATTCAATACCGAACGCGATAGCTCGACGCGAAGATGCTCCATTTGTATTTTACATTCCTTCTTATTTCCGTCGCTCGCCCTCGTCCGCCCGTCGCCCGCCCTCATCGTTCCCGCACACGCCGACGCGACGCGCGGCGGCATGGCCAACGCCCTCAGGCGTCTCGCGACCGCGTCGTCGCGAGTCGCGCTCTCGCGCGTCGCCGCGGGCGCACCACGCGCGTTCGTCTCCGACGCCAGCGCGACCGCGACGCCGTGCTGGAGCTGCGACGCGCGAACGACGGCGTTGAATGATGACGCGTCGGCAAACTTTTTCTGCGACGCGTGCGGGGCGATTCAACCGCCCGTCGCCGCGGATTACTTCGCGCTGCTCGGAGTGTGCGTTTGCGATGTGACCGCGCGCGTTTTGCCCCGGACTGACGCGCGCGCGCGCGATGGACAGGGAACCAAAGTACGCGCTCGAGTCGGCGGCGCTCGAGGACGCGATGAAGCGTCGACAGAAACTGTTGCATCCGGATAAGTTTAGCACGAAGAGCGAACGCGAGCGAAGGTACAGCGCGGATCAAGCGTCGGCGGTGAACGAGGCGTACGGCACGCTGAGGGATCCGCTGCGAAGGGCGAAGTATATTTTGGAGGCGCGCGGTTGGGGGGTGACGGAGCGCGACGGGAGAGACGCGCCCGTGGATCCGGGGCTGTTGATGGAAGTCATGGAGGCTCGCGAGGCGATCGATGAGGCGAATGGGGACGCGGAGAAGCTGCGAGAGCTGTTGAGGGAGCACAGCGCGCGAGTGACTGCGTGTGAGGAGGAGACTCGCGCGGCGCTGGACGCGACGCCGATGGTTGGGGAGTCGGCAAAGGAAGCCGTCGTACGCTTGACGTACTTCGTTCGCATCGTAGAAGAAATAAAGGCGCTGCTTTGATGCCGTTGCCGCTACATTAGCTTGATTATTTAGATATTACTACTCGTTGCTCGCCTTAAAACGAAATCAGATCGTCGTCTACTGACACGGCCGAGACAGAAGTTTCACTCGCTTTGGATTCTTCGCGCATTCGCTTGGACAATTTTCGGATGTGATCCTCCACGATCGAGATCGCTGCCTGTAGCTCGGGATGCGTGACAAATTTTCGCCCGTAATCCAACGAGTTTGCGCTGCGCGGAATGTGCATTTCTGCGTTTTCGGAACCAAATTTATTGAAGTCGCGCAGTGTCTGCGTCTCCATCTTTGTGCAACGATCGTCGACGTATGTGCGAAGCTCAGTGAGCGTACGTTTCGTCTTGCTGCGTTCAACTTTGTCCCACTCGATACTCTCTTGCATCGCTTCGACACGCTTGGAGACATCGTCAAAGAGCTCACGGACCGTTGACGTCGACGGTCGATCCTTGATGGTGCGTTCCATGCTCTCATGCATGCTGTGAATGATGAGATCCTGCTCTTCTTGCTTTCTCGTCAAGTTTGCGATGCGAGACTGCATTGATCCCGACTGTTCGGAATACGCTGACACCGAGTACACTTCAAGGTGCGTCAACTTGCTAGGCGTGCCCAAAGGCGAGCCCGCGGGGGAGTAGGCGTATTCGCTGCGCGCGCCACCGACGCCGCCGAAGACGGCGTCTTGGATCATCATCAACTCCTTTCTGAACTCGTTCGTCGAACGGTCGGACGCGAGGCGCAGCTCTTCGCGCAAATCTCTCTCCACAGCGGCAACAGCATGGTTTAGTCTCTTCTCTACCGTTTGGAGAGCGACGGCTTGCGCCTCGGCGTTTGGTTTGGCCGCCTGCCTCTCGAGTTTCATCGACACCTCGCAAGATTCCACGCGAAGCTCACTCGCAGCGACGCGCGCCTCAAATCTCTCGAACCGTTCATCTAACCGATCGATTCGCGTCTTGTGTCCCGCATCCGTGATGCCACGCGTCGCCTCGGCTTCACCCAACACGCGCTTCATCGCCCTGGTGTGCTCCTCGGAGACCTTGGACAACATGTCGACAGAATTCTTCTCGCTTCCTCTCAAAGCCGCGATGCTTTCCTCGCGTAATTCCGCGAACGATGTGAACTGATTGTTGATCCACTGTTTTAACTCATCCGCGCGTTCCGACGCAGCCTTCATTTGATTCACGCTCGAGAGTACGCTCTCCTTGAACGCGTTGTTTTCGTCATCCGCTTTGCGCATCGCCTCTTCCGCGAGCGCGACGCACTTTCGCGTCTCTTGTGCGGCCCGCTCGGCGTTTCGCGCGGCGGCGCTATCCGTCGACGACTCAATTTCTCGAATTCGATATTCCATGACTTCTGTCACGGCTGATTCAGCCTTTTGGGTGACTTTCTCCACAACCTTTGCGCCCCACTCCTTGAGCTGAGACGACAAAACTTCGCCTTGCTCCTGTACCAAGCTCGCGTGTTGCTCAGCCGTCGATGCAATTTCATCGCCCAACGTCCCGATACGCTGGACGTCCTTCTCTATGCGATCGATAGTTTGCTGGCCTCGAGACTCGATGCGTTCGACAAAGTCATTTGCCATCGATTCCATCTTCTCCGTCTGCGCCAACGCTTCTTTGAACCGCGCATACGTCTGGTCGACGTGCTCACATCGATCGTGCACTCGCTTAGCATCCTCGGCACAATCATCACTCAAACGCTCCATGGAATTCGCGAGCTCGCGCACCTCGAGTAGAGCCTCGCTGACGGTGTTGGCGTCTTGCGAAGCGCGCGCCGCACGCGCCTTCACGATTTCCAACTCGCTCGCGATGGACGGCACGTCCGCCGCAGCGAGTGACAGCGCAGTTTGATTCGCCTTTAGTCGCGTCTCCTGCACTTCAACCTCCAACTCTCGCACGAGCGTGGTGACGTCTGACATCTCGCCCGCCATGGTCTCCAGTCGAGCGTCCACGGCTTTCGCCGCCGCCGCCGCGCCCTCCGTCGCCTTCACACTAATCTGCGTCTCGAGTTCAAACAAGTCCACCGCTACCTTACTCGCCGTTGACGCGTGCAGCGTCTCCAGCGCCGCCAAGCGATCGAGCGTCGCCGCGTGTATCGCCCTCGACGCTTGCAACTCCTCTCGCAGCGCGTTCGTCGCGTCCTCCAGCGCCTCCACCCTTCGTTCCGCCGCCTCGTGTCTCGCCTCCGCCAGCTCCAACTTCAGCGCGTCGACCTCCGATCGCGCCGCGTTCGAAGCCACGATCGCCGTTTCCGCGCCAGCGCTCATCGAGCGCGTTCTCAGCGCCTCCAGCTCCGCGCGCGTCGCCTCGGCGCCGCGCTCGTGGCGACGCAGCACGTACGCCATTCCCTCAAACGCCCTCCGCACGCACGGTCGCACGCTCTGCCAGTCCCGTTCGCCCTTGACGACGTCTTCGACGCGCATGAAGTCATCCACGGTGAACACGCGTCGCGTCGTCGCGTCCGCGCGCGTCGGCGTCGCGTTTTCGTTCGCCGTTGGCGAATGCGATGTCCCGCGTCGCGCGGCGTCATCGCGTCTGGGCGTCGCGCGCGCGCCCGGCGTCGCGCGCGCGCTCGGCGACGCCGCGGGCGACGCCGCGGGCGTCGTCTCCGCCGACATGCGCCGCCTCGACGCGCCTCGACGCGAGTCGCTGTCTGCGGTCGCGGCCGCGCGCCCAACGGCCGCGATCGCGACACCGCGACGCCGCGCCGTCGGCATGCTCGCGACGACGACGACGTCGACGACGTCGCGCGCGATCGTTCCGCGCGCCGCGCGCGCGCGCGCGGGCGCGCGCGCGGGCGCGGCGCCGGTGGCTCGGTCGAGGGCAAGCGCGGCGCCGACGGCGCGAAACCGCGGTCGAGGCGCGCGAGGGATCGCGCGCGCGCGCGATCGACGCGAGGACGCGCGAGGGGGAGTCGTCATGAGCGCCGGGACGAGCGGCGACGAGCCCGTGGCGCGAGATCCGAAGGATTATAAGATCGCGACGAAGCTCGCGCACGCGAAGACGAGCGTGACGGACCCGTACGGGGCGTCGGCGCCGCCGTTGTATCAAACGGCCACGTTCGCGCAGCCGAGTGCGACTGAAAATGGACCGTATGATTACACGCGCAGTGGGAACCCGACGAGGACGCAGTTGGAGGAACAGATGGCGAATTTGGAATGCGCGGACCGGGCGTTTGCGTTTTCTTCGGGGATGTCGGCGTTGATGTGCGTCACGCGATTGGTGAACGCGGGCGAGAGGATCGTGACGGGGGATGATATATATGGTGGGACGTCGAGGTTGCTCGCGCAAGTGGTGCCGAAGGTTGGGATCGAGGTGGTTAACGTCGACATGAACGACCACGACGCGGTGCGCGCGGCGATTCAGGGCGGGAACACGACGATGGTGATGATGGAGTCGCCCACGAACCCTCGTTTGCAAGTGATTGACATCAAGGCTATCTGTGATATGGCACACGAAAAGGGCGCGCTCGTGTGCGTCGATAACTCCATCATGTGCCCGACGTTTCAGGCGCCGCTCGCGCTTGGTGCGGATATTTCCATGACGTCGGCGACGAAGTTTATCGCGGGTCACTCCGACGTCACGGGTGGATTGCTCGCGTGCAACGGCGAAGAGCTTGGAAATCGTATTTACTTTCACCAAAACGCCGAAGGTTTGCATCTCGGCCCGTTCGATTGTTGGTTGGCGCTTCGCGGTTTGAAGACGATGCAGTTGCGCATGGAGCGTCAACAAGAAAACGCGATGAAACTCACGGCGTGGCTTGAATCGCACCCCCGCGTGAACAAGGTGAACTACCCGGGTCTGAAGGCAAACGTTGGGCACGAACTGCACTCGAAGCAAGCCTCCGGCGCGGGGTCGATCTTTTCCTTTACCACCGGCGACGTCGAATTTTCCAAAATCGTCGTCGAAGAGACAAAGCTTCACAAAATCACCGTCTCGTTCGGGGGCACGACGTCCTTGATCTCTCTTCCGTGCTTCATGTCCCATGCCAGTATACCCGCCGAGGTTCGCGCCGCGCGTGGCTTGCCAGACGATCTCGTTCGCATTAGCTGTGGCATCGAGGACGCCGACGACTTGTTGGCTGACTTGCAGTACGCTTTCGCCGTCGCCGAAAAGCGCGTGGGTAAGGCGTAAATCGATGCTATCACGCCGAGAAGACCCATAGTACGGTCTTGAATGGCCACGCTCAACGCTAAACTTCTTATTTTTTCATTGAATCAAACCAATCCCAAACTTCTCCGCGTCGGCGTCTCCCGATATCGACCTGAACCGACATTCCTCGGAAGTCAGGCGGCAAACTGAGCCACACATTTCAACGCACGTAGCGCGCTCAGACCGCAGCGCGCGTACACCAAACCTCCAAACAAAATTCAACAGAATGCGTGCACGCGGACGAGTACAGACGACGAAGCTGGCGACGAGGGCGGCGTCGTTCTCGAACCGTCACGCAGGGACGGCGAAGCTTCGTGCGCACTGTGCGACGAGGAGGATGACGTCGACGCGCACGCACGTGCGCGCGGCAAGCATTGACGAGGGTATAAGCGAACCAGTAAAAATAAATGGACGCGATTCTTCGCGCTCGCCGGCGTTCATGAACGTCGACGCCGAGTTAGAGGTGTTGGAGCGAGGCGCTTCCGCCGAGCCGCCAGCGACTCGAAGCGACAGGCTGCGGAGCCGGTGGTCGAATTCGTTTTGGGATGAGCTCGAGTTGAACGCCATCGAGCCTTGGATGATGTGTAACGACGAACCGACGCCTGATGGTTTGCTTCGCTCGGACTCCTTGCTCAGTCCGGCTTGGCGAATGATGCTGCTGTCGGATGGTTCGGTGACGGTGCGTCGAATTCTCGACGCCTTTGTATTTCACCTTCAGACTAACATTCGCATCGTGTGTTCGCCTCACAGCGTCACTTAAAGCTGCTCACCGGGCGTGCTGATGTTAAAACGGATGTCCTGTGGCAGGGTAAGATCGATCTCGACCACCGAGGTGCGCGCGAGATCGGCGTTCCGGACGACGTCCACAAGCGACTCCTCGCCGCGTCTTCGGGCACGCTCCTACAACGCGAGGTGGACCTGTGTGATGCACACGGTGATCCGCTGTGTTACGCCGCGAGCTGGTGGAACACGAACACCTCCGATACGATCGTCCTCGACACCGACGCCGATAACGCGTACGGTGCGCTCGATCGTCCGGTATGGCTCAAACTCGCCGAGGACAAGACGGAGCTCTTTCGCGAAGTCCGCCGCGTCTACCGCGGTCAATCCGAGCGCCTATCCTCAGCCTGGGGCCTTCCCACCGACACCTACTTCTGGGGTCGTCACTACATCTTCTGGCTCGCTCGCAAACCGCTGTGCGTGATCCACGAAGTCATGAGTCCCGCGCTCGAGACGTACCTCGGCCCGGCCGCGCCCGCGCCTCGCGCGCGTCGCGCGCGCTCGCGCCGAACCTAACTCACGACACGACGCCGAGCGACGCATCTCGCGCGCACACGAACGACCACGCACACGACGACCACGCACACGACGACCACGACGACCACGACGACCACGACGACGACGATTGTAATCCAGCCGCCGCCGTCGCGACTTCGCGCGAGCGCCCGATCACACACGCCACCAGAATCCCGCGTAAACGTCGTCGCGCCGCGGCGCCGCCGCGACGTCACTACCACGCACACACTCACACCACCGCATCCACGCACCATGAGCTCGTCCATGTGCGTCGTCGAAACCTCCACCGCCGGTCGCGAATACAAAGTTCGCGACATGGCCCAAGCCGACTTCGGGTACGCGCGACGACGACGCGACGACGCGATGCGATGCGACGCGAAGCGATGCGCGCGACTTTTGCGCGATGGCGGCTGCGGACGATCGCGCGCGGTGACGGCGCGCGACGCGCGAAGACGGCGGGAGACGCGAGAAAACGATCGAGGAAAATTGTGACGATCGATGCGAGCGGTCGCGGTGCGCGTTGGACGGTCGACGGGGGCGGTGGATGCGCGAATGGATGATTATTCCGATTTCGATCGAGATCTATCCACAGCGGCGTTACTTTATCCACCCGACCGGCGACGAGTCGACGCGCGGAGGCTCGGCGGCGAGGATCGGGAAAGACGCGAAGACGACGGCGATTATGGGGGAAAAGTAGGAGATAACGATCGATGACTGACGATGCATGGGTTTTCGCCGCGATAGTCGCATGGAAATTGAACTCGCGCAAGTCGAAATGCCGGGTCTCATGTCGTGCATCGCCGAATTCGGGCCGGCGCAACCGCTCGCGGGCGCGAACATCTCCGGTTCTTTGCACATGACCATCCAAACCGCGGTGCTAATCGAAACGCTCGTTGCGCTCGGTGCCAACGTGCGTTGGTGCTCGTGCAACATCTTCTCTACGCAAGATCACGCCGCCGCCGCCGTCGCGCGCGACTCGGCCGCCGTCTTCGCGTGGAAGGGCGAGACGCTCGAGGAGTACTGGTGGTGCACGGACCAAATGCTCAACTGGGGCGAAGGCTCCTTGGACATCATCGTTGATGACGGTGGTGATGCCACCTTGTTGATCCACGAAGGTTACAAGGCTGAGCTCGAGTTCGCCAAGTCTGGCGCCATCCCGGACCCGGCGTCCACGGACAACGCCGAGATGAAGTGCGTGTTGAAGATCATCGCCGAAAACTTGAAGACCAACCCGAAGCGCTGGCAAAAGATCGTTTCCACCTGCGTCGGTGTCTCCGAAGAGACCACGACTGGTGTGAAGCGTCTTTACGAAATGCAAAAGGCGGGCGAACTCTTGTTCCCGGCCATCAACGTCAACGACTCCGTCACCAAGTGCAAGTTCGACAACCTCTACGGTTGCCGTCACTCTTTGCCGGATGGTATCATGCGCGCCACTGACGTCATGATCGCGTCCAAGACGTGCTGGGTCGCTGGCTACGGTGATGTCGGTAAGGGTTCCGCCGCCGCGCTCAAGGCTGCCGGCGCTCGCGTCATCGTGTCTGAAATCGACCCGATTTGCGCGCTCCAAGCCGCCATGGAAGGTTACCAAGTCGCCCCGATCGAAGACGTCGTCGACCAAGTCGACATCTTCATCACCACCACGGGTAACAAGGACATCATCATGGTCCAACACATGGAAAAGATGAAGAACAACGCCATCGTCGGTAACATCGGTCACTTCGACAACGAAATCGACATGGCTGGCCTCGAATCGTACCCGGGCATCAAGCGCCAAAACATCAAGCCGCAATGCGACCGCTTTGAATTCCCGGATGGCCACGGTATCATCATGCTCGCCGAAGGTCGTCTCCTCAACCTTGGCTGCGCCACCGGTCACCCGTCCTTCGTCATGTCGTGCTCCTTCACCAACCAAGCCATCGCTCAGCTCGAGCTTTGGAACGAGCGCAAGTCCGGCAAGTACGAAAAGAAGGTGTACGTCCTCCCGAAGCACTTGGACGAAAAGGTTGCCATGCTCCACCTCGCGAAGATTGGTGTCAAGCTCACCAAGCTCTCCACCGATCAAGCGCAGTACATCAACGTCCCGGTCGAGGGTCCGTACAAGCCCGCGGCGTACCGCTACTAGATCCAGTGACCTTGCAGTCACCGTCGCCGAGCCTCGACGCCGCGCTTCGCGTCGTCGTCGCCTCGCGAGACATTTACCGCGCCCTCGCATTTCACCGGGGGAATCACGCGGTGTATCTACGTGAAACCAATGTTTGCTCAAGCGACTAGTAGAGATTCTTCCATAAAACAACAAAACTAGGTTCAGTCGTTGTGATACATACGATACCAAACCTTCAAACGTCGCCGTCGCGGATACAGTCCATCCGCCTTCGCCTTCGCCGTCGTCGTCACACCTCCGCGCCTTCGACTCGCGATGTCGCTCGATTCGATCGTCGCCGCCATGACGGCCGCGTTCGGCGCCCTCGCGTCCGACGTCGACGCCGCGCGCGTCGACGTCGCCGCCTTCGCGCCCTCGCCCGCGGGACTGCGCGCGCTCGACGACCACCTCGCGTCGCGCGCCGCGCTCGCGGGCCACGCGCTGTCGCGCGCCGACGCCGCGTGCTACGCGAGCGTCGTCGACGCGCTGAACGCGTCGCCCGAGGCGCTGACGCACGCGAGACGGTGGGCGGCGCACGTGAGCGCGCGCGGCGACGCGGCGCGCGCGGGCGCGGCGACGGCGAGGACGCTCGAGGGCGCGGCGGCGCCGACGTTCGAAAGACCGGCGGCGACGGCGAACGCGGAAGACGCGAGCGCGAGCGAAGACGGGAAGAAGAAGAAGGAGAAGGAGAAGGAGAAGAAGACGAAGAAGGCGAGCGAGGGAAAGGCGGCGACGGCGTCGACGAAACGCGTGGACGTGTCGACGCTGGACGTACGCGTCGGCCGAGTGACGAAGGCGTGGGAACACCCGGACGCGGACAAATTGTGGTGCGAGAACATCGATCTCGGGGAGAAAGGCGTGCGACAGATTTGCAGTGGGTTGCGCGCGTTTAAGACGAAGGAACAGATGGAGGGCGCGCGCGTGTGCGTCATCGTCAACGTGAAGCCGGGGAAGCTTCGCGACGTCAAGTCGGACGGTTTGGTGCTGTGCGCGTCCAACGCCGACCACACCGAGGTTGATTTCGTGATTCCGCCCGAAGGCGCGGCGATCGGCGAGCGCGTCGCGTTCCCGGGCTTCGAGGGCGAGCCGGAGGAAGTGCTCAATCCGAAGAAGAAGCAACTCGACGCGGTGTGTCTGGACTTGAAGACGAACGCGGAGGGCGTGGCGTGCTACAAAGACGTCCCGTTTACGACGTCGGCGGGCGCGTGCACTTCGTCGCTCAAGAACTGCTTCATCAAGTAGACGATGACCGCATCGGTGTGAATGATAATACACCTACTCGTCGTTTTGTTGAAAAAATCTCGCTACTCGCGCGCTACGCTATTCACCGCACATGATTTCGACGTTGTCGAGCAAACGCACGCTACCAAACTTTGCCGCGACGGCTATCACGCACGGTGAATCCAGCACGCCCACGTACGGCGTCAACGATTCCGGTTCCATCGCCTGCACGTAATCTACCTCCCCTCCACCGTCTCTGATGCGTTCGCTCACTCGCGTCACGAGCGCGTCGCTCGTCGTCGGCGCGCGCTCCGCCGTCGCCTTCGCTTCGCTCAAACTTTGATAAATAACCGTCGCCTTCTCTCGATTCTCCGTCGTCAGCAACAAATTCCTCGAGCTCATCGCCAACCCATCGCTCTCTCGCACGATCTCCCCCCCCACGACGTCGATGTCAAAATCTAAATCTCGCGCCATCCTTCGTATCACGCGCCACTGCTGATAATCCTTCTTCCCGAACACCGCCGCGTCCGGCTCGACGACGTTGAACAATTTCGTCACGATCGTCGCCACGCCCTTGAAGAAGTGCGGTCGCGTTTTCGCGCACAGTCCTTTACTCAGCTCGGCGACCTCGACGTACGTCTCGTGCGCCGCGCCTTCGCCTTCGCCTTCGTTCGCGTACATGCGCTTCGGCGCGAAGACGCAATCCACGCCCCGCGCCCGCGCCGCGCGCTCGTCCGCGTCCCCGACCCTCGGATACGCGTCGAAGTCCTCCCCGGGCGCGAACTGGGTCTCGTTGACGTACACCGACAGCACGACCGCGTCGCACGCGCACCGCGCGCGCGCGATGTCGACGAGCGCGAGGTGTCCTTCGTGCAGCGCGCCCATCGTCGGGACGAAGGCGACGCGCTCGCCGCGCGCTCGCCGCGCGCGCGTCCACGCGCGCATCTCGCGCGCGTCGGTGATGATCTCCATCGCACCGGCGCGTCGCGCGACGTCGCGTCGCGTCGCGCACTGCCGATGGATCCGCACTCGACGACGGACGCGCGTCGTTCGTCTCGCGCCGCGTCGAGCGCGACGCCGCGGCCGCGCGACGCGCGCGCGACGCGCGGTTCGCGCGAAGGCGCGCGCGAGGGCGCGCGCGACGAAGACGCGACGAAGACGCGGGCGAGATGGATTTCAACGAATTGGAACGACGCGAGGGCGTGCGGTTGTCGTGGAACGCGTGGCCGTGCTCGCGGATCGAAGCCACGCGCGTGGTGCTGCCGATCGGCGCGCTCGTGACGCCGGGACGCGATCTCGGGGACGCCGCGCCGACGCTGCCGTACGAACCGGTGGTGTGCGAGGGGTGCCAGGCGGCGTTGAATCCGTACTGCTCGGTGGATTACTACGGCAAGACGTGGCGATGCTCGCTGTGCGATGGGCTGAATAAATTGCCGAGGAATTACGAACAGATCAGCGAAAATAACCTGCCGGCGGAGCTGTTTCCGACGTACACGAGCGTGGAGTACACGATGACGAATAAGACGCCGACGGCGCCGTGCTTCGTGCTGTGCGTGGATTGCGCGTGCGGGAGCGCGGAGGAGTTGCAGGACGCGAAGGACAGCGTGATGCAGTTGGTGAGCTTGTTGCCGGAGGATGCGTTCGTGGGGTTGGTGACGTTCGGGTCGACGGTGCGCGTGCACGAGTTGGCGGAGACGAACGGGGCGATGCGGCGATCGTACGTGTTTCGCGGGACGAAGGATTGCGAGCAGGAAGATTTGCGCAAGATGTTAGGGCTGGATTTCAATCGTCAGCGCGCGGGGATGAATGGAATGAATGGAATGAACGGCGCTGCGGCGATGATGCCGAATGGCGTGGACGCCAAGCCGGTGAGACGATTCGTCGCGCCCATCAGCGAGTGCGAGTTCACGCTGCAGAGCGTCCTCGACGAGGTGACACTGGACGAGGAGAAGACAGAGCGCGGGAAGCGCGCGCTACGGGCGATGGGTGCGGCTATCAGCATCGCCGCCGGACTTTTAGCCGAATCGCACTCGTCGCAAGGGGGTCGTGTGCTCACGTTCACCTCCGGGCCGTGCACCGTAGGGCCTGGCGCCGTCGTGGGGACGGATATGAGCGAGAATTTGCGCTCGCACCAAGACTTGGAAAAGAACGCGGCTAAGCATTACAAGGAGGCGTGTAAAGTTTATAACGCGATCGGAATTCGACTAGCAACGAATTCTCATACATTGGACGTCTTCGCGTGCTCTCTGGATCAAGTCGGACTGGCGGAGATGAAAATAGCGGTGGATCAAACAGGCGGGAACATGATTCTCGCCGAGCAGTTCCGCGCAGAGACTTTCAGGCAATCATTAGCGAAGATGTTTGCGAGAGATCCGAAAACTGGTGCCTTGGAGATGAAGTTCAACGGAACTTTTAGCGTGTTCTGCACGCCGCAAATCATGGTGTGCGGCGCCATCGGGCCAATTAGCGCTTTGGCGGTCAAGTCGCAGCGAATTAGTGAAAACGAAATCGGTTTGGGACAAACCACATCGTGGCGCATGTGTTCGTTCACGCCCACTTCAACCATAGCGGTCTACTACGAAGTCGTCAACCAGCACAGCAATCCGATCCCCAACGGGCAACCATTCTTTCTGCAGTTTTGCACGAGATTTAAGACGAGTGACGGGCAGATTCGCCTGCGAGTCACCACCGTGGCGAGACGCTGGGTCGAAAGTAGTTTGGCGCCCGAAATCGTGGGCGGGTTCGACCAAGAGGCGTGCGCTGTACTCATGGCGAGAATTGCAACGTTTAGAACTGAGAATGAAGAGTCCTTCGACTTGTTGAGGTGGCTCGATCGCACACTCATTCGCGTTGGCGCAAAGTTTGGGGAATATCAGCGAGACGCGCCGGATAGCTTCCGCATGCCACCGAGCATGTCCATCTATCCACAGTTCATTTTCCACTTGCGCCGCTCACAGTTCTTACAGACCGCGAATAACTCACCGGATGAAACAGCGTTTTATCGCATCATGCTCTCTCGCGAGACGGTGACAAACTCGTTGGTGATGATTCAACCGACGCTGTTGAGTTATTCCTTCAACGGCCCACCCCAACCGGTGCTTTTGGACGTCAGCGCAATCACGCCCGATACGATCTTGCTGTTAGACTCATACTTCTTGATAGTCGCACATAGAGGCAGCACGATCGCGGCGTGGCACAAAGCCGGATACCAGGATCAACCAGAACACGAGGCGTTCCGCGCCCTGCTCGCGGCGCCGGTACGCGACGCGAAAGCTTTGGCGGCAGATAGATGTCCGACGCCGCGTCTCGTGGAGTGCAATCAAGGGGGGTCGCAGGCGAGGTTCTTGCTCGCCAAGTTGAACCCTTCGGCAACGCACAACACCGACCTCGGGTACGGTCAAAGTGGTGGAGAGATCATCTTCACCGATGATATAAGCATGAACGTATTCGTCGACCATTTAGCCAAGCTCGCAGTTAGTTCGTAGATCATATCATCAATGAATGCGCAAGTACATTAATCACTACATTTCGCTTCTATTCTGGCCACGCCACCGCCGGGGCCAATTCTTCATCGAGCGTTGGCGTGGCGAAATCTGGCACGCTTACCGATCGCTTGTGCATCGATCGCTGCGGTGTTTCGAACGCTGCAACGGTGGTCGTCTTTTCAACGTGCAACTCCGCGATACCCTTTTGTCGCCACTCCAAACCGGGCACGATTTCTGAGGCCCTGGTCGGTTGACGACGCGGCGACAAAATGCCAGCTTCTTTCTTCACGGGTATGTTGCCCCCTTCATCAGCCTTCTTCACGGAGAGCGCGCGACCAGTGGATCTCGCCACTGAACGAACCCTCTTCCCGACGTTGTTGATCACTCCAGGTTTTTTGCCCGGCACCACCGTCACCTGTGGTGTCGCCTGTGGTGCCGCGTGTGGTTGTTCCTGCAGAATGTCTGTTGGCGTACCGCCCAACTTTGAACGCGTTCGTGCATGCTTCTTCGTCGGAGACCGAGGAGAGACGACGAGTGGTGAGTCAGCTGTTTCGACGTGTCTCGGTACTGGCGTCGAACGAACTTGCTTGACTATCGGACTCCCGTAAGTGGTGACGTCCTCACGAGAAGGCTTCTTTTCGATCAATCCCTTCTTCTTTCTCGAAAACATTCTGCTAGTCATTCTGCTCAACGTGCTTGGCTTCCTTTCAGTCTTCTTCTCGCGCGCTTTTTCCTCGGCAACCCGCTCAGCGACATCTCCCTTGACTTCAGGGTGCAGTAACACGGAAAGAAACTCGAACTCAAACGTCAACGAGCCAGACGGCGTGTTCGTGAGCTCGAAGACCTCCTCCACGGGCGTGCCGATGAGCGTGCAACGAGACAGGACGGCTCGTGTGTCAAGTTCGAGATGGCCGAGCGATGTCTTCACACCGAATGCGTCGCGATCCCATACTTCGAGCAGGATATTATTCGAGTTTTCGAGCTCTTGCTCGCCGATGATGAACTCAAACTCTTCTTCCCAGACCGGTTGACGCGTGTTAAACTTGGTACTGCTCTTCCGCTTTTGTCGGTTCATGCGCATCTTCACGAAGGGGTCGGGTGCCTCGCCAACGCCGGCTAAATTCTCGCCGCGCAACAGTCGCACGTACAACACACCAGAAAACTGTTCCATCATCATTTTGTTGTCAGTTTCCGCAGAAACCATTGTAGTCGCGGGCACGGTCTTCGGTGGATGCGCCGCGGCTTCCCCGTGAGGTTGTTCCCTTTTCTTGAATGGATGATACGAAACTGAGATGTTAATTGTCGGGCCGTCAGGAGCGTTGAACCCGTGCGGCCCGGATGCCCTGGGCGATGACCCACCACCGGTCGGAATAGAGAGCGCGCGTTTCGCCAAGCCAGCGCCGTACAACAACGGTGCCACTGCGAGACTGAGCGCCGTCATATCCTTAGCCCTTACCAACGGTACTTGCAGTGCAACTGTCTGTAATGGCGTGTCGTGGCACAAAGAAACATCACACATGGCCGAACCGATGCTCGGTTTATTCGCTCGCAGCTGCTCGCCGTCGTACTTAGAACTCATGCCTCGTGTGTTACTCCGATTCAACAGCGCGCTCGGCGCTCGAATAGTGGATCCCACCGTCACGCGAGTATCGATGACGTTGAGACGAAGTTTTGCACTGTGAATATCCGTAACGGTAAACTCGAACGTCTCCTCCCAAATCGGGTCTGAGCCTCGCTTAATCGTCGTAGACCGCTTTACGTCCGCGCGTTGGGTCAAGCTAACCTCGACCGCCGCTTTCGGCGGCATCCCCAACCTCCCCGGCAACTGGCTCGCGCTATGGACGGTGACGCGGAGCAAGCCACTGTTGTGCGCAACTTCATCAGGCTGCCAATCCGACACCGCGCACCACAGACGCGCGGGCCAGACCATCAAATCTACGAGCTGGTTCTTGATCAAATCGCGCAACATCGAAGCGACCAACGGAACGGCTGTGATATCGCCACCTACGAGCTTTAGCGAAAAATCGATCGCCGGCTTGTCCACGAATGCAAGTTTCAACGCGCTAAACGACGGCCACCAAGGCACGAGTGGACCAAAAACCAATCGAAACGTCCCGTACGCCTCCACGTTGTTCATCTCTATCGGCAACTTGATGCCCAGCGTCGACACGTCCAACACTATGCTCGCATCCTTCGCCGCCCACTTGAACTCGATATCGAGAATCACCTCACCCTCGCTCTCCGTGCTCACCTTGACGCTCGCCAATATCGGCGGCTCCACTCCACACGTAAACTTTTTAAAATTCATCGACATGCCCGTCGATTTCGCCAAATCGTTCAACGTCGGTTCCAGCGCCTCCACGACGGACACCGCGATCGCCTTATCCAGCGACGGCCACATCTGTCTCGCCGCCTTATTCAACCACGGCACCCTGTCGACGTCCGCGTACTTGATCCACTTCGGCAGGTGTCCGATCAATCGTCGCAGCGTGCGTCCGTTCGCGACGACGCTCCCGCTCGCCGTCTCGTCGCTCAACTGTCGCACGACGCTCGCGAGCTCGCTCCGTTCGCGCCGGCTCGAGCGCGCGCCGATCGCGACGCCGAGCGCCAACGCGCCGGCGAGCGCCGCGCACGCGAGGCACAGCGCGACGAGCGCGACGAGCGCGACGAGCGGCGTCGGCGTCGGCGACATCGCGAATCGCACCAACCGAATCTATCCTCCGCGCGGCGTTCGTCCACCGTCCTCGCGACGCGCGCGCGCGCGCGCGGCGAGCGCGCGCCGACGCGCGTCGCGCGCGTCGCCCGCGTCGCGGTCGCGTCGCGGTGTGCGACGCGCGACGCGTCACTCCGCGCCTCGATGCCGACGACGCCGACGACGCAAACATCGCGCGTCGCGCCGCGCGCGCGCGCGCCGCGAACCGCGAGCGCGCGCGCGAACGCGCGAACGACGCGCGCGCGCGCGGGGAAGCTCGTCGGCGAGAGCTGGGTCGAACTGAGCGACGCGTCGTACGCCATCGAAAACGGACGCGAACTGTACGCCGCGGGTGACGTCGCGTCGGCGCTCAAAGAGTTCGAACGCGCGCTGACGCTGCCGGGAAGCGGCACGAAACGCGATCGCGCGAAACCGGCGGAGCTGTCGAACGGCGAGCGACAGGCGGCGCTGTATAACATCGCGAGCGCGCGGTGCGCGTTGGACGACCGGAGCGGCGCGCTCGAGGCGCTGGACGGATGTTTCAGAGCGGGGTACGCGAACCCGCGCGCGTACGGCGCGGCGAGAGGGATGCGAGATTTGGACGCGATGTGGGCGGACGAGGACTTGACGCTCGCGACGCGCACGGATGAGTTTCGGGCGATGGTGAAAAAGTACAAGGTGACGCCGAACGCGATGGCGTTGCAGTTCGATTTCAACAACTCCATCATCGGCGGCGTCGTGGGCGCGGTGAGCGACAAGATGACGCCGAAAAAGTAACCCACGAGAAAGTAACCCGCGAGCGCGACGCGATTCAGCGCTCGCGTAGACGCGCGTAGACGCTCGTGACGGACGCTAAAACTAAAACTAAAAGCGTCCTCTCTCTCTCTCGCGCGCCGCACTTACCGATGCTCCCTCGCGCCGTCCTCCGCCGCGCGCCGCCGCTCGCGCGCGCGTCCGCGCACGCCTACGCCTCCACCTCGCGCGTCGCCGACGCCATCGTGCTCCGCGACATGGAATTCTTCGCCAAACACGGCGCGCTCGCGCCCGAGCGCGAGCTCGGTCAAAAGTTCACCGTCAACGTCGAGCTCGCGCTGTGCCTGCGCCGCGCCGGCGCGTCGGACGCCTTAGAAGACACCGTAGATTACGCCCGCGCCTGGGCGCTCGTGCGCGACGTCGTGCAGCGCGGACCGACGCGCGTGACGATCGAAGCCGTCGCCGAGGACGTGAGTCGAACGTTACTAGAAACCTTCGCGGACGTCCGCGCGTGCGTCGTGAGCGTCGACAAGCGCGAGGTGGCGATCGAGGGGCATCTCGGGTCGCTCGGCGTGCGCGTCGCCCGCGCGCGCGACGCGTGACGGGGCGAAAACGTTGTAACGCGATGCGTTGAGCGCTCGACGAGAGCACGAATCGCCGCACTCGCGCGCGCGCGCGACGCGGATCGCGCGCGCGACGCCGCGCGAAGCGACGAAACGCGCGCGCGATGGCGAGCGCGCGCGGCGCGAGCGGCATGCCGCGCGAGGTGGACTGGGAGCGGTTGGATAAGCGGAAGTTTTTCATCACCGGTGTCGGCGTCTTCAGCGGTGTCACCATGGCGCTGTACCCGCTGAGCGTGATCAAGACGCGGCAGATGGTTTCTGCGCACGCCACGCAGGCGCGAGTGACGGACATCGCGCGAGAGGTGATGCGAGAGCGAGGGGTTCGTGGGTTTTATAGAGGATTCGGCACCATCGTCGTCGGGGCGATTCCCATACGGGTGGTGTATCTGAGCACGCTGGAGGCGGTCAAGGCGTACACGAACGCGGCGTTCGACGCGTGGGATGTGCCGGTGATGTATAGGGGAGCGGCGGACGCCGCGGGGGGGGCGACGGCGAGTTTGGTTTCGCAGGCGTTGGCGGTACCCGTGGACGTTATTTCGACGCGGCAAATGGTGCAGGGGATGCGGAGCGGCGGCGCGGTCGGCGCCGAGGACGCGGTGTTCGTGGGATATAGGAACGGGTTCGACGCCGTGCGGACGATCGTGGCGAAGGAAGGCGTGCGAGGGCTGTATCGAGGATTCGGCGTGAGCGTGGCGACGCTCGTGCCGGGGAGCGCGCTGTGGTGGGGATTTTACGGAACGTACAAGCGCGCGCTGTGGCAAGTCGCCCCAGAGGATTGGCGCGATGAGGCGACGACGAGCGATGCGAAGGTGATCGCGGTGCAAGCCGCAAGCGGGGTGTGCGCGGGGATGTCGAGCGGGTTTCTCACCACGCCTCTGGACGTCGTCAAGACGCGCCTCCAAGTTCTTAGCGGGCAGCCGGGAGGGGAGAAGAATAACTTGTCGAGCACGGTAAGCACTATTTATCGCGAGCACGGCGCGCTCGGGTTCTTTCGAGGCGTCCGGCCTCGCATGGTGAGTGTATCCATATGGGGCACGGTGATGGTGAACGTTTACGAGATAACGAAGAGAATGGCCATCAAAGAATAAAGCAACGTTTCGGCAAACGAAAACAAATCGCTAGCATTATTATCATCCATCATTTTTCGCCGTCTTTAGTCTCGACGGCTCCTTGTAGCGAGCGTATGCTCCGTGTAGAAAACTAAAATCGGATCAAGTCGTGGCGTGCACGTCGTGCAGCTGCGCTATGTATGCTTTCGCCTCCGCTACGCGATTACTCATCGCCTCAACGCGATCGGCACGTTCAAGACTGTCCAAAACGATTTTCCACGCGGTGCGCTCTATATCAGCCTCCATTTCGTCGAAGATCTCTTCCGCTCGCTCGTGCAATTCTCTCATCGTTTGTCTCGCCGCGTGGAGGCTCGACATCGCGTTATCAATCGCTTGCGCCGCCTCGACGGCGCTCTCGCGACACTCATCATCATCATCGCCCTCAAACCGCGATGTGAACTGAGAGAGTGCCTTCTCGAGTTCGGCGAGCCGCGAATCATCCGGCGTCGTGGACCCCTCGAGCACTCGCGTCGCCGGTTCATCTTCCCTCGCGCGTGCGTCCATGGCGTCGTCCATGGCCTCGTCGTCCACTGCGCTCACCGTTCGATCGCTTCGCGCGCTCCCTTCGACGTGATCGTCGTTCTCGCGCGGGTGCTTCGGTCGAGGAGTCGTGTCGTTCTCACGCGGGCGCTTCGATCGAGGAGGCATCGCGCGTCGAAGTGTGCTTGCTTATTCTTTACATTGGTGGTTGACATCGTCGTCTGTGATCGTGGAGCTATTCAGAGCGGCGCCACTCCGCGTTGTCGATCGCACGGCTTCGATCGGTATCGAAAATCCTGAATAGTAAATCAAATACTTCCGTCTCGCTCGGCGCTCCGACGTTCCCGGCTTCGGTGCGCATGACGTCGCGAAGCGCCTCGCGAGTCACCGAAGATCCGTCGACGCCGGAAAAGGCGTTGTCGAGCGAATCGAGATTCCCGAGAATATACTGCATCGACGCTAGCTCGCCCGCGCGAGCGCTCGTAAGCTCACCAGCCTTGCGGAATCTGCGCATGAACGCGTACCAAACCGCAGTGGAACCGATGAGGATACCGCCAGCGACGCTCCAGAATACTCCAATCGGCGCGGTTTCCAAGCCGTGCGGCATATTCATGCCTCCGAGACCCGCCGGCACCGCGGCTACGGCGGCGGAGAGGGCGAAGACAGTTGCCCTAAAGTTCATCTGTACGGTACGATTCCTATCACCGTCGAGCTGAAGTTCCCAGAGTTCGCGCGCGCTGTCTAGATCCGCACTAAGCTCTCGCACTAAGCCTCCGACGGCTGCCAAGCGTCTGGCGTGGCTCGCCAGCACGTCCGTCACCGCGTCGTTTCGCTCCTCCGCCGCCTTTTCGTCGAACACAACATCCATGGGTGTCGGTACCAAGTTTGTCGTCGTCATCGCCGCGTTTAACGCTTCCGAGGCTTCGCGAGCGTCTTGCTCAAACTCCTTAATCGCGCGACGAATCGGCGGCAACTTTTGCCACTGCGCCGCGTTGTAATTCAAGCTCCCTCCCGTCACGATCCCGCTCTTCCCATCGCCTCGCAAATCGCTCGAGATCTCATCCACGCAGTGCCTCGCCAACCGCCGCAACCTAAATATTTTTTCTTCAAAATATCGCGAGCTCGCCTCGAGCGCGCACTCGAGCGCCGCCAGCGGAAAATCCTTCACCGTCCGCGCCTCCGCCCCCGCGCTTCCCTCCGCCGCGTCTCGTTCGCCGACCCACGTCCGCAGCGTATCCACGATGTTCTTCGCCACGCGCGTCGCCGGTTCGAACACGTACGCGCACTTCGGTCCGACGAGCGTCGTCGTCGGCCCCATTCGCACAACCATCGCCCCGTTCGCCCTTCGCACGAGCGCGCTCGGCGCGCTCGCGAACGACGCTCGGCTCGACGCGTGTTCCAGCAGCGCCCAATCCCGCGGTCGCAGCGTCGCCAGCAGTCCCGCGGCGCTCGGTCGCGCGTCCGGTCGCGCGCGGAGCGTCAGCGTCGCGACGTCCTCGTCGCGCGCGACGAGCGCGTCGTTCGCGCGCGCCGCGTCGCGCGTCGCGCGCGCGCGCGGTCGCGCGCGCGTCGCGCGACGGCGCGGACGCGGGATCCGAATCGATTCGCGTTCGTTACGACGTCGTGCGCGCGCGCGCGACGGCGGCGCTGCGTCGCGTCCTCGACGACGGCGCGGACGCGAGCGCGGTGCTGCGCAAGGCGCTCAGGCCGGGAACGGCGCGCGTGACGAACGACGAGCGCGCGGCGATCGCGCGCGCGACGCTCGGCGCGACGGCGTGGCGACTCAGGTTGGAAGCCGAACTCGCGAGCGCGACGAGGCACGGAACGCGCGAGGCGCGCGCGTGCGCGGAACGCGCGGGCGATCGAGCGGAGAAGTTGATTTTGATGTACTGGAGCGGCGATCGGGGCTCGGGGGGGAGGGCGGTGGTGCCGAGCGCGGAGGACGCGCGCGCGATGTACGGCGACGGCGCGGCGGATTTGAGAATCGCGGCGAGGGAGGAAAACGTGCGTTGGTCGAGCGACGACGCGATCGCGGTGGGGCAGAAAACCGCGCTGCCGCGACCTTTGGTGGATGCGCTGATTCGAGAGTATGGACGAGAGGAGGCGCTGGCGTTCGGAGCGGCGATAAACGCGCCGGGACCGGTGACGTGTCGAGCCAACGGCGCGCTCGCGCGCGGGGGCGCGGATGAGGTGGCGGCGATGCTCGCGAGGGAAGGCATCAGGACGGAGAAGACGAAGTATGGACTTGCGGCGCCGCTCGCGTTCGTCCTTCCCGATGGGCCGCCGAAAAACGGCGGGATCTTTGGATGCGACGTCTGGCGTCGCGGATACTTTGAAGTCATGGACGAGGGGTCGCAGTGCATCGCAAACGCCGTCGGCGCGCGAGAAGGCGAGCGCATCTTGGACGCGTGCGCGGGAAACGGCGGAAAAACACTCGCCATGGCGGCGAACATGAATGGACACGGCGAAATATGCGCGTTTGACATCGACAAACGACGTTTATTGCACTTGAAGGCGAACGCGGCGCGCGCGCGCGTCGACGCGCTGGTGACGACGACGGAATCGCTCGACGAATTAGCCTCGGAATCGTTCGATGCGATTCTCGTCGACGCTCCGTGCTCGTCCGTCGGTGCTTTACGACGAACACCATCGCTACGTCACTCGTACGACGATCCGCGCGAGCTGGCAAAGGTCCAGGCGGAAATTCTCGACGGCGTCGCTCGTTTGCTAAAGCCAGGCGGGCGATTGGTGTACGCGACGTGTTCGGTGTTGTCGATCGAAAATCAAGACGTCGCCGAGGCGTTTGAAAGAAAGCACGACGATTTTGCGCCTTGGCCGTTCGAGGACTCGGTGCTCACGTCGCCCGCGGTCGAGTTGCGATCGCACGAACGTTTGTTTCTACCACACGTGCACGGAACGGATGGATTCTTCATCGCGCGTTTTGTTCGAAGAACCGCTGATTAAAACTTCTAGTCTAGATTCTAGGTTGTCTTTCTAAGCCTGAGTAGCATTCTAATTTCCGCGATATTCTCGTGAGCGTGAGCTTCGAGTTCATACACGAAATCATCAAGCGCATCTTCCGGTACGACGAGCAAATTCAGGCGAGTCGACAGAGCTTCGAATCGCTCGATGCTCTCGCGAGCTGTCATCGTCTTTCGTACCCATGAAACGTACGCGTTGACGTCGAGCTTGAGTTGCATAGCGCCAACTATGGTATACGTATATCTGCACACGTGTCTGAAGAGCAAGGAATAAAATTGAGCGCCGATTTCATTCAAGAGCGTCGCCGCGTTTGCCGAATCCAAGCATTCGAGCGTCGTCTTCGCCAAACCGTCGAGAGCATCAACCACGGCTACGCACGCCTCTGTCTCACGCTCGGCAAACGATGATTCGTCATTGAAGTCTACCGCTCGCTGCGTACCACGGAATTTAGCGTCCACTAGCGTCATGCCGCGCGTCGTCATGGCCTCTAAGACCTCCGACATTTCCTCGGCGAGTCGGCTTTGCGCGACGGCAAACATTTGCCGCACTGTGCCAGGAGAGAGCTCCGAGTTCATCGTATCGATCGCATCGCGCGCACGTGCGAGCCACGCGTTCATGTTCCTGGAAGCGAGCAACACGGGCTCGAACACATCGGCGCGTGCTTCTTCACGCGTCGTCCAGGCGTTGAGACGCGCGCTCGCCGACTTTGTCGCCGCAATCGATTCGCGAAGATGCCTCTGCGCGAGACGGGTGACGCGGCCCAGGAATGCCTCGGCGAGCCGTGCTCGCACGCTTTCAATCGAAGTCCCAGGCACGCACGATTCGACTCGAAGAAGCGCTTCTTTGTAACGAGCACATAAATCATCCAGAGAGAACTCAGTCGCGTCGCGCTGCGGCAAGACGTCGTCATCGCTGGGCACCGAGTCCAAACAAGCGCACTCATCGTCCACGAGCGTCTCACACCCGATGCCAAAAAACACGTCCGGATCGATCGCCTCAACGTCTGCGTCGTCGTTCGTCATTTCACGTATCGCGCGATTCAAAATCTCAATCTCGCGCAACGACAGCGCCGTGAGTGCCAGGCGCTGCCGAAGCGACGCTGCGGTGCGCAATTCGGTGGTGAGAAAAGTCTCAACGTACGCCCCGATTCGCTGCTCCGCGATCCGATGCACGAGAGTGTTAAGAACGACGATAGCGCGCGAATCGAACGCGGCGGTAATCGATTGAAATTCCCTTTTCACCGCGCTTTGAATTTGCGCAAAAAATGTGCGAACGCACTCGGTGCACAAAGATTCATCCTCGCCGAGAATCACCGATCGCTCGACGACGTTACGAAGGCGTTGAATCTCTTCCATCGCGTTCGCAGAGATGAACATTTCACGGCTCGCGACGTACCGCGAGACGACGCTGTGTCCGCCGTTGAACTCAAATAACGCCTCAGCGTCGGCTCGCGCTGCTGCGTACGACTTATTCGCGCACGCCGCGGCAAATTTGTCCAAAAGTGCGTTTTCAACGTCTTCACAGTACCTTTGCAACGCCGTCGAGGCGTCCTTGAGCGCTAATCGCTCCGCGCCCGCGTCCTCGTCCGCGATGCGACACGACTGCGCGCGTTCGACGACGGAGAGTGATCTTTTCGCCAAGCGTCCCGCTTCGCCTCGTCGCGCCGCGTCCGCAAACAGTCCATCGCACGCCTTCGCGACCGCTTCGCCACCCTTAGAAAACGCACACACGCACTCCAAAACATCAGCCAACGTCCCCAACGCGTCGGCGCGTCGACTCGCGCTCGCAGCTTCCGCGTTCGCCGGCGACTCCAACCGTTCCAACACGCGTTCCGTCATTAACGACGCCCTCGCCATGTCCTCGCACACACTTTCGCGTTCTACCGCGTGTTTCTTCACCGTCTCCCGCAGTGTGCGCGCCGCGCCCTCCGCGCTCGCTCGCCGAAGCTCGGCGCGCGCCGCGCTCTCCGCCCTTCGTCGCTCCAGCGCGTCAACCACCTTCTGCGCGCCCGCGATCGCGTCCTCCACCCCTCCGCGCGCGGCTTCGGCGCAGAGTGACACCGCGACGTCGCGCGCGCGCCTCGCGCCGTGCTGCGCGCGTCGATGCGAGTCAGTCACCGCGCGTCGTCTCGACAAAGTTCGTTGGTTCGAGTTGGTTCGAAAGACGACGCGAAACGCACCTCGGCGAAGGCTTCGAGGGACGTGGAGACATCGTCGAGCGCGCGGTCGAGGGCGGCGACATCCATGCGTCGCGCGCGCGTCGCGCGCGAGGGCCGACGCGACGGAGTCTGTGGCTTCGCCTCGCCGTCGCGCCAAAGCGACAAAACGGATTCAGTTTACAATAACAATGAAATGTGTGTGATTGAGCTGCTCGCGAACGGTTCTCGGGCGAAATGCGCGCGAGCGTTCGGTGAGCCTTCGCGCCGAACGCGCTAGTCGATGAAGATGCGCCGAAGCGGGTCTCTGGCGAGTTCGCGCATGCGCGCGTCGTAGTGCAACTGCGCCCAGCGCGCCTTGCCGCCGTCCGATTCCATATCCCGCCTAAACTGTCGCGCCACGTCGTCGCCGATGATGCTCAGGGGTGAACCGGTGGACATGGCTAAGATTTGCACCTCCGCCGCGCGCTCGAGATAGTACAAATCATCGAACGCCTCGGCGACGGAGGCGCCGCACACGATGACGCCGTGATGCTTGTGCATCAACACCCGTTTCCCATCCATCACCTTCACCAATCGCTCGCCCTCGGTGTTATCCAACACCAATCCGTTAAAAGTCGGGTCGTACGCCACGTCTTCGGCGAATCGCAACGAGTTTTGATGACACATCGCCAACTCGAACGACTCCACGCAACACAGCGCGCTCGCGCGCGGCATGTGCGTGTGCAGCACGCACGCCACTCCCGCGCGGTGTATCGCGAGATGTATAAAAAACGCCGTCGCGTCCACCTCTCCCGACCCCTCGAGCAACTTCCCGCGCCCATCGATCATCACCAGATTACTCGCCGAGACCTCGCTCCACGCCAACCCGTACGGCGCGCACAGAAACGCATCCTCTCGCCCCGGCGCCGCGCACGTCAGGTGATTGCACACGCCCTCGTTGAATCCAAGCTTATCGCACAGCTGATAGCACGCCGCGAGCTCGACGCGCGCGCGCCAGACGTCGGCGTCGTACCCTTCGATCGGCGGCGTGAGGTCGACGTTCCGCCAGGGGTCGCGCCGCGCCGCCGCGTCGCCGTCGCCGACGCGCGGGTACGCGCGCCTCGGCGCGTCGTCCGCCATCTCGCGCGCGCGCCGGTGCCTCGCGCGCGTCGCGCGTCGCGCCGTGACGTCGTCGCGTCGAGCGCCCGCGACCGACCGATAGCCGCTGACTGTTTGCGCATACGCGTCATCCGCGACCGACGGCGCGACGCTTCGTATATCGCGCGCCGCGTCGGCGGCGACACATCGCGACGGCGCGCCGCGCGCGCGGAGGCGCGACGCCATGCTCGACGTCGACGGCGACGAGTGCGAGGACGCGGTGCGCGCGCGATCGCGCGAGCGCGGTTCGAGCGCGCGCGCGACGCGCGAGACGCGCGATGCGCGCGAAAGATGGCGACGGCGGCGGCGACGCGGCGAGTCATCTTGCGCGCGCGAGGACGACGCGCGGCGACTGACGGCGCGAATGGCGCGCGCGATAGGGGCACGAACGCGTGCGACGAGCGATCGAGGCGCTGGAGGTGATGACGGGGGCGGCGGCGAGGCGGGAGGGGGTGGCGAGGCTGTGCGCGGAGATGACGGCTGGGGCGAGCCGGGCGTCGCTGGCGGAGGCGCTCGGCGCGAGGCCGGTGCTGATCAAGGCGCTCGATCGCGCGGTGCGGGATGACGACGAGATGATGATGGACGCGATCGGGAGCGCGCTGGGGAAGGCGTCGGAGATGGCGAAGAGGGAGAGTTCGGTGGAGTTGCGGTCGGTGGCGGGGAGTCAGGTGGGCGAACGCGCGGGGGCGAAGCCGTCGACGCTCGAGGTGCGGCTTCCGGTGTCTGATATAGTCGTTCGAGTGCACGAGAGCGAATGGCGCGACGCTGGGTTGGCCTGGCGCGTCTGGGGGTCGTCGCAGATCATGTCGAGGTGTTTAGATGCGGCGCCCGAGCTTGTGCGAGCGCTCGACGTGTTGGAAATCGGCGCCGGGTGCGGGCTCGCGGGGTTGACGGCGGCGCGTGTGGGCGCGAAGCGCGTGCGCATCACCGACGGTGCGCCGGGGGCGATAGATGCGATCGCGCGGAGCGTGAGCGAGCTGCCGCCCGAGTGTGCGGCGACCACAAAGGCGATGTTTCTAGACTTTCGCGACGACGACGACATCTTAGCGGGCGTCGTCTCGCTTGAGCAAGCCCGCGCATCGAATGAGGCGAGGCACTGGGTGCACGCGCGCTCCGCAGCGCACAAATCAATGATTGAGTCGTGTAAACTTCCCGTCGACGACGTCTTCGACGTTGTCTTGGCGACGGATGTTTTGTATTCCGACGAACACGCTGCGCCGCTCGCCGCGAGTCTCACGCGACGAATTCGGCCGGGAGGATGCGGCTACATTCTCAACGTGTGTCGCCACGGAGGCATTCTCGCCGACTTTACGCACGCTCTGCTGTCTCGAGGGATGCGGTTGCAAATATCCGCCATCGAACGTTTCGACGGCGAGGACGACGTCAAGGAATACCAAGGCGGTCATTTGCACCGCGCCCTGCCGCCGCAAGCCGACGCCTGGTGGACGGCGAGCGCGAAAGAGCTCGTCAAGTTTGGCGCGTCCACCATCGTCGCCGACGAAGAAGCGTCTATCGCCATGCTCGCTGACGTCGACGTCTTGCGGGAATTCATGACTTCCTTCGAAGGACGCTTCATATTCATTCGCGTCTCGAGACCGGATATCGACGCCACCGAGACGCCGGCGATATCCGACCGCGCGCCCTCCACGCGAGCGTCCTCGCCCGAAGACGCCACGGCGTCGTCGTAATATTTATTATTTGAAGGTTTGTACCAAGACCGTCTTTAGCACATTAAACATTGCACTATTCTTTCGCGCGAGCGCGACTCGCAGTCGTGGTGGTGGATGTTACCTCACAATCGACCTCGCTCACGATGCTCAACCCGCGATCGTCTCGATCCGAGCGCTCGCGCCGACGCACCGCGATCGCGCTCACCGTATGCCTCGCATTGACGACTCGCCGAGCGTTCATCGCGCACGTCGACGCCGGTGAAGTCGACCCCGCGATCGACATGGTGGACGAACACTCCGACAACTATCGCTCACTCGTCTACGGCATACGCTGCGGTGCGTGCAAGGCGGTGGTGAAAGAGATTGGCGATACGTTTGATACCGTCGCGGCGAAGCATAAGCGCGACGCGGGACCGACGAATGTGTTCGGATCGCGATACGTGTCGCTGTTTCGGAGCACGCTGACGCGAGAGGTGGACGGCGTGTGCGCGGCGAACGGGGCGATCGAACGCGATTGGGGGTACAGCGAGAAGGGGGCGGAAAACATTATCGCCACAAGTCGCGTGTTCGATCGCATGGGGAAGAACTTGACCAAGGAGGAATCATCGATGATACAGTTGACGGTGTACGGCTTGGGACTGTTCACAAAGAATCCGAGCGAACGATTTCATTATCAAGGCCCACCGGGCAGCGAGATCTCGGGAAGCGATAACTTTTCGATGATCTCGAACACGTTTGCCAGGCAAACGTTGCGCACGGCGTGTCAAGCGGTGAGCGATAGCTTAGAATTCGACGACGCCATTGACGCGGCTGTGGCCGACATGGAGAGCGGCTTCGATTACAGCGTGCAGCACAAACTGTGCCTCGACCTGGACTATTGCAAAGTCAAGAATCGTAAATCAGGTCGGAGTGCCCCGGTGCAGCGCATCGAACAGGACGACGGTACGGTGGCGTACGAGACGGAAGCGACGGAAGCCGACGAGGACCTCGGCGACCAAGGCGTGAGAATCGATCCCGAAGAGCTCGCGAAGCGAGGCGCCGCCGTCGGCGAAGAGAAAACCGAGCTGTGAGCGCCCTTGTAACATCCTCCCCGCGCCGCGGTCTCACCATCGCGCACCAACGCGTTTCCCTCGAATCCTCATCCATCGACGCGTCGCCGCGCCCGCGGGCTGAAGTGAAAAATCTCCAGACCGACACCGCGATCCAGCCAGCTCGTGGCGCGCCGTCATAACGCGACGCTTGCATGCGACGCGCCGCGCACGCACTAAAACAAAGCGCGACAACTCTCACTACGCACACATCGCACGCGAACGCGCCCTCGCGCGCGCGTTTCGCGGTAAAGAACGCCGTCGTCGACGGATTCGGTCGACGCATTCAGGGTGGGAATTGTCGACGCGAATTCTCGCTAACGATGGCGCACGCGGTGCGCGCGAGCGCGATACACGCGCAGGACGCGCGAGTGAATGAACGACTTTCCGCAGCGCGCGCGGGACGCGGACGAAGGGCGTACGCGGTGCGCGCGGGGACGTCGCGGGGACTCGACGATCGGCGACGGACGGCGACGACGAGCGCCGCGAGCTCGACGACTCGATGGGCGTTCGGACGACAGTACGCGATTTCGCCCGCGAGTCAAGAGGCGAGTGAGATGGAGGATGATTCGGGAGGAGAAAGCGACGAGGATAGCGATGAAGATCTCACGGGTGAGTACCGAGGGGCGGTGCTGGTGCGTTCGAATGGCCAGAAAGGCTTGGCGACGACAAATAGGACAAACAACGGCCGGATCGGTGGGAGCTGGAAAAAGGCGCTGGGAGATTTCGACGTGAGAACGAACGGGGCGATGACGGTGAATGGGGCGAAGGGAGATGCCAAGGTAACGGATGATGATGAAATCGCGACGGGATTACGAGACGAGGTGCAGACGGTTGAGACGGTGGAGGAAGCGAGGCGAGTGTTGAAGATATTGCTCGACAACGCCGGAACCGAGGATCAACCGATGTATCACGCGTGTGATACCGAAGTTGCGTACATAAGCGTCGCGGATCAAACGCCTGTTGGCCACGGGCAAGTTACGTGCTTCTCCGTCTACGTAGGACCGGATGTCAACTTCGCTCCCGAAGGCGAAAGCAAGAGGAGTTTGTTGTGGGTCGACACCTTGCGTGGTGGCGACGGCGTTTGGGAGGTGTTCAAGGAGTACTTTGAGAACGCAAACGTCAAGAAAGTTTGGCACAACTATAGCTTCGATCGCCACGTAGTGGAGAACCATCACGGCATCAAACTCGCCGGGTTCGCGGCGGATACCATGCACATGGCACGTCTATGGAACTCAAACAGAAAACTCGACGGTGGCTACAGCTTGGAAGCTTTGTCTTCGAGCGCAGACGCAATGAGCGAATGCGCTGAGATGCTCGGTGCGGGAGCGGAGATGATGCGTGCGAAAAGAGGTATGAAGAAAATCTTTGGCAAGCCCAAGCTCAAAAAGGATGGGACTCCTGGGAAGACGATGATTCTGCCACCGATTGAAGAAATTCAAGAAGCTCGCGATTCGCGTGATAGATGGATTGAGTACTCCGCGCTCGACGCGCAAGCGACGTGGTTCTTGCGCGAATCTCTCGAAGCGAAACTCCGCGGGATGTCGTGCGAAGCGTGTCCGATTTTGGCGAGCAAGCCTGGATACCGCAAGTGCGTCACGCTTTGGGACTTTTACACGTTCTACCTCGCCGAATTCGGCAATTTGTTGACGCAGATGGAACGAAATGGCCTTCTTGTCGATAAAGCTCATTTGGCGCACGCGGAGAAGATGGCGCACGAAGATAAGCGCGTGGCGGAAGACTACTTTAGAAACTGGGCTGCTTCGAAATGCGAAGGCGCGCGAATCATGAATGTCGGTTCAGGGTTGCAAGTTCGTCAGCTTTTATTCGCCGGTGCGAAGAACAAGCGTCGTGACAAACCTGGGGTTGAGCTCACCCGCGAGTTCACGCAAGAGTCTTCCGAATGGATCGCTTGGGATGCCGCCGGTCGAGAAGGCAAGGCGCCGAAGAAGACGATGAAGGTTGCTCTTCACGGTATCACGGTGAAGCCGATCCAAGTGCAGACGTTCACCGCAACTGGACTTCCTGCTGTCAGCAGTGTTGTTCTGCGCGCTCTTGCGGGCAAACCTGGCGCCGCTCGCGCCATCATGGATACTTGGGACTCGCTCGCGGACGCCGAGAAAACCGAAGATGTGTTGAAGAAGGCGTGCGGCACCGCATTTGAAGCCTTTGGCGGCGGTAAAGAGGGCGTACAAGCGTGTGCCGCTATCGATGCGTTGAACGACGTGGCGGCCATCGACACTTTATTGTCGAACTTTATCATTCCTCTGCAAGGGGATGATATTCGTGGACCCGAAGGCCGCGTGCACGGCGCGCTGAACATCAACACCGAGACCGGACGCCTATCCGCTCGTCGGCCGAGTTTGCAAAATCAGCCCGCGCTCGAAAAGGACCGTTATGGTATCCGTAAGGCGTTCACCGCGGGGCCTGGGAATATTCTCGTCGTCGCCGATTATGGTCAGCTCGAGCTTCGCCTTTTGGCGCACATGGCTGATTGTAAGTCGATGCAAGAAGCCTTTGAAGCCGGCGGCGATTTCCACAGCCGAACGGCGCTCGGAATGTACTCCAACATTAAGGAAGCCATCGATAAGGGCGAAGTTGTCTTGGAATACGGCGAACAAGAGGAAACCGTGGACGAGAAAGATCGCCCTGCGCTCGTAAAGGATGTGTTCGCGAGCGAACGTCGCAAGGCCAAGGTACTCAACTTCAGTATCGCATACGGCAAAACTGCGCACGGCTTGGCGAAGGATTGGGGCACGTCTCTCGAGGAAGCCGCCAACACGGTTGAGCTTTGGTACGCCGACCGCCCAGAAGTTCGAGAATGGCAAGAAGTGCAGAAGAAGATGGCGGTGGAAAAGAACCTGGTGCGCACCCTCCTCGGGCGCGTTCGCAACTTACCCGACGCCTCGAGCAAGAACGAAGCCTTCAAATCGCACGCGCTTCGCGCATCCATCAACACCCCGATTCAAGGCGGCGCCGCCGACATCGCCATGTTAGCCATGCTTCAGATTCAACGCTGTCCACGCCTAAAAGAGCTCGGTTACAAGCTCTTGATGCAAATTCACGACGAAGTCATCTTAGAAGGTCCCGAAGAGCACAAAGATGAGGCGTTGGCGCTCACCAAGTATCACATGGAGAACCCATTTCCCGGCCACGTCAACTTGTTGAACGTCGCGCTAGCCGTCGACGGCGATTACGCCAAGACGTGGTACGAGGCTAAATAAGTAGTGAACGTCGCTCTTTCGCTTCGTTCGTTTGTAAATCACTTAGCTTTCACTCAAATGACCCTCAGCCTCGAAAGTCGACGCTGAGTGCGCCAGTCATCAGACCAAACCTTACATTTTGCCTCGGCGCGCGCCATGTCCGCGCCTGAATGGCACGGCTACGCCGATGGCGCGAATGGTGACGATCCCTACACCGCTGCCGCGCGATCGTACGACGAGACGCACGCGACGAGCGACGCGAACGCCGACGCCACGCTGCAATCAGACTTCGAGCACATGTCGATCAACCACGCGCACACACTCGTCCACGATCTACTGGACGAGGACGATGACGAGGAGTACGACTACGTCGACGGGGAGCACGCCGGCGGTGCGCGACGGAGCGAGTTCGCGTGCGCGTACTGTGGGATATCCAACGTCTCGTGCGTGGCGCAGTGCGTGAAGACAAAGAAATGGTTTTGCAACGGGCGATCGAATGGATTGCCGGCGAGCTGCTTGATATATCATCTCGTGCGGTCAAGAAACAAGGAGGTTCGACTGCATGAGTCGTCGCCGCTGGGCGATATGACGCTGGAGTGTTACGTGACGGGGGCGACGAACGTGTTCAACCTCGGGTTCGTCCCGTGCAAAGACGAAAACGTGGTGGTTCTCGTGACGAGAGAAGCAGCGCAGAGTAATCCGGCAACTCTTAAGGAATTGAATTTAGACTTAGCGCTCTGGGAGCCGCTGATTCAGGACAAGGTGTTCTTGCCTTGGTTGTTGCAGATGCCGGACAAGAAGGAGATTGATCGCGCTCGGCCGGTGAACCCAGGAAAAGTCATCAAATTGGAGGAACTATGGAAAACAAATCCCGAGGCTACGCTAGACGACGTAGAGAACGATGACGGTGACGGCGAGGTACGTCCTGTAGCGCTGACGTACGAGGACGCGCATTTATACCAAGGCGTCTTTGGACCGTTGATACAGCTCGAGGCAGATTACGACAAGGCGCAGCGAGAGAGCCAAACGAAGGACGACGTCACAGTCCGCTGGGACATTGGCTTGAATAAGCGTAGGATTGCGTATTTCAGTTTTGGTGCCGATGAAAATGCGGTGTCAGTGACGTTGGGAGATTCTTTGCAGTTGCGACTGCTGATACAGACAAAGAACGAACAGCGAAGTTGGCAAGGACAAGGCGTCGTGATCAAGTTCACCGCACAAGAGGAAGTCGGGGTGGAAATGTACGGCATGGATGCCCCCGTGGAATACACCAATGGCTACAGTGTCGACTTTTTGTGGAAAGGGACGAGTTATGAGCGCGCGCAACAGGCGTTGGAATCTTTCGCTGAAGATGAAACTTCGGTTTCGGGGTACATTTACCTCAAGCTCATGGGCAAAGACCCGGAAGATATGTTCTTATCCGGAGATTTTCCGAAGAAGTTAACCGCCCCGGGGCTGCCTGAGCTCAACCAAAGCCAACACGATGCGGTTAAAACGGTCCTCCAGCGACCACTGAGTCTAGTTCAAGGTCCACCGGGGACTGGGAAGACGGTGACGTCGGCGACGCTCGTGTACCATTTAGCCAAGCGCGGCAACGGTCAAGTCATCGTGTGCGCGCCATCAAACGTCGCAGTAGATCATTTGGCCGAGAAGATCGAAAAGACGGGCCTAAAAGTCGTTAGAATCAGTAGTAGAAGTAGAGAGCATTTGGTGTCTTCGGTTGAGCACCTGACGCTGCACTATCAAGTAGCCAACATTGGTGGGTCGACGCACAAAGCGTTTCAGAAGTTGCAGCAGCTGAAGAACGAGCTCGGCGAATTGAGCGCTGGAGACGAGAAGAAGTATCGCAACGCTCAAAAGAAACTTGAGCGCGAAATCCTCGAGAACGCGGATGTCATTTGCACCACAGCAGTCGGTGCCGGTGATCCGCGACTCGCAAACTTCCGCTTCCGCATGGTGCTCATCGATGAGTCGACGCAAGCCACCGAACCGGAGTGTTTGATCCCAATCGTCATGGGTGCGAAACAAGTCGTCATGGTTGGCGATCACAAACAGCTCGGCCCGGTTGTGACGTGCAAGCAAGCGTACGCCGCGGGTCTGGCGCAGTCGTTGTTTGAACGCCTCATTGCGCTCGGTATACAGCCCATCCGCTTACAGATTCAGTATCGTATGCATCCATGCCTGTCCGAGTTTCCGAGCAATACATTCTACGATGGAACGCTGCAAAACGGTGTGTCTGCGATCGAACGAACGCTTTCACACATCGACTTTCCTTGGCCCGTACCATCCAAACCGATGATGTTTTGGAGTCAAACCGGACAAGAAGAAATGAGCGCGAGCGGGACGTCATTCCTCAATCGCGCGGAGGCGTCGGCGGTCGAAAAGTGCGTCACGCATCTGCTGAACGCCGGGGTGAGTCCTGAACAGATCGGGGTGGTGACGCCGTACGAAGGACAGCGCGCGTACGTGGTACAACACATGACGCGTGTTGGTGTGCTGCATCCGCAACTGTACAAGGACATTCAAGTCGCAAGTGTCGACTCGTTCCAAGGAAAAGAAAAAGACTTCATTATTATGACCTGCGTGCGCTCGAATGAAAAGTCTGGAATTGGGTTCTTGAGCGATCCAAGACGTTTGAACGTCGCCATAACACGCGCGCGAAGTGGGCTTATCGTCATCGGCAATCCAAAGGTTTTGAACAAACAACACCTATTCCACGAGATGTTAACGCACTTCAGAGAGAACGGGTGCCTCGTTGAAGGGACGTTAGGCTCATTAAAGGAGTGCATGGTGGCCCTTCCTGCCGAACACCCGGACAAGGACCCTTGGAAGCGATTCGAATCGCGCCAAAATGGTGGTCGCGACCGTCGAGCCGCGGCGGAGCAGCGCGCACAGCACGAATTTCCAGACCTCGCCGCCGCCTACGGGCGCTTTGGAAACTATCGCGACATCGATTCCGAGTCCGAGGCTTCCTACGGGAGCGAGTACTCCTACCAACCGCCGAGCGAAATCGATCACGGTTCGTCCCGAAACGCGTACGAGTTTTAATGCAGTTCTGACGCCGACACATCGCGGCATGCCCCCGATCCCGCGATGTCTCCTCACGACCACCGACCCGAGCGCGCTGAACCAGGCCGACTTACCGCGCCCCTCTGTGTCGTCCGTGTCGTCCGAGTCGGAAACGGCGTCGGAATCGCCGTCGACGTCTCGCCGAGACGAAAAGTTGAGCGGGACGGTGCCGAACCTGTTTTGGCGCGCCGTCGCCATGGATGACCTTCGCGCGGCGCGAAACTTCGTAGGATTACCGGAAGAGTCGCAGGTGACGTTAGCAGGGGCGAAATCATTCGCGTACGTGCGTCAGGGCACGGAGGTCTGGGACGCGTTGCACGATGGCCGCCTGACGACGGGAGTCCTTAAAGCGGCGCTCGGCTTCGTTGAAGATGGTGTCGATAAACGCGCGCTAGGACTCGGCAAGCGGCACGGTGGACACAACGCGATATTGAGTGCATGCCGTCGATTGCAACGAGAAAAGTGGTGCGATGACGACGAAGTGGGGGACGTAGCAGACGCGAGACGTCGAAACGAAGCGGCGACGGCGGCGTTTAATCGACAGATAGACGGGGACGATGACGACGAGACTGAAGATGAATGTGACGATGTCGGACTATGCGATGATAGTGCCGGCGAACTGTTGAGCGGCGTTGGATCGAACGCGTCGGCGATGGATATCTTGGCGGCGTCTCTGGCGTCGGCAGCCAAGAAGAAGACATCGAAGAAAGGGAAGAAGAAGAAGAAACGTGGGAGCGGGAAGAAGAACAGAGTCGCGGGCGATAGCTCCATGCTCACGAACGCGCAGTACTCTCGAGCGCTCGCGCGAGGTGGAGAGCACGCCATACGCTTAGCGTGGGGATCAGCGCAGGAAGCGTCGACGCTTTGTTCCATGATGGTTCATTTCAAAGGATCCACTGTGTACGAAGCCGGGCTGTGCATGCTCGATGCTGCATCAGACGTTCCAAAAGCGTGGGGCGTTGGTCCACTCCCACCCGTCGGCGCCAGCCCGGACGGATTGATAACCATGGCGAGCGGTGAACGTTTTGTGGTCGAGGTGAAGAATTCATCGCCGTTTCGCCAAATGCCAGGTCGATACGTTGTCGCCGACCGCGAGCCGTATGCCAAACCACCCGCGTATCACATGCCTCAAGTTCAATTAGAGATGCTCTGCACGGGGACGCGCTCAGCGTTATTGGCGATGCAAAGTATGACGTACGGAATAAAAATATTTCGCGTCGAGCGAGACGACGACTTCATAGCGAGTATGCTCCGGAGAATTTCGCGTCTGTACACCACGTACGCGCGTAAGGGTAAAGACCCACCCATGAACTGGGAGGTTCGATCGATAGAACACAAGAAAATGGTGGGCGCTGCCGTTCGACTCGCTGGCGCAGCAACGGTGTACGATCACATTCCTACGTCTTTAGTTCCTAACGATGGATCGATTCATGTCGAAGAGAACGCCTTCGTCGCGTAAGGGCGGTATTGTTTTTTTTCCTAGCTTACAGTTAGAATTGCAGAGTGTAAAATTTGTTACGCGCGGCTATCTAGATTGTACAGACTCCATATTAATGAGTTCATTAAGCGATTGATTCGCTGCACGTCGGCAGTGTGTAACATTTGTCGTTTACGCATAAGCGACCTCCCCCTCGTCTGTCGATTTACGCTCGTCATCGTCCGTGTCAGCGTCCAAATACTTGGGGTTCGTCGATGCGAGCATGGTGACGATTGAAAGCGCGCTGAGAACAGCGAGCGTGACGAAAAGTGCGCCCCATCCGTACTTTTCAGCGATCACCGCGGTAAGCGCGCCTTGCAGCACGGCGCCGACTGATCCCATACCGTTCACCACACCCGCTGCGGTTCCGAGAACTTCTTGGCCGTAACCCGCTTGTTCGCAGCAGTCAGAGACTGCGGTCGAACCCAGCATAGCGTCGGGACCGGCGACTAAGAAACCGATGAGACCCATGACGATGGCGTTGGTGAGCATTCCCATGCTGCATGCCGTTTGGTAGCCCCCGATCGCAAAAGTGAGCAAGGCGCACGACAACGCGCCGAGCACCGTGCGCTTGCCTTCGAAATACTTGTCACCAATAATGCCGCACGCGAGTCCTCCCAGTACGCCGCCCAAATCGTATATGCACGACATGTAGCCAGCAATGGCGACGGACATCTTGTACTCTTGCGATAAATAAAATGGCAACCAGAAAAGCAAACAATAACGAACGATCTTCACGAAGAAGTAGGACAGCATGAGCATCTTTAACCTAGGGATGGCCAAAATTTCCATGAAGGAAACATTTTTGGACGCCGGCTCGATGTCCGCGCGCTTCTTCGTCGACGTCAAAGCTTCTTGCTTATACGTCGTCGTTTGCAACCACGGCGGATCGAGCTGCATCGCGGCGACGAGCGCCGCAGTACACAAAGCGAATGTCGCCGGCAAACTAATCGACAGTCTCCATCCAACCTTACCCAATAAAAATGCGGTGGCAACGGTAGCCAGCGTCGCGCCGACTTGTTGGCTCGTCGCCCAAATCCCCATCGCCGTTCCTCGCTCCTTCGAACTGAACCACGGATTGAGGAGCTTCACGTGTAACGGATACGATGCGGCTTGCGCGAGACCATTCAACGCCCACAGCCCCATGAGAATGTACGGCACCGAGATATATCCAAAAGCGAGACAACAGGCAAACGACACCACGCCGCCGACGACGATGACCGCCTTCGCGCCAATCTTATCCCCAATCGAAGGCATCACAAACTGCCCCAGCGCATACGTGAGCAAAAACGCACTGTCGATTAACCCCATCGTCCCCGTGGTGAGCCCGAGCGCTTCCTTGACCGGCGCCTTCACCACGCTCAACGGCTTGCGCACAAAGTACGCCGACGAGTACGAAATAAACATCCCAGCAAGCGTCAACCGCTGCAACCGCGTCACCTCCGAACGAGGAAACTCTTCCTCGATCACCGTTCCCGGTTTACATTCCTCTCCGGCGCTTTCCCACAGGCATTCATCGTCTTCGGGCGGGAAAGTATACGTGACCGCCTCCTCCAGCGCCGTCGCCGCAGTCGCCTCGGGTTCTCCCGCGTCCCTCACCACCTCGTCCGCCGCCGCGCGCGTCCCCGCGTCGCGTCGTCGACGCGCGCGTACGATTTCGTGCGTTCCGCGCGTCTGTGCCCTCGACGGCGTCCTTCGCGGCGCGTCCAGCGCGCCGCGAACGCTTCGAGCGCGCGGGATCGCGGCGACCCGTTTCTCCGCTCGACGCGCTCGCGACGCGCGCGCGGGCGCGGCGCGCGATCGATCGACCGCGCGCGGCGCGGACGCGAGCGCGAGCATCGCGCTCGGCGTCCGCGTGAGCGCGCGAGTGGTGGGCGCGCGCGCGAGCGTGTGCGGGAGGCGAGTGACGGCGATAACCTCGAACGACGCGCTTTTTGATCTTTACCTCTTCGCGTCTCGCGGCGCGAGGGCGGATTCGCGGATGATTACAACGCGTACAAGACGAAAAGATCGCGCGAGGGCGCGAAGAGAGGACTAACGCGCGTTGCGCGGTTTGGGGATGGCGACGCCGCTGCGAGTGCGAGGAAGCTCGGACTGAGGGACGACGCGCGACGCCGGCGGCGAACCGCCGGCGGCGAGATCGGGCGGCGAGCGGACGCCGAGATCGGGTGGAGGTGCGTGGACGTTTGAGCCGAACATGGACATGCCGGTGGCAAAATGCTGGGAGATTTCGTCGACGGCGTGCGCGGTCGGCGGCGGCGGATTGGATTGGCGCGCCGGGGCGTCGAAAAATAAGCCGCCGCCGCCGGAGGCGATGCTCGAGAAGACGCCGCCGCCGAGGCCGCCGTTCGAAAAGCCACCGTTGGCCGGAGGGGGTGCGCCAAACGAAGGTAGCGCCGTTGCCATCGGCATCTGTGGCTGCGGTGGTGGCATCTGCAGCTGCGAAGTCGGACCGAAACCGGGCGGTAGGCCGCGCTGTTGCTGCGGCTGTTGCTGCGGCTGCCCAAACAAACTCGCCACCGGGATCTGCGTCGTGCGACCTGGCTGCGGTGGCGGCTGTCCCTGTTGCATGTGCTGCTGGATTTTTGCTTGTTCCATGCGCAAAAGCTCTTGCTGCCGTCGCAGCAACAACATCTGCTGCTCGCTCGGTTGCGACTGGTCTCGCTGCGCCTCCGCTTGCACCTGTCGTTGACGCGTCAACATCGCCAAAATCTCCTCCGCCGACGCTCCTGGCGCGACTTGTCTGCCGAGCATATCCAACGTGTGTTCATTGAGCGACTTTGCTGGCTGTTGAAGCATCACAGGTGGGCCTTGAGGAGGTCGCGGTGCTCCCGGCAACCCCGGCGGCTGCGGCGCGCCGCCCATGCCGGGGAGCGTCGGTCTGAGACGCGCCAAGACTTCGGATGGTACGCTCTTATCACCGAGCAAGCACAGTAACGAGCGCATGAACTGTACGTTGTCCGTGGCGTGCAGCATCTTGGATATATCTGCACACGCCGCAGGAAAAGCGTTCAACACGTAATCTCTCGTGCGCATTTGAACCGCTCGAGCGACGTTGTCGCCGGCGGCAAACGGATCTTCCACACCGAGTGGATATTTGAACGCTTGCCAAGAGCTACCGACGATGAACGTACCATGATACGTGGACGCGTTCACCGCGTTCCGAAACAAATCTTTGATGGCGCACAAGTGCGCGAAGAAGCTCACAAAGAGTTCCGCGAGCGTCTCGGTGTTTTCCTTTCCGAAACCCGCGAACTTATCGGCGCGGTACTTTACCGCCGCGATGTCCCTCGATGCATCACTCACGACGCGAGCTTTACTAACTTTCCAAGTATCGAACTGGTCGTCCTCACTTTTCAAATGCTCCTCGAGTTCGCGCTTTTCCGATTCCACCAAATCGGGACGAGGAAGCGTGAGCAGCATCGTCGGCGGCAGAATTGGCACTGGTCGGCGCTGCAAATGATGCATACAAAGCAAACACAACGAGTACGAGTTGAACGATCCCTCCATGGCGTTGTTCACATCGTAATGCTTGGCCCAAAGCTTTATCAAGAACACCAAGTCGCGATAACGTTGATCGATATCCGCGACGACGCCGAGCACGGCGCTCTTGTACACCCCGTCGTTCTCGATGCACACATCGCACGCGACGCCCGTCTGCGGGTCTTTGAACTTGATCAAAGGCACCCGAGCCTTGGAGATGAGTTGGACGTCGCGGTAATTGCGATACCGCAACTCCGAGGCGACTTTGCGCAACAATTGCGCGCGTTTCGTTCGACCCTGGCGCTGTTGTCGACGCGCGCGCACCCCGCCCCGCTGCGATCGGCGCGCCTGCGCTTCTTCCTTTTCATCGTACCACGGTCCATTCTTGTCTATCTGCAGCGAAATATCTATATCGCTCCCCGCCGAGTGAAACGCGCTCACGTACGACCCAAACGGCGCCACCCGCACGCCCTCGAACCGCGTGCTGATCATCGTTTTAAACTTATTCATCAGCGCCTGTCGCTTCGCATCGTCCTGCGGCGTCGTCTTCAACGAATTCACTATCCTACGCAACTCCGAGTCTAACTTTTCCATCGCCTCTCGCGTCGGCGTCCCCGCGCTCGTCCCCGCGCTCGCCTCCTCGCGCGCCTCCTCGCCCCATCGCCCGTCCCCGTCCGTCGTCACGCGCGCGTCCGCCATCGCGATCCTCGCCCGCACGCGTCCCAGCACCGTCGCCGGCGACACCCACTCCCGCGGATCCCGCGCGTCGTCGTCCTCCTCCTCGCGCGCGTCCGCCTCCTCGTCCGAGCGCCCGTCGCTCGACGACCGCGCGTCCTCCTCGCGCGTCGACATCGCGCCGTCGCCGGCGCCCGCGCCGTCGACGGCCGTCCGTCGCCGCGCGCGTCGTGTGCGGCGCGTCGCGCCGCGCGCGCGCGGTCGCGCGACCGAATCGTCGATCGGGCGATTGTCGACGACGAGTCGGGACTCGAGCGCGACCCCCTCGCGCGCCGCCCTCGTATTCGCGCGCGAAAACGTCCGTGCTCGCGAAAACGTCCGTGCTCGCGAAAACGTCGATCGCGCGGACCCGCGCGATCGATCGATCGTCGATCGCGCGAAATCGAAAAACCTCGCGCGATCGATCGATCGTCGATCGCGCGATCGATCGCGCGACGTCGTCCGACGGCGTGACGTCGACGTCACGCGCGACGCGCGCGTCGGCACACACGCGCGCGAGTTTCGACGACGCACGATGCACGCCGCGAGCGCGCGAACGATCGCGACGACCGCGCCGCGGGCGAATAAAAATGTTTCCGAGCGCCGCGCGCGACGGGGGGCGCACGCGCGACGCGCGGCGGCGAGAGAGGTGCGCGAACGATGCGACGCGACGCGCGATGCGGGCGCGTGGGGTCGGGGGGGGACGCGACGCGCGATGCAGGCGCGCGCGAACGCGCGCGGGGGACGAAGGCGCGCGAATGCGATGGGGGACGTTTGCGCGACGCGAACGGCGGCGCGCGCGGCGGTGGATCGCGCGGGCGTCGTCGGGAAGGGGTGGATAAGCGAGATGACGATGGATGACGACGTGGCCCTGGACCGGGGCGACGACGCGCGGGCGGGCGGCGACGCTCGCGACGATTGGCGAACGCGGGTGACTGACGGTGATGATTGGGTTTGTGAACGCGTAGGATACGACGAACGATGTCGCTAAAGTGGCGGCGACGCTCGCGGCGGTGGCGGCGATGACGAACGGCGCGTTCGCCGGGGCGGCGCGCGCGGACGCGTTCAACGCGGCGCCGACGGAACAAGTGCAACAACAGCGCGGTGAGGCGGTGTCCGCGTTCGCGGATGCGTCCAAGGAAGCACCGGCGGTGAACGCCGATGGGTTGCCGGAAGGGAACAACTGGCGTTACAGCGAATTCATCAAGGCGGTGATGAGCGGCAAGGTTGAGCGCGTGCGCTTCTCCAAGGATGGCTCCGCGTTGCAGTTGACCGCGGTCAACGGTGCGCGCGCGACCGTCATCTTGCCCAACGATCCGGAACTCGTCGACATCCTGGCCAAGAATGGTGTCGACATCTCCGTCAGCGAAGGCGAGCAACAGGGCAACGCCGCCTCTTTGGTCGGCAACTTGTTGTTCCCGCTCGTGGCGTTCGGAGGTTTGTTCTTCTTGTTCCGCCGCGCGCAAGGTGGCGATGGCGGCATGGGTGGCATGGGTGGTATGGGCGGTGGACCCATGGACTTCGGTAAGTCCAAGTCCAAGTTCCAAGAAGTTCCGGAAACCGGTGTGACGTTCGCGGACGTCGCCGGCGTCGAAGGCGCCAAGTTGGAATTGCAAGAAGTCGTCGACTTTTTGAAGAACCCAGACAAGTACACCGCGCTCGGTGCCAAGATCCCGAAGGGTTGCCTTTTGGTCGGTCCGCCGGGTACCGGTAAGACCCTGATCGCCAAGGCGGTCGCCGGTGAAGCCGGTGTGCCGTTCTTCTCTTGCGCCGCGTCCGAGTTCGTCGAACTCTTCGTCGGCGTTGGCGCGTCTCGCGTTCGCGACTTGTTCGAAAAGGCCAAGGCCAAGGCTCCGTGCATCATCTTCATCGATGAAATCGACGCCGTCGGTCGCCAACGTGGCTCCGGTATGGGTGGTGGCAACGACGAGCGCGAACAGACCATCAACCAGCTTCTCACCGAGATGGATGGTTTCGAAGGCAACACGGGCGTCATCGTCCTTGCGGCGACGAACAGACCGGACGTGCTCGATAGCGCGCTCCTTCGCCCGGGACGTTTCGATCGTCAAGTTACCGTCGATCGTCCGGACGTCGCTGGTCGCATCCGCATCCTCAAGGTGCACGCCCGTGGCAAGACTTTGGCCAAGGACGTCGACTTCGACAAGATCGCTCGCCGTACGCCGGGTTTCACGGGTGCCGATTTGGAAAACCTCATGAACGAGTCCGCGATTCTCGCCGCGCGCCGTGAACTCACGGAAATCTCCAAGGAAGAAATCGCCGATGCTCTCGAGCGCATCATCGCCGGTGCCGCCAGAGAAGGTGCCGTCATGTCTGAGAAGAAGAAGAAGCTCGTGGCGTACCACGAAGCTGGCCACGCGCTCGTCGGGGCCCTCATGCCGGATTACGACGCCGTGACGAAGATTTCCATCGTCCCGCGCGGTAACGCCGGTGGTTTGACTTTCTTCGCCCCGAGCGAAGAGCGTCTCGAATCTGGCTTGTACTCTCGCACGTACCTTGAGAACCAAATGGCTGTCGCCATGGGTGGTCGCGTCGCCGAAGAACTCATCTTCGGCGCTGAAGACGTCACCACGGGCGCGTCCGGTGATTTCCAGCAAGTCACCCGCACCGCGCGTATGATGATCGAGCAAATGGGTTTCTCCAAGCGAATTGGTCAAATCGCCATCAAGTCTGGCGGCGGTAACTCTTTCCTTGGCAACGACATGGGTCGCGCCGCTGATTACTCCGCCGCCACCGCCGCCATCGTCGATGAAGAAGTCAAGATCTTGGTCACTGCGGCCTACCGCCGCGCCAAGGACTTGGTTCAATTGAACATGGACGTCTTGCACGCCGTCGCGGACGTGTTGATGGAGAAGGAGAACATCGACGGCGACGAATTCGAGCGCATCATGCTCGGCGCCAAGTCGGAGCTCTACCTCAAGGCGGACGAGCCTTCGGTCGCAGTGCCGTACCAAAACTGATTCGCGCGCCAAAAGCAACACATTCGAAACGATAGATGTATCTAATAGCAATTACAACTGACATGTAGTCGAACCATTCACCGTTGAACCGAACCGAACCGAACCGCGCTCGACGTTCGTCGTCGCGCGTCTCGTCTACTTCTTCCCCACGCGTCGCCCCGTCCCTCGGAACTTCCCTTTCCCGCGCGTCCGCCCGCGCCCGCCGAACGCCTCTCGCAGATCATCCCTCACCCTTCGCACGCATCTCGACGCGAACGCGAACGCGTCGACGCCGTATCGCGCTTTAAAGTGCTCGTTCGCCGTCTTCGCGAGCATCGCCATCAGACCAAACTTCACGACGGCGTCGCTCGACACCGCGGTGCGCCTCTTCGGGACGAGCGCCCCCGTCGCGCGGTCGAACGCGTCGCCGACGGCGCCCGCGCGACGGGGCGCGCGTCGAGGCATGACGCGGCGAAGTGCGGCACCGCACATGGCGACTCGCAAGGTGACCATCGCGACGCTCACGCGCGACGCGCGGTGCGAGACGCGCGACGACGGCGCGGTGACGTTCACGCTCGATCGGGCGCGATCGGGCGCGCGCGCGACGGCGCTGCGCGCGGTGTGGACGCAGGGCGAGGCGATGGAGGACGACGGGGCGCGCCTCATCGTGCGCGACGGTGACGCGCGCGTGCGCGTGCGACGACGCGCGACGGCGACGGCGGTGCGCGAGGGGACGTACGTGTGCGTGCGGGGCGAGCCGGCGCGCGCGAGCGACGGAGAGGTGGAACTGGCGAACGCGGTGGTGGCGGCGGCGGAGGACGCGGGACGACGCGAGGCGTGGAGCGACGAGTGCGCGGAGGCGTGGCGCGCGATCGAGCGGCTCGAGGGATGATCGCGTGTGTATCAAAACCATTCCAGCACATGCACCTGTTGGAGACAATGTCTAATAGACCGCCTCGGGAACGCGGACGTCTCGCAGGAAAAAGCCAGACTTTTGATTCGGCGCGTAGCGTAGCGTATCGCGTAAGAATGATGATGTACATGTAACAACAGATGTAAAACTAAGGTGAATGTTTCAAAAGAATCGATCGTTCGTGGCGTTGAACTCGATTCGCAGGCGCGGCCGACCGCGCGGTCCCGTTCGACGACTCGGTTCGCTTTGCGCTTCTCGAGAGACGGGCAAGGACAGCACGGGATATTGCGTGATGAATCGCACGACTTGGTGTAATGGGTGCGTAAGCGAGACGAGCGCGCTGAGCGGGCCGCTGCACAACCCCAGAAGCGCGCGTCCGACGCCCGCGATGGGCTCGGCGATTCGCGGCGCCATTTCGGGCTCCGCCGTCACCGCCGCGGACGCCATGAGATCGATCCCAATCTCGCTCAATCCCGCACCGAGGTACAAAAACACAAACAAACTGTGCGTCCACTCGCACGCGTGGCTAAAAGTCGCGAGCGAGCGGAAGAACCGATTCCCCTTTCTGATCTCTCGGTTGGCCCAAATCCGCGCCTCGTTCGCCGACACCACGGGCACCAACTGCCTCGGCCTCGTCAGCGTCTCCGCGTCGTCCCCCCCGAGCACCGTATTCAACACCGTTCGCAGCGCGAACTTCGCGTACTGCTCCACGCGATCGTGCGCGCACGGCGAGAACCACTGCGCCAGCCTCGCCGCCGCCGGCGCCTTGGCCAACGCGAACGTCTCCCCGCACACCCGACACGCGTTCTCCTCCACGCCGTGCGTGCGCAGCGACACGCGCTGCCACCGCCTGAGACAGTGCACGTGTACGAACGCCGCCGTTCCCGCGCACGCGCACGGGCTCACGAGATCGCCGCGCGGCTCGAAGCAAAATCGACAACTCGGCCGCGCGGCTTCGTCGCCGTCCTCGTCGCCGTCGTCCTCCTCGTCCTCCATCGCCGTCGTCGCCGCCGTCTTCGCGCTCGCGCGCGCGCTCGACGTTCGTCGACGTCCCTCCGCGCTCGCGAACCACCGTCTCGCGCGCGCGTCGTCGTCGCCGTCGTCGTCGTCGTCGCCGTCGCGAATTCTGTCGAGCGCGCGCTCGTCAACCTCGAGCGCGAGCGCGAGCGCGTCCCGCGCGCGCCGCGACGCCGCGGCGCGCTCGCGATCGGCGCGCGCCTTGACCGCGCACGCCGCGCACGCGACGAGCGCGAGCGGGAGCATGGCGCGCGCGAGTCGGTGCCGTCACACGTCGACGTGTGACGGCACGCGCGCGCGCGGCGCTCGCCGCGCGATGCGGCGACGACGGCGCTCGCGCGCGCGCGCGCGCGCGGTGGTCATCGCGTGCGTCGTCGCCGCGCTGTGCGCGGGGTGCGAGGTGCGCGCGCGACGCCGCGGGCGCGCGAAGGCGACGTCGCGAACATCGTTGACGCGACGACGAACGACTGACGACGACGACGCGACGACGGGGGCTCGCGACGCGCGCAGGGCGCGAGCGGGAATAAAAAACGACGGCAGCGCGCGCACCGCGCGAATTCGCTCGATCGAGAGCTGTCGGTGAAGCGGGAGGCGTGCGCGGCGAGCGCGCGCGCGGAGCGGCCCGAGTGCGACGACGGGGACGACGCGTCGGTGATGGAGAATTGCGTGTTGAGGTGCGCGAGCGCGAGTTGTTACGACGAAGTGTACGGACGCGATGCGCTGGAGGAGGGAGAGGTGGACACGGAGCGTGGACGGGCGTTTCGGTCGTGCGCGAGGGAGGAGTTGAGGCGGTTGCGCGGGTATCAGACGTTCGGGACGGAGTGACGCGACGACGGCCGTTTCGCGACGCGCGCGTTCGCGCCGTCGCGCGCGCGAACGCGCGCGTAGTCGTAGACGTAGTGTAGTGAAGTGAATTAAAATTAGACAGCGGCGCGTGAACAAATCTACTTTTCCTCAACCGCCGACGACTCGTCGCCGACGACGTCCGCCTCACCCGCGAACACCCCCTTCTGCGCGTACACCACCGCCATGAGCAGCACATCCGCCGAAAACACCCCCGCAAACGATTTCCACACGAACGGAATCAACACGTTCACCAACGGCATCGCCACAAACAACAAATTCAACGCGTCCTTTTCCTTGGCGTCGCAGTCCCGCGCCCGCAGGCTCGGCACCGTAAACATCCACAAGCTCCACATCCCCATCAACCGCGCGATCGACGGTTCATCCGACGGATATATCACATTAAACGCCAACAATCCACCGACGATGACGGCCAGATACGCCTGTACCTCGAACACCGTGTACAAAACGCTTCCCTTGTACGCCGGGTTCTTCTTCTTCTTCGCCTCCCCCGACGAGCTCGGCGCGAACGTCGTCGCCGTCTTCTTGACGAACTTGCTCAGATTGCGCTCGAGTTCGGCGTCGGTGATGCTCTTCGTTTTATCGTCGTCCGTGTCCGTCGTCGCGCGCGTCGTCGTCGTCGTCGCGCGTTCGACGCGCGCGAGGTGCGTCGTCGTCGTCGTCGTCATCGCGCGTCTGTTTCGCGCGCGCGCGCTCGCGGGCGCACCGCGCGCGACGCCGAGGCGCGCACCGATCGTCATCATCGCGCGCGACGTTCGCGCGCCGTTCGCGCGGCGTCGTGTGCGGCGCGGCGCGCGTCGATCGCGTCGGTGGATAACATTGGCGCCGCGCGCGAGTGTCAAATCTCTCGACGTCGCGACGACGCGCGGCACACGCGCGCGCGGCGACGCCGAGCGCGCGCGCCAACGGCGAGGATGGTGCGCGCGAACGATGCGCGTCGAACGGCGCGCGCGATGCGCGCTCGCGACGCGCGCGCGCGCGCGGCGGGAGATGATTGCGTCGAACGAACGAATGCGCGACGACGCGTTCGACGCGCTGACGACGACGCGATGAGGGACTGACGACGGCGCGAACGCGCGAACGCGCGCAGAGTTCGTTCGTGAAAGCGGGGTCGTACGACCCGACGCTCGTGGACGTGGAGCTGACGGCGGAGGAGGCGAAGACGCGGGCCAACCGCCGGGACGCGTTTCGGGAGCACCTGCGCGCGACGCTCGCGGAGAAGGAGCTCGTGGGGGCGTTCGCGAAGATGTATAGGATGAATGAGAAACCGAAGGATCCGTTACAGTGGTTGCTGGATTACTTTGAACGCGATCAGAGGGAGCATATACGACGCGCGGAGGAGACGGCGGAGACGTATCGCTCAGAGTTGCTGAGAGCGGAACAAGAGCGGGATTCGTTGATCGCGAAGATGGAAGTGATGCGGCAAAAGGTGAGCAATTTGGAGCGCACGGTGCAGGAGCTTCGCGACGGAGGGCGCAAGCACGTCGTGGGAGTGTACGGTGGGGAGGAGATGCCCACGGGGGCCGACGCACCCGCGCCCGCCGAAAAGGAGAACGACAAAAAGGAGAAGAAGGAGAAGAAAGAGAAGAAGGAGAAGAAGGAGAAGAAAGAGAAGAAAGAGAAGAAGGAAAAGGAGAGCGCGGCGAGGCCTCCATCCGATGATGAGTTTTTCGGCAACTCGAAGGAAACCTTCGGGTCGATGAAAATGAAGACGACTCCCGATATGTTCGACGACAGCGACAGCTCAAGCCTACCGAAACAACAATCTCTTCGCGATCAAGTGTAATCGTGTATGTATTCTCAAGCTAAACGATCCGTTCGTGTGCGTCGCCATCGCTCGGTCGTTTTTTGTGCGGGCGCACGAGTGCCGCCACGACGGGCGCGGGAAAAAGAAGGTAAGAGTGTGTATGGGCAAGCGGTACGCGAACGGCACCCGTTTGAACGGCACCGATGTGAAAATGTCTGTTCGCGAAATGTCTGTTCGCGGCGGGACGCGGCGAAGGGAAACTAATGTAAAACGACAAGAGGCTAGGTGTACAGTGAATCGGCGAAGACGATGCCGTGGCGCAGACTCTCCGCGCCTTGCTCGAACTTTTTCGCCAAGCCGTCGTCGCCGACGGCGACGCACGAGCGATGTAATTCCATCATGAGTTCGTCCAGGCGACGCATGGCGCGAATGATGGTGCCCTCGAATAGATCTGTCTTTTTGACGATTTCGGAAAACGGTTCGCCTTTGGCCCAGCAGTACACGATTTCGACCATGGTTGGCTTGAATGATTCGACGAAGTCGTCGACTTCGATGTCGATTTTACACTCTTTTTGTACGTTGCCAATTTCTCGAGCGGCGTCCTGAAGGGCTTTGAGCGGCTTCGCGAGCGCCTTTGCGGATTTATCCATGTTCGATGTGTTGCTTTTCTCTACGGGCATGAAGCACGACGCCAAGGCAACGAGCTCGTGAGGGCTTAGACCGGCGAATACGCCATTGAACATGAGCTCGGTGACTAGGAGTTCGTCAGCGGTGTCGATTTCGCACGCGGCGCGACCTTTCGTCAAAACGACGCCATCATTGTCGATGTGCCCGAGTTTCTTCAAAACTCGACTTCGCGCGCTCAAATCGTCGCGGAACTTTGTCAACTCGCTCGATTGAATCTGTGTCTCCAGTCTCGACGCTTCAGCGAGGAGCTCTGATTTCTGCTCGATGACGTCGATTTTTGCCGTCATTTCGCTGCGCTCGAGCGCATCCGCTTCGCTGTACAACGCGTGCGAGTGGAACTTGTCGCGTAACGCGCCAAGTGAACGGTATGTGCGCACAAATGCGACGTCATTAATCCCCATATCATCGACAGGATGTATTTGCGGAATCACCTGGCCTTTTTCGGTGAGTTTCTTCGTAACAGTTTCGACGGCAATCCAAACGCTTTCGCGCGCTTCTTTCGTGCGCAAATCACCTGGAAGCGTGAAGCGCATCGCGCTAATAGCATCAACGAGATGTGTGCCCACAGGTACGATTTCCGTTGTGTTCATCTTCAGATTCTTTGCGTCCGCAGGCGCAAGTCTACCCTCTGCCGCGCCTGGACCGCAACGAAGCAAACAGTCGAGCACGTGTACGTCGCCACCCTTCGCATCTTTAACTGTGGAAACTTGGATGACAACACCCCACCCCCAATTCGTGTCGCCATCTCTTATGCGAACTAGTCTACCCGAAGTGAAGAATCGCAAGCAGTTTGCCGGTTGGAGCATCGTGCGCAAGACCACTTTCTCGGCTTCGCGATAATCGCGTCTGAGTTTGATATACTCTTGAATCTCTTCGCTACCCACCGACTTTATCTTCGCCGCCTCCTGTTGTACTTCAGTGAGCCGAGCCTTTAATTCTGGTAACTGTTTGGCGTGCTGAAACTGATGAAACGAGCGAGCGATGACGTACTCTGCGTCAATCGTCCCCGTCGCGCGTTTTAAGAGGTTCAAAATACTGTAATAACTCAGCTTAAACTCTGAGTTCAACGGCTGCGGCTTCCCAAGAATCATCTCCTTCATCGCGTGTTCTTCCATGCGCTCATCGCACATGACGATGCAGATACCACGGTCGTCTTTACCACGTCGACCAGCTCGGCCGGACATTTGCGTATACTCTCCGGGCGCGAGAACGCGCATATCGGTGCCATCAAACTTTTTAACAGCGGTGAAAATGACGGTTCTCGCCGGCATATTCAGTCCCATGGCGAACGTCTCAGTTGCAAATAAGCACTTAATCAGCGACTCGCCGAACAGAATTTCTATGAGCTCCTTCAAAACCGGAAGTAAACCACTGTGATGAATGCCGATGCCCGCCTCGAGCAATGGCAAAATCGCTTGCACCGCCGTCAACTGACGGTCTTCTTCGGACAAATTCAGCAGTGCGGCGTTGTACACCTCACGAACCTGCTCAGCCTCCTCGGGAGTGTTGAAATTCAATTTTGACACGAATTTGGCGTACTCTTCGCACTCGCGTCGGCTAAAACTAAACACGATGACGGGGAAGAAGGTTTTCTCCTTCACCATACGCACGATGCGCAAAATATCGGCGTCCGCCATCGACCCGCCGCCGCGACCGCCACCGCCACCGCCACGACCGCCGCCGCCGCCGCGTGCGCGTCCACCGCCACGACCGCGACCGCGACCGCCGCCTCCTGAACCACCGCTCTTCTCAGCCCCATCCGCGATCGCCTGCTGCAACCTCGCAAAATTGTCCGAACGAAACTGACTCTGCTCGTTGACGACTAAATGTAAACCGCTCCCGCCCTTGGGAAACGCGTAATGCTGCAGCGGCGTCGGTCGATGATCCGTGTACACCACGTGACACGGATGATTATGTAAGCTCGTCACCCACTGCGCGAACTCGAGCGCATTCGGCAGCGTGGCGCTCAAAAACACCAACCGCGCGTCCTTCGGCGCAAAGATGATCGACTCTTCCCACACCACCCCGCGTTCTCTGTCCCGCATGTAATGCACCTCGTCGAACACGATCCACTTCACCTCGCGAATTACGTCCCCGCCTCGATATAACATCGACCGCAGCACCTCCGTCGTCATCACGATGCACGTACTATTCGGATTAATCGACGCGTCCCCCGTCATCAACCCGACGTCGCCGAATTCCTCGCTCAACTCCCGATACTTTTGATTACTCAGCGCCTTCAACGGCGACGTATATATCACCCGCTGTTTATCCCGAAACGCCATCGCGATCGCGTATTCCGCCACCACCGTCTTCCCCGCCGACGTGTGCGCGGCGACGAGCACGCTTTCGTTTCGTTCCAGCACCGCCGTCGCCGCGCGCTGAAACGCGTCCAGCTCGAACGGGTACTCCTTCGCCCTCGCGCCGTCGTACCGCGGGTCCCGCAGCGCTTTCACGTCGCCGACCCAGTCTCGCGGCACCGCGACTTCGTGCACGCAGCTCGTCCTCGCGCGCGCGCGCGCGTCGCCGTCGTCGTCGCCGCCGCCGTCCGCGATTCCATCCGCCGCCGCCTCCGTCGCCTTGCGTCGCTTCGCCGCGTCGCGCGCGCGCGCCGAGTGTTCGGACGCGCGCGCGTTCGCGCACTCGAGCTCGGCCGTCGCGGACATCGCGCGCGTCGCGCGCGCGCGTGCCGCGCGCGCGCGTCGACGAATGTCGCCGACACTCGCCGACGCGACGTTCGGCGTCGCGCGCGCGCGCGCGCGCCGCGGCGACGCCGACGCGCTCGCGGCGACGCGCGACCGTCGCGCGCGATGTCGGACGACGACGCGTCGTCGGACGGCGAGGTGTACGCGAACGGCGTCGCGTTCGCGCGCGCGGCGTCCTGGCTCGGCGCGGCGTCGACGCTCACGCACGACGCGTTCGCGGCGGTGGAGACGCGCGAGAGCGCGCGCGAGGCCGCGGCGCGCGCGCCGCGGTTAGGGCTGGGGGCGACGCGGTCGAGGGCGAAGGCGACGTGGGAGGAGACGGCGAATCAGGGGGCGACGGCGACGGCGCTGCGCAAGGCGTTGGCGCGAGGACGGCGAGAGGGCGACGGCGATGGGAAGCGCGAAAGGGATCGGGCCGCGCGCGAAGAGAGCGAAAGCGAGAGTGAGGACGATCGGTCGAGGGCGGTGGCGCGGGAGAAGAAACGGAAGGGTAAGATTGGCGTGTACGGCGGAGGGAAACGCGCGAAGTGACGGCGAGAACGAAGAACGCCGTGTAATGCTACTGTTGTGTAATGTGATTTGAATGGTCCTACTTCACACGTCGATTGGTTTGTGCACGACGTACTCGACGTCACCGGCGTCGTTGGCGACGGACTCGACTCCGACGCGCTCGAGCAACCGCTCGCTCGCCGGAACGCGAAGGGCGAGTAGACTCCACGCGAGCACCTCGCAGTCTGCCTCGGAGTACTCGTCCAAATATCGTTCGATGACGTCATCTAATATGTTCTTCACGCGCGCGTCGTCTTCGTCGAAGACGAAGTGCAGACGCGCCAGAGATTGAAGGATGGTTTTCGTCTCGAGCGCGGAAGCGATCGGCGCGACGTCGAGGTACGCGTACGCGGCCATGCGCGAGGTGTCTTCACCGATATCGTACTCCGCCGCCGCGAACGACCAAAGCATTAACGTGAGGTTTTGAGGCTTCTCCGCGTAACCCGAAACGTCGGCGCGAAACCTGTCTCGCGCGAGTTCCAAGAGCTTTGGATTCGTCACGCGAAGCGACGTGAGCGCGTGCATCGTCGGCGCCAACTCGAAAGGCGCGAACGCGTGCACAGACCGCTGAACCGCACCGCCCAGCGCGTCAAGAAACGTTGAATGAATGTATACGTTATCCTCGCTCGGTCGCATGGTGTTCAACGACCACGCAATCATTAGAAGAGCGCGTTGGTTGAGGGTGTCGATTTCTTTCGCCAGCGTCTTGCACGCCACGTCGTGGTAATCGCCATCGGCAAAACCGACGTGTTCGGCACCGAGCCTGGCGACGGCGTACATATTCATCGCGATATCGCGCGAAGCCACTTTTTCGCCACGATCGAGTTTTGCGCGAGTGACAAAGTGCAACTCATCCGTGTGCTTCGTCGACACCAAACCGCTCTTCAACGCGTCCATCTTCGCGTAGCTCCACAACAGCGCTGAAACAGCCGCAAAGGGCGTCGATTCGTCGACTTGCATGATGTGTGAGAATGATGCGATGACTCGCTCCGTTAAAATATCCGTCGCCTTCGCCGAGACAACGTCGTGCAAGATGAACGACACTTGCATCGGCGAAAATGCCACCGCGTTATGCGACGCCACGTTCACGAGCGAGGCGATGAAATCCATCGGCACGGGCTCGCCCGTGATTTTATGAATCGCGATCACGTGCTTCAGCGCCCGACACAGCGTCGCCGCCCCTCGCTTGTCCTTGGCCGAATCCCACTCGACGAAGACGCTCGCCGCCGCGGCGCTCGCGACGCGCGCAAACTCTCGAAGCGCCCGCATATCCTCCGAGTCCTCGCGCACGTCCCGCCGCCGCCAATAGTTCTCCACGCCCCAAATCGCGCTCGTCACGTCCCTCGCCGCCGTCGAAGCTTCCCGCTCGCGTTCGATCCGCGCCGCCGCCGCGCGCAGCAACGTAGTCGCCGGCGCGTCGAATCGCGCGCGAGCGGAATCGTGAAACGCCCGCGCCAACGCCCTCAAACTCATCGTCCCAGACGCGCTTTCGAACGCGTCGCGCAGCTTCGCCGCCAGCGCCTTCCCTCCTTCGCCTTCGAACGCGTCGCGAGCGTCCGCCGCGTCGACGCTTCGCAGCGCCGCGAGCGCCGCCGCCGCGCTCACCGCGCTCGTCTCCAACGCCGCGCGGTGCAGCGCGTCCACCGTGCGCGCGGTCGCGAACGCCTCGAGGCCTCCGTCGCGATCGATCGCGCGCGCGCGTCGTCGGCGTTCGCGCTTTCGCGCGAGGAGTTCGTCCAAGTTTAACGACTTTTCGTCGCCGTCTTCACGACCGAGCGACGCGCGCGCGACGTCCGCGCTCGAACCGACGGACGCGCGCGCGACGCCGACGCGCGGCGACGCCGCGACGCCGCGCGAGGCGGCGGCGCGACGGGCGATTCGAGCGAACATGACGAGGTGTGCGGCGGCGAGGCGACGAACGCGGCTTCGCGAGCGAAAACGTAATCACTTCTATCCCTTACAAAGCGTGGTCGATCAATCCGAAATCTATCGCTTCGTCCACGCCCATATACGTGTCGCGCGCCATCATCGCCTCCAACTCGTCCGCGTCGCGCCCGGTGTACTTGGCGATGAAACCGACTTGCGCCTTCGCGTTTCTGTTCAACTCCGTGGCTTGAATCTTCACCTCGATGGACGTCCCCGCCAACCCCCCGAGCGGTTGACTGAGCACGATTCTCGCGCTCGACATCCCATATCTCTTCCCCTTATCCCCCGCCGCGACGAGCATCACCGGCGGTCCCGCCACGCACCCGAGCGCGACGGTGCTCACCGGGCACGACACGTACTCCATCGTGTCCAAGATGGCCGTCACGCAATACTGCGTCCCCGCCACGCAGTTCACCCACACGCGAATCTCCCCCTCGGGATCCTCCGATTCGAGCTGCAACAATCGCGCGCACGTCTCCGCGGCGACTTGCTCGTCGATCCGCGTCCCCAGGAACACGATGCGGTCTCGCGCGAGCGCGCCGAAGACGTCCTCGCCGCCGCCGCGCCCGTCCGGCACCATCACCGGCACCGTCTCCGGCCCGCTCGTGATCGCGCCCGGTGGCGCGTGCGGTCGACGCGCGCGCGTCGTTCGCGTCGTTCGCATCCCTCGCGTCCCTCGCGTCGTCGTCGTCGTCGTCGTCGTCGTCGTCGTCGTCGTCGCGCGCATGATGGATGCGAAACCCTACGCCCGTTCGCCGCGTCTTCGCGCGTCTTCGCGCGTCTTCGTCACCGCGTTCGCGCGTCTTCGTCACCGCGGTCGCGCGTTCGCGTCGCGCGTCCTCGTCTCGCGCGCGCTCGACCGTCGCGCGCGCGCGTCGCGGTGTGCGCGCCGGACGCGCGCGCGCGGGGGTCGCGGCGAGACCGACGACACGAAGCGACAACACGGACCATCCGAGCGCCCGATGGTGTTGGCGCGCGCGCGACCGCGACGGCGCGCCGGACGCGCGCGCGCGACGGCGACGCGACCGCGGCATGGACGCGCCGCACGCGCCGCGCGAACGGCGACCGCGACGCGACCTCGCGTGGTCGGCGGCGTTCCTGACGACGATCGGACTCGCGCTCGCGCTCGGCATCGCGGCGACGGCGACGACGACGACGACGCGCGACGCGAGGGACGCGCGCGCGCGGTGGACGGACGTGCGCGACGGAGGCGCGTGCTTGGTCGGGGACGAAAGCGCGTGGCGCGAGACGCTGGCGACGAACGCGGCGAGGATCGAGACGACGACGGGACGCGCGGCGAGCGCGCTGGGCCTGGGCGCGGCGAAAGGGCTGGGACGACGGTCGTCGGTGTTCTTGGGACGGCTGGGCGCGAACGAGAGCGCGGTGGAGGGAGATGACGACGGCGAGACGCTCGCGGACGGCGCGGCGGTGATGCGAAGGTTCGCGCCGTGGGCGGCGAGCGCGTTCGCGGCGTCGTTCGCGCTCGGCGCGGGGCTGATGTACGCGCTGAAGAATCACGCGCGCAGGGTGGTTTGGGGGGTGATGATCGCCGAGGTGGGGTTGATGGCGGCGTACACGCTGTACGCGATGATGACGCTCGATGGGAATTGGGTGCTGTTGTTGGTTTTCACGCTGCTCTCGGCGCTCGTGGCGTACACGTGGAGGGACGAGTTGAACTTGGTGGCGTCGATGATTTCTGTGTCGACGATTAGCTTGTCGGATAACCCGCACCTGGTGACGGTGACGATCGGTTTGCAGTGTCTCGTGATGGCGTTCGTGGCGCCGATGGCGTGGTTCGCCGTCCAGGCGTCGCAGCACGGCTCGGCGATTATCAACCAATACGCCACCGAATTCAGTAACGACGCGTGCACTGGGTATTACGGTCAATCCGTCGATTGTTGCAAGTGGAACATCGACAGTTGGGTGGGGCCTTATTACGCGCTCGTCGTCATAGCGTGCGTGTGGTTCACGTCGTGCGCGCTCGAAGCGCGCATGTACGTCATCGGAGGCGTCGTCTCGCAGTGGTACTTTGCCCCGGCCGGGACAAAGAGTTTCAAGGGCACGACGAGAACGTCCGTGAGTAACGCGTACGGACCGTCGTTTGGGACGATTGCGTACGGCGGCTTCGTGATCACCGTCGTCGAAATAATTCGAAGCATGGCGAACAAGTCTCGCCGGGAACGCAACAATTACGGCAACCCGCTTTGTTGCCTCTTTTACGCGATGCTGGACTGCATCTTTGCCGTTATCGAGTACCTCAGTCGATTTGCCATGATTCAGGCTTCGATCACCGGCGAAGCGTTTTGCGATGCCGCGAGGAGCATCAACGATCTCCTCAAAAGAAACTTTCTCTTGGCGTACGGCGCGTACGCCTTTCCGAAACATATTTTGGGCTTCCTCGTCTTCGTCTTGGCCGCCCTTCTCGGCTACTGCGTCAACATTTTGAGCAAGCACGTCTTCGCCGCGAACTCCCTCGGCGCGATCGTCAACGGAATCGGCTCCTTCTTCATCGCTTACATCGTCCTCAGCTTCTTCGTCATGATTTTGCTCAACTGCGTCGACGCCGTCTTCGTCTGTTACGCCTTGGACAAGGATCGCGCCGCGGTGCACCATCCAGACTTGCACAAAGTCTTCGACGAGGTCACGCGCAAGCAGCGCGCGATCGAAGAGTCCGATGCGGAGGGTATGGAAGAGCCATTGATCTCGGGCAAGCCCAAGTACGCGTCCATGTAGAGCGCCCGCCGCGTGTAAAACAACTCAGTAACAGTGTGGAATCAGTTCCACGCCTCTCTCCCCGCCGCACTTCCCGTCGCGCGTCCCGGCATGTGGCGCCGGCGCGCGGGCACCGCCCTGAAGGCCACGCTCGCGGCGTACACCGCCGCCGAGCTCACCGCCTTCGTCGGGCACCAGCGACGCATCGCGAGCGTCGAAAACGCCCCCACGCGCAAGCTCGACCCAAACTTTGACGTCAAGGCGCACGCCGCGTGGTTCGCCCGCGAGCTGCGACGGGAGCCGAACCCGCGGCGATTGTTCGAAGAAGTCTTCAACGATCGCGCGATCGAGACGATACCGCGGAACCGCGCGCACGCGATGCTGTGCTTTTACCTGAGCGCGAAGGAGGCGAACGAGTTCGCGAGCGGGACGTACCCGAGCGTCATCACGCGACGCGCGGATTCGTTGCTGCGAGAGCTCGAACGCGCGCATGGATTGAAATTTGCGCGCGATTGCCCGGTGTGGCCGGCGAAACTCGGGGATGAGCGATTGGCGGATGTGGTGGAGGACGAGCGGAAGGCGGCGGAGAGCACGGTGGCGGCGGGCGCCAAGGCGGTGGGGGATTGGAATCACGGCGTGTGGCGGTGGGTGATGCGATCTTTCGGGTACAGAGAATCGAGAATATCGAGTCCGGTTGAGGGCACGCCGGATTTCATACGGACAAATACGCATAACATTACGGCGTGGTACAAGCCTTTGGCGTTGCGGTTTATGATTTGGCGGTACAGAGAGCGAAGCGAGAGGACGCTCAGGGCGAATGGGTTTAAGATGTACAGGGACGTAGACACCGACGTGAAACTGTGGGTGCGCATTCCTGAGGAGTGCTCGACGGATACGGTGCTTTACTTTCTACACGGCTTTGGCATGGGCGTGCCGCCTTACACGTCGTTCATAGAAAAGTTACCAAAGGACAGAATAGTGGTTTGTCCCGAGTGGCCGAACATTTCGTACGGACTGGATCGGTCGCACGAGTACCCAACGCCGCGAGAACTATCGAATGTGCTCGCGCGCACCGTTGAGCGCGTGCAAGACGAGAAGTTGCTGCTGTATCCGCAAATCGAAGAAGTCGACGACGCGCGTTGGTATCGCGAACGCTTTGGCGGTTGGTTTCGTAAGAAGCCATCAAAGCGCGAGATCACGAAGTGCGACGTCATCGCACACTCATACGGCACAGTAGTGCTCACTGGTTTCAAGCGGCACTTCCCCGAAATGTTGCGACGTTGTGTGTACATCGATCCGGTGTGCTTTCTGCCGGCATTTGGGAGCTATCTCAAGTACGCGTACGACGACCATTTGCTTGAGTGGCAAAACCTCATGCATTACGTGTCCAATAAACTCGCCAATCCAGACGAGCCTATGGATCTTTTTAACATCCTTTTGAGTTCGTGGTTTGTCAAGGGCGATGTTGGCACGCAGCAGTTGATGAAGCGCTTGTTGTTCCCGCACGAGGCTTGGGAACGCGGACCGATGACGAGCGAAGATATGATCGTGCTCTCGGGTTTGGATGAAATAGTCGCGTCGAAAGAAGTGTCCACGCGTTTACGTATCGCTTGGCCTAGCGTGCGTATGATTTACGAGAAACAGTGGCAGCACGGCGGGTTTTTACTAGAGCCTGACCCCCACGACGTAGTTCCTCGCATTATTCGTTTTGTGAGCAAAGTTTAGATATTAGACACCGTTTAGAACAATAGAGATTCTTTGAATAGGAAACAAATGGTCTAGGTTAAAACGCCCATTCTCTTCAAGAATGGGTCCAGTGACGCGCCTCTTCCGAGGAAATTTTGCAACATGCTGTCGCCGTCCACCGTAGCGCACGGGGACAAAATCGTCTCTCTGTATTTGCGGCCGAGCGCCGGATCACACACGTTCGGTTTCTTCGCCTCGAATTCACTGAATAAATCCGCAGCGAACGCTTCACTCCACAAGTATCCGTAGTAACCAGCGGCATATCCCATCATCGGGTGATACCAACTCGCCGCAGGGAACGCCCCCTCGACGCTCGGAATTTTGCTCAACGACTCGGTTATGACGTTGTAGAAGTCAATTGTGTCGTGTTTTTCACCTTCGAACTCGTACGGGCCCGGGCCACCGTGCACCGCTAAGTCAAAGAGCGCCATCGAGATAAAACGCGAGCGAGCGTAGCCTTCGAGCGCTCCGCGGCTCGCGCTCAACGCGTCGATGTCATCTTCGGGTAAACTGTCTCCCGTTTCGTAGTGCTTCGACAAACGCCGAAGGACCTCGGGTTGCCAGACAAAGTTTTCGAGCATCATCGACGGCACTTCCAGGAAATCCTGCTCTACGCCCCCCGGCCATGGCACCGCGCTCCATGCCCACGCGTGCACGCTGTATTTGCTCTTGCTCAATACGCAGTGCATGACGTGACCGAATTCGTGAAAGAACGTCTCAACTTCGCGAAAGCGCAACAGCGCGGGTTTGCCATCCGCCCCCGGCTTGCTCAGATTACCTATGTTCACGCATGCGGCGGTAACAACATCATCGCCGTCTTCGAAAGCGGGGCGCAATGGATACACACACTGATGCGCGTATTTCCCAGGCCGAGGGAACAAATCGAGATAAAAGAATCCCAACACCTGTTGTTCACCCCCCGCCTCGCGAACCGAATAGCACTCCACCTCCTCGTGCCACACCTCGGCGTCGACGCGCGCGAACGTTAGGCCGAGCAAGTTTTGATACGTGCTCAAAATTTCGTGTTTCACGTGCTCGAGAGGAAAATACTCGCGAATCTTCGCCTCGTTGACGCCGAGCGTCGCCTTATACTTGGTCGAGTAGTACGACACGTCCCAGCTCTGCAGCGGGCCGGCGTTCGGGCCTTCTTCCTCGTCCTTCAGCTTTTGTAAGTCCGTAAGATCTTCGTGAAGCTTGCCTTGCGCTTTATCGAGCAAGTCTCTCAAGAAAGCTTCCGCACGCGCCGGTGTGCTCGCCATCTTTGGCTTCAACATGTACTCGGCGTGCGACGCGTACCCGAGCATTTGCGCGCATTCGTTTCGCAACTCGATGACGCGAAGGAATCGATCGGTGTTCACGTCTTGGCACTGCTTTGCCTTGGCTTCCGCCATGCGTTTACGCGTCGAAGCTCGCCTCGCAAACTGCAGCACGGGCATGATGTCCGGTGCGATGAGACCAACGCGACGCGTGCCCTCCATATCGCCCTGCGCGTAGGCGCTTACGTCGACACCGTCCAATTCGGCCTCGGCAAAATCTACGCATGTCGCGTCCTCATTCAACGCAGCGCAAAAGCTCGAGCATAGCGCCTCGATTTCTCCGAGCTTACTCATGAGCACCTCTTGTTTCTCGGCGCTCAACGCCGCACCGTTCCTCTCAAACTCTCGCATCAAATACTCGCTCGCGCGTCTCGCCTCGCTCGTCGGCGCCGCGTCCGCGCCGACCGCTTTCATCGCCTCGTACACCTCCCTTCGCGCGAATGTCCCGTCAAACATCGCTTTCAACTTATCCTTCGCCTTCGTGCTCGCCTCTCGCACGTCGCGTTCGCGATGCGTCATCGCCGGAAGCGTCGCCGCGGCGCTCGCCTCGCTCGCGCGTCCAAGCGCGCGCAGCGTCGTTGAAAACGTCGATTCCCACGTCGTCCCGCGCGCGGCGTCGCGCAGCGCGCGCTCGTACTCGGAGACGATCGTCGTTACCAACGCATCGACGCCATCGGCGGTGATATCAGAGGTGAAGCGCGGCGTCGAGGGCGGTGCGGGCGCGACGGTGACTGGCGAAGCCTGGACGCGCATTCGTCTCGCGCGCGGCGGCGGTGCGCGCGCGCCGGGCGCGACGACGCGCGGAGTCGACGCGTGACCAACGACGCGTCTCGCACCGTTCTCGACGAGCGTTTTGGCGAGCGCGCTCGCGCGCATGTCACGGAGTGGCGCGGCGAGTCGGGACGGGACGCGCTACGCGGCGACGCGGCGACGCGCTCGCGGACGGCTTGAGTCGCTAGAGAATCTACTGATATTGACGATGACTAAATGGTTGAGCACTCGACGCGCGCGCGCCGAACGAGGGAAATCTAGAGGTATCGCACCAACGACGTGAAGAAGTGCTTGTCCGTGCACGCGCGATGCCACACGAAGGACGTCTTCGCCTTGAAACCGCCCTCGGTGGGGATATTTTGCACCCAATCCTCCACGTCTGATTCGGATTTCGTGGGCGATCCCGTGCGCGCGGCGGATTCGGCTGACTCTAACATCGCAGCCTTGCGCTTCGCGTGGGCGTCCGTCTCCATGTCGTCGCGGCTGTCTTCGTAGTCGTCGTCCGAATCGCGCATTAATCCTAAAGCCTCTTTCCTCATGTCCGTGCGCTCGCGACGGCGCGTCATGTCGTTGAATAGGTTCACGCAGAAGATAGCCATCTCCAATCCGTGCCCGATGAGCGGAGGCCCCCACGTGGACCAAGACTCGTGCATCACCGCCTTTTGAATCGTCGCCCCGAGCCCGCCCGCGACGGACAGCGCTAATCGCATGTAACTCATCGCCCCCGAACCTTTGGAGTGTACGGACTCCCACAACTGCGGCACGTATCGCGTGGTTTCTAAAACTGCGTTCGTCAACCCTAAGAAAATCGCATAACGTTCAAACTCAAAACACGTCGATCCGAACAACATCCTCGCGACGGGCGCCGCGAGCAACGCGCACGGCACCGCCCACAACGCTAACCCGTACCACGCCGCCTTACGCTTAGACATGACGTACCCAAAGTATTCCGTCTTGCGATCGCTCGTGAAGTGCGCCGCGAGCGGGTAGAGCGGTATCCACAGCAACGTGTAAATCAACGTGTAATACAGCGTCAACAGCGACGCCTGACACCGCTCGTACTCGTACCCCGCCGCTCCCGCGACGCACCGTCGGATCTGCTCGTAATGCAGAATGAACACATTCATCGTCGCGCACACGTTCGACACGTTCATCAGCGCCAACGAGCTCAGCGACAGCCCCTCCGAAGTCCCCAACACCACCACCTTCAGGTACTGCGGCACCGCCCCGAGCACGCACCCGCTGATGAAGACGAACATCACCGCCGTCGCCGCGTCGCTCGAGCGATACGCGTCGACGAAGCACGACGTGTCCGTCACCGGCCGGAAATCGACGCCGTCGGTGATGATTTTCGCGTGTTCGTTCAAGTCATCGAGCGACGACGTCCCGCGCGTCTTCGCCGCGCCGAGTCGCCGCAGCGTCGCCGCGCCGGCGTCCGCGACGCCGCTCGCGGACGTCGACGCGCTCGAGGCCGTGCGTCCGAGCGCGGCGACGCGTCCGAGCGTCGCCTCGACGACCGACGCGAGCACCATGCGCGCCGTTCTGGCGCCGTGGGTGTTGCGGGGCGGTCGCAGACGCCGACGCGCGGCGACGCGCGGCGACGCGCGCGCGCTCGAGCGCGCGAATCGCGCGAATCGCGCGCGGGCGTTCGAGCGCGCATGCGCGGACTCGCGCGCGCGCTCGCGCTCGCGGACGCGCGCGCGTGGACGCGCGGACGCGCGCGCGCGGGACGGATGGCGTCGAGCGCGCGCGACGGCGACGGCGATGGCGACGCGAAGCGGTCGATGCGCCGCGCGGCGCGGGACGCGCTGAGACTGATGACGACGGAGGCGATGCGCGCCGCGGACGCGGCGATCGCGGGACGGTTGAGGGAGATGAAGGCGTCGGCGAACGCGCGGCGCGTCGGCGCGTACTTGGCGAGCGAACGCCTGCGAGAGTGCTCGATGGCGACGTACATCGACGACGCCGCGGTGCGAGGGGCGACGGACGACGTCATGGTTTTCGTGCCGATCGTTGACGACGCCGGGTCGTCGTCGATGCGCATGCTTCACGTGCGAGACGTCGAGGCGGACGCGACTCGCGGCGCGTACGATTTGGCCGAGCCGCGCGAGACGTACGCGGACGGGTCGCGGCGCTTAGACGCGGTGAGGGACATCGCGAAGGTTGGCGCGTTGGACGTCGTCGTCGTTCCTGGCGTGGCGTTCGGCGAGGATGGGCGCAGACTCGGTCGCGGAGGCGGGTATTACGACGCGTTTTTGACGCGGTACGCCGACGAGGCGGCGCGCGTCGGCGCGACGCCGCCACTCGTCGTCGCCCTCGCGTACGGGTGTCAAGTCTACCCCCCAGGTGCCGTTCCCGTGGACGCGCACGATAAGTTAGTCGATATCATCGTCACCGAAACCCGCACGATCGCGTGCACCGACCGAGGCGTCGCCGCGGCGTCGTAACCGCCGCACTGCGGGACGCGCCGTGGCGACGGCTCGCGCGTCATGTCCGACACCGTGAGCGATTTTTGGCGCCAAAAATACGAAACAGACGCGCGAAAAAACTGGGACGTCTTTTACAAGACGCACGCGACGAATTTCTTCAAGGATCGGCACTGGTTGGCGCGCGAATGGCCGGACGTGTTCGCCAAACCTCCCGAGGAAACCGCGCTCGAGGACGTCGACGAGGACATGGGCGCGCGCGTGGACCGCGCGCGAGGTCCCGCGCCGTCGTACGCGCCTCGTGAAGACGCGCCGCGCGCGTTTCTAGAGCTCGGGTGCGGGGTCGGGAACACGGTGTTTCCGCTGCTCGAGCTCGACGCCGAAGCGACGGTGTACTGCTGCGATTTTAGTAAGCGCGCGATAGATATGGTGCTCGAACGCGCGGCGACGCTGCCGCCACGCGATCGCGATCGCGTCAAGGCGTTCGTGTGCGACGCGACGTGTGAGAGCTTGTTGGAGAACGTACCCGCCGGATGCGTCGACGTCGCCACGATGGTGTTCGCGCTGAGCGCGATGTCGCGAGAGAAGATGAAGTACTGCGTACGAAATCTATCGACCGTCATGCGAGACGGTCAACGAGGCGCAATATGCGTTCGTGACTACGCCGCGGGGGATTTAGCGCAGGAAAGGTTCGAAGGGAAGGTGGCGGCGAATCAAAAGTTGTCGGAAAACTTTTATGTGCGACACGACGGCACGCGCGCGTACTACTTCACAATAGAAGATTTGGTGGCTTTATTCGCCGAGGAGGGAATGGAGATGCGCGAGGTGTTCATTCATCAGCGCACGATCACCAATAGAGCGGATTCTTTGGACATGAATAGACGATGGATCCAAGCGAATTTCGCCAGCGCAAAAATCTGTCCAATGACGTTTGCGCCTCCCGAGCGTCTCAAACCGACGACGCCGTGGGGAAAGTGAACATCTGCGCATGGATGTGGTGGTGGTTGTTGAAAGTAGTACGCGTGGAACGCGTGGGGTGTTAGTGCGTTGGAACCTCTTCGGCGCGTCTTCGCGAAACCGTCTGGAAACGACACGAATGGACGAAGAACGATGCGCGCGCGTAAGCAATACGATGGTATTATTAATGTGCAACGATCGAGGCGATACGACGAGATCAATCAGCCTTCAAGAATCCCTTGGCGTCCAAATACTCGATGATTTTGTGCGCCATGTCTCGCGGCGGCGCCAAGACGCCGTCCTCCTTGGCGACTTCCATTTCAATCTCCGCGTTCACCGGTTCTTCGTACGGATCGTCGATGCCGGTGAATCCCTTAATCTTACCCGCCCGAGCAGCCTTGTAAAGCCCCTTCGGGTCGCGTTCCTCGCACACGCTCAACGGAATCTTCATGTACACCTCGACGAAGCGGTCGCCGACGCGTTCCCGCACCGCCAACCGATCCTTCTTATACGGCGAAATGAAGCTCACGAGCGTGATCATCCCGCTATCCGCGTACAGTTTCGAAACCTCACCGATCCTGCGAATGTTCTCCTCTCGATCGGCCGCGGTGAACCCCAAATTCGAGTTCAACCCGTGTCGAATGTTGTCGCCGTCGAGCACCTGCGCGATCTTCCCTCGCTTGAACAGTTCGTGCTCGAGCGTGTACGCCACCGTGGACTTCCCCGATCCCGACAGGCCGGTGAACCAAAGCACGCACCCTCGCTGCCCGAGCGCCCTCTCGCGCGTCTCGCGATCGACCGCGCCCTCGTGCCACTTGATGTTCGTCGACTCGCCCACCTTGTACGCGTCGACCGCGCGCGCGCGCGCGTGCGTCATCGTCGCCGGCGTCGCGAGCGCGCGCGCGTCGACCGCGCGCCGCGCGAGTTCCCTCGCTCCGCGGCGAAGCATGCGTCGCGCGTCGTGCGCGCGCGCGCGTGTGCGCGCGCGCGCGGGTCGACCGCGAAACCCTCGCGCGCGGGTCGATCGACGCGCGATCGATCGCGCGTCGATCGCGATCGACCCTCGCGCGAGTTTCGATCGCCGAAATTCGAACCTCGCCCGCGCGGGTCGAAAAAGCGCGGGAGAGGGGAACCGTCGCTGAGTCAGTGCCTTTTCACGAAGTCGCATGCGATTGCGCGCATCGCGACGCGCGACGCGACACACGGCGACGCGCGCGCTCGTAAACGACGCGCACCGACGCGAAATGACGTACTTTGAAGCGCTCGGCGAAGCGCTGCGCGATTTGCTCGAACCCGCGGCGGTGGGGGCGACGAAGGTGACGACGAAGGGACCGAAGAATTCGGCGCTCGCGGACGCGGACGTGACCGTGGACGTGAACGGCGCGGCGAGAGCGATCGCGGTGGACGCGAAGCAAACGTTTGAACTGCCGATCGATGGGGTGAAGTTGGTGGCGAAGGCGAATCATCACGGGGATCTGAGCGCGGACGTGGTGGCGAGCGGATTGGCGCTGAGCGGACTCGACGTGGCGGTGGAGGGATTGGCGCGCGATACCGCGAACGCGACGATCGGGGCGAAGCTCGCGATCGATTCCGTCGGGATCACGGCTGATTCGGCGTTGGCGGGCGGTGATATCGTCGCGAGCGCGTGCTACGCGTTCGATGATAACACCGCGCTCGGGGCCAAGGCGACGGTGTCGCCCTCGAGCGGGGGTCTGGCCGACTGGACGCTCGCGGCCCAGCGACGAGATGGACCGACGACTTTGAGCGCGGCGTTGAGTGATGGTGGGAATACCGTCGCTTTGGGCGTCACGAGCGAGCTCGACGCGAAGACGACCGCGGGTTTGGAAGCCAAGCTCGCGATGGGCGGAGAACGCAATTCGTTGAGCTACGCGCTCGGCGTGAGCAAGACGCTCCAATCCGGCGACACCATGCGTGTCGTGCACTCGAATCACGGTGACACGGACGTGACATACACCACGACGCTCTGCGAAGGCGCCATCGCCACGGGGTGCTTGCGTATGGCGTCCAAGGGGCATCACTACAAGACTGGCTTCTCCGTCGCGATGGGGCAATAATCCCCCGCCGTTCGTCGTCGCACCAGACTCATCGAACAAATTTTGTTTTACAAAACCAACGTGTACGTTGACCGACATGAATAAATATGTCCTACCGGTCTCTTTTCTACAGATCTACTCGTATACCCACGCCAAAGTAGGTGGCGAATAATACAATCTTGTCAATAACATGCGTATTCGTATTCAAACTTTTTGCGGTCTCTCTTCACTTTTGCAGCGGATTATACGCCATGGCGCTTCGGGATACATTCCGCGTGAGCGTCTGCACGTCTCTCGAGTGCTCCAGCTCGTGCGCCTTTTCCATGATGCTCTCCATCGTGGCGTCGGCGTCGGGGAACGATGTGGAAAATCCGAGCATGGAGACGCGATGTTGCTCGTCGGAATTTCTCGGCGAATCCGAGCCAGCTTGAAGCGAGAGTTGCTTGAGACTCGCGAAAGTATCACTGTCGCCTCGCGCCGATTTATCACGCACCATTGTACTGAATCGATTTATGACTTCGAACACGTTTCGCACGCTTTGCCGTCGCGCGCTCTTTTGATTCGACTCGTCAGGCGCCGAAGTCGACAAGACGTCCTTCTCTGCGGCTTCAACTTCGACCAGCGCTGCGTCGACGACTTTTGCGGCTTCGAGATGCCGCTCCTCGGCGATCGCGTAGTCTTTGTTCAGCTGTGCGATTTCGTCGTCGAGTGAGCTCGCCCAAGTGTGAGCCTCGTCGGACATGTTCTTCGTGGCGTTGTATTGCTCTTCGTACACCTTGACCGCAGCGTGCGCCATCTTGCACGCAATCGTCGCTCGTTGCGCCTCCATATAGCACACGCGCTCGTCGTCCGCGGCAGCATAATACTCCTCTATGCCGTTTTTGATTTCCTCATCGACGTCATCCAGCAAAGTACGCGTCGACGCCTCGAGCGCGCGCATCTCAGCCATGCACTGACTCGTGGCGTCATTTAACGAGGCTTCGGCGCGATCGCGTGCGGTGAGCGCGGCGGCGGCCTCGATGTCGAACACTTTATCGATCTTCTTCGGTGACTTCCGCCCCACCGCGTCGATAGCGTTCATGAGCGCCTCTTCGAGCCTTGACGTCATCTCGTCGTACGCGGTGAACATAGTCTTCGTGACGTTGGACGCCCGCAGGGCAAACTCCTTCTGCCTAAACTCCAACAAATCAACGCTCGAGTCCATGGACGTTCGCACGGCTTGACGAAACGTCGTTAAAATACCCTTTTTGCGGTCGCGCGCGTTCTGCAACGCCGTCCGCGCGGCGTGGATTCGCGCCGAAGCCTCCGCCATGTTCACGTCGGCGGCGAGACGCTTGTCTTCCAACACTCGCGTGTTCTCAAACTCGCGATCGCGCGTCTCTTCGGCGGCTATAAACGTAGCCCGAGCGCGCGTCGCAGACGCCAGTCGTCTACCCTTCTTTTCTTTAATCTTCGTCAAGTGTTCACCGATATCCGAATGCGCCCGCTTCGTCGACTTGAGCTCCCAGAGCGCCACCGTGTGCGCGAGCTTCTTCACCACGAGCGTCGCTTTGTGCGCCGCAGCGCGCGCATCGCCTTCTCTAGCTCGCGCGACGGTCACCATTACATCCCATGGCATCAATGTCGCCGTCTTCACGCGTGGCGGCGTCGATACAACCGCACCGTCGTCCTCGCCGCCGTCTCCGCCGCTCGACCCCGCGCGCGGCTCGTCGTGTTCGCCTTCGCTCTTCGCGCGCGCCTCCGCTTCCGCCTCTCGCGTCGCCGCTTCCGCCTCGATCACGAGCTCACGCAGCCGCTCTTCCTCCACGCGCGCCGCCGCGAGTCTGCTCTCCATCACGCGCGCCGCGGCCAACCGCGTATCGACGCCAATCGACAGAAACCAGTGCGCCTCCTCCTCGTGCTCCACCACCGGCACCGAGCTCGTGAAGCTTCCCCGTCGTTCGTGCGTCGGCATCCCGTAAATCGTCCCTCCGCCGACCTCGCGCCCGGAAGAATCGCTCTCGAATCCATTCCCGTGCGTCGTCGTCGCGCCGTCGTCGTCCCGTTCGCCGCCGCCGCCGCCGCCGCCGCTCGCCACCGCGCGTCCGCCGAACAGCCGTCCCCGCCATCCCTCCCCGTGTTCCTCCCCCTCGTCGTCGCTCAGTCCCGCGAACTTCACCAGCGACACCTTTCGCGTCATTCCTCGCTCCCGTCCCTCCAGATCGCGCTCGCTCCCGCACGGCGTCGTCGCCGCGCTCGACGCCGCCGTCCCGGTCGAGTGCGAATCGCGCGCGCTCGCCAATTCGCCCGCGATCGACGACGATTTCAGGATCGATCGCGCCGGCAGCGCGTGCGGGCCCGGCGGCGCGCGCTTCGTCGACGGCGCGCCCGCGCGCGCGCCGTCGCGGTCGATCGCGCGCGCGCACGCCGCGCCCATGATCGCGATCGGCGCGACGCGATGTGCCGCCGCGCGAACGATTCGACCGCACACCGATGCGCGCCGTCGGCGCGACGAGCGAGCGCGGCGTCGAGCGCGCGACGACCGCGACGCGCGCGACGACGCGCGCGACGACGCGCGCGGGCATGCGTCGAGCGCGGGCGCTCGCGCGCGCGCTCGAACGGATTCGGTTGACGACGAGACGACGAGACGTGTGGACGCGCGGCGTCGCGGACGGCGATGGCGCGGGCGCGCGGGACGGCGCGAGCGTCGCGACGAGCGATTCGCTCGACGCGCGCGCGGTCGTGGTGCGTGCGAGCGCGCGAGGGCGTCGAGGGCGAGGGATCTCTGGTGAACGCGCGCGCGGTTTGATTTTTAAAAGATTGGACGGAGGAAAGACGGGCGACGGGCGAGCGATGGCGGACTGACGACGACGACGCGCGCGCGAATGATGACGCAGGATCGATTGCGCGCGGGGCTGGCGTACGAGATGAGCAATGGGTGCGCGAACGCGAAGGGGAAGGCGTTCGACGATTTTCAGAGCTTTCTCACGGCGTCGCTTCGGGAGTTGGAGCGATCGCACGCGTCGCCGATGCTCGCGCACATGGTGCGGGATTCGACGGTGTATGGGAATTTGGACGTCGATCGACGACAGCGGTTGCTGCAGAATATGTCGACGGCGCTGCCTGGGGTGATTCAGCGCGGCGAAACGGCGCCGCCGGCGAGGTCGCCGCAGACGCCGCGAGCGTGGTCGCCGCCGAGCGCTGCGCCGGTGGTCGAGCGCGCGGGGGCGACGTCGGTAGTTTCATCGAACATGGGTGGTGTCGCGAGCGGGTCGAAGCGGACTCCGGCGGTGGCGGCTGCGAAGACGAAGGAGGACGCGCCGAAGACGAAGGCGCCGACGGTGTCGCGAGATTCGTCCGAGTTCCCCACCATTATTGTTTTCGATTTAGAGACCACCGGGTTGAGCAAGGAGAAGAGTCGAATCATCGAGCTCGCGGCGCAGTCGCTCTCGGATCCGTCCGCGGCGTTCAGCACGCTCGTGAATCCCGGTCGGTTTACGATTCCAGCCGCCATCACCTCGCTCACGGGCATCACCAACAGCATGGTGAGCGCTTCGAACGTGCCGTCGTTCGCGATGGCGGCCGAGCAGTTGGAAGCATTTATTGAAAGCGCCCGCCAGTCGCGCCCGGGGGCGCCGATCTTGCTTGTCGCGCACAACGCGCGTCAGTTTGACGCGGCTTTTATGCAGCATGAATACCGTCGTCTTGGGCGTGAGTTGCCGTCGAGTTGGAGATTCTGTGATACCTTGCCGCTCGCGCGCGCGCTGCTGCGTCCGGAAGGATTGGCAAAGTTCAACATGGATGTCCTACGGGAATACTACGGCGTGTCGATCGATGGTGAAGACACACAAATGCACCGCGCAGGGACGGACGCTCGAGTGTTGGCTGAAATCCTCAACAAACTACTCGAGCATCCCAATGCGAAGGACGACGAGCTTGGGTGCTTGGAGAAGTACTCATTTTCGCTCGGCGATCCGGGCGCGGGGAGTTTGAAGCGAGCGACCGCGGATGCCAAGTCTGAGAGCGAACGCTCGTCCTACGCGGGCGGCGCGCCGGGCTGGGGCGGCGGCGGTACAGTGAACTTGAGCGACGGCGAAGAAGCCGACGTCGGTGGTGGATGGGCCGCGGTCGATGAATTCGCAAACGAAGAAAATATGGAATTTGAGAGTGACTCGAGCTCGATGTCGTCAAACGATGTGCCTCTTCGAGGTATGCAGAAGCCGTTTTGGGCCGCCGAGGATCCCATCAACGGTATTCTCCCCGAAACTGTCGACTTTCAGAAACTCGCCGAAATCGCCGCTAAGACGGACACCTCCGAGCTTCGTCTCGACCTAGAGCGATGGAAAGAAACATCGATCGAAGCGCTCAAGGATAAAGTCCCGAAGTCGACTATGAAGGCGCTGAAAGCCGAAGGCATCAACACCATCGAAGCCGTATTGCGCAACTGCCCGCGCAAGTATCAAGAGTACAGCGTTTGGAACAAGTCTCTCGCACAAGGCACACAAGTGACCCTCACTGGGACAGTTCGTTCGATGCAAGTGCGCGATTACATGCGTGGGCGTGCGATCCCGAACACGGTGTTGGTCGAAGTCGACGTACGCGAGGACGAACTCACGCCGACAGAGGACGATCCGTGGGGCGCAAATAAGCCTCGGTGCAAAGTTAAAGTGTGGGACTACATTTCGAAGGATGCTCGCGAAGAAATGCCGATCGGTGCTCGGGTGAGTGTCCGCGGCACTTTGGGTACGGGCGATAGGAACTGCCAGTTCAGCGTGGACGGCGGTCGTGTCGTTCCGATTGCCGCAGATGCGCCGGTATTTGCGTCCGACTCGTCGGAAATTGTCGCCACGTACGCCAAGCGTGGAGCGATGAGCAATGTTGAGTGGCATCGCGCGGTGAACGCATCGATGGACATTTTCCTAGCGAAGCTTCCCGCCGATCCCATGGAGGTATCGATGGGCCGCGATAATCCATTGCTCGCCGAACTCGGATTGCTTTCGCATTCGGAGGCGGTGAAGAATATTCACAGGCCACGAAACGTCGAGGCTGTGGCGCAAGCGCGAGAGCGATTGGCGTTTGAAGAATTGGTTTTATTACAAGTGGCGCTTCTACAAGAACGCAGTCGTTTACAGGCGCTTCCCGTGTCCGAGTCGACCGAAGGCGTGTGCATTGTCGGCACTGCTCTCACGGACGAGTTGCGCAGCGAGTTACCGTTTGCGCTTACGCGATCTCAAGAGTCTTCACTCGAAGAAATTTTGAGCGATATGGCCGGGCCGGCACCGATGTTGCGCCTACTCCAAGGTGATGTGGGGTGCGGTAAGACTGTCGTTGCCGCCATGGCGCTCCTCGCGGCGGTCGGTGCAGGACATCAAGGCGCGTTCATGGCGCCGACTGAAGTACTCGCCACGCAGCACCACCGCGTGCTCACGGATTTGCTTTCACAAATGCGAGATCCACCGAAAGTGGCGTTACTCACTGGTTCAACGAAAACTGCTGAACGTGCGCAAATTCTCGAGGATTTGAATGACGGAAAGATTGGAATTATTGTTGGCACGCACGCTTTGATTCACGAAAAAGTTGTATTCAGCTCACTCGGCATCGCCGTCGTCGATGAACAGCATCGTTTTGGCGTGGAGCAACGCGCTGGATTATTGGCAAAAGGTAAGCTCCCACCGCACATGCTTACCATGAGCGCAACGCCGATTCCGCGCACACTCGCGATGACAAAGTTTGGCGAGATGGCTTTGAGCGTCATCGACGAGAAACCCGCTGGCCGTTTGCCAATCATCACAACGGTGTGCGGTGTCGACGAGCACTCGCAAGCCTACGATTCGATGTGCGAAGAAGTGAGCCGCGGCGGGCAGGCTTACGTCATCTTGCGTCTCGTGAACGAATCCGGATCGTCTCGCATGTCTGAAGTGAAGGGCGCGGAGGAGGAATACGCTCGTCTCGTGAGCAAGTATCCAAATGTACGATTCGGACTCTTGCACGGGCAGTTGGGCGCGGACGAAAAAGCCGCGGCGCTAGAAAAGTTTAGTTCTGGAGAAACTCAAGCCCTGGTCGCTACGTCAGTCGTTGAAGTTGGTGTGGACGTGCCGAATGCGAGCGTCATCATCATCGAAGACGCAGACGGTTTCGGTCTCGCCGCGCTTCACCAGCTTCGAGGTCGTGTCGGACGCGGCGCACGTCAGTCGAAGTGCTTCTTGTTACACTCTCCTGGCGCAGGGGAGAACGCGGAGTTGAAGGGAGATCGCGCGCGCGACCGTCTTCGTGTGCTCGAGCAATCAAACAACGGCTTCCGAATTGCCGAGAGCGATTTACAGCTCCGCGGCGCTGGCGAGCTCTTCGGCACGAAACAAAGCGGCCAGCAGGTGAACCTGTTCCACGCATCGATGTCAACAGATCTCTATTTACTCGAAGCCGCTCGCAAGGCGGCGGCAGAGATGATTTCACGCGCCTCCTTGCAACAGGAACCACTCCCGGCGCCGGTGACGGTCGCTTTAGAAACGCGGCCCGCGTTGATCCTCGACAACGCCATCATCTCTGGCGGTGCTCAAGCAGCGGCGACGAATTGATGAAACCCTAGTATTAACAATCGAACACATAGGCTCGCGCATGTTGACCATTTAGCGCTCACGTACACGCTAAACAAATCATTCGACGCGCGCATTTAACCCTGCTTTCGGGTATCCGAACAACCACTCGACGCATCGACCGCATACTCGCACTCAACCATGTCCACCATGTCCGCTTCCCTCCGCACCACGTCAACCGTCAACTTGCGCGCCTGCACGTACGTTTTCGGTCGCGTTAGCGCGTCGCGTCGCGCGTCACGACGTCGCGCACGTCGAGTAATCCGCCTTATCCGCCGAGGGCCGACAAACAGGGCGCTTACGACAGTGTCGCGGTGTCTTCTCGGTGCAGTGACGGCGCGATCACGAAGCGATAAAGTATACTGACGATGAACCGCGTTTTCGTGTGATACGCAGGACCCGACGCGCTAGCGTTCGAGCGTCCCGCTCGGTCACCGTGCGCGCCGCCGCCGACTACTCGCCGAAGAAGGCCTTCTTCTTCCCGGGACAAGGCGCGCAAACGGTCGGCATGGCGAAGGAGCTGTGCGAAGAGTGCCCCGCGGCGAAGGCGATGTTTGACACCGCGTCCGGCGTGCTCGGGTACGACTTGCTCGATGTGTGCGTCAACGGCCCGGCGGAGCGCTTGAACTCGACGGCGGTTTCCCAGCCGGCGATTTACGTGTCTTCTTTGGCGGCGCTCGAAAAGATGAAGATGTCGGACGAAGGTAAGGCGATGATCGACTCCATCGACGTCGCCGCGGGCTTGTCTCTCGGCGAGTACACGGCTTTGACCTTTGCCGAGGCGTTGTCTTTCGAAGACGGCTTGAAGCTCGTGAAGATTCGCGGTGAGTCCATGCAAGAGGCTGCCGATGCCACGCCCTCCGGTATGGCGTCCGTCATCGGCCTCTCCGCGGATAAGGCCGAAGAACTCGCCGCACGCGCCGCCGCCGAGTCCGGGGCGCCGTGCTCGGTTGCCAACTACTTGTGCAACGGTAACTACGCCGTGTCCGGCGCCATCCCGGCTATCGACAAGGTTGAAGAAATCGCCAAGCCGGAATTCAAGGCGCGTATGGTCGTGCGTCTCGCCGTCGCCGGTGCGTTCCACACCGACTTCATGGCCCCGGCCGCGGACAAGCTCAAGGCTGCGCTCGAAGCGACACCGATTAAGGAGCCGCGCATCCCGGTCATTTCCAACGTCGACGTCAACCCGCACACGGACGCCGCGAGCATTCGCGCCACGTTGGCGAAGCAGCTCACCAACCCGGTGCAATGGGAAACCACGATGACCACGCTCCTCGGTAAGGGCTTGGAGTCTGCGACGGAAGTTGGTCCGGGCAAGGTGATCAGCGGTATCATGAAGCGCGTGGATAAGGCGTTTGCGTGCGACAACTTCACCGTTTAAACTCGAACGCGTGTAATAAATTATTAGCTACAACATCCAATGGGTGCGTCATTAAATAATAGGGAAACGGATGCTACGGTTACTTGACTTGTCTGATTTTGCACTCGCGCACGAGCGGAAATTTTGTTTTGATGGCTTGCGCGATGGAGAAGGCGAGCGCTTTCGGTCCTCTAAACTTCAACACGCACACGCCCCTTTCGAGCGACTCCACGCTCGCCTCGCCCCCGTAGCTCGCGATAGACTTTCGAAGCTTTTCCAAATGCCCCTCGATCGTCTCGATCGTCATCTCTTCCAATTCACCGCTCACGTCGACGACTTCTTCCACGGCGTCGCCGAATTTTTGCTTTAAAAGTTTTTCGATCCCCCCCTTCATCGTCGCCGACGACGACGCGCACGTCCCGCACGCCCCATTCAACCGCACGACGATGATCTTGCCTTCAATCTTCACGAGCTCGACGTTACCACCGTCGGCGACCAAATACGGTCGCACCTCGTCGAGCGCTTCGTCCACGTTTTCCATCGTCGGCGGCAACTTCGGCGACTCGTCCACCGCGTCCGCGTTCTCCTCTTTCGCCGCCTCCGCGAACGGACTCACCACGCTCGCGCTCGCATCCGCGCCCTCGATTCCCGTCGCGCTCACCTCCGCCTCCGCCGTCCCGCTCGCCGCCCCGTCCTCCGCGTCCCGCGCCCCGTTCGCCCCCCCCGTCTCCCCCTCTCCCAGCGCCTCCCGCCACCGTCGCGCCTCCGCGCGCAGCGTCGCTCGCGTCGCCATCGCCGCGTTCCGAAACGCCATCACGCGCGCCGTGCGCGCGCCCTCGCCGTCCCGCGCTCGCGCCGCCCGCAGCGCCGTCGCCACGTTCGTCGCGTAGTCCACCCCCGTGCACGTCCCTCGCGCGTCGAACGTCGCGAACACCCCCGCCGGCGCGTCGCGCGCGTACAGTTCCAGCCACGCGTCGACGCTCGCGCGCGCCGTGCCGTCCTCGGCGAGCGCTCGCGGCGCGCGCGCTCGCGCCGTCGCGCGCCGACGGTCCGCGCGCGCGCGCACGCGCCGCGCCGCGACGCGCGCGTCGCGCGCGCGCGTCGGCGCGCGCGCGGGACCGCGCGACGCGACGCGCGCGTCGGCGCCTCGCGTCGCGCGCATCGTCGGCGCGTCGCGCGGCGTCGCGCGGCGTCGGCGTGTGCGGCGCCATCGCGCGACGCGAGTCTTCGACGCGCGAGCGCGCGCGAGCGAGCGCGAGCGCGCGAGCGACGCGCGAGCGAACGCGCGAGCGAACGCGCGAGACGCCGCGGCGCCGACGCGACGCGCGCGCGCGAGAGGGCGACGACGCGAGAGGCGCGAAAACAAGATCGATCGCGAACGTTCGATCGACGACGCGCGCGCGGCGAGGGCTCGACGCTGAACACGAGGCGAAACGCGCGAAAGCGTCGTGAAACGCGCGCGCGCGACGCGAGATGTCGGCGATGGATCTGCAGGGCGTCGGGCGAGAGACGCGGAAGGCGGCGGCGGAGGACGATCGCGCGGAGGACGCGCCGGCGACGAACGCGGAGGACGAGAGCGAGCTCGATATTTGGCGCGCGGCGGCGTATGGGAACGTCGACGCGATGAAACGGATGATCGATGCGGACGAAGGGTGCGTGAACGCGCCGGATGGGTCGGGATTCCGCGCGCTGCAGTGGGCGGCGCTGAATAATAGAGTCGCGGCGGCGACGTTGTTGCTCGAACGCGGGAGTTCGATAAACGCGGGGGATAACGATGGACAGACGGCGCTGCATTGGGCGTGCGTGCGAGGGTCGCTGCCGTGCGCGGAGTTGCTGCTGCGGAAAGGAGCGGAGTTGAACGCGGCGGATTCGCGGGGATACGTGCCGCTGCACGTCGCGGCGCAGTACGGTCACACCGGGATGATTTATCACTTTAAAATGCGATGGAACATCGATGTTGACGTCACCGATCACGACGGTCGAACGGCGCTGCACTGGGCGGCGTACAAAGGGTTTCCCGATCCCGTCAAGTTGTTGGTGTGCATGGACGCGGACGTGTACCGGGCGGATAAGGAAGGCTGCACCGCGCTGCACTGGGCCGCCATCAAGGGCAAGAGCGAAGCCGCGCATTTAATAGTCCGCGCCGGCGGTTTGAACGCCATGACGGCGGTCGACGTCGACGGAAACACGGCGGAGGCGCTCGCGCTCGAGAAAGGCCATCACCTCCTGGCGAATTTCCTCGCCAAGGAGCAGCGCGCGCTTTTGAGGCGCGATAATTTTTGGACGCAAAAAGGCTTGGCTGTCGCGTGCCTCGGCCTCATCGTCGGATTGATGCTGATGTTCTCGCATTACGTCATCTTCGCCGAAGGCGTCGCCACGATGGACGTGACGTTGTCGTTTTGGTCGCTCGTCAGCCTCGCCTCGGCGAGCTGCGGATTGTACTACATGAAGCGCGTCTCGCAAGCCGACCCGGGGGTCGTCACCGCCTCTATTTTATCCTCCATTCGCCGAGGCGCGCGACCGAGCTCGGCGGCGCATGACGTGGACGAGCGATTAAATCACGCCGAGCTTTGGGCCGGAAACTGGAACCAGCTCTGCGTGACGTGCAAATTCGTCAAGCCGTTCGGCACGAAGCACTGCGCGGTGCGCGACAAGTGCGTGGCGCGTTTCGATCACTACTGTCCGTGGATGGGGAACACGATCGGGAAGAGAAATCACAGAGACTTCGTCATCTTTCTCATTCTCGAGTCTCTCGCCATGGCGATCGCCTTTTGCGTCGCCATCGCGCGTTTCAACGAAGAGTCTCCGACGGAGCGCTTTCGCTCCACCGGGGGCATCGCCTGCTTCGCCGTCTTCGACGCCCTCACTCTCCTCCCCGTCGCCTTGCTCACCGTCGCCCAGCTCAGTCAAGCCGCCCGGAACATCACCACCAACGAGCTCTCCAACGTCCATCGCTACGCCTACCTCAAATCCGCCGAGGGCAGGTTCGCCAATCCGTTCGACCGCGGCTCGTTCGCGCGCAACCTTCGCGCGTTTTTCCTCGTCGGCAAGAAGGAGCCTCTGATCGACGACGTCGCCGCGCGCGGCGTCGCCGTCGGGTTCGACGAGCGCCACCCCTTAGATCGCATCGCTTGATTCGTAATCAACGTTTCACAGTCGTCCCGCGCGTCCTCGTCGATCCGCCTCGTCGATCCGTCGTCGCCTCGCGCGCTCGCCTGGGTGCCCACGCCAACGGTCGTGGCATTTTCCACATCGATCGTCATCGCGCGACGCACCGTCGCGTCGACGCCGCGCCGATCGCGCGCCGCGCGCGACGCGAACGATCGACTCGAGCGCGACGCGCGACGCGCGCGCGCGACGCCGAACGAACGACGAACGACGAACGATCGAACGATCGAACGATCGCTCGCGGTTTGAACAGATTTGAAACCGAAACGACTCGACGACGGCGATGCCCAACGCGACGACGCGCGGGACGACGCGGACGATCGCGGGACGCGCGATGACGCGCGCGACGACGCGGTGCGTGACGCGCGCGCCGCCGAAACCGCGGACGCGGACGGGGAGCGACCGCGCGGTGCGAAGCGCGCCGGCGCCGGTGAGCGCGGCGCAGCGAAGAAAACCGCGAGGACGGCGATCGCGCGATGCGACGGACGACGATCGCGCGGACGATGGGAACGGTGGCGATGGTGGCGATTGGTTCGGCGGCGGCGGCGGCGGCGGCGACGGGGGCGACGGCGACGACGGCGAGGACGAGGACGCGTTTCGAATGGACGCCGACGAGTTGACGGCGTTCGAGCGCGCGTTGTTCTCGGAGATTGAGGTCATGGACGCGCACGCGTTGTACGCGTGGCAGAGCGCGTGCGCGGTGACGCTCGTCGGGTGCGTGCAGCACGTGATCGACGTCGCCGCGGCGAGAGCGCGCGGGTTCGGCGACGCCGTCGCCTTCGCGTGAGCGATCCGAGACGACGAACCGGTCGTCCGCGCCGACGCGCGCTGTACGCTACGAAGCCATCACGTGGAGTGTTGTGCATTATCTTTTTCCGATCCACGGTGTTGTATATCAGTTGTAAACGATGCGAAGCGAACGCGTTCGTCCGCACTTCGCCGCGCGCGCGATGGCGTCGCGCCCTCGAGTCCTCGTCCTCGCCCGCGCGTCGTCCGCGTCGTCCGCGACGACGCGCGCTCCCGAGTACCGCGCCGCGGGCTATCGCACGTTCGTCGATCCATCGCCGAGCGCGAGCGCGACGCGCGTAAAGATTGACTGCGGACCCGTGCGCGCCTACACCGGCGGACGTTACGACGGCGACACGCTCCGCGCGCCGTGGGATTCGGCGCAGACGACGCCCAAGGGCGACGGAGCGTCGAACTCGACGACGCAGCGCACGTACGTGTTCGACACGACGCTCGCCGGGGCGAGCGAAGTGCTGAGCGTGACGGCGGCGAGGCCGCTGGGAATAATCTTCGAAGACGACGCCGACGGACGCGCGCGCGTCGCTGATTTCGTGAAAGGGAGCGATGCGGCGCGAGCGAACGACGTCGCGGCGCTGGCGCCGTTCGGAAGGCAGTGCGCGCGACGAGGGGACGTGCTGCGGGCGTTCACGGCGACGCAGGTGGTGTATCGGACGACGGCGGCGCTGACGGGGGATTTGAGCGGTACGAAACGCGTGCGGACGCTGTTCGGCGCGGACGAGGTGCCGTGGGGGGAGGTGAGCGCGGCGTTGGCGAACGGGAGGGTGGCCGATGGGCCGATCACGTTGGTATTGGAACGCGACGGCGATCGCGAACGCGCCGAAAATTGGCCGAGAAGAGAAGAGGAGCTCGAGTTTAGGGGGTTGGGCGACGAGAGCACGCAGGCGAAGAGGCAGCGAGAACGCTTCGAATCGGATGAAGACACCGAACGGGCGAATATCGCCTTCGCGGGCGCGATCGCGGCGTTTGTTCTGTTGATCCTCGCCGGGTTCTCGTAGAGCTGTAGAGGAGAAATCGAAATCGCGCGCGCATTGTTTGTACATTGATTTATACATTCATTTAAAGTTTCCTTCGCTCGGCTTCGACTTTTCCTTTCAGTCTTTCGTGCGTGCGGTTTCGAGACGGCGTCGGCTCCGGCGTCGTGTCGGTGTCGATGCCCACGACCGTGCCGCCGGCTATCTCCTCCGCCAGCGACGCGTCGACGCTCAGTTTGTTCGACGTGTCCAGGAACAACATCAAGTCGCGATTTTCTTCCTCGAGTTCTTTGATTCTCGCGTCTTTTATCGCCAATTCGATCGTTTTACGCTTTTCAGCGCGCGTCGCTTCCGCCCTGAGCGTCTCGACGTTTTCAGCCAACGTATCGCTGAGCGCGTGCGCGTGCTCGAGCTCGTCGCGGAGCTGTTCAATCGACGCCACGTGCGACGCGTTCGCCTTTTGAAGCATTTTCAATTCACGTTTGGCGTCCTTCGCTTCGCTCATCGCTCGCGCCACCACGGCGGCGTTCCTACTGTCCTCGTCTTCTCGCGAGATCGTCCCCGCGCACCTCGCGTTGGCCGTCTGGAGCAAGCCTTCGAAATACTTGCGTTGCGATTCGAGCTGTGACGTCAAGAGTAAGTCGTACTCGCTCGCGATGGCGTCGAGTTTGGACGCCACCAGCGCTTCCTCGAGTTGTGCGTCCAAATCGCCGACGTCTGGCGCGCGAATCGGCGAGCACGCCGCGCCGCTCGCGTCCGAAGACGACGCCCTTCGCGTCGACGGCGGCGGCGTCAGTTCGACGAGTCCGCTCTTGCTCTGAATCAACCGGTGCACGAAGCCATCTGAGACGTAATCCCACACGCGTTGCGTTCCGAGCTCGAGCGCGTACGTGTGATTCGTCTCCGTCCAGTGATTCACCGCGCACGCCCCCGCGTAGCGTCCGCACCGCACTTCGCCGCAAATCAAGCACACCCACAAATCGTGATCCTTACCGCACGTCGCGCACCGCGCCTTGCTCTCCGGCTCGTGCGCGTACCGACACACCGGACACGACGCGTCCGCCCACCCGCTCAGGCACTCCGCGTGAAACGCGTGTTCGCAAATCGTCGTCACTATTCCCGACGCCTCCGCGTCCAGCCTATCCAGGCACACCGGACACGTCGGCACCTCCGTTCCCAGCGTCCCGCTCGCCTCCGCCCCCTCCTCCACGCGCACCACGCGCACCGCCACGCACGTCTCCTCCCGTCCCATCGCGTACCTCCGCCCGTGATAATTCTCCACGAACGCGTCCGCCGCGTCGCCGTCGTCGAACTCCAGCACCGCGTCGTACGTCGACCGCGCGCCGTCGCCGCGTCCCGCCACCGCGCGCACCGACCGCGTCGTCGCCATCGCGCCCGCGACGAATCGACAGAAATCCGCGATCGCGATCGCGCTCGGCACGCCGACGACGCACGCCGCGTTCGCGTTCCGTCGCGTCGTCGTCGCGCATCCGTCGTCGCGCGTCGTCTTGAACAATCGCACGCGTCCGCGCGTCGCGCCGACCGTCGGCGCGCCGTCGGCGCGTCGCGCGTCGTCGTCGTCGTCGTCGTCGTCGTCGTCGCGCTCGACGCGCGCGGCGTGCGCCATCGCGACGCGCCGACGGTCGTCTTTGACGCGTCACTCTCTGACGCGCGCGTCGATGGCGACGACGACGACGGCGCGCGTCGACGCGCGCGGCGCCTTCTTCGAGCGATTGCACGCGCTCGCGCCCGCGCGCCGGCGCGACGACGGCGACGACGCGCGACCGCGCGGGAGGTTCGCGCGCGCGCCGAGCGCGAGGGCGGCGGCGCGACTGCAGCGAAAGACGACGAAACGGGCGGCGCTGACGCCGCGAGGGCGCGCGCGCGCGGGCGACGCGCGCGACGCGCGCGATGACGACGACGGCGCGAGCGATTCGGAGGCGAGCGCGGAGGACGGGCGCGCGGACGCGGACGGGAGGGGAGGCGACGACGACGACGACGACGACGAAGACGACGAAGACGCGCGGGCGAGGTGGAGCTTCGAGAGACGGTCGGAGGATAAGCTGGAGGCGCTGCGAGAGCGGTTGAGGAAGAAGATTGAGAGCAGTCGCACGGCGAGGCGGGCGGTGGAGACGGCGGAGACGGCGAGGGATGCGAAGGAGTGGCGGGAGCGGAGGAACGAGGCGAAGCGAGAGAAAAAGAGAAAGGAACGCGCGAACGCGACGTTGACGGAGGCGAGGAGGGGGGAGAAGAGGGCCAAGGGCGTCGATGGCGAGGCGAAGGGTGGGATGGGCGCGGGCGGGGGAGGCGCGAGCGATATGGCGTTCGGTCGGATCACGACGGACGACGTCGCGCTCAACTCGGGGCGGAAAAAGAAGAAGGAATCCAAGGAAGCGCTTTTGCGTAAAGTGCAAGCGCGCCAGAAGGCGATCGACGACGCCGGTGGCGAGGAAGGCGGTGGTAAGGCGGTCGCGGAGAAATTTGCGTGGGAGGCGGCGCTTTCGCGCGCGTCGGGTGAAAAGGTTTTAGACGACCCAAAACTCTTGCAAAAGAGCATCAAACGCGAGGCCAGGGCGAAGAAGAAGAGCCGCGAGAAGTGGGAAGAACGCACGGCTAAGGTTAAAGAACAAATGGACGCGGCACAAACGAAACGCAAGAGCAACATCAAGGCTCGCAAGGACGGAAAGATGGAGCGAAAGATGGACAAGGCGTCGAACAAACGCAACCGTCCGGGGTTCGAGGGTCGAAGCGACGGCTTCATCAACAAGTAGTCGAGCGATGCGCCCACGTGTCATATTATTCTCATGTTTTTACATTCGCCGTAAGCTCTAAATTCCATAGTAGCCGTTGAAGTCGAGTCGCGATAACAGACTCGCAACGTTGGTGTCGACGTCGCCGGCGTCGTTCAGAGCGTTTAATAAATCGCCGAGGAAGTGCCGGAACTGCGACCGCGTATCGCTCGTCACGGCTTCGATCTCTTCCTCCAATGCGACCAATCTATCCGCCGTCATAGCGTCCATGCTATTCTCCTTCAACCGTTCGATGGTGTCTGCGAAACGCTGGCTGTCCCGGGCAAAGCGCAAGCACGCCGCTCGCGCGCGCTCCAAACGCTTCAAAATCTTGGGCCAGAACAACATCGCATCCTTCATGCAGGCCTCCAAAAACGCATCGTGTCCGGCGATCAGTTCATCCACGGACTGCGCGTCGTCCACGCGCGCGATCATCCTATCCCAATGAGGCTCGATGACCTCATTCGTGATGTAGTACAAATAGTTTTGCAAAAAGTTCAACATTCGCTGCGTGAGCGTGTGGGCCTGGGCGAACATGCGACCGAGTTGCGCGCCGCGCATGACTTGCAGACGCTGCCAACCCGCACAAAGTTCGCGTTCGGCGCACTTGAAATTGAACAGATGTCTGAAAAGAATTTGATACTTTGTCACGGCACGACGGTTGAGCACGACGCTCGCCGGCCAAGGCGTGTCGTAATCGAGCACGAAGGCATCGAATCCAGAAAGCTCGTCCCCGTCACCGGTGGCTTTCGAAGGAGTCACAGCGGCAGAGTCGTCATCATCAATGCTGGAAAGTTGTCTCGATAGACCGTGACCGTCGATAGAGCATAACAAGTCGTCGCCGTGGTGGTCGGTCGCCGTGCTGGACGACTTCACGGCGATATCCAAAAGCGTTTGAAGCTTGGGCAGACGAATGTCATCTGCGTCCTTTTCCAACTCAGACGCCGCGGTGTCTAGGAAATGCACGAGATAATCTCCTCGAGCGAGCAAGAAGTACATCTTCATGCTCATCAGTCGTGATTTCAACTCGCCGTCTTCCCACATGATTTGTAACAATTTGCGCGAAGCGTGCTCAAATCTATCGTCAATGCGATCCGCGTACTTCCCCGTGCCGATGATCATGTTCGGCCCGAAGTACATCTTACCGAGCCCGTCTCTCGGCTTCGCTGGGAGCTCGGCAATCGCGGACACCTTGGTCTCACGCACCGCGTTCAAATAGCGCCCCGTGGTGAGTATTTTTTGCGCAAGTTGTTTCCCTATGAATTGCGGAATCTCCTCGCGAAGGGAATAGCGTTTCGTCCAATACGCCGAGTTATAATCATCGGCCAGAGACGTTTTCTTCATCTCACGTTGCTCAACGATCAAAAACTCGTCGTAAGGATCGTCGACTTGTCCATCGTAAACCCACAGCTCGATGGCGCGGCTGTACGGCGCCGAAGTCGCTTTGCTCAAACGCTGCACCAAAGCCGACACCGCACCATCGCCAGCGTGTTCGCAGCCTTCTCGGTGCAACAGATTGAGTATGCTCGCACCTTTCAAATGGTACGCTCTGCTCGCCACGCTCGCCATGAGGCGCAAAGCCGGCGCGGCGGGTTGACAATAAAACCACGCCGCCTGAAGTGAAAGTGAGCCGATGTTGCGTTGGTGCTCGAGCTGCACGATCAACGTGTGCCAATCGTTCAGCAAATCGCGCATTTCCGCCGCTAACGCGTGGGATACGTAGCCATGCTTGAACTCATGCCGAGATTCGATGAAGGCACGCACGGTCGCCGCGTCCGAGCACAACGGAAGCATATTCTTAACCAACGCCGCGAGCGGCGCCTCGAGCCCCAGCTCAACCTCAAACTTTACTCGCGTCAGTCGATCGTCTTTGACCACGACACCCGAGCTCGTCTCGTCGTCTGTGCCCTTCCACGCGCTGATGTATCGCCCGTCGACGCCCATCATCGCGTATAACAAATCATCTAAAACCAGCAACTCTTGCTCGGCGGTGCCGTAATCGCTCAACGCCTTGACGTTTCTGTCTTGCTCCGCCCCACTCCCGAGATGCGCGCCCGTGAGAAACGGCCGCTTATAGTTCCAGTCGGGTAACTTTGGACCATCGGCGAGCTCGGTTGGTCGCGACACTATCGTGCGCTCTGGCTTACCGAACAATCCGCCCGAGCGTCTCTGCGAGCTTCCCACCGTCATGCGTCCGAAATCGCCAGCCAAGTTCGCGCTCACCCCCGACGCGCTCGCATCGCGCGAGCTCACGGAGCTCGTCATATTCTTTCCGAGCGCGGCGTAACGCTCTGGCGTCCCTAATCCACCCGGAGACGACACGAACGACGGCTCATCGCTCTCCGGCGTATCGCTCGCGCGTCGTCGTCCGCTCGCCGACGTCCCCATCCTCCCCGCCTCCATCTCCGCCTCCGCCGCGCGCGCCCCCGCCTCCGACACCGCAAACGCCAGCTCCTCATCGCTCGCGATCTTCGCCATCACCGCCAAATACCGATCCAACTCCTCCACTCGCAGCGCTCGCAGCCGGTCGCACTCCGCCGCGAACGCCTCCGCGCGCGCCCCACTCCTCTCGCTCAGCACCCTCCGCGACTGCGCGATCGCCACCTTCGTCACGTCGTACTTCGATATCATCTTCCCCAGCATCGCCGTCGACGCCTGCGCGAGCGATTCCGTGAACCGGTGCGTCGCGTCCAGCCCGAGCGCCTCGGTCAGCGCGCGCACCGCGCGTTCCAGCGTCTCCCGCGTCCGCGCGTCGTCGTCCGCGCCCTCGTCGTCGTCCGCGCCGTCGTCCATCGTCGCGCGACGCATCGCTCGCCGCGCGCGTCGCCGGCGCCGTCGCCCGCGCCGCGGCGCTCGAGTGCCGCGCGCGCGTCAACGGATTTCGAATTTTCCGACGCCGCGCGCGCGCGTCGATCGATCGCGCGATCGATCGCGCGCCGATCGTCCATCGATGGACCGTCGATCGACGCCGTCGCGATCGATCGATCGAACGGCGGTCGCGCGGGGCGAGATTTCGCCAAACGGCGGCGAATGCGAACGACGCCGTCGCGCGCGCGTCGCGCGCGCGCGCCGTCTCTCTTCGACGCGTCGAACCGACGCCGCGACCATGGTGCGTGCGCGCGCGATCGACGACGGCGCGGTGATGCGTTCGATGCGCGGGGTCGCGACGCGCGGGCGCGCGACGCGCGACGGGCGCGCGCGACGGGCGCGACGCGAGAAGCGCGATGCGAGACGCGTGGGGTTTCGGCGCGGCGACGCGGGGCGTCGATGGCGACGACGGCGGGCGATGGCGCGCGCCGGGGAGGGGGGAGAGGGTGGAGATGAATACGTGGGATCGATCGCGCGACGCGCGGGGACGCGGGCGGCGGGGGGGGCGACGGGGGGGGCGAGGGATGGGCGATCGAGCGATCGGCGCGACTGACGGGACGACGCGATGTTTCGACGACGTAGGGTATCGATCTTAAGGCTGGTGGCCGTAACAAGAAGACCAATCGCACGGCGCCGAAGTCTGACAATGTGTACTTGAAGCTCTTGGTGAAGGTGCGCGAACGACGCGACGGAGGGACGGGGGAAGGATGGGGACGACGGCGAGGAAAGCCCTAGCCGGGAGGTCGCGCGCGACGACGCGCGAAACGCGAAGGCGAGGCGATGATGATGCGATTGGAGAGACTGACGAATGATGATGCGCTCGCGATGACAGCTTTACCGATTTTTGGCTCGCCGTACGGATTCCAAGTTCAACGACACCGTGCTCAAGCGCTTGTTCATGTCGAAGACGAACCGCCCGCCGTTGTCCTTGTCCAAGGTGGCCAAGTTCATGAAGGGTAAGGAGGGCAAGGTTGCGGCGATCGTGGGGACGGTGACCGATGACGTGCGTCTCCACGACGTGCCGGCGTTGAAGGTGTGCGCGCTTCGTTTCACCGAAACCGCGCGCGCGCGTATCATCAAGGCGGGCGGACAGTGCATGACGTTCGACCAGCTCGCGCTCTCCGCGCCGACGGGTGAAGGCGTCGTGCTCTTGCGAGGTCCGAAGAACTCGCGCGAGGCAGTCAAGCACTTCGGCGCGCCGGGTGTTCCGGGCTCCCACGCCAAGCCGTACGTCCGCGCCAAGGGCCGCAAGTTCGAGAAGGCTCGCGGTCGACGCGCCAGCCGCGGTTACAAGGCATAAACTTAAACGCTTCGGGGCGTTTTTTTACTGTGTTTGTGATCAGATTAGCGACGCGCTTGGATGGTATAGCGAATTCTTTGAAATGTGAGACATCGAGCGTAAACTTAAAACATCTACACGACTTCCTACTCTTGCGGCGTAGCGTACAACTGGTGCTCATCTGGACGTGATCTCGACCGACTGCGACGAGTCGTCCTCCTCGGCGACTCGTCGCAGTCGGTGTACGTGATCTCGACCGACTGCGACGAGTCGTCCTCCTCGGCGACTCGTCGCAGTAGCGTACAACTGGTGCTCATCTGGACGTGATCTCGACCGACTGCGACGAGTCGTCCTCCTCGGCGTCGGTGTAGAATTGAGTCTTCAGCTGTCCACCGATGACCACGACGGTATACGCCGCCAACAGCGCGGTGATGGTGGAAAACTCCATCTCTGATAAGTAGCGCTCGCCCGTGAGCGGGTTGTGCGCCATGAAAAGGGTCAGTAAAACGCCCCAACCACCTACGAAGGTGGCCCAAAACGATCCGGCGATCCACACGGCGTCTCGAGTGAAGAGCGCGCGTGAAAGCATCAAGGCGTTACCGCTCGTGATGAACACGCTCGTGAGCACGGACAACCCCTGTAACAACTCTGGAGTGCTCAAATTGCTCGCGATTTGCGCCACGGGCATGGACATGAAGAGCGCGGTGGCGGTCCAACCGCTACATTCGCTCCATTTGCTCGGCAGCGCGTCGGCTCGCGAGGCGAAGACGAGCGCTAAAATGGCGAGCTCAGACGGAAGCCACCCCAGCGCCGGGGTCAACGCGTTCGATATGATCTGCGGCGTCGCGATGATGCCGATGATTCCCAAAGCGGCTTGGTACAGCTCCCACATTTTCTGCCCTCGCTCGCCGTGGGCGTAGTCGAAGTATCGCGCCACGCTGAGCGACGTCCCGGCGATGATGAACGCGCTCGACGCAAACATCACCGCCGGCGCGACGTTGTGAATGTTCCCCGTCCACGCGATTTGCGTGAGGAGCATGAACGACGTCGTCACCCCGATCGCCTGCGCCGCCGTCGCCGCGGGTTCGCGCTTATCGGCGAAGTAACTCAGCAGCAACAAGTTCCCGAGCATCCCGGCGCCGTACCCCTGCCACGAAACCGCGCCCAACGCCATCAAATCCCCCGCCATCACGTTCACGTAATTCTTCCAAATCTGCGGAAACGTCAGCAGCGTCAACGGCGCCATCGCGAAGAAGGACAAAGTCTCCGTCGTCGCGTCCAACTTTTCCAGCGCCGTCGCCTCGCCGCGCCGTCCCTCGATCGCGTCCCTCTCCCCTCCTCGTCGCGTCTCCCTCGCGCGCGTCGCGCGCGCCGTCCCTCCCGCGCCATCCTCTCGACCCTCCCGCGCGGCTTTCGCGGCCGTCGCGCGTCGCGCGTCGTCGTCGCGCCCCCGACTTCTGAGATTCGCCGTCGCGCGTCCAACGAACTCGCGTCCGCGCCGTCGCCCGCGTCGTCGTCCCGTCGCCTCGCCGCGCGCGTCGCGCGCGACGACGCGCGCGCGCGGCGTCACCGCCATCGCCGTCGCCCGCGCGACGGTCGTCGGCATCGCCGCCGTCGCGCTCTCCCGCGCCGTCGTCGTCGTCGTCGTCGATCGCGCGTCGAAAGATCCAATCGTCGATCGTCGCGTCGGTCGCTTTTTCGACCGTCGACGACGATCGCGCGCCGATGGGCGTTCGTATCGCGTCTGTACGAGACGCGCGACGCGCGCGCGCGACGCGCCGGCGCGCGCGATCGGTCGGTCGCCGCGATCGGCGCGCGGCGACCGACCGACCGCGCGCGCGCGTCGCGTGACTGTTTGCGCACACGGCGCGTCGACCGCGCGTCGCGCCGCGCGCGAAAATCTCGTCGCGCGGCGCCAGACCCTGACGTTGGATGTGTTTACCTCGACGTCGCGGCGCGTCTCGCGGTGCGTATTTCGGACGACGTTTGCGGTATCGATCGATCGCGGGCGATCGACGTCGCGCTGTCGGGCGATCGCGCGCGCGCGTCGCGAGACGGCGACGCGACGACGTCGCGCGCGATGGCGACGATGATGAACGCGATGGCGCGCGCGACGGCGCGCGCGTCGACGCGACGCGGCGCGCGCGAGGGACGCGCGAGGGACGGGGAGGGAAACCTCGCGCGCGAAGATTATCGGCGTCGTCGGGGGCGCGGACGTCGGCGTCGCGCGGGAACGATCGGCGGCGCGGCGTCGACGGAGGAGACGACGTCGACGCGCGGGCGCGCGGAGAGCGCGCGATACGACGACGCGGAGATACCGCGAGGCGTGGGGAGCGCGACGAAGGCGGAGCTCGCGCGGTGGCTGGAGGGGCGACGCCTGCCGGGGCAAAAGATGGCGCTGGAGGTGAACCTGGCGGAGGGACGAGGGTTGGTGGCGACGGAGGAGATCAAGCGGGGAGAGGCGTTGCTCGGGGTGCCCAGGACGACGCTGATCACGGTGGAGCGAGCGATCGCGGAGGCGAAGTTGGGGCCGAAGCACGCCGAGCTGCAGGAGTGGAGCGTGCTGGCGACGTTTTTGGCGCAACAGGCGCTGGCGTTGGAGAGCGGGACCGCGGGGACGTTCGGGGAGTACATCAGGGCGCTGCCTCGACGCACGGGGAGCGTGTTAGATTGGCCGGAAGATGAGGTGGATAAGCTTTTGAAGGGGTCGCCGTCGCGCTTGGCGGCGGCGGAGCGACAGGATAGCGTCAACGCGGCGATTGATGAGATTCGCTCGTACTTTCCCGAAATCACGGTCGGAGCGCTTCGATGGGCGTTCGATATTCTTTTCAGTCGTTTGATTCGTTTGGACGCCATGGGGGGCGAGCTCGCGCTCGTGCCGTGGGCGGATATGTTGAACCACAAGCCGGGGTGCGCGGCGTTCATCGACTTGAACGGCGACGCCGTCAACCTCACCACCGATCGATCGTACGTCAAGGGCGAGCAAGTGTGGGCGTCCTACGGTCAACGACCATCGAGTGAGCTTTTGATCTCGTACGGTTTCGCCCCAGAGGTTGGTGAAAACCCAGACGACGAATACGCCCTCACGCTCGGCGTCGACGTCAACGACCCGCTCGCCGACGCCAAGGCGCAAGTGCTCAGAGATATGGGCCTGAGTCCGGTGGAAACGTTCCCGCTTCGCTTGAACGGGTACCCGCGTCAGTTGTTGCAGTACGCGTCCTTCATTCTTTGTAACCCGGAGAAGCCGAGCGAGCTTAAGGGTTTGGCGCAGTCGGCGTTCACGGGGAGCGCGAACATCGGGCAGTCGATTTTCGATTCGGTGCGCGGCTTGACTAATGGCAAGGCGCGCGGGAAGCAAGGGGTGATTTTGGGTGGCGTCGCGGGTGAGATAGCGGTTCGAGAAATGCTCGCGGACTTGTGCGCCGAGGCGTTGAGCGCGTACCCGAACACGCTCGAAAAAGACAAGGGTCTGGCTCAAGGGCGCATGCCCGATTTCCCCGGCGCCGACGCGTGGACGGGCGTGGCGCCGGACGCGATCCGGGCGACGCAGCGTTCGGTCTCCGCGGCGCGTGTGCGCGTGTCTGAGCGACGCATCTTGGCCAAGACCGATAGTGAAGTGCGTTTGCAGTTGCGCAAATTGAAACAAAAGTCGTTGATGGACGACTTCAAGCAGTAGAAATCGCAGTCATCGCTTACCTTTTAATTAATTCCCAGCGGCTTTCACCTCGGCCGTGGATCGCGCTTCGTTCGCCGAGTCGCGCGCGCGCGCACGCGTAATGTTAAATTCGATTTTCTCTCAAATCTGTATTACACCCAAGCACCACTAATCGTCTAGAGCGATCTAATCGCTCGCGACGCGCGTTCCAATCCCTCGCCAATTCGCGAAACGACTTCACGCCTTAAGCTTCCGGGAACTGGAACGAGCATTCCTTCCCGGTGAGCTTCTTGTACACACCCGCGAACGTGTCGAGCTTGTACTCGGTCGTGCTGCGGTCCTTCGGGTCCAAGTACACCTTGAGGAGGCGAGAGCCGTCCAATCGGTAGCGCTGGCGCTTGCCGACAATCTCCGTCGGGTAAACCAAATCTTCCAACAACGCCGCGTGGACCGCGGTGAGAGTGCGAGATCTAGGGCGCGAGCGCGCCATGTTGTTCGACGGAACCGGCATAATGCGACGGTTCGCGACGATCACCACATCCTTACCGCTGAACTTCTTCTCGAGCTCGCGCACCAAGCGTTGTTGAATCTTGTGGTACGACTTCAACGCGCGGTACGGCACGTGAATCACGATCGCGGTACGACCGCCCGCAACCTCAACCTCAGCCGCGGAGTTGATGTAAAGATCCTTAAGATCCGCCTTGAGCTCGGCGTTCGACGCCTCGAGTTCGATCATGGCCTGCTCAAGAAAAGCGTTTCGCGCGCGTCAGTCGTCAAGCCCCGCGCGCGTCGTCCTCACCCATCGCACCATCGCGCCGTCTCGCGCCTATGCCCGCGCCCGTCCATCGCCGCGCACTCTCCCGAGCGACGCGCCGAAATACAATTCCCGCATTCATCGCCCTCGTCGCGCCGCCGCGCGCGCGCGCGCGCCCCGCCGCGCGCGCGATCGTCCCGACAAACCCTAAAGCCGCGCAACGCGCATCGCATCGCGTCGTCTCTCATCGTACCTGCGCCACGGTCTCCTCAAACGGGGTCAACGCCGCGCCGTTCGCCTTGACAATCTATTCGTTCGTAATCGTCTCTCCGTCAGTCGCGGTTCGAGGCGCGTCGCGTCGGGCGCGGCGCGGCGTCGTCGCGACGTCGCGATCGTCGAAAGCCCCAGCGCGCGCGCCGCGGTCGGCGCGGGCGCGGACGCGCGGTGCGCGGGACGGCGCGCGGTGAGGCGCGCGCGATGGTCGGCGCGTCGTTCTTCTCGCGGCGCACCTTCGTGGACGACATGTTCGCGTGAGTCGCTGCGCGCGTCGGAAAGACGGATGCCGCGACGCGCGCGGCGGACTCGAGGCGGTTCTAAACCCTCGTCCTTTTGGAGCGCGAGACGACGAACGCGAGACCAGGGCGAACGAGAGTGAACAAAAATAGTGTGTGTGTGCATTCAATAGAAGCCGCGAAAAAGACAGTTGAGCTTTGCTTTAGACGGGCATCGGACGGAATTTCAGGGGCTTGGGCTCTTCGCCACCCATGCGCTCGAGGCGGTGGGCCTCGTACTCGTCGTACGAGCCTTCGAAAAAGACGACGTTGGAGTCGCCCTCGTAGGCCAAGATGTGGGTGGCGATCTTGTTCAGGAACCAGCGATCGTGAGAGATGCAGATTGTGGTGCCGTTCCAGCTTTGGATGGCGTCCTCGAGGCATCGAAGGGTGGCGACGTCCAAGTCGTTGGTGGGCTCGTCAAGGAGGAGGCAGTTGCCGCCGCTCGTGAGCGTGCGAGCGAGCTGTAAGCGGTTGCGCTCACCGCCGGACAAAGTGCCGACCTTCTTTTGTTGATCAGCACTTTTGAAGTTGTACCAGCTGCAATACGCACGCGCGTTCACTTGGCGAGTGCCGAGACTGATTTCTTCGGCGCCGCCGCTCAAGGTGTCGAACACCGTCTTCTCCGGGTCGAGGCTATCGCGACTTTGATCGACATACATGAGCTTCACGGTCTCGCCCACCGTGAGTTCACCGCCGTCGGGCTTCTCTTCGCCCGTGACCATTCTGAAAAGCGTCGTCTTACCGGCGCCGTTGCCGCCGACGATGCCGACCACGGACCCGGGCGGGATGATACAGTTCAAGTCATCGATCAGCAGACCGCGACCGTCGTAGCCCTTGCGCACGCCGTTAGCGGTAATGACGACGTCACCAAGTCGCGGCGCGGCGGGGATGGTGATGGAGTCCAGATCTTGACGCGCTTGGAACTGCGCGGCGGCTTGGCAGAGCTCTTCGTATTGTCGAAGTCTCGCCTTACCTTTTTTAACCTGACCCTTTGCGTTCGAACGCACCCACTCGAGCTCTTGCTCGATTTGACGATCGAGTGAGCTCTTCTTCTTGTTCTCAGCCTCTAGACGCTTGCTCTTACTCTCCAGCCACGTGGAATAGTTGCCTTCGAACGGGATACCCTCCCCGCGATCGAGCTCTAAAATCCAACCGGCGACGTTGTCCAAGAAATAGCGGTCGTGCGTGATGGCGACGACGGTGCCCTTGAACGTCGCCAAGAACTGTTCGAGCCACGCGACGGATTGCGCGTCCAAGTGGTTCGTGGGTTCGTCCAGAAGCAAGATGTCGGGTTGCGAAAGTAACAACCGGCAAATGGCAACGCGTCTGCGCTCCCCTCCGGAAAGGTTTTTCACCAAAGCATCGCCTGGTGGGCAGCGAAGGGCGTCCATGGCGCGCGACACCGTGCGCTCGAGCTCCCACGCGTTGGACGCGTCGAGCTTATTCTGTAACTGGTCCATGCGCTTCATGAGCGCGTCCACGTCGGCGTCCGGCGCCGTCATATCCACCGCGATTTGATTGTACTCATCCAAATCCGCCTGCACCGCCTTCACCCCGACGGCGATGTTCTCAGCCACCGTTTCGCCGTCGTCCAAATCCGGCTCCTGCGCCAAGTACCCAATCTTTATCCCGGGCTCGAGATACACGTCGCCGTCGAACGCCGTATCCGCCCCCGCCAAAATTTTCATGAGCGTTGATTTCCCCGCCCCGTTCGCCCCCAAGATCCCGATCTTCGCCCCGAGGTACATTCCAAGGTTTATATTTTTTATCAGCTCCTTTCCGTTCGGCGTCACCTTGCGCACTTTGGACATGCTCAGGATTATCTTTCGCGTCTCCGTCTGGTACGCGCTCCCCTCCTTCACCTCCCCCGGGCTCTTGTACTTCCCCCCCGCCGGCTTCGCGCCCGCGCCGCCGCCTCCCGGCGCCGGTTTCGCGCTCGCGCCGCCCTTTCGCGCGCTCTTCTTCCCCGCCCGCGTCACCGTCGACGCCGCGCGCGCGCTCGCGCGCGCGCGGTGTCGACAACCCTCGAGCGCGCCGCCGCCCGTCGCGAACGCCGCGCGTCGCGACGCGCACCGCGCGCCTCGCGCCGTCGCGCGCGGCATCGTCGTCGTCGTCGTCGTCGCCATCGCTCGCGCGCGCGTCGGTCGCGCGCGGTCGACGCGCGTCGCGACGATCAGTGTCGTCACTGCGACGCGACGCGTCGACGCGCGTCGTCGCGCGCGCGGCGCGATCGCGACGCGCGAGTCGCGCGCGCATGTCGATCGCGCGTCATCGCGCGAGCGACGACGACGACGACGACGACGCGGAGGACGCGCGCGCGACGCGCGAGGACGCCGCGGCGGATGACGATGGGCGCGAGACGGCGACGGCGATCGCGCGGCGCGACGACGCGACGACGCGATGGTCCGCGGTGACGATCGCGTGCGCGTGCGCGGCGATCGGAACGGTGCTCGCGGTGGCGAGCGCGACGACGGGGGGGGTGGAGAGCGTGATGAGGGAGGGGTACGCGCGCGCGCGGGTGGCGAATTTGGCGAGCGAAGCGCCGAGACGGTACGGACGCGTCGATGGCGCGTTGGAGCGCGAGTCGGGAGCGATGGGAGCGCGAGCGATGGATGTTAAATCGGCGATGAAGTCGGTGTCGGCGTCGCCGCCGACGTGGTCGCCGCCGAAGCCGAAGCCGAAGCCGAAGCCGAAGCCGAAGCCGAAGCCGAAGCCGAAGCCGAAGCCGCCGTCGCCGTCGCCGCCGTCGCCGTCGCCGCCGCCACCGCCGAAGCCGACGACGGCGATCGAGCCGATCATCGATCCGAAGTGCGACGAATGGACGGCAAAGCTCGCGGCCGCGGCGTCGGCTCCAGAGTTTGAGTATGATTTTCCCGCGTACACGTGCTCGAACGAGCACGAGGCGCCGTGCATTCAGGATTTTCAATTCATGAAGCTGCAGCCGGACGCGTGCGATGTGTTGAAGAGGGACGAGGACTGGCCGGGGAGGTTCATGCAGCGAGCGCCGGGCGTCAAAAATGGAGGCGATCTCGTGCGCGCGCTGGGCGCTGATAATACGATCGTTGTCATCGGGGCTTCGATGACCAAACAAATAGAAATCGCTATGGACTGCAGCATTCGGCGCGCGGGCGTCGACAAGTCTCAATCTGCGAAAATCATGAAGCGATGGGGGTGGGCGAGATGGTCGTTCGATAGTCAAACGTGTGAACTGGATCACATGGTGGCGGCTCGGACGGGGGGTGACATTAACTATTGGTTCTCGGCGAAGGAGTACGTCGACGGATGTTGGAAGGATACGAAGGCGTTCGACATCAATGTGCTCGGTTGCGAAGGCGCCATTGACGACTGTGACGCGTCCTCACGCGTCGTCGTACTGATGTACAACATCGAGCATTACGGGGGACTCGGTAACGTGGAATTTTTCGAAAAAGAGACCGAGTTTCTCGTGAAGCGAGCCGTATCGTTGGGCGCCAAGGTGGTTCTCGCCACGAGCCCGCCTAAGCACTTCAGCGCCGATGGCGCGTATAGTAAAGAGGCATACATAACGAAAATCAAGAGTGAAACAGTGTGCACGTGTACACCAACGGTCGAGTCGATAGACAAAAACCCGGCGTGGCGCGGCTATTTCGAAGCCATCGAACGTCTGTCGCGAATACCGGGCGTTCTCGGCGTCATCGATATTTTACGGTCGTCCATGAAAGAATTCTACCGTAGTCACAAAGGCGGTCACTGCGGGTATTATGTGGACGAAGTTCCGGGCGAGAATTCGCAAAAGCCCAAGCGCGAGGTGAAGTATAAAGCGTGCTGCGATTGCACGCACTACTGCTTCGATCCAGCGCTCTGGGACCAATACTTCCTCGATCCTCTCGTCGACATTTTAGACCGCGGGACATCGCCCGCGAGTTAGATTCACGCAGCTATTTCCCTCGCGCGCGCGCGCGCGCGCGTTGTAACGCATCCAATCCGCGCCCGCTCGCCGCCGCCTCGCTCGCCCAACCGCTCGCCCAACCGCTCGACGCCGCACACGTCGGCGCGCCATGGCGCCCGCGCGTCGTCGCCCCGCGGTGCGCGCGCCGTCCAAGCGCGCGTCCTCTGCCTCGCGCGCGGGCGCGCGAGACGCCTCGCGCGCGTCGCCATCGCCGTCGACGACCGCGTGGACCGTCCTGTCGAGACTCTTCGCAACGACGTTTTCACGCCGCGCCGCGCGCCGCGAGGACGTCGAGCGACGACGAACTCGCGCGCGCGCGCTCGCCGTCGCGTGTGTCGCGTGCGCAGCGACGTACCTGCGAGAGGTGTACGTCCCGGCGGCGGTGCGGGACACGTTCGTGGACTCGCTGCCGGATTGGGTGAACGACACGGTGCTCGCGCGATTGCCGGCGTTGGAGTTGCAGCCCGAAACGAGGTCTCGCGAGCGTGGACCGGGCGTCGAACTCCGCGAACGAGGTCTGACGCCGAAACACCCGGTCGTCATCGTGCCGGGATTCGTGAGCACGGGATTGGAACTGTGGCGAGGAAAGGCGTGCGGCGCACATTTTTTTCGACGGCGAATGTGGGGAACGCCCGCGATGGCGCGCGCGTTCTTCAGTAATCAAAAGTGTTGGATGGAACACATGCGACTCGATGGACGCACAGGATCTGATCCGGAATCCGTTCGGCTGCGCGCCGTCCGAGGGCTCGAAGGCGTTGATTGGTTTCTGCCTGGTTATTTCGTATGGGGTAAGGTGATAGAAGAGCTCTCGGAGTTGGGATACGATTCAAACACACTTCACAGCGCGGCGTACGATTGGCGTCTGAGTCCCACGATGTTAGAGCGTCGGGATGGGTATTTCACTCGGCTCAAGAGCGTTATAGAGACGCTATACTCGGTGCACGGAGAGCGCGTTGCCTTGCTCGCGCACTCGTACGGCGATACGATTTCTAGATACTTCTTTGAATGGGTCGAGACACCTGTGGCGAAAGGCGGTGGCGGTGGAGGGAAGCGGTGGGTGGACAAACACGTCCACGCGTACGTAGACATAGCGGGCCCCATGTTGGGTATTCCGAAGACGATTCCGAGCTTGTTGAGTGGAGAAATGCGAGACACGGCTATTCTCGGGGAGCTCGAGGGAATGCTCGGCGGACTTCTAGAGACTGCTGTCGGGCGCTTGATTGGCACACAGATTAAAGAGGTTTGTGACACCTTTCGCACGTGGGGTGCGCTGTGGGCCATGCTCCCTCGCGGCGGCGCGGCGGTGTGGGGGGACGATGACGCCGGCGCGCCCGAGAGCGGCGCGCTGAATTTCTTCCTGCAAATGCGCGCCGCAGGCACGTCGCGCGAAACCAGCTTCAATCACACCGTGGATAGCGCTCTTGGATTCCTCTTCGAGCAACTCGCCGATTCGGTGCCGCACAACGTGGCCGAGTTTAGCTCGACCATCGATCGAGCGTCGCGAGAGCGACTGAAGACGCGCGTGCCGGACTTGGAGGCGAAAACGGCGCCGAACTTCGGCGACCCTTTGCGAAGTGCTCTGCCGAGGGCGCCGAACATGAAGATTTTCTGCCTGTATGGTGCGGGAAAGCCGACGGAACGCGCGTACGTATACGAGCGATTCGACGCCGACGCGCTTCGCCCCTACCAGCTCGACGTCCAGTCGCGAGATGCCGCTCTCACGCACGGCGTCTGGCAGGTCGACGGCGACGGCTCCATCCCCCTTGCCTCCCTCGGCTACGTCTGCCGCGAATGGCGCGTCAATCGCGCCCTCAATCCCGCCAACGTCTCCGTCGTCACTCGCGAGTACGCCCACCGCCCGCTCCCGCTCTCCGTCGGCGGCTTCCAGGGCAAATCCGAGGGCGATCACGTCAACATCATGGGCAACGAGGACATGATTCGCGACCTCCTCACCATCGTCGCCGGTCGCGCGCACGCCGTCCCCCCCCGCGTCGTCAGCGACGTCGACGCGCTCGCCGCGACGATTCGCGCCCGCCTCGCCGCCGCCGCCCCCCTCCCGTCTCCCCAATCCTTCTGACCGCGCCTTCGCTTCGTTTCCGACGCTTTAGCCACGCGCAGAATATATTTTCGCCGCGCGCCCGCGCCTCGTTCGCGCTTTCGGTCGTCGTCGTCGCTTCGCGCGTTCGCCTTCGCGTCGCGCTCGCCTTCGCGTCGCCGCGCCTCTATGCGCAAACAGTCACGACCGAACGACTTTCGCGCGCGCGACCGCGATCCATCGCCCGATCGCGTTCGATCGCGGTCGCCACTCGCGCGCGCGAGATTCGTCGCGCACGAACGCCGCGAACGCTCGCCTCGCGAGGGCGCGCGGCGGTAAAAGTCGCGCGCGCCGATCGCGACGCGCGCGCTCGACGGCGACCGCGCGACGGAGTCGACGACGCGCGCGACGCATCGTTCGAACGGTCGAAGGATTCGAAGGAATCGCGGCGGCGCGCGAAACCGAAGCGCGAGGGCGCGAGGCGGCGAGGAGACGACGCGAGCGCGCTGGGAATGACCTCGCGGGGATTGCCGATGGACGTGAGCCTGCGATTCCTGTCGGACGAGGACGATGGACAGCGCGGGGGGGGCGGGAAGCCGTACGCGCGGCGAGGCGGGAAGAAGGCGAGCGGAAGCGCGAACGGGAAAGGGAGCGGTGGATCGAGGGGAACGACGTCGGAGGCGAATGTGAAGCGGAGCGAGAAGTACGGGGCACCGAAACCGCGGAAACCGCGCACGTTACGGCTGGATGTGGACGAAGATCGAGTGGAGGAGTATTGCGTCGCGTTGCGCGAGCACCAGGAGTTGACGCGCGTGTACGACTATCACGCGAAGATTGTGGATAAATGCGACGAGTCGCAACTTCTGGCGTTCATGGCGCGCGTGTTGAAGTCTGTCATCGATAACATTGTCGAGGAGAACACCGCGCACGGACAGTACTTGGCGAAGGCGACGTTGAGATGCGACGTCGGCGCGTTGCACATTCTCGACGCGTTTTGCGTGACTCTCTACAAAAAGGCGGAGGAGTATAACAAGTATTCCCCGGATTTGCTCTTGCTCGAATCCGTGATGAGTGATTCGCGTCAAGACCCAGACGCTGCCGTCGATATGAACCTTCTCGCCATAGAATTCGGCTTCAACGCCAGATTGTGCGATTGCTTGAACAAAGTCATCGAAGAGACGGCGGAGAAGAAGGGGCTGACGGAGGCGGACAAGAAGCGCTTGCAACGACGATGGCGACTTTGGTTGAAGAACAAAAGCTTTGACGACTGCCGACCCAATCCATTCAATCATGCGCAGTTATCCACGTACGTCGAGCCGCCGTACACGATCAACTACCAGCTGCATACCAACGAGAGCGCGGTGTTCGCGGTTCTGACGTCGGACCAGATCAACCCCTTCGCGATGCAGTGCAAAACGCTCGGCGAGGCGCCGAAGAACGCTCCCGAAGAGATCGAAATCTACGACAGTAAAACCAAGAAGGGAAAAACGTTTCAGGAAATTGTCGACATATTGCAGAAGATCGTCAAGAGCCCTCGAGCGACGCAAGGCGCCCAAAAGGCCAAGGACGAAAACATCTTTCGCTACCAACGCTAAACGTTGAACTATATTTTTTGAACTATAATTTCGAAGAGGCTTCTTCGAAATCGTCGTCCGACACTTCGCCTTTCGTTTCCGCGGTAGACTGTTGACACACTCATTAGTGACGTACCATCGTCCAGTATAATAATTACCGACCACTGTTGTGCCTTTCTTCGCTTCGCCGCGTCTTCGCGCCTCGCGTCTCCTCGTCGCCGACGCCATCCACCGCCGACTCGCCTCTCGCCTCAGTTCACCGCGCGCTCGCGAGCGCCGCGCCTCGAGCGAGTGCGGTCACCATGCTCACCGCGCGCTGCGTCATCGCGCTCCCCGCGCGCCGCGCGTCGCGCGCTGCGTCCCGTCGAGCGCGCGCGCCGTCGACGTCGACGTCAGCCATATCTCCCGGTCGCGCTCTATCCGCGTCCTACGACGCCGCGGACGCGATCGACCCGATGTCGAGCTACGATGGCGCGTCCTGCGTCGTCACCGACTCCATCGACGCCGACGAGATCGACCGCACGCGCGTGGGGGAGACGCTGAGGGAACAAATCGCAAACATGGGAGGGGAGCAGCTGATGGACCCGCGAGACTTCGTGTCCACGGACGCGCAGCGACGACAGTGCGCGGTGTTGTTCGCGTCGTGCGCGGCGTTAGTCGGGAAGGGGATGTATGAGTTCGGATGCGATGGATTCACGGCGATGGAGGCGATGATGGCTGTCGGAACGATCGGGTTGGCGTACTGGACGAGCGACCTGGGCACGGGGATATTTCACTGGAGCGTGGATAACTACGGGAGTAAGGCGACACCGTTGCTCGGTGGGGTGATTGATGCGTTTCAAGGGCACCACAAATACCCGTGGACGATCACGAAGCGGCAGTGGGCGAATAATGTGCACACCACGTGCGTGGCGCCGCTCGTGTTCACCACGCCGACGCTGTTGCTCAACGATCGGGCGACGGATTTGATATTCGTCGGCGTTTTCACGTCTTTGATCGTACTTAGTCAACAGTTCCACGCCTGGAGTCACATGAAAAAGAGCGAGTTGCCGCCGCTGGTGCTCAAGGCGCAAGATATGGGGCTTTTGGTCGGACGTCGCGACCATGGGCAGCACCACAAGTCGCCGTTTGAGGGTCACTATTGCATAGTCAGTGGGTACTGGAATCCGATTCTGGACGGCAGCGGGTTTTTTCGCGCGCTCGAACAAGCCGTGTTCAAGGCCACGGGCACGGCTCCGCGCTGCTGGTCGGATGACGTCGAGTTCATCGTGCAGGAAAGCGCCCCCGAAGGCTGGGGGCGAGGCGTGCTCAAGTGAGCTCGTGAGTTGTATGAATTAAATTGCATTTTTCTATCGCGTACAGCTGCCCCTATTGGGCTGTTTGCGGTTGTAGTCGTTGATACATTTTCGCTTGTAAAAAGCACTCTCTGATGATACATGTCGTCCTCGGCGTCGGCGAAATCACGCTCGTCGCAACGCCAACATCTCGTCGACGACGTCGACGCAATCAATGTGACGATTCACCAACGCGATGTCGCGCGGCGAGACAGGCGCATTATTCGCACCGAGCGAGTGATCCGTGTGCAAACGATCGGCCTCCCACTGCCCCACTTCGACGCTCGCGCCGAGTCGAAGCAGCGTTCGAGCCGCGGCGGCTTCCCCCCACTCGCACGCAGAAAACAATGCCGTCTTTCCGTTGTAATACCTCGCATCGATATCCGCCCCACCGCGCACGAGTAATTCCACCGAAGCGCAATCTCCGCGCTTCGCCACGGCGTGCAACGGCTTCCATCCTTGATGATGGTTTCGACAGTTGGCGTCCGCGCCCCCTCGCAACAACAAGCCCACGCACGACGCCCGCGCGTCGTCCTCGACGCCATCCGCGCACGACGCCGACAACAACACGTCGTCCACGTCCATATCGTGCGCCATGAGCACCCGCACGCACTCGCACTCCGCCCTCGCCGCCGCCGCGCGTCCCGCTCGCCCGAGCGTCTCCGCCCAGTCGCCCGCGCTCGCCCCTCCCTCGCGCTTCTCTAGCATTTTCTCCAGCTCGCGATGCCGTCCGCGGCTCGCGCACAACGCGAGCGCGGCGCCGACGTCGGCGTGCGGGAACGACACGAGGACTTCCAGGGCGTCCCAGTTCTCGTGCAGGGCTACCTGTTGCAAGTCGGCAAACCAACGCTTCAAACGAGGGTCGTTGCGCCGCGCGAACGAGGACGCGACGCTCAGCGCGGTGGCGGGAACTTGCTGCGCGTGCGCGGCGCGCGCGACGGGGTGAGCCATCGCGTCGCGCGCCGCTCGACGACGCCGCGCAGTGGGGGGGACGGCGGTTTCGGCGGAGACTTGCTTATTAAAAGCCGAGTAGAGTATTAGGACGACTTCGTCTTGGCTTCCGCGGCGTCGCGCTCGGCCTGGGCCTCTTCTAATCCTTCGCAGTAATTCCACGTCACGCCGACTTCTTTCGCCAGAGCGGCGCGAATGAAGGTGGCGCCGAGGACGCCCGGGACGATGTACAACAGCGCCGGTTGGGCGGCGTCAAAGACGTTCATGACGACGATGGTGGTGACGATCCCGACGAGATAGCCGAACGCGACGGCGGGGAAATACGTTGTCACAGTCTTTCCGTCGTCGCGGACCGTTCGAGAGGCGGTCGCAGCTTTTTTGGACGCCGATCTCGTGAGCGACTTTCTCGGCTCGAGCGCCGCCGCGCGTCTCGCGTTGTCCATCCTCAAAATCATCGCCACGTAAAGCCCTGGAACGACGATATCCCCCAGACCTAGCATGCTAAACGGTCTATTAGCGCCCTCGATCGCACTGGCGGCGACTCGCGGGAAAAGTAGCTTGATCGGCGCGTCGAACGACCGCGCCACGCTCACCATCACCGGCGTGCAAAACACCCAAAACACGTCGTACACGAACAACCCCGCGAGCAAGATTGACCCGATCTGCACGCTATCAATCGTCAAATACTCGATTCCTTGCAGCGCAAACGACATTCCCAGCGCATTATTCGCCAACCAATGACGCGAACGAACGTACGCCGCCGTTCCCGCCAACGCCGCGACGCCCGCCGCCGCCTCCGCCAGCGTGCACTCCGCCGTCCACCGCTCGCCGTTCACCCACTTCATCTCCGGCACCGAAAACAGTTCGTAGCTCACGAGCTCGCGTCCCCCGAACGCAAATTTGTGCACGACCGGGGTCAGGATCGCGCTCATCGCCACGACGCCGAGCATCCCAAAGTACGCCGTCGCGCACACGTCGAGCACGTTTTTGGGCAAAAACTTGAACGCCAGAAACGCCCCGAACAGCACGCACGACCCGAGCAGAGGGAACTTTTGCGCGTCTTCCTTGGTCATGACCTCTCCCGAGCCCTCGCTCGCCGGTCGCACGCTTCGGTACGCGCCGGCGACGACGCTCAGCGTGCTCACGGCGACGATCTGGGCGTTGGGATCGACGACCGCGACGGTCGGCGCGAGCGCGCAGAGCAGCAGGGCGACGTGCGCGAGCGGCGCGGCGATCGGGTCGGCGCCGACCATCGTCGGACGCGCGCTCGAGGGCATGGCGACGTCGCGCGGGTGAGTGACGAGACGACGAGCGCGCGCGAGGGGAAGACGAGACGACAGACGACGCTCCGATACAAACTTACGACGATGACGTCGTCTACGAGCGCACCTCCCTCGCGGTGCGCGCGGTGACTACTCTATCAGCGCGTCCGCTCGCCGCGGGCGCGTCGGCTTGCTGCTGTAACTGCGCCTCGGTCGCCTTGGCGAGCGCGTCGTTCGCGTACCGTCGCGCGAACCGCCGCGCGGCGGCGAGCGCCGCGCCCCCGTGCGTCCCGACGCGCTCGAACGTCGTCGCCAGCGCGTGATCGACGCGCGACTCGTTCGCGACCAAGATCGGCGCTAAGAACCTATCGTACACGTACAGCGCGCCCTGAAACCTCGGATGCCAGAGATAGACGCTAAACGCCACCTGCGCCGCGCGCGTCAGTCCTTCGATGTTCGAATCCTCCGCGCGCGTCCGCGCGTCGCGCGCGTCCCGTCCCGTTCCGGCGGTCACCGGCGCACCTTACACTCCCAATACATCACCGCTCGTCCCCCGAACGCGCGATCCAGCGCCGGCTGCGCCGCCATCCACGCGCTCGCGACGACCCAGTACACGCACCACCCGCGCGCGTTGTCCGCGCGCTTGCGGTCGTGCTCGAGCGTCTTGTACGTCAGGTACCCCGGGTAGAGCAGGACGACGACGCGGAGCACCGCGTCGGCGATCGCCGCGCTCGGCATCGCGCGCGCGCGTCGGCGACTCGCGCGTCGGCGACTCGCGCGTCGTCGACCGCACCTCGGTCGGTCGCCGCGGTCGCGTCGTGATTTTCGGAGCGTTTTTTTAGTAACGGTCGCCGCGACGAGGGCTGCGAGCGCGTCGAAGGCGCGACGGCGCGCGACGACGCGCGGGAGACGGCGACGCATGGCGAAGACGTGGACGCCGTTCGAGCGCGCGCGCGTCATGCGCGCGGGACGCGCGAAACACGTCGCGGGGAGCGAGGCGTACGGAAGGGGGGATTACGGCGAAGCGATTGCGTGCTTCACGCGCGCGCTGGAGATCGACGCGCGGAATCAGTTTGCGCTGTGTAATCGAGCGCTGGCGCGGTTGCGACGGGGTGAGGACGGCGACGCGGCGCGAGCGCTGGAAGACGCGAGGGCGTGCGTGAGGAACGCGCCGACGTGGCATAAGGCGTGGTTTCGGTTGGGGCAAGCGCGCGCGGCGAGCGGGGCGGAGGTGGAGGCGCTGAGCGCGTACGCCGAGGCGATTCGATGCGACGAGTGCGGACAAGATCGGGATGAGTGCGAAGCCGTGATGAAGAAATTGCGCGCGCGCGTGGAACTGGACGAGCGGAAGGCTGCGGAAGCGGCTGAGGCTGAGGCGCGGCGCGCGGTCGAGGTCGCGGAGGAAGACGACGAGATTGAACGCCGCCGCGCGAGACGCGAGGCGAAATTGGAAGCGAAACGCGCGAGACACAAAGTCGCGGAAGAAAGGCTGAGCAAACAACTGGGATATCCCGAAGGTATGAACGCGGTGGATGTGAACGCGTACGCGGATGAGTCTGATGATAGCGACGATAGCGCGCTGGAGACGTATGACGCGTGCGGGCGGGCGATGTTCATCGAGCGGAAAATTACAGACTTTGTCAGCATCGCGAGGCGCCTTCGAACGAGCGTGGGCGCGACGAAAACGATGGACATGATGTGCGAGTTGCGTCGGTACGGATGCTGCCAGATTTCGCTCGGGGCCGCGGTCGGGGCGACGGCGAAATTTAAAGTCGCCGCCGACGCGGCGGATCGATGCGCGCTGCCGTACGTCGTCATCCCGGCGTGGCGGGAAGCGTCGACGCCGTGGCCGATGTCGCTCGCGCAGTCGCACCAAGACGTTCAGGATGTGATGTGGCTCATGGAAACAGTCGCTCGCGTGACCACGGGAGCGATATATGAAGACGCAGGAAAATCTGAAGCCGAGCTCGACCGCGCGCTCGATTCGCCTCTCAGCGCGGGCGTTCTCGAAAGCGCGCCGTCCATCGACGAAGTTTCTCTTTCGGCGCTCGTCTTCGCGAATGACGAATCATTTCTTCGCGCTTACGCTGAGAAGAACTCGGCGCTCGTGCGCTTGGATTGGCTCGAGGCGTACGAAGAGGAAGACGCCGAGGCGGATGGAGATTCGACGCTCGTGGAGCTCTTCGTGGGCGCCGAGTTGACGCGCCGACTCGATGACGAATTTATCACCGTGGACGAGCTCGACCCACGCGATCGCGACGGGCACGGACCCGATGGCACGAGTTTCGCGTGTCCTAGGGCAAAGCGTCCCGCCGATCGCACGCGCGTTTCATTTTTTCTTTGCCCGAAGAATTCGAATAGCCATTTTTAGCGCCAGTCGCCTCATTCTTTGACTCTTCCCCACAACACCGCATGGATCGCGAACTCGCGCTCGTCGACGACAAAGCATCGAATGTACTCGATGTAATCACCCGACTTCGCTCGGACTTGCGCTCGATCGGCGCGTGTCGCCGTGACGCGTCTCGCGCAGACGCCTGCGCGTCGTTTCGACGACGCGAGCTCAAGGCGCAAACCGCGGCGTGGATGCTCAAACGGCGCAAACTCATGAAAAAGACGCTCGGCGAACGTAAACGTGCGCAACTTCGTGAACTTTTCGATGCGCTCGACGCCGACGGTGGCGGTGAGGTTGAATTCTCAGAGTTCGTCACGACGTGGCAGATGATTGGCGGTCGAGACGCGGCGTCGATGCGAGTCGCCCGCGAGCTCTTCGCCGCGATAGACGTTGATGGCTCGCAATCCATGGACTTTGACGAATTCGCGCTGCTGATGAGCGATCTCGACAGTCGGCACGTTCTCGGCGGCGGCGCGAACGACGACCGAGGAGCGTTGTTTCGGCAGGCGGCGGCGGCGCTGCAGACGCGCCGAGCGATATCAGACTTCATCTCGTTTTGGGGCACCGCATCGGGCGGCGCGCACCGGTGCTGAACCGATGCGATCGAACTGTCTTTCGTCGCCGCGTTCGCGGCTCTGTCGATCGCTGCGTTTCATCGTCGCGTTCGCCGCGGAGCGTTCGCCGACGACGTCACTGCGCGACTCTCGAGTCGTCGCTCGGATGCCCACCGACGCCGCCCCGCGCTGCGTCGCGTACGACGACACTCGCACGGCGTGCGTTGTCGGCACCGCCGCGGGAGAGATCGTCTTCCGCGAGCGCGCATCGTCCGCGAGCGCGCTCGACGCCGCGGCGGTTGAAGATCATTCAAAACCGTCGGCGTCGCCCTGGACGCGTCAGGCCTCCGCGCGCGCCGCGGACGATACGTCCGCGATCGTTGACATCGCGCTGAGCGATGCCGCGCACGGGCGCGTGATCGCGGCTGCCACGGCGAGCGGAGAGGTGTCGTTTTGGCGCGCGAGCGCGAGCGGCGACTCGAACGGGACGCCGCGCGTCGAACGCGTCGGTCTCGTGCGCGTCGAGGGTGGCGCCAAAGCGCGGTGCGTCGCGTTCGCGCCCTCGCACGATGCGCTAACGCTCGCGGCGGCGTGCGATGATGGCGTGGTGCGGTTCTACGAACCTCGAGAAAAATTGACGGCGACGGCTTGGGAGTCGACGCTGGAATTCGAGGGGAAAAAGCCGGGCGGCGACGCCACGGCGTTGGCGTGGCGACGCTCGAGCGAGCGAACGAGTGCGGTGAACGTTCCCATTTTAGCTGTCGGTACGACGTGGACGAGCGAGGCGCGGCACGGTGTGAGTGTCTTGGCGTACGACGAGAAGTTCCGACGATGGAACGTCGTCACGGAGATGGAGGATGGATTGACGACGAGCGCGAGACATTTGGCGTGGAGCGCGACGACGACGGCGCGCGGGGCGTTGAACTTAGTCGTCGCGAGTGGTTCGAAGTGCCTGGTGTACGAGTTCACGGGCGTCGTCATGAGAGGTGTGGAGGACGCGAAGCAAATAGGTCGATTGGATCATCCGTGCGAGGTGAACAGCGCGGAATGGAACGCGAGCGGAAGCGTCATCGCCACCGCCGCCGCGGACGGCGTCGTTCGTTTGTGGAGCGCGAACTTGAAAGATGGAACTTGGCGCGAACAGACGATGGGACAGACGATGCAATAACATAACTACACGAATTAGTCGACGCGTAACGAGACGCTCGCGCCCGTCTCGTCGAATCGCGCAAACGCGTTTTCGGTTTCGTCGTCGCCGATTCCGGCGTCTCGCACGCACTCGAACATCTTTTTGCCCGCCTCTCGCGCGGTTCGCACGTGTACCTTGAGATCGTCGACGTCTTGCGGGGGGTACGCTCCCGCTCCGATTTCTTCGACACAATTTTGAAACTCCAAGCACGCGTCGACGATTGGCTCGAGCGCTTCCAGCCGCGCCGTCTTCTCTTTCACCGTCGGTAAAATCAAAGCCTTCAACAGCGCGACGCACTCCTTGACGAACACGCGCAGAGCCTTCGCGTTCGCCATCTCCGTCTCGCTGAAATCGTCGTCGCAAAATCTCAAATCATCCTCGTCCGTTCGCGTCGAAGCCGCCGCGCCTTCCTCGTCCTCGCCGAGCGCGCGCATCTCGTCGTCCACGTCCTTGACGAACCTCGCGCACGTCATCAAACGCGCCGCCACCGCGCGCACCGCATCTTTCGGCGCCTTTGCGAACGCTTTCGACGCCTCCCAAACGGCGCCCACGCCTCGTCGCACGTTCGCCGCGCGCCCTTCCCTCGCCCTCGCGCACGCCGCTCGAATCGTCGCCTTCGTCGCCTCGCAGCTCGCCCGCGCGAGATTCGATATCTCCTCTCGAAAGCACCGCCCCGCGTTTCCGCGCGCCTCGAGCGTCTTCGCCGTCTCCAGCGTCAGCGCCGCGTGCGCGTCGCGCAGCGCCGCGAGCACCGACCGCGCCGCGTCGTCGTCCTCGTCGAACGCGTCGTCGTCGTCGTTAAAGTACACCCCGACTGCGTCGCCGTCGCGCGCGCGTCCGTCGTCAGTCCGAATCCGTCGTCGTCGCTCGCGCGACGCGTCGTCTCGCGCGCGTCGCACCTTTCGCCGCCTCGGCGTCGAGTCGCGCGCACGCCGCGACGCACGCGCGCGTCGTCGCCGCGCCTTCGTCGTCGCCGCGCTCGCGCGCGCGCGCGTCGCGCGCGCGCGTCGTCGCCGCGTCCGCCGCCGGGACGCCCTTCGTCGCGCCTTCGTCGTCGCCGCGCGCGCGCGCGCGCGCGGTGGACGCGCCCGCGTCGCACGCGCGCGCGAGCTCTTCGCCGTGCGCCTCGAGATCGCGCGCGCGCGGCATGGCGACGCGCGCGCGAGTCGACGTCCGCGGCGTCGCGCGTCGAATCGTTCGCATCGCATCGCATCGCATCGTCTCGCGTCGCACCGCGCGTTCCGTCGCGTCTTCGCTCGCCGCTCCATCATTCCAAATCGTCTCCGTCTACGTCTCGCTTCGATTCGCGTCGCGCGCGGCGCGTCGTCGCGCGCTTCGATTCGTCCGCGTCGCCGTCGCGCGCGCGTCGTCGTCCTCGCGCGCGTCGACCGCCTCGCGCGTCTCCATCGCCGCGCGCTGGCTCGGCGTCATCCGCGTCGTTTTGACTCTATTTTTTCTCGCGAGTTTTCCCTCGTTCGCCGCCGTCACGCGTCGTCGTCGCGCGTCGTCCTCGCGCGCGTCGGCTTCCTCGCGTCGGTCGAGCGCCTCGCGCGCGGCGATGTACGCCATCCCGCCCGTGATGACGACGAGCAGCGCCGCGGCGACGCCGAACGCGAGGCCGACGAGCGTCTCGCTCGACGTCGCGGCGTTCGCGGCGTCGAGCGCGGCGTCGTTCGCGCCGCGGCGCGCGACGTCGCGGATTCGCGCGGACGCGGATTCGCGCGACGCGACGCCGCGCGCTTCGACGGACGCGCGCGCGATCCGCGGCGTCGCGCGACGCGACGCGCGAATCCGCGTCCGCGGACGCCGCGTCGCGACGTCGCGGGACGTCGCGACGGCGACGCGCGCGATGGATGCGCGCGGCATGGCGTCGAGTGACGACGACGCGGTATCCGCGCATCGCGACGCGCGCGCGCGCGACGCGTCGGCGCCGCGCGGCGACGGCGCGATGCCGCGCGCGCGCGCGGACGCGACGCGGGACGCGCGTCGGCGCGCGCGCGACGCGGGACGCGCGACGACGACGCCGACGGCGCGAAATCCGCGACGGCGCGCGCGACGGCGCGCGAGCGCGCCGAAGCGACGCGCGAGCGCCGAGCGCGTCGCGGAGACGGGCGCGAAGAACGCGTACTTCGCGCGCGTCGACGCGACGGCGCTGGCGGAGGAGGAGGCGCGCGACGACGACGACGCGAAGACGACGCGACGAAGACGCGACGAAGACGACGGGACGGGCGACGCGGCGACGCTCCCGCCGGTGTTCGCGGCGGTGACGCGCGCGACGGTGACGGCGATGACGACGGCGAAGGCGCGGCGACGGGCGAGCGATCCCGCGGGCGCGGTGCGGAGGATCTTTGACGAACGACGCGCGAGACGGGCGGCGGCGACGATTCGGACGACGACGACGACGAACGCGGGACGAAGGACGAGCGAGCCGACGCCGGCGCGCGCGCGATTCGCACGCGCGTTGGATGGCGCTTTGGACGACGCTTTGGACGACGCGGAGGCGAGCGGAGGGGCGAGCGCGCGGGATGGGGACGACGACGCGAGCGACGGGGCGTACGGGTTGTTGCTTCGCGCGGCGCGAGACGAACGCGCGGCGAGAGACGCGTCGTTGCCCGAGGAGTACTCGTTGCAGGAGGTGCGAGACGGCGGCGCGGCGTGCGAAGATTTGGTCGCGCTGTCCGTCGCGTTCGAGCGCGAGGACGCGCGCGTCGGGTCGCTCGCCGGCGGTTTGGGGGGCGCGGTGGCGCACGTCTTGCGAACCGCCTCGGGCGAAGCCGTCGGGTACACGTTGACGTACGAAAACCGCGCCCCGGAGTGGGACCGCGCGCGCGCCGTCGTTCTTCCTCCGCGACTCGCGCACGTGTTCATTCGTCGAGATCACCGCATGCGAGGACTCGGAACGGGTTTGGTGAATTGGTGGCGACGTCGATTCGCGCTGCGATGCGCTTTTTTCGCCGTCGATTCGCCCAACGACTCGATGACGCGAACGTTGCTTCGCGTCGAATGCGCGCCGGCCACGACGCGTTCGGGTCACGGCGCGTCTAGTGTACATTACATAGCTCCAGTCGCGGCGTCTTCGTGAGCCGAGAGGTTTCACGAGCGCGCGGCGCGCGTTGTAAATTTCTATTCCAGCCGGGCGGGACCTCGGTCCGCCGTCGCGGCGATGTACTTACCAGTCTTTCTGCAGCGGTCGACGTCGTACCCACCGACGAGTTTCGCGCGAATACGATCGGGTAGCTTGAGCGACGCCTCGACGTCAGCCTTCGTCGCCCCGCGGCCGAGCAAGCGTTCCATGTGCTCGCGGCGCACGCCGTTTTCGAGCACGTCGCGCGTCTCCACGCCGCTCTCGTGACTGTCCCATCGAACGCGCTCTTGAAGTTCTTCGTGCATCGCGCGCAAGACGGCCTGCGCCAAGGCGAGCTGACCTTGCGTCTCGGTTATCTTGGATTTGAGGTCTTCGGCGTCGCAATCTTCCAAGTCGTCAAAGTACACGCCGCATTCGCGTACGTTGTACGATTCCCCGGTGACTTGGCTCGTGAGCGTCAAACCTTCGTGCAAGCGATCGATGAGATCGGCATCGACGACGCGACGCGTGAAACAGTCTTCGGGAATGACGCCGCACGATCCAACCTCGAGACCGCGACGTATTTCTTCTAGATGCGCGATTCGCAAGTGTAGCGCGGCGACGCGACGATCGCGTTCGGCGATCTTTCGCACCAAAGGTTCCGCCTCGCTTTGGAGCCCTCTGTATCGGCCGAACTCTTCCGCGAACTTCCCCTCCCCGCTCCACGCGAATTCGTACTTGGTCTTTCCCTTCTCGTACCCCTCGTCGCCCTCTTCTAATTTCCGCGGCGTCCACACCTCGGGATTCTTCCCGACGCTCGCCGCGCGCGTCCCGAGCGACCGCGCGCCTTCGGCCACGACTTCACACATCGCACTCGCGCACGCTTCCATCGCTGGATGTAACGGGTCGATCGTCAACGCTCCGTCCAACACTTCGCACGTCCCTCGACCGTCGTCATCTCTCGCGTTACCGAATCGCAGCTGCACCGCCGCGCCGCGTTCCGCCAACGTCCCGAGCTGTCGCTGCGCCACCTCTCGCGCGTCTACGATCTTCGTCAGCCTCGGTTCGATCGATCGCGTGAACCTCACGCCGTGAATTTCGATCAAGCACGTATCGCACGCGCGCGACACGCGCCCGTCGCCGTCCTCAACGCGCGTCAAGCGCGTCATGTGCCCGGTCGTCCCAGTCGTCGTCGCGCGCACGAGTTTCGAGCGTTTCGTGCGGTCGAAGCGGAACGCGATCGTCTTCGCTCGAACGGTGGCGTCGGCGGACGAGGTAAACATGACGCGCACGTCGTGCGCGACGTCGGTCATCGCGCGATGGCGCGCGCGCGAGTGCGGACGGCGTCAGCGTTCGCGTTTCGTTTTTTTCGAGCGTTTCTCGAGCGTTTCGACGCGCGACCGCGCGTCTCCGAAATGCGCGAAACACCCCCCCGCGTCTCCGCGTAGTTCGCGTCGCGCCCGACCGCACGCAGACGCGCGCGGTGGCGATGCGAGGCGGTACGCGTTACGTTGACTCCGTGCGCACGATCGCGCGTCTCGCGCGATGACGGCGCGCCATGACGCGCGCGCGCGAGCCGGTCGACGCCGCGTCGTCATCGTCGCGGTGTTGGCGGCCTGGGCGTGGGCGACCGCGGCGAGTGCGGCGCCGTTCGAGAACGCCGCGGCGCTCAAAGCAGCGGTGAACAATTGCCTCGCGGCGAGTCACACGGGTGATTGCGATTGCTCGAGCGCGTCTGTGGACTGTGGGGCGGCGGGGAGCGACGCGATGTCGCAGTGGGACACGAGTCTGGTTCCGGACATGAGCTACTTGTTCCACGACGCCCGTTCCTTCAATCAGTCCATCGGGAACTGGAATACGAGTCAAGTAACGAACATGGTTGGGATGTTCTTGTACGCCGCTGCTTTCAATCAGCCCATCGGGAACTGGGACACGAGTCAAGTGACTAACATGACTGACATGTTTGCGATCGCCCGTTCCTTTAACCAACCCATTGGTGACTGGAACACGAGCCAAGTCATGGACATGCGTTTTATGTTCGCTACTGCTTATGCTTTCGATAGTCCTATCCGCAACTGGGACATCAGCCAAGTGACGAACACGAGTTACATGTTCTATTCTATTGCTGCATCTTTCAATGTTTTCAACCAATCCGTCGAGAACTGGAACACGAGCCAAGTTATGGACATGCGTGGGATGTTCGGGAACGCACGTTACTTCAACAAGCCTATCGGCGGCTGGAACACGAGCCAGGTTACGGACATGCGTAACATGTTCGTTACCGCCTCTTCCTTCAACCAGCCCATCGGTGACTGGGACACGAGCCAGGTTACGGACATGCGTTACATGTTCGCTACCGCCTCTTCCTTCAACCAGCCCATCGGTGACTGGGACACGAGCCAGGTTACAGACATGCGTGGAATGTTGGGGTCTGTGTCCTTCAATCAGCCCATCGGGAACTGGAACACGAGCCAGGTTACAGACATGCGTACGATGTTCGCTACCGCCTCTTCCTTCAACGCGCCTATCGGTGACTGGAACACGAGCCAAGTTACAGACATGGGTAGAATGTTTTACGCAGCCTCTTCTTTTAACCGGTCTATTGGCGACTGGAACACGAGCCAAGTCACGGACATGCAGTCGATGTTTTACGCCTCTTCATTCGATCAACCCATCGGGAACTGGGACACAAGCCTAGTCACATACATGAATTCGATGTTCAACAGCGCAGTTTCCTTCAACCAGTCTATCGGTGGCTGGAACACGAGCCGAGTGGTGAGCATGCAGTCGATGTTCGCGAACGCATTTTCCTTCAACCAGCCCATCGGGAACTGGAACACGGGCCGAGTGGTGAGCATGCATTCCATGTTTGACAGCGCAGTTTATTTCAACCAGCCCATCGGGAACTGGAACACGGGCCGAGTGGTGAGCATGAATTCCATGTTTGACAGCGCAGGCTTTTTCAACCAGCCCATCGGGAACTGGGACACGAGCCAGGTTACAGACATGAATTCCATGTTTGATAGCGCAGGCTCTTTCAACCAGCCCATCGGGAACTGGAACACGAGCCAGGTTACAGACATGAATTCCATGTTTGATAGCGCAGGCTCTTTCAACCAGCCCATCGGTGACTGGGACACGAGCCAGGTTACAGACATGCATTGGATGTTCCAGGGTGCCTCTTCCTTCAACCAGCCTATTGGAGACTGGGATACGAGCCAAGTGGTGACCTCGTACTCATTTAGCGAAATGTTCAAGGACGCAACGGCGTGGCTATGCTCACACACACACAATACGTCGGATCCGATGCATTTTCAAAGATACTACGATGGTCCACCGTCTTTTTGGTTCGAGTCAGCGGCTGGAATCGGTGCAGTGTGCTTGTCTCCACCACCGCCAACCACACTACCGTGTGTATATGTCGCCGCCCCTCCGTTGACCGCAAGGTCGACTGGAACCGCGAGGTCGAGTGTCGCACTCTCGCTATATACGACAGTCATTATCATATACTTCCACGCCTGAAACTGAGACAGAAACTGAGACATCGCACATTCACAAATCCTACAAGGATATGATACCGTAGTCATAGTGGATATATACAGTGCTGCTCTCGCATTTCCAGTTCCTACCTGATGAATACTGGATTATGGGGTGATTTTCAAACAAGTGTAGAGTACTAGCCTCCATTTCTCGCTTGTTCTTGAAATACAACTTGAATTACAACTCGAGGCAAACTGAGGGCGTCGAGACATAATCGCCATCACCTGTCGCAGCGCGCGCGAAAATCTCTATCACGACGTCGGCGGCGGTGGCGGGCGTGAGTCCGCACGCCACGACGGGAACGACGATGATAGAAACGTCGTACACGCGCCGAATCGCCGACGCGAGAGTCTCACTGAGCGCCGAATCGACGCTTAAATTATGATACAGTCGGCATGTGGACACATGCGACGCGGTCAGCTCGGCTTCGCCTAAATACAGTGCGATTCGTGCCAAGATGTGCCCGTTGGTGAGCTCATCACTTTTCAAGACGGCTTGTTTGACGCTGATTGAACACTGGAGGAATCGCCCTGGGCGGCGAACGCTCGTCGATTCCATCACGTCGCAAGCCGAGTCGCCTCGCACAGACTCGCGCACGAGCGTTTCCTCGCCATCGAACGATTCTTCGTCGCCGAGAGGTCCTGTGCCGACGAGCAACGTGGGAGCGATCTCACCGATGGCGTTCTTTGGAAGATCGGTGACGGTGAGGTACGTCGTCGTCGGGCGCCATAGAAATCTTCGTCCACTCTGCGCGACGACGCGTTCGAAGGACGCCGACATCACGTTCGCTGGATGCACGCCCTCTGCTTCGTAGTCTGCGTTGTACTTCGCACTAGTGTAGAACGTCACCGCCAGCGCTCGTTCACCAAGTGGCGCACCCGTGATGTCTGCGACAGCGACGGCGCTCGCCATCGCGCGGTCGAGTTGGGCAACTATTCCGGGCACCAAGTCTAACGTTGTCGGCTCCATACCGATTTGCCCGGCCACGTACGCCAGGCCGTTCACACGAATCGACTGACCGTACGGCCCGATGCACGCGGGAGCCCACGACGACAGTGACTGCACGTGTAGTGATTTTCGTTCGTTACCGCCGTCGAGGATGAACAAGCAATCAATCTGAACCTTGGCGTCGCCGGGCAAGCACGTGGCGACGCACGCGCGGGCGCTGGGCGCGACGGGCGGCATGTATCTAGAATACACGCCATTAACCGTTGCGAACTGGCTCATATCATCTAGATAAACGTGCGTCATGGCGACATTACGCCACGCCTCAGTCGCCCCGTCCTCGCCGAGTTTTTCGGCGACGAGAGCGCGCATCGTCTGAAAAATAGCCTCCGCACACGTTTCGTGCGTCTCGCTCGCTGGATCTGCGGCGCGCAAAGACACCGAAAGTATCGAACCCACTAAGCCTATCGTGTGATGCACACGGCAGGTCGTACCTGTGACTGCAACGCAACCTTCGGTTTCGGCCGTGAACTCCAACGTCGCGGACGCCGTCGCCGACGCTCTCACGCGAGGCGCGTCGTCTTCGACCCAAATCACCCTCCCGGGCGCGATTTCATCCCCCTTCTCTTTGAGCACGACGTCAAACGCGTCGATGACCAAGTGACCGCTCGGCGCGAATCGATCTTCGCTCGTCTTCACCGTCCTCGTCTCCGTAATCGCCAAACTCGCGCGAGCGAACATCGGACAATCCACCACGAGCGTCTCAAACTCCCCGCCTTCGCCCGCGCAGTGCGACCCGTACTCATCTTCAACCCTAATCAGCGTCTCCCTCGCGTCCGCGATGGACATCCCCAAGTGTTTCCCCGGATCCAATCCCATCGCCGCCACCTTGACCAGACGCGCGTCGACGCCCTCCGCCTCCACCCGCCGTAAAACCTCTCGCTGTTCCACGCGCCACAGCGGCGCCAACGACGTCAGCCCCAGGCTCGCGCACACCGCTTCCACCCGCAACCGCTGATAATCGCTCAGTATCGCCCCCGAGCACACGCTATTCACATCCGGTCGCTCGCGTTTCGCCGCCGCCAACGCCGCGCGCAAATCCTCCACCTCGTCCCCCTCCTCTCCGTCCCCGTACTCCAGCCCCAGCGCCTTCGACCGCCCCGTGATCCGTCGGCGGTACACGTCCAACCCCGCGCACGCCGCGAACGCCCCCACGCACTCGTGCGCGACCGTCTGAAAGCAGTGCGAGTCCACCTCGCGCGTCGCCGCGTCCCTCGGGCACAGGTTGACGAGGCACGCCACCGTCGCGTCCGCGCGCCTCGACGTCTCGATCGCCGCCAAAACGCCGTCCTTGCCGCCGGACACGAGCGCCGCGCACGCGTACCGCCGCTCGGGCATCGCGACTCGCGACGCCGCGCGTCGACGCCGAGTGGCGTCGACGCCGCGCGACGTCGACGCCGCCTTATCCGCGCCGCACACGTCGACGCCGCGCGCGAGCGACGCGAACGCAGAGCGCGCGTGCGACGCGCGCGCTTCCGATGGCGATGACGACCGCGCGAGGGGCGACGGCGACGCGCGCGCGCGCGAGGGCGACGACGATCGGCGGAAAGAAGAGGGATGGCGAGACGACGCGCGCGCGAGGACGCGCGCGGACGCGCGCGCGCGCGGACGCGCGCGAGGCGCGCGAAAAAACGATGGGACGACGCGCGGCGATCGGCGTCGCGGCGATCGCGCTGCACGGAGGAAAACGGAACGCGGCGCGGGCGGAGGAGGAGGCGGCGGCGACGGGGACGGCGACGGCGACGCCGCGGGGGACGGCGAACGCGCTGGACGCGTACGAGATGGCGACCAGGAGCGGTGGGAACTCGAACACGGCGAAAGCGATCGTGAATAAGGGCGAGAAGAAGAGCAAGGTGAAGATTGAGGCGAAGGAGGCGTCGAGCGGGCCGCCGGGGGCGCTGCTCGGAGCGATTCCCGTCGTGCTCGGTCTCGGCGGATTCGCCGCGTTCAAATCGTTGAGCGGCGGGTCGTCGGCGGATGACGACGATGACGACGAGCCGATTCGTGCGCCGCCGAAGAAGCCGTCGTTGCCGAAATTTGAGGCGCCGAAGGTTGTGCCGCCGAAGTTTGACGCGCCCGAGATTGACGCGCCCAAATTTGAAGTTCCCAAGTTTGAGATGCCGAAGATTCCGGGCGTCGGCGGCAGTGGTTTGCCACCGGATGCGCCTCGCGCGGGCTTCCCATCGCGCGCGGATTCTTTCGCTGAGGAGGAGGAAGAACAAGAGGAAGAAGAGGAAGCCGTCGAAGACGAAGACAGAGAGGCGCGCAAAGCGCGCCGCGCAGCTGAACGAGCCGAGCGCGAAGCCGAGCGCGCCGCGCGGGATGCTGAGCGTGAAGCAGCTAAGGCGCAACGCGCCGCTGAGCGTGAAGCCGTCGAAGACGAAGACAGAGAGGCGCGCAAAGCGCGCCGCGCAGCTGAACGAGCCGAGCGCGAAGCCGAGCGCGCCGCGCGGGATGCTGAGCGTGAAGCAGCTGAGGCGCAACGCGCCGCTGAGCGTGAAGCCGCAGAAGCTGAACGAGCTCAGGCGAAGGAAGCCAAGGCGCGGGAGGCGGAACGCATCGAGCGCGATCGCAGCGCCGAAGAGAGAGACGCGGCTGAACGTAAGAAACGCGAAAAGCAGCTCATCGAACAGGAGCGCGAGCGTATCAAGGCCGAAAAGCGAGTCCGTGCGGAACAACAGCGCGCGGCCCGCGATGCGGAAAAGGCTGAGCGCCAAGCGGAAAGGGATGCGCGCGAAGCGGAGCGACAGGCTGAAAAGGAAGCTCGAGCCGCCGAGCGAGCGGATCGCAAGGCCGCAAACGCTCTCCTCAAGTCCAAGCCAAAGTCAGCGCCGGAACCCAAGGAAGCCAAGGAAGAGAAATCGTTCACGCAACTCTTTGCGAAAAAGAACGTCGAAGACAGCGAACCACCGGCCAAAACGCAAGTCATGAAAAAGGCGAAGCCCGAGCCGATTGCGCGAACTCAAGTCATGTCCAAGAGTGGGAAATCGTCTGGCGTGGCCGAATTGCCATCCAAATTCCCGAGCGTTGAGGATTTGGAAGGTTTAAGCAAGGAAGAAAAGCTTGCGATCGCCGATGAGGCCGACGCCTTCGCCGAACGCTTGGTTCGTAAGGCTGAAGCTGCGGAGAAATTCGCCAACGGTCCGGTCGTCGGCGTCCTCTTCTTCTTGAAGTCTGGCGCCATCAAGTCCGCTGAGCGTGCCGCCGAGGTCGCAGAGCTCGCCGAAGCGACCGCCGCGCAAGTTCGATCGGCGGCGGAGCGCGGCGATGGCATCTCTGGCGCCGTTATCGGCGCCATCGCCGCGACCGTTCTCGTCGGCGGTGGCGCCGCGTTGTTGGGCGGCTCGTTGTTGGGCGGCGATAACGCACCCTCCTCCGGACCCAAGGCTGTGGCCATCAAGAAAGCTGCGGCTCCCAAGGCATCGGCACCTATGTTCGCCGCGCCGCCTCAAGAGGCGCCCAAGCTTCGCGATTTGGAAGCTCTCGAAGCCATCGAGAAACTGAACAACGGCGAAGGCGACGCGTTGGACCTGTACGAACAGATGCGCCGCTAATACACATTATCTGTCGACCGCGACTGCGAGCAAAGGCGTACATATTCGTTCGATTTTGATACAAGACTATAACATTTCATTTTTTTTGCGGCCGTTTCGGTGAACGCGACGCTTTCGCGTCCTCCTTTTGCGCCAACTCCGCTCTTTTATCCACCGCGAAAGCCGCCATGATGGAATCTCCTAGGCCGTCCTCGAGTAAGAACTCGGTCAAATCAATACCACCGCTATCATCTAAATCGAACACACACCAGATACTTTCGACCATGCTGCGAACGTCTTGGATGTGCGCGACGTCGTCCTTGATGCCGAATGTTTTTATGAGCGCTCGCACGACTTCATCCTTCTCCAAAGTCCCCGAATCGTCCTCGTCCCAAAATTTAAACCACGCCCGTTTATCTGTGACGTGTGGTACATGTTTATACTCTCGCAACCTGGGCGGGTATTTCTTGGACACGAACTCCAACAAACCGTCGGCGCCGACTAACTGCGCCTTGCCCAGCGCGCCCGAACTCTCGGGGTCCCACCGCGCCCACAAGCTCCCTAAATCCTTGTCGATCTTCCTCCAATCCACCGGAATCTGTGCTCTTATCACCGTCAACACCTGTTCTTTGTCCAATTTCCCGTTCCCATCGACGTCGCAAAGCCTAAACCACTCGTTCGCGTCCTCCGTCGGAAAGGGCACGCCCCGCGCGCTCGCGAACGCCGTCCGACATATCGGACACACCGATCCGATGTGTTCGCACACCGCTCGCGCGCACCGCTCGTGTAAAAAATGTTTACACGTGCGCGCGCCGCTTTCGTCCACGAACACCGCCGTGCGTTCCTTGCACAGCGGTTCGAAGCACGCGCCGCACTCTTGATGATCCTCGCTCACGTGCAGTCCCCCCCGCGCGCTCCCTTCGTCGTCGCTCGTCCCGCACCACACGTCATCCGTCGACCGTCGCGATCGACGCCGTTCGTTCTCGCGCTCCAACACCGCCGTCGTCGCGTCGGCGTTCTTGCGATGCAAGTAATCGTTCGGAGGTTCGTACACCCCCGGGATCGCCGGCGCGAAGTGCTGCGCGATCTGCCGCTTGTTGCTGTTCGCCGTGTGCGTGGGCAGGCGCAGCGCGGCGCCCATGCGCGCGTCGCGTCGCGTCGCGTCGCGTCGCGTCGCGTCGCGTCGCGGTGTGGCGCCGTCGATCCTCCGTCCCATCCATTCCACCATCCGACGCGCGTCGCGTCGCGTCGTCGCCGCACTTCGCGACGCCGCACTTCGCGCCGCGTCGCCCGCGATCGCCGCGTCGACGATCGATCGCGCGCGAAGCGCCCGAGCGAGCGAGGCGGCACCGCGCGCCGAGGCGACGCCGCGCGCGCGCGCGGGACGATGAGTCTTCGCCCGGGGTCCAAGGCGAGCGAACGGAAGAAGGGCTTCAAGAAAGCCATCGACGCCGATGAGGCGCGACGGAAGCGCGAAGGTGCGCGGGGTGACGCGCGCGAGCGATGACGCGCGCGGACGGGCGCGGAGACGGCGCGCGGGCGCGAAGCGAGGGAGATTAAGTCGCGGTGGGATGATCTGGCGGCACGAAAACGGTGGACGCGCGCGCGCGCAGCGCGCGCGCGAGGCGACGGCGACGCGGAGACGACGAAGGACTGACGATGCACGCGCGCGCGCGGTGGTCGGCGAACGCAGATAACATGATTCAGATTCGTAAGGATAAGCGCGAGGAGGCGATGATGAAGAAGCGAAGGTGCGCGCGAGACGACGACGCGCGCGAGGCGGAAAACGCGAACGCGCGGTGATTCATCGGACGGTGACTGACGAAGTGGGTTTATGATGACGCAGGGACGGTGCGACTGGAAGCGTGGCGTCGGATTCGACGGCGATGACGGGTTCGCCGGGCGGGGGATCGGTGCAGAGCAAGCTCGCGCAGTTGCCGCAAATGCTTGAAGCGCTGAAGAACCCGGATCCGAACGTGCAACTCGAGGCAACGATTGCGTTTCGTAAACTTCTTTCCATCGAGCGATCGCCGCCGATCGATCAGGTGATTGAGACCGGCGCGACGCCGTTTTTCGTCGAGTTTTTAAAGCGTACCGATGTTCCAAAGTTGCAGTTTGAAGCCGCGTGGGCGCTGACGAACATCGCCTCTGGTACGAGCGAGCACACGGCGATCGTGATCGATCATGGGGCTGTGCCCATCTTTATCGCGCTGTTGGGTTCAGACAACCCCGACGTGCGCGAGCAAGCGGTTTGGGCGCTCGGGAACATCGCGGGCGACAGTCCGCGGTGCCGCGACTTGGTGTTGCACGCCAACGCGTTGCATCCGCTCCTCGCGCAACTCAACGCCGAAGCGAAGATCCAGATGCTTCGTAACGCGACGTGGACTTTGTCGAACTTTTGCCGCGGTAAACCTCAGCCTGACTTTAGCGCGTTGCGAGCGGCGCTTCCGGCGCTCGCTCGCTTGGTGCACTCGAACGACGAGGAGGTGCTCACTGATGCGTGCTGGGCGCTCTCGTACCTTAGCGACGGTACGAACGACAAGATCCAGGCCGTTATCGAGGCTGGAGTGTGCCGACGTCTCGTGGAGCTCTTGGCGAGCAACCATCCGAGCGTGTTGATTCCGGCGCTTCGAACGGTTGGTAACATCGTGACCGGCGACGACTATCAGACTCAAATCATCATCAACTGCCACGCTCTGAAGGCGTTGCTCGGATTATTGGCGGGAGACTACAAGAAGAGCATTAAAAAGGAAGCGTGCTGGACGATCTCGAACATCACCGCCGGTAACAAGGACCAAATCCAAAGCATCATTGACGAGCAAATGGTGCCGCCGTTGGTCGAGTTGCTCGCCAACGCCGAATTCGATATTAAGAAGGAGGCGGCCTGGGCGATTTCTAACGCCACGAGCGGTGGTACGCATCAACAGATCAAGTATCTCGTCAGCCAAGGGTGCATCAAGCCGCTGTGTGATCTCATCAACTGCAGCGACGCGCGCATCGTCACCGTCGCGCTCGAGGGGTTGGAGAACATTTTAAAAGTCGGCGAGGCTGATCGCGGCGACAACATGGAAGCCCCGAACGTTTTCGCGCAATACATCGACGAAGCCGAGGGGTTGGAGAAGATCGAATCGTTACAGAATCACACCAACGACGACATTTACCAAAAGGCGATGCGTCTTTTGGAGACGTATTTCGGTTTAGAGGACGACGACGCGCAAAACCTCATGCCCGAGGTCCAGGGCGACCAGTTCGCCTTCGGCGCCGGCGCGCCCACGGGCGGGTTCAACTTTTAGACTTTTTTCGCGCGATGGATGAAACGACTTTTTTCGCGCGATGGATGAAACGACGACGACGACGACGACGACGACGACGACGACGATCACTAGCTCTTGAAATCAACGCAAATATTCACCCGCGTCGCCGCGCCACCTGGAGTTTCATAACGTCACCCAACAGCCGCGCTCGCGTCGCCACACGCGCGCGCGCCATGCGCCCGATCGCGCGATCGCGCGCCCGCGCGCGCGAAACACTTCGCGGCGCGTGGTTCCGGCTCGCGATCTGCGCCGCCTGCGCCCTCGCGCGCGCGAAATCCGCGCGAGGGCACGACGATGACGCATCGGGACGCGGCGCGCCCGCGTGGGTGTTGACGACGCTCACCGACGTTCGAGCGCGCGCGAGCGTCGACGGTGGCTACGCGCCCGAGGTGACGTTCACGCTCGATGCGTTCGGGACGTCGCACGACGTGCGCGTGGCGGTGAACGAGGAATTGACGTCGGGAGGGTGCGCGGCGAAACGGCGACTGGGCGCGAGCGACGCCGACTCGAGACGCCGACGCGAGGAGGGTCGGAGAAAACGCGAGGGAGGGCGGCGCGCGCGCGAGCTTTCGTCGGAGACGTCGAGCGCGCGCGCGCACGTGGAGACGATCGGGGAGAGCGATTTCGAGGTGATACCGATGGGGGCGTTCGGCGCGCGCGGCGCGGCGCGATGCCAGTATTTGGGCGCGACGACGAACGCGACGGTGAGAACCGCGGCGGCGTGCGCGCTGTGCGATGGGTTCGTCAAAGGGCAGATACGCTCGCGAAATGTGACGATCGCGTTCGAACAGGCGAGCGAGGCGGCGGCGGCGGCGTACTTGGCTTCGCGGACGATGCCGAGCGGGCGACACGCGCTCGAATACGTCGTGCTCAACGTGAGCACCGTGCACGCGCACGAGGGGGGTAAGATTGACGAACCACGCATTATGGGGCCGGAAAGGCTCACGTACTTGGACGTTAATGGAAACGCGATGAGCATCGAGGAGGTTGAGCGGCAGGCGAAGGAGGCAAAGGAACCGGAAGACGCTGACCGCCGCCGAAAGCTTTTGCAAAGCTCGCAGCGATACATCGAACTCGTCGTCGTCAACGACTACGCGCGGTGTCAAATGTTTAACGGTGACGCGGATGCGTTAGAGGCGGACACGCTCTACGTCGTGAATGTCGTAAATTCGCTGTACGAAAACGCATTCTCGCCGCCGATCAAAATAATCCTGAAGGACGTCGTATCGTTCACGGGTGGAGATCCGTACGAGCTCACGTGGCTTTCTGGCTCCGAGGAGGCCGCGGAAGAAATAATTGACGACATTAACGCGTGGCGGCGGGCGAATATAGGCTCCATCGCGGCGCACGACATGATGCACTTGTTCTCAGGGCTCGATTTCTATGGCGTCGGCGACGAACCTGGTGAGAGTTCGCCTCACGTTATTGGCTTAGCGTCGCAGTACGCCGACTTCGGGTACAGCGGCGCTTGCGTGCAGTCAAAATACTGCTCACAACTGCCCCCGGGAGTGTCGTCGGGTAGCGCTATGCTCACCGAGGGGGGCTGTTACGTTATATCTGGGCTGAAGTACTGCTGCTTCACCGCTGTGCAAGTCGCGGCGATCTCGATGGTTTGGAAAGCCAGCTCGCAACGAGACGCCATCACCGTCGCGCACGAAATCGGTCACCAACTCGGCTTCTCGCACGATCACGTTGATTACGACTCGTGTCCGCAGTACGGCCAGATCATGGCAGTATACGCTAACTGGGAACTCGAGGTCGATTGGAGCACGTGCTCGAAGACGGAATACGCTGCAAAAATCGGCGATATTTATCACGAATGTTTACTCGAGACGGAAACCGCGAGCACGTCGGTGTGCGGAAACGGGATCGTCGAGCCTGGGGAGCAGTGCGATTGTCCGGACAAAAACTGCACGTGTTACGATCACTGCTGCAATGCAGAGACGTGTCAGCTTTTGACGAACGCCACGTGTTCCGCGGTTGATGGTTGCTGCGACGCTTCGACGTGCACGGTTGCCGCGTCGGGCACGGTTTGTCGCGCGTCGCTCGGCTCGTGCGACACCGCGGAAACGTGTGATGGAACATCGAAATCGTGTCCTGTGGACACGATCACGGCTTATGGAACCGCCTGCACGGACGCGAACGGTGATGTAGGCGCTTGTTGGGCAAACGAGTGCCGCAATCGAGATTGGAAGTGTCAGGATTTAAGTGCGAACACGTACGGCGGCGTGCGAACGTCCACCGCGCGATGTCCGGCAACGGCGTACGCGCCCGCGCAAATCGCGGGCTCGTCGACCGCGTGCTCGAGTGGCGAAGGAGCTCAACCGTGGTATTGCTTCTCGGACGCCACGTCATGCTACGCTGGCTTGTACGCTGGCTTTACTACGATAAACGCGTCGCTCGGCTTTCCCTGCGGCGCCGCGACTGCGGGAGTGCACTCGAACGTGTGCGATGGTTTGGGTTCGTGTGTGGCGCTGTCGTCGGTGATGCCGACGTACACTTCACCTTTGCCGACGTTGTCGCAACAACGCGAGCGAGACTGCGCCGCCTATCCAACGCCGACGGGGTACGTGCATCCCGTCGTCACGCCGCCTTCCTCGACGCCTGTTCCGTCGTCGACGCCGCCGACGACGCCGCCGTCGACGCCGTCGAGCGCGCCGATTCGAACTATTTCAACGCTGCTGTATATGTTGACGCTGACGCTCTGCCTGTCGCTCTCTTAGAATGCTCTAGAATCGTAATGTAATTTACAAACTTTCGCGCGAACGAGACGCTACGCCCTCTTGACGCTCACGCTGAGCGCGTCCTTTTTCGGCCCGCCCTCTTCGCCCTTCCACACCTGCTCATACTCAAACATCGCCTCCAATAAATGCGTGTCGTACCGACCCGCGCTCGAATCGACGTACTCTAAATACCCCGGCGCGCCCGGATACACGACGTTATCCGCGACGACGATCGTCCCCCGACGAACCACGCCCGCGTCTTCGTACAACTTCAAATCCGGCAAATACCGCTCCTTCGCGTGATCGAGAAACAACACATCCGCGCCCTCCGTCGTCCCGACCCCCTTCACGCTCTCCACGAACGCGCGCGCGTCCCCCACCGCCTCCGATCCCGCCGCCGTCAGCACTCGCACCCGATCGTCCAGCCCCGCGTACGCGAGCGCCCATCGCGCCACCTCCGCGTGTCGCGCCTCGTACTCGACGCACAGCATCCTCGCCCTCGCGCTCTTAAACCGCATCGCCGTCGCGATCGCGCTGTACCCCAAAAACGTCCCGATCTCCACGCAGCACTCCAGCTTCGGCGCGCGATCGAGCTCGCGTCCCAGCAGCGCCGCCTTCGCCCGTCCCAGCGCGTACGTCGGGTACCGCGCGAAGAACGCGTCGTACGCCTCGAGGATCGACGCCCCGTCGCCGCGCGTCGCGCGCCGCTCCAGGTACGGAATCACGTCCCGAGGTTCGCGATACGGCCACCGCGCGTAAAACGTCGCCGCGTCGTCGTCGTCGTCGTCGTCGCGCGCGTCCGCGTCGCGTCGCGTCGTGGACGTGAGCGCGAGCGTCAGCGTCGTCATCATCGCCGCGCGTCGATTCGTCGTCGCCGGCGTTCGAGTCGTCGCGCGCGGGACGCGCGCGGACGCGCGCACCGCCGGCGTCGCGCGCATCGCGGGCGGCGCGCGTCGCGATGCGTCGCGACGCGTCGTCGCGTCGTCGTCGGCGGCGGTGTCGCCCGCACGCCCGGGTGTTTCGGTCACGCCCGGGTGTTTCGACCGGTCGGTCGCCGCGTTCCAGCGTGGCGACGGCCGATCGCGCGAGACCGCGACGCGCGCGCGCGACGCGCCGAGGCGCGCGCGACGCGAGCGACGGGCACCGCGATCGAGAGCGCGCGGACGGCGTCTCGACCGCGTCGCGCGACGCGACGACGTCGAGCGACGACGATGATGAAGACGATCGAGACGACGAAGACGCATCGGCGATCGGCGCGCGGCGTCGAACGACGGCGCGGGACGACGACGCGCGCGGAAGGACGCGCGGGACGACGACGGCGCGACGATGCGTCGAACGAACGTCGTCGTCGCGGGCTCGGGGCGATGCGCGCGCGGGACGAAGGACGGAGGGACGAAGCGCGCGGGGACCGGGACGGCGAGCGGCTTCGGGAGAGCGGCGCGGTCGCGTTGGCGATCGCGTTCGGGTTGGGATTCGCGAGCCCGAGCGCGAGGGCGGTGTGGCCGTTTCGGACGGTGCGAGCGACGACGTCGGAGGTGTCGGAGAGCGAACATCGGTCGGTGGTGGAGATGTTCGCCGAGGCGTTCGAGGAAGCCGAAGCGGCGGTCGAAGCCGAAGTCGTCGAAGTCGTCGAAGACGTCGTCGCGAAGCGAGACGGCGCGGCGGTCGGGGCGGTTCTGGTTCCGGCCGCGTGCGTCGTCGCCGTCGCGGCGCTCGCGTGCGTGACGTATGCACAGCGGTACGCGTTAATGTTGTGGGCGACGAAGGCGTTGGATCAGTGGGAGGCGAACGATCCAAACTTTCCGAGCAAGCAGCTGCGATGGCAACAACTCTTGGACGAGGAGGTGAGCAAGAGGGAGGCTTTGAACGAGGAATGGCTCGAGCGATTACAGGCGGAAAAGGCGAAAACCAAAGCGAACGCGGATGAGATGCAACAGCGCATCGAAGAAGAACGCGCGCTCGCGCTGGACATGCGCGCGAACGCGACGGCTCTGGAAACCGAGTTCAGAGCGCTCATCGACGAACAACGCGCCGCCTCTGGGGCGCGCGAAGAAGAGTTACACGGACGCATCGTCGAGGAACAGGCCAAGTTCGCGAGTCTTTCCGCGGAGGCTGGATCTCTCCGCGAGCAAATCAGTTCGCTCGAGGCGCAGTTGACGAGGAAGTCGGATTCATCAAACGACTTGAAAGAAGAGCTACTCTCGGCGCGACGGGCTGAAGAAGTCGTCAAATCCGAACTCGCCGGCGTGTGTGCGGCGAAGGATGCGCTCGCGCGACAGCTCGACGAAGTGCGTACGAATCTCACGTGGGAAACTTCGAAGGCGAGCGAGCTCGAGGAACAGCTCAGCGCGCTCAAGTCTGAGCTCGCCAGCGCTCGCGACGCGAGGGCCGAACTTGAGCGAGAGCTCGAAGGCGCCCGCGCTAACCTCGCCGTTGAGTCGTCGAACGAGCACGAGCTCGAAGAACAGCTCAGTGCGCTCAAGTCTGAGCTCGCCAGCGCTCGCGACGCGAGGGTCGAACTTGAGCGAGAGCTCGAAGGCGCCCGCGCTAACCTCGCCGTTGAGTCGTCGAACGAGCACGAGCTCGAAGAACAGCTCAGTGCGCTCAAGTCTGAGCTCGCCAGCGCTCGCGACGCGAGGGTCGAACTTGAGCGAGAGCTCGACGCCATGCGCGACGGATTTGAAGCACAACTCGAGGCGCAGAAAGGCGCTGGCGCCGATATGAAACTCGAATCAGAGCGTCTCGAGGAACTGGTCGCGAAATTGAAGAACGAAATCGAGGCGAACAGTGTGCTTCGCGAGCGAATGCAAACCGAAAAGCAAGCGGAAGACTCCTACGTGACGGCCCTCAACGAGGAGATTGAGGCTTTGCGCTTGGAGTTGCACGCGGCGCAAGCGCACGCGGCGCAAGCGCTCGGGCAGTACGCTGAACTTGATTCTGCGCTACCAAAGATCATCGACGCAGTCGACCGCTTGCGCAGTCTTACGAGCATGGTAAACGAAGATAGCCCGATCGTAGAGCACACGTTCAGCGTCGCCGACGTACCACCACCGCAGCCGAACGAGTTCCTCGTCATCGTCGGTTCATGGAATGACTGGGATCTCGCCACGGGCGTCGCGATGTCGTACGACCCCGATGGCAGCTGGAAAGCGCTTGTTGAGCTTCAGTCTGACATCGTGTACGAGTATAAGGTTTGTGTTTGTTCGGGGTCCGATGAAGAGCGCGTGCCCCAGGCCTGGCAATCCGGCGCAAACTCGGCGTTTGCGATCGCCTCCTCGTTGATCAACGAACAAGGTTTAGCGCCTAAGGCGACGGTGATGAGTCACTGGGTCGCAGATCCTGCGAACGCGCCAATTATGATGTTCGGTCCCGACGGCGAAAAGTTCACGTTGAGCTCCACTCAACTCATGACCGATCTTCCTGCTAACTTAATCACGGACACGCTCGAGGATCTGTCGCACGTCATCTCCGAGGTGACGAGGGGAATCGACAACGACATCCTCAATACCAAGCAGCACGCGGCGACGGCTTCGCGTTAAACGAGTACTACTATCACATGTAATCATACTTCAAGCATGCTATGAATATTGTCTATAGGCCGATCCAGTACGATCGCCCATTCGGGTTGTGTATGTGCCCTTGAACCGGTTTCGCAATCGTCCATTCGTACCACATTTTGTGCGCGTCGACGCGGCGCCAAATATAAAATTCAATCTTCGTCGGCGAAGCGCCGCGTCTATCGATGTACACTGGCGTTTGAATGGGAAAGAACATTGGAAACCACGAAAACATGAGCTCGCCCGTCGGACCTAAAGTGTGGTTATGAGGATGGATGCTACAGCGCACGCATCCGGCAGGTCCGTCGTACAGCGTCGCGTCAAAGTACGCGGCGAAACCGTGAAGCGTGCTCGAGGCTGATCCAAGTTCTTCACTCGACCACTCGACGCGCGCGTAACGCTCGTTGTCGATTCGCGCGGCGTTGTTCGGGTGCTCGAACTCCCACACGCTCTTCGGTTCCGCGATGTGATGCACTCTGTGAAACTTGACCACGTACGGTGTTTCGATGGATTTCAAATCCTTGTACGAGACGACGGCGTCGTGCAATTTTGCCGCAGCGATGGGCGCGACGAAAGATTCGTACGACTGCGGCACGCTCACGCCCGTTGGTTTGAGAAATCGCTGCGCGCCGTCCAAACACTCTGGGCTCAACTCGTTGTCTCCGAAACTCCCGAGCAATTCGCTCACCAAAACGTCGACTCGAACATCCGCGGCGCACGTGCGCATATCTCCCGGGAAAATTTGTACTCTATCACCCCAACCCTCTTTCGCGACGAGGTGCTGCAGCGTGACGACCGCGTTTGGATTCTTCTCCACGGCGCACACTTTGATGTTCCTATTGGCGCGTTCGGACGCACGCAATGACGCGCGAACCAGCGGTCCGCGACCTGCGCCGACGACCATCACAGAGCCCTCGTCGCCCTCTGGCACGAGATCAAGAAGCGCGCACCGCACGGCTTCTTCGTATTGAATATACTTGCTCGCATCCTTTTCGAACGTTTCGTACGTCACGCTCTCCAGATTATCCATCAACGGCTGCAAGGGCGCTTGTAAATAATCCCTGTAAGGCGCTTCCGCCAACGCCTGTTCGCTCGCGGGCTCGACGCCGCGAAAGAGGTAGACGAGATACTCCCAATACAGCCGCATTGGATGCGCAGAGTCGACGCCCACGCGCCCTTCGTCCCCGGCCACATCTCCGGGCGCGATGGTCTCGCGCGCGCACCCATCGGGCGCGCCGTTCCAGTCCGTCAACATGATTTGAATATTCCTGCGAAACATGTCGCGAACCATCGCTTGCGCCTCCTTCGGCAGCACCGGAAACCCCCGCGCGTTCTTCACGAACGCTCGAACGCTCAGCGCACACGCGCCCACGCGCTCACCGATCCATCTTTCCCACCATTCGCGTCCGATCGGCGCCGCCACGACGTGAAGCAACGCGTACACATTCGACCTTCTTCCGCACGCCTCGTCCGTCGTTCGCCATCGCGCGTGCGCGTCCTCGTCCGTCGCCGCGTCCCCGCTCGCCCCGAGCACCCTCACCCACACCTTCGTGTGCGTCAGCGCATCAATATTCATCAAAATCACCCGCGCCACGCGCACGTCCCCCCCTTCGCCCTCGTTCGACGTCGCATCGACGATCGCCGCGTGCGCGCCGACGTGTCCCGCCCACCGAAGCTCGCGCGCGAGCGCCCTCTCGTTCCCATTCATTCGCAACTCCCGAAGCGCCGCCGCGGACGTTCGCATCACGACGCGCGTGGACCACTCCTGCGAGTTCAACTCTTCGTCCGAGCGCGCGAACGGCGTTCGAGGGTACATCTCCGACGCGCACTCGTCGTCGATCGTCGCGAATTCATCGCGCGCGGTGACTGGAATCGACACGAAATCGAACCCTCCGCGCGTCGCCGCGTCCACGCTCGTCCCGACGCGCGCGCGCGCGTCCGCGGTGCGCTCGCATCCGACGAATCGCGCGTCGCCGAGGTCGTCGCGCGCGCCGAGCGTCATCGACGCGTCGTTTTGTGTCGACCGAGCGGTGCGGTCGTTACTCCGCGACGCCATGTCGACGCGCCGCGCCGCGATCGCCGCGCCCGCGCGCGCGCCGCGCGCCTCGGGACGACGCGGGCGATCCGCGCGCGTCGCCGCGGCGCCCGCGGAGGACGCCGCGGCGATGGTGCGATTGACGACGGCGCTGCGAAGGATCGACGACGCGAAGTCGCGCGACGGTGGCGGCGCGTGGCGCGTCTGCGAAGCCACGGGCGCGCGCGTGCGCGCGCCGAGGGCGAAGACGCCGTGGGGATGCGTGCACTTCGTCGGCGGCGCGGTGCTGGGAAGCTTTCCGGACGTCGCGTACGACGCGTGGCTCTCGGCGTGCGCGGACGACGTCGGGCTCGTCGTCGTGGCGACGCCGTACGAGTTGGATTTGGATCACGAAAAGTGCGCGATGGCGGTGAAGAAGACGTACGATGAGGCGAGAAGGCTGGCGTGCGCGAAGGAAGGGATGGACGCGTCGCGCGCGCCGACGTTTCGAGTGGGGCACTCGTTGGGATGTAAGCTGTTGTGTCTCGTCGCGAGCGCGGAGGACGCGAACGAACGCGAAGGGAACGGAGAGGCGGGGGATGGGACGATCGATATGGACGTCGACGCGACGAGTGGAACGGCGGTAGCGGTGAGCGGGACGACGAGGGGGGGAGTTGGGAACGTGGCGGGTCATTTTCTCGTCGCGTTTAATAACGCCGACGCGACTGATTCGGTTAAGCTCGTGGAAAAGTTTGCGCGAGAGTTGCTGAAGAAACGCGCCGGTGCCGCGAGCGGAGCGTCGGAGGAGTTTTTCAAGACGCTTCCGAATCTCGCGGCGTTCGCCGAGCGCGCGGCCAAGGCGGCGGGGTTGGAATTTAAGCCGACGCCCGCGCAGACGCTCGAGCGATGTCGAACGCGCTTCGCGTCGAAACGCGTTCGGTTGATCAAATTTAAGGATGATGATTTAGACCAAAACGACGAGCTTTTGGAAGTTTTGCGAGAACGCATGAAAGTCTATCCCGGGCGCGTGGACGCGCGTGAGCTGGACTTCGGTAATCATCTGACGCCCGTGTACTTTAGCACGGACGGGTTGAAGCTCACCCCAGCGCTGGAGAAGCTCGTCGGTCAATTCGCGCTCGGCGATGCGGAGGGTGTGCGTAAGCTCTCCGCAGAGTTCGCCGCGTTCATCCGCGACGCGTCATCGTGAAAGAATATACATGAATGTCGAATCAAATGAATTTAGCTAGGCATCGCCGCTCGCGATGGCGTGTACAATATCATACATTTCCAATTTATTCGTCGTCGGCGTCGTCGTTGGCGTCGTGAATTTGCGCATCTATCGTCGTTCCGTTCGACGGAAGCTCACTCACGAACGATATGAGATCGCTCCTCATGGCGTTGATGAGTAAGGGATCGGTCGTGGTCGTCGATGCATCCACGCGCCAGTGGTCGGGCGTCTCGCCCGTCATGGCGGCGATCCGGTCGGCGGTGTCACACCGCGTGTCCTTGACGTACGAAAACAGGTCTCGCAGTTCGGCTTGCGTGAACGTGCTGGAGCTCGATCCGGCGGAGTTGTTGTTACCAGAAGTTGATTTGAATCCGAGCGTTCGCGCGAGCGCGCCTTTGAGCTCTTGGCGCTGAAACATGCGCTCCTCGATCGTTCCCGTGCTCAGCAAGCGATAGATGGAACACGGTTTCGTTTGACCTTCTCGCCACACGCGCGCCTGGGCTTGCAAATCGTGTGCGGGATTCCACGACGAGTCGACTAGTACCAATCTGTTCGCTCCGACCAGATTAAGCCCGACACCTCCAGCTTTCGTGGAGAGCAACAAAATCTTGCCAGAATTATTGAACGTGCGAACAATGGACGTGCGCTCTTTCGGCGGCGTGGAACCTTGTAATCTATCATACTTCAGGTGCTCGCTCTCGCAAAGCTTGGCGATGAGGTCTAACGTCGTGGTGAAGCCAGAGACGACGACGATGCGTTCATCGTTGGCGAGCGCCCGGAACATGGCGCGCAACACGGCGAGTTTGCTCGACGAAGCCACCGGATCGCTCACCTCAGTCGCGAGCGCCGCCGCGTTGCAGAGCTTTTGCAGCGTCTGAATCGCCTGAAGCGGCGAGATGGATTCCGCATCTTGCGTCTTGCCGATTCGCCCGAGCATCGAAAGCATCGACTTTTGCTTGAGTTGGTCGACGTACAAGCCTTTCTGCACTTCAGAAAGTCGAACGAAGACGACGTACTCGGTCTTTGGCGGCAGCAGCGACGCGTTGATCTCATCCGCTTTTCTCGAGTGAATGAAAGGGCCGATCAAACGACCGACCTCTTCGCGACGTGCGTTACCGATTCGCACAACTTCTTCCTTGGCCCCACGCTCGCTCGCTTTCTCGATCGGCCCGGAATAAATTTTGCGAAACGAATCGAGGTCTCCCAGCAAGCCGGGCGCCGCGAAGTCCATCACACCCCACAACTCGTCCAAGTTATTCTGAATCGGCGTGCCCGTCAGAAGCACCCTGCGATGACACTTGAGCGACGCGAGCGCTTGCGCGCCTTTCGTGGACTGCGTCGCGTTCTTCAGGCGATGCGCCTCGTCGCACACGAGCAAGTCGACGTTCGCCCTCGCGACGACGTCCGCCTGCGCTCTCAAGGTTTCGTACGATGTAATCAACACGTTGTATCTGCGCTGCGATGGAAGCGCGAATTCCTCGAAACTCTTTCTCGCCTCCTTATCACCGCCTTCCACGACTTTTGGATCGCAGCGTTCCTCGCCGAGCCACTTGCGAAACTCCAAGGCCCAGTTCCCCGTGAGCGACGCCGGCACGCACACGACGACGCGTCGACACGTCGGTTGGCCGCGCTTGAACGGTGACTGCTTGAGTAAAGTCCACACGAGCGCGATGACTTGCAACGTTTTACCAAGACCCATTTCGTGCGCCAACAAGCACCCGGTGTGCGCCCTGTTCGTGTGCACGCTCGTTCGCAGTCCCATGACGGCTTCGTACATGAACTGCACGCCGTCGCGTTGATGCGGGCGGAGAAACCTCGATATGAACGGATCGCACACCACCGCACACGCCGTGCGATAATCTCTGCGATGGAAATCAGTGTCGAGCGTCGACAACACGAGCGCCCCGTCCGCGACGTCGCTGTGCAACGGCGCCTCCGGCGCGAACGTCTTCTTCGCCTCCGACGTCGTCGCCGATCCGACGGCGCCGCCGATCCCGCGCACCGGCGCCACGAACGATTTCACTTTCTGCTCGTTCGCGACGACCACCTTCTCCGGCGCCACCGCCGCGCCGCCGCGCGAGAACGCCGCGCCCGAGTCCACGTCCTCCGCGCGCACCGCCTCGCCGATTTCCACCTCGTACTGTCCGATTTCGCACGTCGTCCCCTCCACGATCGTCCCCGCGCACCCTCTCGCCACCCGTTTCCCTCGCATATCGCACAGCTCCGCCCGCTCGCGCGCGCCTCGCGCGATCACCACGCCGTCCACGAACGTCTTCGCCGACCTTTGCTTCCCGCCGCCGCCCGCCTTGCGCTTCGCGTACAGCGCCGAGAAGCATCGCCGCGCCGCATCGTCCCGGGCGGTCGCCCGCCCGCGCCCGGCGACTTTCACCGAGCGCCGCGCGTACGGAGGCGCGCGCGTCGCGCCGTTCGCGCCGTTCGCGCCCACGTACGGCGACACGAACGCGCGATTCGCGTTCGCCATTCGAGGCACCGACCCGTGGGCATCGTCGTTCGCGCCTCGCGTCGTCATCGTCGTCGTCGCGCGTCGTCGTCGCGGGCGTCGCGTCGCGTCGCGTCGCGATTCGTCGTCGTCGTCGACGACCGTCGCCCGTCGCGCGTCGCGCGCGTCGCGACGTGCGACGCGCGATCGCGTCGTCCGAGACGTCCGAGACGCCGAGACGCCGCGCCGGCGATTTGAATCGATCGTCCGCGGTCGCGGTCGCGGGTCGGTATGGGTTTTTTTGTGGGCGAAACACCCGGGTGTGCGAATATCGATGAGCGCCGCGCGCGAGTGTGATTTCGACTCAACACTAATGCGGCGAACGTCGCAAGACGGCGCGCACACGACGGCGCGGGACGCGGGACGCGCGGCGACGCGGGACGCGACGCGCGCGGAAGGCGCGGTCGACGCGACGCGCGCGGTCGACGCTCGGACGCGGGACGCGCGGGACGACGGACGGCGCGACGGCGGACGCGAGGGCGAACACCATGGCGCCACACGACGACCGGGACGTGGAGCGCGCGGAGACGGCGGCGCTGCTCGGGGACGACGGCGACGCGCGCGGTGACGGGCGAGGACGCGCGCGGGGGGGGACGACGCGCGGGACGACGCGGACGGCGATGGTGGTGGGCGGCGCGTGCGCGCTCGCGGCGTGCGCGTCGATCGGGGTGTGGACGCACCGGAGCGAGACGCTGCAGGAGGCGTGGCGACCGGTGCCGGGGGAGGAGTTAGCGATGCGAGCGAGGGGAGCGCGCGCGGGCGGGGCGTCGATCGCGCGGTGGGGGACGACGTCGACGGAGAGGGCGCGGTTGGGGGCGGATGCGGCGACGGGGGTGACGCCGACGCCGACGCAGATGACGGCGCTCAGAGGGTTGCGGTTACAGATTCGTAACGCGATGTTCAATCCGGGAACGGTCACGTCGCAGACGCTGAGCACGATGACGAACCAGTTTTTCAACATCGTGCCGCAGGCGCGCGCGCTGTTCCCGACGGGCGCGCCGGCGAATATCGACGACTTGGACGCGACGATCAAATCTTTGATGGCGAACGGAGCGATGGCGGCACCGGCCGCACCGGCGGCGGAGAGTGAGTTTAGAGACATGCTCGCATCCAGTCACCCGACCGGGGTCTCGATGCCCATCGATGTTTCCACAGAGCCCACGGCGCAGCAACAGCTACGTCCGCGCAAGCCGTTGACGTCGTACGAGTCTGCGCTGTACGAAACCAGGCAAGCGGCGTCGCAGGTTAGCGAGCGTAGCGACGTCGCGTCCACGGGATCGCCTCACCACCATTCGCACCGGGTATCGAGCGAAACGCAGACGGTGATCGAGAACGACAACTTGGAACGCATGATTAATTCGCTGGACGCCTCGGGAGCCGAGGAAGTCGACAAAGTCGAACCGTATCGAGCGCCTTCGGGCGACTTCATTGAATACTCGAATGGCGATTCCACGAGGCATCATAGACGACATCGTCATTCGTCGAACGGCGAAGAAGTTGAAGCCCCGCAGGACGCCGTCTCGACGGGTCCCGCTTTGCCGCCTTGGGCGGCGCAGCCGACCGCCGCCGCACAAGTGCAGCAACCGATCCAACAGTGGACTGGTACTGGCTCAGTGGTTCAGAGCGGGCAAGCGATGCCGTTGGCGACGCCAGTGCCGGTGACGACGACGGCGCCCGCGCAACAAGAGGACGCATCGTGGACGGATTTCCAGAATCTGATGTCGGCGGCGCCGACGCCGGATGCGCCGACGCCGACACCCGTTCCGACGCCGACACCCGTTCCGACGCCGACACCCGTTCCGACGCCGACACCCGTTCCGACGCCGACACCCGTTCCGACGCCGACACCCGTTCCGACGCCGACACCCGTTCCGACGCCGACACCGATGCCGGCGGATGAGCCTTCGGACATCAAGGACCTGCTCGATTTTGGCGCGCCGACGACGTCTCCGCAAGTCGAAGTGACAGCGAGCGCGACTCCTACCCCGACTCCGAGTGCTTCGGACGACGAAAGTGATATTGTAGATTTATTCACGAACGGTGGCGGCGAAGAAAAAGATACTGGAGGATTGGGTGAGGACGTAGCGAGCGCGACGGACGATTCGACTGCGCCGGCATCCATGTTGAGACGGCCCGTCTTCCCGACCGCCGACGCGGAAGCGATTGCTTCGCACATCGTGGACATGATCATGCATCGTAAATCGAGCGATCAAGGCGAAGACGATGCCGCAGATATCGGGTTAGATCAGAGCGGCAGTGCTGAGAAAAAGTCGCAAGATGCGCCCAACCTTTCCAAGGAGGAAATCGCGGCAATGTTGGCGTCAAGCTTGACGGCGGTGACGACGGAGGCTGTGCAGGCGAACGCTTTGGAGAACGCGCGCGTGTCTGACGCATCGAACGGTAGTGCCAACGCAAAAATAATGGCCGACGCATTAGTGGCGCACGATAAAATGATGGCAAAGCGCATAGCTGAAATTCTGACGAGCGAGAACGCAGAGGACAAGCTTGCCAATCCGAATGCCGCCGCCAGCATCGGCTCGGCGACGGGGTACGACGTTTCGGGTCGCTCGGGCGAAGCGGCGCAGTTGATCATGTACGAGGAACAGCGTCACCAGCGTGAGGAAGTTGAAGCCATGCGGCGAGATTTAGCGGCTCTGATGGCCAACATTCAGGCCAACTACGCCATGGGCGCGACGGAGGATCGAATTGATAAAACAGCTTCGGCGGCGGCGAGTCACATCATCGACACCCTTCGACCGGTGATCAAAACAGACGTCGCTCGCGAGGGTTCGTCCGAGTCGTCAACTCTGTTCGATTATCCAGTCATGCCGAGCTCGTCACTGAGTAGTGAAACTTTGCGTTTGGATTCGATCGACGACGATAGTTACGACGACGTCGGCTCGGCCGAGGCCAAGGCCAAGGCCAAGGCGACTTCCAAGGATGACGATGGCGCCGCTTCAGGAGACTGGTTAGCCCTCTTGGAAGAAGACGCCGGGGGTGCGTCAGCCGCTGCCACTCCATCGGCACCGGCGCCGGCGCCGGCTAAAAAGTCATCTGACGGCGTCGACGCGTCGTCTTCGAATTCCGAAGAAGACGTCTCCGTTCCCGGCGACAACGGCGCGACGGGCGATCAACCCGCTTGGCTCGCGCACGCGCTCACCGACGAGCAGCTCACCGCACAGTTCCTCGCAGACGAAGTCGAGGACGACGGCGAGGCGACGCGCAAGCGTTCCCGCAAGCACAGGGCGTCGAGATTGGGCGCGTCTCAACGCTTCACCGCGCCGACGCCCGTCGTCCGGGACGAACCGACGCGCGAAACCAAACAGGGCGCGTACGTTCGCGCCCTGAACGAGCGCGCCGCTCGCGCCCTGCGCCACGATTAGCGTCAAATGTCAAATGTCAAATGTCTCATAGCGACCACGCGCTCCCCCGACGCGTCACTTCGCGGCCGCCGCATGCCCGACGTCGCGCGCGCGCGCGTCCCGCGCCTCGCGACCGCGCGCGCGCCGAATCGCGTCGCGCGTCGCGCGATGTCGCGGCGTCGCGCCGCGCCCTGGACGACCGCGGACGTCCTCGAGACGCTCGGCGACGCCATGACGCGCGGACGCGTGACGTCGCTCGCCGGCGACGCCGACGCGCGCAACGCGATTCAGCGCGCGGCGATCGCGACCATCGTCGACGCGGATCGCGTGCGCGTGCCGCCGGACGCGATCGACGCGCTCGCCGCGGGCGCGCGAGCGCACGACGGGGCGACGACGACGGACGCGCGCTGGGCGGCGCTTCGCGAGTGCTACGACGTCGCGCTGCGACGATTGATGGAGAGCGAAGGAACGGTCGATTTCGCGCTCGCGGACGCGGTGTACGCGAGCGAAAGCGAGGATAGCGCGTGCAGGGTCGCGGAGGCGCGAATGACGTTCGTCGGGGACTCGAAGGATTTGACGCGATGGCGGTCGCTGAACGACGGCGTCATGGGCGGGATGAGCGACGGTTTCATGGCGAGACGAGGCGACGAGGGCGCGAGTTTCATGGGGAACGTCAGTCTCGAGCGTAACGGTGGGTTCGCGAGCGTGCGCGCGATGGTGGAGGAGGACGCGAGCGATTTCGACGGCGTGTACGTCGACGCGAAGTCGCCCTCCGGCGCGACGAAAAAGTTTCTCTTCATCCTGAAGGACGACGAGTGCTTGCGCGAGCAAATCAACTTCAAGGTGGCGTTCGAGGCGGGCGAGGAGTACGGAAGGGTGAAGATTCCGTTCGCGGCGTTCGCGCGTCCCGAGCGCATGGGACGCGCGTGCTTGCGCGAACCGCTCCGATTGGCCAAACTGCGCGAGTTCGGGTTGATGATTCTCAAAGGCGACGCCGCGCAAGTGGGGCCGTTTGAGCTCGTCGTGCGCGAGATCGGTTTCTATCGCGGCTAGCATCATTTTTACAACAACATCGATCGTATTCATTTCCCAATAGTGGAGTGAACGTTTGCCTCCGACGCGCGCACGTCCTTTGCGTCAGATTTCCCCGAAACACGAATCCCAGACGCGTCGACGCGGTACTCGAAAGACGTCAACGGCGCGAGCGGGCTCTTTACGATTTTCAACGCTCGTCTGTCTTCCAACACCTCGAGCGCGATGCGCGTGTTCACGCAGTGCGCCCACTTCGTGCCGAGCGCGGCGGTGATTCCACTCGATTCATCCGCGACATCATCACCGCCATCGCTCGCGTGCCGAGCGAACGTTCCAATTTTCGTCGTCACCTGATTCACCGCGAGCACCGCGAGCGCGTGCTTCTCCGCGTGCCGCTTGAGCGTCGACGCCACCGCGCCCAACGCGCTCTGCCGCTGCACCACCTTCTCTCGTCCGAACTCCGCGCGCGCGAGATGCGCGATGGAGTCTATGATCACCAACCGCACCTTGTGATCGATGATCGCCTCCTCCAACGCGTCCAATCGTTTATTCAAATCCGTCAGACTCGTCGGCGTCACCACGTGCACTCTGCGCGCGAGCGCGTGCACGCTTTCCTCATCCTCAAACGCCCCGGGGAATTTCTCGCGCGCGATCTCCGCCAGACGCGCCCCACTGAATTTCCGTTCGGCGTCGACGTAAATCACCCCCCCATCGCGTCCACCGACGCGCGCCGGCGCCGCCGCGCTCGCGCACGCCGCGAGACACAGCTGCGTCTTTCCCGCGCCCGCCGCGCCGACCACCTCCGTCACCGCGCCGACGCGCAGCCCACCGCCGAGCGCTTTGTCCACGTCCTCGATGACGAGTGGGACGTATTGCGACCTTCGCAGCGCGTCGAGCGCCGTCGTGGGCGTCGGCGCGACGGCTTTCGCGACGCTGATTATGAACTGTCGCGCGCGGTGCATCGAAACGTCGGCGAGCTCGACGACGTCCAACGGGGCGCGATAGAGCGCGTCTTCGGCGGTGCGACATCCTCGGGACTCGAGCTTGGCGGCGAGGGTTTGGTCGACCGCGGGTAAGCGGTCGAGGGTGCGACGGGACGCGGACATGGCGCGCGAGGCGCGGTGTGGCGACGACGGATGACGAACGCGAATGTGTATGCTTTGTTTTACAGGAAGAAATAGGGTAGTTGCGGTGGTGCGGGGATGTCATCACGCCGACGCCGAAGTCGCCGCGCGGCGGGTGCCGCGACGTCGAACTGTGCGGCGGAAGAAGGTGCGCCGGATGCCTCGGACAAAGTCGAAAAACGGCTGCGCGAGGCGGCCGAAGACGATGGAGAGCAAGACGCAGCCGAGAGAGAAGGACTCCTTGACGTGTTCGGCGATGGACACCGAACGAAGACCAGTGAAGAGCTCTCGTCGAAGGGTCTTGTCCGTGGCGAGCATTTGCGCGGCGTCCTTGGCGAGGGCGAAGATGGGGACGTTGACGCCGCCCTTGGCGCCGATGCCAGCCATGTCCATCAAATTGCGCAGGCGTTCCCATTCGAATCGCTCCTTGACGACGACGACTTTGAGCAAACGAAGTCGAAGCGCGGGGTCGGGGTCGGTGAGCAGCCGACGTGCGACGTACGGAAACGCGGCGTCGAGTAAGTTGAAGTCTGGGTTGAGCGTCAAGCAAATGTTCTCCTGCGTGAGCAGCGAGCGAATGACGAGGGAGAAACGCTCGGGAACGCGGATGGGGTAATCGTACAAGAGCTTGTTGAACTCTCGAGTGAGACCTCGGAACGAAAACTTTTCCGTGCTCGCCAGCGATTGCAGCGCTTCGTCTCCCCACACGTCGGCCAAGCCTTCGGCGACGGGGCCGATGTCCGCGCCGGCTTGCAAAAAGCCCAAATCCGCCAACGTTTCGGCCAACGCCTCGTAATCACGGTTCATCGTGTGCACGACAGCGTCAATCAAGCTTTCTTGGTTCGCCCGCGAAATTTCCGCGACGTTACCAAAGTCCACGTACGCGATGTCGCCGTCACGCAACGCCAAAACATTTCCGGGATGCGGATCTCCATGAAACAAGCCAAACTCTAGCAATTGCTTCAAGCCAGCCTCGACACCGTTGACCAGGAATCGTGCGCGCGCGGCGTCGTCGGCGAAGGCGTCTTCGCGCGTGCATCGCACGCCGGGTTGCCAGTGCATCACGAGCACTCGCGGACCGCTCAATTCGGCGACGACGGGCGGAATGTGCACGCTCTCGTCGTTTCGAAAGTTGAACGCGAAGTCTCGCAAGTTTCTCGCCTCTTGCACAAAGTCCAACTCCTCCAACAACTTCTCCGCGAATTCGTCGACTAAGAGCGACGCCGAGCACCCGAGATTGGCTCGCGCATACTTGTCAAAAAATTTCAGCGCCGCCGCGCGCAAAAGAAACAAATCCATCACGCACTGCGCGCGCGTGTTCGGTCGTAAGACTTTTATCGCGACGTCGGTGCCATCTGTTTTCAGTTTACCTCTGTAAACTTGCCCGATCGACGCCGCCGCGATGGGTTCTTCGGAGATTTCGCTGAAAGTCTCCTCGATGAGCCGGCCCGTTTCTTCCTCGATTATCTTAAACGCCAGCTTTGAATTGAACGGCGGCACGCGATCCTGAAGCTTCGTCAGCTCTTCCATCAGATCCTCGTTCACCAAATCAGGTCTGTTCGCCAGATTTTGCCCGAGTTTCACGAATAACGGCCCGAGTTCGCACAGCGTCTCCTTCACCGCCGCCCCCCAGCGCGACCCGCCGTCGGCTTCGTCCAGCTTTTGCAAGCGCGCCTGCTTATTCTTCAACTTCCCCAGCACGACCGCCAAACGCGCCGATCGCTGCGCCAGCTCAAACGGTCTCGCCAGCGCTTCCTGACGCACCGCGTCGGGATCGTATCGCGTCACCATTCGACAAAAATCTCGATCCGCCTCGAGCGTTTCCTTATCCTTCACCTTCTTCTCCCGCCCCGCGTCGACTTTCACCGGTTTCGCCTTCACCCTCACCGTCTTCCCGATCGCCCCTCCCCCGCCGCTCTTCGAGACGTCTTCCCCGCTCTCCATCGGCGGCGGCGCGACCGCGCCCGTGCGCGTCGTCGACCCTCTGCTCGGCGTCCGCGCGCGTCCCGCTCGCCGCGAGGTCGCCGCGTCGTCGCCTCGCCTCCCCACCGCCACCGCGCGCGCCCATCGCGCGCTCGCGCGCGCGCGCGCCGTCGTCGCGATCGCCCGCGTCGACGCGCGCGCGATCCGCGGCATCGCGCGTCCCGCGCGCGCCGTCGTCGCGCCCGGCGCCGCGATTCCCAACCTCGTCGTCGTCATCGTCGCCGCGCGCGCCGCCGTCGCGCGCGCGCCTCGCCCGCGTCCGCTACCGGCGCGTCGCCCGCGTCGTCCGCGTCGCCGTCGACGCGCGCGGCTCGATCCGCGCGCGAGTCCGCGCGCGCGTCGCGAACCCGCGCGTCGCGTTGTCGCCCCGCATTACGACGCGCGGATTCGCGACGCGCCGACGCGCGCCTCGCCGACGCTCGACGTCGATCGACGCCTCGCGCGCGCGACGCCGCGACTCGCCGCGCCATGGCGTCGCGCGCGCCGCGCGTCGCGACGCCGCGCGTCGCCGTCGCCGCGCGCGGATTTCGTGACGGCGCGCGCGTCCGACGCGCGACGCCGTGGCGCGCGCGCGACCGCGTCGTCGCCGCCGCGGACGCGCGCGACGGCGCGAGCGACCGCGCGGACGCGTCGCGCGCGGGCGGTCGCGGCCGAGGTGCGACCGCGCGACGCGCGAGTTCGCATCGCGCGCGAGCGTCCCTAACGACCTCGATCGACGAATGCGCGACGAATGGGCGACGACTGACGCGCGAAACGCGTGAAACAGGCGCTGCGCGACAGGGAGGACGCGGACGAGGACGCGGTGCGCGCGGGGGAGGGCGCGGACGGGGCGGCCGGGGACGGGTGCGGATACAGAGCGATGGGAAACAACACCTCGGGCAGACGCTCGAGTACGCGAAGGAGAAGGCGTTTCCGAGCGCGAGCGCGGACGATTCGGGAGATTTGATCGATGATCCGCCGCTGAAGATACTGCCGCTCGGTGGGTTGGGTGAGATTGGGATGAATTGCATGCTCGTCGGGAGCGGGGATCGATACGTGCTGCTCGACGCGGGGTTGATGTTTCCGGAGTGAGTGCGCGAGGGCGAGCGAACGCGGCGCGAGCGAGCGAGCGACGACGAGAGCGCGAGGACTGACATGGGTTGCTTTGCGCGCGCGCGAACAGTCACGAGGAATTGGGTATTCAGAAAGTGCTGCCGGACGTGTCGTTTTTGGCGCGTTGGAAGGATAAGATTGAGGCGGTGCTCATCACGCACGGACACGAGGACCACATCGGGGCGTTGCCGTGGGTCGTGCCCGCGCTCGACCCGTCGACGCCAATCTACGCGGGTTTGTTCACCATGCAGCTCATCAAGCGGCGCATGCAGGAATACTCTCTGTGGAACGATCAACGGTTCAAGGTTTTCGACATGAACGAGCGGTTTCAGGCTGGACCGTTTGAGATGGAGGCGGTTCGCGTGACGCACTCCATTCCGGATTGTTGCGGGTTGATTTTCCGTTCAGAACACGGGACGATCGTGCACACGGGGGATTGGAAAATCGATGAAAATCCAGTCGATGGACGCATATTCGATCGCACGTCGTGGGAACGCGTCGGGAACGAGGGCGTGACGCTCATGATGAGCGACAGTACCAACGTTTTGTCGCCGGGGCGCACGATCAGCGAATCCGCCGTGAGCGAGGGCATCATGCGTAGGGTGTTGGGCCATCGCGGACGGATCATCACCACACAGTTCGCGTCGAACATACATCGACTCTACGGCGTTCGCGCCGCGGCCGAGGCCACGGGGCGTCAGATTGCGTTCTTGGGCATGTCCTTGACGACGTACCTCGAGGCGGCGAAGCGAGCTGGCATCGCGCCAATCGATCCTGAGAAACTCATCCCGGCAGACGAGATCGACAACTGCGATCCCAGTAAGTTACTCATCGTCACCACTGGGTCTCAAGGCGAAGAGCGCGCGCAACTCGCCCTCGCTGCGCACGGAAGCTCGCGACTTTTGACGTTGCAACCGGAGGATCTGTTGCTGTATTCGGCGAAGATGATTCCCGGAAACGAAAAGCGAGTCATGCGTATGATGAATGAAATCGCCAAGCGCGGACCGGAGATCGCGATGGGACGCGAAGATTGCTTGCACTCATCGGGTCACGGGTACAAGGACGAACTAGACGAGGTGATCAAGCTATTGAAACCCGAGCACTTCTTACCAGTGCACGGCGAGTATGCGTTTTTACGAGCGCACGAGCAACTTGCACGACAATCTGGCGTACGACACACGACTGTGATCGGGAACGGCGAGATGCTTGGTGTGACACCTTTAAGGAAGAAGCAATCACACGGCACTATGGGTAACTTTCACCGCATAGGAAAGGCGCGTTTACAAACAATGTTCAACGACGGAGGTTGGGGGAGCGGCACGTCAGAGGACATGGCCATCGAGGAACGAATGCGCATCGCCGTCGAAGGTATCATCGTGTGCGACTACGAAATTTCCAACGACGGTAATAATTTAATCGCCGCAAAGGCGCGCGTGACGTCGCGCGGCATGTGGACCGACGACGGTCGTCTGCTGGAGTCTGTGCGGTCGAGCGCCATCGCCGCGTCCGCCGACATGCCCGTCGGTACCAAGCTCAGCACCGTCGAACGCGCTGTATCCAGCGCCATTCGTTTCGCCGTGAAGAACTACTGCAACAAGCGACCAGATGTCATCGTCGTCGCGCATCGTGCGGGCGAGTCTTCACGTCCCATCCCCAAACTCGACGCCGTGGAAGACGACGACGACGACGAAGGCGGGCAAAAGCGATACCCCAAGCGCACGATGTCCCCGACCGACGTCAGACCGCTTCGAGGCGATTACAAAGGACCGGGACCATCGGGAGGCGAACGCCACAAACGTCGCGACTCGGAGTATCAGTGAGCGAGCCGTCGCGAGCGAGCGACATTTTGATTGCGCCGAACAAACGGCGAAAATTTTAGTACGCAGACTGTGAATATTATTTTACATCTCTCGGAGTCACGTCGACTTTTGTCACATGGACTTTTCAACGTACTTCACCATCAGCGCGTCGTTCCCTCGCACCGTCGTCTCCACCGCCAAATCTCGGAGGGCTTGCCAATCGAAATTCTCCCGCGCGTAGGCGGCCCTCGTCTCCATCAACCTCAACGCCGCCAATCGCAACTGCGGCTCGTCCCGCATGAGCGCCTCCAACCACTCGTCTCCGTTTCGCAGCGGATGCGTCTCCAAAAACCCCGCGAGCGCGCTCGACAGCGCGGTCGATCCGCCTTCGTTGTCGTAGCTCAGCTCTTGGTCGAGCGTCGTGCGAACCGCGGCGACGGTGAACAGCGTCTTCAGCGCCTCGCTCGCCTTCATCTCGGGCGACACGCCGTAGCCGAACGCGTCGGGCAGCGTCGACGCGCGCGCGCGCGCTCGCGCGCGCCGCGGCGCCGCCAGCGCCGGCCGAAACGTCCACGTCAGCATGCGTGCGCTTTATTGCGCGACGCTTTATGCGGCTGATCGCGCGCGCGCGCGCGAGGGTCGATCGTCCGACGCGCGCGCGAACGCGACGCAAAGCGCGATCGAGCGCGCCGCCGCGCGGCGGGCGCGCGGAGGCGCGAAGCGAGGGCGCGCGCGCGGATTCAGACGCGGCGGCGTGTCGAGTGAAATTCGCATTCGAAGGCACGGCGCGACTGTACGGTGACGCGCGATACGAGCGGCTGCGCGCGGCGCACGTCCTCGTCGTCGGACTGGGCGGCGTCGGGAGCTGGGCGGTGGAGGCGCTCGCGCGCACGGGCGTGGGACGGTTGACGCTGATCGATTTGGACGCGGTGTGCGAGACGAACGTGAATCGACAAGCGGAGGCGACGGTCGAGACGATCGGGGCGTTCAAGGCGGACGCGATGATGGATAGAGTGCGAGCGATAAATCCCGATTGCGACGTGCGCGTCGTGAGAGATTTTGTGCAGCGAGAGAACGTGGAGGAAATCTTGGGAGGGGCGGCGAGAGAGGTCGGCGGCGGCGTCGATTACGTGCTCGATGCGATCGACAAGGAGAAGGATAAAGCAGCCATCATCGCGTATTGCGTGTCGGAGAGGATACGGATATGCTCCACGGGTGGTGCGGGTGGAGTGGATTCGTTGAGTGAGCTGCGCGCGGAGGACTTGGCGAACGTGACGTTTAATCGGTTGTTGAGCTCGACGCGAAAGACGTTGCGAAAGCGGTACGCGTTTCCCAAGGAGTCGGGCGACGGCGGGTCGTTTCCCGGGGCGAATAAGGGCAAGCGTAAGTCGCAGGGGAAGTGGGGCGTGAAGTGCGTGTACGCGCCGGAGAACGATAACACATTTAAAAAGGCCGGGACGAAGGGGCGAGGTGGGATCGGTTGCGAAGGCGTCGGCGGTTCAGCCGTGTTCGTCACGGGCGCCATCGGGTTCAAGGCGGCGTCGGAAATCGTGATCGATCTTGTGCAAGATTCGATGGCGGATGGTAATTCAAGTAATAAACAACCATCGACGGCGACAACTGGGTGGCGCTCGCGCGTGTGGCCGCCGAATGATACGTCCGATACCGCGGACGATTCGGCGCAAACGCCGAATGAAGACTCGCAAAAAGTTATCCCGGGGCGACAAGACGAACTTCAACCGACGACGGCGAGTCTCGAAGCCGCGCGCGCGCTAGATTCTGTAGAAATGTTCGATGCGCACTGTCACTGGCATTTGGACGGCGAACGCAAAGCCATTCGCAAGCTTTGCGCGAAACTCGCCGGGGCGGCGATGACGACGACGAGGCCGGGTGACTGGGGCGCTGCTCAAGCCGTTCGCGAGGGCGACGACGGACTGAACGTGAACGTCCCGATAGCTCTAGGCGTGCACCCGTGGTGGGCACACTTAGAAAAGGAAGGTAAAGACGACTGGATGCGAGAGCTACGGCTTAATATCGAATCGACGCCAAACTCCGTCGTCGGCGAAATCGGCCTCGACAAAGTCGCGACGCCACCAGATGGGTCGCAGCCCGATTACGAAAATCAGCTTGATTGTTTTAAGCGTCAACTAGCACTCGCAACGGATGTGCGTCGACCGGTCGTCGTACACAGCGTCAAGGCGACAGGGGACATGATGGATATATTCAGGAACTCAGCCGAGTTACCACCTCGAATCTTCATGCACTCGTTTGGGGGGTCCGAGGATTTTATGAAACAACTCACGAAGATGAAGAAATTCGGCGACCGTTTTTATTACGGATTTTCATCCGTCATTAACCTTCGCTCACCGAAAACGCAGGGTGTCATAAAGGCTGTACCTGACGACAGACTGCTCCTGGAGAGCGACTTGTGCGACCCGACGTGCGCCGAGGACGAGTTGCGAACGATGCTAGCAATCATTGCCGACGTAAAAGGGTGGACGGTGAAGGAAGCCGCGCGCGTGACGCGAGAAAATGCGATACGATTCTACTCGTCTAGCGTGTAATCTCATCGATCGTTTAGAATGTGTGTCGTCTGTTTCAATCTGTTGGTTGCTATCGTTTCGTCTAAAAGTAGATGCGTTGGACTTCGCTCTCGGCGAAAGGTAACGAACATCCTGGACACTTGCGCTGACGTGACACCACGCGTTTGTTGATGCACTCTTCGCAGAACATGTGCCAGCATCGGGTGATGATGACGGCTTTTTGTCTCTCGCCTTGACACACGTTGCAGTTCATCAACGTCTTGTACGCGTCCACTTCCGCGTGCAAATCCTTAGTCCCGCCCTCTTTGAGTAAGCGGTCGCATTTCTTTTTCAGGCTGGCGGCAGTAGTTTCAGCCTTAACTCGAGCGGCTTTTTCGGCTTCGAGTTTGGCGATTTCGCTTTCGCTGCGCTTCGTCAACGTCGCGACGTTCTTTTCTGATGCGGCGAGCTTATCGCGAACTTCAACGACTTGTTTCTCCATCGCGCGAAGCTGCGCCTTTGATCGGTCTACGTTTTCGCTGTTCCCACTGACTTGCTCTTGCATCTTCTCGAACGCCGTTGTGGCTTCGGCGAGTTGTTCCTCGAGCTCTCTCGTTCGTTGGTCTGCGAGCTCGAGATCGCGCTTGTAATACGCAGCCGTTTCGTTCACTCGCTCGCACTCGTCTTCGAACTTCTTGGCAGAAGATTGCGCCGCGATGCGCTCGCTCGCCGACTTGTTTTGCGCCTCTTCGCTCGACGCGATGCGACTGAGGAGACGCGTGCTTTGTTCTTGCGCCTCGGCGTACGCGCCTGAAATCGCTTCAATCTCTTCGACGTACATCATCACTTCTGCTTGCTTTTCTTCAAGCGCTGCGTTCGCCGCCGTGGCAGTCGCTTCAGCGCCCGCAAGCTGCTCCTTAAGCGTCACAATTTGCTTCTCTAGATCCGCCGTCTTGGCGGTCGACTTCTTCGCCGCGGACTTTTCGAGAGACGCGACGGATTCGGTGAGCGACTTGACTCGTTCTTCCGCCGCAGCTTTCTCAACCTTCGCCTTATCGAATAACGCGTACGACTCCTTGAACCTAGTATTTTCATCTTTCAGCACTTTGTTCTCCTTGAGCACGATTTCGAGCATTTTGAGCTTTTCCTCTTGCGCGACCGCGCCGCCTTGTTTCTGCGTCAGCGAACGCACTTTGTGATCCAATTCATCGCGCAAGGCGCTGATGTGCGAAATGCGCGCTTCCAACTCATCCACATGCGCTTCCATTGAGCTCAGACGCTTCATTGCAGCTTCACCACGCTCCGCAGCTTGCCTATCGCGGATCGATTCTTGCATGGCACCGTCCATTCGGCGACGGACCGAGCGCAAGTCTTCCGTGAGCTTGTCGTTCTCTTGCTTGGCGTTTTCGTATCGAGTGTTGAGCGCGACGTATGCGGCCGATTTTTCGATGTTCCCACCATGACTTTGCGCGTCACCTTGCGCGCGAACTTGCACCGCTAACGTTGACTTCTCCTTGTTCAACTCGGCGATGGTCTTCTCTTGAATCTTCACTTTGGCTTCGAGCTCGGCGATTTCACCGTTGAGCTTGGCTAGATCTCCGGCGGCTGCTTGCGGCGCCGCGGGCGTTCCGGGACGACTATCGGGACCGGCCCCGACCTTTGCTCCGTCTGCCACGGCGGCCGCCTTCGCCTGCGCCTCGGCACCCGCCGCGCGAGCGTCCTCCGCCGTCGCCATCTTGGGCAACCCCTCGATGGTGTCGTCGCCCCCATTCGCCTTGGCGATGGCCAAACGCCGTCGCGTCCCCAAGAGCTGCACCTCCATCTCGTCTAATTCAGCCTGCAACTCCTTACAACGCGCTGAATCTCGCAAGTACGCGTGCGTCAACGCGTCGTAATCCCGCATCGTCTTCAGCCGACTCGCCTCGAGCGCGTCGATTTTCTTCTTCAGCTCGGCGTCCCCCGCCCCCGAAGTCTTCGCCTCGATCGCATCCAACACCGCCGCCAATCGTGCCTTGGTATCGTCCGCTTTATCCCTCAAACTCTTCACCAGCTTCTCGCGATCCTCATCCTCAAACCTCGACGTCCCGTCCTCCAGTTCGTCCGCCGTCTCGTTCGTTCCGCCCCGTTCGTCGCCGTCGCCTCCGCGTTTCCGTTTCCCTGTCCCCTCCACCACGTGCTGATCCCCCGCCAGCTCGATCAATCGTTTCAAGAACGGATCGACGTACGCTCCCTCGTTCCCGTCCTCTTTCTTCGCCGCGCTCGTCTTTTTCGTCCCGTTCGCCTTGGCCGCCAACGCGTCGATCGCCGCGTTCGCCGCGTTCCACTCATTCGTCACGATCCCAAGCACGCTCTCGTACTTCTCGCGCAGCTTTTCGTGCGCCGCGAGTTTTCGTTCGAGATCGCGCACTTCCTCGCGCCGCGCTTCGAGCTGTCGCGCGTCCATCGTCGTCAGTCGCGCCGTCGTCCACGCTCGACTCGAGTTCGATCGCGCAATCTTTCCCCGCGTCCATCGCGCCGCGCCCTTCCGCGCGCGTCCGGGCGCGTCGTTCGCGCGCATCGCGTCGCGCGCGCACCTGTCCGCCGAGCTGTTGGTTTTTAAACCGCAACACCGGCGCGTCTTCGGCCATTTGAAGATGGATTTGCGGCGTCGAATGCCGCCACGCGCGCGTCTGGTCGCCACTGTTATGCGCGCCGCGTCGCGCCTCACTCGAACGAGCGCGAGAATCCGCGTCGAATCGTCGACGAAGTTCGCGGTGGCAGAATCGAGCGCGCGCGAGCGCGCGAGCGACGCGTTCGAGGCCGCGGCGCGGGCGTTTTCGTCGAGCTTTCCGAGGTTTCGAGGCGGCGGCGGCGGCGATCGAACGACGTCGGCGCGCGAGAAGCGCGAGAGAAGCGCCGACGAACGCGCGGGAGGGCGGGACGTGAGCGCGAGCGGTGACGCGCGCGCGATGGGAGACGGCGGCGCCGATCCGAAGGCGCCCGAGGGGTTTGAAGTCATTCGAGAAGGATGGGCGCGGGCGCTGCAGCGCGCGGGCGGCGACGACGTGTTTTATAATAAGCCGCAAGTGGTCAATCGCGATCTGTCGCTGGCGGTGATACGTGAATTTCAGAAAGTGCGAGCGACAGAGCACGCGAACGGGCAGTCGAAGCGGAATAAACGGGCGAAAGGGGCGATGTGTTTGACGCCGAGGGACGACGCGTTGCTGCCGCGTTTGCTCGACGAGGACGACAGAGCGGCGTTGTTTCGAAGCGCGGAGGAACATCGCGCGTGGGCGGCGGCGCAGGAAGAGGAACGCGCGAAAAATGGCGAATCAGCGGCGGGTGAGGAGAAAGCTGTGAAGCCGTTGAGGGATATTACGATTCTGGAAGGGATGTCGGCGACGGGATTGCGAGCGTTGCGATACGCGCAAGAGCTCGAAAACGTGGGGTGCGTGGTGGCGAATGACATGGATCCCACGGCCGCGGAGGCGATCGAGAGAAACAAAGCGTACAACGCGCTTTGCTCACCGGATAAGGCGGAGGCGATCTCGCGAGTGATTCCCCACAACGAAGACGTGCGAATGGTGTGCATGAAGCATGAAAAAATGTTTGACGTCGTCGACTTGGATCCGTACGGAACGCCATCGACGCTCCTGGACAGCGCGGTGACGTCGGTGAAAGAGGGAGGACTTTTGCTCGTCACCGCTACCGATATGGCGGTGCTTTGCGGGAACAACGCCGAGGTCGCTTGGGCCAAGTATCAGTCGTATCCGCTTCGTGCAAAGTATTGTCACGAAATGGCGGTTCGTACGCTCTTGGCGGCGGTGGAAAACGCCGCGATCAAGCACCGACGGCACATCGTTCCCGTGATTTCGTTATCGATCGACTTTTACATCCGTGTCTTCGTTCGCGTATACACGAGCCCGCTGCAAATGAAACAGACGCCGAGCAAGCTCAGCTACGTGTTTCAGTGCGTCGGTTGCGACGCGCACGAGCTCCAAGCCGTCGGTCGTCAGCAGACGAAAGGTAACGTCACCAAATATCAGCCCGGCGTCGGACCCGTGGTGCCGCAGCGATGTTCTAGCTGTGGATGGCACTATAACATGGGTGGTCCGATCTGGAGCGACCCAATCCACGACAAGACGTGGGTCACCAACGTCAAGAGCGAACTCGAGCGAAACAAGGATGCGTACCCGGGGTACGGGAAAGTGCACGCGCTGCTCACGATGGCGAGCGAAGAGCTTTTGGACGTACCGTTGCACTACGACTTACACGCCATGGGTGGAACGCTGAAGGCTACGCCACCGAGCTTTTGGTTGTTCAAGTCAGCCGTCATGAACGCCGGGTATCGCGTGAGCGGAAGCCACTCAAACCCGCTCGCGATTAAAACCGACGCCCCGGTGGACGTGCTTTGGGACATCCTACGATGCTGGGTGAAGGAGCACCCGGTGAAGCCGCAGTCGTCGCCGACACCAGGGGAAGCGATATTGGCCAAAGAACCGACGGTAATCGCGAATTGGACGCGACGCACCGAAGCTCAAAGCAAGGCGCAGAAAGACGGCGTGGCTCGGTTCCCGCAAAACCCGACGGCGGATTGGGGTCCGAAAAGACGCGCGGGCAAGTATCGCGAGGAAGAATTAGAAGCCAAACGGCGAAAAGAAGAAGAGGAAGATTAGAAGAAAGTTTTGTCATGCACAAATAAGGGTAGTCAAACAAAGAAGACTTCGTTCGACAAGAAGGATGCAAACTCGAGAGGTTTCGCGATGAGGGCGCGATGCGGATGTGCGCCGCCGCCGTCCCACCAGCGGCTGCAAAACGCGCCCGTGGTGTGCTCAGACCATCGCGCAATCATTTCGCGTGTCGTTCGCGTGTCATTTTCGATACCGATCGCCGTCAAAGGCACGTGTACTTTCTCGGTCGATCCCTCATACGATTCGCTCATTCGGAAGTCCTCTCGAAAGGGAGCGATCAACGACGTGGACACGCATCGTAACTCGTCACTCACGCCGTAGCGCCGCTCGAACGCTGCCCAAAATGCGTCGTCAGTTTCCAACTCTGACAGTCGAGGCGTCTCGACGTCGGTATCGTTGAGCCAGTGCCCCAAACATGGCGCTCTGGCGGCCGACACGTACACGCCCGAGACGCGCTCGCCGAGCGCTCGAGCGCATTCAAACGCGATCCACGCTCCGGCGCTATGTCCGTACAAATAAAGCGATTCACCTTTCGAGACGCACCCATGTTCGACGATGCGACGCGCAACATCTCTCGCAAAATCGACAACACTCCATCTCAGAGTTTCTACCTCCGGAACGCATCGCCTCCACCGGCATGGTTTGTCGACGGCGAAGCATCGCGCGTCGACGGCGCGCGTGAAATCTCCATTAAAGCACGACGCCGTCGCCCCCGCGGGCGGAAAGCAAACTAGAACCCGATCCATGTTCTGTTTTGCCGGCTGACACGTCACCAGGTCCGCCATCTCCGATCGTCGGCGTCGTCAAATGTCGCGTCGAGTCGGCGACGCGACTCGCGTTCGCGTCGCCGACTCGCGGCGTCGCCCATCGCCCATCGCCCATCGCCCGCGCGCGCCGACGCTCGAGCGCATTCGCGTCCGCGATCGGCGCCGTCCGACGAACTCACGTCTTCCGCCTCGAGACGCGTCGGCGCGCGTCCCGTCGCGTCGTCGTCGCGTCGTCGTCGTCGCGCGCGTTCAAACCGTCGCTCGGCCAATCCTGCGGCGACGACGCGCGCGTGAAGAGCGCGAGCGCGCTCGCGACGATCGCGAGCGCGGCGGTGACGATCGCGATGTACTTGCGGAGCGGACACGCCATCGCGATGGCGTGTGCGGACGGGGAGGGGTCGATGTGATTCGGGACGCGCGTCCCGGCGACGGCGCGGCGGAATCGACGTCCGATATGTGATGATTAATAAAGGAGGTTACGCGCTGTTCGCTAGTGGTGATCGAAAACGATCGTGGGAAATAATTATGACGGAGCGCCGAGGTAGGCGCACACGCGCAAGATGTCGCCGAAGACGCCGCCGGCGGTGACCTCGGCGCCGGCGCCCGGACCGCGAACGACTAAGGGTCCAGCGGACGTGTAATACTTTGTGGTGAAGGAGACGATGTTGTCGCTGCCCTTGAGCTGAGCGAACGGATGGTCGGCGGGGTAACGACGGAGTTCGACCGAGCCCGTGCCGTTCTTGACGTCGACGACACCGACGAAGCACAAGACTTCGCCCGCGGCGGCGGCTTCTTCTTGCTTGGACAAAATATCGCCGTCGTACTTGGGAAGCTCCTTCATGAACTCATCCACGCTTTCGATGTCACGCAACGGCTCGGGAACGAGAGATTGAATCGGGACATCGCTGAGCTCGATGTTCAAACCGCATTCGCGCGCCAAGATGGTCACCTTGCGAGCGACGTCCATACCGCTCAAGTCGTCGCGGGGATCGGGTTCGGTGTATCCCGCTTCCTTGGCCTGCGCCACGATGTCGCTGAACTTCTTGCCCGGTTCCAAGGTGTTGAAGATGTAAGAAAGCGTACCGGAGAAGATGCCTTCGATGCGCTCGACCTTGTCGCCCGAGTTTCGCAGGCTTTGAAGCGTGGCGATGATGGGCAAGCCGGCGCCGACGGTGCCTTCATAAAAGTAGTGCGTGTACGAATTACGTTGAATGGAACGCAATTCCTTGTAATACGCGAGCGGTCCGCTGTTCGCCTTCTTATTCGGCGTGACGACGTGCAATCCCTTGGACAACCACTCCTTGTAGTGACCCGCGACGACGTCGGAGGCGGAGCAGTCGACGATGATTTGGTTTGGCGCCTCCGACTCGAGCACGTGCTTTGTGAAGTCGTCCATGTTCGCCTGCACACCACTAGCGTATTCGTCTTCCCACGAATCTAAGTCGATCGCACCGTCGCTGAGCAACATCTTACGACCGCCCGTGATGGCAACCACGCGCAGTTCAACCGCAAACTCGTCTTGGAGCGTTTCGAGTTGTTCCTTCATTTGGCGAAGCAACGTCTTGCCGACGAGGCCTGGTCCCACGAGACCGACGCTAATCGCGGTCTTGGAGAGGTAGAATCGACCATGAGCGGCTTGAAGGGCCTTATTGACGTCCTTCTTGGAGACGACGACCGTGATGTTGTACTCGGACGCCCCTTGCGCGATGGCGATGACGTTGACGGCGCTCTGCGCCAGCGCTTCAAACAACATCGCCGACACGCCCGGCGTTTGGCACATGTTCTGCCCGACGATGGCCAAGATGGAACAATCCTTCAAAGGGAGGATTCGAGAGATGCGACCGGCGGCGATGGCTTTCTCGAACGTCTTGTTGAGCGCCGCGACTGCCGCGTCCGCCTCGTGCGAGCGAACCGCAAAGCAAATGGAGTGCTCCGAGGAAGCTTGAGAAATCATAACCACGTTGCAGCCAGCTTCCTTGACGGCTTTGAACACAGTGTTGGCCGTGCCCGGCACACCAACCATGCCCGTACCCTCGACGTTGATGAGGCACACGTCGTCGATGGTGGCGATACCCTTGACGAGCTCGCCGCTCATGTCGCGAGTCTCAAACTTGCCGACGTTGCCCTCATCCCCGGCGGGCAGCGGGCACGCCATGCCGATGGACGTCCCTGGCGCGGCTTGGTTGAAGTAGTTGCGCAACGTGACTGGGATGTTGTACTTCATCGCCGGTAAAGTCGTGCGCGGGTGGAGAACGTTGGCGCCAAAGTACGCGAGTTCCCACGCTTCGTTGTAGGAAATCGAGTTCAGGCACTTGGCCCCCTTCACGCGGCGAGGATCGGCGCTGAATACGCCATCGACGTCGGTCCAGATGGTGATATTTCTCGCTTGCGTGAGCGCACCGAAAATTGTGGCGGAGTAATCGGAACCGTTACGTTTGAGCGTCGTCGGCACGCCCTCCGGCGTCCTCGCGATGAAACCAGTCACCATGACCACGGCGCCCTCTTGCATATGCTCGTCGTACCACTTATCCAAGTTCGCGTTGGACAAGCTGTAGTCGACGTCCACGCCGCCGTCCTCGGATTCTGTGACGACGAGAATGTCTCGCGCGTCGATCCAGACCGCCTTGCCCCCCTTGCAGCGAATCGTCGCCGCGCACAAGCGCGCCGTCCAGAGCTCTCCGTGTCCGACGACGAAATCCCCGAACGCATCGGTCGAGCAACCGGCGATGTAAATAGCCTTAAACATCGCTCGTAAATCGTTCAATTCCTCGTTGAACGCCGCGATGTACGCGTCGTACTCGGCTTTATCCGTCAACAAAGCCTTCGCCGTGGACACGTGCTTATCCTCGAGCTTCGTCAACTCCGCCGCGTACGTATCGTCCCGTTTCGCCGCCATATCCGTCGCGTTTATCAAGCAATCCGTCACCTTTGGTTCACCCTTCACCGCGACGCCCATCGCGGACACGATCCCCATCGTCAACTTGGAATCATTCTTCATCAAGAGCTCGCACACGCCGCCGATGCGCTCCGCGCTCCCGACGCACGTCCCCCCGAACCTATCGTCGAACCGTTCGCCAGCCGTCAGTCTTCGCGCGCCGCGTCGCGTTCGTGCCCTTCCCCAAATCACCCGACCGTCGTCGTCGCGCGTCGCGCGCGCCCTCGCGCGCGCCCTCGCCGCGTCCGCGTCCCGTCCCGCCCTCGCGTTCAGGTTTTCCCCGCGGATCATCCATCGCGCGCGCTGTCCCGCGTCGCGTCCGTCGCGCGCGCCCTCTCGCGCGGTCGCGCGTCGCGAATCATCGTCCCGCATCGCGCGCCGTCGTTCGCACGCACTTGTGCACGTCCCAATCGCTTCCGCGCGGGATCGCCGCGCGCGTCTCGAGGTTTCGCCGCGTCGTCGTCGCGCGCGGCGCGCCTCGCGCGTCGAGCGCGCGCCGGCGCGCGAGCGCGCGTCGCGACGCGACGGGCGCCGTTCGGTGCGACGCGTGTGCGGACATGGCGCTCGGCGGCGTCCGCGCGGCGGAGTGTCGCGCGCGCGCCGGCGCGCGCGCGCGGGATGGCGTAGCTTTGTATGGGTAAACAGTGTGCGTGTATGGATATCCGCGGTCGGTCGGACGCGAACGGTCGCGCGACGCCGCCGACGACGACGACGGCGACGCGCGCGCGCACTCCGCGACGCGGTCGACGGCGCGGCGCGCACCGCGAGCGTCCGCGCGCGCGCGTCGGCGCTCGACCGCGCGATGCTCGCGCGCGTCGGCGTCGGCGTCGGCGCGCGACCGCGCGGCGGCGGCTCGGGGACGGGACGCGCGACGCGACGCGCGGCGACGGCGACGCGAGGACGCGCGAACGGACGAACGCGCGACGAAACGCGCGGTTTTGGCGCGCGCGCGCGCGCGCGCGTCGCGGTCGCGAAGACGCGAGCGCGCGAAGGGGCGACGCGAGGCGGGACGCGCGGCGACGGGACGCGACGCGAGGCGACGCGCGACGACGACGACGCGAGGACGCGCGATGCGGGCGGCGCGGACTCGGTGAAGGGCGCGCGCGGTGAGGACGCGCGCGATGGACGATTGCCGACGATCCCGCGAGGGACGTACGCGTCGCTGGCGACGGCGCTCGTGGCGCTCGGTTTTCCGGCGCTGTTGAACAGCGTGAACGAACCGGTGGTGTCGCTGTTGGAGACCGTGCTCGTGGCCAGGGTCGGGACGGTGTTTTTAGCCGCGCTCGCGCCGGCGTCGGCGTTGTTCGGGCTCGTCGAGGAGGTGTGCTTCGCGTTTAGCGTCGTGGTGACGACGGCGGTGAGTTCGGCGCGCGCCGAGTTTGAAGACGTCGACGCCGCGGTGCCGGAACGCGTGAAACAGACGGTGAGCATGAGCGTGATGGCGTCGTTCATCGCCGGTCTCGGGCTTGCGATCGGACTGCAAGCGCTGTACGGACCCATTTGCAAAATTATGGTGGTGCCGCGAGAGGTCGAGGCGCTGTTGCGCTCGTACACGGTGTTGCGGTGCGCGGGATTGCCCATGTTCGGCGCCGCAAACGCGCTCGAGGGGGTGTTTCTCGGAAGCAAAGACGCGCTGACGCCCATGACCGGATGGCTCGTCGCCGGTGTCATCACCGTCGCGCTGCAGCTGTTCTTCATTACACCGCAGATGAGCGCAAACGCGGCGGTGCGTTGGGCGGGCATCGCCCTCACCGTGGGTCAGACGTTCATTTTCTTCTATCTGTGGAAGATTGCGCATGGGCGCGGATTATTTTCAATGCGAAGCGTGTTCAAGGGCGCCGAGAGCGTGGGCGCGGCGATCGCGCGCTTGTACAGGCGTCTTGAGGAGGAGCACATCGCGAGCGAGTTTCGGTGGTTGGTACTGAGCGCGACGGCGCGTATGACGACGTACGTCATCATCACCTCGTGTGCCACGAATCTCGGGGTGATTTCTGCGGCGGTCAATAAGACGTTGCTGGATCTGTATATTTTATTAGGGTTATGTGCCGAGCCAGTGTTCACCGTCGGCAACGTCTTATTGCCGAGGAAGAGACGCAGTCTCGTCGAGGTCTTGACGTACCGACGCGCGCTGTTTTACGTCGCGCTGTTCATGGGGTTCACGCTCGCATGCTTGGCGTACATCCTTTGCGGCTCAACTTTGCTCTCGCACGATCCACACGTCCACGCAGTGGCGACCTCAATGCGGAGCTTGGTCGCGGTGACAATCGGTTTGTCCACCGCGGCGTACGCCACCGACGGCTGCGTCATCGGTCTCGGCGGGGCCAGCTTCGTCGGTGCGGCGCAGATGATCAACACATCAATATTTGTGTTGGTTTTCATCGCGTTCAGGACGATTTACGGCGCCGCGACATCGCTCCAGCACCTCTGGCTGGCGCTCTTGCTGTTCCAGGCGCTCCGCCTGGCGGAGCACGTTTGGAAATTACGCCACGACGAGCGCGCGCTCGCGTTTCCTCGCACCGCCGCCTTGGCGTAGTCGACATCGACGGCATCGCCGCCTCGACGCGTAGACGTCTCTCGCATTTGCCGGTTTTATAATATTGTTCAACGTTGCTGTAGTCGCCCGCGCGCCCCGACACACGCCCGACACGCGCCCGACACACGCCCGACACGCGCGAACGCCCCGACACACCTCGCCGCTCCGGTCGCGCCCGCGCACCGCGGCGCGCCCGGTGACGCGAAAGGACGCGATGCGATACCTCGCGGCGTCGCCGCGCGCGTTCGTCGATGCCGCGCCGACGACGACGTCGTCGCGTCAACGCTTCATCCGACGAACGCGCTCGGATATCACCGCGCGCGTGTTCGGTAACTTCACGCGACGCCGCGACGACGCCGTGGAAGAGATGGCCATCGTGCCGAGCGAAAGCTCGGACGCGGACGACGACGCGCGCGGCTCGAAAGATTGGTCGAGGTCGAGGTCGTGGGAGGAAGGGGACGAGATGCCGGAGGCGTTGGCGAGCGCGATACCGAGCTGTTATTACAGCCTGTTGCAGGTCGACCCCGCGAGCGATCGCGATGAGATAAAAAAGAATTTTAGACAATTGTTGAAGGCGACGCACCCGGACGTCGCGGGAGAGGCGAGCGTGGAGATTTCTCGAATCATGAACGACGCATATAAAACGCTCCTGGACGACGTGAAGAGGGAGCTGTACGATCGAGATTTGGCCGAGTTGCGATACGCGATGGCGCTGGCGGGAGAACGCGCGAGCGAAGACTTTCGACCGTATACGGGAGAGGCGTTGAGTACATTCGTCGGGTCCGATCCGACGGGACAATCGCGCGCGGTGTTCGTAAACGAGTCGGTGTGCATCGGATGTCGCATGTGCAACCACAGCGCGGCGAAGACGTTCATGATGGAACAAGATTACGGACGCGCGCGCGCGTTTCAACAGTGGGCGGACAGCGAAGAGGACATTCAGATCGCCATAGACTCCTGTCCGGTGGACTGCATCTCGTGGGTCAACAAGAAGAATTTGCCCATACTCGAGTACGCGATGCAGACCATCGAACGCATCAATATCGCGTCGATGCGCGCTGGAAACGCGCGCGCCGCGGACCCTTTCGACATCGCCAACGGCATGATTCGCCGCGGCGAAGAAGCGAGGGCGCGCTTGGGTGATTCGGGTGACACGCTCAACGGCATCGCCACCGTAGGTTCGCAAGCGCTCGCCATTCGCGAGGCGTGGCTCTTATTGAACGAATCCACGCGCGCGCGATGGCGCACGTACGCCTTAGCGCGCGCGAGCGTCGAGGACTCCTACGACGAATGCGACGACATCGATTGCGAGATCCCCAGCGCATCCATCGACGAAGATTTCGCGTAGCGCGCCGTCGACCAACCTTGTACAAACCAAACCAAACCAACCAACCGCCGCACATCATGTCGTCCGCGCGCGCCTCTCCGCGCGTCCACGTGCGCGTGCGCGCCTCTCCGCGCGTCCACGTGCGCGTGCGCGCCGGCGGTCACCTCCACGCGTCCCGCCGCGCGTTCACCACGGCCACGACCTTCGCCGCGTCCTCGCCGGGCGATTTCTTTGCGAAACTTTTCGACACCTCTCCTCCGGGACGCGCGCAAACGCCCGCGGCATCGTCGCGGCGCGCGCGTCCGACGAACGAGGTCGTCGACGTGATCGAGGGCATCAGGCACAAGCGCTTGGGCGGTCGGTCGGACATCGTGGTGAGCGAGCTCGCCCTCGGGACCCAGCGTTGGGGCGGCGCGGATTTCAATTCGCCGGATGAAGCGACGTGTCACGAGTTCATGGACGAGGCCATCTTAGGGCGCGGGATAAATCTCGTCGACACCGCAGAACAGGTGAGTGATTGGTGTTTTTCGATCGACAGCCTGTTCGCGGACGGTTCGGATGGCTCGAACGGTTCGAATGATCGCGAAACGCGCGACTGACGACGGCTTTCTTCGCCGCAGTACCCGATTCCGAGCGATCGGCGGCGACCGGAAGGAAGGACCGAGGAAATCATTGGAAGCTGGTTAGCGAAAGATAAGTCGAGGCGTGAAAAAATGGTGATCGCGACGAAGATTACCGGCGGCGCGAACGTGACAAAGAAAAATATTGTGAAGGATTTGGAAGGGTCGTTGTTGCGGCTGAAAACCGATTACGTCGACGTGTACACGCTTCATTGGCCGGCGCGGTACACGCCTCAGAGTAATTGGGGACAGTCGTTGGAGTACGACGTGGATACGGAACGACAACCGTATTATCGCAACGCGGCGTCGTTTGAAGAAATCACCGAAGCCATGGGCTCGTTGATTCGTCAAGGAAAGATTCGCGGCTACGGCTCCTGCAACGATAACGCCTTTGGACTCACGGCTATGTGCTACGCCGCGCGGAGCGTGGGCGCGCCCGAACCGTGCTGCATGCAGGGCGACTTTAGCTTGATCAACCGTCGGAGTCTGGAGAATGGTTTAAGCGAGGCGTCCTCGCCCGTGCACGAAAACGCTGGGTGGATGGGATACAACCTGTTGGCGGGCGGCGTGTTAACTGGTAAGTATCGCGAGGTTAAGGCGGCGGTCGACAACGCGCGAGATCGCGAACTCGCGGAGAAGCTGCTCGCCGATCCCCGAGGTCGCATGGACGAATACGGTTGGGGCCAGACGTTGTACCGCTATCGCAGCGCTCCGGCGCTTCGCGCCGTCGACCAATACGCCGCGCTCGCCGACGCCGCCGGCATGTCGCTCACCGAGCTCGCCCTGCGCTGGGCGCAGCGTAAATCATTCATGACCACCGCTCTCATCGGCCACACCTCGATGACGCAGCTCAAGGAAACCATCGGTCATTTCGACTCGTCCAAGCCGCCGCTCGACGACGAACTCATGTGGGCCAGCGACGTCGTCCACATGCGCAACCGCCTGCCGATATTCTCGAGCGAGCGCGTCGGCCTGGACTGGAACGGTCGCGGTGAAATCGGCGAGCGCGTGCCCTGAGTGTAACGTCACCGCGCGCACAGTTTTAGCATTCATCCAGCACGAACGCGACGGTCGACGCGGTTGACTTCGCGCCCGCACTGCTCGCCTCGCTTGATGCCCGCGTCGCCCGCGTCGCGCGTCCGCCCTTCGCGCACCCACTCGCGCGCCGCGACGACGACCGCGCGCGGCGTGAAGTCAACCATGCGCAATCTATTCGCGCGCGCGCGCGACGCCGGCGTCGGCGAGCGCCTGCCCGGGTCGACGTTCGAGCGATGCGTGTACTTGGACTACAACGCCACGACGCCCATATGGCCCGAAGTCTCTCGCGCCATGGCGCCGTTCCTGCACGAACACTTCGGGAACCCGTCGTCCGGACACGCGTTCGCGACGCCGTGTCGAGAAGCGATCGACGCCGCGCGCGAATCGACGGGCGCGATGTTGGGGTGCGCGAGCGACGAGGTGACGTTTACTTCGTGCGGAAGCGAGAGCGATAATTTCGCCATCGATGGCGCGGTGCGTGGGTTTTTGAAGAAGAACGCCGGACGCGGATTGCCGAAGATTGTGACGACGGCGATCGAGCACCCGGCGGTGATCGAGCACTTGAAGGCGAAGGCGGCGTTCGGGGAATTGACGTACGAGTTGGTCGGCGTCGACGAGGAGGGGTTGGTGAACGCGGACGACGTGATCGACGCTATCGATGAGAACACGTGCTTGGTGACGGTGATGCACGCGAACAACGAAACGGGAGCGATACAGCCTGTGGCTGAAATCGCGAGACGGGCGCGAGAGCGCGGCGTGCTGACGCACACGGACGCAGCGCAGAGCGCCGGAAAAGTTCCGGTGAAGGTTGACGCCCTCGGGGTCGACATGGCGACGATCGTTGGGCACAAAATCGGCGCGCCGAAGGGAGTGGGCGCCTTGTACATCCGTCGGGGTACTGACTTAGGCGACGCCAAGCCGTTTTACGGCGGTGGCCAGGAGAGCGGGCGGCGTGCGGGCACCGAGAACGTATTGCACATAGTCGGTTTGGGCAAGGCGTGCGAGATCGTCGAGCGCGAGATGGATACGTGCCCGAAACATTTGAAGGCGATGCGAGACGATCTGCAGAAGCGGCTGGTTGACGCGCTCGGTGGCACCGATGGTTCGGGCGTGCGCGTGAACGGCCCGCGCGACGATGACAAGCGCTTGCCGAATACGCTGAACATCGGCATCAAAGGTTTGCTCGCCTCGATCACGCTTATGGAACTCAGCGAACTGCTCGCCGCGAGTGCGGGCGCGGCGTGTCACACACCAGACGCCGCCACGTCGGGCGGTGCGACGGTATCGAGCGTTCTAGAGGCGATGAACGTGCCCATGGAGTACGCCGTCGGCACGTTACGACTGAGTGTCGGTCGACACACCGTCGAGCGAGACGTCGAGCGCGGCGCGGCGTTGTTGATCGACGCCGCGAAAAGACAAAATGCGGGCGCGCCGCGGTGAATAGCGCCGTTAGAGACGCAGAAGTTCTTCTACCTAGCAATATTAATACACGATGAGTTATTCGAACGACGCGTCAAATTCGCAAGCTCTCCACGCCGAAATCCTCGTCTCGCGCGCCGCCGCGACTATGCTTGGCACCACCTTTTCCTTTTGATTTCTTCTTCGTCTTCACCTCGGCCCAATCTCCGGTGTCAAATTCCTCGACATCGATCCCATCCTCCACCGCCTTCTCCCTCGACCGTCGTTCTTCCTCCATCTCTTCCTCCAAGACGTCCGCGCACGCGTCCGCGTCGCCGCGACACGCTCGCAGCGTCCTCCGCAATCTTTCCGCGTCCACGCACCCCGTCCTGCGCGCCAACGCACACAACTCATCATCCCTCAACATCGCCACGCTCAGCGGTCCCCCCGGCTCGTCGAATCGCCTCGAATTCCTCAACCGCACGCTATTATAATGATCGCGCCCCTCGTACGTCACGTGATACGTCTTCGCTCCATCGTCCCTCGCGTCCGCGCCCGCCACCCATCGCGGCGACCCCGCTTGATGGATGCATATCCCCACTCTCAGCGCCGCCGTCGCCGCGTTCACCTCCAGATGTCCCGCCCACTCCCCGTCCCTCGCCATTCGTTCGACGTACTCGTCGAACGTCTCGTCGTCCTCCACGAACGGCGCGAACGCCTCTCGTCTCGCCTCCACGCGCGCCACCACGCGTCTTCGCACCTCCGCGTGTCTCGACTCGTCGCCGTACCTCTGATCCGCGAGCGCGCGAAAGAAGCAGTTCCCGTCCGCCTCCACCGCGCGTCGCTCGAGGTTCAGCGCGCGAAGCTGCCGCTCGAGCGTCGCGATCTCGTCCCGCGACGCCGCGTCGCGAGCGTCGCGCGTTATCGCGCCGTCGCGACGCGCGCGATCGCGACGCGCGCGTCCCTTGCCCATCGAGGCGCGCGATCAGCGGCGCATCGCGTCGGCGCGTCGGCGCGTGACGCCGCCGCCACTCCGCGACGCGCGCGACGCGATCGACATGCCGCGCGCGAAGCGATCGGCGTCGGAACCGAGCGACGCGACGCGCGCGATCGTCGACGCGCGCGCGCCGAAGCGCTCCAGGACGCGCGAGGACGACGCGCGCGACGACGGCGCGGCGCTCGACGGGGCGATCTCGCTGCGAGCGGCGGGGCGAAAGAAAAATGCCGCGCCGACGCGCACGAGCGCGCTCGCGGCGCCCATCATGGCGCTGACGAGGGGACACGAGGGCGGGGTGAACGCGGTGGCGTTCTCGCGGAGCGGCGCGACGCTGGCGAGCGCGGGACACGACGGGGGATTGGCGCTGTGGCGCGTGGGCGACGCGAGCGCGAGCGCGAATTTTATGACGGCGAGGGGGTGTAAAAACGCCGTCACGGACGCGTGTTACACGATGGACGACGAGTGCGCGGTGACGAGCGACGCGGATGGGGTCGTGAGGGTGTGGGACGCGGAGACTGGGGGGCAGGTGAAGTCGTACGCGTCGACGCGAGGGAAGTGCGCGAACGCGGTGAGCGCGGCGAGAGGGGATTTGGTGATGAGCGCGAGCGACGACGGGAGCGCGTGCGTGTGGGATTTGAGGGTGAAAAAGCGAGCGGCAAGGACGTACGCGCACGCGGTGCCGCAGACGGCGTGCGTGATGAGCGCGCACGGGGATCGCGCGTACGTCGGAGGCGTGGACGACGTCGTTCGCGCGTGGGACGCTAGAATGGAGAATAAATCGCTGATGACGCTCGAAGGGCACGAAGACACGATCACCGGACTAGACATTTCGCCGTGCGGGTCGTTCGTGCTGAGTAACTCGATGGATAACACGCTGAGGATGTGGGACACGCGCGCGTTCGTCGAGGGCGAACGCGAGACGAAGCGATTCGTCGGGCACTCGCACAATTTTGAAAAGGCACTCTTGCGATGCGCGTTCAACGCCGACGGCACGCGCGTGGGGTCTGGGTCCGCGGACTCTTGCGTGTACGTCTGGGAAGTCGAGAACGCCAAGCTGAAGTACAAGCTTCCGGGGCACAAGGGCGTGGTGTCCGGCGTCGCGTTTAGCCCGGCGGAAAACCCCGTCATCGCGAGCGGCGGCGCGGACGGCGTCGTCTTCGTGGGCGAATTGGATCGATGAGTCATCGTTTGTCATATAATTTACATGCAGTAAGTAGTCTATCGGCGTGCGTCGTCAGCCGTCGCTGCTATAATATCCAGCGCTCGCGCGCGCCGTAAACGCTTCGCCGTCCAATCCGCGCGTCGCCTCGATGACGTCAACCTTTGCGGGTCGACGTTTCGGTGTCGTCGCTTTGCTCGATCGTCGAGACGACGTGCGATGGATGCCGACGCGCTCTTCCCCGCTCTCTAACGAATCTGAGCGGTCACCGAGCGATCGTCGCGATCCGCCGCGAGACGAACGGTCGCGCGAGCGACGACTACGATCTCGCGAACGGTCGCGCGAGCGACGCCGTCGCGGTGATCTGTCTCGCGAGCGATCGCGTCGCCGTCTGTCCCGGTCGTCATATCGATCGTCGTAACCCCCTGGATGATGATATCCAGGAGGTGGAGGCATGCCTGGATATTGCGCCGCCATGTACATGGGATGCATCGGCATCATCGGCGCCGCGTACGCGTAGGGCATCGCCATGTACGGCTGTGGCACACCGTACGGCTGCATCGGAGGCGGATGCCCGTGCGCGCTCGGCGGTCCGCGCGGGTACCCTGAGGAATCGTACGAGGCGTGCGATCTATCGTCGCTGTATTCACTATTCGAGCGGCTGCGCGCGACGTAGCCGCCGGGTTCGCTTCGTTGTCGCGGGACGTCGTGTCCACCGAAAGAGTCCGCTCGAGTAAACGCGTCCGCGGACGCGACGCTGCGACTCGAAGATGGTACGCCTCGAGGATAGCCGTCGTGGTTGGCGCCCGGACGCTGCGACTCGATCCAACGCTGCATTCGAGACTCGTGCGCGCGCGCCTTCATCTCCGGCGTGGTGAGCGTTTCGCGCGCGTCGTTCGGTTCGAGCCCTTCGTAACAGCACAGGCCGTGAACATTCGTGATCGTGTCCGAGGCCCCGAGCGAGAGTAAGTACTCGCCGAGCGCCTGATAGCCGTAAGCGAAACAAAAGTGCAAACCGGTGTGCCCGTTGTTCGTTTGAGCGTCGATGAGTTCCAACCTCGGCGGCTTTGATTTATAATCCGTGCTCTTCAGCACCAATTTCGCCGACCGTCGCTGATTGTTTTGACACGCGATGTGCAACAGGGTCAGCCCGTTGCCGTCGCGAACTCTCGGATCGACGCCCGAGGCGAACAACTTTTGCAACTCCTTCACGCGACCGTGACGGGCGCGACTGAATGCCTCGATCACCAGCGCGTCGCCACCCGCGCTCGAACCTCCCCAAGAGCTGCCTCCGTCGTCGTCCGAGAAGTCGGAGCGGTCGCTCGAACGCTCCGATCCGATGTCTGAGATGTCGCACCTCGTCAGACGCGCTTGATTTCTAAACTGCGTGGCGAGCTCGTCCACCCCACCCTGGGTTTGCAGCAGCGGCCGTCGCGCGTTCGACGCGGTTTTATTCGTCAGACTTTCGTCTTCGCCGAAATTCGGCACGCCGAGGTCTTCGCGACGAGCCGCGCGCCGACTCGACGGGCTCGCCTCGGGCGAAACGGAAATCATCACGTGTCCGTCGTTGGCGCCGACGGCGCCCGCGCGCGTGGGCGTCGACGGTTCCGGAACGAACGCTCGCGCTTGAGACGCCGAGTTCGCGCGTCCGCGCTCGAGTCGCGCGCCCCCGACGTCGTCGTCGTCGTCGGTGTCGTCTAGGTTGCTCTCCGCGTCGTCGTCGTCCACCGCCTCCAGCGCTTGGTTCGCCCCCGCGCTCTCCGCGTACTCCCGCACGACGATCGCCAGCCCGCGCTCCCACATCGCCGCCTGCGCCACCGTCTGTCCCGTGAGCTCGACCACGTCCCCGTCGCGCTTGATCAACCGCACCACCAGCCCGTCGCCTCGTCGCTCCACTCTCGACACGTTTTTAAACGCGCACATCCTCGTCAACCTCGCCTCGTCCGCCGCCCCTCGAACCTCCCCCCACCGCACGCTCGCCCCGTTCGCGTCCACCTTGGCGAACACGCACCGCCCGCCGCTCCCGCGCGCGGACCCATCCGTCGCGAACTCTCGCGCCGCCGCCAGCGTCCCGCCCGCTCGCAGTCGCCTCGTCGCCTCGTCGTCGCCCTCGCGCGTCGTCGACGCCGTCGTCCCGTCCGCCTCGAACAGCGGGTTCGTCCGTCGCATGTTCGCGCGTCCCTCGCGGCGCTCTCGCGTCGCTCGCGTCGGTTTTCGCGCGCGATCGCGCTTACGGTCGTTCGTTCGCGCGCTTTCAATTCGCGTCTTCGACGCCCTCGCGCTCGACGTCGCGCGCCGCTCGACCGCGCGCGCGCTCACTCGACGCGCATGCCGCGCGCGCGCGATCCCGCGTCGCGCGCCCCGCGCGCGTCGCGTCGCGTCGCGTCGTCTTCTCCCGGATTCGCGTCGTCGCCCCGCGCGCCGAATCCCCAATCGCCGACGCGCGTGCTGGTCGCGCGCCGCGCGCCATGGTGGACGCGCGCACTTTTGCCGGCGCGCGCGCGTCCCTCGATCCCGCCAGCGCGCCGCGCGCGCCCGCGGACGTCCCCGGATTCGATCGCGCGAACCCTCGCCGGAGCGCCCCCGCTTCGGTGCTCGCCGCGCGCGAGGTCGCCGCGCGCGAGACCGCGGTCGCCGTCGAGCGCGCGAAATTGCTCCGCGAGAGCGTCGTCGCGTGTTATCGCGCGGAGGGGGTGAATCACCTCGAGCGGTGCGGCGCGCGCGTCAGGGCGTACCTCGAGGCGATCGGAAACGTCGGCGCGCATCGAATCAACGCGGGCGAGCGCGACCGATAGCGAGCGACGCGATTGTAACGAACGACGATGTAACGACGAACGATGACGAACGCGTCGGCGCGTCGACGGACGCGCGAATCGCGAGTCGCGCGGATTGCATTGAATTAAATTAAATCATCGAACGAACGACAGACGTCGACGCGGCGCGCGACGACGACGGCGCGACGCGCGCGACGCGCGCGCGCGCGAGGGACGCGGGACGATGTCGAGCGACGACGACGCGGGACGGCGTGCGCGGGGGGAGGCGAACGCGGGCGAACACCCTGGACGGGAGCGACGGACGGCGACGGACGACGAGGACGACGGCGACGCGGGGGCGGGGGGGGGGGCGAGGGACGAGGGCGCGCGGCGCGAGGGCGGGCGCGAGGGCGGGAGGGCGCGGGAGGCGCGGGAGGGGGCGGGCGACGCGCGGACGACGCGCGAACGCGAACGCGAGCGCGAGCGCGAGCGCGAACGCGAGCGCGAGCGCGAGCGCGAGAGCGAGAGCGAGAGCGAGAGCGATTCGGCGTCGACGTCGACGTCGGACGGATCGACGACGACGGATGGGGAGACGCGCGCGGGCGCGGCGCCGGCGACGGAGGAGTACGACGTCGAGGGCCGACTTCCGTCTCGAACGCCTCCCGCGGGCGATTCGCGAGGATTCTGGACGCGCTGCTATCACGAGGGCGCGAAGTTTTGCGGACTCGGGGTTTTGTTGGAGGAAATTCCGTCGGAGAGTTCTTCGAGCGAGAGTTCGAGCGATTCCGACAGCGAATCGGACAGCGAAGGATCTCGACGACGTCACAGGTTGCGCGCGTTGGATAGCTTTAAGAGCAACATGTCGGAGGGTTCAGAACTTGATGAAGCAGATCTCAACGACGAGGTTAAGCAGAGAGTTCTAGACGAAGGGAAGGCGAACATTTACCCGTCTCTGGCGATCATGGAGGTGCTGTTCAACAAAATGCAGGAACGACTCTCGAAGAAAGCGGTTCGCGACGAAATGCTCGAGGCGAAACGCGCGGACGAAGCTGTTACGGCCGCACACCGGAATCGCAGGCAACGGTCGAGAGCGTGGCTGTTGCATCAGTTTGTCTCGTCCAAGTTCTTTACGTTTCTCACCGCGTCGATGATTTTCTATTCCAGCATCGTGTGCGGCATCGTGTCGCAGGATCCCGACAAATGGTTTGACACGAAGTTCGAAGATGTTAGCTTCTTAGTGCTGAACATCGGGTTCGCCGTCGAAGCGGTCATGCGCATCATGTCTAGCGGCGTCATCATCAAAGAGGATGGCGTCAAACACTTGGTCGAGTTGAGGCCTCATTACTACTTTCACGACCCCGTTAACTGCGTCGATTTCGTCGTGACAGTGCTGTCGTTTATGGAGTACGTCGTCAGCGGTAATTCTCTGGACGCCGTGCGAACTTTCCGTCTCATTCGATTGCTTCGTCTGATTCAGATGGTCGAAGACATGCGTGTAATTTTGGATGGCGTCATCCAAGGCGTCCTGAGCATAGTCTGGATTCTCGTTCTCCTTACGGTCGTCGTGTACATCTACGCTGTGATCGGTGCGGTGTTGTTCGGTGAAAACGATCCGCGCAACTTCAGAAGTCTGAGCATCGCGTTCAAGACGGTTATATCGATGACGACGATGTCGGACTGGCTAGACTTTCTGTACATCAATTATCATGGCTGCGACCAGTACGGCTACGACGGAGCAGACGCGTCTTATTGTACGAACCCAAAGTCGCAGAAGGTATTGGCGACTGCGTACATTATGTCTCTCATCGTCATTCTCGGTAATATCATGATGAGCCTGTTCATCGGGGTCATCACAAACAAGATGGAGGACGCCGCGCTCGAACTGAAGGATTCCAAAGACGCGAAAAAGAGGAAGACGAAAGCCGCAGTCGCAGCTGAGGTGTGGGACGATCCGGCGTTAACTCCGTTAAAAATCGGTGCCGAGCAGTACGCGCAGTTGCTGTATCACCTGAATTTACTCTCCGGCGTGCGAGCGGAAGGGGTTGTCAGGCCGCTGCCAGATCTGCCAAAGTGGAAACGCGCGCAACTCTGGTTGAAAAGAATGGTCACGAACACAGTGTTCGAGTGGGGTGTCGTGATGATGATCATCGCCGTGGCTATTACTTCGGGTCTTGGTCTTGAATACAACCAGCAAGGCAAAGAATGGTACAAGACAACTGAGGCGTTTTTCATAGCCGCCTTTACGGCTGAACTCATCATAAAGTTTTTCGCCTACCTCGACAGAAGTCTTTCGTTTTACACGGGCAAGCAAAAGTGGTGGAACTTGTTTGACACATTCGTGGTGCTGGTTGGGCTCATACCCAGTTCGTATCAGAAGGCGGCGGTCGTTGTGCGACTTCTTCGGCTCCTTAGAATCCTGCGCCTCGTACGCGTGATCAAGCAGCTGCAAGTCGTCGTTCTCTCGCTCATCGCGGGAATGAACTCGATTGTTTACGTCGCGGTGTTTATGAGCGTCATCTTCTTTGTCTACGCCGTGGCAGGCGTACAAGTGTTTCGATTGAACGATCCATTCCATTTTTGCGATTTGTCCAACGCCGTGGTGACGCTTTTCACGGTATCCTTCTTGGAAGACTGGCGACCGGTGTTTGACATCAATTTTTACGGCTGCGACAAAAATTTGTTCGGCGATACCGATGGCGGCGTATATTACGCGTCGACGATTGATGTTGACATATCGAACGGCTCGACCGTGGTGTGCTCGCATCCACAGCAGCACAAGATGTTTGCGTTCTTCTTCTTCAGCTCGTACATTCTGTTGTCAGCCATGGTCCTCGTGTCCGCGTTCGTCGGTATCATCGTGACGAGTATGCAAAGCGCGTCCACGATGGTCCGCCAGCGCCTTGCCTCCGAAGAGCGCCTGAAAATGATCGAAGAATTCTTCCAACTCGACGAACACGCATCAAAACAAACTGTTTACGTATACAATCTTCTTGACAGCGGATTTGAAGGCGAGCTCACGCCGGAGAAGATTATGGAGAAGATGGCGCTCTTTGACATTCCCACGAACCCGGAACTCCTCAAACGCGCGCATCAAACCGTGAACGGGCTCATGGACGCCCCGTTCGACGCGGCCGACTTCTTGCTTCTCACGGTTCTCGCCGAACGCGCGAGAAAAGTACAGGAAAAGCTCGATGAAGACGGCCAAGTCGGCTCGCTCGAAGACGTCGATTTTATTCGCGCGCGCCTGAACCAATCGGGTCACCACGATATCGGTGCGCCCTAACCAATGCCCGCGTAAACATGTAATCACATCTTGGATTCTCAGCGATCCGATCCTCGTCCGATCCTCGATCGACGCCGAACGCCGCCGCGGGCGCGACGCCAGACCCAGCCTCGTGGTGAATCGTCACCCATGACGAAACGCACGGTGCGTCTCCGCGCTCGAATTCGCTCGCGGCTGAACGCGCGCGCGTCGCGCGGCGCACACACACGTTCGAGCGTCGCGATCGACGCTCACGAGCGTCACCGCGCGCGAACGCTTCGACGCCGTGACGGCGATCGATCGATCGACTGACGACGAATTCCCCGGGAAAACGCGCGCAGAAGGACGCCGATGTCGAAGATACCCCGCGACGACGCGCGCGTAATCACGTCGATATCCCTCCCGGCACGGAACTCCCGCTCGAGCTCGGGACGAAGGTGCACTGTCGGTGGCGAGGAAAGGATGAGTTTTACCAGGCAAAGGTCATCGAGCGACGACCGGGACGAGGGAAATCGGACGAGGATTACGAGTATTACGTGCACTACGAACAGTTTAATCGACGGATGGACTCGTGGGTGAGCTTGGGAGAGATGGATCTGTCGACCTTGGTGGTTGTGGAGAAGACAGAAGACGGGAAGAAGAAGAAGGACGCGCACGAGCCAGACGCCGAGCACGCGGAGTTTGATCCGAAGGCGTTGCAGGAGCACGAAGAGTTCACCAAGGTTCGTAACATCTTGCAGATCGAACTCGGGAAGCACGAGATGGACACGTGGTATTTCTCACCGTTCCCACCAGAGTATAACGACTGTCAAAAGTTGTACTTTTGCGAGTACACGTTGCAGTTTTTCAAGCGTAAAGAGCAGCTACAGCGTCACTTGAAGAAGAATGAGATGCGACACCCGCCCGGGGATGAGATTTACCGCAAAGGCAAGCTGAGCTTTTTCGAGATCGATGGGAAGAAGCACAAGTTGTTTTGTCAAAACTTGTGTTACTTGGCGAAACTGTTTTTAGATCACAAGACGCTGTACTACGACGTCGACTTGTTTTTGTTCTACGTCTTGATGGAGTGCGACGAACGCGGGTATCACATCGTCGGTTACTTTTCCAAGGAAAAGTGCTCAGAAGAAGGATACAACTTGGCGTGTATCCTCACGTTACCCCCGTACCAGCGAAAGGGTTACGGGAAGCTGTTGATATCGTTCTCTTACGAGCTGTCCAAGATCGAAGGCAAGGTCGGCACCCCCGAGCGTCCGCTCAGCGATCTCGGTTTGGTATCGTACCGCGGCTACTGGACGCGCGAGCTGTTAAAAATTCTCGGCGACGAGTCCAAGCAGTTCCTCTCCATAAAAGACCTGAGCGAGATGACGATGATCAAGACCGAGGACATCATCTCCACCCTCCAGCACCTCGGTTTGCTCGCCTACACCAAGGGCGCGTACGTCATCTGCGCTTCGCCCGAGCTCATCGAGAAGCATTTCAAAGCCGCCGGCAGCGGCGGCGTACCGTGCGATCCCGAAGCGATCATTTGGTCCCCGTACGACCCCGAGCGCGCGAGGGACTTGTAATTTCACACCTAGCCACGATAGACAGAACCTCCGTCGCGCGCGTAACCGCCGCAGTCGGCGCCTCGCGCGCGCTCTCCCCATGCGCGACCGCGCGCGCGAGATTCGCCTCGTCACCCTCGGTCTGTCGCCCCGGGACACGCACGCGAGATGCGTCGACCTCGCGCGCGAGCTCGACGACGCGGTGCGCGACGTGACGGCGCGCATCGACGCCCGCGCGACCGCACACGCGAATGCGCTCGCGACGCTTCGACGACGCATCGAACACCTGCGCGCGCGCGTGCGCGACGTCGGGTCGAGCTCGAGCGCGCGGACGGTGATGCACGCGGCGCGGTACCCGATGGGCGCGCGAAACGGAGACGTGGAACGGATGTTCGGGACGAGCGCGCCGACGACGGCGGCGAGCGCGGCGGAGGACGAAGGCGACGCGGAACGGAAAATGATGGAGGAGTTACTGGCGATCGAACGACAGACGGTACATCGAGAGATGACGGCGGAGATGTTTTATGCGAGCGAGACGCGCGAGAGCGCGAGCGGGCGCGCGCGGGTGGTGAGCGGGCGGGACGGATTGGGGACGTTGCCGGCGAGTTTGGAGAGCTTGAACGAGTGTTTGTTGTTTAATTCCGACGTGAATCCGTACGTGGAGTACGCGCTGGTGGATAATTTGATGGACGGTGAGGACGATGGTGGTCGGGGCGATGAAGACGGCGAAGACGAGGGAACGCGCGAGGGAGGGGAGTACGAGGACGATTGGAAAAATTTGGCCGAGGCGCCAAAGTCGATGCAAAACGCGTTGTATGATTCCATGCAAGCCACGCAGTTTGGATTTCGACCGACGATGGGCGCGATGCCGTCGCTGGATTTACCCACATCGCTGCCTTCGTTACGCTATGCGGCGGACATCAGCTGGTCCGGGGCGACGAAGACGGCGGCCCCCATAGCGCCTTCGTCCACGGCGACGCCGCTACCTGACGTCGTCGTGACGCCCTCGGTGCTGGCGCCGCCGCCACCTTTGCCACCGACGCCGCCACCACCGCCACCACTGCCTCGGGAAAATTTGCACGCGTCCGCGCCGCCGGCGCAGCTCCCACCGGGCGCGAACGTCGGCGACGGCGGGCGGAGCGCGCTCATGGACGCGATTCGCAACAAGGACAACAAATCGAGGTTGCGCAAACGTGGGTCAGCGGCGCCGAGCGCGGACGCCGCACCGCCGCCACCTCGCGGCGCGCCGATGGAGCCCGACTTACGAGGCGCGCTCATGGACGCTATTCGCGCGAAACCGATGCTGAAATCGTCGAGTCGCCCCGAGTTGAGCGACGGCGATCCGCCCGCCGCGGCGCCGCCCGCGCCGCCGCGACAAATGTCCATGATGGAGGAGTTAGCGAACAGTTTAGGACGACGTCGCTCCGCCATCGTGGCATCCGGCGACCACGACGTGCGCGAGAAGGTCATCGAGACGACGACCCAACGCCCGAGTGGCATCGTCGGCTTGGGCGATTTCATCAAGGCGAAGGAGAGTGCGACGAACTGCGACGAAGACCAAGACGACGACGTGAGCGATTGGGATAGCGACTAAGAATATAGAACTAGACGCGCTAAGATGCTACCACCGCCCCTGATCGCGACGATCAAAGCTTTGACCGCCGCGCGTTGAACGCGGCAAACTTTTCCCGCGCCACGGCTCTGTAATTCGCGAACGCGCGCCGCCGTTCCGCCGCGCGCGCCTCATCCACGCCCAGCCCATCGTGAATCGCGCGCTTAATCGCGCTCGCCCCTCCCGGCGCCATCTCGCACACCGCCATCGCCATCTCCATCGCCTTCGCCTTCGCCGACGCCGCGTCCTTCGTCGTCGCGCACGTCAACCCCAGCGCCTCCGCCCGCCTCGCGTCCATCGCTCGTCCGAACACCGAGCACGCCCGCGCCGCGTTCGCCCCGACGCTCCGACTCAGCTTCACGCTCAGTCCCCAGCTCGGTAAGATCCCGATCGTCGCGTGCGTGTCCACGAACCGCGCGTCCTCGCTCGCCACCAACGCGTCGCACCCGAGCGCGAGCTCGAATCCCGCGTTCACGCAGTCCCCGTGCACCGCGCCCACGATCGGCGCCTCGCACGCCTCCATCGCCAGAACCGGATCGCTCGCGACGTCCCGCTCGTCCATCGCGAACACCTCGCGCGCGGCGCGCAGATCGATTCCGCTGCAAAAGTGTCTCGACGCGCCGCTCCCGCACAGCACGACGACGCGCGCGCCGTCGTCCCGCGCGAGCGCCCGCGCGAGCGCGCGCACCGCGTCCGCGCTCGCGAGCGCGTTCCCGCGCGCGGGATTATCGATCGTGATCACGCGCACGCCGCGCGCGTCGAGCGTCACGTCGATCATCGCGTCGCGTAGCTCGCGTCGCGCGCGCGTCGAAGTGCGCGACGCGTCGCTCGCGCGCGCCCGCGGCGCGTCCACTCCGATTCCAATTCCAATTCCAACGCGTTCGTTCGCGACGCCGCGCGACGCGTCGAGGCGACGTCTCGCGCGCTCGCCTCGCGTCGCGTCGCGCTCTACTCGGTCGCCTCGCCGCGTCGCGCGTCGTCGCCGAACGTCGGCGCGGGCGCTTTCGTCGTCGTCGCGCGTCGCGCGGCTTCGAATCGCGCCGTCGCGGCTTTCGCCGGATCGTACGTCGATCCGGGGAGCTTGTACCGCGGCTCGCCGTTCGGCGGCGGCGGCGTGCACGGCGTGATCATATCGCACGTCACCTCGGCGCGCGCGGCGGACGCCGTCGCGAGCGTCGTCGCGAGGGCGACGGTGACGACGCATCCGACGATCGCGCGGTCGCGCGCGGCGTCGGCGTCGGCGTCGGCGGCGCGCGACGCGCGGGCGACGCGCGCGCGCGGCGTCGCGCGGCGCGCGCGCGCGGGCGTCGACGCGCGCGCGGCGGGGCGCGCGAGAGGCGCGCGGGCGAGCATGGCGACGGCGCGATGGGCGTCGACGAGTGCCGCAACGGTCGCGACGACACTCGCGCGCGACGCGATCGATGCGCGGCGACGACGGCGACGGCGACGCGAACGAGGAGGACGAGGCACGACGCGCGGCGGAGTGCGACGCGCTTCGCGCGATCTACGGCGACGAGCGCGTCGTCGTCGCGACGGTGGACGCGCGCGGGACGCGCGTCGTCGAGGTGTCGCTCCGGCGCGGCGCGTGGCGGTGTCGCGCGACGCTCGGTGAGAGATACCCATCGCGCGAACCTCCGGACGTGCGGTTCGTGTGTTTGACGACGCGGGACGCGCGCGCGCGGGCGTGCGAGCGCGCGGCGGAGGCGGGGGTGGAGGACGCGTGGGAGGCGACGGGGAGGGAGTGCTGCGTCTTCGCGCTCATCGAACGCGCGCGCGAACGCGTGGACGCGCTCGAGGACGGCGATCGGCGCGCGCGCGAGGACGAGGGTGCGGGTGCGGGTGCGGGTGACGTCGACGCGGCGCCGGCGGCGATCGCGGGGACGGCGGGGACGGCGGGCGCGGAGGACGACGCGAGACGGGCCGACGTGCGATCGAGGTTGACGTCTCGCGAGCCCGTGGTGGAGAAGAAGAGCGTGTTTCAGGCGCACGTGTGCGTGGGGGTGAAAGACGTGAGTGAAGTGGCGATCGTGATGGATATTTTGAACGAGTCGAGGAGGGTGCGAGCGGCGACGCATAATATTTTGGCGTATCGAGTGTCGAGGAACGACGCGTCGAAAACGTTTTACCAGGATCACGACGACGACGGCGAGACCGCGGCGGGTGGGCGATTGCTTCGGTTGCTCGTGCTCGCAGACGCGCGAGACGTCGTCGTAGTCGTCTCGCGCTGGTACGGGGGGATCCATCTGGGACCGGCGAGATTTCACGTCATAAACGCGTGCGCCAAGGACGCTCTCGTGGCTCTAGGAGAGATTCATCAATAGCGCGTCGTAAGACGTTGTAGCGGCTAGTACTAGTACACCAAGAGTAGATCTCTCGACGATTCATTCTACGTCGGCGCGTCGTTCGCGACGATGCGCGCCCAAAGCCTTCTCAACTCGCGTACCCCCAACGCCTCTAAATACTCGGCGTTGCGCTCGCGAATGTCCTCGCGTTCCTCCAGGCGATACCACGTGTCTTCCGCCCTTTCGATGTCGCACGCGCGGAGCAAGTGTACCGTCGGAAACGGACTCCTCGACGTGTAATTCGACGCCTCGCTCTCGCCGTCGAACGCGGCGAGCGGATGAAACGGCACGACGGTCACCGTCTCGCCGCCCGTCGTCGCCTCGCACGCGTCCTCCGCCTCGCGCACCGGTCCGCGCATGAATCCTTCCCAGTCATCGTTCCATCCGTTTTCAAACACGATGAGCGTCGTCGCGCTCTCGTCTCGCGCGCACGCCGCCAGTCGCCGCGTCTCTCGCGCGAGGACGTCCCCGTAGCCGCCGCCGCCGCCGTCGCCGCGCACGACCTCGATCGCGAACGTCTTCGCCATCGACGCCCTCGCGAACGGACACAAATTCATGCCGATGATGACGTCGGTCAACCAGCGCGTCGTGGCGTCGCGCGCGTCGCGCGCGGCGGCGCCGTCCGACGAAGCTCTAACTGTCCTGACGCGCGTTCGCGCCGCTCGTCGCGCGCGCGAACGGCGCGCGCGCGCGAGCGGGGGCGACGCGCGCGACGACGACGCATCGCGCGACGCCGCGACGCGCGCGCGCGCGAGGAAACGGGACATGCGCGCCGATGTGTGTGGATTTAAAACGACGCGCGACGACGCTCAACTAAAAGCGCGTCGGAGCATGAACAAGTGCAAGACGATGAGATAGACGGAAAACGCCGTGCGAGTCGCCCTGCTCTTCATGAGCATCTTTCCGCTCGTCAAACCGATGCGATCGTGAATCGGAAGCGAGGACGCGGAGTCTTCGACCTCCCGCTCGCGAAACGCGGCGAAGGGGTTCAAGCGCGCCAGGTATCGACGGCGATACCGCTGGACGACGCCGCCGGCGTCGCCGCCGGGGATGTCTGACTCGGCGTTGACGCCACCGAAACAACCGTAACGCGCGGCGCGGCGCCGCATGCCGTCGACCGCGGCTGCCGTACGTTCGCTTTCGATGTTGACCGTCACCGCGCCGCACGAATAACGCGCGTTCTTCGCGCTTTGCGACGGCGCCGTAGACGCCGCGACGGCGCCGTCGGTGACGGGTATGCCTTCCGCGTCGACGCGCAGGATTGTCGTCCGGCCACCCGACGACGCTAATTGCTTGGAATAGTAATTTTGCACGTACTGAAGTTTTTCGAACAGCTGCACGCTGTCGGCTTCGAGCTTTGCCTTCGCGTCCTCGGCGGCGATTTTGTCCTGCTCGAGCCTAGCCGCGCGCTCGTCCAGTTCACCCACCCTACGCTTGAATCGATCGCGTTGAGATGTGAGGATCGTGAGCAAATCTGTCGACTCCGAGGACGCCGCGTTCACTTTCATCGGAGACCCGTTCACGGCTCTATCCTCGATGATTTCCGAGAGTCGCGTCGCTAAATCGGTCTCGAGCGTCGCGACCATCTCCGCCGTTTCGGTGTACTTGCGCTCGGCACTCGCTTGCGCACCTCGTGCGATTTCAAGAGAAGTGGTCGCTTCTTCTGTTTCGCGCCTTGCTACCGTGAGTTCGGCGGCGAGCTTTTTGTTTCGCTCGCGCAACGATTGCATCGCCTCCGCGCCGCTCGCCGACGATTCGTCACCGCCCGCCGCGGCGTCGTCATCGCCGACCTCCAGGCCACTGATTTCTTGCAACATCTTGACGCGATTCGTTAGTGTGGCTATTTCAGCCTTTAACTTTAACGTCGCCGACTCAGACGGTTGCGCCGTTTCGCGCGCTTTCAAAACCTCTTGTCTAAGCGCGACGATTTGCGCGTTCAGCGATTCCCGTTCGGCGGCGTGTTTTTCTTCAGACTCCTTCGCACGCGCCGCGTTCGATTCGACCTCCGCCGCGAGCTGAGACACCATGCGTTCCTTTACCGCGAGCTTCTCGGCGAGCCTGGACTCGGCGTGCTCGTCTCGACTCGTCGTCGCCCTTTCCGTAGCGCGCGCGGCTTCGACGTGCGCCTCCAACGCCTCCTCGCGACGACGCAATTCCTCACCCAAAGTCACCAACTCTTCTTTTTCCGCCGCGTTTCTCGCCTCGTTCGTCTCCATCGCGTTCTCAGCGTCGAATAATTTACTCGCCATCTCGTCGTATTGCTTCTGTAAAGCACCGAGCTTTTGTTCCGCCGCCGCTTTGCCTTGTCGCGCCGCATCCGCGCTCGATTCCGCCGCGCGCTTCTTCGCCTCCATCGTCTTCATCGCCTCGTCAATCTTCTCCTGCATTTTCTCTTTCATCGCACTCATCAAGCTCTCCGCGTTCGCCCCCGACGTGGACGCCGCGAACGACGCCTTTTTCGCCGCGTCCCGTTCCACGCGCGCCGCCTCCAGCTCGCGCCGACACGTCGCCATCGTCGACAACGCCTCCTCCGGCGCTCCGGCCACCAGCACCGCCCCGTCCCCGATGATCGCGCGCACGCACGCTAAGTCTTCCTCCCTGCACCGCGTCAACCGCTTCACCTCCTCGGTGAGCGCCAGCGTCGTCGCCTCGCCGTCGCTCGCCGCGCGCGTCAGCTTCTCCTTCAATCGCCGTTTCTCCTCCCGTTCCGCCGCCGCGCTCGCGTCGCACCGCGCCCGCGCGTCGCGCATCGCCCGTTGCACCTCGTTCCAGTTCAAATCTCTCCATTGACGCGCCAGGCGCGACGCGTCGTCGTCGAACGTCGCCGATGTCGCGCTCGAGCGATCGTCGCTGAACAGCGATTCCGCCGCGCCGTCGATCGCGTCCAGCGCGCTCGTGATGGCGCTGTCGAAGTCCTCGAACGACGGCGCGTACGCCGCGAGCGACGGCGCGAGCGACGCCGACGCGGGCGCGGGCGCCGGTGGCGACGGCGACGGCGGTTCGGCGTCGTCAACCATGACGGGGCGTCGGCGCGCGCGTCGCGGTGTGGCGACGCGCGACGCGCGCGCGTCGCGTCGGCGCCGAGGCGCGTCGAAATGCCCTCCGGCGCCTCCCGGCGCGAAGGCGTCGGAATCGACGCGCGCGCGGTGGACGCGCGCGACGACGGCGTGGGAATCCAACCGACACTTCACGACGCGCGGCTCGCGCGGCGCATGCGCGCGCGCGCGCCCTCGTCGACGGCCTCGATCGCGGCGCATCGAACGCGCACTACTACACCGGCGCCGACGCGCCGACGCGTCGCGAGACGCGCGGAAACGACGACGGCGCGCGCGGACGAGACGCGCGCGAGAGGTCGAGACGGTCGACGAGACGGCGGGATGACGAGACGCGCGCCGAGCGTCGCGCGCGCGCGTCGACGCGGCGGCGGCGGTCTGTGCGGGCTGGGCGCGACGTCGTCCCGCGCGGTTTCGAAGGATTCCGTCATCTTCACGTTCGAGCGCGGTCGCGCGGACGGTGCGCGCGCGCGTCGCGCGTCGGGAGCGAACGAGACCGCGCGAACGAGACTGCGCGCGCGTCGCGCGTCGGGAGCGAACGAGACTGACGCGCCGCGTTCGCAGGTTCCAAGGACATGAAAGAGCTGCTCGGTAGCAAGGGCAGCGGGTTGGCGGAGATGGCGAGATTAGGTTTGCGCGTTCCCGCGGGTTTCACCGTCTCGACGCGGTGCTGCGAGCGTTACGAGCAGTCGGGAATGGACTTCGTGCGTCGGGAGCTCTGGGAAGAAGTTTTGGACGGCGTCGCGTTCATCGAGAAGACGACGAAGCGGACGGTGTTTCGATCCGGGTGCTCGTTGGTAGCCGCGCCGCCGCTGTTGCTGAGCGTTCGATCGGGCGCGGCGGCGAGCATGCCGGGGCAGATGGACACGGTGTTGAATCTCGGGATGAACGACGAGTGCGCGCAAGCGTGCGTGAACGCCGGGTTCGATGCGCGATGGGTCTACGATTCGTACCGCCGTTTGATCTCGATGTTCGGCGACGTCGTCGAACATCTTCCGAAACAAGATTTTGAACGCGCGCTCACGAAGGCGAAGGAAACGAATAACGCTCGTTACGACACCGAACTCGACGCCGAGGCGCTGAAACTGCTTTGCGGGGAATTCAAAGACATCTACGCGAAGCACGGCAAAGTCTTCGAGCAGGACGCGATGAAACAGTTGGAACAGAGTGTCGTCGCGGTTCTTGAATCGTGGAACACGCCGCGCGCGGTCGAGTATCGCGAAATCAATCGCATCACTGGTCTTCGCGGCACGGCGGTAAACGTACAGCAGATGGTTTTCGGGAACATCAACGACAATTCCGGCGCCGGCGTGTGCTTCACGCGCAATCCGGCTGACGGCGCGGATGAGACGTACGGTGAGTACCTCGCGCAATCGCAAGGAGAAGACGTCGTCTCGGGCGTGCGGACACCGATGGGGCTGAAAGCTATGGCGGAATCGCAACCGAAGGCGGCGGAAGAGCTCGAATCGGTGTGCGACGCGCTCGAGGACGATTTCAAAGACATGTTAGACATCGAGTTTACGATCGAAGATGGCGAGCTTTACATTTTGCAATGTCGTGTCGGCAAAAGAACGGGAACGGCGGGCGTGCGAATCGCAACGGAGATGTTTGCGGAGGGAATCATTTCAAAAGATGAAGCACTCATGAAAGTCAACGCGCAAAGTCTCGAGCAGGTTCTGCATCCAGTTTTTCTTCTCGACGCCGCGTCGCCGGATTACTCGTCGAAAATCGTCGCCAGCGGTTTACCCGCGTCTCCAGGCGCGGCCGTCGGTCGAATCGTGTTTTCTTCCAAGGAAGCGAAAGAGTACAAATCACAAGGGAAACCGTGCATTCTGGTGAGGGAAGAGACGAGCGCAGACGACATAGGAGGCATGTACGCGGCGGAAGGCATTTTGACCGCGCGGGGAGGGATGACATCGCACGCCGCCGTCGTCGCTCGGGGATGGGGCAAGCCGTGCGTGAGCGGATGTGGCGCCATCAGCTTTAAGAATGATCGCGAGATTCGCTTCGGGACGAGCGATCGCACGTATCGCGCCGGTCACACGATTTCCATCAACGGCGCGACCGGTGAGGTGATCGACGCAGAACTCGCGGTGGCGCCGAGCACGATTGACACTTTCTTACCTCTCAAGACTCTGATGCACTGGGCCGATGAGAAGCGCCGTGTTGAGATCCGAGCCAACGCGGACACGCCCGAGGACGCGGCGGCGGCGATTCGCAACGGCGCGAAGGGCATCGGATTGGTTCGCACAGAACACATGTTCTTCTCATCGACCGAACGCGTGCACGCAATTCGCGAGTTTATCATCGCGCAAGATGAGCAAGCGCAAAAGGTGGCGCTCGAAAAGTTGGAAAAGTTTCAGTACGAAGATTTCAAAGGAATTCTGAAATCTGCCGGGGGCTTTCCCGTGACGATGCGCTTGATCGATCCACCTCTTCACGAATTCTTGCCGTCCCGCGAAAAACTGCGCGAAGGAGCGGCGAACGAAATGTCCAAGTACATTCACGGAAAATCAGCGCACGACATCATCGAAATCGCGGAGAGCATGCGCGAGCACAACCCAATGCTTGGTTTCCGCGGCTGCCGATTAGGATGCGTCAAGCCTCGCATTACGCGCATGCAAGTCCACGCGTTTTGTCGAGCCGCGATCGATCTCATCGCCGAGGGCGTGCCCGTGGAACCTGAAATCATGGTCCCGCTCGTGAGCACAGTGGAGGAGTTTCACAACCAACGGGATTTGATCTGGGATGTCATACGAGATCTCGGGCGCGAAAATCAGGCTCCGCCGATGCGCGTGCAAGTCGGCGCCATGATCGAAACTCCGCGAAGCGCGCTCATCGCCGGCGAGCTCACGCGCGCAGGCGCCAGCTTCTTCTCTTTCGGCACAAATGATCTCACGCAAATGACGTACGGATTCTCCCGCGACGATAGCGACGCCTTCGTCAAGCCTTACAAAGACATGGGCATTCTCCAAAGCGACCCGTTCGAGATTCTGGACACCGTCGGCGTGCGCGAACTCATCTCCATCGCCGCCGAACGCGCGCGCGCCGTGCGCCCGGACGTCGAGCTCGGGATATGTGGCGAGCACGGCGGTGATCCAAAGTCTTTAGTCACCATCGACGCGCTGGACTTGGACTACGCCTCGTGTTCGCCGTCGCGCGTGCTCGTCGCGCGCCTCGCCGCCGCGCAAGCCGCCGTCGGCGGCGCGCCGTCCAAACAGCGAAAGCGCGCCGCGCGCTCGCACGCCTCCCCAGCCGCGTGATCCACCCTTACACTTTAGATTTTACGCTTTTACGACGCCATCACGTTTCTTCGTCCGTCGAATCGTCGAATCGTCGAGTCGTCGAGTCGTCTCGCCGCGGCCACCTGGCGCCAACGACCACATGACGACAGTGTTCATCGGGTCGCGTCACACCGCGGCGCGCGTCCGCCGACGCGCGGCCGCGTGAGAAACGCGCGCGATGGAGAGCTTCCACGAGCACTCCTACGAGCTCTCGCGCCTGGCGCGCGGTGAAAGCAGCGCCGACGTCGCGCGCGCCAAAGATGATTTCCAAGCGACGTCGCCCGCGAATTACGTCCCCACGCGCGCCGAACTCGTCGGAGGCGTCGTCGGAGGCTCGGAAACCGACGCCACGCACCTGCGTTTGCAACGCATGGCGGCGTTCGAGTCGCACGATTACGACCCGATCGATAACGATCTCGAGGAGGACGCGCTGCGGGGACGCACGCGAGAAGACTATAAACGCGAGCGAGCGTGGAAGTGGGCGACGAGCGTGATGATCGGTGCGGTGATGGGAATCGTGGCGTTCGTGATCGATGGATTGGTGGATAAGCTGAATTTGTTTCGGTACGGGGTGATCGGAGATAAGGTTGGGACGGACGGATACGCGCGGTTCGTCGCGTGGTTGCTGCACGCGGTGGTGAGCTGCGCGTTCGCGGCTGTCGCGGGAGGGCTGGTGTCGTACGTGGAACCGCTCGCCGCGGGATCGGGGATCCCGGAGTTGAAGACATACTTGAACGGCGTCCACCTCAAGGGGCTTTTGCGGTTGAAGACGGTGGTGGCGAAGCTGGGGGGGATTTCGTTTAGCATCGGCGCGGGATTAATCGCGGGCAAGGAGGGACCGTTCGTGCACGGAGGTGGGTTAGTCGGGGGTGGGTTGAGCGCGTTCGGGTCAAACACGCTCGGCTTCAAATTGAAATATCCCGCGTGGTTCCGAGATGATCGACATAAACGGGACTTTGTCGCCATCGGCACCGCCACAGGCGTGGCGGTGGCGTTCGCCGCGCCCATCGGCGGCATGTTGTTCACCGTGGAGGAGGGTGCGAGTTTTTACAACTCGGACATGTTATGGCGCGGGTTTTTAGCGACGTGCACGGGCGTGCTCACGATGCACTGGCTTGAACAGCTCGATTTCGACGCCGGAGACTTCGCGCGCGCGCGGTTCGGCACCCATCGCGACTTTGGATTGTACACGGACAGCGAGGCGGATTACTCAAAGAATTATTGGTGGTACTTTTGGGAGGTACCGATTTTCATCGCCATGGGTGTGTGCGGTGGTTTACTCGGCGCTGCGTTCGTGAACTTGAACGTGAAAATCACGCAGTGGCGCGCCAAGTACATTCCCGTGACGGATCGGAGAAAGCGCTTGCTCGAAGTGATCGCCATTGCGGGGATCACGTCGACGCTATTTTTCTTCTTCATGTCCGTGTCGCCGTGTAAGGATATCCCTCTGCCGTTGCGAGCTGGGACGGCGGACAGTCTCGACGACATGTCCAATTCGAGCTTTGAGTACGGGGTGGAGACGAGAGACGAGATTCGCAACGATTTCTTCAAGCAGCTGTATTGCCCGGATGGTCAATACTCGGTGTACGGGCAATTATTTTACAACCCACTGGCGACGTCGTTCAAGTTTTTGCTCCATCTCGGCGAAGTCGGCGAGTTTGGCGGTGACAGTGCGCACCCTTTCCCGATCGGTGCGTTGATATGGTACTTCCTCTTGACGTTCTGTTTGATGACGGTGACGTACGGCATCGGAGCCCCGACGGGGCTCTTCGTGCCGTCGCTCGCCGTCGGGGCTTCTTTCGGTCAACTCTGCGGACGCGTGGTGGCACACATCGCCGCTTCGCGAGGAAGCGATGTGAAGATTAACTTGCACGCCTACGCCATCATCGGCGCGGCGGCAAATCTCGGCGGGGCGACGAGAATGACCATTTCGATCACCGTTTTAGTCATGGAAACGACGGGTTCGATGCAGTTAATTATTCCACTCATGTTGACGATTTTCACCGCCAAGGCCGTGGGTGATCGATACGGGCACGGCATTTACGACACGCACATCAAAATCCGCGGAGCGCCGTTCTTGGAAGAGCCCGAGCTCGCTGGACCGACTGGAGACAAGCTTCGAGTGAACGAAGTCATGAGCGACGAGTTGGTGACGCTTCAGCCCGTGATGCGCGTGAAGGATTTGCTACAGATCCTCACTCAAACCCCGCACGGGGCGTATCCAGTGACCGAACACCCGCCCGCGTACGCGGGCGAAGATTTCGAGCTGCACGGCTCCATCACGAGGAATCTGTTGCTCAAGATGCTCCTGCACAGAATTTCCTTCGTCGACGCGAGCGGCGGTGGACGCGTGGGCGGAGACAATCTGTTCACCAACCCGCGCGAACGCGACGATTTGCTCGAGCAATTGAAGCAAATTCCGTTCAAAGTGCCGAGCGCGCGCGAGGTGGCCCATCGCGTGTCGGAAGAAGACATTCGCACGATGTCCGTCGACTTGCGAAGTTTCATGCAGCGCCACCCGTTCCTCGTGCACGCCGACGCGCGCGTCAGCCGCGCCTACCGTCAATTCCGAACGATGGGTTTGCGTCACATGTACGTCATGCCTTCCCGCCCTCGCGTCGTCGGCTTGCTCACGCGCAAAGACATCATTCAAGAGCGCACGAGCCTGACGTTGGGCTTGTACGCGCGCGGCTTGGCGCGTCCGCCCGCGCGACCCGTCTCCCGCACGTCGGAGCCCCCCCACGACGCTCGCGACGCCGCCGTCGCGTCCACCGCCACCGCCCTCACCCCGAGCGCCGCCATCGACGACGACGACGACGCCAAGCTCCCCTACATTCCCTACTACGCCAACAACTCGGCGACGACGGACGACGGCGACGACGCCGCCGCGAGCGCTCGCGCGTCCCACGCTTCCGACCTCGACGCCGCGCGCGCGTCCAACCCATTCATCGACGCCGCGTCGACGCTCCGTCGTCGATGAGCGTCGAGAATAGCGCGCATCAGCATCGTTGTAACGCCGCGCGTTCGCGTCTCGCGTCTCGCGTCTCGCCTCGGCGCTCAAACTCAAAACCCTAACCGGCTGACGTGGTCGACGCGTGTCGTTTCTCCGGCGTCAAATCGCCCCTCGCACAACGGCGCGCTTTGACGCGTCGCGCGCGATGGGGGCGTACCTCAGCCAACCGGTCACGCGCAAGGACTCCACCGACGGCGCCGACGCGCGCTTCGCGTACGGCACGACCGCGATGCAGGGGTGGCGAACGAACATGGAGGTGCGACGACGACGAGATGACGCGGACGCGACGACGCGACGACGACGGCGCGCGCGTCGTCGCGACGAGCGGCGAACGCGACGACGACGGACGCGCGATGGGAAAGAAACGCGACGCGACGACGCGCGCGCGCGAGCGATGGAGACGACGACGCGCGAGGGACGGCGAAAGAGCGCGACGGCGGGGACGACGACGACCTGGCGAAGACGCGAGGCGGAGGCGCGAAAGCGGAGGGACTGACGAGCGCGCGACGCGCGATGAAACAGGACGCGCACGCGACGATATTGGATTTGGACGCGGATACGGCGTTTTTTGCGGTGTTCGATGGACACGGGGGGAAGGAGGTGGCGATGTACGCGGCGAAGCGCCTGCACGAGACGCTGAAGGAGACGGAGAGCTACGTCGCGGGGGACGTCGCGAGAGGATTGGAGGAGAGTTTTCTCGCGCTCGACCGGAAAATGCTGGCGAAGGAGGCGGCGGGAGAGTTGAAGGCGTTCAGGGCGGGCGGAGAAAAGGACGATTCGAGCGGGTTCGGGGGATTGCTGGGGGACGGCGCGAGCGCCGAGGAGCAAAAGAATCGGCGAGCGGAGATCAACGCCAAGCTTCGCGCGGCGTTGATCGAACAGGTCAAGGAGTCCAACCCGGACATCGATGAAAATGATATTAAATTTGATTTTGAATTGGAGGATGGAGATTTTAACGAAATTGCGAGCTCGAGCGGCGGCGACGGCGCCGACGACGCCTCGCACGAAAATTGGACGGGCCCGCAAGCGGGCGCGACCTCGGTCGTGGTGTGCGTTCGCGGTGACAAGGTGTATTGCGCCAACGCCGGGGACTCTCGAGCGGTATTCTCGCGGAAAGGCGGCGAGGCTGTCGAGATGAGTGAGGACCACAAACCGATGAATGACGGCGAGCGCAAGCGCATCATAAACGCGGGCGGTTTCGTCAGCGAAGGACGAGTCAACGGCTCGTTGGCACTGTCTCGCGCGTTGGGAGACTTTGAGTACAAGATGAACAAAGAGCTCGACGAAAAGCAGCAAGCGGTGACGGCGTTTCCGGAGATTAGAGAATTCCAACTGCAAGAGGGCGATGAGTTCATGATTCTCGCGTGCGACGGCATTTGGGATGTCATGTCGTCGCAAGAGTGCGTGAATTTCGTGAGAGAGCGACTCGTTGCGAAGCTCAAGTCGGGCGAGAGCGACTTGAAACTGAGTCAAATATGCGAGGAGCTTTGCGACAGGTGTCTGGCGCCCGACACCAGAGGCTCGGGCCTGGGATGCGATAACATGAGCGTCGTCGTCGTCCTACTGAAGAAATTTTGTTCGATTGCGTGAGCGAGCATCGAGCGGAAGGCGTAATCACGCGTAGACTTCTTAATACTGTTGTTGAAACCATACAAGTACTACTACTACCGCACCCGCTCCTCGTCTCTCGCGTTCAACACGTCGACGCCTTCTCGCTCGAGCTCGTCCGCCAGAGCCATGACGAGGGGTTTGTGGAACCGAGCGCGCGCGTTGATGAAGAAGTTGCCGATGGCAAACTCGCTCGACCCGATCTCGCGCGCCAACCGCCGCTTCTCCTCCCGCGTCGGGAACGGATGATCGAAATGGGCCAGTATCCACGACCGCAGCACTCGCTGCCCCTCCTTCGACCCGAGCCTTCGACGCCGCGGCTCGGCGTCCCTCGACGCGACGGCTCGCGCCTTCTCCGCCCGCAGTCGCGCCGACGCGAACGCCGCGCGAATCCCCGACCTCGCGCACTTCGTGATTCCCGACGGAAGCGTGAGCTCCATTTTCGCCCGCAGCGTCTCGAATCGCCGCTCGACGTCGTCCAGTCGCCGCTCGTACGCCGCGAGCGCGTCGTCGCGCATGTCGCGTCGAGTGTCGATTTGAGTCCTCGAGCGGCGCGCGCGACGCCACTCGGCGACGTCCCTCGGCGACGATCGCGCGCGACGAGCGTCTCGCGCGCTTGATCGAGCGTTTCCCGCGCGGTCCTCACGCGCGCTCCCGCGCGTCGTCGCGCGTCGTCGTGTGTCGAGTCGAGCGTTGTGAAAAAGGTGTTCAGTGTTGGCGTCGCGCGCGCGCGGCATCGACACCATCTCGCGACGCGCGCGACCGCGCGCGACGGTCGATCGCTCGAACGCCGAGTCTCGCGCGCGAACGGACGCGACGCGACCGCGGTACGGTCGCGACGCCGCCGCCGCCGCCGACGACGACGACGGAGACGGAGACTCGACTCAACACTAAAATGTTGAGCGGCGCGCCGATCGACGGCGCGCGACGCGAGGCGAAGGGCTCGAACGACGTCGCGACGGGACGACGCGATGGGAAGGATTTGGACATGTCGCCGGTGCGAGCGTCGACGAAGCTGGCGACGCGGGCGCGGTACGCGGCGATCGACGAGGACGCGGGCGAGGAGGACGCGGCGAGCTTCGTCGACGCGGATGATCGAATGCCGTTCGGTCGCGCGAGTGATTTCCCGCCGTCTTACGGCGAGGCGAAGGCGTTGAAACGCGTTGAGGGCGAGGCGTCGGTGAGCGGGGAGCCGTCGAGCGAGGAGGAGGATCTCGAGGCGGCGACGCCGAGGGACGAACTCGGATTTGAAGTTCCGGAGAGTCTGCGGGAGACGCACGAGGCGCGACGCGCGGTGCGCGCGGATCACAGGATTCGACAGATGGAATATTTAGAGGTGTATCGGAACGTACCGGAGAAGCAGAGGGGCGTGGGCGGAGACGCGTGTTTGGCGCTCGCGGTGAATGGAATTCATCCGGACCACCGCGCGGAGATTTGGGCGGAAAAGCTCAAGGCGCATGTGAAGCAGTACTCGAGTTCGCATTCGTTTTATCAGTACTTGGAACTCGGGCAGGCGTCGTTGAGCGACGCCGAGCGAGAGCTCATCGAGGGTGACGTGCGCGCGGCGTGCCCGACGCATCCACTGCTTCGCTCGGATGTCGCGGAATCGACGTCCAGATCGACGTCTTCGTCTTTCACGCACGCGTTCGCGAACACGGCGAGCGAGGGGTTCGTGCTCGGTGGAAAGGGCGTCGCATTTCAAGATTTCCCTAGGACGCTGATAAACATATTGATAGCCGCCGCCGAGCGGAGTCCGCACGGGTACTGCTCAGGATTCGTCGTTCCCGCCGCCGTGATGCTGTTGCTCACCGAAGACGAAGAGGCGTCGTTTTGGATGCTCGCTGGGTTCACGGAAGACGTGCTGTCGAGCGTCATCTCGCGCTCGTGCATAAATCTGTACGCCGAAGCCAAGTACATCGACTTGGACGTCATGCTCCACGAACCCGAATTGGCGGCGCATTTGAACGAAGGCGACTGCCGACCGAGCGTCGTCGTCGCCGGCTTGCTCACGCGCGTGGGCTTGGGCGTTCTTCCCACCGAAAGCGTGCTTCGATTGTGGGACGCGCTCATTCTTGAAGGCGGCCAGGTACTGGCACCGTTTAGCATTTTGGTGATGAAGGCTGCGAAGGAGCAGCTTCTCGCCGCCGCCGTCGGCGACCTGTGCGAGACGTTTGACGCCGAGGCGGCGCGGATGCACGACGTCGGCGATACTTTGATGGACGCCATCGTCGCCTCGAGGGAAATGAGTTCAAAATTTGACTCATTGAGCATAAGATTGGGCGAACGCGAGGTCACTGCGGATGTGTTGAACAATCTCTTCAACTTTAGAGACGTCGTACGTTCGCTCTCAGAGAGCGCCGGCCCGGAGGGCATCGGGCGACAGGAAATCATCACTCGCGAAGAGCTTGAGGAGGTCGTGTGCGCGACGTACTGCCTCGAGCAGTTCACCGACGTGGACACGGCGGTCGACAAAAAGTACCAGAGTCGTGAGTTGCTCATGGCGTACGATTTAGCCGTGCGTCACAAAGAAGAGCTCAAGACGAAGGGCTTGCGCTTCGACGAGTTCATGAAAGTGTTACGCGTCAAGTCGAGCACGTCGAGCAAGCTGAAGATGCTCGCGGTAAAGGGTGACACCGTGGAAGCGCGGGTGAAGAATTTCATCATCGGTGAGACGAACGACGGTATGCCTACCGAAAAGTCGGTCAAGTTGGCGCTCTTTGTCGCCAACGGCGTCATTCCCACGCAGCGCCTGAGCAGCGCGCCGGTGGAGAGCAAGATTTTGAACGGACTCGCTTCGAGCGAAAATTGGTACTGCGAGATGCGCATGAACGCCCGCGCGGCGTTAATTCTCGCAAATTTCGCCATTCCGCTCTTCATAACCGAAGACGCCGTCCCGAGCATGGAACGCGACGACGCGAGCGACTCGAAAGACGCCTTTGACGTCTCGATCATCGCGTCCAAAGCGAAAGCGCTGGACGATTCTCCGCGCGCGTTCGGCGGTCTCGTGCCGCTCGCGCACACCGAGTATCACATTCTCGTGCAAACGCGAGAAGGCCCGCCTCGAGTGGTGAAGAAACGCTTCAGCGACTTCAAATCGCTTCACGAAGAGCTCCGCAAAAGCGGATGCTACAACGTCACTCGCGTCGCCGAAAACGCCATCGGCACCGACGCCGCGCTGAGCGTCGACCCACACGTCGTCGCCTCACGTTCGGTGAGCTTACAGCGATATCTCGATCAACTCAACGCGTGCGGCTTACCGAAAGTCCATCGCTTTTTGCGCGCGTTTCTCGGTTTGGACGAGCCCAAATCCCGAGTCTCGCGTCTGCGTTCGCTCTGCGCCGCGTGTTCGCCCGCGCGCATCGTCTGCGGTTTCACCGCTCGCGCGCGACGACGATAATGTACAACACTCTGCATCAATACAATCTCTGACGTCTAGCTAGCCCTCCGCGAGCGCCCACGCGTCCACCGCGCGTTCGCCGTGCGGATCCAGTCTCCTGTCCTCTTTCCGCTGCGAGAAATCGCTCTCGATCCTCCTGAGCGCGCTCGTCCGCACCACCGCGTCCTCCGCCTCGTCCGACTCGACCCACACGTGACGCTCGCTCTCGCTTCGCCGCAGCGCGCGCACGACGGCCTCGCGCCCGTCGTCGCGCGTCTCCACGACGGCGTACTTCCCCGACCGCCCGCTCGAATCGTCGACGAATTCCACGCAATCGTGCGCCGCGATCGCCGCGCGCGCGCGCGCGGACCCCCTCCGCGCGCGCACAGACGTCCGTCGTCGCGCCGCGGCGCGCGACCTCGCGCCCGCGCGCGTCACCGGCGCCGCCCGCGCCATCGCGCGTCGCGATGCGGCGCTAGGTCACGCCCCGCGTCGCCGCACACGCGCGCGCGCGCCGCGCCGACGACGCGATGAGCGCGCCGATCAATCCCAAGCCCTTCCTCGCGTCGCTCACGGGGAAGAAAGTCGCGGTGAAGCTCAAGTGGGGGATGGAGTACCGCGGATTCTTGGTGTCGACGGATGCGTACATGAATCTGCAGCTCGCGTCGACGGAGGAGTACGTCGACGGCGAGCGCCAGGGCGCGCTGGGAGAGGTGCTGATTCGATGTAATAACGTGATGTATCTCAAGGCGGCGGACGAGGAGGCGTGAGAGAGCGTCGGGCGAGCGCGTTCGGGAGGGAAAGAGGGAACGATCGAGGGACGCGGCGGCTGGCCGAACGAGGAGAACGAGACGCGACGAGACGCGCTCGAGAATAAACGTGTTTGTAGTGATGATGAAAACGACGTGATCGTCGATGAATCGTTAACGGGCTACGCGGAGGCGTCGAACGGGGACGCGCCCGAGACGCCGTCGAATTTGCAATTCGAAAAGTCCATCTCGGGGTGCGCCGCCATGAATTTTTTGAGCGCGTCTTGCTTCGTCTGCTCGTCCGCCGTGGGCAAGCCCATCGCCTTTTGCCTTTGATCGTACATCATTTTTTCCACCGTCGAGCGCGTTTCGCCGTCGAGATCGTCCAGGCGGCTGTTCTCGGGTTCGACCTTTTTGGTGTCGATTTTCGGGTCGTCGACGAGGACGTGCGGCCACCACTCGGCGCCGGTTTTCGCTTTTTGTAAAAAGCACGACACGTAGGCGTTGTCCTCCAGCGTCCAGTAGCACTCGTCCGGGGTGATGGCGGCGTAGAACTCGCCCTCGATGCGCGGCTCCCCGCTCGCCGTTTTAAGCTTGAACGAGAATCTATTCTTCGCGAAGGCGCACTCGATCTCCTTCGACTTGGTCCCCGGCGGCACCGCCACGCGCACCTCCAAATCATCCAACGTCTGCGTCCACACGTACTTCTCCGCTTCGCCGCCGTTCCCTTTATTCGGCATCATCGTTCCCGGCGCGAGCGCGTGCGGATCCTCCTCTTCCGCGTCGTTCGTCGTCGTCGTCGCCGTCGCCGCCGCCTCGGCGTCCTCGGTCACCTCCGTCAATTTTCCCTTACTTTTCTCCATCTGCATCTCCAGCGTTCGCGCTCGCAGCGCCTCCACGCGCTGTCTCTCCGCCTCCTCCATCGCCCGCGCCTTCGCCGCGTCTCTCTCCGCCTTCAACCGCGCCGCGTCGTCGTCGCTCGCCGTCGCCGTCGTCGCCGCCTTCGCCGCCTTCGCCGCCGCTCGACCCCGCGTCGTCTTTCCCAGCGCCTCCCGCACCGCCGCCCCCGCGCGCTCGGCGTCGACGAAGAAATCCGTTTTCTCATCCAGGAACGCGAAGAACGCGTCCAGCAGCGTCGCGATCGGCGTTTCCCCGGGCGCGGCGTTCGCCGCGCAAATCTGCGCCGCATTGATGAAAAGCGCGTCCGTCTGCCGTCTGTGCGCCATCGCTCGCGCCGCGCGCGCGTCCACGCGTCGCGTCGATCGCGACGAGGCCCTCGCGCGCGCGCTCGCGCGAACGCCGTCGACGTCGCGACGCGACGCGCTCGATAGTGCCGCGTCGTGGATTCGAATCGCGTCGCGCGCGCCACTCCATCGCGCCCGTCGTCGCGCGCGCCGCTCGACCGCGCGCGGGCGTCGAGCGCGTTGTCGTCGACGTCGGCGCGCGCGCCGCGACGCCGCGACGCGCCGTCGGCGGCGGCGAACGCGCGCGAAAGATTCAAATCCGCGACAGCTGCGCGCGATGACGACGACGACGATGGCGAGCGACGCGCTGAAGGCGCTGGAACCGGCGACGAGGGACGCGAACGCGTTCAAAGCGCGCGCGGCGCTGATCGCGATGCGTGAGATCATCGATGGGACGACGGAGGCGACGGAGGCGGGCGTCGGCGCGCGAGCGTGCTGGTCGGGCTGCCGCGAGTGGCTGGGATCGGGAAAGAAAGACGCGAGAAAAGACGCGGTGAAGACGACGCTGGCGCTCATGCGGTGCGGAATAACGAGGGAAGAGATGGAGGATAAGCTGTCGTTCGCGTGGAAGCACGCGAACTGGCGGTTTCGAGTTTCGGCGATTGAAATTTTGAGCGCGACGATGGCGACGACGGAGGACGACGCGTTCGCGAGACGATGCTTTGATGCGTTCGCGCGGACGCTGGGGGATCGCGAAGGCGAAGTGCGCGAACAGGCGATGGATGGAATCGCGGTGGTGTTTGAAAAGTTTCCGCGCGTCGGGCGAGAGGCGCTCGAGGCGACGAAAGACGCGATGCGACCGCAACACGTCAAGGAGATCGAACGACGGTTGGACGGCGCGAAAGCGGAGACGAACGAGATGGAGACGTCGAAGTCGGCGAGCGAGAGCATGAGCGCGAGTGCGGTGGTGAAACCGCTGGGCGATGGATTGGTGCCGCCGCCGCCCGAACGTATATCCAACGAACGAGAATTCACGCGCGCGATGGATCGCGTCACGCGAGACTTGCGCCCAGACGTGGATTGGCTGAAAAGAATCGCGGCTATGGTGCGTTTAGAGGCCATCACGCTCGGCGGTGGCGGAGAGGTTTTCGAAGACGCGTTCACGTCGTCGCTCGGAAGAGCCGTGGAGGTGCTCTTGGCGCAAATTAGCGACAGACGAAGCGCCGTGGTGAAGCAAGTTTCTCACCTGCTCGTCACTCTGGCGCGCGGCGCGACGAAATCTTTCGCCCAATACGTCGATCATTTTGTCATGGCGCTCCTGAAAACGACTGTGGTTACCGTTGGTGTCATTGCCGACAGCGGAAATGCGTGCATTCGAGGCATCATCGAGCACTGCCACGCGCCGAAATTGGTCCAAAGATTAACGGACGCCGTCGTCGCGGAGCGCGCGCCGAAGATGCGAGGCTGCATCGTGGAGTATCTTTCAATCATTTTGAAATCGTGGGAGTTGAGCAACCGTCACATCGACGCCATCGGCGACGCTCTTCGAGTCACGTTGTCTGACGCGGATGCTACGGTTCGAGCGAATTCGAAAGCTTGCTTTGAGATCTTATCCGTGACGTCGCCGACGGCGAGCGGCGATCTCTTGACGCGCGTAGACTCGAAGCTCGCGAGAAGTTTGTCCAACTTGACCAACGACAGTGAGTCCGAAGAGACATCTTCCGTCGCTAGACGCGGTCGAAGCGGTTCGCTCTCGAGCGCGCCCAGTCGAATCGCGCCGGAAGCGCCTGCCGCCAAGAAACTGCCGACGCCGGCGCCCACCGAGGCGCGGGACATCGCTTCGGCGGTCATGTTCGCCGAACGCGTTGAACGCGCGGCTGAAAGAGCGAGTCGAGCCGAGGCAAGTTCGAGATTACGCGGCGCACTCGACGACGCCGATGCACGCACGCACGGTGCGCGGGCGGCGCAGTTTGAGGCGCAGGTGACCCTGCACGCAGCGCGCATTGCCGAGCTTCTCTTGGGCTACATTTCTGACTCCAACGCCCTCGTTCTCGATCCTGCGCTCGAATCGATCGCCACGCTGGTGTACATCGCTTCGGAAGACTTGAAGCAAGTCATGCCAGATTTGTGCTTGGGCGTATTCGAGTGCTTGACCGACCACCGCGAGTCGACGCGCTCTCTCTCCTCCGAAGCGCTCACCGCCATAGGCGACGTGCACAAGCCGAACGCTCTCTTGCCGGCGCTCTTGCGCTCATTACATCTCGCCTCGACGGCAAAAACAAAAACGGGTGTGTTAGAGTTCGCTTTATACGTTCTTTCCGGGCGCGGGGGCGGCGCGGATGAGGTCGTACACACGCCGGCGTCGGTATCCGCGAACTTGGAGTCGTGGATCGACCTCGTCGTTGAATTGGCGTGCGACGTCAACGAACCGCTAGCCAAGGCGGCGGGGTCAAACTTGGGGGCGATCCACGTGCACGTCGACGGCGCAGTCGTACCGCGTCGGTTGTTGGCGAGCTCGGAATATAAGCGAGTTCGGTTTATGGAAGCCATCGAGCGGCGCGTGCCTAAGCTCGCGGAAATGTTGCGACCATTTCTCGAAGCGCCGCCGACGCCGCCGCCAGCGCCGCCGCCAGCGCCAGCGCCCTCGCCACCGGTCGTCACAGCTACGATGCACGACGTTGGATACGACAGCCTTGACGAAGAACACGGGTATGAAGACCAGAACATGGGGTCGCTGAACCGGTCCTATGAAACGATGCGTATCGAGGCGTCCGCAGGCAAGTCTCGCCACGCCGGCGTCGGCGAGCGAATCGTCGAGGCGATGGAAGGCTTACGCGATGAGAATATCGACACGGTCGTGCGTTCGCTGCGCACGATCGCCTCGAGTGCCGAAGACTGCTTCGCACACTTCAAACCGTACATGCCGTTGCTCGTGCCTACCGTGTGTTCGGCGATGGACGATGAGAATGAACTCGTCGCCGCTCACGCCTATGGGGCACTTCGTGCAATTTTTCAACATCGAGAAATTGATACTGAGGACGCGTTTACCGCGCTCGCACCTTTGATTAACGCATATAGCGCGTCCACAGCGCCGCTCATATGCGCGCACATGATCATCGAAACCGCCGATGCGGCGAGCGTGGAGTCATCGTTGCCGCTCGTCTTGCCGAGCGTCGCGGATGTGTGCGCGAGCAAGACCGTCGCCATTCGCCATCGCGCTTTGAACGCGCTCGGTGCGTGTCAACGCACATTCGGCGCGGCTTCGCTTTCGCCATACGTCGAAGCGTTATCGGTCACCCATCGCGCTGTGCTCGCCCATTACGCACGCAATTGACTTTGTAAATATTAAAAACAACCTGCTTGCCGAAGAGTTTACGCGACTGCACACGCTCCGTCATCCGTCGCCTCGCACGCGTCACCGAGCGCGGGTTTCCAATCGAACGGATCAACCCACGGCCCGAACGCGATAGCGTCATTAGCGTTGCCCGCCTTGCGCGAGGAGAGGCGACGAAGATGGATCGAATTTAAAACGGTATCGCGCGCGATGCGGTGGCGCGCGCGTCATCGCGAGCGAGTGCGCGGAAATATCATCGCTGAATGACGACGGCGCCGGCGAGACCGGCGTCGGCGATGACGGCGTCGTCGTCGGAGAGCGTTTTCGGCGGAAAGCCCGAGAGCTGCAGCGTGTACGCGAAGGATTCATCCGGGCGCGATCTCGCGATGAAAGAGTGGATGTGCGCGACGGTGTGCGTGGTGTTGAACTTGGCCACCAAACGGCTTCCGTCGCGAAGTCTGATTTGAATCGACGTCGTCGGTTGGGACTCGTCGACGTTCCACTCGACCGTCGACGCGGGCGCCGTCGATGCGGGCGCCGGTTCGCTGTCGCTCGCGAGCGTGCGCCCGGATCCACCGAACGCCCTGTACTTTGGCTCTTTCGGCGGTACGTACGGCTCGTGACGCTGCACTAAATTGATGTTCACCCGTTCGGTTCTGCTCCGCGGCGCGAGCTCCGCCGGCGCCTCGCCGCGTCCGATGGACTCCATGAACGCCACGTTCGCGGGGTCATCGAACGTGCGCAGCGGTCCATCATCGACCGTGAACCCATTCTGCCAAAACGTGACGACGCGACTGACGATCCCATCGTCCGCGTTCGCCGCCGTCGCCGCGCTCGCTTCCTCTTCGTCCGCGGCTTCTTCCTCCGCGCTCGAGTTCAGCGTTCGCCCGCGTCCTCGAAACGCCGTCGCCGCCCCGCCTCGCGCGCCTCGACTTTCATTCGGGTTCAAATCCTCCGCCGTGCCGTCCATCGCACCGTGCGCGCGAGCGCTGTCGAACATCGACGCCAGTCGCGCGTCGGGTCGCTCTCGCGGGTCGATCACCGCCTGCCCACTCGACGCGCCGCCCGTGTACCACTCCTGCGGATCGGGGCCGTTCGAGTCGGAGGCATCGTCGTTGCGTTCGTTCACGTCGCGCAGGCCGCGAACGTTGGACTGCGAGCGCGGTCAGTCGGTTGATTTCGATGTCGTTGAGATTACTGAGATGACCACGCGAGCGCGCGTCGCGCGTCGATCGGGACGAATCGCGCGCGCGCGGGCGTACCATGTCGCGCGTGTTTCGTCGTGCGCGCCGTCGAGCGATCGGGAGACGTCGCGTCGCGAGGTGAGGTTCGTAACTGCTCCCGACTGGAACTACAATGACAAAGAGAAGAGTCGCTAGGCGTCTTCGTCGCCGGCGCCAATGCGGCGCCAAGGTGTCGGCTATTTCTTACCGCGGCGCTTCTTCTCCGCGGACGCCCAGCCGGCTTCGTTGTCCTCGCCGTCGGCACCGGAGAACCCGGGACCGGCGCCTTGAGCGGCCACCTTGGCGAGCTCGCCGTTGCCCAAACCTTCGGCGAGCGACGGGTCGGCGCGCTTTTGACGGATGAGCTCGACCGCGAACGCGCTAGCCTGCGGGGTTTTGCCCAAGTATAACGCGACGTACTCTTGAACCTCGCCCGCGGAGGGTAAACCGAGCAAGAAATCCACCAAAGTCATGTCGTCTGAATTGTTCAACTGGGACATTTGCGCCTTGCACCACGCGCGCAGGGCGTTTTTGTTGTTCAAAGGAGGCAAACCTGAAGGCAAGGGGGCGCTCGACGACATCGCGGACTGCGTGAGAGGGGCGACCGCGTTACCGATGACGGGTCGAGCCTTTGGCGCCTGCGACTGAGGCACAGACCTCGGCACCACCATCGGCGCGGACGGACGCGGCGCGACTTGACTCGGCGCCGCGGCGGCGGCCCAGCCTCCAGAAGTTTGCATCGCCTGGTTTTGCTGGGCCATCGCCGCTTCAGCCTCGTGTTTCGCCGCGGCGCGCAACGCTTCCTCTTCCTGGATTTGCTTCAAGCTCTTGCCACCGCCGCCAGCGTTGCCACCCCAAGCCCCGCCGAAAGCGGTGTGCGTGCTCGGGGGCGGCGCGTTCTTCGCCGCTTGCGCGGCGCGCGCCTCTTCCTCGCGTTGAATATCCAGGAGCGTCTTACCGGCGACCGCCGCTGGTAGTGCAGGAGCGGCACCACCCCAGGCTGGTCCAGTCGGCGCCGCCTTCGCGGGTTCTGGTGCGGGTTCGACGCGCGGCGGCATCGTGACGGGGGGGGGCATCGCCGGCTGCGGCGGCGGTTGACGCGGCACATCTCGCGCTGCCGGTGGCGCGTCCCACTTCGAAGACGCATCCGCGCTCGCGACTTCTTGTCTACCACTTCTATCGTGCATGTGTCTGTTCTCGATGTCCGCGAGCGTCATACCGCGAGCTCGTGGCGGCGCCCCGCCCGCTTGACTAGATATCCCCAAGCCCGCGGCAAAGTTGGCGAGAGCGTTCGATCTCGCCGCTTGCTGCGACATGGCTTTAGGAGCGATGCCGTGCGACTGCTCTATCTCTTCTAACGTGAGACCTCGCGGTGGAGGCGCTCCGGAAGGTTGCGCCTGCTGCGAGAGCCACGGTGGTAAACCGCCCTGCTGTCGCGGCGGCGGCGCCTGTTGTTGCGGCGGCGGCGCCTGTTGCATCGGGATGCGGTAGCGCCAGCCGTTTTGCAAGAGTTCGATTAACGGCATGAAGGGCGCACCGGCCGGAGCGTCGATCGGTTTGCACGGTAAATCGTTCGGAAAGAAGCCGCCTTGATGCCATTCTATGAGCTCTTGACGCGTGAACGGGCCCTGTTGCTGTCCCGAAGGATCGAGATAGAGCCAGTCGACGTTTGCCGGTACCGGAGGCGGCAACTGCTGCTGCGTAGGCGGCATCTGTTGTCGTTGCTGCGGTGGGATCTGTTGCTGCGGCGGCGGCATCTGCATCGGCGGCATCTGCATCGGCGGCATCTGCACCGTTTGTTGCGGCGGCGCCTGCATCATGCCTCCGATGTGAGAGAGGTGCGGCATGAGCGTCTCGTCCTCTTCTAAAGCGACGAATCGAGATGTTCTCGATTGTTCTTGCGCTGGAACCGCGGGCTTGCCGAGACCAGCCAAACCGAGTCGTTCCTCCGCCGTGAGCTGCGGCAGCGCGGTACCCAAGAAAGAATCGTCCGTCAAGCTGGCGTCAGCCAAAGAGTTGCCTTCTTGAGCCCACTCGGGGACGTCGTCTTTCGCCTTACGGGTCGTCGTCGCCGCCGACGCCGCCGTCTTCGGTTCGGGCACCGGTTCCTTCTTCTTCTGCCAGTCGCCGTGGCGACCAATCATCGTCAGCTCCCACATCGGATCTCCCGGTTTGATCGCCTTCAACGGCACGTTCGTCCCGCACACGTCTTCTGGCAACTTACACGTCTGCAAAGCCTCCATCTCGCGCAGAATCGTCACCAACTGGGCGGCATCGTAGCGATACTTGGCGCCGTTCTCCTTCTTTTCTGGCGGCGTCTCCGCCGGCGCCGCGTCGTCGCCCGTCTTTTCGCCGTCGTCCGCAAACTGCCCGCTCGCCGCTTTTCTCGCCATCACCGCATCGAAGAACGCATCGCTCACGCTGCTCACTTGCAACGCCCCCAAACTCAGCTCCAACGCCTGCCCGCCGCTCTTCCCGCGTCCCATCGTAAAACCGCGACCGGCGGGTCTCGTCGGAATCCCTTCCCGCGCCTGCGCGCGTCCGCTTCCGTGTCGTCCGCGCCCTTCGCCTCCCTCCGCCTTCGCATCGCCTCCCTCCGCTCGCTTCCCATCGCCGTCGATCCACGCCTTGGACCCCCACGAATCCCTCGCGTCTCGCTTGCCCCACCCCGGCGGTCCGCCATCCTTCCCGTACTTCTCCCGTCGCTCACCTCGACTCGCGCGCTCGCGTCTCGACCCCCCGCTCGCCGCGCCCTGTCCATCGCCATCGCCTCGCCACTTTACCTTCGCTTCCTCGCGCGTGTCGCTCTCTCGTCTCGCGCCGCCGTCGTGCGACTTTCGCGCGTCGCCGTCGCGATCGCGGTGTCCGTGCCCGTGCGCCGTGTGCCACCCCCCCCCGTCGTCCTGCCCGCGCGCGCTCGTCGCCCTCGACCCATCGTCGCCTTTCGCGTCGCTCATCGCGCGATTCGCGCGTCGTCAGCGTCGTCGGCGCGCGGATTCTCCCGCCCGCGTCCGATCGACCGATTCGATCGAATCCGGCGTCGCGTCGCCTCGCGCGCGCTCCGCGGTGGCGCGGCGCGCGTCGTCGTCGACCGCGACGTCGTCGCCGAGAGCGCGTCGTCGCGACGCCGTGCGCGTCGCCGAGTCGCGCGCGCGCGTCGAATTGTCGCGCGATTCGATGCGTCGTCACTCCGCGTCGTCATGCGCGCCGCGGCGCGCGTCGCCGGGGCGCTCGCGAGGCCCGGGCGCGCGCGTCGTCGAGCGTTCGCGCCGCGGCGCGCGTCGCCGCGTCGCGCGTCGACGCGCGCGGGCGCGGGCGCGCGCGACGACGGGGACGGCGGGCGACGCTTCGTCGCGCCGAGCGAGGGCGCGACGGCGGCGCTCGCGCGGGCGCTCGCGCGCGTCGCGCGCGAGGGAGACGTGATATGCCTGCGCGGCGACGTGGGGGCGGGAAAGAGCGCGTTCGCGCGGGCGTTCACGCGCGCGGCGACGGGGGACGACGGGCTGGACGTGCCGTCGCCGACGTATCTGGTGCAACAGCGGTACGACGCGCGCGAGGGAAGCGATGGCGGGAGAGGGATGCGCGTGCATCACTACGATTTGTATCGCCTGCGGGACGCGAGCGAGATCGAGGCGATGGTGGATCTGGAGGAGAGCGCGGAGAGCGCGGTTTCGGTGCTGGAGTGGAGCGAACGGTTGGGACGGTTGACGCCGGAGACGCGGTTGGAGGTGCGAGTGCGCGCGATCGGGGCGGGAGAGCGCGCGTGCGGTGAGGTGGTGGATGACTCGGGCGAGACGGCGAGCGAGGAGGGCGACGAGGAGGGCGAGGAGGAGGAGGAGGAGACGGACGCGGCGTACGTGGACGTCGCCGCGCGATCGTTTCGGTTCGTCGGTTTCGGCGGCGATTGGGCGGATCGAATCGCGCGGATATCGCCGTAGTGCGCGCGATGAAAAATATGTAGAATTACTAGTCGACGTTCGATCGCACGAGATCGTCGAGATCTTCCGGCCCCCAGTCGTCGTCTTCGTCCTCGCACGCCTCGTCCCAATCGCCGTCGACGCACGCGACGTCGTCGTCGAAATCGATTTCGTCGCACGCGTCGTCGCGCGCGATGTTCATTTTCGCCGTGAGCGCGCGTATTAAACTCGCCTGCATGGAGTTGAGCGTCTGCACGTTTTCAATCGTGCCTTCGAGCGCGCCCGCGTGCACGGCGGCGCCGAGCGCGACGGCTTCGTCGGGGTTGACGAGCGATACGTTTGGCTTTCGACCTAGAGTGTTTTCGACGAACCGTCGCACGCACGGCGATTTCGTCGCGCCGCCGACTAGGAGAATTTGATCGAACGGTCTTCCCGCCGCGCGTGACGCACCATCTTTCTTCAGCGAGTTCTCCATGATGGCTTCCAAATCGACCCCCGCGCTGTCCGCGGCGGCGCTCACGGGACGCCGCATGCGGCGAAGGACGTCGATGACGAGTTTTTCAAACAGTGAGCGAGTGATGATGCGCTTACTCCCATCAGGCATCGGCACCTCGACCTGCTCTTGATCACTCAACGCCTCGCGCGCCTTGCGAGCGACGCTCAACGCGCCTCTGGGATCGACGTCGGCGCCGAGCGATTTCGCCTCGGACGCGAGCCAAACCGCGATGATGCGATCAAAGTCGTCCCCGCCTAAGTTTGGGTCGCCACCCGTGGCTAACACCTCCACGGTTCCACCGCCCACCTCCAGCACGCTCACGTCGAACGTCCCTCCCCCGAGATCAAACACGAAGACGGTTTCGTCTTCGTCCACGTCCACGCCGTACGCCAACGCCGCGGCGACGGGTTCCTTCAGCAACCGCACGACGTTCAACCCCGCGAGATGTCCCGCGCGCGTCGTCGCTTCCATTTGCAAATCATCAAAGTACGCCGGCACCGTTATCACCGCCTTATCGATCGTCGTTCCTAACTCGGCCTCCGCCGCGTCCAACAGCGTTCGCAGCACGTGCGCGCTCGCCTCCTCCGGTAGCACCAAGTACTCTTCCCCGCTCTCATCCACCGCCGCGATCGCCGCAAACTTCGTCTCGGGGTGTGGGACGACCCTGTACGGCACGTCTTTCGCCTGCGCCTTGCATTTTTTGTACTTTCGTCCGATGAACCGTTTCACGCTGTGCAGCGCGTTGCGCGAATCCTTTTGCATTCTTTTCTTCGCCTCTACGCCCACCGTCACCGCGCCGTCGGGGCCGAGGGCGACGACGGACGGAATCGTGCGAAGGCCTTGACACGGCACGATCTCCGCGCGGCCGTCGCGGACGATGGCGACGGCGCTATTCGTCGTGCCGAGGTCGATGCCGCAAATTGAGCATCGAATCGACGCGGGCGCGGAGCGGCGTGAAACCGGGGCGCGCGAGCGCAGCGCGCGCGAGGGGGACGTCGACGACGTCGCGGTCGACGCGCGGTGAGGGGTGACGGCGCGCGAGGGCGCGAACATCGCGCGAGTGTGTGGGGGCGGGGACGACGCGCGCTGACGAGGCGAGCGCGGCGACGGACGCGCGAAACAATCGTGGCTAAATGTCGCGCAATACAACGTCGGAGCGCGCGCGAACGGTGCGCACGTGGTCGCGAAACGACGTCGAGCGTCGCGATCGCGGGGCGTCGCTAAGGCCCGCGCGATTTGATTGGCGATTGCGCGGGCGTGTTCGCCGCCGACGGCAACCGACTCGACGGGCGCGGGACGACGGCGAAGGCGTCGTCACCGAGCGACGATCCGATTTGAACCTTGACGGGCAGCGGCACGGCTAAATTGAATTCGTTCGCGACGGATTCCATGGCGTGTCGCACGATTTGTGCGATGGCTTTGGCGCTGCGCGCGTCGCACTCGAAAACGCACTCGTCGTGCACCGTCAACACGAGCTGACATCGTTCGATGAGATACTTTGTGCGCAAAGTATCGATGACGCGCACGACTGCGGTCTTGAAGATATCTGCCGCGCTGCCTTGGCACACCGTGTTCACCGCCTGCCGCTCCGCGGCGGCCCTGTCGTCGTTATTCTTTGAGTGCAAATCTGGAAAATATCTGTGCCGAGCGCTGATGGTCGTCACTCGAGCGATTGGCTTTTCCTCTCGCGCGCGGATGACGATGCCGTCTAGCCATTCCATCAGACGTGGAAGCATAGATTTGAATCGAGCGACCTCGGATTTCGCCGCTTCTTCGCACATGCGCAAATCAGATGCCAATTTCTTAGCTCCGCTGCCGTACAACAATCCGTATACCAAATTTTTGCAATTCGTTCGCTCTTCGGCGAGCACGGTGTCGGGGGCTTTTCTGTACCACTTGCTAGCGAGCATCGTAAACGGGTCGTCTTTTAAGTTGTTTGGTTCAGGATTTTGAAGCATGTGAATCAGCGTGCGATCTCCACTGAAGTGCGCCATGATTCGAAGCTCCAGCTGCGAATAATCCGCGCGAACGAACACCTTGGCCGCCGGGGGCACGAAGGCGGACCGTATCGATATCTTCGGCGCGTCGAGGCCGTAGAATTGATCACCACACGTCATGTCGTGCGCTAGCGAGTGAAAATTTGGTTCGCTGTGCGCCAACCTTCCACAGTCGTGATTGGTTTGAAAGATGGAATAGCGAATGCGAGAGTCATCGGCGTACATGCCGAGAATGGTGTCGGCGAAACCGCGTCTCTTGAACACGCTCCTGTGTTCTATGATGAGCAACGGAAACGGATGATTACTTTGCTCGTAGAGCTTGCGCAAGTTGTTGGCGTCGATACTGGTCTTCGCGCCCGGCGGCGGCGTGAGTTTCAAATGTTTGTACAGACGATCTTGCAGGTAGGTGTTGTTCGTCAGCGCTCTGCGTGCGATCGACACCGAAGAATCGAGAACTATCCATTTTTGTGTCAAAGCGTATTCCTCTAGCTTCTTGAGACGATCATCCATCGTCGCCATCTCCTCGCGCATCTTGCGTGCGTCGAAAGGAATTCGGACGGTTTGCATCGCCACGATCGGAGCTACAAACGGCATTTCGATCTCCATGAGAGGTCGGAGAAGCTCTTTCTCTTGACACTCTTTCCAAGTTAGGTGACCCATGGCGTAGCACGCCGCGGTTGCTCGCGATAACGGTTTTAGATGGTCTCGATCTTTACCAAATCGATCCACAATATGACACGCCGCCTCGACGCCGCTCGTCGCTTCGCCCAACTCGGCGCTAAAGAGTTTCATAAGCGGATCGGTCGGGTCTGTCCCACGCATCAGCGCATCGTGTGCGCTTGCTTTGACTTCATCCGCACTTGGACGAAGAAGCCACGCGGCGATACGCACGTCCACGCACGGCTGTGCGAAACAGAAGAGACGGGCGGCGTACGTACTCGCTCGCGCGTCGACAATGTTGCAGAGCTGTGACTGCAAGTCGATCGTAAACTTTCTTGGGCCTTCTTTCGATAGAATCTCGAGCGCACGCGCGATAGGGATGCCGACTATCTCGCGATTTCTGATCGCATTCTTCTGCTCGTGCCTGTCGTACAAAAGCTTGGCGATGAACACAGCGCGCGAATTCAACGCCACAGCGATGCGCGTCGGCTCCTCGAACGCTCGACGCTCCCCCGACGACTCGTGAACGCTTTTCGGCTGGAAAATCACGGAATATGCCGAGGAATCCTGCCATATGCTCAAGAACGTCTCGATATCTTCCGAGGTTTCGAGCAAGGTTGTGCCGACTGCCGTTCGCACATCGAGTTCAATCGCCAGATCTAACGAGTTCTCATTCGCCATGCCGGCTTCGATTTCTCGTATCTCGGCTAATCTAGTCTCAGTCTCTTCGCGTTCCTCCCGCGTCTGCTCTGCTACAATTTCTCTGGCGCGAGCTAAAATCTCCCGAGCCGCTCGCACGATGGCCGAGGGCGCCATGCCGTTCTTGTTGTACTGCTTCAACACGGCGGCGATTTTATCGACACTACCCAAAGTCACGATGGCTTTCGGCGTCGTGATGCCTCCCGTGTACAACGCTCTGGCGCGATGAATTCCAATGTACGGAATTTTCGTCAATTCTAATATCTCTTCCTGTGCCCCAGCGGTGATTCGATCGCTGATTCTAGTGATTAAACCCTCCATGTCGCCCCAACCGAGAGTACCACAAATCGCCGCTACGTACGACGCGAAACGCGCACACGATTTTTGTTCCTCTAAGACGTCGAACGCACGAACACCGTACTTGCTGGTGATACTTTCGATTGGAACTTCTTGTATCAAGTCCGTAAGAAACAATGCGACGTGAAAGCGCTGACATGCGAATCGCTGAAGCTGGTGAGCAATTGTGATGTCACGTTTGTTCGAGCGCAACCTTTGAACATAACGCTCGTCTATGCCAACCTTTTCCGCGATCCGTAATTGCTCCGCGTTCAGATTCGACCAGAGCACTGCGAGTGCGTCCAGCGTCCTAAATTTGTTCAGATTCACCGGCGCCCCTTCGTCGTCGAGCACCGGTGGAGCAGTCAAGAGATAGAGTAAATGCAGTGGCGTGCTCAGTACCAAATCTTCGCGAGCCGTCTTCACGTCTCGAATGATTGGCTGCACTTGATCCAGAGGCATCATACCTCCAGCCACGGCGTTTCCGAGCGCCGATGCGCTCCACAAATAAGCAGTCACATTCCAAACGAGAAGTGCATTCTTTTGGCACCACCGCAGCGCGTCGATGGCGGTTTGTCTCACGGACTCGTCAAAGTCGTTTAGCGCCGACAGCAAAGTACACTTGACGTAGTCCTGCACATCTGTGGGTATCTTCACTAAACCAGCCGCGACCGCTTCGAGCATAATACGCCGCATGCCGACTTCGGCCACCGCGCTAGTGAGCTCATCAGACGGACCGTCGACGAGAGCGCACACGTTGTCTAATTCAGCGAGTTTCGGGCAAAATATGATCGCAGATCCACTGGTATCAAGTCCGGCACGACCGGCGCGACCTGTCATCTGCTGGATGTCTCGCGCATTCAGCTTTTTCCATCCCATATTCGTATCGCGAAGAATGACGCGTCGAGCTGGAAGGTTGACGCCGGTGGCGAGCGTACTGGTGCAGCACAAGACGCGAATGACTCCGCGTTTGTAGGCGTCGGCCACAGCCTCGTTTTCCTCTCGAGAGAGTCCAGCGTGATGAAACGCGACACCATCTTTGATGTATGGAAGCACATCGCTCTTAGCACCGAGTGCGGTTTCATAGCCAACGACGATCTCGTCTCGCGACAACGTAGCGTTGTGGATTTGGCGCGGCACGGTGCACTGCATCATATTTCGAAGCTGATCTGCCAACGTCTTACACGCTGCTCGCGTCGAACAAAACACCAAAACCGATCCATCTTCATCGATCGTTTCCTGAGCGAGCTCTGCGATGTGTGCGTTGTCTGAATTCGGCGATTTATTCAGCATCGTCCGAATCACGTGCTTCGTCGCCGGATGGAAAATCTCGCAACCAACCTTGACGCACACTTCTAGTCTGATTGGACGAAAGTTCGTCACATAGAGCCGAGCGAACAACCAATCAGCGAGCGCTTTCAGGTTTGGGATCGAGGCGCTCATACCTATGATTTGCATCGAACGCTGATCGCGCGTGCCACCGCGAGTGTTCCCGACTGAGTACGTTGTCTGACTTCCATCTTCGTCGCCTACAGTCGGCTCGCCGCTCGCTCGCGCTTTACGCCTCCACAATCCACTCGCGTACACGAGTTTGGTAAGGAACAACTCCATCGTTGCCCCGCGATCATCGTCTTGAATCAAGTGCAGCTCGTCGACGATGACGGCGCTCAGTTCGTGTAGCCGATTCTCTTCTAGCAGTCTCGACGTCACTTGGTTCGCCCGCTCTGGCGTGAGCACCAATAAGGTGTTCATCTTTGAATCGCTCGGAAACGCTCCGCCTCGCCCGCCGTACATCCTTCGCAATCGAAACTCCGTTCCCGCAAAGAGATTTTCTAAACTGTCCGCGCGCTCTTCGCAAAGAGCGACAAACGGCAACACAAACATCGCCACGCTCCCCGGTCGCTCGCGAAACCGACGCATCAATAGTAAGTCCGCGACGAGACTTTTACCCCCGCTCGTTGGTGCGCTGTACAACAAATTCACGCGCCCCTCCATCACCCCCGGCAGAGACAGGCACTCCATCTGCCACGGGTACAACTCTCGCACGCCCTTCGCCGCGAGCGCTTCGCGCGCAGACTCCGGCACGCCCCAAAACTCCAAGTCTCTCCGCCCCGTCGCCGTCACCGGACGTTCGATCGACGTCGACGCCTCATTTCCACGACTCGCGCGCGCGTCATCCGTCGTTCTCGACCGCGACCGCGCCGACCGTTCCGCGCTCAGTCTCGCCGCGACCTCCGCGAGCGCTTCGTCGTCGACGTCGTCCAACAGCGTCTCAAGCCTTTCCGGCGTTTTCGCCCCACTGTGTCTCGAAAACCGCGCGGAATCCTGCGTCAACCCTCGCACGCGATCGCTGCGCGCGCGATCGTCCGACCGTTCGGCGCTTCCGTCGTCGCGCGACGCGGCGACGTCGACGCGAGGCCGTTTCAACCGTTCATCGCGCGACTCGCTCGAAAACGCCTCGTTCGCCGCACGCCGTCGCGCGTTCTCGTCGTTCTCCCCCACGGTGTCGCGCATGAGGTCGACGATCATGGTCTCCGGGTCGAGCGACCGTCGACGGCGCGACAGGCGACGCGCGGGCGTGGAGCCGGGCATGATTGATGCGCGCGCGTAATCCAGGCACCTTTCGTCGCGCGCGCGCGTCTATCGCTCGGCGCGCGCGCGCGGCGCGCGCATGCGCCGAAGGGTGCGCGGCGATACGTTTTCGCGACGCGCGCGCGCGCGACGACGTCGCGGCGCGGCGCGGTGTGCGGCGCGTGGGTCTCGTCGGTCGAGTTTTTATGTGGATTCTGGAACAACGCTACGGCGCGGACGCTCCGGCGTTCGCGGCGTCGACGCCGGTGACGTCGCGCTTCAGGAGGTAGTGGGCGAATAAGGGTAAGTCTGGAAACGTGTGCGCGATGTAAGCCTCGACGATTTTGCGCGAAGACGTCCAAGGATCGGCGGCGGTGTCTTCGGGACGCAGGAGCACGGCGACGTTGGATCCGAGCGCGCGGAGCATCTCCGCGCGTTCGGCTTCGAGCGGCGGATGCTCGTGCATATTACGCGCGAAGCGCACCAGATCGAACAAACGATTGCCGTAAGAGTAATCCTTGGGTTCGTTTTGTCTCGGCGGAGGAACGACGTCGGCGGCGCGCTTGCCGCCGCGGCGGCGGTTGCGCTTTGAATTTGTCTTCGACGCAGCTTCCGCCGCGCGAGCCGCGCGGGCGTCTTCCCACGTCTGCTGCATGTTCGCCGTGCGTTGTGCGTACCTATCTGCGCGCACTAGTAGAGATGGAACGACGAGAGACTTCCAGTTGCGAATCGATTGCGCCGCTCGCTCGGCTTGTCCAGGTCGCCCCTTCCAAACCGTCTGCGCGAGATCTGCTTCGTCCTTTTCCGAAAGAGAGTTCACGATGCGCCGATCGAAAATTTCTCGAACGGCTTCCATGCACTCTTCAACGTCCCAAAGCGCGGGGTGCTCGCAAACCTCCGTGGCGGTGGGACGCTCACGCGGATCCGGATCCAACATCCGGTGAAGGAGTTCGCGCGCCGCGACTGCGGTGTGCGACGGTAACATCGCGGTCTCGATCGCTTGAAGACTGAATTTGCCTTTTACGATGCGTTGATTTTCAAATCCAACGTCCAGCGCGGTGGATGCGCTCAGATCGAGTTCTTGCGTTGGGGATTTGTTTCGCGAATCCATCTTCCTCTCTTGCTTGTACGGCGATTGCAAACCAGTCATGATGGTGTACATGAGACATCCAAAACTCCAGACGTCAACCTTGGGCGTCAGGGGAGCGTTAAGCAACACTTCCGGTGGTCGACCTTGTAAACCAATGTTCACCCCGTACCCTTCAAAAGTTGTGAGCGAGTACGTGTTGCCATCCGTCGCCTTGTTTGCGTCCTTCAATCGCACCCCGAGGCCCAAATCCGCGAGCTTGAACTCGCCGTCCGCGCTCCGAAGGCAGTTGTCGGCTTTGATGTCGTTGTGTGTTACACCGGCAGCGTGCACGTCTTCCACAGCTTGAGCGAGTTGTCGCACGGCATCCATGCGCTCGACGTGCGAGATCGCCGGCGCGCCGCCAGCAGTGCCCGCATTCTTCAGCCACGTCGCCAAAGACTCGCCGCACAGCTCCATGGCGGTGTAGATTGCCCCATCACCGCGGTCGACGTCAAGTTTACTACCCAGTATATGCGTCGCCCGCGTGCTTCGCTCGTTCAAGTGCTTGTGAATGGCAATCTCTCTTTCAATCAATGACTTCATGTTGTCTCCGCGCTCGCCCGGCGGCAAGGGGATGCGCTTGATCGCGGCGTCGCGACGAACGACTCTGTTGCCCGCACCCTCGTCGTAATATCCCTTGAACACGACAGTTCCGAGCGATCCTCGACCGAGAATTTCAGCCTCGTTATACCAAATATTACGTCCGGCGTTCACCCACCGATCACTATCCGAATCATTCCCAGACGTCGGCGCCGGTAAAAGTGAATCCGTGATTCGATGGGCACGAATGAACGCCTGTATCTGACGCTCCAAATTCTCTAGCTTCGTCTCCGCGCTACGCACAATGTCTTCGTCCACTCCCATATCTTTGGCTTGCGCGATTCGCTCGCGCAGCTTCACAGGGTCAACATCTTCTGCGGCGTGTAATAAATCTCTCGCCGCGCCTAGAGCGAGAACGCGCGCACGTCCAAGCTTGCTCGCCTTGGCTGCAGCGTCGACGTCCTCGGCATCCATTTGCAGCGCATCCATAAGCTCGGTAGAGATATCCTCTTCTTGTAATTCTTCCATGTTCTCATGCGACACTTGCAAAGCGCTCCCAGCCAGGCGCGCTTGGATGCGCGAAGAGAGCTCGTTCATGAGCTCCTCCATCTCCACCCCTTGCGCCTCGAGCGCCTGAGGTCCGCCCTCGATGGGCATGGGCGCCCCGGCGAACTCGTTGATGCGGTTGACTGTGTCTAAGAACGCCTGTCGGTGCATTTCTCCAAGCGCCGCGATTTGCTCGAGCTTTCCTAATTGCATACTAAACGCAGCCACGGACGGTTCGATTTGCGGCAGGTGTACTTCTGACATCCTTCCCTTGGCGTTCCACATCTCACGCAACAACACCTCAGCCTTGACCACGTCCGCATCGTCGCGTGTGTCCGTGATTTCTCTCGCGCGCGCCGTGAGCGCTTTCAGTTCAGCTCGAAGATCCGCCTTGCGCACCGCCGCTCTAAATTCGCGCAGCGCGTCGAAAATCTTTGTCACGGGCGGAAACACCTTCGCCTTGCCCTCGGGCGTACCGTGGAACGCGATCAACTTGCGCTCTTCTTCAAGAATTTCTTCATCCGTCATCTCACCTCTAAGAAATCTGTGCGTGTGCTGCGTCGTCTCGACGATGGAATCACCGAACGATCTCGTCCTTGATCTCAAACGATTGATGAATCGCAAGCCACCAAAGATGGCGTTCATCAGAAACCATCGAGAATCGTGTTGCTTTCCTAAATAGGGCGCCGTATATTCATCAAACCACTTTCTCGCGCGCACGCTCGTCATCTCGCCAAACTTGTCGAGCTCACCCGCGGACATCATCTTCGTCACTTCCGGTAGCGTGAGGCCGTTGTGCGACCACTCGTTGAGCCACTGCTTTTGAATGTTGTCCAGTTGCCCGATGAAACGAGCGCTATGTTCTTCGATCGCAGCCGCACGCGTGAGATCGGTGAGATCGGACATGTACTCCTCCCACTGTTTTCCCACCGGCACGTTCGAACCGCGATGACCTGCAAATTCCAAGCCGCACACGACGACGCGGACGTCGGTCGTCTTCGCTAATCGCAGCGCTGTCTCGATATCTTGCTTTATCATCTCCCGATTCTCCGGCGAATTGTTCACCGGAGGCAAAACCCAAACGAATAATTGCGGCGATAAGCTATCGCTAAACTCAGAGAATGCGAGCTCGTGCATGGGGATGACCGTGATCGGCGTATCCGGTCGAGCGTCGACGACGCGGCCCGATTCCTCCATGCGCCGGACTAAAATCTGATGCAAGCGTAGCCCTTCCCAGTCGCGCGGTAAGCCGGCGAGCGTCATGTACGCGTTCGGTCTGAACATCGATAACAAAGGCGAGTACCTCGCTCTCTTCGTCGCTTGCATGAGCAGCATGTTGGAGATCATGTTATCGAAGAGGGCCTCGCCGCGTTGCGTGAGCTCGATATCCATCGTTTTATTGCTTCGAACGTTGTACAGAAACGTTGATTTTCGCGCGGATCCTTGCGTAAACGTCAAGAACTTCGACGCGCTCCTAGATTGACCGACTATGGCTCCCAGAACGGCGATGTTTCCGCGCATGCCCTCCATCGCCGACGCGCTCAACCAGTTCCACAGCGCCGGCGCGAACGAAGGCGTGAGCGCCTCCTTCGCCACCGGTTCGCGCCCACCGTACCATCGCGCCAGCACTTTCGGCGCGCTCAGCTCGGGTTCGTACGTCTTCTGCACCGCTAATCTATGCTCCGTCATCTCGTTCCCCGTGAGTTCCGAACTCGCCACGTTTTCCCGCGTCCAGTCGTAATCTTGCGCCAACCAACCCTTCAGCAGTTTCGACCCCGGTCTCGGCGTCTCCAACCCGAGCTCGCGCGCGCGCTGCGACTCAAAACTAGACGACGCCGACGTGGAGTACACCCCGCGCGGCGTCCGATCGCGCGCGCTCGTCGACGCGTCGAGCCCCGAGCGCGCGCGCGCGTCGACGCCGCCCGCCGTCTCGCGTCCCAGTCCCACCGCCGCGCGCGCCGCGCGACGACGCAGCATCGCGCGCGCGCGCTCGATCGTTACCTACGCGTCGCCCCCCGCGCGTCTCTCCCGCGCGCCCGCCCCGCGCGCGCGCCGCGCCGCCGCCGTCGTCTCGCGCCAATCCGCCTCGAGCGTTCGGTCCGCGTCCGGCGCGACCGAACGCCGGCTCGAGATCGCCGGCGCGAGCGACGTCGAGCCCGCGTCGAGGTCTTCGCGTCGACGCGCGCCGACCGCGCGCGCTCGACGCCGCCGGCGCGCTGTGGGGCGGCGACGCGCGCGCGCGCGTGTTTCGTATGGCGTCAGTGAGGAGACGAATTTCTGGAATTCGGCGCATTCGGAACGCCCATCGAATCACGTATAGTAAACCGGAGACGCGCGCCGAGGGTTCAGGCGCCGCGCGCGCGTCAGAAGGCCGCGCGCGCGACGCGACGCGACCGTCGAGCGCGCGGACGGTGGGAGCGTCACGTCGGTGGCCCTCGGCGAGGACGCGCGCGCGCGACGCGGCGAAGACGCGGCGCGCAGAGGGAGAATTCCCGAACGATTCGGTGACGTAGATCTGGCGCGAATTGTCGGTGGGAAATCGCGAAACCGGCGACGGGGCGCGCGGTGAGCGTCGACGGTGACGAGATGCCGGCGTGCGCGATGGGAAACGATGCCGCGGAGCCGTACGCGAGCGCCGCGGGACGCGCGACGCAGGAGGTGCGGAAAGCGAGCGACGCGACGCGCGGGGGACGGGGAGAGATCAGAGGAGAGACGCCGGATTTGCCGCTGTCTTACGCTCGAAACGGCGGGACGTGCTCGACGAGCGATGACTCGAGGCCGAGTTCGAGGATGGCGATGGGCAAGGATGGGAATTCGCGCGCGAGCGGGGACGGGACGACGTCGGGAATGGAGGAAGAGCGCAGACGAGCGAGAGAGGCGACTCGCGCGTGGTTCTCGGAGCGCGCGGCGAACGGAGATCTGGAGCTCATGCGCGCGGAGTTACACTCGATGGGACAGAAGGAGTTACAGCGCATGTTTGTCGAGATGTTTGACCGCGCGACGACGAGCAACAATAATCAGTGGTTGCGAAGACGAATCGCCAACGGGTTGGGCTTGGAGGACGTCGCCGAGCACGTCGTGAGCTCGCAAGCCAAGTTGGCTTCGGCGACGAACGAACGCGTTCCATCGAAGAGACAAAGTGCGCGTCGCAATGCGGTGGAAACCGCGGCAGTAACACCGGCGGCACAGGCGACGCCGAACACGCGGGGCGCGGAGTCCCCGGACGAGGCGGCGGAGTTCACCCCTGATGGCGTTCGCAAGTCTCGTCGAGCGGTGAAGCCGAAGGCGATATTTGATTCCGACGCGTTTCCTTCCGCGGCCAAGGTGAGTGAGGAGCGTAGGCGAGAACGAAAGCGACAAGAGGCATTGGAGCAGGCGGCGACGTGCGCGAGTGGTGTAACGACGGATCATCACGGCGGCAAGGCCGCCGTAGGACGCCGCGTGCGAGTGTACTGGCCTCTCGAAGGCAAGTTCTTTGCGGGTGTCGTCACTGCGTACAACGCGCGCACTGGCTTGCACCACATCGACTACGACGACGGCGACAAGGAAGAAATCAAGCTGGCGACGCCCGAACAGCCTCGCAAGTTTGAGGCCATCGAGCACCCGGCGTTGGCGTCGACGCCTTCTCCGGCGAGTGACTGGCCTGCACTTACGAATACTGTCGATTCATCGATATCGTTGTCTATGCCGCAGCCGGGACGACCTGCTGATATTCTCAGTACGCTCCCGTCAAGCTGGCCGGCGGTGGGATCGCTTGTGTGGGGTCGGGTGCGCGGTCACGGCTGGTGGCCCGGAGCGGTGCACGACAAGGACGCGAGTCACGACATGCAAGAGATCAGTTTCTTCGACAACAGTAGGGCTCGACTTCACCGCCACGACTTGTTGCCCTTTCAACAGTATTACATGGTGCTGCGCGACGCGAAAAAGACGCACGCGTACGCCGAGGCGGTTTCTCGAGCGGCGGAAACGTATGAAAGCCGACGGCAGCGAACGGTGAAGCGACGTTCGAAGAAGGAAGAGCAATCAAACGTCGAAGAGTCGAGTGAGCCGCCGAGAATATGGCATTTCGAACGCGAGGGGGCAAAGAAGTCGCACAAGCGGTCGAAAGACGTTGACGTCGACGACGCAGGCGCGGCGAAGCGAGGCAAAGTGAACGAACACTCGACGACGGTATTCGGTTCGATTGAAGCTCCGAAGACTCTGAACGATCTAAATAAGAGCTTGGAAGAGATGAAGGCCAAGATGTTACCGCTCGCGAAAGAGAGCCGAAAGACGCTCAACAAACATCTGGTAGACACCGCCAGAAAAGTGAAAACGGAGGCGGCTGACGACGACGAAGAGACACTGATCGCCGCCGATGAACGTGTCGTGGTGCTCGACGAGTTGGCGTCCATCGAATCCTTGATTGCGTGGAGCGAAAACAAAGCTGCGAAGTCGCCCGCCAAGACTCCCGATTTGTCCTTCATGACAAAACGCGGCGATGACATTTCACCCTCGGACCCGAAAGGGCTTCTACGACAACCGAGTGAAAACTTGTTGTGCTTGGGTGAGATTAGTGAGTTTTTCGACGGTACCGCGCGAGCGGATCCCTTGGGAATCGACGATCCAATTGTCGCCGATTTGGGCGCGGACGAAGTCGCCAAGATGACCGCGCCATCCACGCCCGAGCAACACGGCATCGAAGGCGAGGGCAGTCCGTTCGCAAAAAGCAACATGAGTGACTCGTGCACCACGCTTCACGCCTCTTACGGTGACAAAAAGATTAACGTCTCAGAGACGCCGGTGACGAAAGGAGCGCTCTCCGCCTGAGCGTAGAGGCGATAGATTACACAACATTTTCCACCACCGTCCTCTTCGGTGGGTCCACTTTCGAACGTACCCTATTTTGACATTTAATACTAAAAAGCCGTGTACACTAAAAGAACGAGCGCGCGAACCTGCGCACGCGCGACCTCTTCTCTCGCCTCACAGTCAGCCTCGGGCGCGCGAACGCGACCTTTTCGACCTCGTAAACATGCCCAAACGTTGGCTTCCGCTCGAAGCCAACCCAGAGGTGATGAACGCATTCGCCCGTCACCTCGGTCTGAGCGACGACTTCGCGTTTCACGACATCTACGGCTTTGACGACGAACTGTTGGACTTTGTACCGCAGCCGTGCGTCGCCGTGTTGCTCCTGTTCCCCATCACCCCCGCCACGGAAGCGATCGAGGGCGAGCCGAAGCCCGAGACGAGCTCGAGCGGCGAGCCGTGGTTCGCGAGACAGACGGTGGGGAACGCGTGCGGGACGATGGGGGTGCTGCACGCCGCGCTGAACGGCGCGGGCGCGACGAAGCCGGGGAGTTACTTTGAGCAGCTGCGAGCTCGCTGTGAGGGTTTGGACGCAGACGCGCGGGCGAAGATCATCGAAAGTGACGACGCTTTAGAAACCGCGCACGTGGGGGCGTCCGTGGAGGGTCAGTCGGAGGTGCCGCGCGAAGACGCCGAGGTGGATTTGCACTTTGTCGCGCTCGTCGAGGCGAACGGAGGAATATGGGAGCTCGATGGACGCAAACCGACCGGACCCGCGTACCACGGACCGAGCTCGGATAAAGGTTTGTTGCGCGACTGCGTGCCCGTGATCAAAAAGTTCATGAACGCCGCGAACGGATCGATCCATTTCAACGCCATCGCGCTCGCGGCGAATCTCGGCTAGCGAGCCGACGCGTCTCACCGAGCGCGCGTTGTACACTGAACTCTCGAATCGCACTACAACGTCGTCATCGCTCGCGTCGTTCGCATCGCGATCGCCGCGGATCGATCGCGCGAGAAACTATCTAGATCGCGACGCGTCGCCGTCTCCGACGCCGGCGCGTCGCCGTCTCGTCTTCGCCCCCTCGCGCGCTCAATATCTCGTCCCCTCCGCCGGTTGCGGCGCCCTTCGACACTCCGGTCGCATCATCGCGTGATACACCGCGTTCAGCGCGTCCTCGATCGAGTTATTCCTCTTCCACGCCTGCGCGACGCCCAGCGTCTTCAAATCCACCGTCCCGTCGCCCTTCACGAATGGCAGATTCACCTTCGTCTTAAATCGCATCTCCGGCGGTCTCTCCGGGTACGCGCTCCCGCACTCGATCGCGAGCTCCAGCACGCGCATGTCCAGCGTCGTTCCCGCGGGTCCGAGGATCGTCCCCGTCCACGCGCGCATGTCCTCGTCCTCGTCCGCGTCCGCGAGTCCGTACGAGAGGTACGGCGGCAGGCCCGCGCCGCCCTTCTCGCCCTTCTCCAGCTCCTTCAGCAGCTTGAACGCGCGCGGCACGACGACGTCCTCCGAGGACGACCCGAACATGGCGCTCGGCGCGCGTGGCGCGCGCGGCGCGCGGCGATGTGGCGATGTGGCGCGTCGTTTTCATCGACGCCGTCGCGTTCGCGCGCTCGCGGCGCGCGCGCGCGCTCGGCGATGTGGCGCGCGCGGCGTCGATCGCTCGATTGAATCACAACGCGGCTAGTCGCGTCGAGTCGCGCGTCGTCGCTCGATCGCGCGCGTCGCGGTCGTCGATCTATCCGAACCGACGAATCTCAAGCTCGGCCGAGCGTCGCGTCTCGGTCGCGTCGCGCGCGCGCGCGACGCTCACTCGACGTTCGCGAACGCGCGCTGCGCGTCCTCGTACGCGCTGCCGACGCCGACGCCGACGCCGAAGGCGAGCGCGGCGACGCGCGCGCGCGGGCCGCGCAGAAAGATGAAGGCGCTCGCGCCGCCCGCGAGGGCGCCGTAGCACGCGCGACGCAGGCCCACGTCCACGGCGCGCTCGACGGCGACGTCGTACGGCACGCGCGCGTCGTCGTGCGCCATGGAGGCGAGCGCGGCGCGCTGTGCGGGCGGCACAACGCGACGCGGCGCCGCGATTCATGGGGTGCGCGCAGAGCAAAACCGCGACGGCGCGGCGCGGGGACGTGCGCCTGGTCGACGACGACGACGCGACGACGACGACGACGGAGGTGCGCGTGAAACTGGTGCTGCTCGGCGCGAGCGGCGCCGGGAAGACGGCGCTGTCGACGCGATTCGTGCGCGGGACGTTTGACGGTGAAAACGCGAGCGCGACGGTCGGCGCGGCGTTCGCGTCGACGACGCGCGCGCTCGACGACGCGCGGGCGCGGATAAAGTTTGAAATATGGGACACCGCGGGACAGGAGCGATACGCGAGCCTGGCGCCGCTGTATTATCGAGGCGCGACGGCGGCGATGATCGCGTTCGACGCGCGCGACGGCGCGAGCTTCGAACGCGCGAGGTATTGGGCGGAAGAACTGCGCAAGCACGGCGACGCGCGGTGTCGGGTGCTGTTGGTGGGGAATAAAATCGACGCGGTGCGCGACGACGAGCGAGCGACGGCGCGCGAGGCGTGCGAGGCGCTGGCGAGGGAGTACGGGATGGCGGCGTATCGCGAGACGAGCGCGAAGACGGGCGAGGGCGTTCAAGAGGCGTTCGAGGACGTCGCGCGCGCGGTGATGACGCGGGAAATGAGCGCGCGGGAAGACGCGACGGTGGTTGACGCGTGAGGCGACGCGCAGAGTGTAAAATATGACGATGTAATCGCGCGTCGCGTCGTCGCGCTTTTAGACGTCTAACCGTCGCCGCAGTTCGCGACGCCGCGGTCCGCGAATGCTGCGCGTCGCTCGCGCCCGAGCGCCGCGCGCGCGCGTGAATGGCGCTCGCGCGCGTCGTCGCGCGCGCCGAAGCGCCGCGCGCCGCACCGAGGCGACGGGAAACGGTGGCGAACACGAACCGCCGCCGCCACCGGGCGGCGTCGTGTCCTTCGTCTTGTGCGCGCCCGAAGGACCTTTGAACGTCGGCGCGGCCGCGCGCGTGATTCAAAACTTTTCGTTGCCGAGCTCGCTTCGCGTCGTGCGTCCGAGCGCGAGCGTGCTGCGCGACGACGACGACGGCGCGTCGGCGCCGCGGTTGCACGAAGACGCGTACAAATTCGCGGTGCACGCGAAGTGGATGCTGGACGATTGCTGCGCGCGAGGAGAGAGCGTGCTCGAGGCGGTGGCCGAAGCATCGCTCGTCGTCGCCACGACGGCGCGTCCGCGGGAAAATTTACCGCTGTTGACGCTCGGCGCGGCGTGCGAGAAAATGCGAGACGAAATCGCTCGAGGCGGCAAGTGCGCGATTCTTTTCGGGAACGAACGCACCGGTTTGACGAACGAAGAGCTCGAGCTCGCTGAATTCGGTGTTTCCATACCGACTTCGGCGACGGTCGGAACGTCCGCGATGGCGCGTCGAAACAAGTATTCCGGCGGCGCGGGCGTCGACGGATCGCAGACGGCGACGTCGCTGAATCTCGGCATGGCGGTCGGCGTCGTGGCTTACGAGCTATTTTCACAAGTGCACGCGGTGCGAGAAGACGACGAGACAAAGTCCATCGGTGGGTTCAATCAACCGCATCGCTTGACCGTGGGCGAGCGCGCCGCGCTCATCGACGACGTCGTCGCGGCGCGGCGAGCCGTCGATGTCTTCGCCGACGTCGACGCCGAAGAGGACGTCATCTTTGCCGAAAAGGAACGTCGCGCCATCACGGCGGTATTATCTTCGGGACCGATCGCGACGCGAGATGCGACGCCGATTTTCATGCTCGCGCGGCGCGCGCGCGCGCTCGCCCGGCTCGCGGACCCGAACGCGTTAGTCGCCGACGCGGCGCGCGCGTACGCGCGAGCCAACGGTGGCGCCGTGCCGAGCACCAAATCTCTCAACGCGTACATTCGCGAAACATTAGGCATCAGTCTCACGAAGCGCGAGCTCGAGCGCGCCGCAGCGTTGGTTCGCGACGACTTGCCGCCTTGAGCGCCGCCGCGAGCCGCCACAGTTCACCATGCGCGTCGGCCCCTCGTGCGCGCGCGCCGCGTCCAGCGCGAGCAGCGCGTCCAGCGCGTCGCGGTCGAGCGCAAGCAAGCAAGTGTTACGCCTGAAGCACCGCGGACGGGACGTGTTTTTGATCGGGACGATGCACTACAACACGGCGAGCATCCGCCTGTGCGAGGAAACGGTGTCGACGCTCCGCCCGCGGCTCGGTGCCGTCGTCCTCGAGACGTGCCCGAAGCGGTGGGAGAAGACGCTGACGTATCAGCCCGCCGGGAGCGTCATGCGCTCGGTGTTGGATAACGAGTTTCAAAGCGCGGCTGAAGCCGCCGGGGACGACGCGGAGATCGTGCTCGGCGATCAAGAGATCGCGGCGCTCGGAGAAAACTTGGGACGGCTCGTCAAGGAGACCGCGTTTGATTTATTGTATCCGCCGCGCGCGTTTACGGGTGGGTGGAAGAGCTACGCGGACGACGTTCGCGAGGCGGTGGCGACGGAAATCGACGGCGGCGACGAGGGCGTCGACGCGATGGATCTGTTCGGCGACGGCAAGCTGTTGCTCAACGCCCCGGTGTCTTTGATAAGGTATCCCTTGGCGTGGCTTTTGAAGTCGCCCAAGTTGATTGTTCCGTTGGCGTCGTTTTGGTTGACAATCGCGGCTTTGCCCGGCGCGGTGGAGGCGCTACCGGAGGGCGCCGCGCAGTCGAGTGCCGAGACGCTCGTCACCGATTTGTTCTTGATGCTCGATTTCTTGCAGGTCACGCTGCTCTCGCGGTGCTTTTTGGTGGCGTTATTGCGCGATAGAAACGAGATATTGGCACGGAGCATCGCCGACGCGTGCGAGCGCGTTCCCGAGGGAAACGCCGTCGTCGCCGTGCTCGGCGCCGCACATCTCAACGGTGTGCGCCGTCGTCTCGTCGAGTAGTGCCGTCCCCATTTCGCCCGCAGTCGAGGCGTACGCGCCGATTTGTAGTTTATTGAATTTTAGTCGAAAAGATGCCCGCGACGCCCCGACCCTCACGTCATGACGACCCACGACGCCCTCGTCGGCACGCTCCCCGGCGTTCGCCTCGAAAATGACACCCACGTGTGTGAAATCACTCGCTTCGGCGCGCACGTCGCGTCGTGGCGCGTCAAACGCACGAGCGATGAGCTTTTGTTTCGCTCAAAGTTGGCCAAGCTCGACGGAACGAAAGCCATTCGCGGCGGCGTGCCGGTGTGTTTCCCGCAATTCAGCGACATGGGGCCGTGCGCGCAGTCGCACGGGTTCGCGCGAACGTCCGTGTGGGCCGTGGAGGCGCTGAGCGCGACGGAGGTGACGATGGTGCTGCGACGCGGTGACGAGGCGGGCGACGGCGACGCGTTCGGCGGCGACTACGAGGCGCGGTTCACGGCGACGCTCGACGGTGACGCGTTGCGCACGGCGTTGCGCGTAACGAACGCTGGGAAGAGTTGTTTCGAGTTTACGTCGGCGTTGCACACGTACTTCAGGGTTTCAGATTGCGCGAAGACCAAGGTGCGCGGGTTGCGCGGGACGACGTATTTAGACAATTTGCGCGCGAGAGCGAGCGCGAAGGACGACGAAGACGCGGTGGAGTTTTCTGGCGAGGTGGATAGGATCTATACCGACGCGCCGAGCGTGTTGACTATAGACGATGAGGCTCTCGGGCGGAGGTTTCGCGTTGCAAAGACGTCGACGTTTCCGGACGCCGTCGTGTGGAATCCGGCGTTGACGGACAAGACGCGAGGCATGAGCGACTTTGGCGACGAGGAATACCGCGAGATGGTGTGCGTCGAAGTCGCCGGAGTGAAGGATAAGATCACCGTGGAGCCAGGAGAGACGTGGGAGGCATCGCAGACGATTAGCTATAGCGCGATTTAACTATAACAAACGCGCGGTTTCTACTTCTAGCTGAAAAAGTACACCGAGTCCTGAACGACGTCTAAATCCAAATCGCCAGGTGCGGGCGGCTGAGGGAACTCGTCCGCGACGTCTGGGTAATTCGCGCGGAACTCGTGATAAAGATTTTCGAGAAGAGGCTCTTTGTGAACCTCGATGAACTTTTCACGCAGGATGACATTCATGGTGTCCACGTCCGTCGCGTGCGTCCAAAAGGAATCGTGAACGCCGGCGAACGTCAATCCGGCGTCCACGCACGCGATCGCCGTCCTCATCATATGAGAACTGTCGATACTGTGAATATAATTCGGCGGGAACGCGCTCCTTTGCTTCACTTTCATAACCGGCTGTTGTTCGTCGTGAACTTTTAGCGAGAATGACTGCAAAATCGTCCGCACGCGCTTGGTTCGCTGACTGTGATACGGCTGCACGACGGGCAATCCCAGAGGCGTGGTCCAACGCACGGGCTCGCCCGCTGAGGTAGCGATCGTGGCGCAGGTCGTGAGCCATCCCATGACATCTCGGGCGTTTGAAAACATATTATTCAACGCGTCGAGCGTCCTTTTCGCGGCGTAGTTGGACACACGATAGCGAAGAAGTTCGTTGTCCTCCATCGCCTCGCGCTCACGGAGACGGCTATATATTTGCGCTCGCGCCCCGATGAAAGTAACGCCGTACACGGACGTCATCACCGTCTGCTTCACAAGCTTACGGTCGATGTGCTGAGCGAGTGACATCGCGAGCTTGGCGTTGTTAACGTCTTCCTCGTCTTCGCTGTCGATGAGTTTAATATCCTCAGCAACGATGCGCTTCAACACATTCGCGATGCCGGTGTAGACGTCCGCACCTCTGTCTGCGGGGACCAAGTTCACGGCTTCACCACCGTGTAAGTCGCGACCGAGCGCGGCGTAGTGTTGCAACCCGTTGCACGACCCATCTTGATGCACGGGTAAATTACTCATGAACTGCGTCGGGTCCGAGAGCTCGAGCGCTTTGTCGAGCTCGATGCACGTCGCCAAACACTGCCAGGGCTCTTCCGCTTCTTGCCACCACGCATCCTTCGCGAGCGGGTCTTGAGCCGACGCTCGCACGTCTTCTATGCGATCTTTGATGAACTGCACTCTCTCATCCATCGGAAGCTTGTCGGCGCCGTTACCAAACAGCGTCGCGCACTGGATGTGCATCCAACGCAGGCCGCGCTCGCCGAGCGGCTTCTTTTCGTTAAATCGAAGCAAACCGCGACACAAATCACTTCCTATGTGATTCAAGTGCACGTGCATCGTGTACGCGCGCCCTCTAAAATCCAAATTGTGCGGGAAATAAATATTTGGTTCGTTTTTCATCTCTCGCGCAACTTGCAATTTAATGAGAAAGTCGCAGCGCTGAGAGTGGAGCTCCATGTTTGACTTTTTCGTCTTTCGCACGCTTTGCAAAAAGTCGATAACCTCACCTTTGCCCGGAAGTCCACTAGCGAGCAGCTGCAAACGCTTTTTGTCGCTGCGAAGCGCATATGACCCGCCGGGCCAGCGTGGGAGTTGCAACTCAGCGCGAAGCGGAACCTCAGCCACGCCACCACCTCGAGCCCAGACTTCTTCCACGATCGGTAACACATCCGTATTGATTTGCCACGCGGTTTGCCCCAAAGCATTGAGAGCGTCTAACACGGGTTGGTATTGCACGGGCTCCCCCGATGCGTCCGCCTCGCGCGCTTTCTCCTCCAACGCCGCGATTTGCGCTCGACTCGGCCCTTCGTTCGAGTACTTCCCTCGCATGCATAGATTATCAGCGCGCAAGTATCCTCCCTTATTGTACCTCTCCCAATACCGCGGCGGGATAACCATGGGAAAGTGTCGCACCGGTACGAGCGCTGCGCGAGTCATCGTCTCCGTGTTGATGAATCTGTAAATGCTATCGTGCCAGTGCAGCATTCCGTACCCAGCCTCTTTGTAGTCGTGATAAAAGGCTGGAAGCGTCAATAATTCACCTTTTTCGTCCGGTACGCCAATCTTTGCCGTGTTCATGAGCGCGGTCAGCAGCACTGTTCCGATTTTAAGGCGAATCTCACGACCCCACTCCGCGTTCTCGAGCGCTTGCCGAGCGTGCTTGGACACCGACTTGATGGTGTTCATCTTTGACGTATCCAACGCCAAATTAATCCTATGCTCCGCCGCGTCGTCTATTTCCTTGACGTTGCCTTCGGTGTTCACTAGTCTAGATCGTCTAAATGCCTCCTTGGCCGCCTTTTCCGCCGACCGCATGCGCTCCAAGTTCACCTCAGCTTGCACCGCGCTTCCAACTTGGTCGGCGACGCTGATAAACTTCGCGCTCCCCGCCGCGGTCTGGTCGCCCCTTATGAACGACCACGCGCCATTATTCCTACCGTCACCCTTCATCAGCGTGCTGAGCGTCGCGTGAAGCGTCAACACCGCGAGTTTATCCGGTTCGAGCAAGCCCAAGTAGTGCCCGTACACGCGTCTGTCGACGCCCGGCACGTTGCCCCGTATCTTCTCTTGTTCTTCCGTCAGCGCCTCCACCAGAGGCACGTAAAACGACGCCAGCAACTTTTGCACCACGGGTAACTGCGCCCCAATCCCCGCCGCGAACGTCTTCCTCGCCAACTCCTTGTACCGCATCACCTCTCTTTCCACCGCCAAATTTTCCGCCTCGCGCTGCTTCCGCGTTTGCGCCCGTCTCTCCCCCTCATCCGCGTCCTCCGCGCGCTCTCGCGCCTCGTGCCCCCCCGCGCGTCTGAGCTGTCGTCTTCGCGCGTGCAGCGACTGCAGCGCGAGCTTGATCTTCGCCCTCCGCTCGTCCGTAGTTTCAAAAATACGATCCTTCACGTCCCCGAACGCCGTCGCCGCCATGGACAACGGTCGAAGCTTCGGCCCCGGTCGCGGCGCGCGCTCGACCGCGTCCGCGGCGGCGGCGAGCAGCAAATCGATCTCTTCGTCGTCCTCCATCAACTCCGCGGACCATCGCTCGATGGACACCGCGTCGCGCGGCGCGATCGACGACGTCGCGCTCGACGACGACGCGCTCGACGCGCGCCTCGCGCGCGCGCGACGATCGACGGCGTCGACGCTCGACGCGCTCGACGCCGCCGAAGACGACGTCGCGCTCGCCGCGCGCGACGCGCGCGACGCCGCCGCGCGCGCGGCGCGCCGCGCCAACATCCGCCCCGCACTGCCGCATCGCGTCCGCGTCGCCGATCGACGACGACCGATCGCGATGCGCGCGCGCGAACCTCACGCCGTCGATCGCGTCGCGCGCGCGAACCTCGCGCCGTCGATCGCGCGAGCGACGCGCGAGCGATCGCGAGACGGATCGCATCGATCACACACGGATCATCGCGTCGCGGCATCGCGTCGCGCCATCGCGCGTCGCGCGCGGTCTTTCTGCGACGCGTCGAGCGAGACGTGACCATGGCGTACGTGGCGATGCGAAGCGCGCGATGCGACGCTCGATTCGCGCGCGACGGCGGGGCGATCGGGGCGCCGTGGACCGCGGCGCGCGCGCGACGGCGGGGCGGGGCGTCCGTCGGCGTGAAAGCCCTAGCGTTGGGACGAGCATCGCGTCGCGCTCGATCGAGCGCGCGCGGGGGGGCGGCGACGCGCGCGCGATCTCGCGGATTTGTCGTGCGAAATCGTGCGCGCGATCTCGCGCGCGCGCGGCGCGCGGGCGGCGCGCGGCGGGCGAGGTCGGGATGAAGTCGCCGACGCGGAGGGTTTCGCGCGCGCGATCGGGATGCGCGCGCGACGACGGCGACGACGCTGGAACGGTGACCGCGAACGAGACGACTGACGAAAACGCACGTTTATTTCACGATGACAGTAAGACGAAGAAACAGGTGAAGAACGGGCAACCGAGCTTCTACCCCGCCGATGACATCAAAAAGCCGCTGAAGCGCACGATCGAGCACAAGCAGACCAAGCTTCGCGCATCCATCGCGCCCGGTCAAGTGCTGATCCTTCTCGCTGGACACTTGAAGGGTAAGCGCGTGGTGTTCTTGAAGCAGCTCGAGTCTGGGTTGTTGCTCGTCGCCGGTCCGTACGGTGTGAATGGCGTGCCGGCGAAGCGCGTGAACCAGCGCTACGTCATCGCGACGAGCGAAAAGGTTGACGTGAGCGGCGCCGCCGCCGCGGCGGCCAAGTTCACCGATGCCTCGTTCAAGAAGCCGGCGAAGGATCGCAGTAACAAGAAGAGTGAAGAAGAATTCTTCAAGGTTGACCTCGCGAAGAAGGAGCTTCCGGCTGATTACCTCGAGAACAACAAGGCTCTCGACAAGGCGCTCGGCGACGCCATCGCGAAGACGCCGTACCTCAAGGAATACATGTCCACGCTCTTCACTTTGAAGTCTGGCGACAAGCCGCATGAGATGAAGTTCTAAGCGGTGTGGCGTAAGTAAGGTTAGTGTTGGTGTCTTGGTGATGTGAATGGGGCGTTTAGAACGCCCCGAAACTTCGGAGACGGATTAGTGGTGATGTAAACGAAAGAGCTCTCGAAGAAGAATCTAAAATCTTTTTACATACCGCTCGCCTAAAACCATTCGTTGTGCTCCTCTGCGTCCGCGTCTTCGAGCTGCGCGCGCTCTTTCAATTCGCTCTTCTTTCGGAACATTTTTGCCTCGAAGCCCGTGCCGCGGTCGACGCCGTCCCAGTGACGGCCCGGTTTGATGCCGTAGCGGTTGTGCGGCGCGACGACGCCGCGACGAAGCCAGCTGTGCGGTGGAACCTCTTGCGGGATTCGGAAACCAGACTTTTTCAAATCATCCATCGACAACCCTAAGCCGTCGACGACGGATGGGAGATTGAGCGATTCAGCGTGACGCTTTTTGCGGCTCAAATGCGCCATCGGGTCGCCGAAACGCATCGCACTTCGCTGTTTGTCTTCATAATCGGCATCGATGTCGGCGTGCGCGAACGGAGTGTCTTTTGCCTTGACTAAATCTACCTCGTACTGCTTCGCTTGTCTCGCCTGTTCCACACCCGTTGCCCAAACCGGTCGTTCGCGCTCCTTTGGTTTGACATTCTCCGAGCGACGCTTCATCTCCTCGCTATCCATGAGCTTCCCAGTCGCCTTGTCCCGGTAGTTCGTCGCCGCCCCGCGACCACTTTGCTCGTCCGTCATCTTAGCCACGCGCGCTTGCTCAGCTTTGCGCTTCAACTCAGCTTCCATGATGACTTGCGCCGCGCTCACGAGACCGGTGGACGTGCCATCCGTCATCTTGTGCTCCTTCGTCTTCTTTTCCTTCGACTTCTTTTTATTATCTTCCGCGGGCGCTTCCGGCAAGGGATCGGGCGGTAAGATCAAGTCACCGTCGCTATCGTACTGCAGCTCTTGCTGCCCGGAAGGCTCTTCAGGCAGGATAAAATCGCCATCGCTGTCGTATTGCGGCTCACCCGCCGCCGCCGCCGCCGCCGCCGCCGCCGCGGGCTCCTGAGGAATAATCAAGTCCCCATCGCTATCGTACTGCAGCCCATCGCCCGCGCTCGTCGTTGGCGCATCCTCGGGCGGTACCGAAGCATCACCGGCGTCGTCTTCGCTATCGCTATCGTGTCTCGCGCGGCGACTCGGCGCCGCCGCCGCCGCCGCCGTCGCCTCTTCCGAATCCGAATCGTGTCTTCGTCGTCTCCCCCCAGCCCCGCTCCCATCTTCCTCCACCGCCGTCCATCCACTACCATCGTCCCCGATCCCCATGTATCGCACCGCGCGCGCCTCGATCTCTTTCGTCGCCATCGCCGCCGCGTCCACCTCGCGTCCGCGCGCGTCCAAAACCACCGCGCGATCCTCATCCTCTCGACCCTTCTTCGTCCCCGTCGCGTCCGCGCTCGCGCCCGCGTCGCCGTCGATGATGCGAATCGCGTTCGAGTGCGTCTTCGGGCGCTTCTTTTTGCGCTTCTTCCCGTCGTCACCGCGCGGGTCGGCGCTCGACGGCGCGCTCATGTACTTTTTGAGGTAGTCGAGTTTGGAGCTCATGGCGGCGCGTTCGAGCGCGCGCGCGCGTTGGGGGCGTCGATCGTCGACGTCGACGTCGCGTCGCGTCACGTCGTCGCGCGCGCGCGGCGTCGATCGACGCGACGAGTCGAGGTGTGACGGTCTGGTCGCTCGCCGCGACGGTTTCGTTCGTTTCGCTCATCTAACGCGCTATGATTTCAGCTATAACTTGAGCTAATGCGGTCGTCGCGTTCACGCGTCGACGCGACGCGCGGCGACGAAAATCGAACCCTTGTCGCCTCTGCCCGTGCGCAGATCGTCGTCGACGTAGGTCGTCTCGATCCAGCCGCGCGGATCGACAAAGTCGAGCGACGCGCGCAGCGGCGGCAGCGACCCTATTCGAAGCTCCACCGAGCGAAAGCGCACGTTCAAACGCGTCGGATGCGCGACGGGATCATCGAACGCGCACTCTCCCGCGAGATTCACACCGAGATTCACGCCGAAAGGTCCTTCGAATTCGGCCCGATTGGACACCGTCGCCGCGGCGACGTCGATGTCTTGATAGTTCCCAATCGAACGCGCGAACGACTTTTCCGACTTTTCCGACTTTTCCGACTTTTCCGACGCCACCGAGCGCCCCGAACTCCCTGAGGCTTCCGTGAGCGCCGCGCCCAGAGCGCCCTCGCGTCGTCGTCTCGCCTCCTCCGCGGCGTCGTCCGCGGCGACCGACGCCAAGAGACTCCACGCGCCCGAGACCGACGCCCCCAGCGCCGCCGCGTCGTCCGGCGCGCGTCCCGCGCGCTCCAGCGCCTCGACGAGGTCCATCAGCGCGCGCGCGTCGTCCGCCGACGCGCGTCGTCCGCCTCGCGTGCGCGCGCAAAGTCGTTTCAGCGCGCGCTTCGTCGTCTCGACGTCTTCGCTCGACGCCGACGCCGCGACGCGCGACGCGCGCGCGACGCGCGACGCGCGCGCGCGCGCGGCGCGACGCGACGCGTCCAGCGCGCGGCCTCCGTCTCGCGCGCCGCGCGCGCGATCGGCGCTCGCGGTCGCGCGCATCGCGCGGCGCCGACGTGTGGCGCCGCACTCGACGCCTCGCGAAGCGTCGCGGCGTCGCGGCATGCCGGCGTCGAGCGATGCGCCGTCGACGACGCCCGCGACGCGCGACGCCGACGCGCGGTCGCGGCGCGTCGTCGCCAAGGCGCTCGCGGATAACGCGCTCGTCGCGCTGTGGGTCGGGACGAGCGCGATCGTCATCTTGTTCAATAAATACATCCTCACCGCGTACGGGTTCCCGTTCCCGGTCGCGCTGACGATGACGCACATGCTGTTCTGCTCCGTCGTGGCGTTCGTGATCGTGCGCGCGCTGAAACTGGTGCCGGCGAGCGAGGGGGTGACGAGGGAGGTGTACGCGACGAAGATTACGCCGATAGCGGCGCTGTTCGCGGTGTCGCTGTGGGCGTCGAACACGGCGTACGTGTATTTGAGCGTGGCGTTCATACAAATGCTGAAAGCGCTGAGCCCGGTGGTGGTGTACGCGATCGGGTGTTCGATAGGCGTGGAACGGTACTCGCACGAGCGATTGGCGAACATGGCGGTGGTGACGCTCGGGGTGATGATCGCGTCGTACGGGGAGCTGAATTTTAATTTTTTTGGGTTCGCGGTGCAGCTCGTGGCGGTGCTCGCGGAATCGTGTCGAATCATCGCCGTGCAGCTGGTTTTGGGGAAAGCAAATCTGAAGTTGAACTCGATCACGACGCTGTATTACGTTTCGCCCGCGTGCTTTGTGTTTTTGATCGTCCCGTTCGCGATGCTGGAGCTTCCCAGGCTGGCGTACGGCTTGGAGGTGACGCATTCGGTGCGTTACTCCGCGGGCATCATGCTCGCCAACGCAATGTGCGCGTTCGCTTTGAATGCGGTGATTTATTTGCTCATCGGTCGAACGAGCGCGTTGACGCTCAACGTGGCGGGCGTGGTGAAGGACATGTTCCTCATCGGCATCAGTTCGGTGATTTTCGAGGCGCCGATATCTGCCACGCAGCTCGTCGGTAGTTTGATCGCGTTCGGGGGCGTGTGCTACTATAATTACCGCAAACTGAACGATGCGTTCGCGGCGGCGGCGGCGGCGCCGACGCAAGGCGAAGTCGGGCCGAAGCGAGACAGTCAGGCTTAGGGTGTCGGTTAGTAGTGTATCCTTCCGTAGAATTTCGTATAACACGCGTGATTGTTACAAATTTGTGTTTTATAGTAGCAGTTCAGAGAGTTCATTTCCTTCGTCTTGTCCATCGCCGCCGAGCGAAAGTTGTGCGAGTTTTGCCGCTTCGAATTCCGCGGACAACGCGCACAGTTCGTCGTAAATCAAACCTCGAACATCGGTATCTGTCAGATATTGGGCACCGTCTTCAAAGTCGAAGGTGAACGGCGACTCAGCGCACGGTTCGTCGACTTCATCGTGAAGCGATTCCAGGTATGGATGCGCCAACGCCTCCTCGACGGTGATGCGCCTCGCCGGGTCGAGCACGAGCATCTTATCCACCAAGTCCACCGCCTTGGGCGAAGCGTTGGGGAACAACTTTTGAAAGCTACATCGCGCGGTGACTGGAAGTGATTTGATGTAACGCTTCGCCTTTTCGTTGTTGATGAAATCAAGCTCGGATGGGTTTTGCGGCGTTCCGATGACGCGCATGATCAAATTCAATTGGTGCACGTAATCTTTCCCCGGAAAGAGCGTCTTTCGCCCGAGCAACTCGGCGAAGATACAACCGACGCTCCACACATCGATAGCGCTCGTGTACTCGGCGCAAGAGAGCAACAGCTCGGGCGCGCGATACCACCTCGTCACGACGTACTCCGTCATGAACTCGGACGCCTCCGCGTCCACGAGCGCGGTGCGCGCCAATCCAAAGTCACAAATCTTCAAATCGCAGTTCGCGTTCAATAATAAATTTCCAGGCTTCAAGTCTCGATGCAGCACGTCGGCGCTGTGAATGTACTTTAACCCGCGCAAAATCTGATAGACAAAGTACTGACAGTGCTCATCCGTCAGCGACTGCGAACTGCGAATGATTTGGTATAAATCGGTGTCCATGAGATCGTACATCAAATAAACGTCCTCAAACGCATCCTTCGCGCGAGGTTTCACGCAATCGATGATATCGATCACGTTCTCGTGCCTCAAGTGTCGCAACAGCTTGATTTCCCGCAGCGTCCGCTTCGCGTCCACCACGTTCTCGAACGCGTTCACAATCTTCTTAATCGCCACCTTTCTATTCGTCTCCAACTCTCTCGCGCTACACACCACCCCGTACGCCCCCTTCCCGATCGGTTTTATGGGCGCATACTTGGCGTCCACCTCGAACACCGTCCCGCACACGGCGAACTTGGACGTCACCGCCGCCGTCCCCCGTCCCGACCGTCCTTCCCTCTCCCGTCGCGCCTTTCGTCGTTTCGCCCTCGCCGCGCGCACGACGTCATCCCCACCACCGTTCTCGTCCCCTCCCTCGACCCCTCGTCGTCGTCGTCGTCGTCGTCGTCGTTCGCTCGCGTTCGCGTCTCGCGTCCCCTCGCCCGCCTCCGATTCGCTCTCGTCCGTCGTCGTCTCCGTGCGCGACGCGCTCTCCGATCCCGTGCACTGCGAGTCGTCGTCCTCCGTCGTGCTCATGTACGCCCGCGCGTCGTCGTCGTCGCCGTCGTCGTCGTCGCGAATTCGCGTCGCGCCGTCTGCAATCGCGTCGTCGTAATCATCGTCGCTTTTCGCGTCGCGCGCCGCGGCGCTCGCGCGCCGCGCCGCGTCGTCGTCCGCGAACGCGCCTCGCCCGCGTCCCGCGCGCGCGTCGCGCGGCGACGGCGTCTCCGCGCTCGACGCGCGCGCCATTGTGCGCCACCGCGCGCCGTCGTCGGTCCATCGCGGCGTCGCGATGCCGGCGCTCGTCCTCACGCGCGCGGGCTGGGCGCGCGCGAGCGACGTCGACGACGACGACGACGACGCGACGCGCGACGTCGCCGCGGCGCTGTGGACGACGACGACGTGGCTGGACATGCTGAACGACGGGCGGCGAAACCGAGCCTTCGCGCGGGCGATCGAACGCGACGTGACGCGAGGCGATCGATGCGTGGACGTCGGCGCGGGCACTGGGATACTCGCGGCGATGCTCGCGCGGGCGTGCGGACGCGAGGGAGGCGTGGTGGCGGTGGAGGAGTACGCGCCGTGCGCGGCGCTGGCGAGAAAAATCGTCGGCGGCGACGGGATCGACGTGCGGTGCGCGCGAAGCGATGAGGTGGTGTGCGAGACGGAAAACGAAAGGTTTGACGTGATGTGCGCGGAGTTGTTGGACTCGGAGCTCGTGGGAGAGGGATGGTTGAAGACGGCGCGCGAGGCGAGACGAAGGCTGACGCGCGGACGAGGCGCGACGATACCGAGACGAGGGAGGACGCACGCGAGGTTGGTGCGATGCGAAAAGGCGGCGAAATATTACGGTGCGATCGGTGACGCGGCGAGCGCGGCGGGGGAGGGGGTGGTGTGGTGTCGAAGCGCGAGGCAGGCGCACGCGCGCGCGTGGAGACGAGAGATGGAATCGTTATCCGACGACGTCTTGGCGCACGAGTTCGATTTCGAGAACGTGCCGGAGGAAGGACGCGCCGCGACGTGGGAACGCGAGTGGAAAGTCGTCGACACCGCCGGGCGCGCGGATGCGGTTTTGGTGTGGTGGGAGGTGGACGTCGATTCAGAGGGCGATGCCCGGTATTCGACGCGTCCGACGCCCGACGCTCCCTGGACGCACCATTGGCGGCAAGTCTTGTTCGTCGTTCCCGAACACGCGCGCGGTGGAATTTTGAATGGCGATGGAAAGGTGCGCTTTGTCGCCACGCACGACGATTACTCGCTGAAAATCGGGATTCAAACGTCCGAGACTCTCGGCGCTCGGGCGGACGCCGCCGGCGTCCCGGACCCGCCCGTCGAAGCGCCTTGGCTCGATCCATTGAGACGGTGCGCGCGGGGAGAGAGCACGTCGTACCGTCTTCGCGCGGTTGGGATGCGTTTGCCCGAATTCGTCGCGAGCAAGGCGCGACTCGGCGTCGTGTGCGGCGTCGATTTGTCGAGCGCCAACGCGCTCTTGCGTCCTGAAGACGACGACTTGCCCGACGACGCACCGATCGGGTGCGAAAAGTTCGACGCTCCGATTTCATGGTTCCACGTGTTTGAGCTCGGTGGCGGTCCGCACGACGCCGACGCCGTCGCGACCTCGCCCGAGACGCTCTTTGAATTCGGCGACGAATCGTCCTCCTTCGCCGTCGGCGCTCGCGCCGTCGCGACGCTCCGCGCGGACGCCCCGTTCGACGCCGTCGTCGTCTACATCGACGCCGAAGACGATGTCGATCCGTTCGATCCCGAACGCGACGCGTTCGCCACGCCCTTTTCCATCGCGAGACGTCGTCAAGGCGTTCTCATCGTTCCGGAACGCTCTCGCGCTCCATCGCTCCAAGTTTGGTGCGCCGCCGTTCCCGGCGACGAGGGATTCCGATTCGGCATTCTCGCCTCATCGTAACGACGCGCTCGAGCGTCGACGTCTCGATCGTTTAGTTTAGGATTCAATCGTTTAGTTTAGGATTAGCGTTGGCTCGTTCGGCGCACCGCCGGCGCGCGTCACATCGCGCCGACGATGTCGCTCGCGCGCGCGCGCGCCTCCGGCCCGACGCCCGCGCGCGCGTCGACGTCGACGTCGACGTCGTCGTCGTCGCGCGCGCGCGTCGTCGCGCTCACGCGTCGCGCCGCGCTCGTCGCCGCGGTCTCGCTCGTCGCGCCCGGCCGCGCGCGCGCCGACGCGTTCGCCGACGCCGACGCGTTCGCCGACGCCGGCGAATCGCCCGCGGTCGGCGCGTGCGCGGATTGCATCGGCGAGTACAACGGGTACCTGAACTCGTGCGATCGCGCGTCGTCGTCGTGCGTGTCCTCGCAGAACGACGACGCGGAGAGATTCGTCGCGCCGTGGGCGTACGAGGGCGACCGCGCGACGGCGATGCGACGCCTCGTCGACGTCGCGACGGGACGCGCGACGCCGCGAGGCAGGGCGCTGTCGCAGCGCGGGAGCGGGATCGGGGCGAGGACGGGCGACGGGCGCGCGCGCGACGGGTTGTCGTTCGTCGCTCGCGCGGAGGCGTACGACGAATCGAGCGGATACGTGCGGTTGGCGCTCGCGCCCAAGACGCGAAACGACGCGAACGGTGGATTCGGGGCGAAGGTCGCGCTCGACGGGAACGACGTCGACGTCGCGGGCGTCGGCGTGTTCGACGCGGAATTTCTGTTCATCGCGAACGACGAAGTGGTCGACGTGCGCGTGGCGCAGCGCGGCGGTAACGCCGAGAATCGCGGGGTGTTTCGATTGAGTTACACCGATGGCGTGGCGTTCGATACGAATCTCGCGAGGGCGCGCGCCGAGGAGCTTCGCATCGCGATCGGGTGGGAAATCCTCCCAGTCATAGCCGCGTTCGATCCGAAGTGGAGCGACAAAGAGCGACTTTGGTTTGAGAAATTATTCGACGCCGCCGCGGGGCGTCCGGCGCCGGAGACGAACGATCTACGCGACATGCGCGACACGTACTCGTACGAGTGATCGCCTCGCGTCGCGTCGCGTTGTAGTGTTCATCGATTTGTTTGTACCGCGCCGTCACCGCGCCTCGATTTGTTTGGACCGCGAGCTCGAGCTCGCGGTCCCGAAGCTGCACACTTCAAACCTCGGCGACGATGGCGATCTCCGAGCTCGCGCGCAAGGTGTTCCTGACGTACTTCGTCACCCACATCCCCGCCACGATGCTCATCGACGCGCAGGTGGTGTTGCCGCCGCGCGTCGTCCCGACGTTTGCGCGAAACGCCCTGCGTTGGCACATCTCCACGAATAACGACGTCTTGATGGCGCACCAGCCCGCGTGGTTGCGGAGTTTGGTGATGTGTGAGCTCGTGTTCCAACTGCCGTTCTTCTTCGTCGCGATATCGGCGCTGCGTCGAAGAGATGAGGGCGCGAAGGGGTGGTTGTTGGCGTACGGCGCGCACACGGCGACGACGCTCGCGCCGATTTTGCAATACATTTGGGAGAGCGACGCGATCGCGAGCGAGCTCGAGCGATGGAAGTTGATTGGGGTGTATTCGCCGTATCTCGTCGTACCGCTGTGGATCGTGTCGTGCACGATCGGAGAGGGGAAGATTTTCGTCGACGCGAAGACGGCGAGGAGCGCGTCTTCGAGGCGGAAGCGGGCGTAGGTCGCGGTGAGTTGACGGTCACTTTTAGTATTGAAAATGATCAAAACTGCCGAGTGGTGTTGGTCACTCGTCATGAGGAAAACTGTTCTTCGTTCGAAACGAGACGTCCCTAGTTCGGGACGTTGTGGATCACCTTGCCGGCGTCGATGGAGATGATGTTCGCGGGCGCGTTGGCGGCGCGAACGAAGCCACCGCTGTCTCTGCAAGGAAGGTCACAGCCCCAGAGATTGCCGTTGCCGTCGAGAAGCCAGAGCGCGGTGGCGCCGACGGTGATTTGACTGATCGTTGCGGTCGAGAGCGCACTCGGAATGGAGATTGTGGACCAGTCGCCGGTCATGTCCGAGGCTTTTCGTTTCAGCGTCCTTCCATCTTGGTATACGACGAACGCGTCCGAATCGCCGACTTCGACCTGCTTGACGGTTTTTACGTGTTGACGAACCCATCCGCCATTAGGCAGTTCCGCGCTCCACATATTGTGTTGCTTGTTCATGTGAAAGTGGTGCGTGCGACCGATGGTCACTTGGACACCTTTTCCGCCGCCGTCATCGGCGAAACCCCAATCGCCCGAGCCGTCGACGGGACGACTCCACATGTATCCGCCGGAGGTGTGTATACTCGTGTCCGTGACTCCGATGAGCGCATCGTAGCCCGCGTCAAAGTCAACCATGGTGCCTTGGGCGACGCCGTTGGCTACGGGATTGTTGGTTGCCGTATTCCAGTTATCGCGAGAGAACTGATTGAGGTCGGCGTTACGCGTCCAGGCGAGAGTTCCAGTCACGGTATTTAAACCCCACGTGTTGAACTCTCCCGAACTCACCGAGGTAAAGTGACCTTTGTAGTTACGCCAGACATCAGTTTTCGCCACCGATTCTTCGATTCCCCAGACGTTGTCCGCGTCGCCGGTCGCCGGACCGGTGCACGCGATGAGCTTCACCGTCAGCGGGCACCGCTCGAGACATCCAGCCCACGTCGTCTCGAATCGACGCACGCCGTCGACGAGCCGCATGCTCGACCTTTTCGGAATCACGCGATTTCTGTACGCGCCCCCGCCCGCGGGGACGTTTGCCAGGCACGTCGCGTTCGCGAGTTCGCCCGTCGCCGGAAACCGCTTGTTGTGCCCCAGTTCGAAGATGGTCTCGCCTCGCGCGTTCACCAGCCCGAACCCGATCTCCTCTCCCGCGCGCACGCGCGCTCGGCCGACGTATATCGTCGACCATCCGCTCTGCGTCAGCTCGACCCCGCCCGCGCGTCGGCTCGCGCCGCCGAACTCTTCAATCGGATCGTCCCCTCGTCGCAGCAACCGCACGCTCGCGATGTCGGACGCGTAGAAGTCCTCTATCGGCGAGCGATCGACGACGTCGAGCTCGATGCACCCGACGTCGACCTGAAACTGCACCTCGAACGGCGCGCCGGCGCCCTCGCGAGACGCGCGCCCGCGCGCGACGATCGACGCGACCGCGACGGCGACGACGGCGACGGACGCGATCGTCGCGCGGCGTCGGCGGTGACGCGCGACGTCGAGCTCGTTCGCCGCGCGGAGCAGCGCCGTGGACTCCGTCGCGTCGCGCGCGGGCGCCATGACGCGTCGGAATGTGCGGAGTGGGGTGCCATGAATGACGCGTCGTCGGAATGGGGTGTTACAACGGTTGGCGGAGCCCTGACTGACCCGGCGCGGCGCGCGGAGGATTTCGATCGATCGCGCGCGCGACGATCGAACGATGGGCTACGCGCGAACGGCCTGTTGAACGAATGATTTCGACGCGCTCGCCACGATGAAGACGTCGGCGCGCTCGAGCGAAGCGCCGACGATTTCGCGGGGCGAAAACGACGCGGCGGCGCGCTCGAGCGCGACTCGCGCGGGCGCGAGCATGCCCGGGACGAAAGAATAAAGCGCCGGCTCGTCTGCGCAAAGAAACACGAGGCGTGATCTACCGTCCAGGTCGTCGTCTTCGAACCACCTGAAGTCGATGATTGGTTTTCTGTGAACGAAGACGGCGAGCGGAGCTCCGTCGTCGGCGTCGTTCCCGGACGCCGGCCATAGAAATAAAACCTTGTCGTTGTGGCTCGCGCACAGAGTCGCGAGCATCGTCTTACACGAACTCAGCGCCAGTCGCACGCCCGCTCGTTCGATACCTCGCGCGTCGCACGCCAAAGTTTTCTGTTCAAACCGCGCGACTTTTTCGTATCCGTCTCCGCGCTGAGACTCGCGGAAAATTCTCGTCGATGCCGTCGCGTCGCACGTCAGCGGGTGCGTGAGCGCGCGCGTGATCCGCCAAGTCAATTCATCGATCCATAAAAGGGCCTCGTTCGACACGCACGTGACGATGAGACGTCCATCCTTCGCCCGAACGCTCGGCGCCGACGCGCCTCGAATCGTCGCTCGCCGGAGGCCTTCGGCCGAAAAAATCTCCAGCGCCGGTCGCGCCTCCACCGCGCACGAATCGTCATAAATTAGAATCTCCTGCCCCCCTGCGCCGCCAAACTCGATCATCTGCGCATCGAAGCCCGGAGGCAAGCGAAACGAGATCGCGCCTTCGTACGGCGCCGTCGCCGAGAACACCTCCACGCGTTCGCGCGCTTCGTCGTCGCGCGTCACGAACGCCATCCACCGTCCATCTCGCGACCGCGCGTGCGCGCTAAATCTGGAGCTACTCTTCCTCGCGTGCGCGATTCGAACGAAGTCGAATCCGTCTCGGTCGTCGAGCATCGTCGTCGACGCGTCGCCGTCGCCGGCGAACGCGAGCGCGCCGTCGCCCGCGCGGAACGCCCGCGAGCACGCCCCGATGCCGCGCGCGACGCGCTCGAGCGTCAACCCGCGGTCGTCGACGGTGACGACGCACGCGGTGCCGTCGTCGAGGACCACCGCGCAGACGTCGCGCGTCGCGTGCCAAGCGACAGACGCGATTGTGCTTTCAAACTGTATCGCCTTCCCGACGCGTTCGTCGACGCGCGCGGCGCGCCGGAGCGTCAGATGGACGCCATCGCGCACGAGCGCGCGCGTGCGGTCGGGGCTGAGCGCGACGGAGCCGCGAAGATCGCGGTCGTCGAGCGCGAGGGCGGGCATGCTGTGCGGCTGGCGCCGGCGCGCGTCGCGCCGGCAGTCGGTGGCGCGGTCTATCTCTCGCATAAAACTACGGCGCGGCGCCGCGCGGGAGCTATGTCTAATAACACTGGCTGCGTCGATCACTCAGACGTTGCCGTCGGCCTGGACGCCGTCGTAGGAGACTCTGTACGCCGGGAATTGGCTGGCGTCGATGACGCCGCAACCGATGTCTCGCACAGTGACGTTCAAGCGACCGTTGAGCATTTTCCCACGCAAGTGACCGGGCATCGATCCCGGGTACACGTTTAACACGCTGTGCACGATCATGCGCGAAGGGCCGCCGAAGAGCAAGACGTCGCCCGAGTTCAGGCGCACGACTTTGTGCTCGGGATCGTCAAACGAATATTTGTACCCAAAGTCGCCGCTCAGCCCTACGGAGAAACTCACGATGGGCGGACCCGTGCGCGATTTTACGAGCTTTGGATCTTCACTATCTTTGTGCCACTTGAACTCGGCGCCGTCTTTGTAAAAGTTTACCAGGCACGTCGTCGGGTTCATGTTTGTCGGCATCTCGGCGTCCGCGGCGCACGCCGCCGCCACCGCGTCCTCGCACATCTGCGTCAAAATCCCGTCTGGAAACGCATCGGGTTCGAGGATCATCCGCCCACGACTACCTTGATTCAGCTTGAACGTCCCATCTCCCATCTTCGCGAAGAAACCTTGCCCGCGCGCGGCGTCGTCGGATCCTGATTCGCCGAGCGCGAACGATTCGCTCGCCAACCACATTTGCGCCTCCACGCTCAAAAACTTCCTCAAGCACACCAATCCTGGTCCGAGACGCTCCGTCTTAAATCCGTGCGGCTTTTTCTCTCGTTCACGCGTCGATTTCACCGCCGCGTCGTCGTCTAAATCCCGTCCGACGCACTCTCGCAGCCGCCTCCGGTCCAACGCCGACGGCGTCGTCGCGATCACCTCTCGCGCCGTCGCCCTCGTCACCCCCCCCGTCCGCGCGCACTCCACCAATACTTTCGCGAACTCCGACGTCGTCACCTCCCGGCGCTGAAACGCCCGCGCGTGCGCGCGCAGCGCGTCGTACGCTTTCTTCGCCAGCTGTCCCCGCAACGCCTTCGCGAGCTTCTGACACCGCCCTCTGGCGCCTTCGCCGCCCGTCGCGTCTCGCGCGTCGTCCATCGCGGTGTCGTCCGCGCCTCGACCGCGCGCGCGTCGACGCTCGACGCCCGCGCGCGCCGCTCTGTCGCCATTCGTCGACGCATCGCGTCGCGTCGCCGCATCGTCATGACGGACGCGCGTCGCTACGACCGCGCGAACGACCCGTACTACGTCGTGCGCGACGAGATCGCGCGCCACGTCGACGACCTCGCGCGCCGCGCGCGGAGCGGCGCCGCGAGCGCGACGGTAAGCGCGGCGCTCGAGCGAGACATCGAGAGCGCGCGCTGGGAGCTCGACGAACTCGACCGCGCGATCGCGGTCGCGGAGCGCGAGAGCGCGCGGTACAAGCTCGACGCGCGCGAGATCGACGAAAGGAAACGGTGGAGCGCGCGGGCGCGCGAGGCGGTGGACGAAGCGATGGCGACGACGCGCGCGAGGGCTCGAGCGGGACGCGCGAACGGGGACGGCGACGGCGACGCGAACGGGACGACGACGCGAACGGCGGGAGACGCGGGCGTCGGTGAGGCGGGATTCGACGATCATCAACAGTTGCTCGTGCGAAGGCAAGACGAGGATCTGGACGACATATCGGCGAGCATAACGCGCATCGGACAAGTCGGTTTGACCATCGGCGAGGAGCTCGCGTCGCAGTCGAAAATGTTGGAGGACTTGGACGAAGACGTCGACGGCGTCAACGCGAGGTTGGCGGCGGCGGAGCGAAAGATGCGAGATGTTTTGAAAAAGGTCGGTCTGCGCGGACAGCTTTGCGTGATTTTCTTCTTGACCGTCGTGTTGTTCGTCTTGTTCGCGATCGCGTTTCAGTGACGCACGCGGCGTCGGCGCGTCGCGGTTCGCTAGTCTAATACTTGCAATATTGTACTGTACAAACACTTCCTTCGTCTTCGTCCTCTCTAATCGTCGCCGCGCGCGCTAACATCGTTTATTTAATCGTCCCACGACAACACCTTGGTGGTGTCCCAACGCGCGACGCCGCTTCGCGTCACCGCGTCGTCCACCATGCGCTCGGCGTCCTCCAGCGCGACGTCGACGATTTCGTATCCGAGCATCCCTCGCATCGTCCCTCGCACGCGTTCGAATATCTCATCGCGCTCGTACCCTCGATCGCGCAATCGCGTCACGAAATCTCCGTGCGCGCGTCCGTTCCTGTACGCCGGCGCGCGTTCCGGCGTCTTCAGCGTCGCCGCCATCGCGTCCTCGTCGTAGTCGTACAGAAACGACGTGTGGTGCAAAAACCTTCCCCTCGTGATCGCCTGCGCGTTCCCTCCGAACTTTCGCGTCCCGAACGCGTAATCGTTCTCTCGCAGCGCGAACGTCCCGCACTTATCGAACACCCGCGCGTACACCTCTCCCGTCGCCGCCATCACTCTTCGCGGGTGCGTCTCGCGTTCGCGCACCATCGCGTCGTCGCCCGCGTTCATCGTCATCCCCACGAACAGCGTGTCGCCGTCGCACGCGATCGTCCCACCGCCCGTGAATCGTCGCACGAGTTTCACGTCGCGCCTTCGCGCCTCTCGCGCGTCGACCAAGCGCTCGACCGCGCCGGAGACGCCCAACACGACGGCGCGTCGCGCCGCGCCGTCGAGCGTCGTGAGCCAATCCTCGCTCGCGCGGTGTCGCAGCAGCCCCTCCTCGAGTCGCAGGAACCGCGCGATGTCGACCGATCGCGCGTGGACGTGGTACAGCGCTCGCGACGCGCCGCGCGCCATGCGCGTCGCGCGTCGCGTCGCGATGTGTCGTCATCGGCGGCTCAGCCTTCGTCGGCGTTCGCCACTCATCGGCGCTTCGGCGATGACGGACGTCGAGCTCAAGGCGTCGCGCGCGCTCGAGGCCGCGCGCGCGTTCCTCGCGCGCTCGCCCGCGAGCGCGCGCGCGCCGAGCGCGACGACGCGCGCGAGGAACGCGCTGAATGTGAATCTCGACGCGACGTTTTCCGCGGCGACGAGCGACGACGCGAGGACGGACGCGGACGCGGCGACGACGGGACGCGCGCCGGAGACGCCCGCGTCGGTGGCGTTGGAGCTGTCGAGCGAGAGCGACGACGACGACGACGCGGCGACGGGCGGCGACGACGCGCGGGAGAGAGGCGAGGAAGGGCGACGGGTGAGGCTCGAAGTGGACGAAGACGAGGACGTCGACGACGGCGCGCGCGATGGTGGGGAATCGGACTCCGAGGGCGTGTTCGCGGTGGCGATCAAACGCGAGCGAGACGAGGCGGAGGCGGAGGCGGAGGCGGAGGCGGAGGCGGAGGCGGAGGCGGAGGCGGAGGCGGAAACCGGCGGCGAGGCGGAGGCGAACGCCGAGACCGCGGCGGCGTTGCGAGCGAATATCGACGCGTTGCGCGAAGAGTTGGAAGAGTCGAGATGGGCGCGCGAGGCGCTGGAGACGCGCGTGCAGGAGGCGGAGAAGATCGCCGCCGAGGCGCGCTCGAAGACAATCGAGAGCGCGTTGGATCCGCAAAACCAGTTGACGAACGAGCAAGTGGCCGCGCTCAGGGCGGAGATCGAACAAGTGGAGTATTTGAAACGTTTACTCGCGCGCGCGGAGCAGATGCGTAACGTCGCGCGCGCGGAGACGAAACAGGCGCGCGACAAACACGAGAGCGATTTGGAAATCGTTCGCAAGGAAGTCGCCGTCATGGACGCCGAGATGGAAAATTTACGGCGGCGCGTGAAAAAGGACAAAGCGAAAATTGAGGCGATGGAACGCACGACCATCGAGGCCGCGGATGAATTCGCGACGCTGTACTCGCGACAAGAGAACACCAGACGTCTCCTCGGCGCGTGCATCGTCGCCATCCTCGCCCTCGTCGTGCGCCTCGGTCTATCGGGGCAAACTTTCATGATGAAAAACATGTATCAGTACTGATGTAAGAACATAAACGCGCGCTTCGTTCTAAACCCCCATCGGCGATCATTTGCCGCGCTGACCCGCGACGCCGCCGTCGACGTCGTGTTTCCAGTCGAGAAGTCTCTGTAGCGCGTCGTCGCTCATCGAACGCGTCTCCGGGACGACGTATCGCAAATGTTTGATTTCTTCCACGGCAGAATCATATCCGTGCTGCTTTGCGTGGACATCGCGCAGTTTTTTTGATATCTTGCGTAGTGACTCGAGGTCTTGTTCGTGCACGTACGCGGCCTCGGCGGCGCGGTCGCGAGCCTTCACCCAGTCTGTTGCGCCGACGCCGACTGTTTTCGAGTAACACCGCGCCGGCGCATCGCGAACGAGCGCGCGCCGTGCGAACCGAGTCGTGATCGCCGTGAGTGACATGCGTTTGCGTTTTTGAAGCGCGAGCGGTGTCGGCGCGAGGCGAGGTGTGCGGCGCGCGAATAATTGAAAACAACGAGATGGGATTAAATCACGGCGCCGCCGAGGTCGCGTTGGAGACGCCTAAAGGCTGGACTTCAGCTATCGGGCCTTCGCGAATGAACGCGGCCCAGTAATCGGGCATGAGAAGGGCAAGAATGTGCGGCTCGGTGTCGCGCTCTAACGCGACCTCGAGCGTCAAGACGTCTTCGAGGAGCTTCTCGAGAGATTTGCTCACCTTGGAAAACATCGGACCGAGAGTCTGCGCGGCGCGAGAAGCGTCCGCGGGAGAAAGCCAAAGATGTTCGCGCAAAGCGGGGAGAGAACCCCCTTGAGCGCCTCGCAAGGAGTTGAGTTGTGCTGTGAGTACACCGCGCAAATTTTTCGCTTCGCTGAGCAATCGCGCGCACTCTTCGGCGTCGCCGTCGGCGCGGCAGGCGCGGCCGAACAAGCCCGCTAATAAATACTGCACCTGTTTCGTCCCACGATCCTGCGCGAGACGCTCTAAAATCCAATCTTTGATCATCATTGCCTCATTCGGGCGCTGCCACAACACGTTCACGAGCAACAAGGTGTCGAATTCGCTCACCTCGTCGCGGTTGTTCGTGTACGCCGCGACGCGCAACATTTGCACCGCCTTGAGCAAGCGACGATCGGAAACGTACACCGGCGGCTCACACTTGTCTTGCAAAAACGTTCGTAAGTCAGTGATCAGCTCGATGACGTTCGTCGGTACCTCGGTCTCCGCCGCGGCTTCGTATCGAATGTTCGCAAAGTCCTCCGGCTTGAGTCGGGTGTCGCTCGTCGAGACGCCGCCGTGATCGTTCGCCTTGGACCCGATCGCCGCCTCGCCGCCGAGAGATAGCAACTTCCCGAGCCCACCGGCGGATACTTGTTCGACGCTCGATCGCAATAAAAATCGATCGTACAGCGCGTCCAACTCCTCGCTCTCCGGTAATTCATTCGAAGCGCCGACCAAGCACAACAGCGGCACGTCGACGCGTTCGCTCCCGTTATCAAACAACCTCTCGTTCAATATCGTCAACAGCGAGTTCAAGATGGCTGAATTCGCCTTAAAAATTTCATCCACAAACGCCACGTTGGCGCTGGGCAGATATCCATCAATCTTCCGCACGTACTCATCGTTTTCCAGCCCCTTCATGCTCAGCGGTCCAAACAACTCCTCCGGCACCGAAAACCGCGTGAGCAATCGTTCAAAAAATTGCCCTCCCTCGCACAGCGCGCTCAGCCGGCGTCCAAGTTCGCTCTTCGCCGTCCCAGGCGGTCCGAGCAACAGCAAGTGTTCTCCGCAGCACGCCGCCAGCAGCAACAACCGCGTCTCCGTCTCGCGTTCCACCAAACCTCGCTCCAGCGCCGTCGTCGCCGCCGCGATCTTCCTCGACAGTTCCTCCCTCCGCGCGCTCGACGACGCCATCCCGTCCTTTGCGTGCGCGTCCGCGTCGACGTCGGTCTCTCCGCTCACGATCGGCGCCATGCGCTCGCGCACGCGCTCGCGCACCGCGCGCTCCTCGGCCGATATCTGCGCATCCTGCTCGCGCTGTCGCCGCTTCCACTCCGGCTCGTCCGCGTCCGCGGCGCGCGCGATCGCGCGACCGCGCGGTCGGACCTCGCGTCGGTCGCGCGCGCGCGCCGGGATCGCGCCGACGCGCGACGCGCGCGCCATCGCGAGCGCCATGGATGAATGCGTGCGCGCGCGGCAATCTGACGTCAGCGCGTCGTCGTCGTTATCCGCACACGCGCGCGCGATGCGAGGCGCGCTCGCGACGCCGCGCGCGACGCGCGGCGCGCGACGCGACGCCGCGACGGTCGGTCGACGCGGGCGCGCGACGCGCGCGCGCGCGGCGACGCGCGGCGACGCGACGACGACGACGACGACGACGACGACGCGACGGCGCGCGCTGGTCGCGCTGGTCGCGCTCGCGAACGCGCGACGCGCGAACGCGGGTCCGGCGACGCGACCGTTCGTCGTCGACGCGGTGAAGAACGAGCGATGGGTGGCCGTGGACGCGACGTTCGAGGTGCCGGCGACGTGGGCGAACAGGCCGGGGCAACGCGCGAGGGTGGATAAATACGTCCTGTACACGGATACGTACGGGCCGAATTATCGGTACACGACGACGGTGCCGAAACTGCTCGGCGACGGCGAGGCGAAGATCGATCAACTCGCGCTGGTCGTCGTGTCGAGGGAGGGATTGGAGAGCGTGGGGGATTTGGGGACGATTGAAAGGATCGATCCCGCGCGCGCGTTCGGCGTGGAAGGTTTCGAGGGATTGGCGGCGAGCGAGGTCGCGAAGGCGAGCGTGAGAGAGGACGCGGGCAAGCAAACGTATTATCAGTGGGAGCTCTTCGATGGCCAACATCGATTTTTGATGTCGGCGTGCGTGTCGGGAGGGGGGTTGTATTGCTGGGTCGCTCAAATCGACGGCGCGCGGTTCGACGCCGACGCGGAGACGTACAGGGCGGTTTTGGACTCGGTGAACATCCCGCTCGTGGAAGAATCGCGTAACGATATGTCTAGTCGTATTTATGAAACCCGCTAGTGATTGGGATGCAATAATTATCGCGCTTGTTGTTGTTTCATCGACTCGTTCATCGACTCGCGAAGAATCGCTTGCGCGCGCGACGCCGTGCCTCGATCGACCCCCTCGGTCTTACCGTCCACCGCCGCGTCTAAGAGCTCGAGCACGGTCTCTGCTTTCGCGACGTTTCGACCGGCGCCGATGTTCATCGCCGTGGCGCTTCCCACGTGCGTCGCGAGCGTCGCGGTGGTTTGCAAGACTTCGCTCAAATCCAACGCGTCGTCGGCTTGCTTTCGCAGGTATCCTAAGACGTACGCGCCCGCGCTGCTATCACCGCACCCCACGGTGTCGCCGACTTTCACGCGTGGACAACCGACGCGCGCGCTTTGACCGTCGCGCGTGACGACCATCGCGCCTTCGGGACCGAGCTTCACGACGACCCACTCCGCCGCGGATCCCGGAAAGTCGAACACAGCCGCGGCGTAGTCCGTGGGCGGCGCATTCGCACGCACGCCCGTGAGCGCTGCGAGTTCTTCCTCGGTCGCGAGCACGACGTCGGAATTTTCCAGCGCCACTCTCAATGCCTCCATGCGTGACGGATTCGTCTCGTCGACAAACGTAAACGCGCGAGGCCCCGGATCGAAAAACACCCCCGCGCCGTTCCCCTTGGCCAATTTGAGCGCCTGCGCTACAGCCTGAGGCTTGAGCTCGTCGAACACAAAACCGTTGAGAAACACCGCTCGACACGAACGCAACGCCTCGCGCGCTTCGTTAGAGACGTCGCTCACGTCCCGCATCAGCGGCCACGGGCCCAAATCGTACCTACTACAAAACGCGTGCGAACCGGCGCCGTCGCTCAACACGAAACAAATCAACGTCTCGGCCAAAGCGCTCACGCGCACGCCCTGATCGTCTCCTGGAATCAATTCCACGTGATCAATTCCCTCCAGCGCGAGCTCATCGATCAAAAACTTGCCGTATTCATCGTTTCCGACGTGTCCCGCGCACGACGCTCGCAAGCCCAGCCTCGACGCCGCGATTAAAAAATTACAATTCCCGCCCAGTTCCCACGACTCTCGCGCCGGCGCCGTCCTCGCGAGTTCACCGAGTGTTTTAGTCGTCTTCAGCGACGTCGCGTCTGGGATCGGGCCGGGCGGCAGTAACACGTCCACGCACAGGTTACCGAGCGCGACGACGTCGTACTCTCGACTCGCGCGCCGCGCCACCCTTCGTCGCACCTCTCGCTCGCGCGCGCCCGCGCGCGCGCGGGACGACGCACGACCACTGTGCGCGCACTCTCCACACGCGCGTCGCCGCTCGACGTGCGCGTGCGCGGCGACTCGCGTCGAGATCATGGTGCTCTCGATGCCGCTCGCCGAATCAATCAATCGCGCACGTTTCGCGCGCGCACGCGTTCGTGTCGAACGCCGCGCGCGATGGAGAAGACGAAGACGACGGTTCTACGTCCCGTTCGACGCGCGCGCGGACGTGGTGCGCGAACGCGTCGGTGCGCGCGTCAAAGTGTGGTTTCGACTCGGTGCTGGTTAAGGGGAAGAAGGAGATATTTATTCGAGTCGAATAATTCGACGCGCGACGCCGAAAAGCTAAATCAACGAGCCGCCGGTAAATTTTGCCGGTGACATTGGAGGGTTTTGAGATCTAGCGTCGTTCGACGACGAAGATCCAAAACCGAGATCTTTGGTCAAGGCGGCGAGCGCGTCCAAGGAGTCGGTCGCGAGCGGCGGCTTTCGCGGCGACGAGCCGCCGCTCAGTCGCGGGGAGGCGCCGGGAGAACCGAAACTGGATAACCCAAATGGATCGGCCGCAGGTTTTGGAGGACTTTGGGGAACTTGCGCAGCGTGTGGATGCATCGCCGAAGCCTGCGGGGGCGGTGCGAAACCGAATTGATTCGCCGGCGACGGCGCCGCTCGCGGCGCAGGCGCGCCAAACGACGCGAGCGGGTCGGCCCCCATCGCTGGCTGCGGCGGCGCGTGCGCCTGGTTCGGGGCGTTGAACAAGTTGTCCAAATCGCCCCAACCAGAAGCCACCGGCGCGGCCGCGGGTGCAGCCGCAGGCGTCGCCGCGGGCGCGCTCAAACCTCCGAGCAAATCGTCGATGCTCGACGTCAGCGCCGGCGCCGCGGACGAGGCGGAGGAGTAATTCACCGCCATCACCGCGTTCGTCGCGCGAGGTGGCGGCGCGAACGCCATCACACCCGGCGCCGGCGCGACGCTCGGTACGGGAACGTCTCTAAAAACAATCTTTGGCGCCGCGTTCGCCAACGGCGCGTCGTCTTCGTCGTCGCTCGAATCCGCCTTTTGTCGTCCCGACGCGAACGCCGGCGCCGGCGCGCTCGGCGGCGCCACGGGAGCGCGTGGTTTCACGTCTTCGTCCGCGCGATTCCACGGCGCGCCGCCAGCGCCACCGCCCGAAGAAATCGACGCCGTCGACCGTCGCTCCGAGTCGCCGCCGAGCGCGCTCCCTCCCGAAAACGACCCACCCGCGCTCGACGTCGACCCTCTCCGCGCGTGCGTCCGCGCTTCTTCGCTCGACATCCCCGCGTACTTGCCGCGATTTCTCTCCGCCTTTTCCCTCGCCTCCTCGACCGATCTCGGATCTTCCACCAACGCCTTGATCTTTTCCGCTCGATGTCGCACGTTCACCCCCTCATCCTTCCCTCGCGCGTCCTTGTACTCGAACCTCAGCGCGCCGTCCATCATTCGCCTTCGCCTGACGTCCTCCGCGATCGCTCGATCGCCGTTCGCGACGAGATACTCGACGACGGTGAGCGCCTTGTACGCGCGTCGCCACTCCTCCGGCGCGCTCTTCAAGCGTTTCTCCAGCACCTCGCGCACGACGTCCCACTTCCCATCGCGCGTGAGCCGCGCGATCGCGCGCAGCTGCTCCCCGTGCGGGCCCCAGGGCTCGGAGTTCGTCGCGTCGCGGACGAGCGCTTCGTCGTCGCCGATGCCTTTCCATTGATTGACGCGCTTCTTCGCCGCCTGCGCCACCTCGTCCGGGATCGCGGACTTGATCGTCGTCAGCGCGGCTTTGAACATCGTCGCCGTCGCGCGCGGCGCGGCGCGCGACGCGACGGCGCGCGACGCGACGGCGTGTGACGCGACGTCTCTTGCACCGCGCGACGCCAAAACCAAAACCAAAACCAAAACCAAACACGGAACGCGAAAGCGGGCACGCGTCACTCGGCGACGCGTCGCGCGCCGGACCGGCGACGCGCGCGCGCGCGACGCGTGCCGATGAACGCGTCGACGTGCGTCGTGTGCGGCGCGACGGGACGCGGGAAGACGACGGTCGTGAACGGATTGGTGCGGGAAACGCTGCGGGAAGAGATTCTTCTCGGAACGGACGACGAGGACGCGCGCGCGACGGAGCGGGCGCGCGCGGTCGTCGATGAGGTGCGACGAAGGACGACGCGCGACGACGCGAAAAACGCGAATGCGATGGTGCGCGCGCTCGAGACGAAGCGCGGCGAGTGACGCGCGCGCGGGACCGATGCGACAGAGCGAGACGACGCGGGCGAGGCGCGATGGAAATCGGCGCGCGGCGAGACGCGAAGGACGGACGACGAACGGAGGGGATTGGAGGTGGCGACAGCGCGAAGAAGTGCGAGAAATGATGTCTAGTGATGAGGGGCGACGAGCGATGGAGGCGTGCGTGCGAAAACAGAATGCGTTGGATGTGATGCCGACGAGCGCGAGGACGGGGTGCCCGATAGCGATTCGACGCGCGACGTTGGACGACGAAGATGAAAAACAGGCGGCGAACGGCGTGTTCATCGCGCGAGTCGTCGTGCGATACCGAGAGGAGCATGAACTGGAGCAGGCGTTGCTAGATGTGGCGATTCAGTCGCGCACGGCGGGAGAGTTGGCGGGGAGACTGTGCGCCGGAGGGACGCCGCCAAGAAGAAATCGCGCCGACGAGGACGAGGCGGAGGCGAACGACGGATCGATCGAAGAACTCGCGAGCGTGCTCGGTGAAGACCCAAAAGACGTGAAAGCGCGTGTGTTGGAGTGTTACGATCGATGTGAGCCATTTCTTCCAGCGCGCGTTCGAGATTTGCTCGGACGCGAACGCGTGTACGAAGTCCGAAGCGCTTGCGCCGGCGCCGCACTCACGGCTATTCGTTCTTTTATTTTACGCGTGGCGACGGCGGGTAAGTGGACGCACTGGGGCATCATAGAAGGTACGGTCGAGGTCGAGCTTCCGTTAGCGTACGACGTCAAGTTCGTGGATACGCCCGGGATTGATGCGTCGCAATTCTCTCTCAAGCGATTGCGCCGAGTAATTGGCGCTGAAGCCGAGGAGCGATTCGGGATGTTCATATACGTGTGCGGTAAAGATGCACCGAAAGAGTGGGAGTGGAGCGCTCTGCATGCAATGGGTACGCTAAAGAAGATCGTCACCGAGGGTCCGCGGCTGTGTTTGTGCTGGCCCGTGGAGCTCGTGGTGAACGCCAACGGACGTCCAGATGGCTTTGTCACGAATCTCCAAATCAAAAAGTTCCAGGATCGCACGTTGAAGATGCTGCGATCGGACTCTAATCATTGGCGCGAACGTCTTGATCAATGTATCGTCGCATCCAAGGTCGATGGCTTGCGCGGTGATTTAAGACGCGGCATGGCGCTGGCGTTTGTTCGGGCGTTTAAGCCCGACGCCTCGACGATTTTGAAGTATTCCATGTATCAGCTGGCGTTTTCGGTGGAAGAAGAGCTCAAACCATCACCGCCGAGCGATAACGGCAGTGGAGTCTTACCGAGCACCGCGGTGGTCGCTGACGCAAAACCTTCGACAGACCCTTGTCCGAAGACCAAGCGAAAGATTGACGAAGAAGCCGCGACGAAAGCGTCGCCACCAAAGAAACGCCTTAAGAAGCAACCACGCCAGTGTACCATCGCTGATCCATTCGTGTTCAACGAAGACGATGGTCTTTTTGCCGACGAAGACGCCGCAACACCTCCAATGTTCGGCAAGCACATCGCAAAAACCAAATCAACGCGCTCGCCGCTCGTCGACGCCAACGAAAAGTCTCGCGCGACGGCGGCGGCGCGACGCAAAACCAAACCGTCGAACACCGCACCGAAGCGACCGCTCGTCTTGACGTCGACGACCGTTTCTCCGCCGAAGTCGAAGCATCGAGGTGCTGAAGCACCGCAGCCGAAGCTTTCCCCTCAACTCTCCGCGACGCCCGCGTCCAAGCCTGCGCGAAATCGGCCAAAGTTCGTCGTCGCCTCCGTCGACGACGGTCCCACCCCATCCCCACCCCCCGCGCGTCCGAAACGCCCGCGCGAATGCACGAAACAACCTTGGTGGGTCGTCCAATCGCATCGATAGCTCCATCACGACGCATCGCTTCTATCAATTTATCCATCGCTGACTCGCCGACAGTTACGCCTCGCGCCTCGTCAGCGTCCCCGCGCGCCTCATTCCGAGGCGACCTCGACGTCGCGTTCGACGCCGCAGATCGTCGGAATCGATCGACAGCGCGCGCGTTGCGTTTTCGATCGCATCGCTCGCGCGAGACGCCGCGCGCGCGTCCGGTCACCGCTCGGAACCGGCGCGATTCAACAATCGCTCATTAATCGCCCGACGCGATCGACCGAGCGATGTCGTCGAGCGAAGGCGCGCGGTCGCGCTCGCCCAAGCGCATCGCGCGCGTACACGTTACCGCAGACGCGCGCGCGCGCGACGCGCGGCAAATGCTCGATCACGCGTGGCGGGAGTGCGAAGGAAAGGCGCGAGCGCGGCGCGCGAGAGCGTCGGCGAGAGGCGAAGACGAAGCGGACGACGAAAGGATGGAAGATTTGCACGCCATCGGAGACGTCGTGCGTGAATTGTGCGCGGTGGATGATGGGGTGCTGATGCGATCGACCCTGGGGTGCATGGATGGGTTTAAGGTGGCGTTGCGCGCGGAGCGAGAGGACGACGACGAGGCGAGGAGAGAAATTTGCGTCGCGGCGTTGTTTGGATTGAGCAAGCTCGCGACGACGGCGAGGGAACAAGTCATCGGGGGGGATGTGGAAGAAGATGTGGTACTTGAAATGCTTCGCGTGCAGTGTAAGGCGCCGAATATGCGATTTTCAGAACGCGCTCGGGCGATGTCGACGTACGTCAAGGCGGTGGGCGTTCGGGAAAACTTGACAAACGTCAACGTTCGGACGCCTCCGGCATCGCCGAAGGATAAGAGTGGTAGAACTATAGGTGGCTTAGCGCGAGCGTTTGCATCGCAACAAGAGATGGCAGATTTCAACACACCAGACGTGAGCGACGACGAGGGGACAGAGGAGCGCAGGCAATCGATGAGTTCGCTGTGCGCGTCACCGAGTAGAATCTTCTACTCGCCGAAAATTTTGAGCGGAGATGGCACGGTCGTTGATGAAGCGATCACACCTCCAGGCACAGTTATATGTCGCATCTGCGAACAGCCTGTCGCCAAACGAACTTTTGCCGGTCACAACGCGACGTGCGCTGGATTTCGTCCGTCGTCGCTGGGTTCGAGTGGTTGCGCGTCTGCGCGCACTTCTGCCTCTCTCGCACAAGATGATTCGGAAACTTCAGACCAGATGTCTATTGATGACTTTCGAATCATAAAACTGATAAGTGGGGGCGCGTACGGGCGAGTCTTCTTGGCGCAGAAACGCGCGACGGGCGATTTGTTCGCCGTCAAGGCGTTGCGAAAGCGCGATCTCGTGTACAAGAACATGATGGATCAAGTCGTCGCCGAACGTGATGCCCTGATAGCAGCTGCGAATCCGTTCACAATCAAATTGTACTACTCATTCACCTCTGCGAGGCACGTTTATCTCGTCACCGAATACGCAAACGGTGGCGACTTGTACAGTCTGTTGACGCAGCTCGGTCGATTGAGCGAAGAGCACGCTCGCCAGTACTGTGCCGAGATCGCACTCGCGCTCGAGTACGTGCACTCGAAAGGAATTACGCACCGAGATTTGAAGCCGGGTAATTGTCTCATTGCGTCGGATGGGCACATCAAACTTGCTGATTTTGGTTTATCGCGAATCGACCGAGACGCCGGGGACGCAGCGGGAAGCGGTAGCAACTCGCCCAGCCCTTACAGTGGCACGGGATCGCCCATGTCGCCGAGCAGTGGAGCCGCTTCGATCCGAATCCCAACGCAAGATCCCATGACGACGAATAGTCCGATACATAGAATGACTCTAGCCGCAAACGCGAGACAGAGCCCAACTCAGAGCCCGTCGCGAAAGGTGCATCGACGCTCGGCGTCAAGACACGCTTCTGGAGCTAAGGGTACTCCAGATTACTTGGCACCTGAAATTCTTTTATGCGAACCGTGCGGCGAGGGTGTGGATTGGTGGGCGTTAGGAGTGATGGCGTACGAAATGCTCGTGGGAGTTCCTCCGTTCAATGCGTCGACGCCGTTGGCGATTTTCGCAAGAATCATCAACGGCAAAGTGGAATGGCCAGGAAGTGGCGCCGCGCTGAGTGACGAGTCTAAAGATTTTGTTAACGCTCTACTCGTGCACGATGTAGAAGCGCGTCTGGGCTCGAACGACGATGCAAATGATATCAAGGCTCATCCTTGGTTTGCAGACGTCACTTGGGAACACGTCTACGACAAGAGCGCTGCGAGCGTGTTCGTGCCAAAGCCCGAAAGTCGACAAGATACGTCGTACTTCGTTCCCGCGTCGGATTTAAGCTTAGGTGTGGAGTATCCAGTCGGAGAGCGAAGAATGAGTGAATCTCACGCAAGTGAAGACAGCTCGAGCATGAAGGAGGACGTAGTCATTCCTGTCCCCACGCCAGAGGAAGTGGATGAAATCGAAGATTGCGACGAGGAAAAGTTACGGGCATTCACGTATAAGAACCTCGCCGAACTGGCGATGCGAAACATGAGGGTTTCCGGAGGGTCTGTCACACACTCAGCCGCCCAAACGAGCGGACTTCCTCGTCGAGGCTCGGTTGGCAAAGACTTAGCGCACCAAAATTGATACTGTAGATGAAATTCTATGCGTCACACTTCAAAACTAAGCGCTCGCTATCGGACAGAAGACGAGGATGTTTCCGGCGTTCAATTGATGTGCGTTCTGCGGGGCTAGAGCTAATGGATGCGCAAATCGCGGCGTAGCAAGACGCGGGCGGGACGGCCGAGCGACGACTCGGCGCCGGCGGTTTCTTGCGCTTCGCGGATGAAATCTGAACGTTCGTAAAGAGCGATCGCGGCGTCGTTGTCGTGCTGGACGTGGACGTACAGCGTGTGCACGGCGTATTCGTCCCTCGCGATGATGGACGCGCGCTCTATCATGCGCGAGGCAACACCGGTCCGTCTCGCGGCGGGCGCCACGCCGACGTTTGATAAATACGCGCGTCTTCCGAGCGAGCGCGTTCCAGCGAGTTCTTCCGCCGGTAAACGATCGCCGATGTTAATGTCTAACGAACCGACGATCAAAGACGTCTCGGCGCCGTCGCGCACGCTCAACGATGCCGGATCGAACTCTCGTATGTCGTACTGCGCCGACGACGCGGGCGCTCGAGCGACGATGAGCACCACTTTCACGTTCTCGTAACCGACCTCAGCGCCGCACAGCTTGTTCGTCAGCGACGTGGTTTCGTTCTCAATCTTCATCGCGACGTGCGCGCGCTTGGCGAACGCGCTTCGGTCGCTCGGGACGTTTTGGCTGAAACTGAGCGCTCGACACGCCGCGGCGCCTACGACGTCGCTCGCGTGCGAGGAGACGTCGATGGTAATCGCGGAGCACGATGGGCTCGTCGTAGCGCGCGAACATTGTCGAGCGCGCGCGCGGGTGAAGACGGGCGAGACGCCGCGCGACGGCGCGACGACGGAGGACGCCATGCAGTGCAGTGCGGCGACGCGCTGGGCGATTTACAAGTCTAAGTCATCGACGCGTAGCGTTCCACGACGTTTCGCCGGTCTTAGCGTTGTAGTAATATGTTTTTCCCTCTGGAGTTTGCGCCGTCATCCAATCGCTCGGTGGCGCGGAGTACGCGTCGGGGTAGTATTGCGCGCCGGGCGCCGACGTCGGGGCGTCGAACGCCGCGGAACCGGCGGCGGAGGACGGATGCGCGAAGGGCAGAGGTGGCAACGTGACGTACGATGTTCCTTGCGTAGAATGCATCGCATCGCGCTGCTGTGGCGGCGCCGGTGATGTGTATCCTTGGACTTCGATCTGAATGTTTGACGGGTCGGCAAAGCGATGGGGCGGCGTTCGCTCTGGCGCTAACGGTCGAGAAGCGGATGGGGGTGTCGCGGCTTGCGCAAACCCTTGCCGCAATTGCTCCGTCGTTGACGCTTGCCCAGTCGAGGTCGACGTGCGCTCGCGCATGGCTTTCTGTAAAGCTTCGAGCCATTGCGATCGCTCGCGCTCGGAATCGGCGACGAGATACTTTGTCCCGATTCTCGCCGGTAGAGCGCCTTCGAGATGGATCGCGTAAGGCTTGCCAGCCGCCGCCTCTGACGCGACGGACACACTGTCGATGGATTCTATCGGGATCTCTCCTCGAGTCACCGCGCGCTCGTTCACGACGTTGGTCTTGAACCACACCAAATGTCCTTGCTTCAACACGAACCATCGCTTGCGCCACGTTCGCAACATCTCTCCTTGCTTCGTGAGCCATCCCGAGTACTCAGGGGTCTCCCAGAATCGAATCCCCGCGGCCGAAGACGTTGCCGTCGCGCCTGATCCCACCGTCGTCGCCTTGAGATTCATCCAATCCGATCCGCTTGACACTATGGTGTCCATCGCGTCCAAACCGTTCAACTCGCACCACTGAAAAGCCGACGTCGTCAACACATCCACGAGCGCCGCGATCGTCTTTACATCTGCGCTCAACGCTAACGACGTCTCGCCTGTGCCTTCTTTCGCGTGTATGCTCAAAATCGTCGGATCCGTCATCGACCATTTCGCTATTCTCGGCAGCTCGAACGCTCGTCTGGCTTTCGTCTCGTCGCCAACCGCGAAGCACTTCACCCCATCCAGCCCGACTTGCGCGATGACGTCTTCTATGTCGTCCCCGTCGTTCACCGGAAGTGTCATGCATCGATAACGCACGTTCCCAGCGGGTGCACCGGGAATTTCTCCCGCCTGCGCGTCGCGCGGTCCGCTCGCGTCTCGCGGCGTCCCGTCGCTCCTCGCGCCGGCACCGTTCTGTCCATCGTACGCCCCTTGCATCACCGCGCTCCCGTGCGAACTCGGCGTGAGTGTCACGTACGATGTTGTCGGGTACCTCACCGGCGTCGACGCGTACGGGTCGGTGTTATACGGGTCCATGACGAGATTGAGAATTCACAGCACGGGCCTGGTGCCGTGTGATTCGTCGCCGTTTGTCGCGCGTCCACGCGCACGAGACGCGTTCGTGCGTCGCCACGAAGGGTTTAAAGGGTTTCTGGACGCGTGAGCGCGCGCACAGCTCGCGGGCGTCGCGCGCGCGCCGATTTATGAGGCGATGAAGCTAACGACCGAGATTCTGGTGTGGTCCCTCTCTGAGGCGTGAGCGCCGCCCGCGCGAACGCGCGCAGAACGCACTTCAAATTGTCGATTTAAGTAATCAAAAAAGGGTATGTTACATGTGTGAGTGTGTCGGTGTGACTATACTAGCTATCGTGCCGTCGATCGCGAACAGAATAAGCAGAAAGCGAAGCGTCGCCGAGCTCGTCGAGCGGCGTCGCTCGTCGCGAAACGCAAATTGAGCGGAGCAATCTTGGATGCGCACAGAATGATACTCGCGTCAGCGAATACTTAAAGATTTACTCGTACACGTCAGGCGTGCTGAGCGGAATGGGTGAAGTGAACGTGGCTCGCAACGGACCGTCCTTCGCAGCGTCGTGCATGCCGCCGAAGACAGTGTTCGTCTTTCTGTCTCGCGGCGTCTTGAACTCACCACCGTGGCCGCTATCCTCGTTGAAGAGCGGTACGGGCGCTTTACCGCGAGATGACGAAGACCGAATGCTGTACTTGCCCGGACGCATGCCCGGCGTGAGCGGAGACATGAAACCGTGGGATGGCGTTGGACGAAGCGGAGACATCTGTCCGGCGCGAAGAGGAGACAACGCAGTCGCGGGAAGTGAGCTCGTAGAGAAGAAGGGCGAGAGTTGAACGCCTTCGGAAAGTAGAAGAGTTCGCAGCGGTGACTGCTCCACAGACTTGCTCAAGTTCGAGTATTCACTCGATAAGTCGTCGGTATGCTCAAACGCTCGAAGCGGCGACCCCATCACCCCCGTCAACTTGAAATCCTCTATTATGAGGTCATCTTGCAACTCCTTGGCCGCCATCGTCGTTGCAGCGACGGTCTCTCGCGAGCGCGCTTTAGATTTGGAGACTTTCGACGCCTTCGCGGCTCCACCTCGTGGAAGCGCGGGGGAAGGACCGTTGTCGTTGTTCTTGCAACCTTCGCACTTGCAGTAATCTTGGCACTTGACGCCCGCCTGGAAGCACTCACAATACTTCTTCAAGCACGCGCTCTTTTTGCAATGGCAACCCTTGGTGTGACGCGCATCGTCGCCTGCATCAGCCATGATTTTGCTCTCGAACGCATACGGGTTGCGCTGCTCAATCTGCTGTCTCGTCTTCGTCACGATAGCCTCGTTCTCCGTCGTGTTTTGGCACTGCTGACAAGAGCAATCCTTGCAAAAGGCGCCGGCGGCGAAGCATTCGCAGTACAACTTGAGACATTTGCTCTTCTTGCAGTTGCACTTCTTACTCGCAACGAACTCTCGGCACGCACTGGCATTCTTCATGGCACTCGCGTTAGATGCCAGACTGGAGTTCTTCGCCGTCGCGACGCCGCGCTTCGCTACGACAGCCTTGGATGCCTCCACGCCGCCGCGCGGCGCGCGAGCGCTACGCGTGCCCACGCGAGGAGAATCCGCATCGAAGTTCTTCAGAGTCTTCGTGTAACCTTTCGTCCATTCGACGCTCGCGCCAGTCGTGCTCGAACGTTTAGACGCAGAATCCTCGTGACCGTCCCCTCGCGACGCCCCTCCTCGACGTGGATACGAGCCTTGCTCTTCGACGCCGATGACGGAATCATCAAACTCGTCGTACATGTTTTGCAAGACGTATCGATCATCTTGAAGTGCTTGGACGTCCAACTCACCAAATTCAACATCGAGTTGCCTTCGCGCGCGCCCACCACCGCCGTTTCCTCGTTGAATCGACGCCTCCGCGCTCAGCGCCAAGCGCGCGACGTCCGAAACGCCGCCGCCGTTTGTCGCCTTTCCATCGCCATCACTGCGTCGCCGAGCGTCATCCGATGCATTCGTCAGTCTCACGCGATTCATTTCGATCGTGTTCACCGCCAACTCGCGTCTGACCACCCTATTCGAGCGCCCTTCGCGACGTCGATTCCCCTCTCTTCTCTCGCGCGCTCGAGGCTCCCACCCGCCCGTCTCCCGGAGACGGCCACCGAAACGCGCGCAATCACCCCGCGGCCGCGCTCTCGCGCGTGGACGACTCGCGACGTACCTCATCGGTCTCGATGGAGAATTAAAGCACGGAACTTCCGGCGATCGCACGCCCACGGACGAGACGTAACGCGTCGTGCTCGCGTCGCTCAACTGCGCGCGCGACATCGCGATCGGGCTCAAACTGGATGCGCAAAAATTGAAGAATCCCGGCGACCCGAGCAACGCGGTGACCTGCGACGCGAACCGATCGACGCGTGATTTTCGTCAGTCCCCTCCGCATCGCGCGGTCCGTCGTCGCCCCTCCCTCGCGCGCGCGACGACGGTTTAAAATCATCACATCGATTTGCGCGGGAAAACTCGATTGCGCGTGTTCGCGCGCGAACACGCACGTCTTCGTCCGTCGTTTTCGCGCGTCGTTCGGGCGTTTTGCACCCATCGTCGCCCGCGACGTCGCGCGCGATTTCTTCGTCGTCGTCATCGCCGCGCGCGCTTCGTCGCGTCCGCCGCGTCGCGCGCGCGGTCGCGCCCATCGTGCGCCGCGCGGAGTGCGGCCGTCGTCCGGCCTTTGGCGTCCTCGCGTCCTCGAGCGCATCGTTAAATACGAGATTTGATGGCGTTTTCGGACGCACGGCGCGATGGATTCGCGCGCGATCGTCGTCGTCGGACGTTCGGACGTTTCGGCGTCGGCGCGAAGGGACGCGCGCGACGCCGACGACGACGACGACGGCGACGGCGACGACGACGACGACGACGACGACGACGGCGTCGACGCGTCGTCCCGACCGCGCGCGTCGGCGGGCGAGCGACGGACGACGACGACGACGACGGGACGGGCGGCGACGCGACAGCTCGGGAGAGGTTTGAATTCGAGCGGGACGCGCGAGACGCGAGGAGGGGTCGGACCGAGGCGCGCGACCGGCGAACGGGTTCGAACGGGCGAGGATCGAGGGAGAACGCGCGGTGGGATGGCTAGGGTTACCTATTTCTGCTCGCGGGGCGACGGGCGCGAACGACGCGGCGACCGGGCGCGGGGTCGGCGGCGGCGCCGGCGGAGAACGCGAACGGCGTCGCGCTCGGCGCTCCGACGGTGGGGGGCTTGGAGAAAGGATTCGCGGTCGACGATGACGGTGGCGCGGCGGTGAAGGTGAAACCACCGGTCGAGGACGGTGGGTTCGACGTCGTCGTCGATTTCGCGGGCTCGGCGGCGGCGGTCGCCGCGGTCGATTTGAACTCGGCCAACGCGGCGCCCAAGCCGCCACTGTCGTTCGATTTCGGTCTATCGCTCGCGACGGTCGTCGCGTAAGACGACGGTAAGCCGAGCGCGGGCGCCCGCGTGGCTTCTAAGCGCTCTCGCTCGGCTTTGTCCTCGGCCAGTTCATCGAACTCGACCCGAGCGCGAACGTCGACGATTCGTCTTCTCCCTCCCAAGCCGCGGCGGTTCGTCGGGCCTCGTCGCGCGGGCGCCGCCACGCGCGACGACATCTTGGGCAGCGCCTTGAATCCATCTAATCTACCGCCCTTCAAAACCTTTTCCGCGACCAGAACAGGCGTCGCGCGCGCTCGCGGAGCTTGAACGCTCGCGCGCTCCGAAGTTCGCCGACGGTGCGCCGCGGGCGTCTCCGCATCCTCTTCGTCCTCTATCCCCCGCTTGCGCTTCGCGCTCGGCCAAGGCGCTAGATCTTCGTCGCCTCGTCCCGATATTTCTCCGCGCACGACGGCGACGTCCACATCGTCGTCGTGTCGAGGTCGTTTACCGCCCGCGCCGTCGTCGTCGCCGCCGCCGTCGACGTCGCCGTTCGCGCCCTCACCGTTCGTCCCGCTCGATTCGCGCGCGCGTTTACCGCCGACGGCGTCTCTGACGAACCGCGACATCGCGCGCGACGCTTGGTTCCCGTTCGTCGCGCGCGCGACGCCATCGGACGACGCTCGAGCGAAGGACAAACGACGCGGAACGAGCGATTTCACGCTCGACGCCGGCGAACTGCCCGCGATTTCCCCGACCGGGCCGCTCAGGTACGCCCCCAGAACGCGTCGAACGGTGTCCATGGCGCGCGCGACGCCCGCGCGCGAGCGCCGAGCGCGGGATTCTGCGGCGCGTCTCTTCGCGCCGCGGCACGGTCGACGGCGACGGCGAACGAAGGCGATACAAACGGTGAACAATGCGTAACAAAGCGAGCGAGCGAACGAGCGGGCGAACGAATAACGCGCGACGCGACGCGACGCGCGCGCGAGATCGCGCGCTCACAGACCGTCGCCCTCGGCCCAACACTGGTTCAAGAATTCGACCATCTCGCGAAGCGGAATCGGCGCCTTGAACGCGCGATCGACGCAAACTCTGTCGACGCCGAGAAACGAGTCGTACGACGCGTTTCTCGGAATCTGACGCTTCGTCGCGCGATCGCGATCGACGTCGCCCTCCGCGCGCCGCCGCCGTCCCGGATTGGTCCACATCTCCCTCCGTTTCAACCACAACAACAACGCTCGATTCGTCGCGACGCCGTTGATTCGGTTGAACCGGTACGTCTTCGCGTCGATCCCAAAATCCGGTTCTCGCCCCGACCCCGACCCCGAATCATCGCTCGACCGCACCGTCGTCGCGCTTTCGCTCGCGCGTCGCCGATGGTTCCCGTTCGCGCCCCCATCCGCTCGCGCGTTCGCGTCGCCGTCGCGTCGCCGCCGCGCGCGCGTCGCCGTCGTCGTCCTCCGCCTCTGTTCGCCCGCGCCGCCGTCCTCCCGCGCGCTCGCGCCGCCGCCGAAGCACCCGCTCAGCAGCGTCGTCCATCCCGCCCCGTCGCGCGTCCCGTCGCGCGCGCGGCGCGTCGTCGCGTCGTTCGTCGTCGCGCGCCGTCGTCCGTCGTCGTCGTCGTCGTCGTCGTCGTCGCCGCCGTCGCGCGTCGTCGTCGTCGTCGTCGCGCGTCGCGCGTTCGAGGCGTCGGCGACGCCGTCGCGCGCGTCCCGCGTCGACCGCATCCGTGTGACGCCGCGCGCCGTTCGCGGGAGGCGTCGCGCCGTCGCCGTCGCGAATCGAATTGTCGAATCGTCGAATGGCGTCGCGTTGAATCGTCACACCGCGACGCTCCGCGCGCGCGATCTCGCGACCCGAACGCGAGCTCGAACTCGAACTCGACCGCTCGCGCCATGGTCCGCGCGTCCACGCTCGCGCTGCACCTGAACCTGGTCGAAACGATCGCGGGCGCGGAATTGGTGGCGCTCGCCAATCCGCGGTCCGCGCTTTCGGCGATCCCGCGGTTGACGAACGGCGGAGGCCTCGGGGATGGGCTGGCGCGCGCGTGCGCGCAAAACGCGGTCGTCGCGTTCGTGGTCTCGCTGTACGGCTCGCTCTTGGTGGTGAGCGGCGCGTGCGCGGCGATGAAAATTCGCGACCGGACGCTGCGCGTGGGCGAACGACAATTCGCGGGGACGCACGCGGTCATCGCGGCGAACTGCGTGGCGTTTCGCGCGCGCGTGCCCGCGGTCTTTCCACTGGGGGCGTTGTTCCACGCCGTCGTCGCCGCGCTGTTCCATCTCGGCGACGGCTACAAGTTGCCGCTGAAGTTTCCGAGCGTGCTCGGACGCGCGAAGACGACGAGCGCGGCGGCGCGCAAGGCGGCGAAGAAGCCATCCAAGAAGTCTTCGTCGAACAAGGCGAAGCGAGCGCCGGCCAAGCGCGCGTCGTCGAGCAGAAAGAGCCGGCGTTGATCGAAAGTCGATCGCAAGTCGATCGATCGTCGACGCCCGTCGTCGCGACGACCGGCGGCGCGCGGCGACGGTCGCTCGCCCGGGCATCGACACATATTTAACAGGTTTCTGGGCTATATAATAACACATAAAAACTAATATACACCAATAACTCAATGCGCATACCCGAAGAACGGACCGAAAATCGCTCGCCCCGGACGCTCCTTGCGCGCGTCGTCGTCACACCCACGCGCTCGACATCGTCATGTCTGCCTTCACCACCTCCTTCACCGGCGTTCGCGTCGTCTCCAAGACCACGGTCGCGAAGAAGACCGTCTCCACCAAGGCGTGCGCGTCCATGGACTTCAAGAAGGTGCGTCGCGAATTCGCACGCGCGCCGAATTCGCGCCCTCGATCGCCGTTCGCGGGCGACGCGCGGATCGATCCGGCGTCGCGAACGCGCCGGTCGAGCGCGCGTCGTCGCGCGTCTGCGCGCGCGCGTCCGCGATCGAGAATCTTCGAATTTCGCCTCGCGCGCGCGACGGACGCGCGCGCGACGAACGCGATCGCGCGCGCGACCGACGACGCGTCGATCGCCGACTGACGATGACGCGACCTAATTTCCGACGCGCGCAGGCTGCGGTCGTCGCCGCGACGACGCTCGCGATGTCCTCCCCGGCGTTCGCGGCGACCATCAAGCTCGGCGGTGATAACGGCGAGCTCGGTTTCTACGTGCGTGACCCGACGCGACGCGACGCGACGCGACGCGACGCGCGCGCGACGCGACGGACCCCCCCGAGCGAACCTCTAGATACGGTTAGCGCTCGACGACCAATCCTGACTCGAGGGGACCCGGCGCGGGTGGATGACGAGGACGACGAACGAGCGCGAAGACTGACGGACGCGCGCGATTTCCCGATGAATAGCCGCCGTCCATCACGGTCAAGGCTGGTGAAACGATTGAATTCGTCAACAACAAGGCGTTCCCGCACAACGTCGTCTTCGACGAAGACAACGTGCCGGCGGGCGTCAACGTCGACGCCATCTCGCACGAAGACTACTTGAACGGCCCGGGCGAGAAGGTGACGAACAAGTTCGACACCCCGGGTACGTACGGCTACTACTGCGAACCGCACCAAGGTGCGGGCATGGCGGGTAAGATCATCGTCCAATAAATTGGCCAGCTATGATGGTTTGAAACGCGCGAACGACGCGGTTTCGGCGCGGTTTGGTTAAATGGCGCCGAGGGCGCGCGCTCGCGCGTCGTCGGTACTACGGCGCGCGTCGCTCTTTCGTTCGACCGCGCACACAAGAGTGTCTTTAATAAACGATGAATTAATTTCAAGTTCAATGTTTTCGCAAGCTCGCACGATGCGCGCGCTCGCGTGCCTAAATACATCTACATCAACTACGCCTCGACGCGAGCAAAATTTGTCGAACCGGCGTGCGGGTCGGCGTCGACAAACTTTAGCGTCAGCGTCTCCCCCAACACCGCGCCGCGATCGAGCTTCACCACAGTTTCGTAGCCAAGGTCGTCGAAGATGACCAAAACTAAATCGTCGCCGCGAATAAACTTGACCACCGTCGCCGTCCAACGCGCGTCCGCGGGCTGGGCGTCAAAGTACGCCGAAGCCCAATACTTTGACGTCTCGCGTTGAGAGCGAATCGCGCCACCAACGGTGGTACCGACGTCTTCGATGACGTTTTCCATCGATTGTTCGTCGAATGGAAGCGGTTCGCCTCGTAAGTACGCCTTGATTTGATGATGCGCCAAGACGTCGGCGTACCTGCGAATCGGCGACGTAAACTGCACGTACGCGCTCAAGCCGAGACCGGAGTGCGGACGGGGCGTAGCGCCACTCGTCGATGACGTCATGCACGAACGCATAGCCATATCCTGACATATCCCTTCGGGGATTCCATCCCACTCGTCGTCGGACATCAAGCGCGGCTCGCCCTGACCTCGGAAAGGAAGCGGGATATTTTCTCTCACGCCAAAGCGCGCGACGACGTCGCCGACGAGAACCATGAGCTCGGAGACGAGCATGCGCGCCGGCGTGTGACCATTGATTTTTGACATTGTTATAGCGACGTCGCCGTCGCCTCCGCGCGCGGTGGCTCCTCGCACGTTGACTGAATTCTCGGGAAGAATGATGGTCACCGAACCGTCTTCGGCGCGACGCTCGTCTCGCGCGCTCGCCACCTTGTACAACAATCGAAGTCCTTCATCGCACGTCGCGCTGTCGAGTTCGACGTCGACTTCATCGTACGTCCAACGTCGATCGAGCTTTACGAAACTCGGCATAATTTCAAAATCCATGATGTTACCCTCGCGATCGATGTCGGCGCGAACCGTCATCGCCTCGCTCGCGACGTCTGACCTCGAGCCCAAAGACATCGGACCCGCGGCGATTTCCAGAGGAAACATCGGGACGATCTCCGTGGGGTAATACAGCGTCGTCGCGCGCTGACGCGCGATGGCGTCCAGCGGCGACCCGAGAGGGATCCATCGCGTCGGATCGGCGATGTGCACCCACACTCGAATCTGTCCGTCGTCGCCCAGCGCCTCGGCGCTCACCGCGTCGTCCACCTCAACCGTTTCAGCGTCGTCGATGGCGTACGCTCTTAGGTAAGTTAAATCCACGCGCGACGCGGCGTCGGCGTCGACTGGTTCATTAGACAACACCTCCGCGCACGCTTTTGCGGTACCTTCGGGGAAATCAATCTGCACCCCATACTTGCGCACGGATAAATTTTCGTGTCGGCTCCACGTGCCGGTTGAAATCAACGTCTTCAACGCGCCCTCGGATGAGCGCGTGAACCCTAGTTTGCCGAGTAAATCGTCCGCCATCGCCTTCTCTCCGGCGGAATGGAATTTCTCGCCGAGCGCGTACGCTTCCAGCGCCTCTAATCGACGAACGCGCGCGTCGTTATCCTCGTCGCTCGGTCTCCATAGCGCGTCGCGATCGGGCTTTACTCCCGCGGGCGCCGCGGCGGCGGCTTTGATCTCATCCAAAAACGCTTCTTCCACCTTTGCTGCGCGAGATTCAGCTTCTGCTTTACGCTTAAGCGCGTCTATTTGATCCGCCGCGCGCGATTCGTACGTCCCTTTCGCCTTCAGTTTGAAATAAATACCCCCCATCGGCGAGCTCAACAGACGATGCGCGGCGAATTCCCTCGCGCCCGCGGGCGCGTTCGCGTCGTCTTCAAACATCAACTCGCTCACGTACGTCGCATCGCACACCTCCCCACTCTCTAACCCAAACTCATCGATCAGTTCCCACGCCCCTCGCAATAACGCATCCGCCTTCGCGCTCTCCGCCGCGTCTCGCGCGAAGCGTTCCATCGCTTCGCAGTCGCACTTCGCGCCAAAGTTAAAATCAATCGCCTTCGCGTTCACCTTGACGCTTTCGCGTCCCGGCATCTCTCGCACCACCACTCCCGTTTTCCCGTCTCGTCGCTCCACCGTCCCGATTCGCACCTCCCCGCGCCTCGAGTACGCCACGCCGTCGCCCGCCTCGACGTCGCCGCTCGCCGCGCGCGCCGCCGCGCGCGTCCCGCGTCCCCGCCCTCCCTCCGCGCGCGCCGACGCCCGCGTCGCGCGCGTCGTCGTCGCCGTTCGTCGTCGTCGCGCCGCCGTCGCGCGTCGTCGCCCGTCGCTCGCGTCCGCGCGCGCGCGCGACGCGCTCGCGGCGCCGAGCGCGCGGTCGACGCTCGCGCGCATCGCGAGCGCGCGTCGAGCGCCGATCTCGAGCGCGCGTCGCGACGCGCGGCGCATTCTGAGGCGTCGCGCGTCGTCGCGTCGTCACGTCGCGACGCGCCGATTCGTTCGGCTTCGCCATGCCGCGCGCGCCGCGACGCGACGCGCGCGGTGAGACGGCGTCCGCGCCGAGCGTCGACGACGGCGCGACGCGCGACGGCGCGCGAACGGCGTCGCGCGACGAGGCGAAGGAGGTCGAACCCGTCGCCGATCGCGCCGACGACGACGGACTGCCGGGACACGCGGTGCAGCGCGGCGCGAACGCGAAGGAGAGAGCGGATGAATATTACGGATACGCCGACGCCTTGGCGTTCGCGCAGAAGGAGCGCGAGCGAGAGAGGAGCCGACGAAGACGGGCGAATCAGTCGTCGGCGGCGCGGGAACGCGAACGCGCGCGGTCGCAGCGAAGACGAGACGCGCTGAGCGAAGAAGCGAGACGCGCGCTGGCGGAGAAAAAGGTGCGGAAACGAATGGTGGAGAGACAGGAAAGGAATCACAACACCGCGGCGGCGGTGCTGGCGTCGCGATTGGACGACGAACGCGCGGCGACGAACGCGAGAGCGGCAAACGCGGAGTGACGACGCGGCGAAGAAGCGTCGATCGGTGGTTGAATTCACCGCCGCGATCGATGTCGGACTACGTATATGAACTATTTTAAATTATGTGTAAGCGTGCAGTTTAGTTTAGTTTACGCGCGCGTCGACCCACCGCGCGAGCGACTTTGCCCGTTTACGGCGTCGTTTCGCGCGCGCGTCGCCACTCCACGGCGCGTCGACCGAGCGCCCGTCGCCGTGACGTCTCGCGCGCGCGACTACTTGTCCGTTCGTCATGCCCGGCGCCGCCGACGCGCGCGCGGCGGCGCAAAAGGGTGATAAGCAGCGCCAGAATGTTTTTGAACCGATGAGTGGGACGCGAATTTCAAATCGTCTCGTGTCCGGCGCCGTCGTGCGCGCGCGATTCGACGATCGCCGACACTGCGCGATCAAAGATTTAGAAAAGGAAATCGTCGGCAAGCACGGATTCGTGGGCGTGGTGACGGAGGCGAGGATAAAGGTGAATGGAAGAGGTTCAAAGTACGCGCTGTGGACGGTGAGCGAGCTGCGCGGCGGCGGCGCGAGCGCGACGGTGTCGGTGTTCGGAGACGCGTACGCGGCGCACGGTGAAGACGAAAAGAAGGCGATAGGATTCATATGGGGAGTGTTTGATACGAAATTCTACCAATCGCGAAGCGTGAGCGTGGAGGATGGAGGACAGTTGATGAAGATTGGCGCCGCCGCGGATTTCGGCGTGTGCAAGGCGACGAGGAAAGACGGGACGCCGTGCACGAAGGCTGTGAACGTGTCGGAGTGTAAGTTTTGTGAATTTCACGTCCCGAAAGCGATTCGTGAGGTGGCGAACGCGCAGCGACAGATGACGGGGAAGAGAAACGCGAATGGAGACTTCAAAGTCGGCTTGCAAAAGTACGGAGCGTCGATGCAACCGACGAGCGCTCGAGCGAGTCATTTACAGCGACCGGGCGAAGGCTTGATGAATGGCGGTCCCGCACCGAGCGCGAGAGCACAAGCGATCTTGAAGCAATCCAACGCACATCTCCCTCGCAACGCGTTCAAACCTAAGCGAACGGGAGAGGAATTCGCGGCGAGACTGCACGCCAAGGCGCCGACGACGATGGCGCTCGAAGAGGAAGATTTGGACTTTGAAGACGATAAAGAGGCGCTCGCGACGCTCGCGAGGCAACACGCGGCGTCTATTGCTCAGACGCGTCAGGACGCGTCGCGTGCGAAGCAACGCGAAGTGGCAGAGCGGTTGAGAGCGACTGGACTTACGCTAACAAAGCCAGACCCGAACGACACGTCGGCGAAGAAACCGACGACGACGGTGCGAGCGGAACCCAAACCGTTGCCCGAAACCCTGAAAGCGCATGGTTTACAGATGGCCACCGTGCAACAGTTAGAACGTAAGCTCAAGGCTGAGATTGCGCGTAGAGAGGCGCTGGAGAAGGAGAACGAAGAGTTGCGACGTCAACTCGCCGAAGCGCGCGGCGCGCCTGCCTCGAGTTTCGCTCCAGCGCGGCCGGCGATGCGAGACGTGTCGAACAACGGCACCAAGTCCACGAGCGCGCCGTCGACTACGGCTAGATTATTCGGTCACGTCGCCGCGCCCGCGTTGAAGTCTCGATACGCCGCCGAAGCCGAAGAAGAAGACGTGGATCAAATGATGAAGAACATGGACGCGTTGGAAGAACGCGACCAGCTCGCCGCACAACTCGCGCTGAAACGCGAGGTCAAAGTCAAGGTGTACCATTGCACGGTGTGCGAGAAAAAGACCCGATTTTTTGATGTTGCGACTTGTAGAGAGCATCGCGACAGCGTGAAGCACGTGGATTCCATCATGCGATACTTCCGCTGTAAGGGGTGCAACCGAACGAACACGTCGTTCGACTCGCTGACACCCAAGCACTGCGAGAAGAGTGGGTGTATGAGCGTGGCATTCGAGCGCGTCACCGTCGCGGACGTCACCACCGCGGCGAAACCACGCAAAGAAGATTTGGTCGCCGTGGAGGGCAACGTGGCGAATCGAGACGCCCTCGCGCCGCGCGGCGTCGAACATGGTTTTAGGTTGGACACCATACACAATAGCGCTTAGATCTAGTCTATAGTTTTCTAATACAAATACGCTGCTGAAGTAAGTATTCTTCTAATCGTTTCTAATCGTTTCACGCGCTCGTTCTGCTCGCGAGCTCGCGTTCAAGTGGCTTGACGTAGCGCTCGTCGATGTCCGGTTGCAACTCGGCCGCCTCGCGCAAAATTTCCAAAGCGCGTTCTGGATCACCATTTAGCTTCAAGGCGCTCGCCAACGCCACTTTAACGCTAGCATCGGTTGGATTCAAACGATTAGCTTCGTATAACGCCTCGCTGGCCATGCCAAGATCACCTAGACGCGCGCGCGCGACGCCGGCGCCCATAAGCGCGCGCGAACGCCGTAAAGGATCCGGTTCGGCCCGCGCCGAATATTCATACGTCAGCGCCGACTTTTTCCATTCTTTAAGCACGGCGTACGTTTGACCGAGCGCGAATAGTACCGTTGGATGTGATTTACCCAAATCTTCGCCTCGAAGCGCCGCCGCGACGTCGCCACCACCGCGAGCGGCGCGCAGCAACAAGTTCACCGCCTGCGCGTTGTTGTTCCCGGCGCGCTCCTTCGCCGCAGCCTTTACTAACTCTAAAACTTCCGGCGACATCGCCACGTCCTCGCCACCTAGACCTTGGCTCGCGGCAATTTCACGCGTCACCTTGGCGAGCGCATTTATCCCGAGCGCTTCTCGAGCGAACGTCGTGGACAGCGCTCGGTTTTGCGCCAGCGCCCACGCGCTCGACGTGAGCCAGTAACAGTGCACCGCCTGCGGTAGCTGCATCCCGATCACCAACATCGGCAGCGTCATCCACTCTAACACCAACTTGACAATCGTCATACCCCGAGATTGCGCCGCCGCGGACGCGAAATTCGCATTCACGTTCGCGAAGAGCGCCGCCGCCGTGAGCACGGGCAAAATACCTCCGTACGGCCCCATCGGCGCCGTCATCATCGCCACATCCACCGCGGGGACGGTCAAATCTTGAAACCACAGCGCGCCACCGGTGACGAGCCCATTGTTCGCCCCATCCGCCGCCAATCGACGCACAGCCATCACCGCGCACAGGAAGAATGGAATTTGCGCCAGCGGCCCCGCGACGAGCCACGCCGGGTGCGCGCCCGTCCCCGGAGCTTTCCCTCGCAACTCTCCGATCGCATCCAGAACATCTCGCACCCCCACGTGTTCGGAGTTTCCTCGTTTTCTAGATTTCGCCAGCGCGCTCGCCGCGCTCACCGTCGCGCTCGCCTTGATCGTTCGCGCGGATATAGGCGCCGTCGCCGCTCGAACCAACGCCGCGCTCGCCGCGAGCGCGACGAACCAAGGCGCGCCCGTCGCCGCGTGCAGGTGCGTCATGGAATCGCTCATGAGCGACACCGCGTCGAACGCCGCGCTCGTGGACGCGCTCGAGGCGAAGCCGCGGCGCGAGGGCGTCGCCACGACGCTCGACGGTCCGACGACGTCACGACGCGACGACGACGACGACGACGACGACGAGGCGCGCGCGCACGCGATCGCGGGGACGGCGGACGACGGGAAAGGCGAAGCGAGCGGCGCTTGGACGTCGCACAGACGACGCAAGGCGCGCATCGCGGCGCGGTTTCGATGAGCCATCGCGGGCGCGAGGTCGCGCGACGCGCCGCGAAGTGCGGCGAGGCGACGCCTTCACGCGCACGCGAAGCGACGTTTCGGGATGCATGCGGTGGTTTCTATCGTGAGAAATGAACTAAGTGTACTAAACATTTCTATCTTTCGGGGCGACGTAATCCAATTGTAATGCGTCGAAGATGTCTTTTTCGTCGCGAACGCGAACGCGCGAAGCCGCGGCTTCGGACCGGTCGCGGAACAAGCCTTTGTCTTGCAAGGCATAACCTTTGCGCTTAGCCCACAATCGCATGCTTCGATTAAACTTGTCGCTACCGGTGAAGTAGAGCAATGCCGTGGGAAATGCGTCGGTTTCGTAGACTTTGATGTCGATTCTGCGATGCACGGGCGGTGCCTGGTCATCCGCGCGTAGGGGCTGCTGAAGAGCGGCGACTCCCATGTACTGCACGTCGCCGACTTGCAAGTCATCCGTCAAGATTCCACTTCGTGGGCTTGGGCTACCCGCGCGCAAGTCGTTCAGTATGTGCATCAATAGGTCGTTGGCGAGAGAGACGTCGCGACACTCGACCAAAACGTCGACGTCGCCCGAATCTGCTTTGCCTCTGCGGAAAGAGCCAACGCAGTAGCATCGCACTTCATCCTTCATGAACGTATTCGCCGCCTCACGAACAGCGGTAGCGATGTGACTGACTTCTTCGCGTGGTATACGTTGCTTGAATTCTTCGTAATACTTCAGACCGATCCACTGCGTCGGCGTGAGAGTGTCACGCGGTACGCCCGGCGCACGCAAGTCTGCGAGGGATTTGTACCCTTTGTCGAAGAGCTTTCGAGCGGTGACAGGGCCGACGCCGTGGATCCCGGAGAGTTCTACGCACGATTTCACATCTGGCCTCTGACGTAAACTTTGCAGCGCCGTCAGCTTACCAGTGGTCAATATCTCTTGCACGTACTTGCGTATCTTGCCGTCCCGTTTTTTCAACATCGGAATCACGTCAACTTGATCGATTGATTGCACTTCGAAATTCAAAGAACGCAACGCACTCGCCGCGGCGGCGTATTGCTTTGCTTTGTACACTTCTCTCAGCGCGTCCTGGTTGATTTTCGCCATCTCAGAGAGTAAATCTGCAACCTTCGAGTTGCATTCCAAAGGCATCGCTTTCGCATTTTGCTCGCTCGGTTGACACGAAAAGAATTTCCGGCTCGCCTCAAGTTTTTCGTGGTCGACTAAATCGCTCGTCCAAACGACACCGAAGCCTTCAGAACGGCGCACCGCAACAGCACTGGCGTGCTCTTTGCGTTCACGAGCCGCGAGTGCTTTTCGCTCGGCTTCGCTCGACGTCTCCGTGTCTTGAGAATGCGGCCGATCTGGAAGCGCCCGAATGAGCACTCGCGGCGCGAATTCGGGCGCATCCACGGGAAGCGCACGATTTTGCTTGTAGCTCTCCGTGATCCATTCCGGCGTGATCGTGATCACGTCCTCTAGAGCGATCAATTCCAACGCTTTCGTCAACGGCGCGTTTCGTTCGCTCGCCACGACATGCGTGACGCCGCCGTCGGCGGCGCTCGTCGCGACGGATCCACCCATACGCTCGAGTGTTCGCCCCAGCGCATCGGCGCGTTTGCTCGGTATGTTTATGAAGCACGCGTGAACGCCCTTCATGAGCGATGATACGTCGACGACGAGAGCTTCTGAGTCGTCGGCGTCGTCCGAGCGATCGCCGCCGACGTTCGCCGCCGCCGCGCATCTCGCGAGCGCTCGATACGGGTCGTCCACGGCGACGTCGCCGCAACCGATGGCGTCGGCAAACATTGCCGCGTTTCGCGCGCAATCTGAAGTGTTCATGGAACGGCTCTCGTTCGTCGCGCCTTCCGAACTCTCCGCGCGGCGCGCCGCCCTCTCGCCTCGCGCGCTCGTCGTCGCCTCCACTCGCTCTAAGTCTCTCACCCGAAGCGATTTCGGCAACTCCAACGTTTCCGTCGCCTCTGTGCCCTCGTCACCGACGCTCGCGCGACGGCGCCGTCGCCGTCCCGCCGTGGCGGCGTCCTCGCTCAACAGCGCGCGCACCAAGCGCTCGGCGTCGTCGCCCAAACCATCCTTCGCGACCGCAGAGACGCGCCGTTTACCGCCCATGATCGCCCCACTCGCTCGTTCACGGCGTTCGATACGACGCGTCGTCGTCGTCGTCGTCGTCGTCGTCTATATCTTCCAACGCCTCGTCCGCGTCCTCGTCGTACGACGACGTCGTCGCCTCCGACCGCAACTCCGCCTCCAATCGCTCCGCCCTCGCGCTCGGCGTCTCTATCGGTCCTCTCCCCGTCCCGTCCAACGACGCTCGTTCGTCGTCGTCGCCGTCGCTTCCGTTCCCTCCCCGCGTTCCGAACGTCCCTCGCGCGTCGTCCTCGTCGTCGCCGCGCTCGTCGTCCTCGTCGCCTCGCGCGTTCGTCCCTCGCCGTCGCGTCGCGCCGTGCCTGAACGACGCGCTCCGTATCGCGATTCGCGCGCCGCCGCCCTCGTCCCGCCCTCGCGCCCCTCCCACGGCGTCCAATCGCGCGCGCTCGAGCCGTTCGAACCGTTCGACGTGCGCGCGCGACGCGTCGTCGTGCGTCGCGCTCGCGCTCGCCGATCGCGCGAACGCGGTGCGCGCGCCGCACGCGTACCGTCCACCGTTCGGCGGCGCGACGCGCATCGACGCCTGCGCGAGCGACGCGCGATGCCGTCGTCGCGCGCCGAACGCGGGCGACCGCAGAGCGACGCGCGTCGACGCATCGCGCGGGCGTCGACGCATCGCGCGGGCGTCGACGCATCGCGCGGGCGTCGACGCATCGCGCGCGTCGCGTCGGTCGCGCGCGTCGCGTCGGTCGCCATCCATCCATCCAACCATCCGACCGGGACATCGATCCATCCATCCATCCATCCGTCCGGGACATCGATCCATCCATCCATCCGACCGGGACGTCCGCGCGTCCGTGCGTCCTCCGACGAACGGGCAACATGACGACGGGCGCGAACGCGCGCGCGCGATCGGGATCGAACGCGACGACGACGGCGAGACAGACGACGACGAAACAGAGCGCGGCGCGGACGACGACGCGGGACGGCGGGACGAGCGAAGGCGCGAAGGACGACGGGGAGACGACGGCGAGACGAGTGAAAAAGAAACCGGGAGAACGACGGATGACGCACGCGCCGAGCGTGATGTGGTTCGCGACGCTGGCGTGCGGCGGCGCGCGCGTGTGGTCGAGCGGCGCGGTGGGGGAGAGGGCGCTCAAGGCGAGCGCGACGGCGCGATTCGGTTGGATGGACGACGTGTTTTCGAGCGCGATGGGACCGGCGTTACCGCTGACGTGCGCGCTCGCGAGGTGGTTCGCGGCGTCGTGCGTCACGGAATACGATCGAGGTAGAGAGGGGTTGGTGCCGCTGGGGACGTGCGCGCACATACGCGCGGACGTGGAGGCGTACCTGTACGTCGCGGCGACGCGGCTTTTGGCGTACGCGACGCTTCGGCGCGCGTGGCCGTCGGCGTTTATGAGCGATCACGTCTTCTTGGCCGCGAGCGTGTTCACCGCCGTGCACGGGGAAGTGTTGAGCTGCGCGGTGGACTTTCTCATCCTCGTCGAGCGACGGGAAAAGCCGTTAAGGCGAACCGCCATCATGTGCGTCGCCCTGTACGGCGTCGCCGTCATGGCGGCGACGTGCGTCGAAGTCTTCGTCACGGCGAGATTTTATCATCGCGGTCTCGAGACCGCGGTGGCCGCCGTCTTGGGTTGGTTCGTCTTACAGCGTCCACTCGTGCTCGCCGTCGTCAGGCCGCGCGCGAGAGAATTAGCCGCCGCGTTAGCCTTGTAAGCGTCGCGTCGTTCGTCCGCCGGCGCGTTCGAGTCAGTCAAAGCCACCGCTCGTCGCGCGCGCTGCGTCACTCAACGACGTCCGGTCCCGCGTCGCGCCGCGACGCGCGAGGCTCAAAGTCTGCGACATCGGACATGGCGTACGCGACCCAACACTACGCCCCGGGCGTCGCGCACGCGCGTCCCGGCGTCGCGCACGCGGTGCCCGGGCAGTACGGGGTGTACGCGCCCGGCGCGCAATACGCGAACGTGGGCCACGCGCAGTGCGTGGACGGGGCGTACTTGACCGAGAACTACGTCGGACCGATCACCATCGTGTTGGGGTGCTTTCTGCTCGGGCCGTTGCTCTGCCCGCTGGCGCTTCTGTGTCCGGTGCGTCTTCGCGACACCTGGCGAGACTGACGAAGGCGACGCGGAATCGCGCGCGCGCTCGGCTCGTTCGCGCGCGAGGCGCGAGCGACGAACAAACGCGCGGAGACTGACGAACAACGGCAACGCCTTACGCTTTACCGAACCGCAGTGCGATACGCGAACGAGATTCGTGCCCGCGACGCCGTACGACGTCGCGACGCAACAGCAGCCGCAGCAGTGCGGACAGGCGCAGCCGTACGGACAAGCGACGCACGTGGTCATGATGCCGCCGCAGAACGTCGTCATCGCGGAGGGTAGACCGGCGACGCCGACGAAATCGTATTATCCGAGCGTGTAGCGCGGAGGAGCCGCGAAAAGGACGTGAACGATAGCTTAGCTCGTAATGTCAGAATACTCGCGCCGAACGCGAACAAACCACGCCGACGTCACATCGTCGCGCGCGATAGCGACTCGTGCGCGGGACGAAGGGCGCGATGTCAGAACAATCATCCAACTACGTCGTCGTGCAAAACGGCATCGACGCGCCTCGCGCGGCGATGGAACCGGCGAGCGATGACTTTGGTAAGGAAGGTGTTGCCGACGAAAATGGCGCGCAAACGCTCGACGACGACGATTTTGAGGCGCGAAAGCGCGCGATGCGACGCGATCCTCGATGGGCGTCGAACGCGGCGGCGGAGTACGACGCCAACGTGGGTGCGAAAGGGCGAGAGGTGAATAAGTTGCTCGTCGAGCTAAAGGAGAGTCAAGACAAAATGGCGCAGAAGATAAGAGACGCGGAGGAGGCGACAGCGTGGGTGGACACCATCGAAGGGGCGAAGGCGACGATGGATAAATTACCAGAGTATACTTTAAAGGCGCGAGAGGCGAGTCGGAGGATGCAGGAGCTGAGACAACGATTGGAGAAGGTGGAGGCGCGCGTGAGCAAATTTTCGTAAATCCGAGGACGACGACGGCGACGTGTTTTGCCCTCGGCAGACCACGACGTCGTCGCGATGGTACGGAACGGTGTCGCGATACCATTGCGATGGGTCGTCGTCGTTGCGCTCTCGAGCGCTAGACGTGCGCGAGCGCAGGCGTCGGACACGTTCGTCGCCGAGTGCGCGGCGGAACGACTTGAGGCGCTCGTGTCCGCGTGCGACGCGAACTCTGAAGCTACGTTCGATCGAAACGAGTGCTGCGTGAGACTGCGAGAATTGGACTCGCGCGATTGTTTTTGCAACGTCAATCTCGGCGCGGTCGATTTCGAACTTCGCCGAAGGGCGCTGCCGGAGGTGCTTCGCGCGGAGCGCTTGTGCGACGCGAGACTCAAGTTTGGCAACGAGTGCGCGCCGTTGCCGCGGTTTCCACCGTTGAACGTGCAGCCACCACCACAGGCACCATCACAGGCACCACAACAACCACCACGGGCACCATCAACGCCGCCGCCACCGCCCGCGATCGTCTCGCCCGCGATTATCTCTCCGATTCAAGCCACGTGCTCGGTCGACGGCTTGGTGACTTTGATTCAAGCGGGATGCGCGTCCATCGTAGATTCAACGGATTCTGTACTCAGACAACGCGTTACCTCTGAGTGTTGTAGAGCTCTCGTTAAACTCAACGACGAGCGGTGCTTTTGCTCGGAAGGAGACATGATTCAAGAACTCCTTCGAGAGTTCCCCGCAAACTTTGGCGGCATGTTCAAGGCTGCGCCGAACGTGTGCGGGTCGACGATCGTCGGTGGTTGGCAATGTCTCCCGTTCGTCGATAGGACACCACCACCGTCGCCGCCGCCACCGGCGTCACCACCACCGTCGCGAGCGATTCAACGCGCACCGTTGCCCCCGTTCATAGGTCGCACGTTTGGGTTGGAGCGAGACGTCGTGGAAACGATCACGCGAGACGTGCAAACTCGCGTGTGCGGTATTTCGGCGTATGCCAACATTCTAGACGCTGGGTGCGCTCGCTTGCCATTTCTCGATGTTTCAACCAATCGCGCGAAACGGTGTTGCGAGCTCATCGCGCTGATGAACGCGGCTCTTTGTTTCTGCGAATCGGCGCTCGCCCCGCTCATCGCGAGCACGAGCGCCGTCGTCGAGCCCATGTTCGCCGCCACGACATCGAAGTGTCGTCCTGGTTTTCAAACTTTTGCGCGTGGACTCACGGAAGATTCATGTCTCGCCGTCGACGCCCCGCTTCCGGCGTCGCCGCCGCCGCCGGCCGCGCCGCCGGCCGCGCCGCCGCGAAATCCCGACGGTTCCGTCGTCTTCGGCGTGTGGTGGCCTTTCGCTCCGCGATCGCGTCAAAGTGATTCGCCTCCATTGTGGCCCGAGCGTCCTCGCGTTCCCCCGGTGCTCATCGGTTAGCGTTCGTTCGCTCGCTTGTATTGTAACTGTCACGCAGTGTCAACGACCTTTGCGCGCCACACGCGCGCGACCGCGACCGCGAGGCGCGGCGCGCACCGGACTCGCGCGCGCGATGACGACACGCGCATCGGTGTCGACGTCGTCGTCGACGCTCCGTCGTCTCCCGCGCGCGGTGCGATGGAACGCGCGCCGGACCGCGAGGATTGGGACGCGCGCGGCGTCGACGCGAAAACCGCCCAACGCGATGACGTCCACGAAGCGCGCGGTGTCCATGCCCGAGATCCGCGAGCGACGCGCGTTGATACCGTACTTTAACGACGCGCGAGAGCGACCGGTGTACGTCGGGGACGCGGCGCGCGCGAAAATCGCTGCGAGGAAAGTGGAAGATTTTTTGGCGCTTCCGCGCGAGGAGACGAGCGACGCGCTGCGAGCGCTCCGGGCGATCGTCGAGGACGGATGGGCGACGCACGAGCGCGAGGGATGCGGACACGCGCGACAGTGGCCAGAGATTTTCGTCGCCGCGAGCGCGTTGATACGCGAACAATTTCCGCAGTTTGGCGTCGCGTCCGAAATTTTACCGGGCACGGGGTGGGGGACGGAGAGCGAGGCGATCGATTGGGTGATTCGGCGACCTGAGAAGCACATCATCGCGTCGAAGATACATTTCGCCACGCGTTTACATCGTGATCCGGATTCATGGACGAATCCAGCGACGACGCAACGGCCGCGCGACGGGTGGCCCGAGTTGTCGATGCCAGACCGCAGTCGCTACCAGTACCGCTTCATCAACGTGCACCTCACGACGAGCGCGCTCGATCCTACCGGCAACGCGTGGCAAAGCCCGTTGGTAGTAATGCTTCCACGCGATGGCGGCGCGCGAGAGTGGGCTTTCGTGAAACGAAAGCTCGAGATGACGAGCGAAGGTGCCAAAGACGAAAACAACTTTGACGACAAGCTCAACATTTTCGATCCCAAAACGTGGATCATCCGCGGCAACCGCCTGACGCGAGGCGCGTACACGAAAGAATCGAAAGTCAAAGACGACACCGATACGCGTGGTGCCGATGGAATGACGGACGCTGAACGTGACTTCGAGTTCCCCGAAGTCGTTTCGCAAGACGACCAAGAATTCGTGTCAAACGGCGCGATTATGTTTGACTCGTTTGATTGTTGGCACGGCGCGGCGAAGTGGCAAGAGGACAAAGCTTTTAAAAAGACGCTCACGGATGTCGACCCCAAGGGTCGACAGCCGTTTCATTCAGCGCGATGTTCGATCGAAATGCGATTTCGCGTGCGCATAGACATGAACGCCGCCGGCGCTGAGAAACTCCAGTGGGGTCCTTTCACTTCGGCGGTGCGAGACGGAAAATTCCTCGACGAACCGCTTCGAGATTCCGAGGCGCGATACGATCTCGCTCGAGGGCGTATCGTTCGTGCGACGCGTTAGAGATGGTGTACTTTTCGTATTAATAATAAATTACAGCTTGCGTTCGATGGAGATGGTGAACACCAACGCGTCGCCCGGTTTAATAAATCGTCCAGAGCCTCGCGCGCCGTACGCCAGCTCCGAAGGACAGAACAGCTGCCACTCGTCGCCCTCTCGCATCAATCGCATCGCCTCCGTCCACGCCTTGATGACTTGCTTCGGCGCGAACGTGATCGGTTTCCCGCGCTTGTACGACGAATCGAACTCCGTGCCGTCGATCAACGTCCCCGCGTAGTGGCACTCGCACGGCGTGTCCATCTTGATGTTCCCCGGCCCCGTTCCATTTTTTATCGCGCGATACTGCAGCCCGCTGGCCAGGGTCACCACGCCCTCCTCCCGCGAATTCGCCTCCAGCCACGCCCGATCGCGCGCGTTCGTCATCTCTCGCCCCTCCGGCCATCGCGCGAGCTTCAGCGACGCCGTCTCCGGTCCCTCCGCGAGGCGCGCGACGACTTCGTCGAGCGACATCCCTCGCGCGTCGACGCCGTTCACCTCTCGCACGACGTCACCCCGTCGCGCGTCGAGCGCTTCGACGGCGACGTTTCCATCGGCGCTGACGTCCGCGATCCACGCCCCTCGATCGCGCGCGCCCTGCTCGAGCGTCAGCCCCAGCGGTTTTCGCGCCTCGATCGCGACGACGCGCGGGACGTCGTCGGACGCGGACGACGCGGACGCGCGGGACGCGCGCGCGCGGAGACGCGCGCGTGGAGACGCGCTTTGAGACGCGCGAACGCGCGCGCCGACGCGCGTCGTCGTGAACGTCGTCGTCGCCATCGCGCGACGCGACGTGCGGGACGTTCGATCGATCGATCGTTCGCGACAGAGCGCGGCGCGAACGGCGCGACGGCCGACGGCGACGATGGCGCGCGCGGACGACGATGACGATTACGATGACGACGTCGATGACGACGATCGAGGACGCGGCGCGACGTACGCGGACGCGGGGGCGCGAGACGACGACGACGACGACGATTACGACGGCGCGTCCGAAGACGCGATGGACGCGAGCGACGACGGCGACGCGTACGAAGACGAGAGCGAGAGCGAGAGCGAGGACGATGATTACGACGAAGACGTCGGGAAGACGAAGAAGCGCGGGAAAACGGGACGGACGACGCGGGCGAGCGGGGGGGCGGTGGTGGTGGTGCCGACGACGACGGGACGCGGCGAGCGAGGCGTGAAGGTGGCGTCGGTGAACGCGGACGACGCCCTGAGGGCGCAGTTGAGTGGGAAACAGGATCCCATGGCGTTCGTCATCTCGAGCTCGGTGCCGGAAACGGGAGAGGTGTTGAAGTTTACGTCGTTGTTGCACAACGCGCGAGACGGACGAACGTACGCGGCGGCGTTCGGGGACGCCAGACGAGGCGCGGGAGAGGACGACGCGTCCAAGGCGACGAATCGAAGATTAGACATGGAACAACGAGAAGACGACGGGGGGGGGAGCGAGAACGACGAAGATTACGATGAAGACGCCGAGGACGGGGACGAAGACGACGCCGCGTGGTTCGCCAAGGTTGACGAAAATTTTCCGCTCGAGCGGTACGCGACTTTAAATCCCACGCTGAGCGACGACGAGGACGACGATGAGTACTACGCCGATAACGAGGCCGCGCGGCCGGCGTTAGACGTCGGCGAAGCCGAGGCTCGCATGAAACCGCGTAGAGGCGAGAGCGGGTTGGAAAACGAAGAGTGGGAGCGCGGAGTGGTCTGGGGCGCAGATTCCGACGAAGACGAAGAGATTCGTCTCGCCGCGGTCGGTATCGACACCGTGGGCGCGTTCAAAAAGCCGCGACGCGGCGAAGAGACGGACTTGTCATCGCAAGTGACGGTTCCGTCGTTACCCCCGGCCACCGCGCTCGCGTCGGCGACGTCGAGATCTTGGGGAGAGCTCGACGGGGAGAGCCCGAGCGGCGGCGCGAGCTCGTTCGATAGCGCCGTCTCGGATTACATGCGACATCTCAGCTTGTACGGCGTCGTAGACGAGAAGCAGCAGAGCGGTGATGTGGACATGACGGACGCCAACGCCGCGCGTGGGGCGGGTGAAATGCTGCGCATGCGAAATCACGACTTCGCGAACGGGCGTTGGTTGGGCGACGTCGAGTGGGAGGGTAAACCGCGTCAAGTCATCGATCCACATCGCAAGTACATCTTGCCAAAGGTGCAAGTGAACCCGAACGATCCGAGATTGGTGTTGCAGTACAAGGGTGATTTAGAAGCGACGGTGTGGAAATGGGCCAACGCCGTCATGGCGCCGAGCTGGGATCTCGATCCCGTCAACGACATCGACGAGGCGTTGAATATCAGCATGGATGACAAGTACAAGGAGGAAAACGAGCAAACTGTAGACACTGGCGAGCGTCCCCCGAGACAAGGACGAATTGACGGCATTCAACACGCCGAATTCCTTCTCACGTCGGTGCCCCAACTCGTTCGCGATCCCCTCAACGATTATCCCGCGCCCAGGCCAATGCTGCGACCGCCGACGGTGCTCCCGAAACACGCCACGGCGTCGATGAAAATTAAAATCGCGGGGTCGGAGTTGCAAACGTTTAAGGTTTGCATCAAATCGCTCAATATTCACAGTGCGGTGATAAACTTGAAAGTTCGCGGTACCGACACCATCGGAAGCGTCATCCCTCGCATTCGCAAGCGCTGGACCGACTTAGACGGTCCTATTCACTTGTACTACCCGGGAAGTCCGAAGCCGAACGAAAAGTTGAACGAAGAAATGACGCTCGTCGATGCGGGCTTGCAAGCGCAAGTCGGCTTGCCGATCATCTATCTCGTGGCTCCGAAGGTTACGTTCATCAGCGAAGAGGCGGCGTTGGCGCCCCTCGCTTCCGACGCCGTTCTCGCGCCCCCGGGCGCGTACAAAAAACCCTCGGATTTGTCGGCGCGAAGTGGTACGCTGATGATGGTGCAGTACACAGAAGCGCGCCCGCCGCTCATCGCTAAGCCTGGTATGGGAGCAAAGAAGGTTGTGTACTATCGCAGAAAGACGCTCGGCGATCAAGGCGCGCGTCCATACGCCAACGCGACGACGACTGTCATTGATCTCAAGCCGAACGCGCCGTCACCCTTCCTCGCCGAACTTCCTCCTGGGCGAGGCATAACGGCCCTTGAAACGAGCATGTTCAGAGCACCGTTGTTTCAGCAAGCAAAGTCTGATGACTACGTTGATTTTCTTCTCATCAGAGCTCCGAACGGCAAGTTGACGCTTCGCGAAGCGCCGTCGCTTCACCTGGCTGGACAACAAGAGCCACACGTAGAGATTCCGGCGCCGGGGAGTGACATGCTCAAAGACTTTGAAGAGCGTCTCGTCAACGCCACCGTACTCCGCTACTTCTTGAACCTGCAAGCGAAAGGGCTCATCGAACCCGGCACGATGCCGACGGTGAAATCGACCGACGTCGCGGCGACGCTCTCGCACGCGCTTTCCGTTCGAGATGTTCGCAAAAATATTCGCCGAAAGATTTGCGCGGTGCGCCGCGGCGCCGAGGCAAATGAGGATGAGTATGTTCTCAATCCTTCGTACCGATTCGAGCACGAAAAAGAGGTGCAACGGATGGCGACGCCAGAAGAAGTGTGCGCGTACGAGTCGTATCGTCACGCGGTTGCTGTACTCTGCAAGGACCGCGATCGCGACGAACAGGAGCGAATTTTACGATTGTCGTCTCTTTCGCTTCAACAGTTGAAGAATGCGGTGACCATCTTGATCCGACACAGCGAGGGCAAGCGCAAGCGTCAACTGGAGAACTTGGAGTTGTGGCTGCAAATTCAGCCGTGGGCGCAAACGCACGAATTCCTTCAGGCTTCGCTGGGCACGAAGGGAATTTTACATCTCGAGACGTCGAGGAGAATCCAGCGACTCACTGGAAAGTTCTACAACTATATTCGACGTATGACTGTACCAGATCCTCCGGAAGATCGTCGACCTCGCCGCGAGCCCGGAACCGTGACGGGGACGAATGCCGATCTCCGTAAGCTTACGATGCCTCAGGCGCAACGCATCCTTGAAAACTTTGGGGTAGAGAAGGAAGTGATTCTCAGGCTTGAACGATGGAAGAGAATCGGTTTGATTCGTGAATTGTCTGGTGCTGCGACCGCGGATGGCACGAACTCTCACGCGGGCATGGCGCGTTTCGCCCGTCGCTTGCGAGTGAGCGAAGCGGACCAACTCAAAGAGATTCGCGAACATTCTGATTTGCTCTTCAAAAGACAGATGAAGCAATATTCTCAGCGACACACGCGTCACGAAGATTCTTCGAGCGGTGGCGAGACGGATGAAGACGATTCGTCGAGCGACAGTGAAAGTGAAAGCGATTCTTTGGCAGATGAGTTGGAAAAGCAACTCGAAGAAAAGGCTGCCAAGGATGCGCCGAACGAAGAAGACGAACGCGCCGAGCTCGAGGCGCTTCGTAACGCCCTTAAGGACGGTAGTTCCATCGAGCCATCCGTTGACCCGATGAAGGCTTTGGCGCAAGGCATTTTGGTGCCCGGAAAGAAGCTGAAATTGAAGCGAGTTTCGACCCACATCTTCCCAGACGGTCGATCCGCCAAGGTGGAGGACGACATCACCGAGTACGCGGGAGAGGCTTGGCTTCAAGCGCGCGCGCAAGGTGTCGAAGCCGCAGACGCTGCGACGACTGCTGCACTCATCGCATGCGGCATGGATAAGCCGCCAGAGCCGCCGAAGGAAGCCTTGGAGAGGAAGGAGCTCGACGACGAAGAAACTGGTCTTACTCCGGAAGCAAGAGCGCGTTACGAAATGCTTCGTCAGCGGAAACGTGCCAAGGAGCGCGTGCGACGAGCCGGCGAGAAGATCAAGCGTTTGCAGTCCATGGGCGTCACCGATGAAGGCGCGGACTTGGCGAACGCGCAAAAGTCGCCCGGAATCACGCCAAGCGAGAGGCCCGCACCCGTGGTTCCAGGTCCCGGTGGACTGAAAATTAAGCTTGGCGTCAGCAAGAAGACGATGGATAAAGTGTTCAGCTCTGGCGCGACGCCGCAGAAGAAATCCACGCTCGGTCGCAAGTTGCCTTGGGATAAAGTACTCATAAAAGTCACCGAAAGCGCAATGAAACATGGAACATACGGCCAAGTGTTTACGCCGGCGGTGACGTTGTCAGACTACGCAAAGTTTGTTGAGCAACCCATGGATCTGGGCGCCATCATGGCACGCCTTCGCGAGGGCTTGTACAATGATCCCAGCGACTGGGCATCGGACGTCAAGTTGATCGCAGTCAACGCGCAGGCGTACCACGGGAGCGAAGAACCGGTTGAGCTTCGTCTGGATTGGGTTCCTGGGATGGCGGCGGACATGGTCAACTACATAGCCGATCAAGCGAAACGTCACGAAGCGGACATCAAGGCTTCGTTTTCGGATTTCTCCGCCGACTCTCTGCGCGTTGCGCGTCAGGGAGCCACGGCCGGTGGTGATAGCGCTCCAGCCGAAGTCAAAACCGAAGTTCCAACAGAGCCCGCGGCGCCGCCGAAGCCGCTTCCAAAGCTCAAGTTTTCGTTTGGAAAGAAATCGTAGAAATAACTCGGTCGCACGGCACACGCATGCATAGATTACGCGTTGTGACGACGAAACACAAACGATTAGAATAGATGATTCGGCGTTTCCCCCATTATTACAAAACGTTAAAACGCACCCGAGCTCGATGCGATGGCAAGTCTACACGCCAGGAGGCCACGAAAGTTGTTGCCCTCCGATGACGTGGACGTGCAAGTGATACACGCTTTGACATCCCTCCACGCCATCGTTTATCACGCACCGGTATCCCGCATCGAGGTTTTCTTGCTTCGCCACCACGCTCGCGGTGTACATCAAGTGCCCTAAGAGCGTCTTGTGTTCCTCCGTAGCCTTGCTCAGGCGCGTCAACCCGGCGCGAATCTTCGGAATGACCAAAAAGTGCGTCTTCGCCTGCGGGTTCACGTCTCGAAACGCCATCGCCAGCGCGTCTTCGTACAATATCGTCGCCGGGATCTCTTTCGCGACAATCTTATCGAAGATCGTGCGCTCATCCGCGTCGTCCAGGCCGCGTAAATGCGCCTCTTGCGCCGCGAGCACTTCGTCGTGCGGCGTCGCCATCGTCGTCCCGAGCGTTCGTTTCCAGCGTCGTTCGCGCGCGCGTCGCGCGAGGGTGCGGCGTAAATGCGAACACGCGCGCGCGCTCGTTCGTTCCGTGCACGCACGCGCGGCGCGCACCAACATCAACCGACCACCGCGGAGTGACGGGTCGGACCGTCGCGCCGCGTCGAGTCCGCGGGTCGTTGGCGCGCGCGGCGACGGCGACAGAGCCGGACGCTCGGACACTCGGACACGCGTCGTCGGTGCGCGCGACGCGACGCGACGCGACGCGAACGACGCGACGCGCGCGCTCTCCGCTCGCGCGCGCTCTCCGCTCGGGTGTCAATAATCCTAACGACGGCGACGCCTCAAAGCCACGTCCGCCGTCGTCTTGTAGCGCACCGACATTGAATGCGAGATTAGGCCCTCGCGCCGCGTCGCGCGAAACGACGCGTCGCACGCGAACGACGATGACTCGGGCACGCCCGCGTCGTCGTCGATCATGGACGCGTCATCGCCGACGCGGGACACGCGATGTGAATGGAAAAGGACTCGCGCGGGGTTCCAGCGGCGGCGGGACGCGCGACGCGCGGGACGCGTTCGGGTCCGCGATCGCACTGACGCGATTCCGACGTCGAAACCGCGCGAACGGTGACTGACGATGCGTGCATTTTGCTTTTTGTGCGCCCTCGCAGACGGTCGGCGCGTCGTCATGGCGAGCGAGAGCAGCGAGAGCGAGGACGACGGGTTGCGACGACGGGCGCTCGCGGTGGACGGCGAACCGGACTATTCCACCGGGCCGCCCATGGATGGTTTTGAGTATCTCAGGCGGGTGGCGTTCGAGGCGAGACAAACACCGGACATCATGCGGGCGGAAAATATGGATTTGACCGCTCTGGAGGAAGAGACGGCGACGAGCGGCGGCGTAACGGCGGACGAGGAGACCGAGTTCGCGCCGCCGGCGTGGGCGAAACCCGATCGCGCGTGGGTGAGAAGGACGGTGGGTGATTTTAGTGATTTGAGGGTACGATTATCACGGATATTAGCGCGCTTTCCGACAAGCGTGAGACGCGGATCCTATCCATCGAACGCCGATAAACGCGACTGGGAAAGATTTTGCGTTGACGTTCGCGAGCCTCCACTCGGGGCCCTCGTCGCCATGGACGCCGTGACGTGTGCGTATTTACTACGACATATCTCACGCGGATTGTTCAGATACGACTACGACAGCGACGGCGTGGATGTCGACGACGTCATCAGACGTTTGCGGTGGTTTCACGCCCTCGTCGCGCGCGTCGATCTTCCGCTAGATGCCGACACCGAAGCGTCGATACGATCGGCGATGAAAGGTGTGGCTCGAGGTAGGCTGTCGACTTCATCTGAGGACGACGAGCTGCTGCCGCACTTGAATTTAGCCATCGCAATAGGGGGAGGGTATTTCAAACAGTGGCGCGGTGAGTAACGCCGTGCTTCCAAAAATAGATCACGGCGGCGGCAAATTCGTCACACACGGGCTGTCGGTGGCGATATGGAGATTCACGCTACGTCTCCTGATTTACCGTCGATTATTGACGCCGTTCAGCGTGGATCCATCGACGACGTAGACGACGCACTGCGGCGCGAGACGAGCCGAATCGACGAGACCCATGAGTCAGAAGACGCGCTCATCTTTGCCGTGCGCGGACGCAATTCAGACATGGTGAATCATCTTCTCGCACGCGGGGCCAATGTTCGTTTTGCCAACGCGCACGGTGATACGGCGCTTCACCTGGCGTGCTTATTGGGCGAGGTAGACATCGTCAAGGCTTTGCTTTCTTACGGCGCAGAGTTGGAGCGAAGAGGCGCGAGCGCAAATCGCCCGATCCATCTCGCGTGTTCCGGAGGATTTGAAGACGTCGTGACGACTTTGATACTTCGTGGGTGCTGTGTAAACGCGACAAACGCTAACGGTGCTTTACCGAGCGCGCTTTCACAGAATTTCAAGCACATCAAAGCCATCGTGCGAGGCGTCGAACAGGATGGCGAAAAGGCGAGAGAACAGCTGCGGCGTGATGTCGCCGCTAGACTCGCGAATGAAGCCATCAAGAGGCGCGAACGCGAACGTGAACGCGTCGAAGCGGAGCAACTTCGCGCGCAGGAAGATGCAGAAAAAGCCGCGGAGGCTAATCGCGAGCGCATCGCGTCGGAGCAGCGTCTTGCAGAGGAACGCGACCAGCTCGCAACAGAGTTGGTCGCGTTGCGCGAGAAGGAAGCGGAGCGATTGAAGTTGGAGGAAAAGAAGCGGGCTAAGAAAGCAAAAGCGGCGGCAAGTAAGAAGGGCGCGGTAAAAAAGTAGCGAGTGAACAAGTAGGACGTAGCGCTAGTGTCGATTTTGTTACATCGATGGTAAATTTGATAGCAGAGTGTACGCAAACTGCGCCAGTTGCCCCGCCGTTTTCGAGGCGCACACTTTCGATCTCCACAGTTGCCGACAACCGTCCCATTTCTTCGCATCGAGCAATTGCAGATTATACACCGCGACTTCGAAGTTCCACAAAACCATGCGAAGCTCCACGAAAGAAGACGTGTGGCATTGTTTCATGAGGCCAACGATGTGCGTCGCGAGCCAATCGAGTCGTCTCCATCGATGAGACGAAATCTGCAAGAAGTGCAGTATTTCGGCTCTCGTCTGCGCGATCGTCGGGTGATCTTTGACGGCTTCTTCGGTCAAGTGAGCGTAACCATCAAATAGCACGCACTTTCTCTCTAGATTGTCAATCATGGACTTCTCGTCTCGATTGTCTCTCGGAGGTTTGCCTTCTTCATCTTCGCCGCGGCGATCGGAGAGAAAGCGATGGAACTCGCGCTGTTTCAGCGTCAACGCCACGAGGGCCGACATCGTGGCTAGTCGCATTCGCGGCGTCAGTTGAAAGTAATCGGCTTTCGCTAATAATGAGCTCGCGCGCGATGCGGCGAGTTTGACGTCCATCACGTTGCCCTCGTCGTCAATCAACTCGCGAGCAATCTCCGGCCACGCGTGGACGTGAAGTTCGGTTTCGAATCTCGCCACGCGCGTGGGGGCTGCCGTGGGATCCGCTCTTCGACCCTCGACGACTATTTGCTCGATAACCGATATCGATGGAGTCACTTGTCCGATGAGTGCGCAGTGAACGTCGCGCAGGAGCGTCCAAGATGCCTTCGAAACCGGGCACATCACCGCGCGCATGAAACGATGGAACGAAAATAACGGAAGGCGCAACACGTCGGCGTGTTCGGCACAAAACTCCCAGACTTGGAGCGCTTCCTCGACGATACACGACTTCGTATTGTACTTTTCTTTCACTTCTTCGATCCACGTCGCTAAAGTGTCCTCGTCTCGCGCGTCACTCAAAATTGGACGAGCGTCAGCGCACGATTTCCACCCACCCTCGCCGAAGATGCGCTCGAGGTCTTCGTCGAGGACATCGACGACGTTGGCTTGATGAGACATCACAAACTCATCGCGCGTTTCTCGAATCATATCATACATCGTGTGTGTTTTCTTCATCAACGCGCTTATCATTTGCGCGCTTCGGCGGTTTAAATGATCCAATTCATTCATGCACAGATTGCAAAGCGTCGTCTTGCACGCCCACACGTCGGCGATTTTGTAATCGGTCCACGTCTCACCTTCGGCGTCTCTGTCATTTACCATCCGCAATGCAGCTACGTCTGCGGGCTGTCGCGTCAAAAGCTCGGGAATTATAGACTCGAGCGATGATCGCGGACTTCGCGGCAGCGCACGCGCGGTTCGGCGAGCCAAATCATATCTCATTTGAAAGCTTCGGTTGTACAGCATCGAGTACGTCGCCTTTGGTTTCAAAAGCTTGTACGTCGCCGTGGACGTTACGAGGTAGAATCCACGAATCTCCGGCACCGTCGCGACGAATGAATACTGATACGCGACGATATTACCAACTTCAATCTGTCGACCGCCGTCTTCTTCGTCGTCGTCACCGAGCGGCGCCAACGCGTCGGATCGTACCTCTCGCAATCGACCTGAGATGCGAATCGTCGCCGCGACGTCTGGATTTTCGAACAAATCTTCGTGAAACTTTATGCAGCGCCGTCGAGCGCGAGTATCACAGCTAGCCGACGTAGTCTCGCACTGAACGAGCTCGAAATCGTCCAATAAACGTATGATGCCGCCGTGTGCGCCGTCGCCTAAACGCTCGCACGCTCGCTCGCTGGCGTTGTACTTTTCCGCAACGTCTACTTCGTCATCGTCTCCGAACCAGCCATCGCGAACGGCGAGCCTGATTCCCTCCGCGCGCTTCTTCGATCCTCTGCTTCTCGTCGCCCCGACCCTCTTCTCGATCAAACTTTCGACTATTTCCTCGATAGCTCCCCACGCTCTCAAAGTCAACGCGTCGATTTCCATCCGCGCCGTGACGTCCGCCGCGCATCGAGTCGCCCTCGCACGTTTCGCCTCGCGCACCGCCTCGCGCGCGCTCCGCACCGTATCTTTCACCCTTGTCCAGATCTTTTGATTCATCGCGTCTTCGTCGCTATCGTCTTTCTTTCCCCGTTTTGTCTTCGTCTTCGTCTTCGTCTTCGTCTTCGCCGTCTCGTCGTCGCGTCTCGTCGCCTCGCGCGCCAGTGTTATCATCCTCTTCGCGATCGTCTCCGTCATCATCGACCCCGAAGGCGTCGGCGCATCGCAACACATCGTCGTCGTCGTCGAGGGCGACCCTCTCGCCGCGCCCTCCCCCCGTCGCCCCTTCGCCGCCGTCGTCTCGTCGAAGTCAGCACGCGTCCGAGGCGTCGATTCGTCGTCCGAGTCGTCGTCGAACGCCATCGCGCGTCGTAACACCACCCATACGGCGCGTTCGACGTCCATGAGTCGGGATGAAATCGAGTCCGCGCGCCGCGCGGATCTCCCGCGCGAACGCCGCGCCCTCGCGGCGCTCGCCCGCGTCGTCGTCGGCCGTCGAGTGGCGTTTCGTCGTCCCGCGTCGGACTTTTCCCGATCTGGGTTCTTTCTAACTGATTGCCCATACGTACGCTTCACGACTCACGAAGACCCCCTCGCGCCGCGGCGGGCGATTGGCGTTGCCGGCGCGTCCGCACACACTCACGCACGTCGACATGTCGGTTTCCATGCGCATTTCCTCCACGGCCGGGTGCGTGTTCGCGCTCGTTCGTTCCGCGTCCGCGTCCGCGTCCGCGCTCGCGCGTCGCGCGTTCGCGCCCGTCGCGCGCGGTCGCGCCAGACGGATCGTATCGAGCGTATCTTCGATGCGCTCGAGCGTGCGATCGGGGGCGCGCGCGCGTTCGCCCGGCGCGCGCGCGCGTACGCGCTCGGGTCGCGCGTCGATGACGATGCGAACGAATCGAACGCGTCGCATCGCGCTCGACGCGCCGCGTCGTTCGCGGCGTGGACGCCCGATTCCGTCGACCCTTCGATCGCCGACTGACTGATATCCCTCCTCGCTCTTCGCGCTCGCCAGGCTCAAGACCCGCGTCGCGACGAAGACTCGCGCGTCCCGCGGCCCGGTGGCGGTGTCCGCGAACGCCGACCGTCCGGTGTGGTACCCGGGTAAGGCGCCGGCGGCGCACCTCGATGGGTCCTTGCCGGGCGACTACGGCTTCGACCCGCTCTCGCTCTCGGCGGATCCGGAGATGCGCCAGTGGATGGTGCAAGCCGAACTTCAACACGCGCGCTGGGCGATGTTGGGCGTCGCCGGTTGCGTTGCCCCGGAGCTTTTGACCAAGATCGGTGTCGCGGACTTGCCGAACTGGGTCGACGCCGCCACTTACCAATACTGGGCCCCGGGCGGGACGCTGTTCTTCATTCAAATGGCCATGTTCAACTGGGCCGAAATTCGCCGCTGGCAAGACATGAAGAACCCGGGCTCGGTCAACACGGATCCGTTGTTCGGCTACAACTCCAACGACACCAACACGGACGTTGGCTACCCGAAGGGCTTGTTCGACAAGTTCGGCTGGGCTAAGGATGAGAAGACCACGGCGGAGCTCAAGTTGAAGGAGATCAAGAACGGGCGCTTGGCGATGCTCGCCTTCCTCGGCATCTGCGCGCAATACGTCCAAACGGGCGTCGGTCCCGTCGAGAACTTGTTCAGCCACATGGGTAACCCGGGTCAAGTTGGTGTTTTCATGTAGATTGGACACTTTGCGCGGGTCTTTTCGGGTCTAAACTACTCTTATAATGAACGTCAGTGAGACTGTAAACGTCGCTCTTCGCTCGCCTTCGTCAAGTAAGAAACTGCTTGTTTTACATCGTGCCTACATAGAATTACTACCGTTCCCGCGCCGTGGTGCTACTCCAACATTTCGCCGTCATCGTGCAGCTGCTTCCCGATGACGGATGCCCACTCACCCTGAGAGTACGCGAGCTTCACTTCCTCTTCGCTGAGCTCGCGGATCCTCGACATCGGGCCAGCCGCGCCGCGCCCCGTGGTGGCTGATATTGTCGTCCCTGTGAGTTTTTGAACGAGCGCGCGCGTCTAAAGTCAGTCTTCGAGTGTGCACGAGTCACGGCGCGACGATGACGCGTGCGTCGACGCTTGAAACTGACGTCGCGTTCGCTTCGCTTCGCTCTGCGTCTTACCGAACACGGTGGCGTTGGGCGCCGTCTCCAACACCGGTAAAGGCGGCACACCGACCGCAATCATCCCGTGTTGCAAGAAAAACGAGTGAAACGTCATCAAACAGATTTCGTGCCCGCCGTATCCTTGTCCCGCGCCCCCTACTTCGGTGAACGAGCTCCCTATTTTCCCCTTCAACGCGCACCCGTTTGAGTGAAACGCCGCGAGGCGGTCGAAAAACGCGCTCATCTCTGGAGCCATGCGACCGTGTCTCGTCGGTGAACCGAAGATGATGCAATCGCTCTCTAGTATGTCCTCGGGCGTCGCCACGGCGCAGTCCAGAATCCCTCTGTCGTACGCCGACGCGTCGTCCTCGCCGCGGATCGTGTCTCGCACGCGCAGCACGCGCACGTCCGCCCCCTCCACCGCGCGCGCGCCCTCGGCGATGACGTTGGCGAGCGTCACGAGCCTCGCGGACTTGCTGAAGAAGACGACGGACACGCGGAACACCATGAGGCGCGAGCGCGGCGAACCGACGCGCGCGAGACGGCGCGGCGCGAGAGACGCGCCGACCGGTGGCGACAGACGCGGACCACCGGCGCGATTTCGGAGGTCGGCTGTCGCGCGGGACGTGGGGCGGCTAGGGTCTAGCGTTCATGACGATCTACCGCTTCGCGTCTCTTGAATACGACAAAAGTGCGTGGGACGATTTTTTTATGGGACGACGCGATATTCGCGATATTCGCGCGGATGGGTGGCGTCGTCGCGCCCGCGACGCGCGCGCGCCACTCGTCGGCCGAAACCGCGGTCGTTCGACGACGGGCGACATGGCGAACGCATACGCGACGCACGGCGCGTGCCTCCGCGTGTGCCCGAAGTGTCGAGGGTGCGGGACGACGACGCGACCGCCGACGATGGCGGTGACGACGACGTCCAAGATGGCGACGCGAGGCGCGACGACGACGGTGACTCGCGCGTCGTCCGTTCGCGGAGAATCGGACCACGGTGAGGACATGCGTGAAGTCGTCGCGCGCGATGCTTCCGCGCCGACGACGCGGCGACGGGCGCTCATCGCCCTCGGCGCGGCGGCGATGAGCTCGAGCGGCGTCGTCGCCGAGCCGGCGAACGCCGAGCTCGGGCCGAACGATTGCTTGGAGTGCGGTGGACGAGGCGTGGTGGCGTGTGATATGTGCGGAGGAACGGGTAAATGGAAGGCGCTGAACCGTAAGCGGTCGAAGGATACGTACGAGTTCACGGAGTGCCCGCAGTGCTTCGGGCGTGGTATTCGAGTGTGTCCGGTGTGCTTCGGCACGGGCGAACGCAACGTAAAGGGTTTATTGCGTAGAACCGAAGCGACAGAGCTCGTGAAGGCGATGCAACGCGGTGAACTCCGACCGGGTGACGTGCAAGCGCTCATCGAGGAGGGTAGGTCGATGAACACCGAACGCGGGGGCTTCGACGCCGCCCCCGCGCCCGCGAAGCCAGCGGCGCAGCGTGAATTTTTATAACGCCGCCGCCGGCACCGCACCGCGCACGGTAGAGATGTGATGGTTTACTAGAAAAGGGCGAGTCCACGCGCGCACACGGCACGACCTTTGCTTGATTTTATTGTAGTGATTTGATGAACGCATTTCTAACACAACTACTGTAAGTCCATCTCGGCTACGCAGCGAGTCCTCTCTGCAACTCGTCGATGAACAGACGCTTCACACCTTCGTGGGTCGTTGTTTTCAGTGATTTCGACGCGAGCTGCAAGAAATCTCGCTTCCTGCGTCGTAACTCCGCGAGCGTGAGCACGCGCGCGCACCGCAACGTGGGCATACCTTCGCCGAAACCGTACACCGAACAGCAAGATCCGCCGTTGCTCTGTTGAGCCGACATGATGGTTTCGACGACATCTTGCGCGGCTCTATCCATCTCATAGCGCAAATTGGTTCCGCTCAAAGGTGAATTTTGCGTCGCTTTGTTCGGGACGAGCGTTCTCGCTTGTTTTGTAGTGTTTGACGAGTCTCCTCGTACGTGAGCGCACAACGCGTCGTACAAATCGGCTTCATGTCCCGGCGCGTCCAGGCCCGGTCGAAATGTAAATAAAGGCGAATCCCAGCGATTGTTCGCGATGGGATGTTCAAACCGAAAACACAAGTCTCGTAGTATGGTCTCGTCGTACGCAGACTCTCCCGCCTCGTCATTCATTTGCGCCACGCGTTCGTCGCTCGCGTCGACGTACACGACGCAGTATCGCGCCGCCGCCGCTCGAGCCGCGCACCAGAGCTCGTATCGAAAGCCTTTGATCGCGTTCAACGAATCTAATATCACGCACGGTCCCTGAGCGTGCAGAATTCTATCGCAAGCACTCCTCAACGCGCCTCTCGTCATCTTTTCCTTCGCCGCGTTCTCATACGCCTCGTTCCTCGCGCCGGCGTTGACGCTCGCCTCGTCCACTATCGTCACCTCAGCGTTTGCTCCATCGGGCGCGGGCGCGCGCAGGCGTTCGGAAAGCTTCGAAACGACGGATGACTTTCCTGAACACGGTTTACCGCACATCACGATCAAGCACGCCGAAGGGCGCGCCGTGGAGGCCTTCGTCTGTGTCAGCTCGCGCGACACGTCCATTCGGGTGGCGGCGGTGACGCGCGGGCGCGGTTCAGACGACGATGATGCTCGAGGCTCGATGCGACGACGCCGATACTAAATGCGTCGTGCTTTGACAACGCCGCTTCGCGCGCGGCGACGTGTTACGAACACGCGTCGGTCTGAGGCGTACCCGCGGTGCGGCGACGAGTGGCGCAGCGTCGGCGCGCTCACGGATGTTTTAGAGAGTGCGACGTTTGGACGCGCACATAGCGGCACGCATCGACATCACTAGCGTGCACAGTTTTCATCACACGTTCTCTACGTCTACTCTTCAGAGCGACTGCTACGCGTACTCGCGCGAAGGATATCGCACGCGTATGGCCATCGTATCGCCGCCCGGTTCGTTGTCGCATTCTAAAACACCTCCAGCGCGCTGGATGAGACGGCGAGCGATGCGCATGCTGGGAGCGTCTGTATCCACATACACTGAACCGTTCGCAAGCGATGCGTCCACCTTAACTTCGACGCCGACGCCAGTTTGGACGTCTCGCGCGTATGGTTCTTCCACGGCGACGTCTATTACGGCGCCGCGAGGAGCAGCCATAAGCGCGAGGTCGATGATCTGCGCTAGAGCAGAGCGCACGTCTTTCGGACTCGCATAGACAACTGTTTCCGGATTCTCACTTTCGGGCAGCGTCGCTCGCATCGCCAAGCCGCTGCTTGTCGCGACGACGTCTGATGTCGCGAGAAGCGTTATGACGACCTTGGTGACGTCGCACATTTCATCGCTCGAGACGACTGTCAACGCGTCGGTCCTCATCGAATTCGACGTCACGCGCGCGCGTGTGCCGTCAGTTAGAAACTTTTCGCTGACGTCCGTGCGGCCACCGCTCGCACCGTACAACACGCCTCGTTGCTCGATGGATGAGTTTGGATACAGAGCGCTCTCCAACTTGACGCTGAGCTCGGCGAGCGCGTCTCCTTGCTGCACTAACGCCTCCGCCATATCACCCGCCGGATCGTCCGGCTTCAAGTAAGTCTTCAGCATGCCCCCGAGCGTTCTCAGCGCGGTTAGAGGTTGCCGACTCTCGTATAAATATCCACCGACGGTTTGATCGGCGCGGTACGCGGCGGCGACGGCGACGACATTGTTCCTATGAATCGCCCATGCGTCTACGAAGGCGCTCGCGGAGACTTCGAGAGACTTACGCTGTTTCTTCGTAAACGCCACCGAGGCGTCGCCCACGGCGTCTCGTCCCATGCGTTCGACGACGATGAGCCCGATGAGAGACTCCTCGTACGCCAAGCACGCCACGACGGCGTTCGCTGACGGCAAATCGAAAGTTTTCTGAGACGCCAACGTGTCTTCGGGTGCGTCCCAATCAATCGCGCTCGCGCCGTCTTCGTCGTCGTCGACGTTTTCACTAATATCCGTGTCGAATCCCCCCTCGTCCCAATCTCCCGTGAAGCTGAGAGTTGATTTTTTATTCGTCGACGCCGTTGACGCCCCTCGCCGCGGCCAGGCGGCGACGCGCGTCAACCGCATGCTCGTCGTCCCACCGGACCCACGCAAATAAATCATACATTTCGCGTCATCGCCATCGTCGTCGTTGGACATCATTCTCGCCACCAGTTCCGCGTGCGTGTGCGCGAATCGCGCGAAGAGGTCGACTTCGCTCTCGCGCGCCGCCGTCAAAGTCGTCGCCTGTGATCCCCCGTCTGATCTCGAAAGCGCCAGCGCGTTCGAAGGTGCGGTCGCGTTCGCACCCGTGGGCGTCCACTGCGCCTCCTCGTCGTCCGACGCCACGGCGTGAGGCGGGCGTCGTCCTCGTCCTCGCCCTCTCTTCGCCTGGGCACCGCCGCGCGCGCCGCGTGCGCGACGACGCGCGCCGCGCGACGGCGACGACGACGGCGGCATCGCGCGCGCCGTCGTCGATGCCGCGGACGAAGCCATCGCCATCGCCCGTCGCGCGTTCGCCGCGTCCGAGCGCGCGCGAGTGCGACGACGACGCGCGCGCGCGTCGACCCTCCACCCTCGTCGCGCCGCGGCGACGGGGGTGCGCGTCGAGGCTTTCGTGTCCTCATTCGTCGTCGCGCGCGCACCGTCGACGGTGCGATACGGACCGCCGACATGCCGTCTCGAGGAATGTCCGCCGAGGTGCGACTCGCGCGGATGGGCCATCGCCGCGCGCGCGCGATCGAGCGTCGAGAACGCGACCGCGACCGCGACCGCGACGCGCGGTGCTCAGATTTGAATTGAAATCGATTGAAATCCATTCAATCCAACGCGACGGGCGAGCGAACGAGGCGACGACTGACGGATGTCGACGACGCGCGTCGATGTGGCACGCGTAGGACAAACGTATCACCGTGCTCGCGATGCTTCACGAGTCTCGCGAGCCGTGGTTGCTTAAAGACGTAGAAAAGGCGGCGTCCAAGCGCGGCGTCGTGATACAAGCGGTGAAAGACGTCGTGCAATCGCTCGTGGACGACGACTTGGTGCACGTGGATAAAATTGGGACGATGAATTGGTACTGGGCGTTTCCGGGCGAGGCGACGAACAAGGCGCGCGCTGCCCTGGAAGCAGCCGAATCGACAAAGGCGCAAATGGACGCCGAAATCGCGGCGTTGGCGAAGGGAGTGGCGGAGGAAAAGAAGAAGAATCCAGTCACTGCGGAACACGAAGAAATGAGCGCGGGCTTGAGCCAGGCGAGAGAATTGAACCAGAAGCTGCACGTCGAGCTCGAAACGTTTTCGAGCTCGAACCCAGAAACCGTCGATGCGATGCGCCAAGGCGCGAAGATTTCAAAGCAAGCGGCGAACGTGTGGACTGACAATGTCTTCATGATGAAATCGTGGGCGGAGAACAAGATGGGAGATAAGGAACAAGTGGCGCAGTTCTTTAAGACGGAGGGGATTAATTTGAATACGTTCGACTACATTGAGTGAACGCGCTGAACCCACGACGATGACGCCGACGACGAAACGACTGATTGATTTTTTGTACAACCTGTAACTTACTTCATCGAAAATCACAATATCCTTCACAACAACTATCTACGCTCTATAATTCGACACATTCCAATCACGCAGCGCCCTCGAGGACGAGAACGTCGTCTTGTTCGATCCGCGCCGGAGCCGCTGGTGGTTTTCGATTAAACACCGCCGACGCCGCGGCTTCGGCGCTTCCGCTCTTTCTGAAGACGAAAGTTGTGTACAAGTACGCCGCCTCCCACTCTTCATCCGTCATGCTCATCGAATCATCACCCATGATTTGTGACCAAAGTGCCGACGCTCGCTCGCGAGTCTCCACCCCGCTCAATTGCGAATGAACGTAATCGTGAAAATTTCGCCACTCCACTAGCTCGAGGCCGTATTCAGCCGCCAACGAAACCCACACGTCTTTCGGCACCATGCACTCGCGACACTTCGTGACGGCGTCGGCGAGTGTAAACGTGTACTCGATGCCGAATCCATCGGTCTGGTTCGTAGGAAACACTTTGCTCTTGAACGCGTCGTCGAACTCAACTTCGTACACGGGATTCCAAAAAGCCAAACCATCCGCTTCTCGAAGTTTTCTCACCAGGACGTTGGAGTCCACCGTGGTGCCTATGAAATATCCTCCCGGCCGTAACATCGTGCACACGTTTCTCAGCGCGCGACGCGCGCGCTCTTCGGTCGACAACGAGTAGTGTATGGCAAACTGGCACGAAATCACATCCAGCGTCCGCACGTACTCCGGCAACACAGACGCCAAATCGACGACAAAGGCGTCGCCGGCGACGAATTTTGCCGGGAACTCTCGCGCGTGCTCGGCGTTGTACCGCTTCACGGCGTCCCGTCGCACGCTTTCTAACGCTATATCCACCCCCAAATACGAGGCTATCTTCGCCCTGGCGTACTTTTTCAAATCGCCACCCTTCCCGCACGCCAAATCCATCACGCGGTCGTTTTCGCGAATCTTCGACTGCAACAAGTTGGACTTGACCCAGTTGTTCAAGCAACGCAAGCGATAAATCGGTGATTGCTTACGCTCTTGGTGCGTTTGATTCGCGCGTCCGCTGTAATGCTGCGCCACCAATCGCGCGGCGTCGTCCTTCGTCGCGGTCGACGACGCCACCGCGCCGGTGTCCTCGTCCGCCGCACCGCCGTCGCGCGTCGACGGCGCGTCGGCGCGTTCGACATCGCCGGCGTCGCCGGCGTCCTCACCGCTTCGTCGTCGCTTACCCGCGACGACCATGTCGCGTCGTCGGCGCGCTGGTGAGTGATGAGTGAACAACGTCGCCCCGGTGACGAGATGATGACGCGACGGACGGACGGATTGGATTGCGCGTCGATCGACACGATCGGCCAATCGTCGGCGGACGTCACTTTCGTGCACGCACGAAACGCTCGACCGAGTGAATCACGCACTCGCTCAACTCTTCGCATGTCTCGCGTCTCGACGCTCAACCTCACGTCCAAGCTCGTCAACTGCGCGGCGTTGAAACGAACTTCTCGACACGCGCCGACCGCCGCGCGATCGATCAAGACGATGGCGTCCATTGAAATCACGAAAGGCGTCACTTTCGACACCGTCGCTCGCGAATGGCGATGCAAATGGAGCGAAGATGCCGATAAGGCCTCGCTCGCGGCGGCGCAAAAGGTGCTCGACAAGCACTTGCCGGCGATGAAGGCGAAAGGCAAGGTCCAACGCACCGTGTGCGGCGGTTGCCTCGACTTCAAGGCGAACACGTCCATGAGCGCTGACGCGTTCGGCGCTTGGGAAGCCGAAGGATTCGCGCCGGAAAAGCAATTCTTGGAAGAGCTCGCGGCGATCCCTGGAATCTCGAGCATCGAAACGCAAACGTTCACTTTGATGTCCATGTAAGCGCGCGACTCGCCGACGAGACTCCTCGGCGTCGAAAAGCTCCTCGCGTCGTCGTTGTCGTCGTGTTCCACCGCGGCGACCGTCGCGCGATCGCGGCACTTTCGTAAAGCACCAATCCTACTTAAAACGACGCGCTCGTTGTAATCTTAAAGCGCAGCCGTCATCAGACCGGCGAACGCGCCACTCGACGAAAAACCACTCGACGAGACTGATAATCTGGAGTCAAGCAGAATTCTTTATTATCCCGCACTTCGCGCCGCACCTCGGACGCGCGGCGCGCGTTATGGACGAAGATGAAGCGATTGATACGCTCGCCGCCATCCTAAACCTCGAGCACGATCGCGCGCGGTGCAGGGAGTTGCTCGAACGAACTGGTTTCGATTTGCAGAGCGCCGTCGACCGAGGCTTAAGCGGCGACGACGCGGCTGCTGACGTTGGGTTACGACAGCGTCGACGACCTAATACTAGTCATGGTGGCACGAGCGCTAGACGCGATGCTCCCCGCGCGCGCCCAACGTCAGGGTCGGGGCGCGTTCGACGAAGCGGCGGGGGTTCCAATCCAGTCTCCTTCGTCGCCGCTCTCGGCTTCGGCATCGTCAAGGCTGCGGTGAAGCTTTCTGTGGGCATCGTTGACGCCGCATTGCGTGTGGTTCTTCCCTCAGGCGTGTACTCGCGATTCTCGCGACCGCTATTGCTTCTCGCAGCCAGCTTCGACTCGTCCAGCGCGCTGCCGAGAGGCGAAGGGGGCGCCGAGTCTCGCGCGCGCGAGTTTAGCGAGTGGTTCTCGGAAATGTTTCATGATGGCGATACATCGCGTGGCGTGCATTTCGTGCAGCTGTCACATCGCGAGGCTGTCGCCTTTGCGCAACGAGAGACGAAGCTCTTGTTTGTCTACCTGCACGCGCCGGCGCACCACGAATCGGAGCTTTTCTGCGCTCAGGTTCTCGCCGATCCCACAATGACGGCGTATGTGAACCAAAATTTCGTTGCATGGGGTGGAAACGTGCGTGACGGTGACGCGTTCTCCTTGTCCGCAGGGCTGAAACCGACGGGGTATCCGTGCGTGGCGATTTTAGACTCTGTGTCCGGCGGAAGCGGAAGCGCGAGTTTGGTGATGTCGTGCGAGGGGTTCATTGATGTTGATGTTTTGATTAGTGCGTGTGAAGAGGCGCTCGCTGGTCAGAACGCTAGCTTAGATGACGCGCGCGCACGACACGCCGAAGTCGACGCCAGTCGGCGATTAAGAGAGGAGCAAGACGCGGCGTTTGCCGAGTCTCTCGCTCGAGACGCGGCGCGCGCGAGAGAGTTGGACGCACAGCGTGAGGCGGAAGAGGCTGAACGTAGACGTGTGGAAGAGGAGCGGCGCGCGGTAGAAGAAGAGACAAAGAAAGCCGAAGAAGCCGAGCGTCAACGCGTCGAGGAGATTGAAGCGCGGCGAGCCTCCAAGGCATCGAAACTTCGTGATGAACCAGCCGACGGCGCCGACGGCGTGTCAAAGCTCGCCGTCCGACTCCCAGACGGTTCTCGCGCCGAGCGTCGATTTCATAGCACGGATACGATTGCCGACGTCTACGATTTTGTCGATACGTTGGAAGAGCTCGACGAGGTCTCGTATTCGTTGGTGACCAACTTTCCTCGACGAACGTTCGCGCGAAGCGAGCGCGTGTCTCTCGTCGACGCAGGAGTCCACCCGAATGGCGCGATGTTCGTACAAACTGAGTCTTCGTGACGACAATGTAAAAATGCTCCTCCCTACGCTAGCGATGTCGATGCGTGCCGCGATGTGCGTGTCCAAACGTCGCACACTCTAAAACGTCCGTGAGCGTGATGACATCGAAAGGTGCGTCGCTCGTCTTGCTCACTATGTAGACGCGTTGCTTGTTGAGTTTTGAAAACCATTCGTAGCGAAAGCACGAGTCAATCTCGACGGTAAACACGCCCGCGGGCGGGACACCGCTGAGCAAATCTGTTCGTCGAGGATCAATAGCGAGTGCTCGCTTTCGTTCGTGCTCGTATTGCTCGCGGCGAAACGCTCTCGACTTCTCAAAAAACGCGCTCTTAAAGCCGCCTTCGGCGTCATCGTCCGGTGCGCTGGCGGCATAGCCGCTGTAACTCGTGCCGTGCGTCAGCGCGATGAACTCGGCGACGGGCAAACCCAGCACGCTAAAATGTTCACGCGTCAACGTGCGCAAGTCGCCATTCGTGATGTCTGCAATGATTCGACCGTCTTTCGAGACCACGGCGGCGCCAGAGACTTGTTTTTCTCTCATTTTACGATAGCACTCGATCGTTGGAGTGCTCGCGTCGACGGTGACGAATTCGCGTTTGCGCGCGTCGCTCCCGAATCCGAGATCTCGCAATGTGTAAGTTTCCAAAGAGTGGGTTAGCTTGCGATCGTGCTCTGCCAGCCACTGCAGTACATCAGTTTGCGAAATCAGGCGGCGCAAGGCGCCATCGGCTTCGAACAGCACGACGCGGTGCACAATCGTGCTTCTGTCCGCGTCGCCACCGAAGAATCCCTTAACGATTAAATCGTACACCGATGTTGCGGCCGCGTTAGGCGTGTACATGAGATCGGCATCGTAACCAAGAACTTTGATAAGGTGTGTGTCGGCGACAACTCTTTCAACTTTTTCGATCTCCGTCATCGCGGACAACATCGTCGTCACGGGTTTGATGATGTCAAGCAGAGCTTTGACGGCGTCACGTACGTCGAAAACTCCGATGAGCGTTTCGAGAGGCTCGTTATCTTCGGGTAAGCGCGTATCGAGAGTGTCCGCGACGATCACCACGGGCGCGCTCAGGATGTTGTGGCGCGCGAGAACTTCAAGAGCCGTGGCGACGTCGTCGTCATGCCGCAGCGTCACCACGCGCCTCGGAAGTTGTTCGCGCTCGAGCTCGGCGACTTTCGCGCTCTTCAGGAGTAAATCGCGAGCGTCGATGGTACGACTCATGGCGTCGCGCGTCGCTGTGAGGTCGCGCGTCGCTGTGACGAGGATACGGGGACGCCAACGGGCGTCGCTGTGAGGTCGCGCGTCGCTGTGACGATGTCTCCGAGACGTCCCATGTTGGATTTCACATTCGCGAGCGAGCGCGCGTGAAGATACACATGCGCGAACCACACGGGGATCGCGAATGAACGATCGCGGGCTAAAAATAGAAGAAACAGGAATGCGAAACGATTGACCGACGTCGCAGTCGTCGTCCCGCGTCGTCTCCCAGCGCGCGTCGCCCGCACTCGCCTCCCTGAACTAGGGTTAGAAACTAGGTGTAGAAACTAGGGTTAGCAGTTTCTCTGGAACATGACGCTTTTGCCGCCCTGAAAGTTGCGCGAGTAAAGGGGTCACCGAAACCACTACACTGGCGGTCGACGACGCTGGAATTTTGCGTACACGCATGAAACACGCATTTGCATCTGTGTACGCGCGCGTTTCGCGGAACTCTGGGTGCCGGCGGCGACCCGGACCTTTACGTCGTCGCGGGCGTAGGCCGCGGTTTGGGTTTTTTTGGAAATGTGTGATACTGGTTTTGGGTTGAGGACTACGTTAGTGAGGGCGGGGTAAACGAGGGTTTGGAGGACTAGGGTTTAGGGTTTAGGGTTTAGGGTTTAGGGTTTAGGGTTTAGGGTTTAGGGTTTAGGGTTTAGGGTTTAGGGTTTAGGGTTTAGGGTTTAGGGTTTAGGGTTTAGGGTTTAGGGTTTAGGG